ACATTATTCAACACTATCCAATTCTATTGAATCATTAATATTATAATATTTATTCTAACAATAAAATTTTTGAAACTTCCTGTTTTCCTAAATAATTCCTTTCTTCTTCATTTATCATTTATAGAATCGATTATCAATAAGAATAAAGATTTCAATTAATTCAAAAAGATTAAATAGTTTTAAAGTTTTCGTTAACTTATCCTTGATAATATCTTTTAATCCTTTATAAAATTATAATTTTAAATAATCATTATTCTATATAATATATTTGATATATTATTGAAATTTGATAATATAAATTATAATTGATCTAATTTATTTGAATTGTTATAATACTCTTTTAATTATATAATCGGGATCTACTTTTCTGAATATTTTATCAAATCTTTATCTAAACAATTCATAATTAAGAAAAAGATAATGAATTTCAGATTTCATATTTTCGTTCAATTGATTATTGATAATTTTAATTATTAAATTATTGAAAAATAGTTTAATCCAATTGAATATAATTCCTCGAAAAAAGAAGATCAATTACAAAATTCTTTATATAGAAATCAAGAAAAGTTGTTTATTAAAGATATAATAGAGATTAATTTGTATAATAAAAACTTAATATTTGTTATAATCTTTATAGAATAAATCAGAAATGGATATCTGAATTGTTTATTTATATTTTATAATAATAGCAATCTAAATAAAGACTTTGATTGAATTGAATAAAAATAATTCGATAGATTACTGATTAGAAATTATTATATTATATATAATTTAATTATAACAATACTCAAAGTATAACAATTTAATTGAGATAATAATTATTTCAGGATTTTGTATAATTGATAGTTGTAAATTAAGACTAATAATCATTGATTATCTATTCGAAAATGAATATATTATTAAATTAATTGAAATATAAATAAACTAATTGATAATTAAATTGAATATGAAGTTTTTAAATTATAAAATTATTCTAATTATATATTAATAAATATAAAAAAGCTTTATAAAACTTTAAAACTCTAAAAAGCTTTTAAAGCTCTAAAAGCTTTCGAAGTTCTTAGAACTTCTTATCATATAATTAAGATCAAATTATATATCCAAACTTATTAAAAATGAAAAGACTATATAAAACAATTATCATACAAATTTGTATACAAATCACCTTGCTTTTCGATAAGATCTAAGTTTATATAAACACATTGATTATTGCCCCTCAATATATCTTTATTTTAATCATAAATCGTAACACTCACTATCAATAAAACCAGTCAATTGATTTGTTTGTTTTATAATACTTAAATAATTAAAAATATTCCTTTTCTTGATTATTAAATTTTAATAATTATAAATTCTATCTCATATCAAAAAGTCAATTTATATATTATAATAAAGATAAGATTATTATCAATTTATTAATATCAAAATCTTATTATATATATAATATATTATAATTTATTTAATATAAATTATAAAAAATAAAAAACTCGTTTAAATAAATCATAATCTTGATAATCTGATTGATTTAAAATATTTTAATAAATAATCTAACAAAAAACTTAATATAAACTTTATAACATTAAACAAATCTGATTTAAAACTTTTTTTAACTTTATTGAAATCATTTAACTTTATTCATTTTATTCATCTTATTCAACTCAAAATAATAATTATAATTAATATTATAAATATTATAATTAAAATTTTAATTAAATAAAATTTATTTAAACCTTAAAATTTTAAATTTTAAATTTTATTAAATAAATATAGATTATATAATTATATTTATTTAATATATAAAAAAACATTTATAATAATAGATCTATTTATCCACTCATCTCACTCCTCAAATCCCTGATCAAATATCAATCTACACAATTGGACCTTTTCCCTGAAAAACACTTTACATTCCCCCTCTCCCATTACAAAAATAAATAAATTTCTATTTCTTTTCCCTATACTTTTTCTATTCATTTATTCATTCATTCATTTATTCATTCATTCATTCCTCATATTTATATATGTATCTATGATGATGTGACATTGATCGACAATGGGCTGATTGACAGGTACATCCCTGTTTCTGTTTCTTTTTGTTTTCTTCCCTGGAGAGGGGAAAAGAGAAAAGAGAAGGGATTGTCGGATTTGATTGTCGGATTTGTTTTAGGATGCAGATGATCGGACATGGATGATGATGCGTCACGTGTGATGTGTGATGTTGTGATGTGGAACCTTATGACGATGATTTGCGGAGTGGAGTGTACTAGTTGGACCCTGGAATATCATGTTCAAGGCGACGTGACTCTTGTGTTTGAATTGAATTGGATTGGATTGGATTGGATTGGATTCGTGTCTGTTTTTGGATTTGGACTCTCGATTTGTGTAACCTTGTTTACGTTCAAATACTGGTCACTGGCTAGCTGGACAACTTCTACCTGACTCTAATAATCCCCGACATTCCCCTTTTCCAGCTACTTGGCATTTTGGTATTTGAATCCTAGTTATGTTCATAGACCCTTCTTATTCTTATCCTTTCCCCCTTTTGACTCTATACTCTATACTCTATACTCTATACTCTATACTCTGTCTCTAGTAAGTAAAACTATCAATCTAACCATCTAGCCTAGCCCCAAACAAAAGTAACATAACTCACAACTTCCCAAGCCCCCAATCCCAAATCTCTATATAATCATCCGCCCAAATAACCTTAGCACGGCGAAAATTCGGAATTCCAAACAACGCCACTGGCAATAGCATTTGCATTGACAGGTACCTAGGTCCTATTTCTCCCCAGGGATACCCAGGGATACCCAGTAATACCCAGTACCCGTAGATCCCATGACCTTTTCATACCTAGAGTGTATATGTAATGAATACCTAATATCACGTACCTGGCACCTATGATCTGGTATCTATTACCTCGTATCTATGACCTATTACCCAAAAATACGGAGGATGCGTTGGGGGGATCGATGTTGTACAGTGAGGCGTACTAGGCAGTTGAACTAACGTGTGCTATGTCTTGTTTAGTTTAGTCTAGCTTGTCTAGTTATATAGAGTAGATTTAGAAGATGATATGTGGATATATGTGATTTGGGTTTCTGGGGTAATGTGTTATTTTGAGGGGTAGGTTGTATGTATGTATGGAGTATATGTGGAGTATGTATAGAGTATATGTGGAGTGTGTATAGACTATATGTGGAGTATGTATAGACTATGTATGTAAAATATGCAAGGAAGATGTGTCATTTTGTGGGGTTGGAATTTGAAATGGGGTAAGGGGTAGTGTATGGAAAGAAGGGAGGGGAAATGGTCAGATGTTTTAACTTGTGAGGATTTTTGAGGCAAGGCGTGGCGTAGTTTGCTGTGCTGTGCTGTGCTGCGCTGCGCTGTGCCGCATGGTTTATGGTTTATGGTTTATGGTTTATGGTTTACGGATTGAGGGGTTGAGGGGTAGGTATTGAGGTATTGAGGTATTGACTATTTTCATTAGAAAATACTAAGTAGAAGCGATGTCCGTATGGTATGCTATGTATGACAAGGTACACCAGTCAGTATGTGAAGTATTATCAACACTTTTAACCTAACAATTAAAATGATCCTTTCAGATTGGAATGATGAGAAGAAAATGAGGAAATGAAAATCATACTATATTTCACCATGGAATGAGAATGCGGATGTATGAGTGGTCTGTAAGGATGCGTATTGAGACTTCTTGAATGCTTAGAATTCTTAGAGTGAAGGAAAATGTTGGTGTGCTTCCCTAGAGGTCTTAGCGCGCTATGCCGAGGTTTGTCTTATTACCCCAGATTCTATCCTGATGTACCGGACCATAGCAGCAACAATACCAACACCGAACACCAACATCAAATCCAAGACTCAAACTCTAATAATCTAATCAAAAGAATACAAACTTGCTCATAAACTCCTATACTCAAAAATCCATAAATCCGAAAAAGAATAACTCGAATAAGATAAAATAAAAATAAAATACAATAAACACCTCTTTCTTTATTCATTCATTATCTGTTGAATACTCCATCCATCCCCTCTTTTCCCTTCTTCTTCTTCTTCCTCTCATCTACCCATCAATTTCATATACCCCAATAAGTCTAGCCTAACATATAATAGCACAACACACTACCCTTCCTTCTCCCTTCTGCCTTCTCCCTTCCCTCCCACCTCACCCTTTCACCCTTTCACCCTTTCACCCTTTCACCCTCTCATTCCATAAACCCCTCTATCATCCACGGAGTACACCTACTCCTCCCACACCCACAAACCCACAAAATCCAGATCCCCCGATAACCGACAGGCATTCTCCGTGCACTACCCTTCCATCTCCCATAAACCTTCAAAACCCTCCCCGCCACCCCCAAAATGATATCACCAACTTGTAACCACCCACCCATTTTCAAAATCTCCCGGGCCCCGCACAAAAAACAATAAAGAGCCTCCTATCTTCGGACCTAAAATCTCCTACTCCCTACCCCTTCCAATCTTTATCACTCCTATCCCTTTCTAACTTCTCTTCCAATCATTCGCAATCCCAATTCCCAATCCCCGAAAAAAATAAATAAAAATAAAATAAAATAAAATAAAATAAAATAAAATAAAATAAAATAAAATAAAATAAACTCAAATCTTCAAGCAAGCAAAACAATCAACTAACCCTCCCTCCTCCCTCCCTAAGCGAGCCAAAAAAAGAAAAATCTCGAAGCAGGAATTCCAGAGAAGAAAGGGCGTTCTAGAATATAATCCTGTGATAAAGAAATGTATATGTATAGCCGGACCCTAGGAGAGTAAACTAAAGAGTAAAGAGCAGAGAGCAGAGAGCAAAGAATGAGATGAAATGAAAGAGGCTGCGAAAAAGTTTCTCTCTCTAGTGTGAGGAATGACAACACTTCATCAAAGCCCGTTTATCATCACTCGCATATCATCTGAATCATATCATATCACACCACATTACATTACTTTCACATCACACTAGGACTCTGGTCATTATTTGCTTTGTATAGGTATTTCCCTTTTTTTTTTGACTATTGTATTGAGTGTATGTACCCAATAATTCGTCAATTATTCCCTCCTCTCCTTCCTCTTCTCTTCCAGGTCTCGCGTGCATCATTTCGCATTATAGCGAATATGCTTCTGTGGTGTGCATCATAACTGTGCCTGCGCATAACCCATAAACCCCCATTGTACAGTGTAAACCCAATTTTTTCCTCACCACCAAAGACAAGCCGGTCTCGTCTGTGCCCAGTAAAAGCCCAAACCCCGAATCGTGATCCGTCCGTACCCTTTATATGTAACCCATTGCCAGAATACAATTTTGGCTATCATCACCCAAGCCCCATCTCCTTCGAAAAGCAAAAAACCATCCCATCCCAAACGCCAACCACATGCCAATTTGTGGTTCCCAAACCTAGTGTAAATGCAGCATCAAATATGTGCTTTAGTATTATGTACAAAAGTCGCCGTAGATACGTCGACGCTATATTCCATCATTAATTGTATCCGAATCCAGGAATTAACTCTTGAAACGACAGTAAGACTCTTTGGAGAGCCAGGATTATCGATTATCCCATTTGAAAATTATCTCCTCCACCCGACATTCCAGATAACATGTGCTATGTCCTTTGCTGTATTTACAGTGTCGACAACTTTTCCAAAGAGTCCTTCGGATACAGCATCATCTTCGTCTTCTTCACAAGGCATAAACATACCAGATGGTGTCCTCCTCATGCCGGAAGGCTCCCCATTCGAACCAACAGAATCGGAAGTACTGAGACTTTTAAATCGATTTTGCGTGACTGATATGCTATCCTTCCTATGGGCGAATGCATTTGATGGTTGCCAGTCGATATCATCGTCTTCGTCATCGTCACCTAAAAGCATTCTCGTTGATGGTTTCGAGGGCTTTAAGGTTTCCTGAGATGGTGACGGCGATAGTTTTGTCCCATGAAAAAATCCGCTGTGCTTCATAGCTGTTTCCTGAGGCTCCGGTGTGTCTTCCCGATATTTAAGTGTTGTAGATGGCAACATTGCAATCGTCTTGCTGTCTGCCATGGAGTTAACTCTGGAGATGACCTTCTTCCTCATTGGTGGAAGTGGTCGCTTAGAAGTGCTTCTCTTCATCATGATAGCTCCATCATCAGAATCACTATCGTCAAAGTCTTGAGTATTGTAGTCTGGCTCATCATCATCATCGCCCTTAATTTCTAAAGCTATACATTGCGATACTTGTTCATTGAAACTAATGTGCTTCTTTTCAGTGCCGGGAGTGATCAGTCCAGATGATGTAACTGATGAAAGCATACTTAAATCAGCTTGTTCTACATGCCTACTTGCAAATTCGTAGGGGACATAATCCGATGAGGCCCTCATTATACCGGGGCGTTGTGCATCTCCAGATTGCTGTGCCTGGACTGCAGCAGCCGCCTGTTTGAGTAATGACGACGACGATAGAGATCTCTGAAGCATTATTTCGGACATGCTTCGTTTCTTGAGGATCGGCTTCTTCTGTAGGAATGAATTTGATTTTGAAAGCCTGCTGCTGCTGACAGGGGAGGTGTCCGGGTCGTTGAATGCCGTTGGTCCGGGTTGAAGTGGACCATATAGCCAAGTCACGTCACAATCCTTCAACCTATGCAATGTTAGTTACTTTCCTATCACGTCTGACCACGATAGCAGCAGAATAATTATCAAAGCCTACCAATTGAGTGTTTCTGGTGAAACTGTCTTCAGCCCATACTTTGCCTTCATCCAGGTTCTCCACGAGGCGTTTTCTAATCGTTCATGATTGGAATATTCGCAGCCTTTCGACACAATGAGTTTCCACGATGCCCATATATCCTCTTCCCTCCAATTATGTGACAAGTAATCTACGTGCCGTGAAGGTTTCGCTTGTAATGCTGTATCATCCTCGGCATGTGCCTGCGGTACCTCGGGAGAGCCGGGTCGAGAGATGGTGGAGGTGCTGTTTGACGTTGGTGAAACGCTATAGGAATCGCCTGTGTGTGGACTGGCTGGTGGCTCCAAGTCTTCGATTTGATCGCAGTATGCTATGTCATCGTATGGGGGAAAGGAAATGTGATCGTCTTCGTCCTCATCATCGCAATTATCGAGCGACAAGCTGCTAGCTGGTGTTGATGAGTACGAAGGGGAGACAGAATCGGCATGTAAGGTTCGTGGGGAAGATGGCGCCGAAGAGTTTGAGGAATTACTAGGAGATATTATCGGGTTGAATTTTGCGCTATTTGATCGAGATAGGGATTTCGAATATGATGATGGTTGTGTGACGAATTTGGGCTGCGAATGTGATCGACGAAGAGGACTTGACGAGAAATAGGCATTTTCTTCCGAATTGAGGACTACCGCCATTTTTTCTCGATGGTAATACCTTCCGGTATTATGGTTAATTGACTGGTGATGAAGTATGTGTGTGGTTCAAGGTCGAGACGACCTGTACTCGAAATAAACGGCCTCCTCTTCGTTTGACCTTTGTGTTATTTCTAAGCCTGGTGACTTCCTCGTTCGTACCTTCAAGAATTGAAGAGCAAGTAGATTATCAATCATAAAAAAACCGGTAGATTGAGGATATTTAAAGGTCGTTGGCAGAGTTGTGGTTGGTAGTCGGGTAGGATTGATGAGGGAAGAGATGAAGAGGCAATAATTGAGTGCGGTAGGAATTCTCCACTATTGACCACTCTATCAATGAATTGAGTACGGTAGACTAATTGATTTTGACAATTGAAAGGATTTTCCAATTTGTCATAGATTAATCGATAGGAAGATAGATTATCGATTTGAGGACCAGAGAATTGAATTGGTGTTTAGGTTGTTTAGGTGTGTAGAGTAGAGGTAGAGGTAGAGGTAGAGGTAGAGGTAGAGGGTAGAGGTAGAGGCAGAGGCAGAGGCAGAGGATAAGAAACGAGTGAATGTGGAGAATGGAGAATGGGGAATGGAGAATTGATTGAGGTGAAGTGTAGGTTTAAGAAGTCTTGGACTCTTTTTTGGAGAAGTTTGAACCAGGAAAATATCAGTACAAGGGAGTAAACGAGGAGAAAGGTTCTCGACCCTTGGAACTTGGAAACTTTGACTTTTCGTGGAAGGGCTTTGGACCTTATGGTTTATGGTACAGGAATATTTGGATTTTTGATTGATAAGTGGGCGGAAGTGGGTGAGTGGGCGAATGGGCGAATGGGCGATGTTCAAGTCAAAAAGCGTGATTGACGAATTTGTGTGGTGCTGTACTACTGTAGATTCATCATTAGTCTAGCTAGGTAGGGAGGATTGTGCGCTTCTTGAATCTTGTCTCAAGAGAGAGAGTAGCTAAAAAAAGGCGTAAATCTAAATCAGGTATGGATTTAGATGGAGCTGTCGTAATTTACCTACTTGAGCTGGTCTAGTCTCTTTATCCAATACCAAAGAAGGTTAGAAATAGAAAGAGAAATAGGAAAAGGTAAAAAGTAGACAGAAAGAGGTGTCTATTAGAGTAAAACGATTTATTAATTCGACTAATTCCAAAAACAGGTTGGAAAGATGTTGATGGTAGAAAAATGAGTGAGTGAGCTTGATTGTCGAGATTATGCATTCACCGTACGAGTGAAGTGTTTACTGTTGCCACGAGTCGGTAGTAGGTACTTAAGTTGTTTTGGACTGACTGATACTGACTGATACTGACTGATACCAACTGCATATTTGGTGTTTGGATATTTGGATCAAATTCATTCCTATTTGATTGCATGCATTACTTTCAATCAAACCTTACTGTATACGATTCCTTTCTCTCACCCATCCTGACCTTGATTCATATTTCATCTCATTCCAATCCAAGCCAACTTGCTGAGCCATCTTCTGCCCTTTCTCTCTGCCCTTCCTCTCTGCCCTTTCTGCCCTCTCAACCGACTTCCAAATAGAGAAGTATAAAGAGAGGAATGCTAAATTAAAATTGGAATTGGGGTGGGAAATTTCACATTCCTTAGCTAATTTTACCACTAGATGATAAGTTCCGAGACAGAGAAAGACCAAAGAAATTCAACTTTCAACGCATCCGGAGTGATATCTCTCTCTCTCATCTGTGGAGAGGTTAACTTGTAAGCTCTACCATCAGCTCGACATTCATTCAGCTAACTCGAGTATACTGTTGCAGTAGTACGTGCTAACCCAACGTTATACGTATACTGTACACTCATTGTTTGATGTTGATTTTGATAGGTAGAACGGGTCAAGCAGCTTTGATTGGTGTATGGGCCTCAGCGTTGCAAGCGGAGTCTTCCAAGGCTCTCGGCCTTTTTCCATTCTTCTATGGAGACTCTTGTTATCCTAGTCATCTAGTCATCTAGTCAACTCGTTGTCATCAATTCAATTCATACAATGCGCCTGGCCATTTCAATAAGGCTGCCCTTTGACCGTCATTATTCATCCATCAATGAATGATTGGAGTGATTGGAATGAAGACGTTTTGGCGTGCTTTGTTACTCTCCTCTGCAATCTATAGATCCTGTTCCTGTAATCTATTTGTGCTACACAATAGCCATGTCATTTCGAGGCCATTCACGTTTAAATGTTGTATCAACTGTACCGGGCGATGCCGATGTACCTCTGCATCAGTTCCCACTGCAATTCTGCATAACTGCATAAGACTATTGGCACCCGTCGAATCGAAGAGGCCTTGAACAGTTTATATCCTAGCATAGCATCCACCTATAGATGTCATCTACTAAGGTAGATCGATCCATTCCGGACCGACATGGTGGAAGCGAAATGCTCATCAAATCACCGAGACTTCGAAAGTCTATCATTATGAGATCGAGAAGGCATTGCATCAATGTCCGTGTCCATTGTCGAGCCACTCCTATAATAAGAGATCAATCTTTGAGAGACAATGAGGCCGTTAACTCCCTCCAGTGAATCTAATCATATGCCAAGTTCACTAATGTGATGCTAAGCTGCTTCTCAAAGACGAAGACAACCATTTCAGCAGCCCGATGTCCCGAAACCTAGAAATTTCTTAGGTCGTGGTCAAGCGTCGTCAAGCGTCGTCAAGTTGGCCCTCATGCGTTATCAGCCACTCACATCTTCCTGTTGCTCTTTTTTGCGGGACCATTGGAGATGAGCAAGGCCGAAAACTCACTGGCTGCAGGCGTAAGCAGCTGGCTCGGAAAGAAAAATTTCTTGTTGCCATTGCCACTAATAAAATTTAAATAAAATACGGTAAATACCCCACGACATGATAAGTCCAGATTCAGAATGGTCCGGAACAAATGGCTACTTTTCTTAATTTCTACGGTGTTTAAACTTCTGAGGACAGAAAAGAAAGATTCCGCCTTTTACCGAGCCTTCAATCTTGGTTCGGAGTTCGCTATACGCCAGTCATGCCAGTTCCTACTTCATCATTTCTCCAAGCATTATGATATCAAGGCAAAGTATATCCCAGTATCCATGCATCCTCCCTATACTGATTCCTTTTGGTTGAGGATGGACAACGCAATAGCCTTATCTCAGAATAGTTTGTCCACACGCTTTGACAGAAATTACATGCTGATGGCTTTAACGTCGCAGCACATCAATATTTAGAAGTTGGCTATCCCCAAACTTGACGCGAACCTTGAGTACATTGATACGGACTAAAACGCTCAAGGTATCTTTCCTCGATGGATGTTCAGCGAGATCTTCGCAGTCGTTTCAGTATGTTCTGCTCTAGTGATCTCACCGCTGACTATAGGCACAGACGGTTCTCCCTAGATTACCCCATGATTCACAGCAATTACATTTCTCAAAATTGTAGCTGATCATTTAAAATTTTAACTATTCGACTCTTTTCCGACGAGGATCTGTCTTACATGGAGGGTACCAATAGAAGCCCGGTCATGAATGGGAGATCGTCTTGTTCCAACCTTCCAAGCAATATGCACTTTTCTGGCTGCGCCGCTAAGGGGCCATTAATGCCGCTTCGGTCTGATCGATAGAATACTTCTCAGGTTACCATCATCCGGATATAATTGTACGGTAATAGTTGCACAAATGCAGCGCGTGCATTGCTGCGCACGAAGACCAGTGATGTACCGAGCGGGCACGCATTGAGATCCTCGGGCGATGAACCCGTGCCGTCGAGCAACGGCCAATGTCAATCTAATTATACTCCAGCGTCATATGACATTAGTATGATCATTGGACTCCAATGGAGAAGACTTGAGGGCTAGAACTACTCTCACCCTTTCTAAGTGGCTAACCATCCAATATCAATTCGTCCTGTTCATGGCACAGCAAAAGTCCGTGGATCATTGTGATGGTGTGCAGTGGCCATTACGATGTCCACTTCCATTAATGAGCAGTTTTCCGTTCAAGGTTTGTATTATATTATGTATGTTTACGGCATCAGTTGCCCAAAACATTGGTGCAAGTCGAAGCATACGGACAACTACGGAGCATCTAGAAACATCATTATCTGGATACTAACGAGAAATTGAAGAGCAGGCGTCGACCAATAGGTATCCTTTACTCATATTAACGGATGCAGCAAGTATCGAACACCCAAGACTGTGAAGACTCGATATGGAATGGACTGACACCGGGCGCATGTAACACGCAAGTTCATGTTCAATTCTCCATCCAAGTCGTCAACCACATGTGTGTTCTTGAGTAGTGATATACAATTACTGTAAACCTCACATTTAAGGAAATATGGTTCCAGATTTAAAACCCGAATTTTGAGGTTGAAAGTTGATCTGCGACTCCTCCATCTAGCGGCTGAAAGGTATGGCGAGACCTGGTGATTTTTTATACACGAAGTATGAATAACTTTACTGAAAGGTGTTCCATCGGCCACAGCTTATCAAATTATCAGACTTATGCAACAACATACATAGATTTAAGATATCTGATCACAAGAGACGCTATGTCACTCTGATGCAAGATAAGGATCAAACTAAGAATTTAGTCACAATAGGTGCAGGAAATGGGAGAGCTTATCAATCTAAATTATAGCAGCAGGCAACGCAAGTTTTTGAGAACAGCCAATAACCATATCTATCAGCTTGCAACGATAGACCAAGTGATAATAAACCGTTGGGCTCGAGATTTTCACGGATCATAATATTCGGATACCGGTAGTCTGATTTTGAAACGGGACTATACAACCGCCCGATATCTCAAAGAGGTATGCCGTGCAGAGTTCTATGAGTAATATATCCGGCCGAATTGTGGAGTGGACGAATCTGAGATTTTATGGCGCAAGCGTTTCCATCTCGCTTTTTGCTGAAAGCAGGGCATTCTTGTCTAAAAACGCCATACAGGTCTCGGCCCTCCGATTGTGAAGTGGGGGTTTGAGGAATTGGCCAATGGATGATTGATTATATGCAAGAGCAAGGTTGTTACTATTTTTCCACATTAATACGACATGAACGGATCTAAAGCGAGTATCTATCTACTGTCGTATTTATCTATTGTAGTATTTATCTATTGTAGTATTTATTGATTGTAATATCTATTTATTGTAGTATCTATTTATTGTAGTATCTATTTATTGTAGTATCTATCTATTGTAGTATCTCTCTATTGTAATATCTATCTATTATAATATCTATCTATTACAGTATCTATCTACTGTAGTTATCTACCTACGCCTTATCTTCTGCCTGGTCGATGTTGTCATCAAATACATAAGCATTGTATTGTTTATCTCCTCCAATGGGCAACATGCTTCGCACTCTCTATTATCTCACCGCTACGCAATTGGCTATACGATGTTGCAAAAGACGACACAACCTCTTTATGGAACTGAACGCACGTCGCTGTATCATATATGACGGTACCTGACTTTCACATGTTCCCGTTTACAAAAGTAGATGGAAATCCCACCCACCACCCCTCAGACCAGATGGCTAGCTCCATCATATCACATTAAACCCACGATGATCTTCGAAATTCCCCTACCCGTCACCCACACCTCACCTCACCTCACCTCACCTCACATATCACATCCATCACAATGATCACATTCAAAACACAACAAACAGATCACCACCTGCGCCGTGCAACAGAAAACTCCTTCGGTAACGAACGACACGGCATATGTAAGTGCTTACTCCGTACCTCTCTATGTAAGTAAGATTATATAAAATCCCCTCGACTCCATACAATCAATAAATCAATAAATCAATCAAATCAAACCAATCAATCAGAGATCAAATTACGCAATGCCAATTTCTTAACTTCTCATCATCCAAGAAAATGAAAAATATAGCTCAGGTACGCAACGCACGCTGCTGGAAATATTTAGTAAAATCTATACATACATACATAGGTACATAAATAAACTTAGACATGCATGCCCTGTATGTCTGTAAATATACTGCGTAGAGGAGAGGAGAGGAGAGGAGAGGAAGAGGAGGAGGAAGAGGTCTCATTACTAATTACATTCGTGCAAACGATCTCGTGATGTTTTCGGTTCTGTAATCGTAGTCGTATGTGATGAATGTACTTTACCTAGGTATGGATTATCCTATGCGAAAGAGTTTAACGAATGGCTTGTTTAATGTGGCTTTCGCATTCATACTGTATCGCGTTCCGTTCGATGGGTTGTTTGTAGTATCTCTAATCTACCTAGCTAGGTACTTGTAGATACTATTCAACGGGTTCGTGCTTGAGGGTACTTTACTGTATATACTAGGTAGCTAGCTGATCACTGATCACTGATCACTGATCACTGATCGCCAATCCATGGTTTACCCCGCTATCTACACTGGTACTAGCTAGGTAGCTGTCCAATATATACTCCGTACAAATACAAATTAAAGACTTACATATACAGGTCTTCCAATAGCAATCAACACAGTACGTACGGTATACACGGTACATAACCCGGTTCATATGTACCTAGCAACAACACATATCCGCAACTAGCCAGCCAGACACGATACCGAACCGAAGCTACCTACACACCAATAATTATTAGGTTAACGGTCGAGTCTAGGTCTACTCTACAGAGCCAGCCTAGCCCAGCCCCTGAAAATCCAAGCTATTTCTATCACCTCTAGGGTTAAGATAATCTCCCATCCTGGGCTTGGGTATAGAGTGGTATTTCTTACACTCCTTTTTATATCTTCCTCTCTTTCTGTGCTGAATGGATGAAAAATGGATGCTCAATGGATGAATCGATGCTGAATGGATACAGAATGGATGCATAATAACCCTACTCTCAATGTCGGAGAAGTTTTCATTCCTAAATCGTCCCGGTGCGCAGCGGGGATCCTCGGGATGATACGCCAGGTGAGATGCTCTAATCGTGGCGTGTTGTAGTGTGTGAAGGTAGGTTAATATATGTTTGTTCTTGTACGTGCCACCAAGTGATGCAGCCACTTTTTCAGGGGAGTAGTGGGTGGATGGCACGATGGGAGTGGGGAGATGGGGATGGGGTGAGATGGTGGCATAGTGAGGTGGTGATTGGGGTTATGAATTTGGAATTGGAATTGCATTTGGGATGGGCGGTGGTTTGAGTTCGTATTTTGGAGGAGGAACTCATGTGATGATTGTGGTTGGCTATTATTCTTGTTGGTGTTGGTTAGCTACCTACATGCATATGAATTATCTGGAGATCTTCATATCGCACCACAACACCGAGTATCAAAATCACGATACTCTCTCGTCTTCCCCTCCCCAAAAACACGAATCCAACGCTCACGAGTCCATAAGTCTACCTCGATGTCTCAAGCTGTATTCACAATTCACCAACACCAAATTATTTTCCACCCATCTCCCCAATGCTACTCTAGCATCCATCGCCCGTGAATAATCTTACAGCGTACATGGCAGTGCCCTGCGCCGAAGTATTACTTCTAATGGTCCTGCTACTGTACTGTTACTGTTACCGTAGTACTTAGGTACTGTACATCATTTCCTTTCCCTCCTCTTTGCATACTACATCAATCTTCGTCAATCTTCACCCTTTCTCATCCTCTCATCAAATCACCATATCTCAGAACCAATAAACTCCATCCAATCCATTACATACCTACCCAGATAGTAGACAAACAAAAGTAAAGACGTACTTGAAACGTGCAAGTAGCACAATACTGTCCTTAACTTACCTATGGGTACATAACCTCACTTCCCCGATTGCGAGAGTCTGCAGCGCAGTACGGAGATTCCGAATGTATGTATTTCTTTATTTGGGGGGGTGCAAGGCGTGGCGTGCATGCATGTACGCATGGATATATGCATGGATGGGTAGATGATAGGGAATTCTGGAGAATTGGATATTTTGCGGAGATGCCTCCGTTGGGTTGTATTGGTTCGTATTGGATTGTTTTATGCTGGATTGTATTGTATGTAAATACCTAGTACCTAGTATACATGAACGCTGGAAGTAGAACTGCGGAAGTGGAACTAGATCGATCTAGAGGAGATTTTTAGATTGTTGAATTGCAGTTACATCGATATATGTAACCTTACTTCATTCAATATCGAAGATATATTCAATCCCGTTTTATCACACCCTAAGCTAACCTATATCATCAGATACGATTCTACAACCAGAAGAAAAGAAAACATACTCATGAATACCTACAGAACATACAATTAAAGAATACCCAAACAAAGTACCTCACACTAATATCACAATTACAATTACATGTGCAGGCATTTACCCCATCATCCACTGTAGATCTAGAGTCTAGAATCCAGTATTCCTACCTACTACCACCTACCTAGGTACTTTATAAATACCTACCTAGATAAGTATGCCCGCTGCAATGCCGGTATATCTTCATACATATATACGATACCCATACCGTACCTTGCTAGGTACATACAGTGCATATTTCCCCATACATACAACAATACCACCCATCCAAGGATCCCACGCCAACACCAACACCAATAGCGATAAAAAAACGGTAGCTAGTAAATCGATGCTGGACCCCCACGCCCCAAAATCCGACCTCCTTGTTGAAATTTATACACGGGGTTACTGATTCCTCGATTTTCATTTGTACGGGATTGGAGTCCCGGTTTTAGAGTTATGCGGTGCGATGTCACACGCGACCTCGGGAAGTATATGTAAGATTACAGGGGTCTTAACTTTGTTGATCGTAGCATGGTATACTGTTTTTGTGTATGGTATGCTATCAGATATTATCCTAGGTTGATAGATGAACACTGCTTGTATTATCCAAATATATGTGACCAAACAGGCGTCTGATGATCTTTTTGGATTTCCTTGCGTATCACGTCTCATCACTATCAATTACCCCTAGCTTCAGCTCCAGCTCCAATCCTTAACCCCTCCTTTGCCCAAAAGCCACCTCAGCCGGTATCCTAAAGCTAACACAAAACATCCTCTTCTTTGGCGCCACATCCCTTACATCCCAAACCTTTGTTTCATGCTCATCTCCCTGTACAATCTTCACTCCCAATTTCTCACTCACCCTCTCACAGATTTCGATGTTGGCCGCTTCATTATCTTCGTTCTTTGGTGCAAAACAATGCACATGTACCATTGGTAACTTTACCTCGGTATGCGGGGTAAAGAGATCTTGAGAGGTGTGGTAGAGACCATGGAAAGCGGGAAGGAAATCTATGGCGGTAGCAGGGAGATTCATTACAAAGTGTGAAATGGTGTTGGGGATGGTGATGGTCTTTGGAGGTGGAGATGGTTGAGTCGGAGTGGGAGCGCTGCGTGATGGTCGTTTAGGGGCGATGGTTACGATATTTTGATTTGTGGAGGCGAGATGAAGGAGATCGTCGGCGGCTTTGGGAATGAATTTATGACCATCTTCATTGAATGTGCGAACGAAATTTTCGACCTGCGATAGGGTTAGTCACGGTTCTGTTAATTGATGGGATGCAAGTATAAAGTATAGAATCAGGTTAAAGCGCCTTGTCAAAGGCATCCTCATCAATTTGTACCAACTTGTGGTTTATGTTGACCGTCGTGATAATTACATCATCATGTGAAAAGTGGGTGAATTTTGAGAAAGCGAAAGACGTACCTTATTCCTAACCACTGCATCTTTCATAGCCTTATAGCTATCTGGATTTAAATCATTTGCCCATACGAAAACCCCTTTCTTCCCCGCCGGTAAAGCAAATGGACCCACCCCCGCCATAACATCACAAACCACATCACCAGGTTCAAACAGATCCACTAATCGCTTATGTTCTGTTTGTAATCTACTATTCCAGTAGACCTTTGAATAATCAAATCGGAAAGTACAATCTCCTTCCCGAATTTCAACATTCATCTCATCATCGCCGGCCAGCACTTCATAAGAGAAAGTCCGGTACTCAGAGACGGTGCCGACGTCATCAATTTTGTTGATGACAGTGCGTATGGTGGGGTTTTTATCCATGAGAACGGAAGCAACAAGATTTTTGTAAGGAAGGTACTCGTCATGTAGGTTGAGGTGGGCTGGAATTGTTAGAGAGGTTGAAATGGTTGGAAAGAGGAGTAATACCAACATGCCCAACAATGGCAAAGCCGACTGGAATTTCTCCTTGAGCATCCTCAGGAAGAATAGATTTCATGATATCGACTACAGCAATTAGCCCTGAAAACGTGGTAAAGATTCAAGGAGTCATGTACTATAGTTCCAATGATCATAATTCAAAGTCAAATCAAACGGGATAACTCCCAATTCCTGTGCCTTCACGGCCTCCTGTAAAATCGGACTCCAAGTGGTGGGATCTGCCAAATAAATAAGCATGCGATCTTTCTTTTTAAAACCCCCAAGGCCGTTTACCATCATGCTTTACTCTAGGATTCAAAAGCAAACACTTTCCGCCTTTCGCCGCAAATTCTGGATCTGGATCTGATCTTATAGGTGCAATTCTATCTTCTACCAGTATTTCCTTGCTCTTTGTCAATTGCGATCGACATTTCGATATAATCTTATTATTCAATAGTCTTGCTGCAGAAATCGGTATAGTTTTAGAAAATAGAGCACGATCGAGTACTCCGGCTGCGGAGCGCACGACGGGTGGGCGAAATAACGACATCTGGTCGTTAGATCTTACCGTAGATTTCTATATAGAGTGTCAGTAAGATTATGTTGTGATATGGAAAACGAGCATACCTCCATAACTTCATATCGTTTGGTATTTTCTTGTGGAGGTTGAAATTTAGTTTTGTGTAGACTTGTAAATTTCGCAAGGCTGAAGCTAGAGATTTACCCTAATGGCAAGGCTACGCGAGGCTTTAGTCCAACCAGGTGGTGATGTCATGAAAGGCTACATTTATCGATATCCCTTGCGCATCGGCCATTGCACCATCCTATGACAGAAGTTTCAATTGAAAATGTCGGCAGCAAAAAGAACCATAGATTCCTTCTTTAAACCGCCCGCGAAGAGACCCCGAGTATCAGAATCGGCAACTCTAGAAGAGAAGCCAAAAGAAGAGAAATCTCACACTGTGAGTATTATATAATTCAACACCTTCATCTTCTCCACTAACCAATGAAGGAACGCGAATTCACGCATCACTCGACATACCCATTCCCAATACCATATTTTCCGTCATCTATATCCTCGGAGCTGGCATCTTTTCCATCCACGATTGCCAAAGAAATAAACGATCAAGCTGATCTTGACCTTCTTTACTTTCAGCCTTATATTCCTAAATATCTGGAACGTCAAGTGTTTCAATTTCTTCGTTCGGAGTTGCCTTTCTATCGTGTGGAGTATGATATCAATCGAGGGGGAATATCAACTCATATCAAAACCCCAAGGTAGCCAATCCGTGCTTTGAATGGAAGCCAATCACTAACACTTGAGAAGATGGACTACGGTGTTTGGTCTCGACGAGACATCGAGATTTAGTGATATTGGAGAAGTCATCGATACCACTAGCAGCAAGAAAGTCGAGAAAGAGCGGTATTATACCAAATATCCACCTAGGCCAATTCCCAAATGTTTAGAAGATTTACGACTTTCAACTGAAGCGGCAACGGGTTGCAAATTCAACTTCTGTCTCGTCAACTATTATGCATCCGGGTCTGATTCGATCTCATATCATAGTGACGACGAAAAGTTTCTAGGCCCACTACCGGCTATTGCAAGTTTCTCGCTTGGAGCAAAGAGAGATTTTGTCATGAAACATAAACTTGTACCGCCGAATGAAAATGCTCCTCCTCCGCCAGAAACCAAACCTATTAAGCTGCCACTTGCAAGCGGGGACATGATACTGATGCGAGGTAGAACACAGGCAAATTGGCTTCATTCCATCCCCAAAAGAACAGGGAAGAATGCAGACGACGGAGGGAGAATCAATATTACCTTTAGACGTGCTATAGTAAAAGGTGGGACGGAGAACTATTATAATTATAATGTCGGCACTGGACCTGTGTATAAATGGAATAACATCCTGAGGGAAATGAGAATATGGAAAGAATCATAATTGGATTGCTCTTCACCCACCATTCGAATTTGTACACGCTCTTATTATTATGGCAACTAATCTATCTTCCGAACCTCATCTGCGCGTTGCCGTAGTTGTATAACGCTTGCAAGAAAACCTGATATCCAACTCCGTGATTATCTTGCACGTGAAAAATTTCTGTGAGGCGTAATTGCCATGGTGGGTATCCGGATAGTTCAACAGTTGGACCAAATAATATCAAAAGATTCGGCTCCCCCATGATGCTCTCTGTGATTTCAGCATCAATGAGCTCTTGGCTGACATCATTGGGCTCAATTTTCCCTCGCTGGGACATCTCTGTTAGTGTTTTGGTTAGGTCAACGAGTGAATCTCGGCCATCCTCGGCCGAAAGAAGCAGGACAGAAATATGCTGTAGAGATCCAGGAAGTGTATCAGTGGTCGAAGTAGTTGATGAGGATTCCATGGACGGGACATGGGGAGCTCTCATAGATAATGCCGGATGATCCGGTCCAAAATATGAGGCTAGCTTTCTCACTACGGCCCGATGCGTCGCCGGTATATACCCCTTGAGTATTCCTATATTCCATTATTAGAACGGCTCCTTCACATCTATGTTACCATTGTGTAATCACATACCAGTCTTTTCATACACCGACAACATGGGAATTCCTACACATGCACACCATGCCGTAATCTCAGCTACCTCATCAACCAAAGCCTCCAGCCCCGCTCCTCCTCTTGCCCCATCCTCCAGATTCAATATCACACTAACGTGTTCGGGTAACCTCTCTAGCCCCTTCACATCTTTCTGTATCAATCCTGGCGTCCGATGATGATAAAATAAAATCGCAAATATGCGGTCCTTTACCGCATGATATGCTTGTCTCAATCTAATGTACAATGAAAATATTGCATGTACAACAGCATAAACTAAGGCGTGCAATTGAAGGCGAAAGAAGTTGCGAATGCCAAGGTGAGAGCGAGATTTTGGAGCTGATGATTTGGACTTCGACTTCGACTTCGACCTGGATTGGCTTTTGATTGATGACGATCGCGATGGTAGATCGGAAGGGAGTAATGGCTACACGTTGGTACAGCATCAATAAGTGGACGAATGAATTAGATGTGTAGCTAGCTGCAGGTACACAATGACAGGGTGAAATTAGAACTTACTTCGATAAGCTTCCGTCGTTCCTCTGCTGTTAATAAGGTATGACCGCCTTTTGCATCTTCACGGTACGCTTCAAGAGCTTTAGCTTTGCTAGTCATGTTGATCGCGACACAAGGAGTATAATGGATCCAAGGTAGTGTATAGAAAGTTGAGGAAAAGAAGTGTCCTAAATTATTTCCATGACCTTGGAAAGGCTGGAATTCAATACGAGGCCACGAAATTTGAAGGTCCACAAGTTCTCAACGTCCAAGTGAGGCTGAGCTTTCCGTGCCTCCGACAGCCCCCTGCTTGTCGACCGCTAATACATTATTATTCCCACAAGTCAAGACACACTTCACATACGAGCTTCATGAACTTCAAGTATGGCCTCTCTTAATAGTGGTTCAGTGAGATCATTATATCCAAAAGGGCCAAGCTTTACACTAGAAAACTTTTCAAGTAAGGACTTCATTGTGAGAGATTTTGTGGAAGAGCTGTCCGAAAGTGCAATTCCGATAAACAGGCGTTCTGGTCCAGCTCAGCCTGCATTCGACGCCAAACCATTCATAAGGACATTTGAAAGTATTTCCCCCAGTGACCCGATTGTTTGTATTCCAAAATACTGATGAAAATTTCAGGCGCCGTACAACAACTTGCGACACTTTCAGATGAGCTAGAGGAAAAGGAAACAGACCTCCTCACATCTGTTCGGCGGGCCGAGATACAGCATGATCAAACATTAGATACTTTAGGGCGGAAGCTGGATGAGTCTATTGATTCTTTTGAGTCACTCGATATAACACTAAATAATCCTAATGGCACTAATGGCACAACTATGGATCGGTATGGGCGGCCAGAGGCTGGGGGTAATATTGCGGTGCAAATCGGAGAAAGGCTGGAGGACTTGGACAAGCAGAGACGACGTGCGATGGATGCCAACTTCTTGATTCAATGCTGGGTAGAAGTCAGCGAGAACGGATCCCTCATATCTTTGGAGGATATGACTAGGCGGCAAGGCGGAGGAGAGAACAAGGTTAGATCTGCTGTTATCGCCAGGCAGCTCATGCGCATGAGCCAGAGATTAGATCCAGCATCTTGGGCCAATGGTTCGAAAAAATTAAACGGGGTTACAAATGGTGCCGTTGGGAACAAAGGCCATAATACTAGGGAAATCATAGAGAAGTTCTCAGAGACCTTAGAAAAGGATCTGTTAAAACAGTTTGACAACAGTTATCGACGACAGAACTTTGATGATATGCTCGAGTGTGCAAAGGTTCTACATGACTTCAACGGTGGATCCAGTGTCATTGGTACATTTGTCAATCAGCATCAATTTTTCATCGATCGAAGTCAGCTCATTGCGGAGGAGGTCACAACCGATAATGAGACGTGGGAAATCTTGGCTGATCCTGACTCTGAACCTCCGGGGGTTGAACCTAGCTTACAGTCTCTGATTGATGAAATCAGAGCTGTCATGCAAGAGGAATCTTTCATTATCAAACGGGCGTTTCCATTTTATGAAGTTGTCCTCATCAAATTTATCCAGCGCATATTTCAGCAATCTATTCAGCAGCGTCTAGAGATGGTGCTTGAAAAGGCAGATACTATTTCTTCCCTAGCCTTTCTTCGATCGTTACATGCCTCCAGGACTTATATTAATAGCTTAATCGAAGACCTCAAAGCACATGGTCTTACAGAGCATCCCGAACCTTGCACGGCGCAAACTGCACAAAGTCTAGATCAGCAGTTAGACGAACTATTCGTCCCATATCTGGTTGGAAACTCGTACATCGATCGGGAGAGGAAAAGTCTAGAAGAGCTTTTCTCTTCATTACTCTTTAAATTCACCATTTACCACTCACGCCGAAAGAAGGTTCCAACAGGTTTCATGGCTTCTTTGGCCCAGCAGGGTAGTCAACTTCTGTCATCGGCGAAGGATGCGTACATCGATCGCCTTGATTCATCTGAGCTCACCCCGACTCAGAAGGCTATGATGTTACGTGTTGCTGGTCTCAGGGATCTTGATAACAATAAGAATGAAATTGAAGTCACAGACGAGGATGGTGTGATCAGTGTCGCAAATGCCAAACGTATGCTTAAATGGCTCGCAGAAAGTGTGCGGCGAGCGTTGGAGATGGGAAGTGGAAGCGACACACCTAAAGATGTGTCGGCACTTCTGAATCTTCTACTTAGCAGCATGGGCGAGGTATACATCGAAACAGCTCTAGAGGCTGCTGCCGATCAAGCCGCCGCTCAAGAGAACATCAAAACTGAGCCTGATTTGGCCTACCTTCCTTGGGTGCAACCCGCGGTCATTATTACAAACATTATGTCGCGCTTCATTAATACGGTACTCATACGCCTTGCAGAAACAAATACCACTGTTCGACGTGGAATGGAGTCACAAACTAAAGCAAGTGTGGAGAAAATTGAAAAGAAGGCTAACGACGTCATGCGCAGCACCATCACAGTGGTATTGAATTGGATTACGAGGTTGTTGGCAAGCCAGAAGAAAACAGATTTTCGACCAAAGGATAGTGATCTCGGCTCAATCGAAACGTTACAAACTACGACATGTCTTGCCATTTGCAACTTTCTTCAGCGCGTGGCTAAAAACGCCGCGCAAGCTGTTGATGGACAGAACCTCGAGGTGTTTAGCTGTGAGCTGGCGATCAGTATCCGAGACATGCTGTTCGAACACTTCAAAAAGTTTCAAGTGAATGCTACTGGCGGTTTGATGGTTACAAAAGATATTTCAAGCTATGTGTCCGCGCTGAAAGATTGGCCTTTGACGAAAGATATCATTATTGAAGTTGAGATCCTCGGCGACATTGGCAATTTGTTCATTATCGGGGCAGAGGCTCTTAAAGAAAAATCGAGAGCTGTACTTGCTAGTGGTGCCAGCAAGAAGTTGCAAAAGGCAGACTTCAAAGCTTTTGTATTGAAGAGAGACGATTCGGGTAGCGTGGGAGTTCAAAGTGTGCTTGCGGGATTATGATACCAAAACCCGAAATGGATGTCAATTGGAAAAAAGAGGCGTTCGGGCGTACGCAGGGAAACGAGCATGACTAAAAGTCATTTGTATGGGGTGGCCTTTATCCGTCCTTGTGATTGTTTTGTTAAAATGTGTAATATTACAAGAGAAACGTGTTTGCCAAATATAATCTAATGAAACAGAGTTGGGAAGTTCTTCGTGATCCTTCTATGAATCCTTCTACTTGATCGTTTTTAATCCGCAGTCCACTCTTTGTAACGCCATTACCATGCCCAAACTCCATTTCAATTCATTCCTATATCGTACACGACATCTCCGTCACTGGCTCATGGTAAATTGAACCCAAACCCAGCCATACAGGTCTTATATTTTTCAACCATACTTGCACAGGCTACTTGTGGATCCTTGGCCGTGCTAAATAGCATACATTCGTCTCGAGCGGCTTTCTCGTCTTTACAGACACAGCACGGCTTTCCCCAAGATCGGCTTAGCTGACGTTCCAATCTGCCAACTATGTAAAAGAAAGGGCATGTACCTTTGGTTTTGGAGAAGTTTCTCCAGCGGGTTTAAGATCCACGCCCATATTTGCACTGGTGGCCGGTGTGGCTAGTTTCAAAATCAATCATTTGCTCACTCCAAATTCGGGGCAGGAGACTTGGAGGCAGGGGAAAGGACATACACATGTTGATTGCAGATGCTGACATGTTCATATGTCGAATATCGTCTTTTAGAAGGCTTTGTAAATAGTACATGTACAATCAGTTATATTTTTGCCTCTCAATTTGTTCTCTTCGTCGAATGCTTGTATTTTGACTTGTATTTGTAAGAAAGCTCCAGAAATTCCGCCCTCACATTCACATCACGACATAATTTCGGACCGAGCGGCCGTCGATATCGGCGAAAAGTCTGTCCGGTTCCGTCAACCACTAAATCAGCATTAGCCTTTCTTGACCCTGAAGAGCTGCAGCTGCAACCCCCACCACTAAAATATTGCCGCATCCATCAATTTCCAGAATCTGCAAACTAGATTTCTTACCTGCAAAAATTTGTCTTTTTTTCGTGTTGGTTCGAAACTTGCTATATTTGCGCAAAGTCAAGGCTCGAGATGGCTACCACAACGAAAATATTCTCTTTGGAGGGAAAAGGGTTGAAGCTGGATTCCGCCGCGGATGTCGAGCCGCATATCAAATTGCTGAGGGAGATGAAAGATGTGGAGGAAGTGAGATTTTTGGGAAATACCTTGGGCGTTGAGACTTGTAAAGTGATTGGAGAGGTTTTGGCTGAGAAGACAAGTTTGAAGGTATGTCTTGGTCCTTCCCCGTCAACCTATATCTAAATTTCTTCCAAGGGGTATTATAGATGCCTGTACGGATAGTCACTTATAGTTTGCTAACCTGTGAATCAAGGTTGCAAATTTGGCGGATATATTCACCGGTCGATTGCTTAACGAAATCCCACAAGCTCTTTCCTCCCTCCTTACCGCCTTACTCAAGCTCCCAAATTTGCATACAGTCAATCTGAATGATAATGCATTTGGACTCAATACTCAAGCCCCGCTCGTCGCATTCCTTTCTTCGCATACCCCACTTCAACACCTCATCCTCAATAACAATGGACTGGGACCTCATGCTGGTATCTTGATCGCAGACGCACTCAGCGCATTACACGCAAAGAAAATCGAAGCCCGTGCTGCAGGAAAACAAGTACCAGATTTAGAAACTGTCATTTGTGGGCGCAATAGATTGGAGAATGGAAGTATGACAGCTTGGGCGAAGGCATACAGCTTGCATACTGGTGTAAAGAAGGTCAAGATGGTGCAGAATGGTATTCGACAGGAGGGTATCAGTCACTTGTTGAGTGAAGGCTTGAAGTATGCAAGGGACATTGAAATTCTCGATTTACAGGACAATACCTTTACAATTACTGGTTCTAAGGCGTTGGCCAAAGTTGTGGGAGGATGGACAAATATCCAGGAGTTGGGTGTTGGAGATTCGTTGTTGGGTGGGAAGGGAAGTGTTATTTTCGCAGAGGCGTTAAAGAAGGGCAAGAACGACAAGCTGGAAACTTTGAGGTTACAATTTAATGATATCGGAGTGAAGGGTCTAAAAAGCTTTACGGTTGCTGCCAGGGAGGCTCTACCAAATTTAAAGAAGATTGAATTAAATGGAAACAAATTCGACGAGGATCACGATTGCATTGTGGAGTTGAAGGAGTTGTTGGAGGAGAGAAAGGAGAAGTTCGCGGGTGATATAGTTCTCGAGGATGAATGGGGTCTCGATGAATTGGAAGATTTAGAAGGAGAAAGTGATGAAGAAAGCGAGGAAGAAGAGGAAGAAGAAGAACCTGAGAAGCAAAGAGAGAAATTGATTAACGATGCAGAGGAGGCTCAAGAAGGAGAACCTGTTGCACAAAGAGAAGACAAGGATGTCGACGATCTTGCAAACGTTCTCGGCAAAAATCTCCAAGTTTGAAAATGGCATTACGATTACGAATGATGGATTTTGAATGATATTGGCGAAAATGCATTTTCAGGGGTTGGTATGGCGAAGGAATAGTTCGATTCGGAGGGATGGAAAATTGTGAGGAAAGAAGAGAAGAGCATTTGGGAGGAACTCTTTGTGCATATCCATTCATGCAGCTGAAGTTTAACTTTCGGTTTCTCGGTTTCACGCACATATGCATAGCATGGTTTGTTTGCTCTTTCCAAACGGGAGCCAGCGCCGAACGCATTCCCGTAAATAGATATTTTAGACAGACGAAGAATCCCATTTCTTTGCTACCAAAATGGGCCAATATCATTTCTTATTGATGAATTGTCCTTCGGCATCTGGCATAAGAAGCATCTTTACAGATTTCGACCCTCCGAGATTTGCCCAATAAGATACTTACCAAACCGCAAAAGGCATGTTTATCATACCTTGTAGAAACCGGTAACCAGTCAAGTGGGAATATATTATTCTCACCCAATTTTGACTTTGTTAATTCAGTCATCACTCTTACACCTCATCTCTCTTTTTCATCTTTCTCTCTTGTTTTTTCAGTTATAAAAACTTTTTATTATCGACTTTAAAATCTTTTATAGTTATTTTATAATGAAACAATAATGAAAATAAAAAAATAAAACTGAAAAACAAAAAAAATGTAAAAAATTCAAATTCAAATTCAAAAATAATCGGTTTGTTTATTTAAATTTTATCAAAATATAAATTATTTTAAATCTTTAAAAGTTTTAAATAAAATAAAGAATTAAAAGATTTAGACTTTTGATATTATTATCTAAAAATGATTCTAACAATATAGATTGAAATTTGTCATATATAATAAAACTTAAAATATACTATTTTTAGCATTGTATAGGCTACAAGATTAGTAATTCACTGATTTCATGCTTGCATAGGGGTTTTTCAGGACAGCCATCACTCTCACCTCATCTCATTCAGATACTTTGATTATATATACATCAAACCACATGGAGACATTCATATGCATGAGTTAGTCGCTCATTCAATGGCGCAGAAAATCCTTTATCTATATATCTACGAGTAAGGTTTTGATGATTCTATGATGAATAATAGATAATGCCAATGAGATTCTAAGCTCAGGAGGTACCTCGGCTTTTGCTCGCGATCTGACTTTTTTTCTCTTTGTTAATATATGTATGACTCTTCATCCTGAATTTGAATATCTATAATTCTTTTTGGCTATTCTCTTTAAAAAGCGATTTATTTTATCCCTTTCAATGAATCCTTCTGGTGCTGGAACGTGTGCTCAGATTGCTAGGCAGGATGGCAATGGTAAAAATGGTACCCGGAAGAAGAATGATAATGGTGGAAATATTCATGATCAGCTAGCTTTAGAGGCATCGACGGCAGCCAAGGCGATTGTCCCAGTGGATATAAAATTATCAAAAGACCAGAAGGGATGGAGGAGAATAGTTAGAAATTTCACTCCTTCGTATGTAACTTCTACTTCCTTCCACACCACCCCCCGGCGGATTTGGCGAGAGAAAAATACTCTCAAAGTTGAGATTGCTACCCTCTTTATCCCCCTCATACCTATATTCTAACATCCCAAACTCCGTAGCTGGTTCTCTGTAACGATGGGTACGGGAATCGTTTCCATCCTCCTACATAATCTCCCCTATAATGGCGCCTGGCTCAAATATATCTCCATCGTTATATTTGTGCTTAATATCTTCCTCTTTTGTACTTTCTTACTCGTGTCCCTGTTGCGATATATACTGTATCCGCAAATTTGGAAAGCTATGATACGGCATCCGGCGCAGTCGCTTTTCTTGGGTACGTTTCCAATGGGACTGGCGACGATTGTTAATATGATTGTTTTTGTTTGTGTGCCGGCTTGGGGGCCATGGGTTGTTGATTTGGTGAGTTTAACTTGGAAAATCTAGGGTGTTGGGCTGTGTAAAAGTAAATAGAGACTAACTGTGTGTGATGAAGGCTTGGACTTTGTGGTGGGTAGATGCAGTTATTTCTGTAGCGACTTGTTTCTATCTCCCTTTCGTAATGTACTTTCCCCCTTCCTCGAATTATACAAACCATGCCGCTAATCTTCATCCCAGTATGTCCCTTCACACAGTTGAACTGTCCACCATGACTGCTGCGTGGCTTCTCCCAATTGTCGCTCCCATTGTCGCATCTGCTTCGGGGGGTATTGTCGCTTCCGTTCGTAAGTAACATTGCTTTCCTGATCTTAAGATCCAAATACACCTAGGATTTTCATCATTTGCATTCTCTCTACTTTTCAAAGCAACTTACAACTCCATCCACCCCTTTAAACCCCTCTTACTAGCAAACAAACAACTAACATCCAATTTCAGTCCCCAACCCACAACACGCCCTCTGGACTCTCATCATATCCTACATCCTCTTCGGCACCGGATTCCCGCTGGCAATGACCATCCTAGTAATCTACTTCCAACGTCTAACCGTCTACAAACTTCCCCACGAGTAATCGTCTCTGTCTTCCTGCCCCTAGGTCCCCTAGGCCAAGGCGGTTTCGCACTCATGCAACTAGGAAAAGTATCACTAACCCTCTTCCCTCTCACCCACACTCTCCCCTTTGTCCCCTCTCCCGGCCCCATCCTCTACACCCTCGGCTTCCTCTTCGCGCTCATAATGTGGGGTTTCGGTCTCCTCTGGTTATTCTTCGCCCTCGCATCTATATCCCGCTCTCGCTTCCCCTTTAACATGGGCTGGTGGGGCTTCACATTCCCCCTTGGTGTTTTTACCGTTTCTACAACTATGATTGGCGAGGAAATCCCATCGAGATTTTTTAGAATCCTAGGAACTGTGTTCAGTGTTTGTGTGACGGGATTGTGGGTCATGGTTGTGGTAGGGACGGTCAAGAAGGCTATTTGGGGTGGTCTTATTTTTGCGCCTTGTTTGAAGGATGTAGAGGGGGCGGAGAGGGAAGCTAGGGAACATTTTGAGGGGGGGAGGGGGAAGAAGAATTTGTTGGATAAGGATAAGGATGAGTATTTACGGAGGGGAGATAATTCAAATACGGTTTGAGGGTTAGTGTAGCTGTTGTCTTGGAGGTTGATGTTAAGTTTCCTCCCAGTTGTACTATTATAAGTGTATTTCTGTAATATAATATAATATAATCTTATTATAAATAACATATTAATTACACAAGAATAATTCTAAATCATATCATTCCATCACACCGCGAGGGACCAAAATAAAGTACAAGTAAAACAAACAAATACAAATACAAATACAAATACAAATACAAAATCCATAACTTTCAACAGTCTTGACTTGAACACTCAAAGTTATATCCGTATAGAATATCGAATATATAAATATATACATCGAGCATTATATCATTATTATATATATATAATATCACCAAATTCAACACCGGATCGATTAGAATAATATATCTAATATTTTCTACATTTATTATATAAAAAAAACCAAATATACATTTAAAATTTAAGAATTTAAGAATTTAAGAATTTAGGATTTAAATTACAATTAAAATAAGTATAAAATTCCAGGAAATAAAAATAAACATGTTTTTTTCTTTCGCTTTTCTTGCTTTTTCTTTCTTAGATTGATATAGATTGTATATATATATATAGATCTATATTTGTATTCACCTCCTAACCTCCTAAGCCCCTACCATTTAATAACTTCATTTCGTCCCAACATATCTATCTACATTAGTCAAAAAGAGGGACATCTACCATCCACCATCTACCATCCCTCATTCCCCAACCCTCAGTTCCCCATTTCATATTCATCATTCAAGACTCAAACATTGCAATCTAAATACAAGAAATCCTAAAGAGTCCACAGATATATTTTTACAATCGAGTTAAAAAATTTGGAAGACACAATGGAGACTTATAGTATGAATCTGTGTGATACATATAATGAGTACAATAAATGAATATATATATATATATATATAATTGAAACTGGAGATTTACAAGTAATCCTAACGATATCTTCTCAGAAATCCACAGGTGAAATTCCATGTTAATTCATAGTCAGCCTCTCTATCTCCAATCCCATTCTATCGTATCCTTCAATAATCTATATATCCATCTATTTCTGGAATGTCCCGCATACTCCATCGCTGAAACAAGCGAATCTTCATACATTTCCCATTTATGTATTCATGCAGATGGATCTGATAAAATCATCGAATGACTCGTGATACCCGTTGAGCTCGTGGTTTCTTTCTAGGACGCCGCTAGATAGCGCAACTTTATTCCTTTCAAGGTTGATGGAATGGGTTGAGGTGAGAGTTGTGGCTTCACTGCCTCTGAAAGTTGCGGACTTGCCTTGGAAGTGTCAGAGTTGATATTGAGAGGATAGAATGACCAGAGTGAGGAGTGGGTGACAGAAAATGAAGCATGAAGAGAGAAGTTAAAAGTCAGGGGAAGAGTGAAGAAAAGCGGAAAGTCATGACAAGTGTATTGAACTGAGCAGAAGTGAAGGATATGACGAAAATAAAGTGACTATTCGCCTCAATCGACTAAACAAAATGAAGAATCACACATCCTTGATTACCAATGATTATCTGATTATTGCGAAGCCTTTCGGAGTCAAATCGACCATGCAACCATCAACAATCGCTAAGAAATTTACTCTTCTACTGTACTTGTGGAACTGATAAACAACGTCCTTAACTAAAGTCCGAGCCGAGTTCCATAACCGGAGATGATGAAATCTATTCTGCATCCAATGACAAAAGAACCGCCACAATCAGCATGAAATCCAAGAAATTCAACAAATGTATTCGTGTATATCTTGGACCGAATGTGAAGAAGTCTGGAACAAAGCTCGAAAATGATGAAAGTCCTTGGTATACGTTACTTGGGTTACTCTCGGACACGTACGGAGTGAATATGGTTGTTCAAATATCATTTGACGATTAGATACGGTTTCGCTTCAAGACTTGTCTAACATTGATAGGACCACTCTGTGATCTAGATTTTATTGCCCGAGTTGAAGAAATCATAAACACGTGTAATTTAACTTATTCCCCAATCGGAACAATTTTGACAACTTTGTCAGCGCACAGTTGTACAAAGTGATCTCCATATGTCTTAGAAGTAGTATTTTGAAGCTAATCTTAAAGTCAACCTCGATCAACAAAGGGGGGCCTTTTGAAATGATGCAGGCGGGTTACTAGTCTCGGCCATGAAGGAATCAGGTTAAATCGGCAAAAGGTACCAAGAAACAAATTCTTTGAATATTCACGTGCTAGCGAGTAAACGAGGTGAAGGGAATGAATGGTCTGGGCGCTCCTCCACAATCTTAAGAGAACCCCTACGGAGTAGGTAGTGTCATCAACTCTCCTTCTTTATCAAACTTTCGGACGGTATGGAAAGCACAGATGGTTAGGTGTTTAAGCGCCAGGTACTCGGAAAAAACCCAATAGCCTTCCGTATGAATCATGAGACCAAACCACAGCGCGTAATACCATATCAGAATTTTACTTTAGTCGCTGAATGAGACGAAAGAAGTGTGATATTGGATGTTGATTGGCTGCAGGCGGAACTGAAGCCACTAAAATTGGATCAACGCTAGCCGTCCCATGAGACTAGTTGATATTGAAAGTATGAAATTGATAGTGCGATTTTCAAAGAGTACATGATTCTGCGAACGAGTGGTGGTGGACTACTTGCATCTGCTGGACGCTTGAACGCTGACACGACATTACGCAGTGATGAGGGGAGACTACCGGCAGAGGCGTGGAGACCACAGGGGAGGTATTGCATGGAAGCGCTAGAAGATTAATAAGGGAAATAAAATATGTACACTCCCGTGCCGTTACTTTGCTCGAGGAGTGGGATTGACATTATTCGGACATTTTCCGAGAATACCCCACCCGAAGAACAAAGAAACGTTGTATTATCCGTATCACCAAAAAATCAATAAAGACGAAAATGTAGTCTGTATGCACACACAGGTAAGGTAGATGGATGTAGAAAGAACGGGGAGGATCGGAGTGTCGTATAGCACTGTAGTATGGTAGCAGCGTAGAGCAGGGTAAGAACAAATTGGTGGATGATGTGTTTGTTATTGAACTTTCAATAAACGCAACATTGAAGACGTTTTGGTTAGACATGGTAAAGCGAAGTAAGGGGATGTGAAATTTTTGATGATGTTAGGCGTCATTCATTTCCCAACGGGTGGAATAATAATTGATGTAACATTAATTTAACATGGGAATATGAAATTCATTTCCTTTCGACCAAACTTTTCAATGCTTCTTCATCCGAACCCGGACTGATTGATTGTATACAACGGGTGAGAATAGGCTGAAGATTGAAGCATGCCAACCAATGGTTAATGTCACATACATATGCCATTGACAGCGGAGGAACTTACTGATGTGTTGAGGTGCGTGCTGATGTGCTAATGTGCTGATGTGATGATGATGAATGATGTGATGAAGGGATGGGGAAGTCGAGATGTTTATGCGGAAAAGTGGCCGGTTCTCCCGCTTGCTCGTGATAATATTTTAACGCTAAGCAAAGGCGAGGTGAGGTGAGGCAAAGCAGAGAGGGAAGAGGACGAAGGAAAGAGGGAAAGAGGGAAAGAGGGAAAGAGGGAAAGAGCGAAAGAGAAAATGGCATCTTAAACAAGGATCCGAACCAACGGAACGGTCACAATTTCCCAAATAAGAAGGAGTTTTAAATCTTTCGGCCCTATGGTGGCTTCATAAGTTCACAACTTCATACGCGTAGATGGGGAAGAAATCATAAGAAAAAAGAAAAAGATATCACCAAGAAAAAATGATTGGAAAGGATTCAAAAGACAATCAATCAAAAGACGGGATGCAAAGAAAAATGCTCAAAAAGGGAATATCGCAGCTTCATATCCACCAGTGATAAAATGGTATGAAGCTGAATTTTCTGATTGATTGATATTTTGGGTCTGGACTTTTTGTGATGCCCAGATGGCTTGGTGGTGAATTTCTTTTATGTGCAAGCAAGCAAGCAACTGGAGACGACTTTTTGCATTACCGTTATTGAAACTGTTGACATCAAGCATTATGGATTTACGAAGCATAACAAAACATTTAATAGTGAGACAGCACATCTCACCATGATACAATTTCCAATTTCTTTCCTACCACACTTCGTTTCTTGATACCCAACCCAACCTCTCCAACCTTTCCAACCTTTCCAACCCCTCCACCCTACCACGGGGATTTCACCCGTTTTTGATCTCAAGGCTCACGGCTATCCATGTTCCGAAGCACCGAACCTTTTACACCGACCGAGAGTCCTGTAGCACTGTAGAGTAGTTGCACTGTTGCAGAAAAGATTCCGTCTCTCAGACTCCCTCTTGCTTTTCGAGTGAGCGAGGTGGTGCTTCAAGCCTTCAACTTTCCCAAACAAGGCTTCGAACTTCGAGCACACACTTTCCCCCCTCGGGATACACCGACTTTTAATTGATCCTGATTCGTCATCATACGGTTCATCAAAACAAACAGGGACGCCGAGAGAGCTCCGTTGGATCGAATATTGAAGAAATGCCATCATTGGTAATGTTTCGTCCGAGTCAGAATTGAAGGTCGAATGAATGTATCGTGCCTGGCGCTGGCCTAATGTACCTGATGTACCTGATATTTGTTGAAGTCACTAGTCGACCCCATCCTTTGTTGATTTGTTGACGACGGAGTAGGGAACCAATTGAATGACAAGTAAACAGCTGACTCCAATGGAGGGATAAAGACTTTAGACTTTACAGATGCAACAGAGTCAGGGACTGAGGACTGGGGACTCAGCACTCAGGACTCAGGACTCAAGGCTTAAACCTCACAAGTTAGCTCAAGTAGGTTGGTAACCGTTGGTTACATACGTATCACGATAGCATTAACGACTTATCCTCCGAGGTTGATTTAGTTGGTTTCTTCCTCTCTTCGAGCTTCCCATCTTTTCCCATCTTTTCCCATCTTTTCCCATCTTTTCCCTCTTTTCCCTCTTTTCCCTCTTTCCCCTCTTTCCGGACTTCCATGATAATCTGACCCCCACTAAAAACCTTCATTATCAACAATCATAAGATTTCTCTCGTACCTAACCCTGACCTCACCTAACCTAACCGAACCTAACTCGAAACGAAATCCCAAGCGTCCTTCAGATGCAACAGTTGAAACTAGAAAAAAGCATTGATAAATCTATTCCATATTTGATCACCAGTCTCTTTTTTACCATGATGCTATCTCTTACCACGATACCCCTAGCCAATCAGAAATCATATGACCTAGGGTTTAGAGTTTTAAATGCAATTGACTCGGGAATATTTCACTTTCTCCACACCCTGCATGTTGATAGCGATAGTGAAAAAGTGCACGAGATGGGCGAGAGAGAGTGTGTGAAGTTGTGAGTGAGTAAAAGAAAGTAAGTAAGAAGAAGTAAGTAAGTATAAGCGATGGCGGACTTTTGGTCCTTAGACCGCCCGATCTTTTGGTTCTTCTTTTGCAGGCTTTCAAATGTTGGTGAAAAATATCCCCCTACAATAATTAAAAAAATAAAATAAAATAAAATAAAATAAAAATAATAAGCAAAAGGTGGTTGAGGAGAGAAAAAGCTGGAAGTGCGCCTTACCTATTTTGATCTAGTATCATACCATAGCTTGAATCCACTAAGTTACTCATATTTCCAAGATCCCCAATCAAAACCTTTCATCTCCCCTTCCTTTAACATCAACAACGAATCAAACAATTTCAAGGCAAAACCACGAACCAACGACCCATTTTCAATCATTGTTACCCGAATCGAGGACTTTTGCACTTTTCACGATAACGAATCAACTCTCTGCAATCCAATCCAATCCAATCGAATTCAATTTCCCAGCAAAGCAGCAAAGCAGAAAAGCATTGAACTTGCACAAATTTCAGTCTCTAGGTACGAGTAGCTCAAATTTCCGTCGATTTGTCGCATTATTGCATCGCCGCATCGGACTTTACACTAAAACACCTTACCTACCTAAAGGTCCCTAAACACAACATAAAGGGTGCTTTAAAGAAAGAAGCACAAGCCAAAAGGTTTCGCAAAGGGAAATTCATCCATTTACGCTCGTGCCTTTTGCCCTCTTTTTAACGCATTCACAATTCACCATCATTGAAGGGCTGACGACACGGATACCTACCTGTCAATCTATTTTATTTGCCTAGGTACCTACCTACTGCCTACCCAACTGCCTATCTGCCTATCTACCTACCTACCTACCTACCTATCTCTCTCTATCTATCTATCTTTGCCGATAACAGACGCGGACAAGTACCACGAGGGAAAAGATTCCAGGATTTCAATACCCCAAGAGAGTCAGTCCAGTGGTGATTCACGTAGGGAGTGATTCAGGCAGGTACCTTGTATTTATCGCATCGTGGGACTTTTTATTTATCTATTTCGGTGGTGATAAGCCGAGCAGAACACTGCCAATCATTCATCGTTTTCCCTCCACCCCAAAAATAATATCATCGCCATAGCCCTATCAACAACACCAAAAGAGGACCCTCAACGCCAAAACAATTGGCCATAGCACCTGATCCCGTGATTGATTCTACCTGCGGGAAGGATCAAACACAGCTTGCCATTGAAATTGATCTGAATCCATTTCAAGTCGCCTATTTGGAAGGTGAGTTTCGTCCCCAATCAAAGGGAAATCTTGATATCTCGAAAATTTCAGATCCACCATCTGAAAAGCTGCTTGCTATTTGCTATCCTCGGCTTTCCTTTTTGGATTTGTACTCATTGTCGCGGTTGCGTGTCACACTGGCATAAAGCTGCAGTAACTATGCAAAACAAGCCAGTTACTGCTACAGCTACGGCTACTTTGATCATTCAAAGCAAAAGAGGAAAACTACGTTACTTTATACACGAAATTTCTTAGAACTAACTAACATTTATCTTGTCTTCTTCTTTTAGCTAGCCAATTCAAAGACAAAACAATAGATTGATTAGATCGATCGGACAAAGTTCCAATTCTTACAAATTCCAATACCAATAATTCACATCTCAGACTCGGATTGGGATTCTTGAACCGACTGCAATACGAATAACAGCTTCAAAGCTTTTAAGCTATCTAACCTATCTACTACCCAGTAGTTTGAACTACCCCGACAATCCGAACAGTCCGAGCAGTCCAGCCCCTCACATCAACACCTAACCTTACAAATCTTCAGCCAATACCCATAAGGTACAATAAAAGTAAGCACCCCTCAAAGTTCAAACTGCTACAGCTACAGCTACAGCCGCACCATCCTACTCCACCTCAAAGTCAAAGCTCTTGTTACATTTATTAATACATACGACTAGATACAACTCATACTCACTTACATATCAACGCGCAACACAAACCACCTGTTTGTGACTCAATTTATCTATCTGGGACTAGATTCAATTCAAAAATACGTCACGTCATCTTAATTGAATAATATTCCCAATTCTTTTTCATTTATTACCGGTAAAGTGAGAGGGAAAAAAAACTCAGTGAACCAGGTAAGCTTAGTTTTGCATGACCTCCACACCTCCACATGCATTGCCAGCGCATCACTGGTCAAAGGCCAAAAAAAAATAACATCGGGTCCCAACCCTTCCCCTCCCAATCATTCCAATCATTCTGAAGCTTGATTTAAATTTAACCATTCATCATAACTAACTTCTCTGGTTGGATAGTGAAATACCACAAAGTCAATATTTACTAGAGAAAAGTTTCGTTACTCAAAGAGTGGCTCGCGAAATAGCTAGATACCACAAAAGGTTGTTCAACATCTATCTTTGAATAACTTCAACCCGATATTCTCACGTGGGGTGACCAACTTTCGAGCCTAATACGCCGCAAGCCTCACTTGAGTACCTTTCGTTTACATCAGCTTGCATATGCTGTGCTGCGGTCAATTACGGTGTACACCTACCATATTGCTTGCCAGCACATCCACGCATACCAAGTCGACGGTTGACGAGCAGGCTTAGGCACTAGCTCGGTGACGGCCACCTGGGACTCTTGCGACAGCATTGCCAACGCGTTATTCCGGGTCATCGAAACTTCGGATTTACATCATAATACCCAACTCCATTCATAACTAAACTCGGTGAACTCGATAGCACCTTTCTTGTCGCTTTCTACACCTATCAAGAACTCTCTCTTAATTGCTTCGACGCGTCGCAAGCTTCACCGCAATCGCAATCTAGACGATTGAAATCTCCACTTCTTTACAAAATCCTCTTACGGAATCAAATCTATACAAATGATGGAGTACGCGCATTATCAGCAACCGCCGCAAGGCCAGCATAATCATACACAGACGCATATTCAAGGTGGATATTCAAATTCCGGTCAACACTCAAATCCTGGAGCTCCAATTACTTCCCCATCTCAACAACAACCATCGGTCCATTCGCAGCATGGTGTTCAACAATCTCCAATTCTTTCTTCGCAGTCGCAGCAAGGAGGACCCAATGCGGGACACATGCAGCAACACACAATGGGATACCAACCAGCATACCCAATACCACAGATGAACATGCAATATGGCGGCAATCCGATTACTCCTCAAGCAGCAGCAATGGCAGCAACTAATGCAGCCGCTGGTAACTATCCTTATAGTATCCCCGACTCAAGCTTGCCCCAAACATCGCCAAGAATAGGTGCGGGTATCAATGTGAAGAAGGAAAGAGTACCGCGATCACCAACACAGGCCGGCATCAATAATCAAATTGCTCAAAATCGTCGCATGAGTACGCAACAAGTCGGTAGTCCCGCCGTACCTAATGCGCAACCTCATATGAACCATGCGCCTCGGTCATCGGTTTCAGGACCTTCCATGTCAGGACCACCCATGTCGGCACCGCCACCACCACACCCTCAATCCCCTGAACTTGTATCAGGAGCAATTGAGGAATCACCTTTGTATGTCAACGCAAAGCAATTTCATCGTATTTTGAAGCGTCGCGTGGCGAGACAGAGATTAGAGGAAGCCCTACGATTGACTTCAAAGGGTAGGAAGCCGTATTTACACGAGAGTAGACATAACCACGCGATGAGAAGACCCAGAGGTCCTGGTGGTCGATTCTTAACAGCAGATGAGGTTGCAGAAATTGAAAGAACAAAGGGTGATGGTGGAGATGAAAATGATAAAACGTTAGAAACACCGGCGAAGGGCATTTCTAGTGTGGGTGCTGGTTCGGGAACTAAGCGAAAAGCCGATTCCGATAATCACACTCCTAGTAAGAAAGCTAAATTGGTGGCTGCAGCAAGAAGCAGTGCCGAGGAAGATGATGAGGATGAGGATGATGCGGAAGATGATGGATGAATATGTAACTGAAAATTCTTTCTTTCATGCCATTCATCATTCTAAAGCTCAATTGTTTATTTATGATATCACGACAGCGATTGTTTTTTGACCTACAATTGTGTTTCTAACACTTCATTACTTCATTAGCGATTTTAGGGGCCTGGTTTTTCATGTATGGGTTGCACTTTGGATATGAATGGGTTTTTCATGTCACAATGTGAGGATGTGCCTAATTTCAGGCTGGCAGGAGTTTTCTCACAGATTTTCTTTTCGGGTCTCTAGGGTGGCTTTTATATTTGCTTGGATGGAAGGAATGGGGCCAATTCAATTGGGAGGATAGGAATATCATATGGAGGTGTGGTAGATGGATGCAAGATGAAAGTATGACATTGAGATGAAGGAAAGAATTCAGATAAAAATATGAGGAAGCTAGGGACTGCATATGGACGGTAACCTTTGAGATAGTGTGGCTACACGGGACATTCGCTTCTCTTTACATTTCTTTTTTGATTCCCAACTTTATGAAGTACATTACAACACAGCGACAGCTTCTCTTTTTTTTAAATTTCAACTTGCAAGAGATCCAAAATCAACAAAATTTCACTTTATTGCAAACACTTTTTGTTCTTCCTTGTAAATTCATGTCTTCCAAATATAAAACTTTCTTCTTTGATATGTTACCTATGATGTAGTATATTATTATATTGCAGTGGCCTATTATAGATAACTCTGTATTTTCTTTTCTTCTCTATAGTTATTTATATTTGGACTTTTATATAAATATACATATACATATATATATATCTATGTTATTTATATTGTTTTGTCACGCTTTAAAATTGAAAATAATTAATTATAGATTTTTGATGATATGTTAGAGTAAATTAGAGGTGATTTGATGTATAAACTGATTTGTTGTTTGTTGTTTGACGGGGTAGGGTAGGATAGGGAGGATAGATTAGTTTCTTATTATTTGGTGAGGTAGATCGAGGTTGGTTAGTTATAAATTAGTTGGATTGGGATTGATTTACTATTTAGTTGGGTTGAGCTGTGTTGAGCTGTGATTGGATTGGATTGGGGTGATGAAGGATGAACTGAGATGAGAGGGAATGAATGAATGAGAATGAGAATGAGAATGGATTGGATTAAGGTAAGGTAAGGTAGGATGAAACGAAGTAAGGTGATAGAGAATGAGGTGAAGTGGAGTGAGAGAAAAAGGAAATAGAATAGAATAGAATAGAATAGAATAGAATAGAATAGAATAGAATAGAATAGAATAGAATAGAATAGAATAGAATAGAATAGAATAGAATAGAATAGAATAGAATAGAATAGAATAGAATAGAATAGAATAGAATAGAATAGAATAGAATAGAATAGAATAGAATAGAATAAAATAAAATAAAATAAAATAAAAAGAAAATAATAATTTGTCTTTAGAGTGGGTTTAGAATCAAAATTATATAATTAACAGAATATTAGGATTATTTAGAAGAGATATATCATTGATTGAGGGGATTGAGAAGGAGATGATTGAAGTTGGTGAAGGAAGGAAGTGAAGTGAGAGAAAAGGAACTATAAGGGAATTCAAAGTAGAAGGGTACGATTTGTTTGTATGATTTAGTATTGATATTGGTATGGGGATTAGAGGGAAGAGTTGAGTAATAAAAAAGAAGGGGAAAAAATAAATTATATAAAATATTAAAAAGATGAGAGAGTGGTAGGAAGTAAATATAATTATTATAATTAAATATAAACTTAGATTTTGATATTTTTTACAAATTTATATTTTATAATATATATTCTTAGAGAAAACTTTATACTTTTATAAAGCGAATAGATTTATTGCTCTTATAATCTATCTATAAAATTATCAAAATTCTAATATAAAATTTACTTTTTAGAGTATCGTTCACACTGATTATAATTATCCTCCTATCTATGAGTAATACCTCCTTCGACTCAATGGTTGATTAAGGTAAATCGTGATATAAATATTGATTCTATTCATTCGTCCTTCTATCTTTCTATCCTTCAATATCTCGCCTTGATAGATATTCGATCACCAGGATCTTTCTCTAACCTCTCTGTCTCTATGTCCATCCATACCCATATCACTATAACCACCATCCATCAACACAACTCCGTCCCGTCCCGTACCAACAATTTGTTAATGATTTCAAACCCCATTGCCTTTCCTTTCTAGAAGAATGCACCTTGTATGTAAGATTATATGTACTCGTATTGTAAAAGTGGTAGGTCGAGATACATGCGCCCCGATAGCATGTTGTGAAAAGGGAATTAGAAGAGAAAGCTGAATTAGATCACATTGTAATATATCACTTATAGAGAAAACAGGGTTCATACTGGTTTTGGGGTTGATGCTATATAGGTTCAAATGTATATATATAGAAGGTTGATTATTGTAGAAAAAAGAGACAAAAGTTTTTCTTTTATATTTAATTACAAAAGATCATGTGATTGACTGGTTAAAAACCTTTATGTATTTGGCCTATAATTCCAACTTTCTCACAGTATGTACATAAATTATCACTTGACCCTCCCAACAATAACTGAATTTACCACATCTCCGAATGGATCCATGCGAACACAAATATCCAGATAAGTAGTTACAGCCGGCGTTGTAACATCGAAATCCTATTTCCATGTCAATTAGCTTTACGCTTTTTGTTAAAATTCCTCAAAACGATGTCAATAACTTAAAAAGCAGAAACACATACACAATAAAGTACACTTCTCAAACCCCAGGCACCTCTCATAATCAACAAACTCCCCTTCTTCATCTTCCGCACAACATTCTGCAAAATTTCCTCTTTATCCTCTTGGATCCCTCCTACCAAAGCCGCTAACCAAATGATATCATAACCCGAGAGATCGAGATCGTTAGAACCAGCTAACGCGGTGATAAATTTCATTCCTGTGGCTGGGAGACCACCAAGTGATGTACAGAGATTTTGAGCTTGGGTGTTGGCAGATGGATTACTGTCGATGTTTGTGATGATGGAGGGAGGATTTGGAGAAGATTGAGGTGGGAGAGGAAGAGGAATAGAGGAGTTGGGTGAGAGAGTGCACGAGATGTGATCTGATGTTGAAAGTGCGGATAGGATGCAGAGGCTCGTGAGAGGCATGGGGCCCGAGCCAATAAATGCGATCTTGGAAGATGGAGATAGGATGAAGCCTGTTGAGGATATAGCGGCGAGTTCGAAACGGGTTAGGTTTTCGTAGTTTTTCTCGTAGGGGAAGGTGGATAGGACGCGGTGGGCTGACGGTTGGTTAGTGGGTGGGATATTGGGCTGGGAGATACAGATGGGATTTTAGTTGAGAATTGGGAGAAAAGTATATATGTAGACTTGCCATCTTCGATACTCTTGGTGCTAGAAATAGCTTCAGCCCAGTAAGATTCCATACATGCTTCAGCAGTTGAACAAATTAGACGAAGCGCAGGTAAAATGCTAGAAATACGTGGATCGCCGAGCACCTAATATCGGTCAGTATATATTTTCATTGAAGCCCAACTTATAAAACTAACCTCTTTTGAAATCGAGTCAGGAACGATAGTGATGCATGTTCCTACGAGGTCAGAAAACAAAACATTTACTGTAGGTGAAGGGCTAAGATCAGTGAGTTGCGATAGAAGTGTATAAATGGAGAGGATCTTCTGGACATAGAATTCGGTTTGAGGACTAGTTGCGTTTTCGATGATGTCGAGCTTTCCAAGATCTGGAATGGGAATGATTGAGGTGCTACTCCAATTTGATGATGCCGATGGGGTTTGACTCTGCCGGAAGAGCTCTTTAATCGAGGATAGCAGGGAACAAGTGGCCATCCTGTCCATGTTTGACATTTAAGACTTTTCTGGAAACTAATTTTTTTGTGCTTGAAATCTGGAGCTGCAAGATAGATGTGAAAAATTAGATTTGATATAGGCGATAATATAAGTGGTGAATGAGGGATAGTGGAAATCTAGAGCAGATGAGGGGTTATATGAGCCAAGGGCCATGTATACAACGTTCATATTCTTTGTGGTGAATTGACTGCTAGGATGAAAGATGATAAGGAGTTTTTGTATATCTAACATGGATAGGAAAGTGCACATCTGTACGTGAAAGTAGTGTAATATTATTCATATACTCAATAGAAAGAGCAATGGAACACATTGGGACCGAACGTGGTGGTTGTGAGATGTCATAAGAATACATTACCGTAAAGTTCTTTGGGCCATCAATCACTGGCTAATGTCTTTCCAAGCCCTGGAGTTCGATAATTGTACAATGTAATTTTTGAAAGAAAGATGGAACGAGATTTGGGCCCTTAAGAACTGTTATGGAGACAAATCCATAGATGCTTGTACCCTAAAATAGCCATCAAGGTGTTTTCTAAACTTCATCCACATGCTTGAACTGGTAAGACGACCAATCAAAAGCTCTGGATTGTTAAGACAATGACATTTGGTAAAACCACTTGGTGTTATTAGATGTGCAAATGAAACTTTTAATTGTGAATGGGATCTTTTCATTTGCAAATATATATGTGGTGAGTGAAGTGGTGAATAAAAAACAGGATGATCGGCCCCACTAGAAACCATCGGATGTGATATGATATATAATAAAGGCAGGTACTCCCATGAAAGTATTTCTAAGACGCAGGACCGTATTGTAGTTCTAAAGATTCAAGGAGAAAGAGCCTTGATAGTTTAAATTCGATTCTACATGACAGATAATATGAGATGAAAGTACCCAGGGAATGAAATGTTGTACAAATATGGACAAAACAAAATTTGATACTGGACCGCAATGTTATTACTGCCTTTAGACATTTGACCATAAAAGCATGCCAACACTTGATCCCTAATGCCCGCTTTTAGAAAGTGAAGAGTAAGGAAGAAATGGAATGACTGAATGATACACTTACACGCCATATGATTGCACCCAATGTTTCTCTCGATAGCCCAGGAAAATCCCGGACATAGTTTCGTGGTACATTTGATATTGTTCAAAAAGGGTTCTAATCAAAGCAATTATTAGCATTCCGCACCAAGATTATTATAGATAGTTTCCTTCGAGTCAACCTGAAGAAATTGTTGAAGCCTGGATGCTTCTAGTCTTGATCGCATTCGCTCGACTAGCAATCGTCATAAAGTAGACTCGATATTTCTGGTTGAAGCAGCGGATCATCGATACTACCTAGGCGCAAGTGTTTTTCACACGTGAGACTTCATGAAAAGCGACTTTATAAAAAGCAACAGTTTTCGTTGCAAGATTGGCATCCTATCATTGGTTTTAATGTCTCCTTTGTGAAATTGACTAGATGGTCAATATGAGACCCCACACAAGTTCGGAGGCAATAATAACAGTGGCATGTAGAGTTAAGAAAGCGTAGCCACGTGCAACCCATTGGTCTTACGTATTGCATTATTAGAGGATTGACCCAATGTATGAATGTCTTGAGATCGAAATATTTTTGGATGTTATGATGTGAGATTAGCGAAGAACAGTCAATTTACGAACAGTGAACAGTATCCATACTACGCTTTAGTGATAGTACTTGAAGACATCTGTAGACGCTGAAGGCAGTTGATGGGTCATGATTGCATGCGGCAAGACTCTTTCAGGTGGAGATGCGCTTATAGGTGGGCGCGATCCAAGCTGACCACGCTATATCCGTTGCTCGATATGCTTTGAGGGGTCTTTGGTAGAATGGGGGGCAGGGCTGTTCTTCGTGGAGGACACAGTAACAGCGTCATGTTCTTTGAGGACTTAAGCTAGTCCAATAGCAAAGGTGATCCAAATAACTAACGTTGTCAAATTTAGGAAGATAGACCTATGGTGTGATATAAACTGCGCATTACCACATAAGCGGGCTTTTTGACCATGATTTGCGCCAGCCAATGCCTCATACAATGTAGATACGATCCCGAAATTGCCAGGCTCCTTCATTATTTAGCAATAACAGTAGGCCGTACCAATGCTCTTGTAGTTGTTTTGAGAGAAATTTTTCCCAGTATAAAAGTTACAGTAAGTATACTACCACTTACTTCACTAAAAGGGATATATAGCAGTTCTGCAATGGTCACTACCGAGGATTACAAGGGAGACAAAGTCAATGGCAAAAGGAGCTATCGACAACTTCCTCCATCTCTGTATCATTTCACCCTCACATAAATCCGGAAAACAAGGGCACACTGAAGATATTCCATGACCACCAACGAATTTGATCTATGATGGGCTATTCGAGCAATGTTGTGGAAGGTAAACGTGAATGTTCAGTGAGAAGGAAGGTATTTTGTAATGATAATAACTTTATTATATCAATTTAATCATCGTGCAAACCTCAATTGCAATTCCCAATCACATTAGCTAGTATTGTCGTCATAAGAGTCATTATTCATTCTTTATATTAGAAGAAGGTGAAGGATGACTTAGAAGAATGACTGGCAGGACCTGAAATGCAATACTGTATATATATACCAGAACACACTCTCTCTTACAATTGTTCCGCACATATATATTCAAAGCCAACCTACGCGACTAGCATTCTTTGCTTTCCTCATAAGGCTAACCATAACTCTATGTGGCGCTAGCTAGTATCCAGCCAATAACGATCGCCGCTGACTACTTAGCTTAGCTTATATAAGCGTTCGGAGTCTTTTCAATCCCCCCATCCATCCAAAAAGTTAAGCCTTGTCTATCAGAAAGCATAGAATTAATTGTCAGGACCAAATTCAATCAGGAAGAAGAACGTTTTTAACTTTTAACGACATCACGACGGATCTTTCATTTCGAAACTTAATATAATTCGAATCCCTCACTTTCTCTGAACTACTGGCCAAATAATCAATTTAATAGTTTCCACAAGTTCTCTGTACTTTACCATCTTTTCTCGGAAGCCTCCAGTTTAAGTCGCGAAATACTTGGGGACGCACACCAATTCTGTTTGCACATAGCTACCAGTCCTTTTCGTGCCTGACGGTATAACCTATTGTAATCGTTATTTTCTTGCGCCGCATGAAGTGATACTCGCAAAAGGCTTGCGCCAATGCGAATTCCGCTGCTGTTGCAGCCATGGCTTCTAATAACATAGACTTCCTCGTTCAGAGGTTGGGCTCTGCAGATACTGGTATGCCTTTCAATCGCGTGACTCTATCTTGATGCCAAATACTTGTCATAACATGGTTCAAAAACTTTATGCTAACTCGAATGCGACAGATCTCAAACTCAAGGTAGATGCTGCCGTTCAGTTGCGCGATGGCCTCGATCATTACATCACCGGCCCCATGTACTCAACATTTCTAAGAAAGCTCATACCAATTTTTATAAATTGCTTGAAGGGACCTCCTGTATTCATTAGCACTTCTTTGGATCAGGTAGGCAATGAATTAACGAGATGGGTGGCAGAATGCTTACATGGGAATTAGAAACTTCGATGTTGCGTCCTGGAGATACTTCATCGTCTACCAATGAACCCCCCAGAGACATTCGAGCCTTATGCGGTCGAGGTGGTGGATCTCTTGATAAGTTTAGTCAGGATAGATAATGAGGAGAATGCTACGCTATGTGTGAAGACAATCATGGATCTTATGCGGAGTCAGACCAAGGTTCTGCAAGACAAAGTACAGCCGTTCCTCGGCCTCATCCAAGAACTGTTCGATCAGATGGACTCGGTTGTCCGTGATCAACTAGATAACTCTGCCACTGGGCCTAACCAGACTGGTGTCCCTTCTACACCTGGAAGTTCGCAGACATTTCAGAATTCTCCTCGGCCTGGCTCGCCCATTGCCTCTGTTACAGATATTGGCCAAGATCCACAACAGCAGACACGGAAGCTACTGAAGGGTATGCAATCGTTTAAAGTCCTTGCTGAATGTCCCATTATTGTGGTATCGATATTCCAGGTCTATCGCAATTCCGTGCCTCAAAATGTCAAATTATTTATACCTCTGATCAAAAGCGTACTTTTACTCCAAGCTAAACCGCAGGAGCAAGCGCATGCGGAAGCAGCGAAAAGAGGTACAATATTCACAGGTGTCAGTCCGGATATTAAGAATCGAGCGGCCTTTGGTGAATTTATTACAGCGCAGGTAAAGACTATGAGTTTTCTAGCTTATCTGTTGAGAGTCTACTCGCAACAGCTTACGGATTTCCTTCCTACCCTACCGGACATAGTTGTAAGGCTGTTGAAGGACTGCCCCAGAGAAAAATCGGGAGCTCGAAAAGAGCTACTGGTGGCGATCAGACATATAATTAACTTCAACTTTAGAAAGATATTCCTCAGAGTGATAGACCAACTTCTTGATGAAAGAACACTTATTGGAGATGGGTTGACTGTGTATGAAGGCATGCGACCTCTGGCTTACAGCATGTTAGCTGATCTGATTCATCATGTCCGAGATGCTTTGGAACCTGGTCAGATTCGGAAAACCGTTGAGGTATACACCAGGAATCTCCAAGATAGTTTTCCCGGCACGAGCTTTCAAACGATGAGCGCAAAGCTGTTACTCAATATGGCCGAATGTATTGCGAAAATGCCTAGCAAGACAGATGCTCGTCACTACTTGATAATGATACTTAATGCTATTGGAGATAAGTTCGCAGCAATGAATCGCCAGTATTCCAATGCAGTCAAGCTCTCGAAGCATTATTCCCAGCAGTCCATCGATGCTGCACCCGAGAATTACCTAGCAGATAAGGACAACCCGCCGGATTGGGACGAGATTGACATCTTCTCAGCTATGCCTATCAAGACTTCGAATCCTCGCGACAGGGGCGCAGATCCAGTGGCTGACAACAAATTCTTGTTCAAAAACCTCATGAATGGCCTGAAAAACACATTTTACCAATTGAAAGCCTGTAATGGTGGTTCACCGATTGAACTATCAAATGCTCCTCCGCACTGGGCAGAAGTGTCACATGGTTTTTCTGCCGAAGAAGTTCAGGTTATCATAAAACTTTTCCGAGAAGGAGCCTACGTGTTTCGATATTACGAGATAGAGAAACCCGCGACAGAATCGCAATACTCATCGCCTGTTGAGTTTATGGCAAATCATTATATGGTATCCAGCAGCAAGGAGGAGAAGGATCTTCTAGAAACTTTTGCCACAGTCTTCCACTGTATAGACCCGGCCACCTTTCACGAAGTATTTCATGAAGAAATCCCGAAGCTCTACGAAATGATCTTTGAGCATACTGCTCTCCTCCATGTCCCTCAATTCTTCCTTGCTAGCGAGGCGACTTCGCCCAGCTTTGCCGGAATGCTATTGCGATTCCTCATGGATCGAATTGATCAAGTTGGCACGGCCGATGTCAAGAAGTCATCCATTCTTCTTCGATTGTTCAAGTTAGCTTTTATGGCTGTGACTCTTTTCTCGAACCAAAATGAGCAAGTACTATTGCCACACGTCGTTAACATTGTGACAAAGTCGATCGAACTTTCGACGACCGCCGAGGAACCTTTGAATTACTTTTTACTACTGAGGTCACTGTTCAGAAGTATTGGCGGAGGAAAGTTCGAACACCTTTACAAGCAAATCCTCCCCCTTTTAGAGATGCTATTAGAAGTCCTCAACAATCTACTTATGGCCGCGCGCAAACCTGCAGATCGAGACCTTTACGTAGAACTTTGTTTAACAGTGCCGGCACGATTGAGTAACCTTCTTCCTCATCTTAGCTATTTGATGCGACCTCTTGTAGTGGCTCTACGCGCAGGTTCTGATCTCGTCGGTCAAGGATTGCGAACGTTGGAATTATGCGTGGACAATTTGACTGCAGACTACCTGGATCCAATAATGGCACCGGTCATTGATGAACTGATGACTGCTTTATTTGACCATCTTCGACCAAATCCTTACAGTCATTTCCATGCACATACTACCATGCGTATACTTGGAAAATTGGGAGGCCGCAACAGAAGATTTATGACTGGTGCCCCCAATCTCAATTTCCAGCAGTTTGCGGATGACATAACGACCTTTGACTTGAAGTTGATCGGCTCCAAGAAGGAGAGGCCTTTCCCGGTCGAGATAGGAATCGACCTTGCTATTGGGAAGCTGATGGAAGTTCCCAAAGGCGCCGCTGCCAAGAAATCGGATCCTTATTACAAAAAGCAGGCTCTTGCCATGGTAAAATCCCAGCTCAAGTTACGATTGGGTGCAGACAACCTTCCAGAGGACTTTCCTCGTCTCGTGAGGCTGCAGGCACAAGATCTTCTCTCAAAGAAAGCAGATGCAGATTTATCACTATTCGAGGCACCTGTCAGGGACCGATCTGAAGCCAAGAAGATGCAACAAGATACCATGCTGAGGAAACTCCTGAAGGCTTGCATCTTCGCGGTGTCCCTTCCTGAATTTTCATCAGAAGCTACTGCTCTACTGTCTAACGTCTGTAAACATATTACGATCATCGAAGTTGCTAGATCATTAGGAGAAATGAAAGTGAGAATGAAACCGTTCGACGTCAACGCAGGAGAAGGTCCTCCTTGCATTGATAGCAAGGTTCTGGGAGACGCTATCGTCGAATCTCTCGCTTCTGATCTACCTGCTGTGCGTGATGCCGCCAAGTTCGCCGCCCAAGAAGTTTATGATTCAACAGCGACCATCTTTGGGTCCAATCGTTTTATTTACAGATTGTCATTTTTCGGCCACTTGAGTAGTGTCTTCTGTCACAGCTGTTACCAGGAAGAATGGTTTACTAAAACTGGTGGTAGTCTGGGTATTAACCTTATGCTAACCCAATTTGATCTCAGTGATAGCTGGATGCTGGAAAAGCAGGTTGAGTACACTAAAGCCCTCATGCATGTTGTCAAAGACATGCCGCCGGATTTACCAGCAAAGACTCGAATTGCTGCACAGGACACATTGGAACTCCTCTTGAAGCGATGCGCCGGCAAATCCTCTAAAGCTGATCTTCAACCTTCGTCACAACCCGGACAGCCTTCACGACCATCTAAGCTACTTCAGCTGTGCAACCTTTTCAATGCGGAGGTCTACCACATGAATGGTCATGTCCGTGAGACCGCAAGGAAATCTCTCGAGATTATTGCGAAAGAAATTGACGTTGAAGTATACGAGCTTCTTGCTCACCAGCAAGATCGAATTTTGGCTCCAATATACAATAAACCTCTGAGGGCCTTGCCATTTGCGACCCAAATTGGATATATCGACGCTGTCAATTATTATATGAGCCTGAAGAACGATTTCCTTGCGTTTGACGACACCTTGAACAGGCTGCTCATGGAGTGCCTAGCGTTGGCTGATGCACCAGACGAATCGCTGGCGCCAAAACCTACCGAGCATCGAACGCATGAGCACATAGTCACTCTCAGAGTCTCCTGTATAAAAACTTTGACAACTGCCATGGGATTCGACGATTTTCAAAAAGGCCCTGCCAACCCCACCCGAACCAGGATTGTCAGTGTGTTCTTCAAATGCCTCTATTCTAATTCCAAGGCCACTATTGAAGCGGCCAATGATGCATTGAGAGTTGTCTTGTCTCATTCAAACAAGCTTCCCAAAGACCTCCTTCAGAACGGCCTTCGACCAGTTTTGGCTAATCTTCAAGACCCTAAACGTTTAACTACGCACGGCCTTGATGGCTTGGCACGATTGCTTCAGCTTCTGACCACATACTTCAAGGTTGAGATTGGTTCTCGCCTGCTGGAACACATCAGAGTTCTTGCAGACCCAAACGCTTTCCAACGTATATCATTCACCCTTGTCGAGCAAAATGAGCAAATGAAAATCATTGCAGCTGTATTTAACATTTTCCATCTTCTGCCCCCTGCAGCCGAGCAATTCAAGGAGAGGCTCATAGATGCTGTCTTAGAGTTGGAGGAAAAGCTTCGTAGGACACGGTATAGTCCCTTCAGAGATCCACTCTATAAATATATCAACAGGTATCCTAAAGAAGTATGGGCCATGCTTCTCAGCAAGATCGAGGACCAAAAGTATGGGAGGTTCTTGGCTCAAGTTTTAAACCATCCGGACAGTGCACCTTTACGTGCAGTCGTGGTGCGTAACATAGATTCTTTGATAAAGAGCTGCGGAGATATGGGTGCAGAAAACCGAGAGACGCGATATGCTGCCGTCATCAATGCTATCAATGTCATGCACTCCATATGCAGTTTCAAGGGCACCGAGCTTTGGATGGATAAAAAGGAGAACTTGATGTGGTTTAGGCTTGTCGGCAAGAACCTCGAGCAGCACCTACGCACTAACACTCTTCCACAAAACCTTCGGCTGGCAGCAGAGCAAGCAGGACAGCAACTCATGATTATCTTCACGAAATTCCTGGAATACAATCCTCGTGATCTGGATTCATTCTTCAATCTAATCGAGTCCATAACAGCTGAAGATTTCAAACCCAATCAGCCAATCTTCGATTTCATTTACAGGTTTATAGTATGCAGCGAATCGATCGATTATCGTAAAGCTATTGTCCTCCGGTGTCTGGAAATATACGTCAGCAAGGTTGCGACGCAGAGAAACAAGGCTTTCCTCCTGCACAATCTCGTAAATCCAATCATAGCTATGGATATTATGCGCAACTTTCAGCAGCCACCATCAGCCAAGAGCTCCCGACTTATAGATCGAACGATTATTGAATCGATACATACCAAAGTTTGGAAGGTTGGTTTGCCAGATCCCAGTGATGACCTCACACAACCAGGAATTGACCATACGCGAATGGAACTATTGCAATTGACAGCCATGCTCGTCAAGTACAATCATTCTATCCTTCAAGAAGCCAGAAAAGACATCATCAAGTTCGGTTGGGGCTACATTAGACTCGAGGACGTGATCAATAAGCACGCTGCGTACGTCGTTATTGGATACTTTATTGCACACTACGAAACCCCCGCCAAGATCGTCCAGCAAGTTTACTTTTCGCTTCTGAAAACGAATCAAAATGAAGGGCGGGCTTTGGTTACTCAAGCTCTAGAATTAATAGCGCCTGTTCTACCCAAACGTTGCAATGCTGTACCTGGAGATCGCAATCCCGTCTGGGCCGCTGCTCCACGTCGCATACTTGCAGAGGAAGGTCAGAATGTGCAACAGATGACTATCATTTTCAACTTCCTCGTGAAACATGCAGATCTCTTTTACGAGTCCCGCGACAAGTTCATTAATCTCATCATCGGCTCCTTGCGCAAAATCGCACCACCGCAAACAAACCCATCTAACGAGAGCAAGAAGCTAGCCCTGCATCTAATGTCATTGATATGGCATTGGGAAGAGCGACGCGTCGAAGGGAAAGCAGCTTCTCTAGAGAGGCCTTTATCTGAATCCCCGAACACAAAGAAAAGAAAACTTGACAGTCTCAGTGATGCTCAAACTTCGTCTCCGTCACCATCCAGACCTGGACCCACTTTGGCAAATGATAAACCAGAGTACCAGATACCCGCTGTAATGCGTGCAAAGATGATTAAGTATCTCGTTGAATTCATTGCCTCGCTCAATGAACGATATCCCCTACCATCTGCTCGGAGTCGAGATACAACGACGTCTCATGGACCAGCACAGCCACCACCTTCTGTCGAAGTTTGCAAGAAATCTATATCTTTACTTTGGAATCTTTTACAGCCTCAGTACTGGGGTGATCTTGACATCGACCTTTTCCCGAACGTTACAGAGCAAGTCCTAGCAAGCGACAAAGCAACGGCTGCTCTCTTGAGCGAGCGCCCCGATAAGGACAAGCCGGACGATAAATTCATCACAAACATCATCAATACGCTGCAGATCGTTCGGATTGTTATCAATATAAAGCCCACAAAATGGATTCTCGAAAAAGTGCCAGAACTTCAACACATCCTAGAAAAGGCTCTGAAATCCGACAACCCTGAAGTTCAAGATTGCATGCACGCTGGTGATGAGAAAATTGATGACGGACGGAAATTGAGCCCTTTGCTCAAACGCATCTTAGAGGCAGTCCCTGATGATACTCCAATGGAAGATGCAGACGCCGAGTGCGAACCGGAGGCGTCAACCTCTGAGATTATAACCTACCTATCTGCTACAGCTACGGAGATGCTTTCGGCCAATAATTACATATCTGGTCTCAATATCCTTTGGACTTTAGCGCAGAGGAAAGCATCGGAAATGGATCAACATATTCCCCAAGTCATGAAAGCTCTGCAGCAGAAATTGGCACGTGAGCATGTAGGTCATTACACTGCGCTCACGGGTCAAGGTGCTATCCCTGCCGCGATGCGACCCGGCGAGGTCGAACCTGTTGGTCTCATGTCCCAATACGATCTGGAGATTCAAACTGGGCTCATGCTCAAAGCCATCGACGTGATATCCCTACGTATGGATACTCTCGGCGACAGCCGTCGTCCATTTTTGAGTGTCCTCGCAACTTTAGTTGAAAAATCTTTGAGTAATCCTTTGTGTCTGAAAATTCTAGAGATGGTAGAAGCCTGGGTGTTCAAGTCAGAAGGTTCTTGGCCCACCCTGAAAGAGAAGACAGCGGTCTTGCATAAAATGTTGAGTTTTGAGCAGCGCACGGACCAGACACTGTTAATGAAGTTCTTAGAGCTCGTTATCCGCATCTACGAAGATCCAAAAATCACGCGTACAGAGCTGACAGTTCGTATGGAGCATGCGTTCTTGATTGGCACAAGAGCACAAGATGTAGATATGCGAAGTCGATTTATGGCCATATTTGACAGAAGTCAGTCCAAAACGGCAAGTACAAGGCTCAATTATGTCATCATTGGCCAAAACTGGGATCCTCTGGCAGAATCTTACTGGTTGGCGCAAGCTTCTCAATTGCTTCTGGGTGCTGTCGATGCGAACCATTCCATCCACTTGCATTCGGACGACTTCAAGGTGATGCCCGCTTCAGTGCTTTATGAGACTTATGCCAAAGACAATCGGACTCCTGCTTTGCCACAAGACAACAGATTCGACAGTCTCATGGCATCCCACAGGAGATTCGTCGCGGAGCTTGGGGATGTGAAAGCACGAGATATCATTGAACCACTCAGCCAACTTCAACACCTCGATCCAAACATGGCGCATGAGATTTGGGTAGCTTTATTCCCAATATATTGGAATGCCACACCAAAAGATGAACGAAGTGATCTGGAACGGGGCATGGTAACTCTACTCACAAGGGAATATCACTCACGCCAAATTGATAAGCGACCAAATGTGGTACAATCTCTCCTGGAAGGCGCAGCCAAAGCGTGGCCCGAGTGTAAATTGCCACCGCATGTAGTTAAGTTCCTGGCAAAGACTTACGACGTTTGGTACACAGCCCTCGTGCAACTTGAGAATGCTGCTATAAAACCAGAGATCAACAGTGATTTGGTTCGTGAAAGCAATCTTGATGCTCTTGTAGAACTGTATTCAGGGCTTCAGGAGGATGACCTTTTCTACGGGACTTGGCGGCGCCGCTGTGCGTACGTCGAAACCAATGCCGCACTTTCGTACGAACAGAACGGAATGTGGGACAAAGCTCAGACTATGTACGAGCATGCTCAAATCAAAGCACGAACAGGGGCGCTCCCTTTTTCGCAGGGAGAGTACATGCTGTGGGAGGACCATTGGGTTCTTTGTGCCCAAAAACTCCAACAATGGGAAGTTCTTCAAGATTTCGCGAAGCATGAGAATTTCCAGGACTTGCTTCTTGAGTGCGCTTGGAGGCAATTTGAGATTTGGCAAGAGCCTGAACATCGTGAGCAGCTGGATAACATTATCAAAGGTGTCATGGATGCGCCAACGCCAAGAAGAACCTTTTTCCAGGCTTTTATGTCTTTGCTCAAGCTCCACAAGAAGACTGAAACGCAGGCTGAATTCAGCAAAGTCTGCGACGAAGCCATCCAGCTTTCTATCCGCAAATGGCACCAATTACCGAAGCGTATTACGAACGCTCACATCCCACTTCTTCAAAATTTCCAACAGCTTGTGGAACTTCACGATGCCAGCGTTATATGTCAAAGTCTATCACAGACTACTAGTGCTAATCTAGATGTCAAATCAGGTGAACTGAAGCTTTTGTTGGGAACCTGGCGTGATCGACTGCCAAATGTCTGGGATGACATCACAGCTTGGCAGGATCTTGTCACGTGGAGACAGCATATCTTTGCTCTAATTAATTCAACATACTTGAATCTCATCCCTCAGCAACCGCCCAACGCTAACGGTGCGTCCTTTGCGTATAGAGGCTACCATGAAACTGCCTGGATAATCAATAGATTTGCACATGTAGCCCGCAAGCATAACCTACCCGAGGTTTGCATTAGCCAACTTAGTCGGATTTACACGTTACCAAACATCGAGATCCAGGAGGCTTTTCTCAAGCTTCGAGAGCAAGCAAAATGTCACTACCAGAATCCCAATGAACTCAATAATGGACTAGACGTCATTAATAATACCAATCTCAATTACTTTGGCCCTAACCAAAAGGCTGAGTTTTACACGTTGAAAGGCATGTTCCAGGAAAAGCTTGGTCTACGTGATGAAGCATCTGAAGCTTATGGAATGGCCTTGTTTTTCGAGATCAAGCTCCCCAAGGCTTGGGCTGAGTGGGGTTACTTCAATGATCGGCTCTTCAAAGCGAATCCAAATGACTACACATTTGCCAGGAATGCCTTGAGTTGTTACTTAGAAGCAGCAGGTTTATTTAAGAACGCGAAATCTAGGAAACTTCTCACGAGGATTCTCTGGCTGTTGAGCCTCGATGATGCCGAAGGTACGCTTTCAGCACAATTTGATGAGTATAAGGGAGAAACACCGGTCTGGTATTGGATCACATTCATCCCTCAACTTCTCACGGGCTTGGGACACAAAGAGGCAGCCAAGGCACATCTCATTTTGTCTAAAATTGCAAAATCTTATCCTCAGGCTTTGTTCTTCCAGCTCAGAACGAACCGTGAAGACATGCTTGCCATCAAGAAGCAACAGGACATTAAAGAAGCTAAGAAAGCCAGAGCCCAGACTCAAGCCCAAGGCCAACCATCGGGCGGTATCTCTAACATCAAGGCGGAAAATACCAACGGCACAAGGCCTGAAAATGCATCGGCATCACGTCCTGGAACCGCAGGTGCCGAGGGTGTTCCTGCAATTAAGACGGAGCCCGGAGAAACGAACGGAAATGTCACCAACGCAAACGGCGCTCCTGTCAATGGAGCCCCTACTAATGGCACGGCAAATGGTTCACAAGATGTTGCACCATCTCAGGGGTCCCAGAAGAAACCCCCTTGGGAGTACACGGAAGAATTGTTGGGAGTTCTGAAAACAGCTTTCCCATTATTAGCACTTTCTATGGAAGCTATGGTTGATTCCATTCAAAAGAACTTCAAATGTCCACCCGATGAGGACGCATACAGGTTGATAGTAGCCTTACTCAATGATGGACTTTCTTATGTTAGTCGTACGCCATCGTCTTATGCTAAGGACAACAAACTACCGCCAGCGACTGAAGCAAATATCACTCGCTTTGCGGAGACTATCCTACCCCCTCACATTAGGACGTCATTTGAGCAGGATTTCGTGAAACATAAGCCTACAATGTTCGAATATATTCACAAGCTTAGGACGTGGAGAGACAAGTTTGAAGAGAAGCTAGATCGTCGCACCTTGACAATGCCGCTCGAGGGTTACAACTCTTACCTCATCGATTTCCGTTTCCAAAAGCTTGACGAGATAGAAGTCCCTGGGCAGTACCTTCTTCACAAAGACAAGAACCAGGATTTCATTCGCATTGAACGATTCATGCCTGACGTAGATCTTGTGCGCACAATTGGAGTCTGCCATCGTCGAATTAGGATTCGTGGCCATGATGGAAGCTTGCATCCATTTGCTATACAGCATCCTGCAGCACGACATTGTAGGCGAGAAGAGCGCATTCTGCAGTTGTTCAGGCATTTTAATGGTACCTTGAGCAAACGAAAGGAGAGCAGAAGACGTAACCTGAACTTCCATTTACCGTTGATGATCCCTCTTGCACCACACATCCGGATGGTGCAAGACGATCCAACCTACGTTTCATTGCAGGGTGTCTATGATGACCACTGTAGGCGAAATGAAATTGCTAAAGACGCACCTATTGTGTTCAACATGGAGAAGCAAAAACTCTTGTTTGAGAATAAAGTAAGTTTGAAGGAGGACCGCAGTTTGGAAATATTTGTGACTGACTTTTCCCAGCAAAATAAGACTCCTGAACAGTCTGCCACTGCTAGACTCGAGACCTTCGCTGCTATTCAAGAAAAACATGTCGGGCCAAGTATTGTTCTCGAGTATTTCACAAAAACTTACCCATCATTCTCCGAATTCTGGTTGTTCCGAAGACAGTTCTCTTATCAATATGCAGCTCTCACCTTCATGACGTATATCCTACATATGCATAATCGTTACCCTCACAAGATTTCAATCTCGCGAGCCACAGGAAATATTTGGGGGTCTGAATTGATGTCTTGTATGGCAGCAGGCAAAGCAATTTTCCACAATCCTGAGCCTGTACCATTCCGTCTTACCCCTAATATTCAGACTCTTATGGGGCCTTTGGCCACTGAGGGTATTTACAGCTGTGCTATCATGGCTATCGCACGATGCCTTAGTGAACCCGAGTTTGAACTCGAACAACAACTGTGTCTTTTTGTACGTGACGAAATGATATTTTGGCACACGAGCAGCCATAAAGCTATAAAAGATACAGAGTTGAGGCAGTCTGTTCAAACAAATAGTGATATGATAGTCAAGAGGGCATTGAGCATAGCTAAATCACCAGAGGGTGCACTGCCTGCCAACCAAACGGTGATTGATTTGATTGCTAAGGCAGTCAATCCTATGAACCTTGCACAATGCGATGCTTTGTGGATGCCATATCTATGATCCCGGATCCTCGGCTATCTAGACGTGGATATGAGTGGGAAGAGGGAGGAGGAATCTTTATGTATTTCTTAAGATTTTAGGCGTTATCGGCTGGTGTGGGGGAATAAAAGCTTGGTTGGTTAGTGAGCTTGAGGGAGTTGGAGGCTGGGCTTATGGGTGATTTAATATCGGCGTTTGAACTTGGAAGATGTTGGCAAGTTAAAAGGTGACTTAAGGTGAACGCAGTATGGATTCAACTTAGGCTGGCATGATATGACAATTGGCAGTGTGTTTAACATTTTGCCAGTCAGAATTGTATACATAGTATTTTTCGTAGTTTCCGCCATGAATATAATAGCGCTCAATATGAGCCGATATATCTATTCTTCTTTCCATGTAGTACGATGGATTTGAATAATAATACTAGAAAAGATATTAACATAGACCCGGACTCCCGGCGCATGAAATCCACTTGGACAGTCATTAAATTAAAAAATGCCACGAGAGCGAATCTTATGAAGCTGTGGTCTAGATGCGACTTGGTATAGTATTCCGATGCTGCTAGCAGTCTGAATGCACGACTTTACCACCGAGCCCGATATCCTTTCCATATGCACATGCAATGCGACTACTTAACTTATCAGATTGCAAGTTATGACTTCGGTTCGGGAAGGAGATATTCTGTCAAATGGACGGACGACCAAGCCCTGAGGAGATCTAATCTTACATCTATCTCATGGTTATGTTAGAGTGTGGGAGTTATTCGCAATTATTCTATAACCTAACGGTTCAACATCAATCACGTATCGGACTTTAATAATAAAAAATCTCTGAATTCCTTCTCTATTTGTCCAAGCTATTTAGCTAGCAAGGTATTGATTGTATTCAAACCGATGCATCAACATACAAAATCTTAATCTTAATCCTAATTGTAATCCAATCACGAGTTATCACTCCAACAGAGGTAAGGTTAGCAAACTTCATTTCATCCCTCGTCCACGCAAGCTATGCAATTAAACGCGTCAAATCCCATCATCCCATTCCTTAACTCCAAAGTTAGTTGAAGTTTAAATCATTCCTGTCACTCCTCGTCTATCGTCCGGTACTTTTTACTTTTATACTTCTTCATGGCTCGCTTTGTTTTGTTGGCAAATAGCTTAATCGCGATATCTGTTTCTTCCGTATTATATCATCATACGCGCATAATCGACAATTTCTCGGATTACTGTGCTACTTCTGTGTAGCTATCTGGACGCTTCACCGCCTGAGCATATACCCCAAATCAGGTAACCCACCCACAATTCTTTTCACAATCTCATCTTGCTCCATTTCAAATTTGGTTTTCGAACCATGACCTGTATAGACAGGAGGTGGAAGTGAGCGCCTATTTGTAGGTGATGGAGTAGAAAAAGTAACTGATTTAGGCATTGGGGGTGCTGCGTAAGATTGCGGTCTCTGATTTGTGATCGGTTTGGATAAGAATGTAGAGGTAGTGGCGGGTGCAGATGTCGGTGTGTCGAAGAACGAGAAATCGACTGATGCCCATGGATCTTGAATGATTTTTGGGGCAGGTGGTATTGATGAAAGAGATGGCTGGGACCAGGTAGTTGTGGTTGGCGAGCCCGAGGCAGACGAGATATTAGGAGGAGGTTGAGACCAGGTATCTGTGAAGGTTGTGTTTGATGATAAGGGGGAGGTAGGCTGGGGCGAAAGATTAGAGATTGCTGAGGCTGATAATGCCGGTGACGGAGGATGGATTGCAGTTGATTGTATTGGCAATGGAGTACTTTCTGGCGTGGACCACAGATCCACAAACGAAGGATTTGAGGATATAGGGGATGAAATGCTAGTACCAGATGATAGTGGAGGCTGTGATACTGTAGGACTTTTAGGGTTTCCAAGAGTATCACCAAGGCTTGTTGTCGACTTGTGACCAAATTCAGACTGGAGCTTTGTAACCTGAGGATTTGGAAGAATAATGGGGTTGGGGAACGAATTTCCGAGGCTCAGCGACTTTTTATGTCTTAACCCGCGGGTGTGGAACTTGGGAGTCTCGGTGACAACAGGCGAGGAAACCATTTCGCCCCATTCATCGTCATCGCCATCCGAGGCATTGGACACCGCTGCAAGTGAGATGGTGCCTGAACTACTCTTAAATGGCGGTGGCATTGAAATTGGTCTAGGTTTCTTAACCGCTTGGAGAAAGTTTGGATGTGGTTCAATTGGAGACATTGGTGCCGGGCTTCGTAATGGGGAATCTGATTGCCGTGAATCTCCAAAAGCAGAATTCATCCGGAGAGGGAGAGGCTTCGTAAAGGTATCTGTACTTGAGGGAAGCCTATCAGAAGTGGAAGCTGTTTGCGCTGTTGGCGAGGAATTCCATCCAAATTGTACGGCAGGAGACTGTGGTGGTGCTTTAACATCAATACCTGAATCCATTGACTTCGTGGAGCTGTTCTCTCTTGGCTTTGATGATGAACGAGACTTAGATCTCGATCGGTCTCGAGCAAGCTTTTTGGGCACTTCAACTAATTCCTTAGCTTCATGTTTCGCTCCAAGCTTCAGGCTCTTTCGTTTCGAGCCAAGCACTGTCGCTAATGGAACAGGTGGTGCATTTGGATCATTCCAACCAAAAAGAGAACCGCCTTTGCCTGTCCCGCCAAGACTAACATGTCCACTATTTCGATCTTCCTCCATCCACCTTGCCACTATTTTTTGAGTATCTAGCTTGACTTTTGATTGTGCCCAAGAGATTCGAACATAGTTTTCATCATCTCCAGTGTTGTATTTCCGCATAGTGCCGTACCTTGATATTCTGTACCACATCTTTCGTTCATCAGCGGAAGCAAATGTGTCAGCAATGAGAGTATCAGGTATAAAAATCTTCTCGACGGCTTCGTCATTCTTCTCCTCGGTCTCTCCAAACAAAGTTTTCACAGAGCTCAAATTGATAGAAAAATCCACGGGTCCTGACGGTCTTTCCTGTGATCGTATCTCGGAAGGTTCATTATGCGGTGTAGCCAACTCGGAAGAAATAGGGGCCTTCATTGAATCATGATTTTTTACCAGTTCCTCGCCATCATCCGACAAACCCTCTTCAAAATCTCCAAAATCTCCAAACTCATCATCATCTGGCTCCTCAGCATTGGAATCCTCCTGTAGCTCGTCATCTTCCGAATTTTCAGGCTTTATTACCGCGACGTCTTCATCATCCGGTTCCGCTGAAGCTTTTTCTGGTAGCTTGACATCTTCCACTGCACTCTTATCCTCTGACTCAGCTAAACCATCGAACTGTTCGACTACCTCCTGCGCGCTCGGGGATACAGCTCTAATGTTTCGAGACCTTTTTGGTTCTTCGTCTAGGGAGGTTCGCGCCGAGTCTGGCAGTAATTCATCGTGATTATCTGTGTCGGATGGTGAAGAAGATGGGCGCGACGATTCATGCTCTGGCTCTTGTGTTGATGGCAGAACAGTAACGTCTGATTTATGTTGTTCCTCGTCGTCGGCATCCTCGGCGCATAGATCATTTTCGGATATTCCTCCAATGCCTAGCCCAACTTCTTTCTCGCTAGCCTCATCTAATCCAGCTGTTACCTCTGGAACTGTTTCGTCCAAGGCAGGTTCCGCTGGCTCAACCTTTGTTTCACCGCCAGATTCGGACTGCGGCACAGTCGCTTCGACTGCCTCGAGAGACCGTTCTTCAGGGTCTTCTTTGGCAGGTTCTTCGATGGTTTCTTCAGTGGTCTCAGGGTTCGGCGTCGTAGCTTCTAAACTAACTTCGTCTTCCACAATCGCAGATGCATCAGGAGAGGCAGCGTTGGCCCACGGATCCGGAGAGGGTTCTCGGGCAATTGCTGCAGGCTTCGCAATGAGACTCGGCGATAGTTTCGGTACTTCAGGCGCAGGACTCGTAGAAAAATTGTCCCAAGCCGGTGATAACGCTCCAGAATCATCCTTCCTTACCTCCAACCCCATTCCACGTTTCGGTGTAATCCATTGTTCTTCCGCGCCATCCAAACCCAAACCCAAACCCCCTTTCCTTTTCCCCCTATCGTCTTTCCAATCACCAAACCCGTCGTCCGAAGTTCCCCAGCTCGTATTGATGTTGTTCCTTAAAGCTTCACTTGCCTTCGCAACCCGATTTCCAACTGCTGCCTCATCAGTGCTTCGAATACCCAAACCATCATCATTGTTCAATTCGTCGGCCCACGGTGAGCCCCAAGGATCGTCCATATCCATTCACGTCCCCTGGGAAAACCTCTTTCATATTGATATCCTTTGGACCATCATCCGCTCTTCATTACTCGTATATACTATGCTTATGTTGACTAAAAACACAATTTCGTGAATCGTATTGTTACTCGTATTATTTCGGAGCTCCGAGGTTCCAGGGTCAAATCAATCTGAACAATTCATCTGTTTGTTGTAAGATCCGTCCGGATAAGAATGCACGCTAAAAGCGTCATGGTCCAAACGTCCATCAACGGGTTTTCAGCGGATCAACACTTATTATTGATTAGCAACATCGGATTGATAAGCGATAAGAATTTCAATATTCCAAGTCCTTCTGATGGTGCAAGAGATGCGACAATGAATAAAACAATACAATCTACCGTTTTTTATCTAGTCTTTCATATTTCTAAAGATGTCTTTGGATAAAGTAAAACATATCGTTCTCGTGAGTATCCTAATGCGACAAGAATACCCATTATCATCAATTAACAAAGAACCTCACAGGTCCTATCCGGCAAAGGAGGCGTCGGAAAATCCTCCGTCACAACCCAACTCGCCCTCTCCCTTTCCCTCGCCGGCTCCTCAGTCGGAATCCTCGATATCGATCTAACCGGCCCCTCCATCCCCCGTCTTTTCTCCCTCGAATCTGCGAAAGTAACACAAGCACCCGGTGGCTGGATCCCCGTCCCCGTTCACCCCTCCAACCCCTCTTCCTCCATCGGCGCCCTATCATGCATGTCTCTCGGTTTCCTACTAAGAGAACGGGGTGATGCAGTTGTATGGCGTGGACCGAAGAAAACCGCAATGGTTAGACAATTCCTCACGGATGTCTTATGGGGCGAACTCGATTACCTTCTCATTGATACCCCGCCTGGCACCTCGGATGAACATATTTCATTGGCAGAAACACTCCTGAAGAATGCATTTCCGGGGCAAGTGGCAGGCGCGGTGGTTGTAACGACGCCACAGGCGGTGGCAACAGCAGATGTTAGGAAAGAATTAAATTTCTGCACGAAGACTGGAATACATGTTATTGGAGTCGTGGAAAATATGAGTGGTTTCGTGTGTCCAAACTGTTCGGAATGTACGAATGTTTTCAACAGAGGTGGTGGAGAGGTTATGGCTAAGGATTTTGGAGTACAATTCTTGGGACGGGTACCGATTGATCCTCAATTCGGAATGTTGGTCGAGGCTGGAAGAAAGCCAGTATATCCAGAGGGAACACTAATAAATGGGAAAGACATGAGCGGTGCCCAAAACAGCATTGATAATATTGGAGACGACGCGCTATTAGTAGAGAAATATCGGGAATGTTCTTTATGTCCAATTTTCCAGGACATAACCAAACAGGTCATGGACGCGGTGGAAGGAAAGAGTTTAGAAGCAGCATCGAGTGAATGAGATTTGATTTTACAAATCACTGTGTAGCACAACTGCGGGTGTTGGGGATTTTTGAGCATTTACATGGCGGCTATTAGAAGTATATGAAGATGCAGCGTCCACAAAGGATAGCTTTGAACGATTGAACGAGTATTGAATAAATATATGGTCACATCAGGATCAAAATACTATCATACTACATATATATCCTCCCTCATCAATACCAAGCCACCCCCTTCCCAAGAATCACCCATGTTACTCACCCATCTTAGCTGTCTAATGAAGGTGAAATACATAGTCATTGTATCATAGCATCTCAGACACTGGGGCATCTATCGAGTACTGTAAATCTCACACGAGAGAGTCGTTGTGGATCTCTTCGATTTCCAATACTGATACCGATACTGATACTGATACTAATACTCATTTATCCAACATATTCCTCCGTTCGGGTATAAATGGTAAGTTTCCCCTATGATTCTCGCTTAAAAGATACATGGGAAAGTACTTCTATACTCAGATGACCAAAGCCATCAACTCTGACTACTTCACGAATTTCCTGCAATTACTCAAACGCATTGCAGTGCAGCAAATATACAACACATATATCACATCTCATACCACTTAATCCAAAATCCATTTCTATTCACCGGACCAAGTCAAAATCAAAACTCTAAAATCCACACCATAGCCTAAATCTAGCGCTTTATACGTTATCATATCAACATGACGATGACCTAAAAATAAAAAATCCTAATGATCTAGCACGCCACATACATACCCAAATCCCTCAATTCACCCTCCATAGCTCCAGCATTGCTCTCCACATCAATATCATCCAATTCCTCCTTCTTCTTAATCATCCAAAAAGCCCTCACTCCCTCGGCAAATCTCTTGCTACTCTTCTCGACCTCGTCTTCCTCCACAGCCGCAAAACACAATCGGAAATATTGCCATCCCCTCTCCTCAGCAATTTCCGGTGTAGGACTAAAGATTTCACCAGGAGCTGCTAATACGAGGTAGGGCTTCATAGTTAAGTAGGTCCACAGAATTTTGGCAAGTTTGGATCCAGATACTTGTTTAGCTAAAGGATGAGTGTCGAAATGCATGTGAATCCATAAAAACATTCCAGCTCGTGGCCAGTCAAAGGAGTACATTTTTGTCTTCGTGATGACGGCCCATTCAGAATCGGAAATTTGTTTGGAAGTACCTTGCTTAACGTAATAGCGGCCATCTTCCAACGCCGCACACATTCTGTTCATGCGTCTTTCGTACGTGCCTCTCAAACCCTCCAACCAACGTACCCAACCGTCAGTTTTCCAGCCTGCAAATGCGAGCTGTTCGTTCCTGGACTTCTTAGTGAATTCAGCCGTGGCTTCTTGAGGACCCATAACTAATTCTGCGATCATTGCTTGAACAAATCCGGATGGTTGTGTTGTGGTACTTTCTGTGATACGCAGTAGTCGCTCTATGATAGCTGGTTGAGCAGTCATCCAACCTAGACGACATCCTGGAGCTACAGTCTTTGAGAATGTATCAAGACGGATAACACGTCCGTCGACATCGAAATTCAAGTATGATGGAACGAGGCTATCGAGATATGGGTAGCCACTAGAGTTCTTGAATGTATGCACTGACTCTGGTTCTCGTAAAGTCTCATTGCGAGCCTCTGCTTGCAGACCTGCTGCAGATGGAAATTGAAGATACCAATATGGATCATCTTCAATTATAATTACATCGTATTTACTGCAAATGGCATAAAGTTCCTTGCGTCTTGGAATAGACAGGGTACCACTGGTGGGATTCTGACCAATGCTGTCATATTATGAGTATTCGATCGCGGTAATGAATAAGGTCGGACAGGACTTACGTGATAGTATACATCATATGAGGTCGTCTACCCTTCGATTCATCCCAATTTTCAAGGACATCTTCAAGACTACCAGGACCTGTCGGGATCATCCCCTCAAGATCAATCTTAACTGGAACAACTTGTATACCTCCTAAAATAATTGTTAGCCTAAAGCCCCCGATTTCAAGCTTTGTGAATACTGACTTGGTTTGCAAGCTTGAATAGCTGTCATATACGCGAATTCTTCGCAAAGTATGGCAGGTCTTTCTCTAATCCAATCTCTCTCCTCGCTCCAAGCATTAGTCAAAGCTTCAATAGCTTTCGAGAATCCATCAGTCGATCCACATGTTAAGACGATCTCAGCGCCCCCTTTGTATGGTATATTTGGATGCAAGTTTTCGAGTGCAAATTGTCGAACAAAAGAATATAGTGGTGGATATCCTTGAGCCTGACCATATTGCAAAGCAGTCGTTAAATCAATCTTCTGCAAAGGATTTGGTGTTGCAGATGAATGAGGAACTACTATATGTCTTGAAGCTTCTGCAGACGACTTTTTGACCGATGTCGCTGCAAGATTCGCCGAAAGCTCTCCAATCTCATTTGGATCATTTGGAGTGGGCTTAAATCTTTCTGGGCGTGCAATTTGTGCCTCTAAGGTATCGTAGGGGAAAAAAGATGCATTGGGAAGACCTGAGATGATTGATTAACTTTTTGGTCTACGTGCAGTAGCTGACGGGCTCGAAGTTTGTGGTGGCGGAAACGCCTTCCTTCTAGAATGAACATACCTCCAGCCAAATTACCAATCCCGGGAATCTGGAAGAACTGGTAGAACTGTTTGACAGCACTCTCCTGTCGTGCAACCGTTACTCGAGAAAAATGATGGCTTAAATCTAATGGAGGTTCTGGGCTTGTATGTTGGGGTACTGCTCCCATACCACTAGCAACTAGATCTTCATCATTCCTTACCCTGTTGGAATCCATTTTTTCTGTATTTACAAAGATCGAAAGTAACAATGTGCACAATCAAACTAAATATTTCAAAAAATATAACAAGATACAATCAAATCGATGAAGAAAAGAGAATGTTCTCTTCCATCAAACTTCTACATAAGGTGGTACGGTACTTGCGCTTCCACTCTTGATACTGCTTACTGATAACGTATCGGTGAGTTCGTAGGGGTTTGTTTACAAATCAAGCTCTTTGGGGAGCTCCACTCTAATTAATCAATCGGGATATGGAGCATTTCCGGAATACCAGTCGTCCCTTGTTCCGCTTACCAAAAGACTAAGTTGAAGGGTTATCTAAGGAAGAAGATGCTATCCTCCGTAGTTGTAAGCCTTTCATGCTTCTACGAGATGCAAAAATGTTACCTTTCAAGATACAGTATAACAATTGACATTGCTAGAAGATTAAATGCCATCGACCTGGACATCCTCGTTTCTTGATTGGTATGGCATAATGTGTAAATTACAACGTTCAAGATGCTCTCTCTATATATCCCGTTCTGATCTCTATGCTCAAAAATTCGCAAATGTGAGACTTCAAAACTGCTCCATGATACGCAGCTGATTCTTCTTTCGAACGTCGCATATATAATTCCCCCGGCCCCTCCAGTCCAACCTTACTTATTATTGATTCCCCAAACAGTAGCTAAAGCTCGAATTGCTTCCCGATTATACCTCTTAGCATCTTCGAGAATATCATCCATCGCCATAAAAGTATCTATGAAGAGGGCCGGGTCAGTAATTGCGCAGCATGGGTTAAATACTGAAACCCGAATCCTGCTAAGGAGCGGAAAGGGCTCAAACGAGAAAACATGCAAAAGAACATTGAAACTGAACAGTGCCTAATTCAAGAATCATTTGTACTTACGAGGCATCCCTTTCATGCGAATGACTTCGGCTTGAGAACCTGCAGCATTCATCTTCTCCCCGTAAGCTTCACCTTCATCTCTCAGTAGATCCATCTCTGCTGTCATGATGAGAGCCGGCGCCAAACCCTTGAAGTTGGATGATAGTATGGGAGAAACCTTCCAATTCTGTAACTCGCGCGTTAGCGTGCGAGTCTTTGAGCAGCAATGAAACTTACATTATAGGTTTCAGGGTCCCTTTTCTCCCCAAGAAAATGTGCCGTAAAATATTCCATTTCTACCGCCGGCAACGGTACGGTGAATTCCAGTTCCCTATAACTCCCATATCGTTTCCATCCTTCATCCGTCAACTTTCCATCTGGTCCATATCCGTCCACATCCACAACTGGGACGCCCAAAATTTGGAAGCTCAATTGCAAGCCCTCATCCCTACAAACATGGCTTACAATCGCAGCCAACATTCCACCCGCACTCATACCCCCAACAGCAAACTTCTGTCTATCTAGGTTTCGCTTTTGAACCATATCATCTGATCCAATCCACTTAAAGGCCTCAATGCAATCATTAACCGGAATAGGCCATTGATATTCCGGTGCCAACCTGTAATCCACATCAAAGACCACACACCCCAATTCCCCAACCAACCTCTTACAGAACTCCATGTCCGACTCCAAACCCCCAACAATCCATCCCCCGCCATGAAAATTGATATACACAGGTCTAGGTTTACCCTCATTTATGTTCGGGGCGGGTTCATAAATCCTCACCGTAATACTACTCTGACTATCGCCAGAGGAAAAAACTGGACACTGAACATTGGTGATAGAATGTACGTCAGGTGCAATGGCACGACCGTAGACGATACTGTATTTGCGTGGATTGGCCCTGAGTTCCTTGAGCGGAATTTGATAAATGCTTAATCTTCCTGCTGAGTAATGTGTATGATATCTTGCAAAGACAGGATCGAAACGAGGGAGAAGATCAGGAGGGATACTATTAATAAGGGGTTGTGATATGGCTGCTGGTTTGAAGTATGTAGAGTGCGATATATCTTCCCCTGGAAGATGAGAGACGTTCGGGTAAGGCATATGTGGACGCAGGGCTTCAGTTGACTTGAGAAAATTAGGTGTTCTATGAAATGCTATTGCTGAATGGGTATCTATCTATATGAAATTATCGTGAATATGTACTAGGTAGCTGCTTTATTCGAGCAGATCTAAGATGTGTTGTCGTTGTCAAAATGACGTTCCCCGCAGACGCTTATCGGATGCTTCGGATGATACGCACTAAAGCATTTTCTGCGTGACTATCGTTTTTGCATACATCGGAGGATGTTGGTTTTGGAGCGAAATGTCACATCCAATGTGTTGTATATGATAGCCTTACAATTTGCTAGCGCTTCGTTGTCAATTAAACTGGGGCCATGCCTTTTGCTGATAACGTAAGAGGTCAACTCCTTCTGGCAAGTCACCGAACCGGAAACGGGGCATAGTCGACTTACGCTTTTCCGAACAAGTGATTCGCCGTGCGGAGAGATTGAGGCATTTTTCCTCTGGTAGAAAGAATGCATCGAGCTTGGCAGGCGACTTCATTTCAAAGTCCATGTTGTGGGGAAACGTTTTGACGAGTGCTCTCGATTGATTCCATACTGCTAACTGTAAAAGAGCATGGGATCTGATTGGAGGGTGTTGAACTTATGGAGGTCCAAAAACAGTGACCACCCCGTCGGTACCAGCACAGCACCATTGATCTCCTCTACCATTTTCCTTCCAGGCGACGGCACTGATAACGTTCGTCCTTTCCTTCTCCTTTCCGTCTCGACCAATCTTTTTCTTTCCCTCGGCTGCCGAACCCTCAACCCTAACCCTGTGCAAAACATTTCCAGTCAATGTTTCCCAAACTACGACTTCTCCATCTGGTCCCTTCATATTCTCATTTCCTGATAGCACCCACTTCTCGTTGCCACCGAAGCAACTTCTGATTCTGTACTCCTGATTCTTAAATCCCTCATCTTTATAAGTTTTCAAGCATGCCCCACCCTCCCTATCCATTAGCCTAACACACCCATCCAGACTTCCCACCAGGACACCTCTACCATCCCTTGTTCTCATCAAGCTCGTTACACTCGCGCCAATTACATCCGTCTCTAAAGTCCCCACCCTAATATCGTACCACCTTACCCTCCCATCCACACTCCCACTAACAATCTCCCACTCCCCACCCCCAAACCCCTCATCTCCACCTTTCCCTGCCAAAACAGCGCTGACACTATCCCTGGCATCTTCCATGATCATGACCGGTTTCATGTTGCCCGCTCGAATATCCCAAATCCTCACACTTCTATCAAACCCACCACTGATCAATAAACTCTCCTCGCTTCCTGCAAATACTACACTATTAACCCGAGCTGTATGCCCATTATTCCCACCGAATTTCCTGATCGTCTTTGCAGTCTGTACATCCCAAAGAAACACACTGCGATCCCCACCACAGGAAGCAAATGTAGCATTTGTAGACGCGACTGCTATGGACAGTACCTCATAACCATGCGCAGAATACGTTTGAATCAATTGGGTAGTTTTAGGAGGTTGATGGGGAGCAGTAGGCTGAGAGGAAGCTGCGGGTCGCGAAGGATTATATAGTCGAATATTGCGGTCAGCGGAGCCTGTTAGGATGTAGGTCGAGGGAGAAGATGAGTAGGTTAATGCGTGGACAGGCCCTTTGGTATTATATCAGTCTTGCAAAACTTGGAATATGAAATGTTGTACACACCATTGGACCCGGTAAGTTGTGTCAAAGACTTGGAAGGAAACTCCATTCTGGATATGAATGTATCATCGCATGACTGCCGATCAAAGAAACAAGCCCTTGGGTCATATGCAAAAATATTCGATTCTCATGTCGCAAATGATTATCAGAAATTCTAATAAAGCTCCAACCAAGTCCATTCTGCCCTACTTATTCTCACCGCCTAAAGTTCAACCATCTCATTTCCATGCCTCCTCATAATCAAGAATTCACAAACGCAACATTATGGAAGATATGGTTAACATAACATTTCAATATATATTTGCAAATATCAACAACTATATACCTGATCCAGGGACATTCGGCCTCTTGGCATTTCCTAAACTTGCGGACAAACATTAAGCCGATTTTGTTGATATTTTCAGTATAAAAGATTGCGGCCGTGTGTGCCTGGTGATCACAGCCATAAAAATAACATCGATAAATATTCCCATCCGACCGAACTTAGGACCCAGTAACGCCAAGAGCCGGAGTCTCTCAAGATTTTATACTTTGCTGTATAGTGTAGACTACCCCGTATATATCATCAAAAGCAAAAATTCTTGAAAAATAAAAACCTCAAAATTATACTTCGTACTAGCAAAATTTTAAGAAAAAATAGTGTGTGGTGTGCTAGAGGTTAACTAGGTCCCCCTAGGGAAAGACAAACAGTTGTATCAACAAAAAGTAAGAAGTCTCTTTTAGGCTTTTACAATATCATCTGGCCGGTAGAGTATTCGTCACTCTTAAACTTAGTTCCGTGATGCCATCCCATCTTTCTCCGTATATCCATCATTAGCTTTCATCTCTATCTTAGCCTTATCTACCCGACTTGACATCCCAATCCAGACCCCCTTCGCTCCGTCGTCCACTGAAAAACTCGAGTCACAACTTTGCAAGTGCCATCCATCAGCCAGTCTAGTGTTAGAGTCTTAGTCCAAGCCAACAACCCTCCAAGCGTCGACACCACTGCCGAGCCATCCCGTGTTCTCGACTTCGTACAAAATCCCAGCGCGCTGGTACACTGCACACTTTGTCGTATTCGAGCTGGAACTAGCCCAAACCTTGTCATTTACGTCCACCGGGGAATTAGCAAACACTTCCTAGGAATTCGTCTGCATTCACCTAAAGTGGCTAGACGTGCAGATGCCGAGCGGCTCTCGCATATCGCACTCCTAGTCCGGCAATCATTATAAATGCCGTGCTAGTAGCGATTGAGTTCTTCTCGCAGTTAGTCTTTTTAGGCAAAATGCAAAATCAGTTGATCTTGACGTAAAGCATAATAAGACAAGGGATAGTGAGTCGATTTGCAGATGTAGCGCATTGGCAATCGGTAGTCCTGTGGGTTTGTGGGGTGCTATGTGCTATTTAGATGTGTCTCCACATTACGAAAGATCATCGATTGTTTGGTAGATTGAGCATTGAGGGGGAAAGATGCGGAGTTTTTGTCTTTTATGTTTCAAAAAGGTGGAGAAACATGATCGTTGCCGAGCTGAAATGCAAATGTCTACTGCGAGTGTGATGTGGTAGTGAAGACAGATTGCCAACTACCGAGATGTAGGAACGACAATCACGTGCACTGGCATCGGTGCTCAGAAAGAAGATACAAGTAGTAGTTATTGATATACACATATATGTACTGACCATGGCAAGTTAATTTGAAAATAACTCATTACAGGATAGAATATACCATAGAAGGAAAGAATAAATGCTAATTGCAGTATGTGCTGTACTCCATTCCTATGCCGCTGCACCGCTATGCAAAACGCTATCATAATCATACAAAATGTAAATGCGCAGCAGTCAAAAACGCCTCTTGGTATCGTTCTCCTGAAAAGGACCATCGTCAAAGTAAATATAATGTACAAAAACCACTTTTAAAATGCACTCATTAATAAATGGCATCGTTTTCCCGAGGGAAAGTCTTCTCCAATGGTTCTCTCAACACGAAAGTCCCACTGCTCAATTCTTTCGCAGCAGTCGACCAGTTTCTGCGGTCGATCTCATCCAACTCACTCACACGTTGCGAAATAAGTGCTTCTTGTGTCATTGCAACTTGCCAAAAATGTGAAATCTCGCTGATAACTGATCGTGCACCGTGAAGGGAGCTGATGATAGATGGTATCGCAGCTCTCTTTGTTTTGGCTGTAAGAATGTCGACTGCTGAGATAATTGCATATCCGACAAATGCTGAAGAGAATTCTGTGGAAGCGCCTGAGCTTGGCGACCTCGTGCTAGAGGACTCGCGTCGACCGGCTACAATATTCATAAGTTCTAGAAGAGATTTTGCGTGCTCCTCGGCTATACACATGTAACGGTAAAGCAGCGAATTGTCAATATTGTATGGCTGGACATATCGATGGAGTTGCATAAGCGTCGTGTGATACACTGCATGCATCGTTATGTAGGTGCCAAGTTCTGAAGCATCGGACACTCTTTCCAACGCCTCGGCTGGGATGGCAAAGCGATTTGGTAGTGTGCTTTTCCAACTTGAGAGGCGATCCATGATAGATCTGTAGAAGTTCTCAAACTCAGAGCCACTTATTGGGTGTGGTCGTTGTGAATTGCTGTAAATGTTGGACATAACATCGCCCCAGATCGTGGTTACGTTTATCAGATATGCCATTGGGCCCATGGTCCTTGGATAGTCCTGAGATCGCGGGTTTGATGCCTCAAAAAGAGGATTCCGGACTTTGATCTGGTTGTCGAAGCTTTGGTCATCGCAAGGTAGCCGGAGATATACGTGCTTGGAGTCAACCATGCTCAAATGGCCGGAGCCAAAGCCGTTAAATCTATCCATAACATAACAACTCCAGAAGGTTCGTCTCCTGCACTCAGCATATCCACTGAAGTCGAGTCCGAAAGGGAAACACTTGAGATAAGCGTCATCACTCTTCTCAATCTCGATATTCAGCTTCAAACCTGAAGCAGCCCTCACTGCAGATCCACAGAAATCCCAAGAATCGCCGGGATTGTTGATTGCAAAATAGTATTGAGCTAAAATCAAACGAGCTTGAACCAATTGGATGCAAACTCGGCGACTGTCACATGCATGTCTTGCGATTGCGGCGTATCTTGCACCCAAATGCTTGTGTTTAGAGTTTGGAGAGAAGGCTGCTCCAAGGGCAAGGATGGAATATGTGAGCATAAGGTCATTCAAAGACTTATCCTGTGTAACACGAGCCCATCTTGTGAATTTGTTTTTCGGAAACATGCAATAGGCGGTCTCTGGAGCATATTTAAAAAAGACTTCCAAAAGCTCATCAGAAAGACCTGCCTCTGCGGAATGAAATGGGTCAATCTGCCAGTCTGACTGTAGGGTATGATCACTCGATCGGACGATTCTTGCCTCGGCCCACGCGGTGCTCGGAGATGTTGTCTCCTGAACAGAAAGACGCGGTGAAGCTTCCGAAGCTACGGGAGTGTAATCATTGTAGCCGCTGCGCTGCCGCTTAGTATGAGGCTCTGATTCAGCGCTTGCACGGCGTAGATTTTGTCGTGGTGAGACAGAATGGCTCACTTCACGGCCCTCCACTCTGAAAGATTCACCGTCAGTTAGAGAAGAGCCTGGTCTTGGTAGACTATCCTCCGAATCAGCTGGTGGTGTATCTGGAGAGCTCTGACCTCCTCGGGGACTATCAAAAAACTGCCGTTAGCAAATGTGAAAATCATCGAGACAGAAGATTATATCTGCAGAAGTAGCATCGGCTCTATTATGGTGACTCACGCATTCTTGAACTTGCAGACCCTGCCAAACTTATCACACTGTACACATCTAGGATAGTCTGGATCACATTTGATCTTCTTCTCCCTACATGTGATACATGCAATCGCGAGTCGCTTTCTTGGTTTCCCCGCCTTGGTAACTCCCCAATGAGCATTCACAACTTCTCCATCAATTACTGTCTTGCAGTGAGTTCCATCATCGTAAAAATAACATAGTCCTTCACCCGCAACATCGGCTTGCTTGACGAAACGAGGCAAGAACTGAGTTCCTGTCCAGATCTTCGGCCCCAGACCATCCTTGACCGTCACAGGCTCGCCCATCATAGTACCAGCAGGGGTTAGAAGGTAGTTCCTGTTGACTTGAGCATGATCCCGATACATTTGCCTCGATTCGTGTTCAGATCTAGAAACATGAGATTGATGTAGGTACTGATCAGGATGGGCCCTCAAAGCTGGGAAGGCATCCTGTCGAGTAGCATCGGAGCGAGGCGACCAATTATTGCTCGAATGTACTTGACCTTGCCGTGAGTCATGATGCGAGAGTTGAGGTGCGTATTGAGGAGATACTGGAACGGGTCCTGAAGTGGGAGGTCCAGTGCGAGGAGATGGCGTAGGATAATCTGATCGGGAGTTATATGGATATTGTTGCGATGCTGATGGACGCTGGAAGTTTGTATCAAAGGGACGATCTGCGTGTAGAGGTGTAGTAGGTACTCGTCCATCTTGAGGAGATATTGATGGGAAGACCGGGCTCTGTCGGTCAGAGTATGGTGATTGCGCAAGTCTAGTTGGAGCCGATACGCTACCAAAGAGGCTGTTTATTGATGGAAGTACCTCTCGAGGAGTGAAACTAGGGACTGGTTGGTACATATCTTTTCTCCTTTCTTGGTTGTAAGGTCCTTTGGATTGTTCAGAAACAGGGGACCTCGGCAGTGTGCTGTTATTGTCACTTCTCTCGCGCAAAACGTTGACTCGTTGCTCAGAACTGATATGAAGAGGAGAAAAATCCTTGGATATGTTTTGCATCTCGCGAGAAGGTGAGGTGGGTGGTTGGGGAAATATCATTCTCGAAGGGGAGTATCCAATATTGGAATAGACGAAGATATATGATGCGTCTCTAGGATCCGTACAAGGGCTGTATAGATGTTTCCCTTGAACGTAGCAATGTGGCACAGACACGGTTTGTGTCAAATAGTTCAGGATGCTGTAATTACTTTCAACACTGAACAATTCAGCTGACCTTGAGTAAGGGTGGGTGAGCTGTTTTCAAACGGCAGTCGTAATGAAGTGCCGCCAGTCTTGATTTGAATGACAGGGAAAGTGGTTGAAAGAAACCCTAAGTGTTATGAGGGAGCACAATGTAACAATGACACGAGGAGGACCCGAATGGAAAGTTGAGATGTGATAGGTATATTGGTATCAATGAATCCTGTCGGTAATGGAAAATTGAAAGTGTGGCTCATGCTGTGACCATAAGTTCGGACAAACCCATTATTCTGGAAGCAGAAGCTCGTGCGAGGCTTGTCGAAAAATATGCTTAGTAGACGGCTGGTAATTGAAGCAGGGAAAGAGACAGAACAGGCATTAAAGGGTTGGAATCAAGGATGAAGTACCTGGTAGTTGCAGAAGGAATATGCAGTCCAAAAAGCTGGTCAGAAAAAGGCTAGGGATCGTTTGAACAGCGGGCCTTTATGTATATGTGTAAAGAGAAGAAAGGCTCGAAGGGTCTTGAGGGGCGGGACTCTGAATCTGTGATGATAAAGATCAAACTAAGACTTATCGACCCAGAATTTCGTAAATCTAACCAGCACAGCCTATCCTGGCTCTCCTTAGACTAAGAGGGGTAATATAGTACCGGGTGTTGAAAGTACCATAGACTATAGATAGTGTGGTTCTTAGTCTAAAACTCCAAATCAACAGCTGCCGTTGGGAGACTTTGGAAGCGAATGCGTCCACTTTCGCGCTTCGGCATAAGAATAGAGCTGGGATGGAGCAAACGCAAATTTGAGCGATCAAAGACTCGAACTTGTGGGGTATCATCGATCGTGGGCCCGTGGCGGCTCAGACATGATCTGAAAATGCTGCCCTAGTGTCATAGAAATGCTACCGGTACGGGATAGCTTGTGGATACTATATGCAGTCAAGCCTGTTGAAACTTGAGCTGTGGTCAGATTAGGATAATGCAATATGGAAAATGGAATTTTAACTTAATTACTCGTAGATTTGGTGCCATGTTCTGCACAATGCTCCTTAAAAGAAATTTTAGATATTTTTCTTAACCGGGGATTGGTACGACAGGGGGATAAAGCGTGGCATGGCAAGGTATGAGAGGCCAGCTCGCGAAGTAAAATTGAGGGAAGGAAGGGGGGTTGAGTCAAAATACCAGGGTTACGATTTGCTAGGTAGTGCTACTTCGTACTGATTACTTCCTACGGAGTGCTGGTACTCTACACCAAAATAGACTTCCTTCGCGCTGATTCCCCCCATGCAGCATGCTGTAATTGCCTATAAATTGACACGATCGTGTGGATTCTTATGTCATTCCGATTATGTGTAGCTTCATCATTAGAGATATCTAAAAGTTGAGTTATCGGCTATTAGGAAGAATGTTTGACTCAATTAGTGGCTTCTAAGTAAGCCCCTACTGTACTCGACACAATTGAGCGATTGGCACCAGCATCCTTTGAGCCCGTTACAGTCTAATAATGCTCTAATACAAGAACTCTGATGCACTTTCCCAGGGATTCGTAACCAAATACCGGTCTATACATGCAGGGAGTGTTTAGTAGCTTGATTGTTTGTGCTTGTAGCCAAATATTTTACTTTAAATGGTGGAAATATCTATACTTCTCGCTTCCAACGTAATCTTCCGTACTGTAATCCTAATATCGGTAAGAGCAATTGTTTGCACATCACTTGGTTTGCTCGATTTTAGCTTTAGTCTCCAAAAAAGCTGCCATTACAGCTGCTATCCACTTCCACTGCCGTCTGTCCCCATAAATTTTGAGTTTGTTAATGTTCATCTCCATCTCCAGATCCATCGACTTCCACTTTCCACCCTCTTTTCCACTTTCACACATTATGGTTCAAGTAGGAATTGTAAGCGAATGCGAAATTAGTGTTTGTCTTGGTACTTTTTTCTTTTATATCCATGTGGCCCGTGGCAAACATTTTGCCATTCCGTCTCTTCAAGTCTCCATATAATGCTTCTACCCGATTTCCTTCGACACGGGAATCTCGGACATTCTCAAAACCCACTTGGGGGTTCGTTACGTTAGTACAATATAGATCTACTCGCCGGTAGCTTGAGGCCTAGATGTAAAAGAATCTGATTACGCTCGCATTCTCTCGATACATATTGTGGTATATCCTATCTCCCTCTTCCAATCTTACGATATGTTATGTTATTCGGTGTGATCGATCTCATGCAGCAACTAACTGCTCAGAGAACTGAAACGGTTTACGTCGAAGGATTTGCTTATTTCGCGGTTGGGATATTTTCATACCCCGGTCTAAATGATGACCTCCCATACCGAAAAAGGCTGTGAAGGGAAGGATTTGGTGGATTCATAGACATGGACTTATCCAAGCAGGGTAATATATGCTGTGTTGGAATTACCAATCCTACAATCGTACCACCTGCGGGTTAACCTATACCTGACGAATCCACCAACGACTAGAACAGTTGGTTTTATACGACGTATACCCATGGCCATTCACATACAAAGTCCAAATGTACGGGAATACAACAAAATCGTTTCCAGCTCCGTTTCCCGTCTCCATCGTCCCTCGGTACTCGGTACTGGGGACTGGGTACTGAAAACGCTTGGTCCCGAACGACCGGAAAATAATTGCAATTATGGTGCGAGATGGAGGTTCCCTATCTGAGGCTATCCCCAAATTCTATCTGCTCTTCACAACCAATCATTACAACTCCTGACAAAACTTACTGGATGTCTTTGAAAAATCCCAAAAAATCTCAAAGTACTACCATAACTAGCATTGGTCGCCGACCGCCCGCTTTTTGTCGTCATTACACAACCTGTTACCTGTTACCTTCCCTTTTCCGCCAGTTACTGTCTTGCTAATCATCAGTCATCATGGTCCCCCGAAATTTGAAACTTGAAAAGTTCGTATAACACAATAATGAAATAATGATAGGCTCGGATAAGCAGGATTTACGAAGACAACGTCAAAGATCATCGTTAATCATTCTAAAATGATACAGTATAACCAAGCAATAAATGTTTTCTGTTTCAATATTAACAACATATATGATATATTATGTTTTCGAGCCCGAAGTAACGTTTCGATACCTTAGAAAATTATGCAAGTGATGTGTTTTCCCTGATCAGGGACGTGCTCCGATCGGTCTACAGCTCGTTTGGGTTTAATACATAGATTTTACTCGAGCACTATGTACGGAGTATATGAAAAAAAAGAACGTTGACCCGACCCACCAGGATGCTCAAACTTTGCATATCCTTTAGCTCCCGGCTGATCATGTGTGCATTGAGTCTGGCTCTGACTTATAAATATGTCAAATTGTCGGGTCTCAGCCATAATCAAAACCGAGCAAAGTACAAGAAGAAACGAAAAGAGCCGCACTTCAAGGAGCTTTCTCATGATGATCTCCAGCCACAAAATACTAATGCGCTAGCTAGCTTGTCAGATGCACCACCATAGATGCCGAGATTTAGTTATACTGTACAAAGATCTATTCTATTTTGCTGTTGAAAAGAAGTCATCTCGATAGAAATTTGAAACCCGTTCCTTGCAACTGCATTACACAGTTTCCTCTCTTCTTTTCCGTCCCAAGAACCGAACGAGAATGCGCAGTATGTCCAAATTCAGATTTGACTGCATATCTCTACACAGTGCCGCAAACGGGCCGCAGCATGACCACCTCCCCATATTGCTTTCCTGCCTCGCAAGTATGACCAATTCGGGTAATGTTCAAGTCTTACCCTGGAACACGATCACCGTGGAGACTCCAACGATTCGCTGGTGTGCAAAATGTGGTAATCCGTCTCACTCCAATGGCTAAGCGCGGTCGTCAACAAAATATATGCTATGTCCTTATGTTGGTCAGGTCCATCCATGTCGGAGGGAAAAATACCGAAAGGTCATCCAAAGAACTGGTAGACTGACCCGACTGTGCCTCTCGTCTGCAGGAACAAGCGCCGCGGCCTGGGACCAACCAAAATTATCTACACTCTGCAGATATTATGGAGAAGTAGGTCGGGTCTGCTGCCAAGGCTTCAGGGGTAGTCATAGGCCTTTTTCATGGGTGCCACGAAGTCAACGATAAGGTCAGTCATAATGCCGTCGGACGTGCTTGCCGATTGACCCGGAAGGGGTGGAACTGCCGTTTTCACTGAGTTGCAGCACATCAGAGTGGGGAACAAGACCATTTTCCTCCCTTATAACAAGAGCAAGTGCTTATTAAATCAATGCCGATATGACTGCCAACACGAAAGAAGCTTTTCCATGAATTAACGGTGTAGCAAAACCCCTTTCAATACGTAAAGCTTTCCATAAGTACTCAATTCCATGACTTGACATCGGCTGCACTGCTTGGTGCTTATTTTAAACTCCTTGAGCTTTAATTCAAAAAATCACATTGGACACAATAATTGTGGATTGATTCCTTCTGACTGCCATGCCCTTGCCATCCATGTGCCGCCGCTCATCCAAGGTCACGGTGGCCATGCTATCTCGGGATTAAACCATAAATTATCATAAGTTGCTAGCGAGGCTCGATACTACTCGCCCAAAGTACGACAATGGTAAGAATTTCGATTCGTTCATTTACGAGTAAATGGTAAATCCCGTCAGCTTTGAATCTCCAAATCGTTTCCATGTCATGCAACCCTCTAAAGATAGCCCAATACATATAAAAGAGACCCAGGCAATGGGTAAACAAGCAAGTGGTGTAGATCGAAGAGGATCTAATTACCGGCCGTTGCACAAGAAGTACGACAATAAAAAGCCTAAAAAGGCAGGTCGGTTAGGTGTTACCAATACCTTGGGTCAGCTTTCAAACAATACCTATTTTCATTTAATGAAGTGGAATTGACATGGATATCATTTACACTTTTTTAATTAAAAATCGAGTTTTGGCAAGGGACGACACAACCGGGGTGACTAGACGAAGAAGGGATATTCCTGCAGGGCGGAAGATACCCGAGGTCTATTTGCCTTGCTTTCCGCGGAGAGTAAAGGTAGTCTAGATTCTAGTCTTCTCAGCGAAAGATTTAAACTAAATAAACAAGCATCTCACAGGCCACTCGTCAAATATTGCCATATTGAGAAATAGATGGTTGATCCCACGTTTTGCTATTTACTCCATACGGATTGTGAGGCAGATGGAGGTGGGTGTACCACTGTTATAAGCTGTATTCGAAGGTGTCAAGCGTCATTGAGGCTGCGAAATGTAACCCAAGACTGTACAGCACTACCGATGAGGGGTTCGGATATGCCGTGATTCGTATAAATCCTAGGAAAGAGCGACGACTTCATGATTAGTGCAAAATAATGAAGCATCATAAAGCGACCAGTTGACCAATAAAAGAAAAGAGCGAAGAGCGAGATATGGGGAAGATCTAGCCCAGAATATATCCTGGATCAGCAAAGCCCTAATTCATAAAATAGTGGATATCTGCAATAGGAAATCTGGGACGAAGGAAGTCTAGAAAACTACTCCGTACAGTATCTACCTACTTCGGCAAAGGTTGTCCTCGCCGAGGTATTATTAGGGTCATTACGGTAAAATCGAATGATTTTTGTTTTTCACATCGGTAATATCATCCGAGTTTGGGTGAAGAATTGGAGAATCCAATTCCGGGAATGTACTTATTGGCACCCCTATTTTCCTTGGGGTCAGAACTAGCATGTGTTATAGATGTATGTTGTAACTGCCAAGGTATGTGTGCCCATAACAATTCTACATTATCTAGATAACTGTTGGAATCGGTATACTATATCGTCCGGCTTCGCATAAGCATGTTCATCTGATGGCTGGGCATGCTGAGCGACAGTGGGTGTATTCCCCATTCGGTAATTTTGTCTACGTCCGTATGATTCTGTTGGCTGCGTGGAACCGAGGTGAAGGGGGTGGGCGGTAATGTCATGTATGTATGACTGAATTAAATCAAACAAGTAATAAATGAGATCAAAAAAGGACAAAATAAAAGATTTTACAATCTAATGCATAACATAATTCACGACAACACCATCTCGTCATTCCTTTGTTCATTTCACACCCTTAAAAAATACACACATCATCACACAGCAAATTGTATGGCTTAGAAACGTCCCAAGGGGATGGTTGCATTTATCCATCCGTATATCTACTACCACCTACGACCTACAGGCCAATTATCCGATATCATCCTTCCTTAATCTTCCATTTCTACCCTCCATTTTCCAACCGCGCGTTTCGAATCAATGATACCCTATCGCATCCCGCGGGCATCAGTTACTGGGGGATATACTCTGTACAGCATCTGTACCGTATCTTCAAGCCGTGCCACTAAAATTAAATCCAACCTCTCACGTCTCTATTTATTCTGCTGCCTTGTCATAATGGAACTTTGGATCAAGAGTTGTGGAGACGAGAAAACAGCACGGCACATACTTTCCCGCAGCAAAGACCACTGAGGAGCAATGAGCATTGAACACACCCCCATTCATCCATTGATTGATTGATTAATCACTTGATTTGTTTTTTGTTTATTATTATTATTATTATTATTATTATTATTATTATTATTATTATTATTATTATTATACTTTTATTGCTTTTCCATTGTCTGCACTCGCCACCAAAATGAATCCTTGTTCCGCGTATGAACCCTTGGAGAGACCTTGAAAAAGACCTGGAATCCAACCTGGCACCTGGCACCTACAAATAACTTAACAACTTGATAATTCAACTTTGATAAATCAACCTTCACATGTTACAACTTACCATATCCCCGGCCTGTAATGCCACATGGTATTTACGATCTTTAGCGGCACGGCACAGCAAAAACAATCTTGCGTGATGCTGTCAGCTGCGTGGCAGTCGAACGGCAGAGCAACATGGACTTTTGGGAATCATTTTTGACTGGTGATTGAGTGGGCCACGATGACACAATCTCAAATCCTTCAGTCTGTCATTGCTGCTGCCAAGTATTCTTTTCGAGCAATTGTGTCGGCAAAGAGAGTGAACATCTCATTATCTTCTAATTCTGGTTTCTTTCGCTTCTCAATATGTCACACTCTGTTGAGAATTGCGGGATCAAATAATGTAGCACAGCTGTAGCATAAGCTTCATTTCGACCACGCAGTGATGTAGCATTGACTAAGTATTTCAGGATTCAGGAGGCACAATCAAGTTGATTTGGTGCAAGGACGCCCCATCTACCCTGCCGGCGTAGGCACGCGTGCATGAAGAAGGAACCTTATGTTTCTGAATTAGAAACATGGGGGATTGATTCACCAAAATGAGGAAAAGAGAAGGTTTCTAGAATTCCTTAATTCCTACGCCGCATTTTCGATCTGTAGGATTTCTTCGATTTCTTCGATTTCTTTCGGTTGCAGCTTCTAACGATTATCTATCTCACCGCTTATCATTTCATTCCCTGTCGCCGGGAACTTCCCCAAATCCTTCGTGTGCGACCCTCATCCCTCGTGTGCATCCTTCTATAAATTCGACACCGCTAATGTCTAATATACGGCATAGAAGATGTAAGACGGCACATTTTCTTAGATGAAGACAAGGAAGTATTCTGGTCTTCATGCGTGCTTATTCATTATTCTCGGCATAGTCTGCTGATAAAACGTGGCCGGTAGGCAACAGAATAAATTCCTCCACCTTCCTCATTCTCTCAAGACTGCTTCCCCTTAAATCGTGGCAATCGCGTGGTCTCTTGTAACTGTCTAGTTTGTTATCTGATTCTGATAGAAAGCCTGCGCCATCTACCAACAGCTTTGAAACCAGATAAAAGTGTACGTGAAAGCGGTTATCAAGATCTTTTGAATGGATGGCTACACGGAAATTGTTCAAGCTACATAATCTTCCTTCGTAGATTTTTCAACATGGCGAAATCCTGTTCTTCTACAATTGGCAAAGTCAACTAATTCTGGCCCGTGTCAAAATATGACAGTGAAAGTGGTTGTATTCACAACGACTTGCGTAACCCAATGCTATTTTCATTTAGATGTTGATTGTAGTATCTCTCTCCGTGGTGGGAGTCATCAGCAGACTAATTTACCCATCGTAGATCTCGTGCATCACCATGCCATATATTTCAAACTTCACAAGACTCACTCACTGTCACGTTCCTCCCTTGCATCACCTTTCCAAGTAACGCGTTGTGATTGACAATCCTGACCAGTCAGATGGTCCCAGCAGTCTAAATAAATCTCCCAATTCATGTACAAAGCCTTCTCCCACAAAGTTACCAATCGAGCTGCAGCCCCTCGATAGGCTGACACGCCATAAGAAGTGATCCCATCTTTATGAACTCATCCACTAACTTGCCTGATAGTTAAATTTCTGTTTACGAACCCCTTCCTCTTTTGTGCCTCCTACTAACATTCAAACCAACCAATATCATGGAGGCTCAAGCACACAGATGTAAGTTTGTTAGTCTGCATACTTTACGCGCTCGGAAAGTTTCTGAATTCAATGGTCATGTATCCACAGCCAATTATAGATTGAAGCTTTGCAGTATATCTTAAATTGGGGATTTCTCTTGTCAGTAAAGGTTGAAATCACGGAGTAGATACTAATTTTGTATCTCTGTAATGTTTGCTATGTTTGTTGTGTTTGGTAATGAACCGAGTTCCTGCATTTGCTCCTCCCATCAAACAATATCCACTTTCGACGGGGTTACAAGGCGCGTGAGACTGTCTGCACCCTTTTGCACTTTCCTGCATAGATCCATCTATTCATTTTCTACAAATAGCCCATTGCTTTACATGACATGACATAACTTGGCATGATATGACCTATCAGTATGTCAGCCGGTATCAATTTCCATACAGTTGGTACAGTATGCCTCCAACAATACCAACCAGCAAAAGCATAACCCCCTACATTCCTCCTCAATCATATTTCAAAGCCCTAGTACAGCCTAGTTTGTCTGCTCCTCGAGCATTTCAACAGCGTCTGGAAATTTGATGAGTGGGCTTTTGTGTATATCCTATGACGGATGTCCGGTTGTATGGCGTACAGTGTACTCGGTATGGGTTAGTGGGTTGTATGGGGAATCCGTAGATTACTCGAAAGTCTCATAATCTATCTGTGTAATATATTTTCGGGGCTAGAAATTGAGAAGAGCGAGCTTGAGAATTTTGTACTTTAATTCTTGGTGCACGTATATCTGTTTAGTGAATGATGTATATAGTAATGCAGTGAGGTAGAGTTATATTCATCATCTAAGATACATCATTTAGTAATTAAATTATTGAAGTGGGGAGTAACTTTTATTTTTTATCCCACTTGTTCCTTCCTCTTCTTCTACGGGATGATATCGAGTATAAGCATAATTACTGTATACATTACATTCACTCAAACTGCACATACATTCATCTCCTAAATTACTAATGCATCTGCATCTTTGACAAAAAAATTTAAACTAAATCTCTCTACAGTCAGTCTATAAACCAAAATACACCCATCTACCAGCTACTCCTCAAACATAAAGCATCGAATAGATACATTTCTCTCCTTCCATCCCTTCTCTTCCCCCTCTCAGTCAAAATTCACAAACAAGAAACCGCCAAAACCACAAACGCGCACAAACATACATTTTCTATACATACACACCATGGCAGTCAAGGCAAGACCAAGACCAATAGCCAGAAGACGATCTAATTGCCTGCTACTCTCGCAACTGCTAGATTGCAATTGGTGCTCGACGAATCGTATGGTGTATACGGTGAGGTGAGGTGAGCTTGCTTTATTGTGTTGTGATGTGGGATGGGATGGAATGGAATGATGGGTTGGACATTGAAAATTGAAGTTTGAAGTTTGGATATAATAATAGAAGAAGTCTCCCAAGTCTTGGTCTGCTCAAAAGATATCTCGATACTTGTATTGCTGTTTGAATAGCGCAATGTGAGTTGTAAGGCCGCTGGTGTCTATGTTTATCAATTATGTTTAGTATCGCTGTCATTGCCATTGACACTGCAACTGATACTAGAACTAGTACTGGCACTGGCACTGGCACTATATCGTCTCTTTTATTTGTCTTGTAAGGAATGTAAGAAGATGCAAATAAATATAAATAAATCGAAAACATCAATATGAACTTAAAAATTTATGCACTCTCATCTCATATTCTCTCTGCATCTTCTATAATTATCCGAATGTTTAGTTACCAAGAAAGCTTGGTCTCATCTCATCTCATTACACTCTGATTACTACCGTAACTGTACCTGAGGAAGTTATTAGATTCGTCTTCAAGATCAATCCATTCCGGACATTGGGTTTATTGAGATACTCCTCATACTTGCAAGGGAATTCGCATCACATTCATCAGAGTGTTCTCTGAACATATGTAAGACACGAAAGGACTCGCAGCTATAATACAAATAGTTTGAACTAAAGCCTCCCATAATCATAGGAAACTCGCCATTATGTGCTCTAATTACCCCGAAGCGAAAGAGAAAGGTATTCAATGATCCATTATACCAATCTTATGACACAAGTCCCATCTTCGCACAAACAATAACATCAACACTTCCTTGAAGCCATACTATTCTTTCCCGCTCAATCTGCGTACATTTCCCCAAAGAAACCATCATCATCTTTCGGCTGCGTCTTAGCTGGTTCCTCCACCACCACACCAGGCTTTTCTTTTACCTCCGCAGAAGTCCCACTCTTCGTACTCTTCGTCGGTATCAAGCTTGAACTCTTCCTTACATCAGTAGTAGCAACTTGCAACGTACTCGCGGCTGATGATTGTCCTTGAGCCGCTACTTTAAAACACATGCATTCACAAGGACCTGTATGCCCAGCTGCTTTCTCCGAATCATCAATAGGTTGAGCGTGTAGTTCGCCTTCGGAAAGTTGAGCCGTTTCGTATTCGAGTGCTTTGATTAGCTTGTAGATAATGCTTGCTAGGCCGGCGCCGGCGATGGGACCAACCCAGTAGATCCAGTGGTAGCTGGGGAAACTCCTGGTTATGACTGCGGGGCCGAGGGAACGGGCTGGGTTCATAGATCCACCGGTCCAGAAGACGCCTTGAAGAAGTCAGTGTGAGTATTATAGAATACTTGGGTTAATTTAGTTTGGCTTACCAGCAAGTTCTCCAATAAACACAGATAATCCAATACCCAATGGTGCCAAAAACGTAGCTTCATGCTTTTCGGCCGCGAGCATAAGAACAGTAAAGCAGAGCTGACACGTGAGTATCATCTCGACAATAACTCCTTGTGCTGTGCTCATGCCAGGCTTAAGAGTCGTTGCTGTGTGTAAACCTCCATGATATAAACCATAGGCCATTGCCGATGCTGCGATCCCACCAGCACATTGTGCTACACAAAGCAAGACACATCTTGTCAAATCAATTGCGCCGACGAAGAATAATGCAATAGAAACCTTTTACATGTCAGCACAGAGCCTACTTGTTATATTTCGATTCCTAACGCACAGCCGGATCGAATAGTCCTCCACTAATACGGAAGAAAGTCCATGCATTAACAACCAAACTGATTCCGGCTCCAAATGCTATAAACAATATCTGATCGGTACTAATGGATTTCGTTGTGTAGTTAACTTTATCGCCTTTATTATCATTCGCTGATGCGAGAGCCACTTCTGCTGCGGAAAAAGCGATGAATAGAAAGGCCGTTGTACCGATAAGTTCTCCTATAACAGCAACGACATGACCTCGCACTGTCTGCGGAATGGAGGCAAAGAACTTCGTGAAGATCTTTTTGAGGGGATCGAGACGGGAGAGTGCGGTCTGGCCGGGACCGGAAATATTAAGTGTAGGTTGGCCATTCAACGTCGTGACGGACATTTTGATGGACTGTAGGTTTGAGGATAAAAATGCCGTTCATAGGTTTGCGAATTGTAGAAATCATGAGTAGTTGAAAATGTGAAAGGTCAAAATTTCGAAAACATTATGTTTTGCTGTTATTTAGTTCAATTGCTCTTTCTATACGGACATGACGAGACGACTATCGGTGTGCATGGCCAGAGTCAAAGGGAAAGAACGCCCGCATGGAAAAGTTGAACTTTATCCTAAGTTAACTATGAATAATTGTTAGTAATAGAAATCTATTGCTTTTTCCTTATATAAATGCACAATTTGGCGTCCTTCATATGTAGTGCTTGCTTAAACAATTTACTGAAAAATGCTATCATCATGAGACGGTTTTCTTAAAGCGCAACATCTGGAGAAAGAACTATATCTAAATGAATGTGCTGACTTTATCAAACGTGAACAATCTTTCGCCCGAGCCACCTCCTGCAAATCTTTATTCTCAAAGAGGCCCCTCTACAACTTCTCTGGAGAGACACCTGCCTTCCTGTACATTTCCTCTTCGAATGTGTGAAACAATAGGTTGCCTTTTGGATCTCCAGGAGGTGTAAGCTGCGAGGCCCACATGCCGCATATTCCATCTTTACGGTTGATCCACCAAAAATGGTTTGCATATCCTACCCAAGCCAGCGAGCCCTTGCTTCTACCACCAATATCTTCCAAATTGATCATTCCTCCAAGGCCAAAATCGACTTTCGATCCTTGAGGTAAGTCACACATACATGCTTTGATATCTGGACTAGAAAGAGTTTTCATCAACCCTTCTCTTGCGGCTTCGCTGAGCTGCGGCTTAAACATCTCGTCAATGGTTTCCGATTTCAACAATCGACCATCGTCAGAACAAATGCTATGCAAACACTTGAAATAGTCGAGGGGACTTCCAAACGTCCCAGCACCTCCATAACAATCTTTGGTACCTGGATGGAATAGGACTTGGCTCGTGTATGTGACCTTGCCGTCGGGGTTTGCCGTTGTGCCAGTCGGAGTTAATGGCCCTTCCCTTCGGCTCATCGCAACTATTTTCGAGTTTATTTCTGGGTGCTGAACTGGATGAAAGGTTATACTTTCTACGCCAAGAGGTTCCCATACATTCTTTTTAGAGTATTCCTCCAAGGAGATATTGCCATTGACTCTCTCTACCATTTGACCAGTCCAATCAATATTAGCGCCGTAGGCCCATGAGTCACCAGGCGCGAAGAGAAGCGGGAACCTCATGACATCCTTTACCAAGCCAGATTCACTGCTCATTTTAGGCGGCTTGCCAATGTAGTTTTGGTAGCGAGCAAGTAACGGATCTTGATCATTTTTAGCCATTTTCATCAACGCCAGAACTCATGTTGCTTACCGAAAATATCATATGCAATACCGGATGAATGTGTGAGAAGATGTCTGGTCCAGTCAGCTCATTTCTCAATATATTGCGAGTCTGCGAGTGCAACAAACCGAAGTGTTATAGTTTTGTGGTTGTCTATCAAGATTGGCTTCCCGCTCTCTTCGTCAAAACCAGTCAAAATTTGTACACCCTTGAATTCTGGTAGGTGTTCACAAATATCTCCGTCTAGGCTTAAAAGGCCTCGTTCAACACATTGCAGTGCCGCGATAGTTGTGACTAGCTTTGTGCAGGAAGCAAGCCACATGACATTGTCCAGTGCCATGGGCGTTGCGGGATCCTTGAGAGATTGATATCCGAAGGCTTTCTCATAATAAAATTTCCCTAATATATGTTAACAACTGCAATCCATGAACCAGCGAATTGGGATGGGAAGAAATATTATGAGCCTCAAAATTGTGGTTATGGACTTTGGACTTGTGATGCTAGTCCACACACATAAACTCTACCCATCAACACATTCCGCGAAATCAAGAAGAGAGACATACCAGAAATATCTCCTGCCACCACAATTGCACCTGGAATATCTCTGGCTGTGCAGGCATCTTCTACTGTCTGTTCAAAGTTCGACATCTTGTTTTTGAGACTAACAAATCACAAGAAATGCGGTCAACAGTTGGTTGATACGTACGAGAAAAATGGATGAGCAGCGAAACAAGTATTGGAGCAATGACTGTAAGATAAAGTTAACAGTAGAATGGACTGTAATGAAAGAAAACAGAAAACGAATACCTGTGTCTAGGTATTTATATAACGCAATCTATCCTCTAAACGGCACCGGGTACCTTAGCCATTACTTACCCGCGTCGTTGTCCACCCCGCTTTAATGTCCGTCCCGCGTGGAGAAGTTTGAACCTCGGAACAACAGTGATTGCCGAAGTCCCCTTTTGCAATCCTCATCAAAAAATAACTCATATATTCATACTCGGGCTAGTCTTTAAAGAGGGCCGGGGGCTTAGCGAAGTATATTTCTATATCAAAAATCATCTATTTCAAAAATTTCTATAAATTCAATGAATAATTATATATAATTTCAAATTTTAAAAATGTAATAAATATTTATCATATATTTGATATATTATTAATTTCTCATCTTTATAAATTGAAATATACTTTGAAAAACTAAAAGATACCAGGGGCCTGCGGCCCGGACCCTGGCTTTTCGAGATAGTCTAATGAAAATTTAAGTTTTAAAAAGTTTATAATAAATTTAAATATTAAATATATATCAGAGTGCAGACAGAATATCAGCTTGTTTTTGATAATTGAAAATTAATTTTTTTTTAAAAATAATAATAATAATATTTTGTATTATTATTATTATTATTATAAGTTGAATTGAATGATTTTAATAAAGTTGAATGATTTCAATAAAATTGAAAAAAGTTGTAAGTCAGATTTATCTAAGGTTATAGGGCTTATGTCAAGCTTTTTGTTAGATTATTTACCGGGGTATTTATCAGGGTATTTTAGACCAATTAGATTGTCAGGATCGCGATTCACTTAAGCGAGTTTCTCATTTTCTACAACCTACACCGGGTAAATTGCAGTACACTACACACACAACGAGGTTTTGGTATCGGCAAGCCGATAATAATTTATAATTTCAACTCTTTTATAGGTTTTCTTTAAAATTATTTTAAGATTTAATTAAAAACAATTTAGAATTTTAATGCTATTGGTTGTGACAGGGTATAAGGAAGTGAAGTTTCAGTATATACTTTGTAGTATTTGTATTGATTTGTTTAAAGAACTAGAACTATAGAAATAAAGAACTATATAAATATGTAACCCCTCTTGCCGAGGCACTAGCGCCAACGCTAGTGATTCATGTGATCAATATCTCAACAAATATCGTTAATCAATATAAATTATTTTTAAATTATAACAAATTTTGGTTCTATAAACATCTCTCTTACACCTCAGCCTAAACAGAAACCTCCATTACAAACTCCAATCCTATTCCCCTCTCCTTCCTCCTCCCACCTCGAATCAGAGACATGACGTAATCATACGTATACACACTGCTCAAGCCGAGCCTTAAAAATATGGGACGCGGATACGGCAAACGAGTCTTCCGGATCCTTCTAGGCCTAGAAAGGTATGTTTGAAGGAGTTATATATAAAAGCAAAAGTAGGCTTTTATTTTATTAACAGTCTCAATTTCTACATTGAGGGGAATAAGAAAAGTGGATTTGAGGTAGTAATATAGATATTTTGGAGGTTGGAAAGGCGATGCCGATGGTTTGAGAGTAAATCTTGACCAGTTATATAATGAATGACTTTTGATTTGTTTTTGCAATTCGGTTTTCATATTGGGATAATCTGCCAGTGGAATATCCATATAATTTAGAGGATCCATATATGATTTGAGATCATCCAAACAAATGAAGTGTTTTACATCTAATTTTATAGCTGCCCACTCGGGACTGTAGGACAAACTCATACAACAACTGAAACAGAAACCAAATACCAACACAAGAACCAATTCCTCAATATTAACTCCCACTCAGCTATTCTGCCCTAATCCGACCACCATTCTTCTGTAATATTTTAATCACATTATAGTATCCGGATCCACGGATTCATAGGATCCTCTATCAAACTTGAAAGCAATTATCACATATTAGCCCAAAAGAGAAAATGATTAAAAATTACAAGATTCATAAAGATAATAGATCTATATAGGAAACAGAAAGTTGGAGAGATATATTTAAAATTATGAAAACAGAGAATGATGAGAATGAGAAAGACATGAAAGGAAATGGTTAGAAAGAAGGTTGTAATAAAGTTAGAAGAATCCGGTTAAGTCAGAGGAGTCCGGTTAACTAAGGAGAATTCCGATCAAGTCAGAAGAATTCGGTTAGGTCGGAAGAATTCGGTTCAGTCGGAAGGAGCGGAATTATGCGAGTTGTCCTCGTGGGTTCTGAGGGTGGGAATAAAGGGGGGCGAGTATGAGGATGATGAAATGATGGTGTCAGGAGCGAAGGACTAGTATATGCAAAGAACTATTATAGTTAGTAGAAAATGGAAAGATCCTACGGATCCTTTCCCTCTTTATCGAATGCAACAATTATCAATTGACCCTTAGGTTTCATACGTTGCATGACAGATAGTGCGGAATAAATCAATCACTCTAGTTTCCGACCATCAATTATATTAAAAATTATTATTCTTAACATCCTTGGATAATATAATGTACTTAAATCTCAAATAAAAATCTTTATATAAATTTTAAATTTATGTTTTTTTTTTCATAAATTTTCTTGTTGAAACATCAAGTGTTTAAATATAATTTTTAATTTATAAATTAAAAACCAAACCTTCAAAATATTAAATAACTTTTAATAAAAATAATTTAAGAATTTTACATTTATTATATATATATATATATAAAAGTTATATAAAAGTATAAAATATTAAATATTTTATTTTTAATATTTCTATAAAAGAGATTGTAAAAAATATTTAAAAATATTAAAATTAATTTATAAATCAAACTTTAAAATTTTATAAAATTAACAAGTTTTAATCTAAATCTAATACTCTATTATTATAAAAGTTACAATCTAGATTATATAAAGTGATCTGGATCCTTGAATGGTTTATAATTAAGCGTTAAGTAGAGGTTTAACTGTTACGATTATAGATCTTACAATAACTGTTTTTATATTTACAAGATACGATTTGATCAATTTAATATAAGATTAAGATGATGTAAGGATTTAGTAAATAACAACAATAGAATTGTATAATCAAATAATTATATAATATTATTCTTATTAATTTTTTTGATTTAAATCGATAGGAGTAATAGAAAGGATTTCTATCGATTTTATTGATTCTATTCAATAGAAGAAATGAAATATAGAATATGAAGAACTATATAATTAGAAAAAGATTCCTTTTGTAAAGCTTTGTATTCAAGATCAATCATTTAGTATACTCTACTATTAGTTACGAATTGCAATTATTACTGTTGTTACTTAAGTCCCTGCTTGACGCCTAGTTGTAAACCACCTCGAGAGCCTAGAGCACTTCCACGTGATCTAGACGGCAAACCTCGTAACAATTGCATCTATCCATAAGAATTGAGGTTGTGGCTTATGGCGAAAACGCTGGAGGGGCAACCAAGCGCTCTCTTGAATCTTTAATGATGCACCGTCACATACAATTTGATGTAGGACTGGCCGGCCCCATGTATAGGATAATGCCTTGTATGGTATAGATGAATGCATATCCGGAATCACTATAAGTTTGCATTCTGTCGGATCTGGAAAACTGCCCGGTAAAAGCTCTAGTAGTCGAAAACTGCTGCTTATAGGTAGGGCACAGTATTGGTATGTTCAGTGTTACTGGACTACTTAGAATGGGAATGACGAAAATCGAAGAGCAATATGGAGATAGTATCAAACCAATATTCTTGAACCACAGAAAAAGGAGGCATTTCTCTTGCACGTTGATGTTCTCGCCATCTCCAGTCGGCGTTATAGAACTTCTGACCATCAATTGTTTGTCAGATACATGTTGGAATGGGGATAATGCATACTTTGCGCTCAACCCTGGCACAATGGGTTCTGGTATAGTTAGCACGCGAATTCAAAGCCAACATTTCTGCAGCGTATTTTATCAACATAACTAGCTAGAGTCTTGTAGAAGTCATCTATTCCATCTCGGAGATGGTGGTAAGTTCGACTCGTAGTCAAATAAGTTTCAATTCTCCATACCCACTCAGGCAGTTCTTTTGAAGGACCTTCTCGTTTATCCTATTTCATTATGTGGGATGAATCCTTAACAGCCAACATTTTGGCTATCAAATTCACAACACATTTTTTTTCGGAAGACACCTTGTTTAATTAAGAGAAAGTAAGGGAGAGGGAAAGAAGGAAAAGGGAAGAGAAATAATAAAATTATTCTTAGGATGTAAGTCTAGTACTCTACTTTTGGGTCACCCACCTTTTGGGCTACCTTTTTACATCAAAAATCATCATTTTCAATTATTAATAATTTTACAATTAATCAATAGAATTTAATATAATTTGAATCATAGATTCACTACATGATTATAAATCAATTCTGAAAATTTCAATTGATTTCATATATTCGTTGTTGAAATATTAATAGCTGAAAATCTCGATTTTTGGTGTAAAAAAGTGGCCCAAAAGGTGGGTGACCCAAAAGTAGAGTACTAGACTTACATAAAGATCTCGAGTTTTGTTGTTTTGTCATGATTTGTATTTCGTTGAATACCATGAACTTTCACGAAATCAAAGGTATGTCCCACTTGCTAGCAACATCCTTATGTCCAATTAGACGAGTCTAGACTGAGGAACGTTTCAAACCGTGTTAAAATGTATTATGTATCTATATTCTCAGGTAGGGAGGTCGAAGTAGGAGCGATCATGGGGTGGCTAATCCTCATTTAGTATTCAAGTAGTATGTATAGTAAAGCTATGTCTTATAAGTGCGAATAGTGTTGAGAGGGTAACACCCGTTGAAGGAACTCCATGACATGCTTTGAAAGACTTGATGATAATGTTGCTTGATTTTGTGCGAGGATCAAGGGCCGCTGTCCAAAAGTACTCCTATTGGTATATATGTAATTCATGAGCCTGTCCTGCCAACCAGCCCTTTTCATCTAACGGCCGTGCCATATTATACTCTAAATACTTATCATGATTCCCAAATCCCACCATGAACGCCCTGCCAATGCTTGCCTGCTTTAAACTTCCAAACATCAAAGAGACATTTTAATACAGTATATCAACCGTTACCACCACCGCTATTGTTGACCATGTCCCGAGTTTTATGTTTATTCAACCCATACCAACATATTTGAACCAATTCGCCCTGCAATCCTCCTTATGCAGCCAAGCTTCTCCATCTGTGAATCGTCCCGCCTGACAACCTTTGCACTTTGGAGAGTTAGGGCAGTTGAAGTAGGGGATGTGCTGATAACCGATATCACGGAACCTTTGAAAGAGATTAGCTACAGACATAAATCTTGCAAAAAAGTCTCAAAACTTACCAATGAATCTTGCTCGAATCTTCAAAAAGTGCTAATGCTATACTATGAACTGGCGCATCTCCCCATCGCTCGTAGAAGAAGCCTCCAGCACGGTCCAAGTGATTGAAATAATCCTCATATGCTTGACTGCGCCAGAAATCCATGTTACCAATTTCGAAGTTACTCCAGAAATGGCATGTGGAGTAGCCGTTTGCTTTCTGATTATGTTCGGGTCTCCGCGCACTGTCGGTGATCCAATTCATTGCATTATTATCGTGGATGTACTCTGGATGTGCAGCTAAGAATTTCGTCGTCTCGGGCCACAAGGTTGGAATCGATTGAGGGGCATCGTAAAGATTGATAGTAAACCCGTACGTTTTATTCTGATCCTGCATATATCTGAAAACATCATAGTCGACATCGCAGAAGAAATGAACTTTTGGTTCGACACGCCAGTAAAATTGCATATTTGCCATGGCTGGATGTTTGTAAAATAGGCCGCTGTTCCATCGACACATTTGGTGGTACGATGCCATGCTGGCATATTGGATGTCATTCTCCTTCAATATCTTTGCTGATTCATCGAAAAGCTCTTTATCGATCCATGAGGGAATCTCCCAATGTTCTTTCGGGATCAATTCTGCCAGGATTGTTAGAGTTGCCAGGTTGTCATCATAGGTGAAGCTGCGTACCATATTTGCATTCTGCCTTCGTTTCTGCAGAAGTTCGACGTTTAAATTCCTCTGTGAATGGCACATCATTGAAGAACGTCCACGGATAATTGAACTTATGATTCCATGTTCTCTCGAGATCTTGCATAGCTTGTACCATGCCATCGACCTCTTCGTTACGGACCAAAGATAAAAGAGTAGCATTAATTCGACTCGTTCCCTCAGCCCCAAGTCCGTAGCCCTGATCAGCTCTCCATAACACACCTTCCGGTTCTCCAGTAGCTATAAAATTCGTTAGCAAATAAATGGCATATGAGAAAGTTTGGCGCATACGATCTAGATTAGGGTCTCTTTCTATATTGTCAAGTGTATCTCCAGGCCCTAATACTCGTTTTTCTCGACCAAAAACTTGATATAAGAAAAATATCCATAATCCTATGGCCAATAAGCCCAAGACTCGAATTGGGCGTGCTACAGCCATAATTGATTGTTTTTGGCTTAAAAATGTGTTCAAATTCCTAAACTCATTGAAGCTTGGAACAGTATCGCGACAACTCCGCGTAAGATTTATCGAAAATAAAAACCACCCTAACTCCACACCCATAAAAGGGGATGGGGATGGGATTTGCCTCGTCACCAATTCCAAAGCTAAAGCGATAACAGCCTTGTATCTAAGGTTAAGTGGTAACGCGTCTTATCGATCCTGGGACCGCGTAAAACCACAGCTCAAATATTAATGTCACCGTTATTGTTAATGTTGATTCTAATGTTTAGATGAATCTCACCTGGATACATGTCTGATCAAAATTTATACATATTATAAGAGAGCCTTACTAATGGATATATCCAATGGCACATCTTGTAAAGCTGGGAGCTTTAACAGATGAACTTGTTACATTAATCACTTCCTTCTCCTCGCAGGTAAATATGTCATTTGATTCTAATATCTTGTTCAATGCGTCGAAGTTCCCAAAGCCGATGAGCTGACCAAGTTAGTCTGATTCTGCCAGGTTCAATACTTGTCGAGAAACTGCTCTTCGAGCTCTCAGGCATAGTAACTACAATCGAACGAACCAATTCGATATTGCAGATCGACTCGAGGGGCTTGACGAAAAGTTTCGAGTCTACAATGAAGATCCACTCGCAGATGCGCTCAAGGAGCGTCTGCAAAAATTGCCTGAATTAAAGTTAAAATGGACATCCGAAATTCTCCACCTACTTCTTGAATTGTCGAATAAGCCGGTCTCCAAATCCAGGATTGAAGATCTAGAATTGATAAAAATAATAGATCCCAAAATAGAACCTCCATTGAAATGGCGAGATCTTGTAGCTGAGGATCCTTTACTACGAGAAAAAAGTATTTGGCGAAATGTCGATTTCGGGGCGGATAGTTCTGAAGATGATGATGACGGTGGCTTTGAGGATACTCGATCAGAATTGTCAGAGTTGACTGGATCAACGGGAGAATCGAGCTTGGATGATGACAACATTAGGAGGCCCCAAGATTTCATTGTGAATACACTTGATGAGGACACTTTGAATAATTTGAGGAAGGCACAGTTTTGGCAGAAACCACCAAGCGTGAATGGCGTCCAGCTAAAGACTGTTAAAAAGCCTATCACCGAACTTCAGGCCGTCCGAGAAGTTCTCTTTATGTTTACTGGATCATTGAGCTCTCTTTTCGAAATGGACTCACATGATGTTCGGAATCTTAAACCTTCGAAGCGTTATACTTTCAAGCATTTGACTACGGAAGGTTATGATGTGCTAATGCAAAACTTCGCGACTCAAGGCTCAGCGTTGAATATTCTTCGAGCCTGGGTAAAACAACCCCAACATGTGCCGCTACTACAGGTTTTGCAATCATCTATTTCTCAGCGCCTTATGAATTTCGACACTAGGTTGTCCAACATTGAAAGAAGATTTGTCGCTCCACCGTCAGATGTGGTTGTAAGTCTTTTGAGTCTACAGAATGAAATAGCAGATTTTACAAAGCCTCTCAGCAGACTTACCGACCTTATCAAACGAATTGAGCTCGATCCATATGCCCATGCTTTTCGTTATCTTGAGTTCCTATATGACGAAACTTGTACGTCTCAGATGGCTGGAGACAATGACATGTATGAATTTATGGGTAAGATTTTTTTTCAGTGCTTTCAAATCTATCTACGGCCGATTCGATCATGGATGGAGGAAGGCGAGCTTAGTAGTGGCGACAACGTATTCTTCGTCTCTGAAGTTATTGGTAACACAGATCCATCTTCAATTTGGCAGTCTCGCTTTAAGCTACGCAAGACTCAGACTGGTGTTTTACATGCTCCGAGTTTCCTTCAAACTGCTGCTGAAAGGATATTCAATACTGGCAAAAGTGTTGTTGTATTGAAGCATTTGAGTCAATTCGAATCAGTACGATCAAAGAGAATGATAGAACCGAAACTCGACTTTGATTCAGTATGCAATACCAAGAAATTCTTCTTGGCCCCTTTCTCCGAATTATTCGATGTAGCATTCGAAAACTGGATCAAAAGCAAACATCATCACACTTCTAACAAGTTACGACAAACCCTCTTCGATTCTTGTGGCTTACATAGTGCCCTCGATGCCTTAGCTCATGTTTACTTCATTGCCGATGGCATCTCTTCCTCGAGCTTTATGTCATCGGTTTTCGATAAGCTAGACACATTAGATGCTTCATGGAATGATCGCTTTCCATTGACAGAGCTCGCACAGAGTACGATTGGTTCCCATCCATCCATAATTTCAGAACGACTTCGATTGCGCATCCGACCTCTTTCGCAAAGGAGTCGAGATATCAATAAATGCAGAAGATCAGTTAAGGTCTTGTCCATAATCGAACCCATATATCACCTCTCATGGCCTATTCAAATAATAATCACTCCACAAACAATTCCCTCATATCAAAGAATCTTTACCTTTCTCTTCCAAATTCGTCGTAGTTCCCACATTCTTTCCCGAGAACGTCTCATCTCCGATCGCCACAATCTAACCAGTACCACTGATGAACGTTCTCTATATTACGCCCTCAGAACCCGTTCACTGTGGTTCTATTACACTCTATACTATTATCTCACATCCCTGGTCCTCGAACAACGCTCTCAGAAAATGCATCAAGATCTCCAGGATGTCGAAGACATCGATGCAATGATTCGCGTTCATACATTGTTCGTTAAACGTATCACGGATGAATGTCTCCTAGGTACTAAACTCGAACCCATCCATAAAACTATCATCAAAATACTCGACCTAGGCATCAAATTAGAGGATGCCCAAGCGGCAAATACAGCAAAGAGGAAAGAAGCATTGGAAAAACAACAGGAAATCCTAGATCTTTCCCTAGCATCCCTAGATCTCCCTCCTACCCCGCGGACATTGAAAAATTCAAGGATGAGCATGAGTATGAGCATGAACACGAGAATGAGAATGAGTCCCGCGAAGCAAAGGGACGAAAACGAAAACTCAGAAGATGAAATGGAAGTAGATTTAAGTATCCTATCACCGGGAATAGATCACAATGAGGAATCATACGTACAGAAATTAGAGAGTATGAAAGGGGAATTTGACAGATTGGTTCGGTTTGTAGGGAGTGGGTTGAGGGGAGTAGCGAGAGCGAGTGGAGGGGAGGAGGCAAAGGGGTGGGATGTGCTGGGGGAAATGATTGAGGCCGGGGTCGATGCTTAGGTTTTTTTTTGGGCTAGTGGTTGGTGGGGGATTTAACATTAGGTGGAAGATTAGGTGTAGGATGGAAGATGGATGGATTAAGTTGATGATTTGTGAAAGTTGTAGTTATACTTCTTTATATCTGACTGAACTTAAATTGATATCCTTCTACTTAGGTACTCGTAGGTATTCACATCGTGGATTATTGGATGGGATGTATCAAAGAGTTTAGCGATTAATCAATTAATCAATTAAAGTAGAGCTAAATAAATAATATATCTTGCATCATATAGATGATAAATAATAGATCAATTGAAAGACTTTTATTCCAAAAGCTTTTCTACTAATGCCATCAATACTAATAACACTCCCAAAATATCCCAAACCAAAAAACAGACGTTTTGTTAAAAAAACATATATATAATCAAGCGATCCGGCCACCCATCCATCAATATACAATCAAACCAACTCAATCCATTAAACCCATTCAATGAAGTTCCATCCTAAAACGCCTTGAAAAATTCATACACGCGTAAGTCATTACTCATACACAATCCCCTATCCAATTACTCATTTTCATCCTTTGCACTTCCACTTTCCCAAACAACAAAATCTGCTTCGGGTTGTTCAATGGGTTCAACTATTTTCTTTTGCACAAGGAAATCAATATCAATTCCCTTACCTTTTCCTTTGTCGGATGTGATTGTCGTAGGTTCAGAGATTTGTTCTTCCTGTTCCGAAGGACCCTCGATCACCTCCTCAGCTTCGTCCTCCACCAACACCTGCGGTTCAGGATCTGGAAGAATAACGAAAACGCTCTTCTCATCACAACCTTCACCATAGAAATCCTCTTTTCTCATCTCTCCCAATGGAGATCTATCAACATCAATAACCCCTTCCTCCATTTCCCTTCGTTTCCTTTGCATCTTGACTTTCAATTTCATCTCTCTAATCTCCATTTCATCTCTACGAGACATAGATGAAGAAGTAGAGGAACTTGAAGCGAAAGTATTCATCGAAGTACGAGTTTGAGAAATATCATCTAGAGGTGGAACGTTTTCCTTGCCTCTTTCATCTCTCATTCTAGTAAGCGATTCTTCATCTGATGAAATATCGAGAGTACATGTACTGTGTTCCATAAGATTGGTTGCGAGTTCTTCTTCGGTATCCTCATGGATTTGAAAGAACCAGGATGATTTACTTTCGGATGCATGAAGAGAGGCGGGAATTTCCCTACGAGAGGCATAAGATTTCGATGACGAGGTAGAAATAGATTTGGAGGAGAGGGCTTGACGTTGAGGTTGACGTGCACCATATGAAGGAATGGTTCCAGAGAGAGCAGCATCAATTGAAAAGCTAAGACCGCTTGGTTTTGGAGTGGAGAATTTTGGTGGATCAACGCTAGTTATTGGGGTGAAAGTACGACGACGATTATTGAGGATTCCGACGCGTTTTCTGGTTGGGGAACGACCTGCAGGAGCCGTAAGGGGTGTAGATTTTGTTACAGAGGTGGTGACTTTTGGTGTTTGAGAACGAGGTTGGAGAATATTTCGCTGGTTGATGGGCTTGGTAGGTTTCAGAGGAGAGGAAAGCGCCGCGTCAGTGGGAGATGGTGGTGCATTGATTAGGAAGAAGTGTGTAGGTTCTGAAAAACTGTCTTTAGCCGCATCAACAGCTTTGGATCGTTTGGGAGATCCGAAGGTAAGAGGATCAACATTTTCCGAATCATCATCAGATTCGTATGTGGTTGCTTTCCGCTTAGAGGGGGATGTAGGATTTGGTGATAGAGCTGAAGAGTATGAGTTTAACATTCATAGGTATATTATACAAGGTCAACGAGAAACAGTGAATACCTAGCAACAGTTGAGAAAAACAACTGTTACTAGGTAGGTATCTAGTGAAGTGGAACTTTAGCATACCGTTTTGACGATTCTTAACACTAGTAATATTCTGTAGACGTGAACTATTCAATGGTGCGAATGGTTGTCTTGCTATTCCCATTGGCATATGCGAAGTCATGACTGCGATCTGTTTTGTTTTTCGAATGTTTGTATCTTCAATTCCTTCCTTGTCGTGAAATGTATATCACTTTTTGTAATGAGATTGAGTGAATGAGTAATTGAATAAATGATTTCTCAAGATTTGAACCACGTTAATAATTGTTATGAAGCAATATTTCGTAGGAGGCGTTTCAAAAAATGTGGTGGCAGGAAGGAAGAAAATTGATCAAGTCAAGTCGCGTCCTTTCGTGAAGGTGGAGGAGTGAGAAAGTGGAGTTTGGAATACAGTGCGCGCAGTGCAGTACGTTCGTTGGTACGTCGATGTCGGTATCGGTATCGGAAAGTCGGAAACCTGCTTTGATATTTTATGAAGGTTTTAAGCGCCCAACAATTGATCAATCGTCTTTTATGAAGATTTTCGTGAGGTAATGTAGGTATGTAGGTATGTAGGTATGTAGGTAGGTCGGTAGGTAGGCAGGTAGGTAGGGTAAAGTAAGATCCTTAAGGGTAAGGTAAACGAAATATTATTTTCCCACACAATAAATCAAGCAGGAGAAAATTCAAGCGTGCGTGAACCAATTCGGATGCAAGTCACGAAGAGAGACCAAAATAAACAAACAGACAATCAACCAATAAGTTTGTTTCGCGAAAGCAGATCAAATCAGATCAGAGCAGATCAGATCATAAGAATACTTGGGTAGTATGTGTGTATGTGTGTATGTGTGTATGTGTGTATGTATGTGTGTAGGTAGGTAAACAGAAGAGAAGGAAGCACGAAGAGAAAAGAGAAGAGAAGAGAGAAGAAGAAGGGAGGGGGAATGCAGGATATATTACAGAGTACCAACCTTCTCGCGCCTTCAGCTCCAGAAATGGAAGGAAGCCTATCATATCAACCCCACTAAATCAATCATAATTCATAATTCATAACTTCACCATTCATAAATTCTATCCATCTCGCTCATACAGAGAGAGTCCCATTTAACAACCCTTACATTATCTACCGAGTACACGCTCATCCCCCATTTCCCAATTCCACGCGTCCCAGCGCGTAATCTACGCGATTCCCACCAATCCCAATCCCAATCCCAACCCCAACCCCAATCCAATTTCGCGTCTGGATCCAAAGGTAAGACTTACATTACATTTCTATCCCCCTCAAACCAAGATGATAATGATAATGATGGACAACAAGCGAGACATCCATCCATCCATCCATCCATCCATTCAAACAAACCCCGAATCATGCAATCCCAATTCTCATCTCCGATTGGTATACATAGCCACCAGCTATAAAAATACCCATACTCCGTACTCTGTACTCTCCCTACTAATGTAAGTAAATGCAGGGGGAATATCCCTTCTTACTCTGTACTTTACTCAGTCCCTCATAGTAAAACACCCAATATCCCCTATTCTATTCTATTCTATTCTATTCATAACCCACGTCCCATCACCGCCCATCACGTTAAACACGACTACCTACCTAGGTACATACATATAAGAAAGACAAACTTCGCGTCCAAAAGGCGTGGCCAGACGAGACGAGGCGACACGTTCGTGTACTTTTCGTTCCTTTTATACCTTTCCATACCTCCTTTCACACCCACCTACCTTTCATACAATTCCTCTCTTAAAACGAACACGATCAAATATCAATATCAATATCAATATCAATCAATAACCAATAATCTTCATGAATTTCCATCATATTCTATCCTTATTCTTACCTTTAACTTACAATCTCACTCACAATCTCATACACCATCTCACTCACAATCCCACACACCTAACCAACCTATCTACCAACCTACACAACAACCTAGATTCATATCATCATCATCATCATCATCATCATCATCATCATCATCATCATCATCATCATCACATCAACATCCACCCCACGCCTTCATACTTCCCTACCTACATATTCATATCCACGTTCACGTTTTTCTTTCTTCCCTATGATAAAGAAATAAAGGTCGTGATGAATGCGACCTTTGCGTTACTACGCTACTCCTACTTCACCACTAATCCCATGCATGCATAACTATTGGTATTTATTCACTATTATCATTCACCACAAGGCTATGCTGCTCAATGTTGTACATGAATTTTCTGCCGTGCATAATGTGTCATATTGAATCTTGAATTCTGAATGAGAGGTTGTATAACATTTTGCTAAGCTATTTATGTCTGCTTGATGCCGCTTATGCGTATTGGCTGATGGCAAGGAAAGGATAGTTGAGGATAGACTCAATCCAATGAATAACTCGACTAGCTAAGGATGAAAAGATAAACTTAGAAACGAAACGAGTGATGTGATAAGAATTTATAGGTCGCGTAATCTCCCAGCCACTTAATCAATCTCTCCAACTCGTGGAGCTCCCCCTTCCCAACCAACACGCTCGTAATAACGAAACACCAGGTCGTATCCATCAAAGTCGTGTACGATCCTATCAACTCTACGATATCCAGGAATATTCTCCATTCTTGCACTTCTCAAGCGGGCGGCACCTGCAATCTTCATGGCCGATACATCATCACCAAGCAATGTTAATTCTCTTCCCTCGGCCGAGTTACTTTTCGATTCAAAGAGGGTGACACTAAAACGCCCAGGCTTGAAGATATCAACAACGTGCTCAATGACATCAGCCGTCTCACGTCCACTTTGGCAACCAGGGACATTGGTCTCGAATGATGCATATGAGCATTGAGGTTCGGGCGTAACATGGACCGTGAAATAATGAGTGGCAGTGCCCGCCTGATCAGGAGCTGGAATAACTCCATTGGCTGAAAATCCACAAGGAGTGAAGAGGTAGGCATCAACGCGTGCATCAGGGTACTTGGTGGTAGGATAGACGTCCGATAGACCGCAAGCTTCAGAGACTACCGTACCAAGTGCGTGACCCTCAGTGCCCAGCTCTTCGGGGAAGGATACATCATCATCCGGTGTGACAAGACCTCCATTGTGATCGGAAGATGTGTTGCTGAAAACGTCGAAAGTTTCATCGGTGTCAGTACTTCCGGCTGTTGTGCCACTGAGACTCAAATCAGTTCGACTCAATTCACCAAGACTATCTTCTGCATCCTTTCGCGCCTCCGAAGCCCTAGTCGCATATTTACTCTCCGCGGCCGCAACCGCGTGATCAAGATAGAATTGTTTAGCGTTGTTTGGCTCTAGATCAGTCATGAGAATCTCCAGGGTCTCATCTGGGCCTTGAGCAGGATCATCATTCATGGCAGACAACGCCTCATTAGGCATGTTCAAAACTTTCGTCTCAGTGACTGACTTCTCTGTATCCGGAGTTTGCGGTGGTGTAAGATCGGTGTTAGGATTGGTCAAGTATAGATACCAATGATCTCCATTCATCTTGCCAACCATATATGCGCTACCACCTAAGAACATATCATCGAGGTATTTGACTTCATCCTTCCAGCTACGATGTGGACCTTGCTGTTTCTCAGGGAATAAGAAGTTCTTTCGACTGTAAAAGACTCGGTAGGGTTTTGCAGCTGTTTTCACGTCTTCAACAGATTTGCAATTTTGGGCTGGGAAGCCTGCATGAACGGCCGCAATTCGCAACATTCGACGAAGCCCGAGCAATAGGGTAGTAGTACCACAAGTCTTGAGAATAAGCTTGTGGGGAAAGACAAACATGCTGGACTCAGACAGAAGGTATGCATCCACATGTTCAGACTCGACGACTGACAAGACTTTACAGTTAACAAGATCTAGCATTCCTGTCCATGTTTCGGCCGAGACGGACTTGAGTCCATCCTCTTTAGCACCGATAGGTAGATCCTTCGGAGATGGAGCAAACCAAACTTCTAGAAGTTTTTCTGGGCCTACTATTGTTAGCATTTACCTCTCTGGAATAGAATTCTATTATACAAACCTTCGAATGCATTGCTAGAATCGAGATCAATAGTAGCATCTCGATTGATAGTAAGTTGAGGTGTACCTTCAGAAGGCGAAAATGTATATTGGGATGGAATCTCGAGGTTGACCATCTCTGAAATTTAGAGTGTGATAATGCACGTAGTAATGAATTTATGCCCTGGTGCCGGGTATTTGTGTCTTTTTGCGAATTGGCAAAGTACTGTGAAGCACTATCTGCCACCCAGACGAACCTTGCGGTGTTCGACTGAGAAGAGAAGGCCCACAGGACCGTGGGATATTGTATGTGCTGGCGAAGCCAGCAAGATGTTTCGAATATAGACGTCACGTAGGGGACGTTAAGGAGGTCGGGTGCAAAGGGGGATGAAAAAGTCCTTTTCCGAAGGAATGTTGGATTCTTTGGGCTCGCTCTGATAGATGCCGATACCGTGAGAAGATATCGGGTCTAGCAGACGAGTAGTATCTGCAAGTTTAGGTATTCGAGTTTGTTTGAGTGTTCGGGGGCGTGGCTGGTGTTATCTGGGCCTAAAGAAAGAAGGGAAACCGTTAGCAAGAAGGAAGAAGGTTGGGCTGGCCAGAGAGAAAAAAGGTTTCTGAATAAATCTCCGCTTTCAGAAAGTGAATCCTTTTTACAAGTCACTAGACCATACGAATCAAATCACCAAGCTGTTCATCTCCACACATATGGGAGGAAGTGTACTTGGGACGACAGACTTAGGTCTTCGGATAGAGCTCGTAGGAGACATTGTGATGCAGAAGGATACACTGGCAGATAAGGATAATAGTTGAAAATGCTTACTTTGCTGGCTTAGAAAGGAAGCGTAGTAGATCTTTAGTGCTCATAGGGGATTGTAGAAGTATTGATAGAGTAGTTGTATCGCGGTCAAGTGCAACACTGACCGTGACTTTGTTGCAAAGATTGCAATTTCAATAATAATGTGTATTCATTGGAAACTTCACAGGATAGGAGGTAGCAATGCGAATGTATTTGAGGTGTTGGAATAGGTTCTCCAGAAGGCGAATTGTGGATTTGTTGCGTTGGATGCTTGGGAAAACTTTTTTCTCTCTCGATTTTTGTGAGGTTAGGTAGGTCTGTCTAAAAAGACAACATGCGTCATTGGTCAGTTTGTTTCCGCGCGAGGAGAGCTGACCGCCTTACCAGGACTAGAGTAGCTAGCTCTAGAACTTTGATAGAAGCTCTGGGATATGAATAGATAATACAATAGGTAGTAAATAGGAGTAGGTAGGTAAAGCAATGCGAAGAAGACAATTTGAAGTGATAGCGAACACAGAATATGAAAAAGAATTAAGGGTGGGTGATTTATTTATTAAGCTCAACTTATTTTATGACAAATATTATTGGAATTCCAATTTTCCAGATCGCTCGATCATTTATTTATTATACGATGGGCAGCAATGACTTCTTGGCGGAAAGGGCACACTGGATACGAATATGGATGGACTCGACGACCCCACCAAAAGTAACATTTATTAGTTGCTATGTTACCTATTCATTGACAAACCATCCTCATTTTACCCTCATTTATTTAACCTTAGCTACGTATGATGAGGTAAATAAAGAAATAATAGAAGTCTTTCTCACATAATTGGCTGATCGCCGCGAGGAAATACATCCGTGACATCTATACTGAATGCGCTCGAATTCACATTTAGAACTACATGCTTTCAGCCGAATGAGAATTGGGCAGTATTTATTCCGTTCAGAGGTCGGAAAGGGAACACAAAGAATACGAACGATAGAAACGGTTCATTCGAGCATAAGCATAGCCATTGATGCCACTGGAGAGAAGCCAAACTATCCCATCATGTTTCTTTCTCTAATTCTCGCAAGAGGGTTTGCATATAAAGACCGTCACGCACAAATCTACAGCCCAATGTTATGTATCTAACTAGTGTGTAATGATACATATCACTATTCAATTTAGTGGAGTAGAACTTTCATCTGGCAATCATAACCAAATATTCCAATTACACAGAATGAGATCTCAAGATGGATGGAAACGCCCGACTCCCCGCTGCAACTCGGGATATCGTCAAGTCTGACATGTCATCGTATTTGCCTAAGTAGGGGATACCTATTTATCTACATAGATTTTTTATTTCGACATTTTATCTCTTATGCGGGTTTCACTTCTAGACTGTTTGATATACTGGTTTTCTGTAAGTGTGGGCCTGCTTTTTTAAGGGGTTTCTTCTCAGGGAGAAATAGAAAATGCTGTGGATGGAAGAATGGTTGTTAACAATCGCCCCTTAGTTGGCGTTCTCTATTTAATAATAAGATCTGTCGAAGAATTCTGGGGTCTATTCTAGACGTAAAGACTCAACTACATAGTCGGGATATAAAGGGGGAGCCAGCTATTGTCTATCCCCGTGATACTTCTTTCAAATTCGGAATCAAATACCTTCTCTTGCCTATCCCCCATTGCATTTTCGGATGAGAGGTTTTATTGCACACCACGAGGGATTGTCCACAGTGCAAGTAATCGCTCATTCTTCATTCTAGCGCTTGTTCATCCGATATTTCTTCTGTTCACATTCATTCGCCTATTTGTCTCTGGTGGCTCTTACTCTTGCAAAACCCTTCCTAAACCCAATTCATCCTATCTTGACCTTATTTAATTGAAATTCAAAGTTACTCTTGTCTCATAAGTAGCTGGAACACACTAAATTTCAAGAATGTTGATTAGACCCCTCAAGTGCTACTTTTCATGTCCACTCAACTAATCGCTTCTGGCGAACCTCTATTTTGATTTGTAGGCTGTAAATGCCTTCATCAAAGAACTAACAACTTCCCCTTCCCTTCTGTAGTTGGGGATCAAGAGAATATTACATTCACCCCAAGATCGACAATCACAAGTATTTATGTTGTCAGATATATCAAGAAAATTGCTATTTAAAAAAATACAATCCAATCTGCCTTAGTGAGGATATGAAACATAATCTTTACGTAGCAAAGAGACAATAGAACATTAGCTAGATGCTCCTGTCACCATCATTACATACATAATCTAATATCAAGATATTTAAAATCCGCAATAAAACTCCTAGAGGCCCCGTGAATTATCATCCGAAGATGAAGTTTACACAAAAGCAGGCACACAATCCCCCTTTTGAATTCTACCTGCTTATAGAGTTAGACAGCTTCCTAACAGCTGGATAAAGTTTCTATCGGAAATCCACATGATGATAACTGTCGCCAAACTTTTATGACTTTCAACGTAAATCCGGACATCGCATTGATGGACATTTCACTTTTATCACGCCCCATTATCCGTCGTCCGTCATACACTCCCGTCACTAACTTCACTAACCATCCTCCTAGAAACCATACACACTAATCCCATATATCTTCATCCCATATACCCTCACCCAATCCACTCTATTCTCCTCCTCTCCTCACCTCTCTATCCCCCAAACCCACCAAACCCAAAATCCCCAAAAGTCCCTACATTATCCAACCAAACCCCAAAACAAATCATGAAAGCTCACCCCAAAGCTTAAGCTCCCACCCAGTGTAATCCGGTACTATAATTATGGATCCACTGTACCTATTCGTTCATCTCTTATTAATCTATTAACCCAGATTTAGATGCATGATTTGTTAGTATCTTGGAGAGATATGTTCGGATGTAGGAGTGGTAAGGGTTCGGGGGTTGGTTTGAGTGGTTGGTTCGTGGCAAAAAGGTAAGAGGTGAGTTGAGGAGAGGGGAGGATGGGAAAGGCAAAGAAGGTGGGAGCCAAGAGCTTGTGTTTGAGGGTGGAGGAGTTGAAGAGATAGCACATACTATGCTGCAATAGTGCCAGTAGATATACGGATTCGTGGAACGCTTTCCCAACTTCTAAAATTTGTGATTGATTAATCTCAAATTGATGATCCTCAGCTATATCTGATCTATAATGAACTATTTCATCAAGTGTCAAAAGCACAAGGAAGTATTTAAGAAATATCATCGAACGAATCAGTCCGCGCATTGTTGCACCATTCATGATACGCTTCTCACAACTTGTGAGAGTTTTTAGCATGTATTTTACAATAAATATTATACATCAATGTCGTTCCTGCACATGATATACACATCTATGATATAGCGAGAGGTTTCAAAACTCTCTCCCTTGCCACGTTTGTTGCAAAATCACCACCCTTCTGTAATGCTACTGCTCCAATAATGGCGTACAATGAAGTGGCCATCACAAGATCAATACCGGATTTTTCCAGGTTATCTTTCTGTAAAATATATCAGTAGCGCCACAAAGAACCCGCTGCAAAATTATTCGACTTACCATTCTAGGTTCCCATCGAATAATATCCGGCATACCCATCCGAGTTCCCAAACTCGCCAGTCTCTCCTTGCTCAAAATATCATCCACCTTTACATTAGTCAAGTTGGTTAAACCGTCCAGGGCAGGATGCGAATATGGCTCCACGTCCTCCGTGTCCTGAGGTAACTGAGCTCGTCTCGCAATCGGCGATTGCAATAAAACTAAACTTGTCTGCAAGCTCAATATCCTACGTCCTGCATACCATAAACTCAGTACTTGCTCCTGGATCCGCAAGTAAACCACAATACGCACCGAAATATGCCAACCGATCATTAAAACCTCTTCTTCCCTGATCAAAACTCTTATGTGTAACAGCGAGCCATTTTACTTCATCTGTAAGTACTCGATCACCTCCTCGTCCCAGAAATTGTGTATAAAATCGGTTCAATTGTTCTGGATCGCTATTGACTTGCCATGTCGGTATGTCATGATTTGCTCTCGGATTGAAGGGTAATTTCATCTGTGGTGGTGTATATGACCATCTGGGTCGCGCCCCTTGTTCCCCATCATATTGAGTATCTGACCTCGAGGCTGATATTGAGAATTGTCGGGCGGTATTTGAGCGGGAGGATTGGGGGGCGGCGCATGAGCATTTTTGACGTGCTTGCCGGCTAAGAGATTGAATAGATCGACTGGTGGTTTTGGATGCCATTTTTATATGTAAATCGTGGTCAATTCGCTGTGAAAATACCCCCCTCCTCTAGCAAAATAATTCCTCGATGTTGAAAGCTCAAGATTTCTGGAAACTTTATCCAGACGCTAAACCTTTTTAAGCATAGACCCAGACTTCGCGTCTTCCGACTCGCCGACGCGTCTCACAAAGGACTTCATTTAAATTCCAATACGTAATTCCAGAATCACAAATCACACTTGTGTTGATTTTGATTTTATTTTATGATCATGAAGTTCTCGAAATAATTTACAATATTCTTTTGCTATGGCTATTCAAGGGATTTCTGGTTCAAAAGAATCAATTGTATCTTCCATTTTGATTCAACGACTTGCTTCTGTCCTTCCTAAAGACGTCACTTTTAGGATCTACCATCTATCTACCCCTCCAACCAAAACCTCATCATTATATTCTGCGCCCCCGAATAGTCGTCCCGATAGAACCTATTGTGAAAGTCATTTTCTTACAGTTTCGATTCAAACTCCCTTGAAACAAGATGTGTCAGAAACAGTTGAGGTATTAGTTTTCGCAATTGAAATCCTCATTTATTCCACCGCATACGATACTACATTTTTCGTTTCAAAGGCCGATTCGACTGGATATCTTCATTTGCTAAATCTGCCGAAAGGAACCCCTTCTCCAATACGAGATATCAGTGCTACATTCTTGCAACATTTGATCCAACAGCGTCAAAGAGAAAATATCCGCAGTGTTGTGTCCCTTTTTGCCAGGGCTCAAGATCAATACCTTTTCCCCGGAAGTATTGAATACAATGGAAAGCATGTGCTGGATGATAGAGGCTTGGTGCGCTGGTGGTGTCGAGTGCTTGACTCGCTAATAGAGCAGACGGAAACTTCTATTGATTCGCGAAAATCTCAATGGGATTCAGTCAAAGGTTTTTTGATTGTGCCTGGACAGGATAATTATGAGACTAGGTCATACCTTCCAGCAAGAGCAAAAATACAGGGTGCGCAAAGCTCTTGGACTATCGGACACCCACTACGGCAAATTTCAAGGCATATAAACGACGTTCCTCCACGATGCTTAGTTCCACATTATCCAGACGATCCAAAAGCAAGATTTCTAGACGAATTAGACGATGAGATAGGGAGAGGAAAGGATGATTCGAGTGGACAATGGAAGAGCGTGAGGAATATTGATCAATTCTGGGAGATGATGGCATATAGACAAGAGTGTTCCGCTGGACGACTAGTTGGATTTATATGGATCGTTTTAACACCATCAGTTTCTCATGATCAAGGAGATTTTGTCCTTGGCATCAGTCAAACCACGACGTTGGCCAATGATAGCCAAGAGGAACTCAACTTTTCATTTCCATCAGTTCCAGATGCTACAGTCGCTTCCACTCCATCAACATCCTTCACTAGCTCGTTTCCATCTCAGCAGTCACCTTCTACGCGCAGTGATAATATGTCATTCACCGAGGAACCTACTCGATTATCAAAACCTTCTGCCCTACGAAAGAAGAAGAAATTATCGGGTGTTATTATTCCCAGACAGCCACGAATTAAAACTGAGACTAAAAATTACCTGCTAGAAAGACCTGAAAGCACCGCATACTATTGTTGGAGACCAGAAGGTCGCGGCCAAGTCATTGTCGACGAAACAGACTACCATCGAATTAATGAATTACTTCTTCGGCTAGACTTTGCCGATCTTGACCTAGCGAGCTCGAGTTCCAAGAGATGGATTAATGAAGTTCGTTCGGGTGCAGGAAGCATGGGCGATGCATGGGGTCAATTAGTTACAGGAACTAAAGTCACGGAGATTACAAATAAGACGGGTAGCGCAGGCATTACGACGCTTAATGTAGGACTTGTACGAAAGAAAAGGAAATCGAGTACGGACGAACCCCAGGGGCCTACTCCCCCCGCAACAGCGGTACCTAAGGTTAATGTGCTTGGAGCCGGTATGGTTCGAAAGAAGATAAAGAACTAATATGGCTACCATTTCGCCCAGTGTATATTTGGTTTAGTTAAAGGTCTGCTTTAAAATCGGAGTTGGATACGGCGTCTCCCAAAATATGAAATACCCAGGGTATGGATCACGGATAATAAAGGCAATTATCATTTCGCATTTTTATACAAGACTCACGTGAATTAGAATATAAATGCAATTGCCCCAACCAAATGCGTCAGTCCGCTTTGTAGATCCACATTGTTCCAGGACCAGTAGGTATCCCCCTTCGGTTGTCTACGATTCCGTCGAGGAGAACCTCAAATAGACCACGTTCAGCAGATAAACCTTCCAAATTGCGACAAATTCGGTTCCCTGCACCCATTTTCGGCAGCGGTAAGTAAGCGAGTTCTCCTTACTTCGCCACATAATCCGGTGCCTCATTGGTCCACTCGTATGATCCATGATCTTTTTACGCCCAGACCAATAAGATGTTAACTTCTCGTTAGTCATTGTTTCCATAACACTCTCAAGGAGGGTTGTAGTATCTCAAATCTGAAATCTGCCTTAGCTAGGTATTGCCATGTATCCTTTCCATACATATTAAGCTAGGTTTCTTGATGTTATTAGCTTTTCTAGTAGCGAACGTTCTTTTCTTTATTTTTGCAACATTCGAAATTTTTGTATTGACTTCTTTTTGCAACTACCTTCACTTCTCGTTGATTATTCCATTGAATCCTTTTTTGCCTGGGTAACAATGCTTTTCCCTAGCCTTATCCTGCTGGCATCGACAGTCTTTACTGCTACAAATGCTCTCGCTGTCAGTACAACTTATACAGTTATAGACCCTACTACAGCTCCAACAATTTTGCAACGCGATGCGACTACTAGTGCTTCATCTGCATCTACAAGTCCGGTGTACTTCCTAACAACCAACTATGTTACCATTACGGGGATGACCAATGCATATGTCACACTTCCAGCCAAAACCATCTCTTTCGCTGTTCCTACCTGCATCCAAACACTCACACCGGACAAAAATGGTTATTTACCTCCTGGTACATGTAATGCTCTTTATGACTACTATCCAAGTTCTGCCTTGGCCTTGGCGTTTGCTGCGATATTTGGGGCTCTCACTATAGCTCATCTTATACAAGCTGTGTTTTACAAGAAGGTATTTGCCTCGGCTTTATTTAGGATTTATATGCCAAAAACTAACATATTGTGTAGGCATACAGTTTCTTCGTATTTGCAGCCTCCATCTGGGGTCTTACAGCCTTTACTCTCCGCGTTTTATCAACCCATAATCAACAAGATACTGTCCTCGAACTCTTGTCCTCCATCTTCGTTCTGACCATTTCACCCTTCGTCAATGCTTATCATTGCATTCTTCTTGGCCATCTCGTACATCACTTTCTCACCAGTCGTTCTCTACAAGGAATCCGCGCTAGGTTCCTCCCACTACCATTTTTGGTAGTAAACACAGCGGTGTTTGTGCTAGAAGTTGTGGGCGCAACGATGATGGATAAGAGGAATTTAGAGTGGGAGCAAAGAACCGCTGATCATGTACATATTGGAGGTTTGGTTGTACAGATGTTGATTAATTTTGTGTTTATTGGTATGCTTGTGGCATTTTGGTTCGAGGTGAGTGGTTCAGGAAGAAGTGTGACGGGAACAAAATGGAAGGGATTAGTAGGGGCGATATTTGGCGCATCGGGTTTGATTTTGGTGAGTTCTTCTATCCTTACACAATTAGACGATAGAATTTTCATATCGAAACAGAATATTAACAAAGTACAATGCAGATTCAAATCTTCTCCTCACTCGCCCGATTCTCCGCCGGAGATAAATCTTCCAGTATCCTCTCCTCTCACGAATCATATTTCTACATTTTGGAAATCACCCCAACAGTACTAGCGATAGCTACCCTAAATGTCTTTCATCCCGGTCGATTCATGACCGGAGAAGAGAAAATGGAAAGTCTCTGGAGTATTCTCACGAGTCTTCTGCCATGTTGCAGATCAAGAAATAAATCGAGGAGAACCAACGCGACCTCGATAGCTAGCTCGAAGGAATTGGTTGGATTGGATGAGCAGAGCAAATATGAAAAGAATTATGGATCACCAAGGTATAGTCCTTTGTGATTGGAGGAAATCCGAGCTGGACTTAAAGTTTGGACTTTGGCATTTTAGTTTGGTGTTTGTTTGCGGGAAAATATATAGGCTTTCTTGGTTATTTAGTTGTGTAGGAATACCGTTTTTCTTATTTTCACTATTTACGCCATCCTCCTGTTTTGGGGAGTGGAGCAGTTCAAAGTAAAAGATAAATGAGAGTGGGATGATTTATCCTCTCTTAATAACGCTACCAGTTTCTGTTTATTCAATCATACACATCCATCTCGATCCGATTTCATCACCAAACAAAAGCTTATTATCCCTGGAAAGAAAAACTTATAGGATTAAAGATTAAAGAAACGCACTTTGGATCCCACCCTCATCATTCACTCTTCTCATGACCAAAAATATGGAGGTCTAGTCATCGAAGGGCTCGCTCCGCTGTCCGCTCTGATATAAGATTACATTTCTAGCCGCCAAAGTTCCTGTTCCTCTTCACTCATTCATCTATCCCTTTCCTATCACAACTCATTTCACTTTATTGTTTGTTATATATTGCTACCTAAATACTTATTATTCCTATATTTCCATTTATACGTCTTACATTCTCTACATATTTCTCTTTCTGCATTATAACTACCTATAGAGTATTTCGTGAGTAAAGTCTTGAATATAAAAGATCACGATATATACATAGATAATAGATCCTCAAAATCTTTTGAAGAGATAAAATGAGGAAGAAGTCTCTTTTGCTTTCTCTTGAGTAGGAGAGGATATCTGGAGGTCTAGGACTCTAAAGTTGAGTCGATGGCGGGACGTAGTATGGAAGATTTTTATAAATAATCTGTGGCTAGATGTAGGTTGATAGATTAGATACTTATTGTTTAACTTTTTTAATGAATTCTACCTCTGACCCCGTTTTCTTTTCTTTGATTGAGTTTGTTACTTTTCTATCACTTTGAGGAGCTTTTGAGTCTTGAAAGCTGTTAGAACGTTCGTGTTAATCTGGTTGTGAAGTGCTCTTTATCTATATAATTAGAGCGGAATATTGAATTGTATTTAGACATTCAGACATCCAGACAATCAGCAGTGCCCAACCCAACCAGTGCCAAGTACCATTAGCCAGCACCCTCTACATCACAATCCATCAAACGGACAAAGCCGAGAAGTTTCACCCAAGCCATCATACATTCTTGACAGTCAGTTCCCGATAATAATGAGGGTAAACCCGGAGAAAGCCCTCTCCACATGAAGTTGTGGAAGCATGAGACATCACCGCCAAGACCAAAAAAGGAATGTGGGAATTCTCCTGACCTCCCTCAAATGCAAAGCGGGATAGGAATAGGATGAAATGACCTATCAAGTTGATAGATTGACTCATCGAAAGGTTTTTATGGCGTGGTGGAAGATTCTTGGAGATTCTTGTAGTGAGAATTGACTCATTATCACTGCCACAATTAAACCATGGCAACGACTTGTGTTATATGATATCTTGTCGAGGGTTCAGTTCCATTTACACGCGATGTATTTGGCACTGTATAAGATCATGATATATCCTCTGATCAGAGAGATGTACACACCTTTCTGTGTCTTCTAATTCCTCTATTCAGCGAAATGACACGAGTTTTAAACCTTTCTAAGCTCTTTTGTGCGTTTGTTCTTGCGGCTCAAATACATGCTGCTAATGTTCCACCACCATGGCGTCCTGATCCTGGACTATGGTCACCTATTCATCCTCCTCCAATTCCAGATCCTGTTCCTACTACATGCTCTACATCAACTGTTAGCATAGAATGTAAAAGTACGTATATCGACCTTTCACTTTTCGTTTATCTTATTTGCGTATTCTCAACTCCTCAACCAAAATTTCAACATCCATCCCCTTCCTTACCTAACAATTTCTAACTTCTCTCCCAGATAACGCTTGCCAAAGTGCCTGGGCAACAGCCTTTACATCCTCCAATGTCTACGTGCAATCTTTCTGTTCATCATTCACCTCTTTAGGCCGCCAAAACACCAACAAATTCGATAGAGGAGGTCCTGCAACCGGATGCACAAGAGGTCTCAACAATGCTGCTATCCAATCTTCCATCTCATCGGTCTGCTCCTGCTATGCAGGCCCAGGAGTACCCACCCAAGCATTCATAACCATCTGTCCCAGCTGTCCACCCATCCAAACCCAAATCCAAGCCCAAACAATCACAACCTCAATACCCACCACCATCACAAAAACCGCCAGCCAAAGTACCAAAACAATAACCACAATAATAACGCTAATCATCGACCCCCCACCTCCCAGCCACATCACCACCACCACAACCGAAAAAACAACCCTCACAAACCCAAGCTTCAAGTTCGGCCTCTGCACCACAACAACAAACATCAACCTCGTAACCACAACCCAAGTAACCGCAATCTACGACTACTTCACCTGGACCACAATACTGACCACCACCTACCAAGCCGGACGCTATCCGTGCGCCACAACCATCTGTACATGTCCGACGCCCACCCCCACCATATCAACTATTACCTATACACCCGAAAACTGCAACGACGTAAATCCCTCGCAAACCAGCACCATAACAAACGATCTCTCCTTTTTCCCATCTCCAGCTTTCGCAACGCTAACCTGTGATTCTATCACAACTACAACTACAACTACAACTACAACTATAACCCTCGTAATCGATCCATTACCTATCGAATACACCATTACGGAAACAGTAACCGCGGAGGGATCTGGAGTCTGTACGACAACGACAACGACAACGGCTACGGCTACGAAGACGGAATCGGAATCGGAAACTACGACGTGGGATGATGATGGGTTTTGGCCTTTGCAAACACTTTCACCTCTTATAGACTTATCGCTTACGCTTACGGATGAGAGTGCTACGCCGACGCAGACATTTTCGCAGATTCTTATTGATGTAGGGGGGTGACTTGGAGGGAGACTGATATTAGTATTAGTACTAGTACTTTGGTAGCGGCTAGTTAGAGGTAATAATAGTGCGGGGGATGTGGAGCTGTAATAGAAGGTGAGGCAAGGCGGAATATTAAAGTAGTTGACTAGCTGGCCATGGGTTAGGAATGCGAAGTGATGAAGTGGAGTTTAGTTATTTGAGTGAGGATTGTATGGATGAAAGAGCAAATGAACTTGGACAGGGCTATTGATAATGCAGGTTAGCATAGGAGTAGTGATGAGTGGTTGTAACGTCTAGATCGAGTCGGTTTGAAAGTTGAGATTCTTTTGATCTGTCAAATCACTTCCATTGCTTAATTTATTTTTGTCTCTTCAATTGCAATGTCGAGTTATTTGGAATATGACGGATCTGATCTTTGGCTTACGAAGGGTATAATTTCAATTAATGTAAAAATGTTGAAAAGGTTATCTAGACTGGTGACTTGCACTTGTGATGTACAGTGATTAAATTAAGTCTGTTGAAATATCCTGCCTTCAACTCAATTCTAGTCATACTTAAAATCTCAGTCTTTCAAATTTTTGGTCAATAATTGATGCACGAAATATTTCCCATTTTTGGTGAACCATTGACTATAGAGCTGCACCCATTCCCTTTGGGTTTATAAAACGCGATAAATGTGACATTTGCCATCTTCCTCAAGCCCCACTATCATCATTTCCTCTTCGTGGAAGTTCAAAAGCTAGATATTTGAGGTGCTCCGTGTTATATTCCTGAAGATATATATAATCAGGATTTGAAAGATTGATATTGGGGTTGAGATGACTTACGAAGGACATTGATCGAAGCTCAAATACCATATAGTTGAATTGTATTATTAATGAGAGAACTCTCATGACCTAAAGCCGAAGAAAAAACGCCCCAGCAAATGCTCCGAAGAGCAGGTAAAAAAGGAGGGCATAAATTGCCCGGAGGCGCCATTCTCAGGGGTCTGGAGCGAGCGCTCCAGCTCCTCTATCTGCTGATTCTACGATCAATATTTGAAAAAATTTATTAGAGGATTCTGTGATGAACCTACCTTTGTCAGGTCCTGTAACTGTAGGCCCGAAAGCAGCCGAGCGTTCTCCGCTTGCCGGAGGTCGTTTTGCTGAATTGAATATACGATTAGCTTTGGAACAACGATAGAATTTCAAGCAGTAGGATGGACGATTAAATGTATTTGAGCTATCAAATAGATGAACACTTAGAAGGATTTGAATGTTACTAATTGAACAGGGTTTGATAACTTACAAATTGTTGGAGACCCCTCTCCTCTTTGGGATCACCACCACCGAGAATCGTCAAATGAAAGTGGGGATGGTTGTTAATTAATGTCTAGAGGAGAGGGAATCTCGGCGTAAGTGAAAATGGACAGAATCCAATTTGGACCGTTCTGAAAGCCCCAACCCAAATCCAGCCGAATCCATCCGTCCATCCAATCCCCGCCCAATTTAAAGAAAGAGTACCCGTAACATTGATCGAAGCTCAGACACTGTATGTTCGGATAACGCTAGGGACAAGAGAGGTTTCACGGCCTAAAACCGGAAAAAACGAAAACCCAGCACAAGCACCGAAGAGGGCGCAGAAAAGGAGAAGGCCATAAATCGCCTAAAGGCGCCACCGCTCGTTCTGTTGGAGTGAAAATCGCTCCAGCTCCGTAATGCGCTGATTATACGATCAATACTTGAACAGTGAATAGGAGGTTGTTACAGCTAGCTTACACGACTTAATTCCTGCATTTGGAGGCTTGAAAAACGGAAGTTCTCAGCTTCACGCATGTCGTTTCGCTGAATGTACGATTAGCTTGGGAACAGCTAAATATTTTCAAACAATCAGAAGAATTTAGAGAATCAAATGGGTGTGAATCACCAAATCGAAGTTGACATTCAGTTGATTACGGGCATGCAGATGGGTTCGAAGGTTCAGTTGGATTTGAATATTGACAATTGAATGGGGTATGATCACTTACAAATCGAAGGAGATCCCTCTCTTCCTCAGTGAAACCATCACCGTTGTGAACTGTCAAGTGAAAGTGGTGATGGTGATTGTTGATTATTGTCTGAGGGAGGGGAGGCTCCGCGTCTGCTACGAGGGCGGCTACTTCTTGAGGCCCCATGGCCTGGCGGCGCTTGGGGTATCGGGAGTAGTGGGTCTTGGCCCTCTATAAAAGACAGCTGTCAGCGGGGTTAAACGCTGAGTAAGACACTAATGTCTGACCAATGGTCTAGCATCACACAAGAAGTCAAGAAAAATTTAGCCTAGGAATGCCGTACAAGCTGAATTCTCCAAAGTGACCTATTGCTAGGAATGCCGTACAACAATAAGGGTAACAGTACTCGGCAAGCTCCTAACGCTCCGCCCGGGTAAAATATCATCCCGAACGTCCAACTGCCATACTAGACTAAAATAACCGTTCTGTCACTCCTTTTTTGAACGACTGTGTCATACAAGACAACTGCTCCTTGAAGATATTGAGGACGACTCCCCCAAACCAAAGTAGGCTGGTTTAATGATCCCAATAATCTAGTTAGGAGTCGTACATGCCCAAAGAATCAAGGAGGAGGAATGGTAATGGTACGACCATTTGGGATATTACGTCAAGTATGTATGAAAGGCTGACAGACCGAGGGAGAGACATTATAAAAATGGTGTCTTACCTTGTTTTCTTCGGACATGTTGTAGCGCAGTGTAAAGTGACTGTTTCATACTCTATATGACAGCTGTCAGTGGGATGGACCGCTGAGTAAGACATCGATGTCTGACCAGAGACCCAACATTTCGAGCAAGAATATTCTGGGGCCCCATTCACTGTGAAGAGCCGAAGCCATCACAAGATCAAGGGTGATCACTCGCGATTACCTCCCGGAGACAAAAGCCAGCATCGCAGAGATAATCTCACCAAAAGCGAGAGACTAGAACTGCAGTTTGCAGTCCTAGACTTAAACAGTACTCGGTAAGCTCCTTACGCTCCACCTGGGTTGAATGCATCCCAGGCGTCCAACTGTCCAGATTGACTTCGCATCCGTCGCTTTCTTTGAATAACCGCTTCATACATGGCAACTAGCCCTTGAACAATAAGGATGGTCCCCCGAACCAGAGTAGGCCGGTTTCTTGATCCCCCAAGATCTAATAGGAGCCATACATGCCTATTGACAAGGGGAGGGATGGTCATGCAACTTCCACCGGGGAGATTACGCCATGTAAGTGAGATAGGCTGGCAGACCAAGGGAAAGATTTAAAATGATGTCTTACCTTCTGCTTTCGGGAATGTAGTGTAAAGTCGTGATCTTCCACGTAGCTCTCGCGAAGTTCTGAAGCCAACAATTTTAGGTCACAAGCTCAACATCCACATCTCGCACCTGCGCATAAACCGCCCGTGATGTAAGTGAATCAATGGAAGATCGAGAGATGTATCATTGTATGAAGTGATGTGTGTAAGAAGTGATGTGTGTAAGAAGTGATGTTAAGGTGGTCGATGCCTGGTGGTACTTGTAGTCGCGTCAATCCTTCCCCTTGTCCAATTCTAAGATAATGAGCCATAAATGAAATAAGTGAAGTACCTACAAGGTAATCAACGCGTCGAATGGTAGAAAGAAGTACCGGTATCAAAGTCCGGACTGCAGAGAATGTTAGACGTGGAAATCATTTTGATCATTTAAAAGAAAAGTGATTTCGATGCGGAGTTGTCGGAGGATACTTATATCCCAAATCAATAATGATGGGAGACAATAACAAATATATAAGTTGAATTACCCCTCCTGCAATTTAGCGATTCTTTTTAATTAGCGTGCCGTAATCCGTCCAATCACATTCCTATTCTGGTTTAGATCGGGGCGGGAAAATTCTCCGAGGTGTCAAAAGCGCCACACAACCTTAACCTTCAATCTTTGGAGAGATAAGTAAGTACTCTCTCTGTACAGATAAAACATCAACACTACAATAAAAGAAGGCTTCTCATCCAAGTACTTGTTATACCAGCACCACATTGTCCAAAACAACAGAGTGAAATATACCAATCACATGATCTATCTATCGTCCAGTGACCAAAAGTCAAAAGTCTAAGAGTTACCAGGTAGATAGATAAATACCTATAAATAACCAATTATACTCTAGTTAGACAAGCCTGTTAAATTCCCCGTCGGATGAAGCGGCACCGTTATCCTTTGCTAAGTGCGGTACGCTAGACATGGATGCTTAAGCAATCATTTTTAGCGCCACTTAGAGAGATAGGGCATCAAAACCAAAGGGTTCCAATAGACGAAGCTTCCAAGAGCATTAGTTGCGTCAGACAGAATAAACGCCCCATGCACATAAATTCACGACATTCACAACAAACACTTTCAGTTTCAAAGCTTAGCATATAGCTACATTATCCCCTACATTATTCATCCGTGATTGATCTTACATTCCAACCTCATGTCGATTCCCATAACGCTCTAAAAAGTAAATTGGTATTCCCATTCCATTAATGCAAGCAAGCTCTCCCATGCAATGCCCTTCTTTTCATGCGCCGACCATTGATCCAGGTATCCCGTGCCTGTTACATGTTCATGACCAATTCAATTGTATATAAATCCTGCAAATCGTAATAGTACAAGCCAATGTAACACTTTAAATAAAGCAGTATATAAGAATTCTCGTGCCAGTTCACTCTTCGATGAGCTGACCCAAAATCAGACTTTGAATGATGATCTCATCATTTATCACCCGGATGCGCTTCGGCAGCGGCGCCGAAGCATCGTCCTCCTTTATAGATGTCCGTTTCCGCTTTCGGGAGCCTCCTGCAGTGCTAGCCGGTGGATTTTCAAATACAGCCGCTTCCACGTCTTGCTTGCCATCCACGTAAAGCCAATCATAATCGGCATTTTTGTTTTCTGCATCTAAAAGCATCTCCTTCGCTTTAGCTAGGTCTTGTGCTTGGCCTAGGCGAGTTGGCCCTAGAGCTCTAGTTAAGAATATGTAAGGTTTTCTCTTTTCCCCCGCTTTTCCCTTTCCAGTGACGATCAAGATCGACTTTCCTTGGAGTAGCTTAGGCCTATTAGTAAAAGTGTCATTTAAGTTCGCTTCGGAGGCAGGATATGGATGTAGATATCGACTTTTAACAGCTCCACCTAGAAATGAAGAGCTCCCAGCCGAGAGAAGATATGGTAACCAATCGATGATGAAGCCTTTGGTGACACAATCAGAAATCCATCGTCCTGAGATACAAGGGAGTCCAAGGGCCAAAGCTTGCATGAACTTGGTCCTTCTTGAATGCTCATCCGCAATCAATGCTACAAATCTAACGTTTGCCTCCGAAGAAGCAACCTCAAGCTCCGCTTCTCTGGTCTCAAGGTCTTCAGTATGGGACTTGGATGGTGCAATCATAGAAGTAAATAAAATTTCGAATCCATCATCCAATATTCGGCCACCATGCTGTCTGATCAAACGACAGGCAGCTTGTTTATCCTTTTCTGCGCCGACATACGAGACAGCAAAAGCCATGTCATTGAACAATCTAGTGGTTGACTTCTTACTTTGCGCATCCATCCCTGGAGAAGGCGCCGATAGCGCCAATGGATCTTCGCTATCTTCGTGTGGCGGTAGTGTCGATTTCCTTTTCGACGGCGGTGCCGATATGGTGACTTCTCTCTCATTAAGAGCGGTAGATCTACGCGGGCGGCCCCGTTTGGTAGTCGGCAGAGGAGTTTCTTCTAGAGTGTCCTTAGCCTTGGTAGCACCATCGCCTCTTGGACGACTACTCGTACTAGAAGTCGAATTTAACCGCGAAGCAGAAGCCGGACCTGTATCAGTAGTGGATAAAAATGCATTGGAAGTTGTAGACGAGACACTCGAAAGCCTTGTAGTGCGAGCCATCCTTGGTTGTGGTTTTGGATGGATGGGCTTTTTGGGATGATTCTTAGATATTCGAGAAGATTTGCGTGGTGCGCTTTGAGGCACGCTATCTCGTCGTCTCTTCGTTGATGGAAGTTGTGGCTCTTCAGCGGGAGTTCTTTGAAAAAGTTCATCGTCATGTTCAGTTGAGGCTAACGGTGACGGCTCCTTTTCAAGGTCACCGAGAGAAATCTGGACTGGAGGAGCCAAGGTAGGCAATTCAGTATGTTGCTCTTCCTCGGGTGGATTGTGATCAATTAGTTCCATCTCAGAGACGTTTCTTGCTGCAGGTGCGACAGTATTATTTGCAATAGGACTAGGAGGCTCCAGTGTAGTAGGTGCTGATGAAAGTCCTGATGAAAATGTAGCGGCAGAACCGGTGGGAACGACATCAATCGGGCTAGGTGTGGTAACGATCTGTGGTTGAAATCGAGGTTGGGATTTCGGGGTATGGTCATTGGATACACCAATAACCTCGTTGAATTCTTCATCAACATTGAAGCCTGGCAATCCATCAAATTCATCATTGTTTGCTATACTAAGCGATATTTCCGCGATCTCGCCCATAGGCTTCAATCGATCTGTAGCCTGACTAGTTTCTAGGACAGTGGATGCAACACCATCGGATATCAAATCTTGCATTTGAGGGACGAGCGCTTTGAAAGTCTGACTGGAAGGTAGTCCATTTGGCGATGTAGTTAAGTCCTGGTCGAATAGGGCAGATATATTAAAATCCATGCACTGAATTCCATTCATGCTGGTGACATTTTTGCTTTGCAAGTTTTCTTGGCTTGTAGGTTGCTGCATCTGTTTTGGTAGCCTTTGAGATGGGCTTGTTGATTTTGGGCCATTCTTTTCAACGTCGCTCAGGACTAGTGTTCGGTGTGATCCAGGCACTGGTGAACTTGCAAGTATATTGCTTGACACAGGAGCAGCCTGAGAGTCGGCAATAATATCCTGTTGCGTTGGTTGAGTGTCTCGTGCGTCAAAACCTTCACACTGGGCTACATAATCCTCTTGTATACTTCGGCGTCGACCACTCGCAGGGACCTCCACGGCGGTAGGCGTTGACCCCAACGCTTGCGGTGATTGAGATGATGTTACTTGAGAGGATTCGCGCTGAGGTTTGGTCGATCTTGGGTACATGCTAGATGTAGGGGATATCGGCTTGACTTCTTTTGACAAACTCAGTCTACCGGATGAATTTGGTCTTCTTTCAATCAAAGCTGCTTCCTCGCGTACCCTCTTCTTCTCTCTCGCCGCCTTCTGGTATTTCTTAGGCAGTGCCTCAATGTCAGAATCCGATTCCGAGCCAGAATATACTTCGAATTCATTCAATTTCCTCCTTCTCTCCTGCGACTCTTTCATAGATATATATGTATCCTGAGGTTCACGTACCAACAGAGGTTTTCGGATGGCGGAATTGAAAGATTGGGCTTTCTTTGAAAATAGAGCAGAACTTGCTGAAACAGGAGTCTCAGTAGACATTGACCGTAGAAGAGATCGCATAGAATCTTGGGCGGCGCCACTAATAACTTCCGATCGTCGAACAAGTGGTGAAGCGTCCACATCCTGCGAGGAACGAAAGCCATTATAAACATCTGGCGATGGCCTAGAAGAAGTAGGGCTGCCACCTAATCGTCCGATCGAGGATGGTTGCGTTGCGCCAAAGAGCTCATGCTGCTTCATGACACTACCTTTATCAGAGAATGGGTTGACTGACGGAGCTGGAGTTTTAGGCTCGAGATGATCTTCTGGCGCAAGGTCTCTTGTGGGGGGCGCAACAGGTGGATCTTGAGACTCGAAATGACCTTCATCTGGCACCGATGTTGACTGAAAGCCGTCAAAGTTTATGTGCCCAGTGTCGTTCTCCTCATATGTACGTACAGTCGATCCTGTATTTGTAGAAATTGGGTTCCCAGACACGCCATTTGACTGTTGCTCTGATAGAACTTCTCGTTCAATTGGAATTGGTGGGCTTGAGGAAAGTTCGGGATTGGTGCCTTGAACATCCTCTCTCGACTTTTGCAAATCTAAAGCTTCGTAAAGGGAATCAGGATTTTCTTGAGTCAAAGACAGATTGCTCTTTTGAGTAAAGTATTCCCCTTCCATTGCTTTCAATTTGGAACGAGTGTGCTGAAGATTGCCGTTGGTATAGAATGGCCTCAATTTTCTTGCATCGTCCTGCCGGGTTGTGGGGAATATACTGCTGTGACCATCGTTGGCGTGCTCTTGAGATGCAGGATCTGGAACAAATGGGTTCTTTTCGCGATTTAGGGGATATTTTTGCGCTCTAGCGGCTTCTATGTCATCAAAAGCATCCTCTGCTTGACCCTCGTGCTTCACAGTTCCTGCAGCTTCCCGATCATTACTTGTCGCGTTGATACTAAAGTTGCTTGACGCGACGGGCGGAGATGGGAAATCGTTGGCCGTGGCCGGTTTCTCCGCACTGCTCTATTGGTGAAAAAAAAAATGTCAGTGCCGCCCATGCAGATTTTCCAATGCAGTGATTTGCTGACCGTGAAGTGTTTGAAGGCGCCTTGCAGATCATGTGCAGGTAACTTACCGAAATAATTGCTTCTTGCCATTCCCAACACTGTTGCGTGTCGAATTCTCGCGCACCTTCACCATTCAGAGCCGCATTCGCTGCCTTTTCCTTACTTTTAAACATGATGATATTTTCATGTTAAAGATCAATTGGATCAAGTATTTATTGTTTCTGATTGAAGTCGATGAAGGTGTTTGAATTGACTGGAGTAGGGTAGGAGAAGATGCTGTTGAACTAGATGTCATGTCACATCGTGTCGTGTCAACCCAAAATGATAAAACACGGAAGGCACTTATTTCTGACGCCAAAATGGCGGGCTAACACGTGATCAATCTCGCTCATGTTTTGGCTAAGTAATACCTAAAACAAAGACTGTACAAGCGGAGAACCCCATGAAATCGAACGTTGGGTGTGTATTTGATATGGGCATCACTCTTTCGGCAGAGGCCATCATTGACCGAGTATGACCGCCTCTACAGTTATTTTCTTCAACAGGAACATGCTGCGTTTATGCAAATAACTTTGGTTTATCAAAGGCGTGTCAGTGTCACAGTGTCGCCTCGTCGACAGAGTCAATCTCTTGTGGCTCGAACCATGGCGAAGCACAGCATGATTGGCTCATAATAATTCAGAGCCTTTTTCTGCACAGGCTCACTGCATCATGATGGTCCCTATGTAACAGATCTCCTCCGATTAGGTTAAAGTCGAGAGATGTTACTGAATGCCCTGGATTAAACTTGGTCTAGAGAGACACAGCATTTACCTTGTGTGGCCACAGCCAATTGACTCAAGCTTCGGGCGTAGTTTATAGAAATCGTAGCGAATATGACTTAATGCCACTATCTTCACCTGATTGCATGAGTGTTTGATAAATAGTCCGACGTTTCCGCATGTCTGCTTACGACACCGCATCGACACCGCAACTTTTTACCATCTATGCAACCTGCCAAATAAACCATCAAATTCAAACATATGGTCTACAGAGATCGCTAAAGTCATTCCAAGATGTCAGAAAACACAAACATGGCGACCCTAACCAGCTTCACTGCCGTCAAGGCTGATGCGGAGTGTTGCATCAAGAACTTCTATCGGATGAATGAGGCTTGTGGTCAATATACTTGGAAGGACAACATCTCAGATGATTTGAAAGAGGCTATTGAAAATGGGATGCCTGCACGTTATGCCATTCTCGTGTACAACAGAAAAACTTTCGATTCTCGCATGACATTCGAAATAGAAAGGTATCATCTTTCAAAGTCCGTTTCTCAAGAAAGATTTGAACAAGATTTTGAAGGACTATCCCTACGTCACTCCATGTCTAAAAGAATTGTTTTTCAAGAGTCATGTCATGATTTTGCTCATCGCTGGACGGAACTTGTCCACGCCATACAGGATGAAAATGATGAAAAGATGAAATCTCATTTGACCCTTCTACACGAAACGCTTTAAGCAGAGCTTAAAGACATCATCGAATCTGCTCTTGGTTTAATGCCTGAGATAGTTGCCAGCTAAAATGCAGTCTTAGTACTGGACGAGTGCGATGTTTTCCTTGAATCACGAACTTCAAACTCATTTGAGCGCAGCAAGATTGTTTCGATCTCTCAACGAACGCTTGAGTAATATGAAGGGATATATTTATGACCCCAATCGTGTTAAGAAAATCGACCCTGCTTTTAAATCACGCATCCATTTAAGCATGGATTACAAAGATTTGGGCAAGAATGCTGGAGAAGGCTTGGAAAAGCTTTGCATCGATACGAGATGATCAATAGCACTACCATCAGATCACTGATGCTGAGTTTGAAAAATTGGCGGATGCAAACATCATTGGAAGACGGATTCAGAATGTGCTAAAGACAGCGAAGTTGCTCGCTAGTTGTAAGAATCAGCTTCTCGAGTTCGAACATGTTCAGACGGTTATAAGTGTAGGGCGGAATTGAGATAGAACTTATGGTATCTTCTGCCGCGCAATAGCTTGGTTCTCAGAAGCAAATCAGGCAAGTGTCTCTTAGGAACTTTACAATCTTACCATCAATAATACAGGATAATACACGCTTCCTGATTTGAAGTTTTGGATGAAGTCAATAAAGCAAACATCCAATCACGTCAAGCCACATTCGCATGATAAATATATGATTTTGACTTTCCACCTCACTACCAAACTTCGTATTCATTCTCCCATTATTCAAGCCACAATCAACCCAATTCTCGTATTTCCTTGTTAATCACGAGGTATAACGTAAATTTGTACAGCAACGCTCAGCCTTAACACTGATCCGTCTTGGCAGTGAGATGGAAGTAAGACCATGACGGCATCTTCCAGCAAACATCACCAACCTAACTAATCCACCCGCATCATCTGAAGACAATATTTCTCCACTTCATGTATAGTCACGCAATAGCGCGTGAGTGTTGCCTGACTATTTATAATTTTCTCGTGATGTGTTCAGCTATACGTGAACACGTGCTTGGCAATTATACTAGTATGTGGTGAAGAGTTGAGTTTGGATTTCTTCTATTCGTATTTCCTTCGTATTTGCTGATAGTTACACTGAATTCTAAACAGGTTACTCGAAGTTGGCGAGATGCGAGCGCTCGGATACTTGATCTGATGATTGACGGTACGAATTCTAGTACACGTCCGTTGATGCCCATTAAGCTTATGATGTTTGCTTATTCATGGCGCCGTGAGGTGTATACGATGTACGAGATAACATCACAGGCTGGAAGCTAGAGGAAGGGGATATATAAGTCGTACGTTCATCTTATGTTTGGAGTTTTGGTTCAGCATCATTATCACAACATCAACACTTCAATCCAGTATTTTCCACAGTAACTCAAGCAAAATGCAATTCTCAACACTCTTGACTCTTGGTCTAGCAGCTATCAGTGGTGTTGCTGCTGCCCCCACCGATTCCTTTAATATAGATATTACATTCATCGGCGGACCAGCTAGCTACAACCTAACCGTTCCCGCCACTGGATATACCCAACTTACCAGTTCGTCTCCCCCTTACGCGACCCATACGTAAAACTAACAACCACCAGGCAACGCACTCTCCGTCTCGCTAATCCGCTCCTCCAACTTCGACGTCTTCCACCTCTGCACCTTTTCCTTCGCTAGCCCCGCTACGCTCGTCAATAATGGCGGCATCATTAGTGTAGGACCCCCAACCCCTATCACAGCTGTCAGCTGCCCACCTACCGATCAGAGATGCATTCCAAATTATAGTGAGTTTTCCTTTCTTTCCTCTAGGTGCTTTTGAGAAAAGCCGCTCATGAATTTGTTTTTAGATGATTGCTACTCTTCTACCACCGGTCAATTCCTCGGTTCTTGCTGTGATGGATTTTGTGCGGCGAATAAGTGTAGACCTTTCTCTGGGGTTTAAGAATCTTAGATTATGAGTTCTTCAGCTGGTGTTGAGATGATTGGATCGGTGTTAGTATTCGATTGGATTGAAATTAGGGAGGAATCCGAAAATGCAAATCGACAAAAAGAGAAAACTTGGGGATATTAGGGGTTGGAGGAAGAACAGGCTCTAAGCGCTAACTAATTACATTCCTTTAGAGTATGCGGAAGTGTGATATAGTCTTCTGATAAATTTAATTTATATTCTTTGCTAACAATGATAACTTTGGTGTAATTCTGAGTATCGTGACATCGCCGACCACCTATAGATATAGAGCAAAAAGCTGTTAAAAGTTGATCTTGGCTGGTGGTGGAAAAATTGTGGGCGAAATTACTTTTTCGAATCATTCAGATAGTAAGAATGATATTTTATATGTAGTTGGCGCCTTGGGGAGGGAAAAATTAGATGGACCGTTGCTAAACTCCTTCGAAAAGATTGGCCATTGGAGGGTTTCCAGTTTTGGTCACGGCAGGACAAAGGCGGTGTCCTCTTGAAATAATGATTAGTAATCAAAGAATACCGCAATGGAATCATCAAACCAACCAAAAAAACACTAGGGTAACCTTAACCTAAACTCAGACAATTTTAGCGGGAAAGGTTTCAACAATTTAAGGAACCGGTTAACACCATGCTCTGTATTAAGGTCACAACACCTTACTTACATTACACTACTTTTCCTCACCTCATTGAATTTTATAATCATGGCCGATTCATCGAACTGGAGAGTTCGGGCGCCAGTAGATTCTTCATCCCAGCCAAAACAGACAAATTGGTCCAATCGAGCATCTAGAGAAGATCGTCCTCAAAGACAACCGATCGTATCTCTTGCAGATAGAAGTCGTGCCGATGATTTGAGAGTCCACAGACCAGAACGACAGCAAGAGGAGTCGTCTGAAACACTCCAAGCTATTGCAGAAGGTCGTCGTGTGTATCTTGGAAATTTGCTTTATACCACCACTCCGGATGATATTAATGCGTTTCTTGCCAAGAATGATATAACTCCCGTTACAAATGTTCATGTGTCTATCGATCCATTTACAGGTCGTTGTCCGGGATATTGTTTTATTGAGTTTTCGGAAAAGAAAATCGCAGATGATGCTATGGAAATGCTGGAGGGGCTTTTGATGTTTGGTCGACCGGTTAAGTGTCGTCCTTGTCGACCCAAAGGCAATGTTCGTCGTGGCGGCCCAAATCAAGGGCCGCGGGATGAGAATAGTAATCCTAGCTATAATCGCTGGGGAAATTGGGGAGAATCAGGAGCTAGTGATACGCAACACGATTGACTTTCGGGTCAAAGCGGACCTAATGATGCCATGAGACATTTCCAGCTTTCAAAAGCCCAAGAAGAAGGTAGACAATTACATGTTAGTGGATTGCCTAGGATGCTTGATCAATCGGAGAATGAATTGGAGATACGATCCATTTTTAAGAATTTCGCAATGTAAGTTTTGCCCCTCGAATAGATAAACTTAGCATGGTCTAAAGCGTTTTAGCGATGTAGTAAGTAAGAGCGTGAGCCCTCGTGACAATAACCTGGATGATCAACGGCGAAAGTTTTGCTTTGTTGATTTCACCACTCGTGAGGAAGCTCAAGCAGCTATGAAAGCTATCGATGGAACAATTTACAGAGATGCGCCGTTGAAAGTCTCGATGGCAATTCCAAAATCCGAAAGACATGGAAATACGTATGACAATAGGAAGGATGGGGCGGACAGAAACTTTCGATAGGGATGAGTGGACAACCCTATGAAGGGATCCATTGAAGAATATATCTAACCACTCTAAATTCGTCAATCATCGTTCCACACGCTGTGATATTTATTTCATATTGTACGATTTGTTTTAATTTGCAGAAACATGGAAATTTGCATGGTCGGGAAAAATTATAGCATGCACAACGGTGGAAGCGAAAGCATGAAGACAAGAGTGATAGACAAGAGATGTCAGCATTTTGGGTGCAATAACTGATTGGCACCGCTCAATACGGTCAGCGGAAGTTATCCGCCCCCACAACCATATTCGATGCTTTGCATATTCGTAAGCCGCCCCAATGATAGCACGCAGGTGGTGCGGTTTTATCCGAGCTGAAATGAGGGTTAACTTCGTCTCCCAAAAACTCGCATCCTTCCTCATCATTCTCATTAACTACCACCATCCCTTTAAGATGCAATTCCACAAGCTTCTAGCCGTTGTCTTTGGACTAATTCCTCGTGCCGTTACCAGCTCAAACTACTCAGCATGTCCTGATATATCGCCCGGTCCAGCTACAATTTTTCAGCTGGTGGAGCTTTACCCATATCTCCACTTGCAGATCCAATTGCGGCAGAAAATATTCGTAATACTTCAGCTCTTTACGCTTTTGCAGTTGATGGCCATAACGTGAGCAAGCTGCTTTTCTCGAAATTTCACTCTAGATTTCGCACTCTGTCTTTTTTCTTATGCATGTCACGACTTCACCGAAGTCAAACTCTCCATTTTTCCTCGTGCTTGCCATTCTTATAGTAATTATCATCGCACGAATTACTAATATCCCAATGCTATAATGGGCAGCCTATCTCGAGTTTTCGCCCCAAACGCACGAGCAAACTACTCAGCAGCGATAGGAATCCTCTACGGCCCGGGAGAAATCGCGAATTATATATCCACAAGCCTAGCTTCCTTTGTAGGAACACAGCATAGATACGGAACGCAATACATAACTATATGTTCGCCAAGCAGCGCCATCTCCGTGACATGTTCTTAGGCAAGCTACTTTTCCCTGCCGGATGTTGCGCCTGTTGTCGAGGATGATAGTCATACCTTTTTTGCTACTGGACGGTATGGAGATACTTGGATGAAAGAGACTAATGGAAGTTGGAAGATTGGGAATCGGAATTTGGTTTTACGGTAAGACTTCGGTTGTTCTCGGGTTGTGAATGAAGTGGGGCTAATGCTTTGATTTAGGGTCCCTTGATTTTGGATACGGAGTAGTGGTTCAATCATTGTGTATCAAGCACTATCATAATCAAAGTGATAGCTTTGGAGACAATGGAGCTCTCGAGCTCTCGGAACCTGAGGCATGATGTGATTCTAAAATATCGCGCCATGAACCTCCAGAAACAATTTCTTTTCAAGCTTGTGACGAGGGCCCGGTTCTGTGCTTGCTTTAGAGTGAAGGAGAAGAATTGATTCCATTTATGAATCTGAGCGGTAATTTAATGTCAGAGAGGAGTATGACGATGGCCATAGGTTATCAATATCAGAGACAAGTAGATGAATGAGAACCCAATTTGGCAATAATGAATGATATTGAGGTATTTAGGACCAACTTTCTAAACTCGGATTCGTGTCGTCTCAACAACAATTTGCGTGAAGATTTGACCATGAATTCAACTTCTTGAAGAATTTGCAAAGTTGTTAAATAATTAAACACCATTATATAACTCCGCGCTACTACCAGTAACTAGTATAGCTCCCGCTTTGGAGTCAATGACCTCATCATCCACCAGAACCATGCATCCCATTTCCATTCATCTGATGTAAATAAACAATAATCTCCAAAGCTCTCCCCGCCTCCCCTACGATACAATCCGAAAAAAAATGGCCCAACCCCTTATGCTAATCCTCCGCCTCGAACCCGCCTCCGAAAACCTCCTCATTACTCTCCGCACCCGCTACTTCCTCCTCCCCAGCAACCACCTCTCCGCACACATGAATAACCCTTTTTCAATTCCCTTATAGAAGCATGATATCAGTAAATATACCATTTTTGAGCCTATAATTAAAGAAAACCATAAAATGAGATTTTAATATATAAAGTATTTATATAAATAACTTCAATATTAATAAAAATAATTTCAAATTTGATGATTAGGCTATGGTTCTTTAATTCTGTGCTTTCCGATTTCGGAATTAATCTCCTCTTTTCTTTTCTATCTCTCTCCCTCTCTCCCTCCCTCCTTCCCTCCTTCCCTCCTCTTCTCCCCTCTTCCTCCTCTTTCAAAAACTTTATTATTATCAATTTATAAAGATATATTATTAATTTTTTAAATTCTATTTTACTCAATTTAATCGTTTTGATAAAATCCCTCCAAAAATTTTATTGTTTAATAAAACTTAAAAATTATTTACAATTTTAAAAAAATAAATTTAATAATAATTAAAAATAACATCACTTTAATATAGATTAAGAAATTGCCGCTATATAACAAGATTTGAAATCCTCGTTTTAGCTCTACATAGATTATAATATTTATTAGTAATTTACTAATATCATGCTTCCTTGAATTCCTACCCTCCACCTATCATTCTTTCTACACAACTCTCCTCAGCACCCTCATAAAATTCAACCTCGGAATCAAAAGGAAAAAAAACTGAAAAAGGCGTCGCGCTCACTATCTCCTCATTCAAACTCTGAAAAATACACTGGGAATTACATATACTGCAGGAGTTTAGGAGGAAGGAAGGTAGTAAGATCTTACAATGACGGGGCAGGATCAGAGGGGTAACCTTATAAGGCCGCATATTACGGTGCAGAATAAGGTTGAAGAGGAGGCGAGGAGGATGTTGGAGGAGGTGAGGAAGTGGTGGAGGATTGGGTGGGTGTGGCTGAGGGGGCGAGTTTGTGGAGGTTTGAGGGGGTGGGATGGGATAGGATGGGATGAGATGGGATGGGATACGTTGAAATGGAAGGGTGTATATATTCTTGCATAATGGAATGGATTCCCTCGAATAAATTGTATGGATACTTTGAAATCTCTGGAATAGATATCAGGAAATATTAGAACTTCTTACTCATATTTTAGTTACTATACATAGAAAAATAATTTGGCATAATTAGCAAATAGTAATCTTTCCCGCCCCCACCCCAAAACAAATACTACCAGACCTTTACAAACTTCATGAAAAAGTTCAATCCCTATTAAAACTTCCCATCCCTCTTCTCCAAAACCCTCCCTCTGAAATTCTTCTGCTTAACAAACCATCTATTCAATGAAACTAAACCCCCATTCCTCTCCACATCCGCATCCAACTCAAAATCAAATCTTCTCACCAGCTGCGGTATCAACTTGTTAATCTCCAACAAACTAATATTCTTCCCAATACATGTTCTTGATCCCATGCCAAAAGCAAAGGAGTACTTTTCAACTTCTCCTCCTCGACCTTGTTCTTCAATTTCGAGCCATCTTTCCGGTCTCCATGCATCTGCATCTAAGCCCCATACTGACGTATTGTGATGGGCGACGTATGCATTAATGCCAACTGTCGAACCACCTGGTATGAATTGATTCGCGATGGTAGTACCTTCGGCTGGCACAACACGTTGTAACCCCAGACCCACAGCAGGATGGACTCGTAGTCCTTCTTTAAGGACAGCTTGTAGATATGGTAATGCCTGGGCTTCTTTGAAAGTGATTGGATCCGAAACCCTTCCCTCTTTGGCTGCCGTTGCAATTTCTTCTCTCAGCCTTTGAAGAGTCTCCGGATGCTTCAGCAGATGATATAGAATAGCCGAAAGAGTAATAGCCGTTGTATCACTCCCAGCACCAATATTCGACGAACATGTAGTGAACAAATCATCACTGGAAATCTTCTGCGGATCCTTTTCAGACGCCGTCAATAACCTCGTCATAAAATCTGTTGTGCCCTCTCTCTCCTTGTCTCCGTTTCTCGGATTCTTCAACAGTTTGATCTTTTCCGCAATTCTGTCCTCGGTAAATGTGACAATATATCTAAAACCTCCAGAACCAGGCATTAAAGGAAAAAGAAATGCGTGGATCCAGCTCCAAATACCAACAAATGTAGAATACGATAGTCCATCATCAAGAGCCGCAAACACACCATCTTTATCCTCTCCCATATCCAAAAAGCCAAAGCGTTGTCCAAATGTAATTTCTCCAATAACATCAAATGCATAGCACTGTAACCAATGTTGCAAATCTACAATCTTTCCTGAACTTGCCAACTCGCCAAATCGTCGTGAGAGTAACTCGGTAGAATTGTTCACATATGGTTCATATCCAACCAGTGAACTCATACTATAGTGATTCGCGACCTTGCGTCGTTGTGCAGAATGGCGATGCGGATTACGCCCCGAGAACAACCAGTCCATATTTTTTCCTGGTGGCTCCCATGCCAAATACCATGGGGCTTTTGGGAAGCTGCCTCCAGACGTAGAGTAGATGACTTTAGCAGCATTAACATCATCGATTGAGTATTCATGGGGCGCGATGCGAACGATAGGACCATAGCGAGAGTGTAGCTGTTGGTTTGTAACTTGGTAAGAACCTTTGTATATTTCCCAACAGTACCAGGCTCGGGTAAAGCGTGCTAGAAAGGGGCCTGGAATATGGCGGAGAGGGTCGATGGTTGCGAGGAAGATGATACTTAGCAAGTATATGGCCGCTGGGATGGAGATGAGTACCCATATCGGGAGGGAGACAAATAATTGAAGCATTTTAATCCGTCTCCATGAAACTGATGAGAGGTGGATCGTGGATAGATGTCAAAGAGCAGGAAGATAGAAATCCTATTTAAGGACGATTACAGATTCCACGAAAGCAGAGTGAGACAAAATACCCCACTTAAGGATAATGACTACGAATCCCGTGAAAGTACTCAGTGAACTTGGAAGCCCACTTGTATGTAACGGCGGCATGTGCATATACGAATGCGGAGAAATGCAGGAGAACCTTGCTACACCGGACATTTTTTGGTAAAATCTCATGTTTTTTTGTATAGATATATCGGACAATCCGGTATTTTGTTTATACCGAATAACGATGTGTAGAACCTCGCTGTACCAGACATTTTGGGTAGAATCTCATTTTTTTGTATGGGTATAACGGAAATTCTAGTATTTTGGTGACACCGAGTAACAATTTTGTGATTTTGGCGATAATTGTCGGCTTGCCGACACCAAAACCTTGCTGTACATGTAGCGTACCGCAATTTACCTGATGTACAGTGACCGTGCACTGCTACTAGCCATAGCTCTTTTTACACCAAAACTCACTCTTTTCACTTATTAATATTAAAAGAACTCAATATTTTTTTAAAGAAATCCTTTAATACATTTAAAAAGATTCGTTTAAAGATTCTATATTTTTGATTTTTATAAATTTTAATAATTAATTGATAAAGTTGTACAGTTTTAAATTTTAGATTTTGAAATTTTCCTCATTTTACCGCAAAAATTAAATCAAAATTTCATATGGTCATTTTCAAACTTAATTACATTATTTTGAAAATTTCAAAAAATAATCAACTTATTTTTTATTGTATATTCAATTTGAAATAATCTAATTTTTCAATTTCAATTATACTTTTATAATAATTAAAATTGTTTTAATTTTGTAAAATGGTTGAGGTTTGGTGTAAAAAGGTCATTCGGCTAGTAGCAGTGCGCTAGTACTGTAGATTGTAGAAAATGAGAAACTCGCTTAAATGAATCGCAATCCTGACAATCTGATTAGTCTAAAATACCTCTATAGAAAATCTAACAAAAAGCTTAATATAAGCTTTACAATCTTAAACAAATTTAATTTGAAGCTTTTTTCTACTCAATTCAAATGAAATTATTTAATTTATTCAATTCAAGTTTATTTATTTAATTTATCTTATTTAATTCAATTCAAAATAATAATAATAATAATAATAATAATAATAATAATAATAATATAAAATATTATTATTATTATTTTGAATTGAATGAATAAAGTTAATTTGAATGATTTCAATAGAGTTAAATGATTTTAAAGCTGAATGATTTTAATAAAGTTGAATTATTTCAATTGAGTTGAGTTGAAAAAAGCTCTAAATCAGATTTGTCTGAGGTTGTAAGGCTTGCTTATGTGAAGCTTTTTGTTAGATTTATTTACCGGGGTATTTTAGACCAATCAGATTGTCAGGATCGCGACTCACTTAAACGAGTTTCTTATTTTCTATTATCTACACTAGGTAAACCTCGCGTACAACAAGGTTATAATATTGACAAGTCGATAATAAAAATTTAATTAAAAACTTTAAAGATCATTTATTATATATTATATATTATATATTATATAAAAATAATTAATTGAAATTAAATAAAATATTTAGTTTTCTTTTTATTTAATAGTTTTATATATTTAAAGTTGAAAAAGTAAAATATATTTCAAAAATTTAAGATTTTTGTAATTTTAAATACTTATAATTATTAATATTTTAACTGACTTGATTCAAAATTAAAAAAATTGTTTCATATTTAATTTTATAGAAGAAACTATAGTTTTTACAGGGATTTTGTAAATGATGTGCGGTGAGTGATACATCGATATATGGAGACTTGCGGGAGCTAACAGCTAGTCTGTCGACGGACTTAATTTCGAGTGCTTATAGTGGACGGCTATGTCTGCTCATAAGTAGCGGACTATGTCCGCTCATAAGTGGAGAAGCTTTGTCCGCTCATGCTCATGAGTGGAGGAGCTTTTGTGATTGGGCGGTGGGCACATAAGATTTACATTTACGTACTCGGCAAAACCCGAATCATGACAGGACTGCATCGGTACCTTTTCGGTATCTAGCCGGACGGTTGAAGATGACGCATTGAAAAACATAAAACGTCATATTAATGCTTAGATAGATATTTAAAGTGATTAAAGCGAAGATCAAAACGATTTAAATGATCAATTGACGTAAAACTCGATATTGTTCAACGGTAAATTCGCAGTTTTAAATTCTCCGACCAAAGTTGGTTACTAGGTAATAGAAGTCTAGTGGAGAAACCAAGTAGGGCGTTGAACTCAAGTCGGTTGGGTAAAAGGAATTTGTCCCACGTACGAGAATAATAACGAATATAACACAAAATACCCCTCCTCAATGGTAAAATCTTATAGATCCCTTGCCCCCATAAAGTTACCTCCTCTCAAGGCTCCTTCTACCCCGCCAAAACTCTGTTTCTGATGTTTTGCCATTCGTTCGCTATTCTGTGTACTCTGAGCTCTCAGTCTATCATTTTCATGCAAATTGTCGATCTGTCGATGGCCAATTGGCTTCTCAAAGCCGTACAGTGGTTCGAGCGTTACGTATTTTTGCTGGAATATGCACCGCCTTATCCACCATCTATGTACTCTTAGTTGGGGGACGAAAAAAAAGGCGGGGTAACGCACGGTAATGCTTTAGTAAGCTGGTAGTGCATATGTGTGCGTGTAGAGACAGCAAATACAAAATTTAGTTCCTCGAGTGTACGTTGCTTGGTTTCAGGCACCCAAAGGAATATCATGCATAGAGAGATGACGTTAAGCCCGGCATAGAAACCAAAAGTTCCCTATGAGACATCAGTATTCGAGTCAAGAAAAGGTATTTGAAGATAAAAGAAGAAGATAGCCTACGGCAACAGTAAAAACGTCAAGCATTCTGGGCAAAGTGATGCCTAATACAGCAGCCCAAAAAAGGTTCGTAGCAACCGCCCAGCCCATCCCAACTTCACGATGTGACAGTGGAAATACCTCAGCAGAGTATGTGAATGGAACTGGCCCTGCGCCAGGGCTGTAAAATGCAGCATAAACATATATAAACAGCGCCATAAGGCCTAGGTGCGCTCGGCTGGTTTCCGATATTAACGAACAAAGTGCCACGGCAAGTATACTCCAAGCCATATTAGGAAAGGTAAACAGCAATAAGGTTCGCCTCCCGTATGTATCAATAGTCCAGACAGCTGGCCATGCAAAGATGAAGTTGACGAGGCCAAATCCCCACGAAGCTAAAAGCGCATTGATTCTCCCAGCACCCGCTTTTTGAAAGACAGTTGAGGAATAAAATGCTATCACATTAATTCCACACATTTGCTGCGCCAACATAACTGTAAAGCTGGCTAGCGTCGCTCTCCTCAATCGGGGCACTGTAAACAACTGTGTAAAACGTGTCAAGTAAGTATGATTCCCCACAATTTCTGCTTCAAGCTCAAGCTGCGAGTGGATATAATAAAGATCACGCGCTGCTTGTAGGGGATTGTTCCGAAGTTTTAATAGAGACTGGTAGGCTTCTGGGTACCGACCTTTCTTCATATACCAGCGAGGACTTTCTGGGCAATAGAAGATAAGGATACAAAGGGGTACAGCGGGTATGAATGCAGAGCCGAGTTGGAGACGCCAGGCGATTTGTGGTACATTGGCTACTATCAAGTTTGCGCAAAAGCCTAGGAAGATCCCGAAGGCATTCCACACTTGCCAGGACATTACCAGGGCACCTCTAATGGCTACTCACTTTTTAGCTGAGAAGCCATAGGTAGTCAAAGGGAGAATGGACTTACCCGCAGGAGAATTTTCCGCTGCATACACGGGAACAGTAGAAGCCTTCGCACCCATTCCAAGTCCGAGTATAAGGCGGCAAATGAAAAGCTCTTCCCAGGTTGTTGTAAAAGCACTACCAATCACACTCCAAAGGCAAAAGTTCCCAGAAATAAATATGGTTCCACGCCGACCGAAATAGTTGTTGAGGGGATCGGAAATCCAGCAGCCTATAAATGCGCTGCTGATATAAGGGGCGGCATTGCAGAGTCCAACTAGCATCGTATCCCGAGTAGATTTTCCTCCAATGCCAAACAGGTCAGGAAACGATAAATTTGCACCATTTGAGCCTAAGTTATTTGTCAGTCGGTGAATAGCACACTTAAACATTAAGGAGAGGAAGGAGAGGTAGGTGAAGCTTCTGGAGATTTGTTCCTCATAGCGCCTTTTTGGACTCAACTTCGACATTCCAAGTTTATCTTAAGCCTCGTCTATCTCTCAAAAGGCTAGCAGGAGTGTGAAATGTCATCCTAAACCCACCTGTTTGATCCCAACCTTGAACAGCAGCTCTGTTATGGCGAAAGTTAGAGTGGAAAGACTAGTAATCAGTAAGAAAGGGAGGACTATATACCCAATGGAGCATGCAATGATAGTAGTATACAACGCCCATGGCTGTTTCCATTTATGAAGGACTTCATCCCTCAAGCATTCAATCTCTTGATCATTCAAAGCATCTTCACCTTTTATATCCTCGTAATTTGTCGGGTCTTGTGCTACTAATGCCCCTTTGATTAATAGAGGAACAATCTCGAGTAATTCATGCTTAGTCGCAAAGTCCTCAACCTGATGGTGCAGCAAAGTCGCTGGGATTCCGGATAATGGATTTTGAATCCTTTGTTGGATGTATTAGCACAATGTGGACGGAGTACAAACTTGATACATCTTACTTGGCATCCAGGTTGCTGTTTAAATTAATGTTGTGCTGGTCTGCTTCGACTTCCACGACATAATCACTTCCGTTCTTACCAGTAGTCCGCAACCGTGACCTTACGACTTCCATTAGCGATTGTTCATTGAAACTATTCTCTTTCCGAGCATGAAACACAACGTACCATTCTGGTTGAACAAATTTTACATGCTGCTCAATATACTTCGATTCTGGCATCGTAAACAACTTATCGCGATGTTCAATGAATCGAGGGACTACTAAAAGATGAAATATGAAAAGTGGGGAGTAAGGGGTCTATATAATCCAACAATGCAGCCTCTAATCCTTTCTGCGAAGGTGACACGGAGGTACAATGCTGCGCCTGATTTTAATCAATAATTGATCAATCATGATTTGGCGGAGGCATTATTATCGATCCGCGTGAACATAGAGAGGGCTGGCCTTGAATCCTAACGGCACAATTGTCATGTAATCTGACATCGTAAAGATGCAGGGCCCTCAACGAAAACAAGAGAATAATAATCAGGAAGCTGAGGCTGGCAAGTCACTAGACTCAAAACCAATTATCTTCAAGGCAGTATGCAGGGCGGGGCCATCGGTGAGAAATGGCATCATAAACAAGAGAAAAATCTTCATTGTGGCTTGTTTGTTTGTGTTGAAACTTCTCTCTCATTCAAAAGGGATGACCTTTGGAAGGCTGGAAGGCATGAAGGCAACAGCACACGGCCAACGCAGTACGCACATCAACCTGAGCTTGTAGAGCCACAATTTGTGTAACCTGAACCACGAGACAAGCCTTTTTCATGTTGAACTTCTGTCATGAGCACCTCACAACCTTGGCAGATGGCCATATGGAATTCAAGTAAGATCGACAAACTCCATGTAACATCTCTAAAGGAACGCATGAATACGCAAATGCTTACAAAAAGCCATCTGTTCCAAGCCATCAAAGCGAACACAAGATCCCATTCTTGATCAAAATTTCATTGCACTTTTCCCAGAGTCCAAGTCCATATCAAACGCAATAACAGAAACAACGTAGATATATACCTGCCTAGTGGTAACTTATCCACTAGATAGGTAACTAGGCGAAATGGTTAAAGCGCAGTTTTAAGAAACGCGTGTTGCGCGCTGTCATGTGATTTGTGATAAGATAAGCTTGATGCTTCTTGGATGTATCTCACTCGACATGAAGCTCCCATCGACCTTCTAGGCAACAATCACCTCGACCCACAGACCTTCAGGATTCTTGATCAGTAATGTTATGTCTCACGTAGGAGTATATCATTGCCGTCATGGCACCTCCAACGAAGAGACGGAAGCGCAATGTCGTTGAATCCTCTCCTCATACATCAGAGAACGAGGACAATCAATCAGTTCAGGTCAACAAGTTCAAAAGTCGATTGAGCAATTTGGCACACTCCCCGCCACCAAGGTCGAGCCCTTTAGAGCCAACTACAAGGTCTATGTCACAATCTAGCAGCTCTACGAGATCTTCTTCTCTTATAAATCCTTCAGCGAAAACGGCCAATCATCATCATAATGCCGCGCCACTTTACCTGCCAAATCATCACAAGAAGTCCAATACAAAGAGCCCCAGTACAAGTCCAGAAAAACCAAGAGGCAAAGTGAAAACTGAGAAGAGGCATAAAAATGCAGATATTCATACATTCTTTACAAAGCAAGCGCAGAGGCAGCAAGCAGAAGGCGAGACGATACCCAAACAAAGAATTAAGGTACTCAGCTCGAAGGATATTCAGAAGGAGGCTGATCTGAGAGATGATTTAATATCAGACGATGATGATGTGGGAGAGAGTCGAGCACAAACAGTTAGCATGGTTGGACAAGCCGCTAAGCGCGGGGTCGGAAAGAACGTATTTACAAATTCAGGTGCCTACACACCCAGCGGTAGTCAAAGATTTGTGAAGCCATCTCAGATTTCTTCATTAGAGTCTATAATCGAGAAGGAAGATATGCGGCCTTGGGCCGAGCGCTTTGGACCAAACAATCTGGAGGAACTTGGAGTTCACAAAAAGAAAGTCACAGATGTTAAAACCTGGCTTGAAAATGTCATCGGGGGACAAATGAGGCAACGGTTATTGATCTTAAAGGGTGCTGCGGGAACTGGAAAGACGACAACAATACAACTACTGGCGAAAGATATGGGATGTGATATCCTCGAGTGGAGGAATCCTGTTGGGTCGGTGGCCTCCTCAGACGGCTTTCAATCAATTGCTGCACAATTTGCGGAATTCATGGGTCGGGGTGGAAAGTTCGGTCAACTTGATTTATTTTCCGATGATAATGCAGATATTTTAGTAAAACCAGAAGTAAAACCGTTGGATCGAAGGAAGCAAATTATCTTAGTCGAAGAATTTCCAAACACTTTCACTCGTTCTTCGAGTACTCTTCAATCATTTCGATCTGCGATACTTCAATACCTTGCATTTAATACCCCTCCTCTTTCAATGGCATACAACTCTGAAGCTAAGAATGACCCTATCACTCCAGTGGTAATGATTGTTTCTGAGACATTGCTGACGACAACCTCCGCATCTGCCGACAGTTTCACCGCGCACCGTCTCCTTGGGGCAGAGATTCTCCAGCATCCAGGTGTAGGAGTTATAGAGTTCAATGCTATTGCCCCTACAATATTAGCAAAGGCCCTCGAGGTAGTAATCCAGAAAGAGTCACGGAAGTCAGGAAGGAGAAAGACACCAGGGCCTCAGGTGTTGAAAAGGCTTGGTGAGGTGGGCGATATCAGAAGCGCAATTGGGTCTCTGGAATTCATGTGTTTGAGAGGGGACGTTGACGATTGGGGAGGGAAAGTTGTTTTCGGAAAAGGCAAGAAAATAAGCAAAGATACTTTACTGACAAAAATGGAAGAGGATTCTTTGGAACTGATCACTCGCCGCGAAGCTAGCCTTGGAATCTTTCATGCTGTAGGTAAAGTGGTATATAACAAGCGCGAATCAAAGGCACCAGGCGATGTGGAATATTTACCACACTTCATATCTCATCACTCACGTCCCAATCAATCCGAAGTAAACGTAAATGAGCTCATTGATGAGACTGGCACCGACACTCCAACATTCATCGCTGCCCTCCACGAAAACTACATTCTCTCATGTGAAGCACCACCCTCTTCCTTCGAATTCTCCTCCCTCGATCACGTCAATGGATGCATTGACGCGCTCTCCGATAGCGAACTCCTCTGCCCCTCCTGGGATGGTTCCCTCCAATCTTCGGGCTTCGGTGGCGGCGTTACAGGAACAGGAGGAGATATCCTCCGCCAAGACGAGATGTCCTTTCAGATCGCCGTCCGTGGCATCCTTTTTTCTCTTCCTCATCCTGTATCTCGCAAAGCTCCGGCAGCAGCCGGGTTCAGAACTGGCAAAGCAGCAGATGCCCACAAAATGTTTTATCCCACCAGTCTTAAATTGTGGCGCATGAAAGAGGAAATGAAAAGTACATTAGATCTATGGGTTACACGCTTAATTAAAGGACATATCGGTCTCACAAACACAGAATCCGCAAGCACTACCTCCGGCACCGCTGCATTTGCTCGTCCAAAACCTGGCACAGTGGAAAGTTGGAAGACTAAGAACGCCGTTCCCGCGTCATCACAATCAAAATCAATATCAAACAGCAAATCTAAACCCAACACCTCCAAAGAAGAAAATGCTCCTCCCCTCCTAAGCCTCGGCGTCTCCGCCCGCACAGAAATGCTCCTCGAGCGTCTCCCCTACATGATCCAAATCTCCAAATCCAAATCTCAATCTCAACTCCAATCCCGCGCCACCAACTTCTCCTCACCAACCAACCCCTTCCTCAAATCTCTCGAAAAAATAACCACATTCACAGGTATCGGTCCACAACAAACCACCGATGAAACTGCCACCTCATCGGACGACGACGAATCAAAAAATAATACGGAAAATTGGGCGACGGATAAACCAGATGGTGTGGGTACACCTAGAAGGAAAAATAAAGGGGGAGGACTGGTTATAAAAAAGGGAATCGGTGGTGAGAGGGCGATGCCGGTGCAGCAATTAGAGCAGAAGTTCGTTCTGAGCGATGATGATATTGAAGAAGATTGATTTTAGGAATTGAGGTTTGGGAGGCTGTAATCTAGAAATGGTCTAGTTCCTTTGTTAATAAATGCAGGATATGTATCTATACGACATGTGATGAAACAGTTCGTTGTGTTTAGTTATTAATTAATAGTCAAAATACAGACTAGGTTTTCGCTATGTTTTTTTTTCCTCTTGCACATTCCCACTCTACAAAATATCTGGCTACTTGGACCCATCTGCAATGCACTACTAACGATGAACCTGAAAAATATTGACCAGAGGCTTTATATTTGCTAACGAGTGACTATATAAAAAAGCTCTAGGCGTTTCTTTAGTTTTTAAGTACAAGCAGAAAGAGCACAATGAAGTATATGAGTATGATCAAACTTCTCTACCATATTAGTTCCTACCACACAGGCAGATTTCGATCTGACAAAAAAGAAGGAAAGAGAGTACATCTAATCTGAGAACAAACACTAAGGGCGGAGTAAACCTCCACACATGGATGATGCAAAAGTCGATAAGAAGATCAGATTTTGGCGACAAAAGCCTCGAAGATATATCACCCCTCGCATAATGTAATGCAAAAGTAGTAATTATGATCTGTCCAAAGCACTGAAGATAGTCCCCAGCTTAGGATGACTCGTTATGGTAGAATAACTTTTCGAAGATAATGTTGATTAAACAGAATGGACATATCGTAATTCGACAAAGGGAAACCCCAGTTTAAGGCGAAAGGTTGCACAACACAAGCTTGACCATGTATCTGCAGGGCAAAGAAGAACCAATGGGAAGAGTCCATAGATATGAGAGACTGAAAGCCGGAAAACAAAAAACCCGGAGGATATGTTGTATTTTTATCTTGGTTGCATAAAATCATGTCTTTGTAAAGATCGCAAGGAGACCCAGAACACAAAAGGTAATATGACGAAGGAGCAAATGCAAATGAGGGCTCGGAAGAAATTAGCGGTAAGCACCACCATATCGAACATTTGCTGGTGGCATGCGTGGTGGTGGAGCGCTGCTGATAGCAGGACCAGAACCTGGACCTGGACGAGTCTGGAGGGCAGGGTTAGTGCAGAGCATACCAACTCGAGAGCCAAACTTGGAACCACGAAGGGAGACCATGTGCTTGCGGATGTGAGAAGCGACAATTTCCCGATGTTGAGGGTTGGAGTGTTGTAATATATACTGGATCAGATAATTACCATATTGATCACTGGCGATATCAATCAAAGGAATGCGGGGACGATCAAGGCGGCCTTCGCATACACGATCAAGGTAACGGCCAAGAAAATCGACTCCGCCAATCTTAAGACACTTCTCAACAACCTTAGATGCGAATTGATCCATGCTATATTCAGAAGCATAGCGGATAACATGATCAATGGCTCGGCTACGATCAGCTGGTGCTCCATGCTCGCAGATATGTTGAATACACCAATTGCCGAATTGTCCATGGGCGACGATGTCAATGCTAGCAAGAACTTCCTCAATGCAGGGACGCTGTGTCACAATTAAACTCAGTTCGAAAACAGGTGAATTGAAAACATACCTTGTCTTCCTCGAGGCAGTTTTCGAAAATGTTTTGAACAACCAAACTACCTGTCTCACCAAGAGCAACCTCGTGCCACATACCACGAAGGGCTTCATTGACGTACTTCATGATCTGAGGAGGCGACTCGGTCCAACGAAGTTCGAACAACTTCTGCCAAACATGACAAGCATATCGGTGAATAACAGTCTCAGGGATTCTGCGAAGAAGTTCATGAACCATGATGGCCTTGTAATCCTCAGGAACAGAATCAAAGGCCTTTTGGACGACATGGCAGCCGAAAGCATCCATGGACAGATTTAGAGTATTACCACGGATAGCCTCCGCAATCTTGATGACTTGTTCTGGAGTACCGTGCTCAAAGCATCGTTGAACCAAGAAGTTACCAAAGCGGTTGACCATTAGAGGATAAGCCTGCGCAACAATAGCCTCAACAATATCGTATTTCTGCTCGGTTGTACCGACCTTAAGCTTTTGTTGCAAGAAGATTGAAGCCTGCTGATCGTTGTTGCAGACAATCTTGTCCACAATATACTTCCAGTTACAGTTCACAGTGCGGTCTAAAAGACGACGGTAATTCAGTGGCTCAGTGGTTGGTAGATAAGTTTGGTGACCTTCGTTAGCGACCGACTAAAGATTGATTAGTAAATGGGGCCCAATGAATTATTTGATTCTTACTTCAGTTTTCCATGTTCCACTGGCCGAAGTAAACTCTGGTGCATGTGGCGACAGAGGTGTGCCGATTGGCTGAGGTTGATAGCCTGAGTACATTCCACTTCCCATATTCACACCAATGTTCATCTGGCTTCCCAGTGGAGTTGGAACTCCACCCATGGATCCGTACGAGCTTGAAGAAGGTGTAAAGCCATCGAAGGAGCTTGAGCTGCTGGAGTAAGGTACAGAACCAAGATTACGATTATGGAATCTGCTGCCGTTAGTACGGCGAACTCCGCCACCTGGCATTGACATATCATGCTCGTATCTCTCGCCACGAAAGGAGTTTGGAGGTGGTCCGCCAAACGACATGCTCGATTCAACAAAGGGCTGATTGCAACTACCACGGCCCATCCACTGCCCAGTAGTATGTGGATCAGAAGGTTGAAAAGAAGGCAATGGTGGAGCATTTGGGAAATTTGGCTTGTTGTTACCCCAAATAGCCCGAGTACGATTATAACCACTCGCAGAAAGAGCATCACTATGATCGGAGTGTGCGTCTTCCTGAGTTGCCCAGGAGCTTTCACGAGCCACTTGGGGACGGAAGTGGCTTTGAGGGATATCGGCGGTGTTGTCAGAGACATTTCCGAGAGGAAAGTCAGCTTCGGAAACACTACCGATAGCTTGATCGATAGTGTGCTTTGTAATGCGGTTTTGTGCAAGCTCCTGGTCCATGCGTGCAATTCTTCCCTTTGCAGCCTCAAGCTCATACTTGAGACGGAGGACCTCTTCCGCGCTAGGCTGATTGTCACCATCACCACGACTTTGAGGACGAGTAGTGGGAGCAGTTGTAGCCGTGCCTGAGTCAAAAGTCTCGGTGGCAGGTGTAATTGGGACTGAAGTAGGAGCGGAATTGTAGTCAACGGTGCGTGAATTTCCCGGGCCATAGTCATCTGAATTTCTCAAAGCTTCGTGTTGTCGATTGAGGACTGCTTGTTGCTCGGAAAGCTTGGCCAATAGCTTATCGACAGGGTTTGGCATTGTATCGAAAGAAGAGCATGGGAATGGAGGTGCTGCAGCAGCAGGAGCGACAAAAGTCTCGTGGCTCAACTTCATCTTCTGTATTCGTTAGCGGGGGTCTAAGCAATAATGAGATGAGAATGTTGCCTTGGGAGCAGCCTGGTTGCCCAACTTGTTAGTGGAAAGGACAGTGGCAGCCTTTTTGAGAGTATTAGCATTGTCCTGGATCAAGAATTGGTCAGTAAGATCTGCAGAATAATTGGAAATGAGATAGAATAGATAGTATTTGATTTGAAGACAACCTGCAAGAATTCTGATATTGTGCTCATTCAAAAAAGAAATGGCACTGTGAAAAATGGTAGATTTTTTCAACGGCAAGTTGACAAGGCAGAGGAGGGACAATAAACAGGAAAAGTAGTGATGATAATTGAAGCAAGGGTAACAAACCATTCGTGTAGTCATCTTATCAACGGTATCGTCGCCAAGTCCAGCATTCTCATGGCTGCTACGATCCATTGTACGACGAAGAATTGGTGATCCATTGGAAGCAACTGAGGAAGCCATGTTGCCTGTAGGATATCTCAATGAAAGAGTTGTCAAAGGAAAGTAGTGGCCTGTAGCAGATTGTACTGACTGAACAGATGGAAAATGATTGTTGAATGGCTCACTCGTAGATGAGATTGAAGTAGATGAACAGAAATGAAGGTATGAAAGATCAAGAAAAGAAATAAGAGTCGTAGCTCTGAGAGGTTTAGATAGAGAAGTAACGTCTATCCTTTGCAGTTGCTCTATCCCCCTTTCAAATGGCAGGCAAAAAATGAAAGTATGATTTTTTAAATTCTGAATGAGAGAATTTGAAGAAAGAATAAAGGTCCCCAGGCCATCAATGATAGAGAGAAAAAAGTCGAAAGTGATTTTGCGCGAGATGGGTAAGTTTTATATTCACTTCAGGAAATCTTCTGCTCTATCGTCTTGCATATCTCAATTCCAAAGTCTTTATATAATTAGGTGGGAGAGATCTTCATTTAGGTATAGATCAGATGAGAGCAGAATCGAATCAGATATTGATGGAAAGATAGATGAATCAAATAGTGCAAGAGCGGAGAAATGGAAGCTTCAATGAATGGGAAGCTCCGAATAGGATCGCTCTTGCCACTTCTTCTCATTGTATTACCCTCTTAGCACCAGAAGCCTGACAAGCACGACTTCTATGAAAAGAATTTTACTACCTTTAGAATCCCATTTGGTAAGTGTGAACCTACTACTTCCGGGCCGACATATAAAATCCGGCCTCAAAAAGGTCTTTTGTTTCCATAGCTAGGTAGTTAAAGAAACTGTAACCTACGTAAAGATGTAGAAAGTGCGAAAGATAATTATGTCTTTCAATCATGCAGGGGATTCTATAGCTGCGGCCCCTTTACTTTATACTTCCATGCTAAAATTTGAGGGAACTCTTCACAGGCACGCAGCTGTTGACCATACGAGGCAGAATTGAATTGGAATAGGTATGGCTCCAACACTCTTTAAGCATGAAAGAAGCTACTTCCCTCCAAAGCTGCATCATGAGCAGTATTGGGACCCTTAAACAAGCTGCTAGATATTGTAGTATGGAAGGTGTATGCGCAGCTTCGTTATAAACTTTCTCATTCGGCTGAGCTTTTGCTCTTTGCATTCCAGATCCTGGTAATATCTCAAACAAATTTCCACGATACTCCACCAGGAGCTGATCCCAAACGCCAGGTAATGCTACAGTTTTATAGAATGCTGTACATAGTAATTTTTCGATATGAAGCCTTCCTTCGTCTACCTCTTCTTTCCCTTGAACTTCTTGGAATCTGAACCAATTTATTAGTGAAGGCCCGCCTACTACAGCATAGCACATACCTTCCGCAGTCCTCTTCTTCTTCGGAGCTCCCTTTCCTCTTGCTTTCAGACTAAATTAATGTTAGTGCGTAGTCCTCCAAGATGCACGGAATACACTTACATGGTAATGTGTTCAAATCTATCTTCTTCATCATCATCATAAGTTTCAACGTCATATTCGTCGTACGCCTTCTGCAGATCTTTGATTGTCGCCATTTTTCGTGGGTAGTATGCAGCCAACGCTGGTCCCTTTAATCTCTGTCGAAGAATCTTATTTCCTGTTCGAAGTCTGTCGGGGTTGAATGTAGTTGAGAAGATCCGGCATTGGACCTGTAGAATTGAGCTTAGTCCAGAGATCTTCAACTGTGGCATATGCGAGTTCCTACCTTCATCAATTCCAGCAATCTCGACTTCGCGACCGACATGTTTGGCAATAAGAGCGATTTGCTCCTCAAGTCTGGTTTATGGATTCTATAAGATTTTAGCGGGCGCTGTCAACAAACCCGGTCCGTTATTAATCCGCAAAAGCACGTGACATGGCTACCGGTACATTTAAGCTTGGAGATTTCGCGCTTTGATCCGCGGTTCTACCTAAAAAGACTTGAATATCAACGAATGAGCTTTTAAATCCCATAAATATCGGCAATAGCAGTTACTTGCATTTCGACAATTTTAATGTTGCATGCATACTATCCAGAAGCAAAATCCCGAAAATCATCCAAGCAAGAAATGTCATCCAAACGTCCATTCCCCTTCGAAAATAGTATCGAAAAGGAGCACAAGAAAAGAAATGTGAGCCAATTTGCGCTAACACATCTACGATCCTAACACATATTGCAGGTAAATTCTTCGTCACATGGAAAAGCCTCGAAGTTATTGAGTGCATTAGAAGACCTTCTTGATCAAGGTGGAGTGGACGAAGTCGAGACCGTGATAGGTAAGACGGCTTTTTCAGGAGCCCTCGAGCTTCGGGATACATTAAGAAACCAACTGCAGCCGGAGCTAGATCATAGCAACCCTACTGTTGATGCGTCATCGCAAGAATTTGCCAAGCACAATACAGGCAAAATGATATATCCTACGCAGCTTACTCCGTGGACTTCTTCTTCAATCCCAACGGAGCTCCCACCCCTTCCAGAAGTGCTTGATCCTACCCTTGAGGTGGCAGCATTTACTCACCATGGCTACAGTTCTGGCGACATTTCAGATTTGAGCTATGAGCGCTTGGAATGGGTTGGAGATGCTTATATCTACAACATTTCCACGCTTCTCATTTCACAAACATTCCCTGCTTTACTGCCTGGAAAGTGCTCTCAACTTCGCGAAAGACTTGTCAAAAATATCACTTTAGCGGATTATGCTCGGAAATATGGTTTCGACAAGCGCGCCAGACTGCCAGAACAATACCAGAGCCAGGACACGACTAAAATTATGGGAGATATCTTCGAATCATATGTCGCAGCTGTTTTGCTCTCAGATCAAAAAAATGGGGTAGCACGTGCATCGGAATGGTTGAGGAGTCTTTGGGCTATGACATTATCAAAAGAGATCAAGCAGGAAGAGCGAAGTGAAAAGAAACTGGATAGTCCATTATGGAGACTGAGAGGAGCAGTTGATGACGTTCAGACACATAATGTAACTGAAGTCGAGCTCAACGCCAAGGAGAAATTGCAGAAGGCCCTAAACTCTAAAATCAGCCGATTGACATACAAGGACATCAGGCCAGTACGAAAGGACCCGAACACTAAACTTCCAGTATTTACAATAGGTGTTTTCCTTACTGGATGGGGTGAGGTTGACAAGCAAATTGGTTTCGGAACCGCAAATGGCAAGAAGGACGCCGGCTTAAAAGCTGCAGATATGGCGTTGAAGAACAAGAAGATGATGTGCAAGTACCTGGAGAAAAAGAGAATCTACAATGCACAACAGCAAAAGGAAAGAATTGCGCTTCAGAAACAGGAAGAAAATATCAATGATGCCCGATTGTAGACGAGGAGTACAATCGAACAGACAGACATTCGAAGGCTTGCATTCATGAGGGTTCCTTGAGAGATTAATTGGTTGTCAACATGGTATGGAGTTAATGGCATTGGCGTTTGCCCAGGAGTTACTAGCTGGATGGGCAAAGATACCCAAGAAATACGTCTCCATAAAGACACGAAACAAATCAAGCATTTGCAACTGCATTAGCACAAGCTACTTGTATAAAAAGAGTTCATGAGGTGTTCAAATACATCATACTTATTTTCTAGTAATCCATGTCCAACTAGCCAACAGACCGTGTTACCATCCTACTGGTTCTTCCACATGCCTTCAAATATCGGTGTGGACCGCTAACGTAGAAATCCCCAAAACCCTTCACGAAAAAAATCCATTTGATACACTGACATGTCTCAACTTCCCGTTTTCCAACTTCCCGTCTGTCGGGAACAGCAGCGTTTCCCCCAATACCGTTCTGTCATTTTAAAGAGACCTCACGACATGGAAAAGATGTAGGGTCAGGGGTCAGCAGTGAAATTCAAGGTACTAGTGCGGCACTTCCGAGCATAGCCAATCCCTGCATCACTCCATTCTTCGAGCCTCGGTTTAACCGCATGCATTGCAGGTACAAACGCGAAGATGCGCATGATAATTCATTTAATTATTGCATCTCCTTTCATTGCAATCTTCAACTCTACTATTTTTAATAATATCTCTTTGCTTGTTAAACTGTTTACTTGGAAGTTGTGAGGATTTGGATTTTCTTCCGAGAATAGGTGTAGTAGGAAAGAATCTTGATTGGAAATTCTATATTTGGATAAATGCGAGAGAAAGGAAAGCATTTGAGATAAGATGGCGGATTCTGTGGGTAAGTGCGTTGTTGATTCACGATGCATATGTGCCCTATTGTACCTTATTCTGCCCAACAATACTGCAAAGTGTGTCGAGTGTTTCGATTGTTCCATTCTAACGCAACCCAAAATGCCAGACCGAGTATTCGTCCACGCGCTCAACACTGTAAAGAAGATACCCAAAACCGGAGCATCGCGCCCCCCTCCGGCAGATCGATTGCGTCTCTATGGATTATACAAGCAGGCTATGGAGGGAGACGTGGATGGTGTCATGATGCGGCCAAGTTCGAGAGGTGAGGAGGAAGATGGTGAAGGGGAATTGCAGGGAGAAGAGCTAAAGAGAGAAAGAGACAAATGGGATGCGTGGGATGCACAGAGAGGAGTCAGTAGGACTGAGGCCAAGAGGAGGTATATTGAAGCATTAATTGATACTATGCATAAGTATGCTAGTACTACTGCGTAAGTCATGGATCTTGGCTTGGGAGCTCGGTCTGCGGCGGTGATAAATAAGCTAATTTCACATTTGGCGATGCAGAGATGCAAGAGAATTGGTTGCAGAATTAGAATTCGTTTGGGATCAAATAAAGAACAATAGTCCATCGTCTACGGGATCTTCGCATGGTCCGCATGGTCGGCGTGTGCCATCTTACACGACTCAACCGAGACAATTTCAACCACCCGTATCAGGGACAGAAGGTGGAATGAGAGTACTGAGCCCAATGAGCCAGGACGATGAGGCCGAGAGGGAATCTAAGAGAAGGGTGGGATATAATGGTGAAGATGAAGATGAATTCACGGATGGTAAAAATAATAAGACAAAATGGAGGAGGAACGTGGAACAGGTGCTGGTGAAAATGACGGCGGAGATTGCAGCATTGAGAGAGCAGATTGCCACGGGAAGGGAATATCAGGGCAAGAAATCAAGATCTCCGAGGAAATGGCTGGCTTGGTTTATATGGATTGCCATCAAGCATTTCTTGGTGGATATGGCGCTATTGGGCTTCATTCTGCTGTGGATGAGACGGAAGAAAGATAGGAGAGTGGAGGATCTTGTAAGAGAGGGATTGAGGATCGGGAGGGAATACGTGAGGAAAGTTTTACCTTCTCGGTGACATCACTTTCTATCATCGAACATACAGCACATAGCAGTGACGAAGAGCCAGCACAATACCCGGACGTTCTACAAACATCGATCGACAAACCATTCACAGAATTGATGACTTCAACACGCAGGATATGGATGCATTATACCCAACACATTATACCCAATCTAACTATCACAATCATCTACCAACTCGATCTTCTGACAGGCTCCTTTATGAAGGCATTTTATCGATCTGGGCAGCACCAGGAATAGCAGAAACCCACTTTACCCTTCCTCCGGCATACAGCTCGCCCTTGGGAACATTCTCATCTGCCCAATTCTTATCGTCCAAAACACCAGCTTTGAGAATAACCTGGTTGACAAAAGTGTCGCCAGTCCGGTATAGAGTGGTGCCGCAATCACCACAGAAGTGAGAGGTGATTTTCTTGCCGGAGTCGGCTGTTTTGGTGATGGTTTTGGGTTTGCCTGGGCGTATTAGGTTTGGACACGGGATAGTGGTTGTTAAGAGAGGGGAGGGCGGGAAAAGGGAAAATGTGAATGGAGAAAGGGAAAAGGAGGAAAGACGGACCCGATTCAAGCTTGAATTGCCCCTCTGGTAGCACGAGATTGTTACTATACGTTGCGCCACTAATTTTTTGACAATCCTTGCAATGGCATAGAACATGAGCATCTGGTTCGCCCATGTAGCTTATGCGAATCTTTAAGGACAAAGGTCAGCACACATACGGGGAGAGGGATGAGCGCGTGTAATATAGATAGATATTGTAATTTTATATACGACATAATATAGATAATAGAAGAAGAGAAGATAATTACCGCATCACACAAACATCCTCCCGATGGCATTTTGATTCGTCGTATCTTGCGTGTAGTGAGTGGTGAATAGTCAAATAAATAGTCAAATAGATAGATATACTTGTAGAGTCGTATGGCTTAAACGAAACGAAAGAAATGAGATGCACAGAGGATACCTACCTAGTATATATACATTTATATCTCCCATCTTTCCCCACACATCCATAGGATCAAAATGCACTGAACGGATCTATGACTCCAATCCATATCCACCTCGTGGGGCTACGAAGCACAAAAGTCCGAATCCTATGTCGGCGTTAACCTTAGTAGAAGAGGAATTTTTATCAAAGAGGGAAGTGGGAGGGGGTGAGGGGAGGGCTGTTTGGTAATAAATATTATATGGATGTGGATGTGGATATGGATAGATTGTTTTGGAAGAAGTAGTGATTTGGGTTATTAATTATTTAATATTGATTTGGTGTTGATGGTGATGTAGATGTTGAGGTACATAGGTAGTGAGGAAGTAACCTTAAAGTGGACTTTGAAGCTTGGACTGCGGGGAATGACTAGGTTAGGTGACTAGGTTAGGTGTCTAGGTAGTGGTTGCTTTGACCTGTGACTTGATGATCTTCTGCTTTATGTGGAAGGGAGGATTTGTAGAGGATTTGTAGAGGATTTGTAGAGGATTTTTGGAGGATTTGAAAGCGTTTACTTGGGATTATAGCATTGGTTGGTTATTTAGGGGATGCGATGGTCGGTATAGAGTTTGTGCTAGGGAGGATGAGATGAACTCGCGGAGTAGTTGGTACCTAGATAGCTAGAACGTGTAAGTAGTAGGAGCTACCTAGGTAGGTAAGGTATTGTCATAATTCCGTAGGTAATAAAGATGTCGATATATACATATTGGCCTGATATATTACAACTACTCAATACCTCAATACTCAGTACTGTACAATGAAATCAAGATTCTCTGTCGTCATGAGCACCAGGGATAACCAAACAAAATTCAAAATCCCAACGATTGGTTCCCCACTCACCAAACAGAGGGTGAATTTTCAACCCCTCGATCCTTCTCATCTTCCATCCCCATAACTGAAAACTACCACGAGAAAATTAAAAGCCGATCACAACGTGTTAGCGCTACACAAAATCTCTTGGTGCGATTCCAATACATTGAAGCAGATGGTCAAAGTGTCAGAGCTTGTTATTGGAATAGTTCCTGATTCCTAGAGTTTGTTGCACCATGGGGCAAACACATGAACTGGGACCGCGTCTATGCAATGTGAGTTTGATTCACGTCCACACGTGATGTCAATGGTTACATTTCATACTCATCTTTCCTCCTTACCTTCATCCTAATCTTGCATCTCCATTTTATATCCAGTTTTATCAAGAATAATTACTAACGAACCTCAAGGTGCCTCTATCTTCCACTCTAGATGCATCAATCTTTGTCCCATTCCCCGGACTCCCTACAACACCTCTCCCCACTGAGCATGATGCCCTACTCAAGATTTTGAAGCGTCATCACCATAGAGTTCGTGCAAATATCGTCAAAGCTTACGTGATTGAAAAGGAGAACTTGGTGAAAAAATTCAAAGATGATATCGCGAAGCAGAAGAGTGCTGTTGAAGGTAGTAGGGATGGAATTGCTTTAGGTCACACTGACAGAGAACTCGCAACTTCTATCAGAGAAGATGCGTGGAGGAGAAGGAATGAAAAGGAGCTTGAAGATCTTCGCTGGTTGAGAGGTCCGAAGTGGTTGTTACTTTTGCAAGCGGAGGATAGAAAGAATGGAGTTTTGTCGGTTCCCAGGGAGGAACTGAATAGGAGAAAGGAGAGATTGGCGGAGGAAATGAAGGGACACGAGAGTGAAGAGTATGAGTGGGATTTTGGGAGCTTTTGCGACCCGGGGCCGGACAGTAATAGAAAGGGTGAGAAGGATCATGAAGGAGACTTGGTGATGGGGGGATTGAATTCGTCAAATGCATCACCGACTGAACTTTTAACATCGGCTAATACGATTACACCTTTTGATATCGAAGAAAGGCTCAATAAGGATGTGGAGCGATTGCTTGAAGATGCGATTAGTAAGATGAAGGAGTATGATAACCATGTAAAGCCTTTCATGACGAAATTCGAAGAATCTTTGAACAAGGGGATCATCGATGGCAATGGACCGGATAAGGTTGGAGGAATGTTGAAGAATGCGGGACTGAAAGTAATTGTACCAAGCCCATCTGAGCCTGTTGCAGGGATACTGAGAAGGAAGTCTGTTTCAATGCAAAGTCCCCGGGACACTCCAACCGGTATTCTGAAAAAATCAACTTCGATACAAAGTCCTTCGGATATCCGTGGTAGCACTTTAAAGAAATCGGTCAAAATTCAGACTCCACCCGAGAATAGCGTCAGCCCTTTAAGGAAAAGGCTATCAATTCAAATGCCATCCAATGCCGAAAAAGGTTCTCCAGACAGATCGTTGGTACAAAGTCCGCTAGAGTACACCGGCGGCGCTCTCAAGAAGGTCCGTCTTGATGACCCATTCTGGAAACCCGCGAGTCGGAGTCCGCACACAAATTCTTCAACTTCTTCGCAACAGATCTTCTTTCCGACGAATCCACCGACAGGCCCAGCAAATCCTAGTCTTCCCAGACGTCGTTCAGACCCTTTGAATCTGCTGCAGAATTCTACTACGTCAGCCGCTCCCGAAGATCCCAATAAACCCACACCCCGTCCTCGCCATACGAGTTCTGAACAGATTCCATATTCGCAGCTACGGTCCTCTAATTCGCCCACTGTACGAGGTGGCGGACATTCGCCCATATTTCCTACAACTCCTACAGATCAGAAGAGCATCGATTCTCTAATTGGCAAAACCTTCATATCATCTACCACCTGGTATCCCCAAACTGGCAATTATTATGACTTAGAAGTATTGATGGGCGACGAAATTGAAGTTTCTAGCCATGTAGTCGGAAACGGGTACAAGGCATTCAATTTGACTTCACATAAGATAGGACAAATCAACATTAAGTACTTTCTGCAGGATATCGAGCATAACGAATTAATTGGTAAAACCTTCATATCATCAAGCAGTTACGCCCCGAAATATTCGAACCAGTTTTACGATTTAGTGATAAATCGTGGCGACAAAATCACAATCACAAAGTTCCACTCCGGCAGCGCGTATATAGGTTTCAATACGACATTACAGACGATAGGTAATCTCAACGTGAACTTTTATTTGAGGGATATCGAAGATAGCACCCACATCGAGAAAACTACAAAGTTGTCTAGTTCCAAACATAATTCCAAGGATGGCAATAGTTCATACATCGGCAAAACCTTCATAGCAACAGACACCTCGGCTCCGAAGAATCCCAGAGATGTGACTACCCTTAAGATAAGAATTGGGGATGAGATTAAAATTACCAAGTACGCTTCTGGCGTTCACTATGTAGGGTTCAACGAGAGATCAGGGAAGTCAGGTCAATTTGACATAGATCGTTTCTGTAAAGACATCGAGCGTTCTATTAACGAATCTACTGGCAATAAGGTTGCAGTAACGAAATCTCAACTTCCTAAGGATCTTTTAGGAGTTACTACTCATGGAGCCAAGGGTTGTCCTAAAGACGACTCTGAAGATAACCGCCAAAAAGACCTTCCAGTTCATGTTGGGAAAACCTTCAAATCAACACATGACTGGATTCCAAGACAGCGTGGCAGGACTGATGATTTAGAGATCAGATATGGGGACTATATTGAAGTCGTCAGTCACAACTCGGGTAGCATGTATGAAGGTTATAACCTCAGAACACAAAAGATGGGACAATTCAATATTTCTTACTTTTATGTAGATATTGATCCCCTCGACAATATTGGAAAGATCTTCACTGCCAGAAGTAGCCAACACACCTCGGACTTGACCGCTCTCACGATTGATATTGGTGATGTTATTGAAATAGCGGAATTTGTTGGGAGTGGTGTTTATACCGGACATAATTTGAAAACTGGACAAACGGCGGGACGTTTCTACATTGATCAATATCAGCATGATATCGAACGTGGCCATCTTGTAGATGAAAATTGGGACGATCTTGACCCTCTTGATTGTATTGACAAAATCTTCACGGCAACAAGCGCCCAGAGCCCTCGACGATCTTCAGATACCACGCTAGCAATCTCTATTGGTGACGAGATTAAAGTCACAAAGTTTGTCTCAGGATTGACATTTCGTTGCTCCAACATAACGACCGGCGAATCGGGGCACGCCAAATTGGTGTATTTTCGAAAGGATATCGAGGCTGCTAACAAGCCTTTAGAAAATATTGGCGCAGCGGATAGATCTTTACATGAAATGTCTTCTGGCATGGATATTGACCCTGGCAGCAAAACTTCAGAGTCCAGTAATGTCAACGCTGATAAACAATCTGGTAAATTGAGCTTTTCAATAAAGGGGGCTGGACAGAAATCATTGAATGAATAGACAGGTATTAGGAAATTATTCTAATGGTATGCCGTTTGTGAGTTCGTATTGAAGAGAGATGAAATGGGAATTTGCGAATAGGATTGAGGATTTGGTTAATGATCTGGATGTGTGTTTATTTTTGGTTGGATGGATGGATGGATGGATGGATGGATGGATGGATGGATGGATGGATGGATGGATGGATGGATGGATGGAAAAGCGATCAGGGATGACGGGGTTTGAGATAATATTTGCTTTTCGAGAATGGTGGTGAGTAAAAATGGACGGAGATAACTTTATGGGGTTGTGACTTTTATTTTACTACTCTGTGACGAATTTGGTGTGGTTTGTATGGTAATTAGATAAGGTTATGAATTGTAATTATTCTTCTAATTTACTTCATATACCTAGGTACATGTCTTGAGTGTGCATTTTATCTAGGTATAGATATTGGATAGATAGATACATAAATAGGAGTTTGTTATTTAATATTTAATTATTTTTGCATTTGTAAGATTACATCGAGAGAATAACCTGTTATGTTAGCTATGTTATGTTACTCTTGGGGTGAGTTTGAAGTTCGGGGTTATAACTTATGATGGGGAGTTCGAGAAGGAGTGATTGCAGTGGCTGATTTAGGTTAGATTGTGATGATTCGTTCTAGCTTTTGTTTTGTATTGATATATCTGGGTAAAGACTATAGAGAGATTCGTTTTTATGCCACATATATAATGATTCGTCTTTGCAGGATGCAGAGCATCTCGAGGCGCTTGCTTATGTCTACTAGGTATCTTTCATATATATGTTTCTCGTGAGGAGTTGATCTTAGTGAAACTGGCCATGGATAATAGGTAGATAGCGGATGATGTAGAAGAGAAGAGAAGAGAAGAGAAGAGAAGAGAAGAGAAGAGAAGAGAAAAATCTTTCACTTTGATGAGACAAGGGGGTAAGTCATTTTAAGGATATATCTCTTTATTCTAAGTTGCCATTTCAGGCAATGGTTTATGTTAGGAATACTGGAATACTCTGTTATATGTCTCGGATGTCTTGTTCAGAGCCTGAATGTAGACTCATGATTGGGAGCCACATGTGCAACATTCATTCAACAATAGGAAAAAACACTATGCTATCACGGAGCAAATGCAGCGCGTGAAGTTCAGAAAAAGATGTGCGTCCAGGTTACTGGGATGGACGCGCCAGAAACGGTTCGAACCAAGCACTGCTTTCTGGACATGATCCGCTCATGGGGCACAGATGATCAGTTCTCTGTCGCTGTGGGAATTAACATATTCACGAGAAATACTCTTGGTAGATGGAAAAGATTTTGCAGCTCGTTGTTGATACCGTGTAGGCAACAATTCTGGCATAGAGATGCTAATACTTTAGCACATTATCAAACAAAAATGAAGTTCACGTGAGATGTAAATTTGACCCAAAGGCAATATGAAATTTATAGCAATTACTAATTTTATGATGGCTTCTCTCAGTCCTTTTAAACTGATATAATACCCATCTGAATCCATCAATAGACACAAAAAAAGGTGTAATAATAAAGCAAGTCGTATGTAGCAGCCGGCGGTAAGTTGCGCATTCATAAAGCTTTTTTGTAAGAAAAGATTTCATTTGCATCCATTCCAGCGCTCAAAATATGTTCCTCTAGAACACAAGATAGAGGAGGACTCGATTGATTGTGAATTGCTTCACACAAGTACACCCACAATAAAAGTGTCCATTACAATTTAAATGAAGAAAAGAAAAAGAAGTTTAGAAAATCTGGCAGAGTGGAAGAAATTTATAGGGTCGCAGGTTAGTCAGCATGGGTTAAGCAAATATCCAATCATGACAACGGGGAACGGGATTAGTAAATTCCATTGTTACGCTAAGAAGTTACATCCGAACGACGAGAGCTTCAGATGATTTGGGGCAAAGAGTAGATAACTAGGTATTCAATTGAAGGGTTTCCCCTCACCACCTCTTCTGTACTGCTGAGTTTCTTTCTTTCTTATTTTTCATACCCAGATTTTAGAGAACACAATGTTGAGGTCAACGTTATCGAGATCCGCTTTACGAAGCAGTAGACAGAGCTTCCGTGTTGCAAGAACATTCGCAACTACAAATAGAAGACAGGCGGAGGTCACCCTTACTGTTGGTAAGGCGCATTGGATCTGCGGAGCATGTTATAGGAGATTTGGCTAATTTCTCTATACTAGATGGCAAACAAGTTTCGATAGAAGGTATGATGGGATAGATTACAATTAGGATAGAAAAGTTGTTGACACGCCACAGCTGGTTCTGCTTTAATTCAGGCATGTGAGAAAGCGGGAGCCACAGTACCAAGGCAAGTACTCAATGGTGATTTATAGGTTAGGGTCTTTGCTAACACTTTGGTAGATATTGCTATCATGAGTAAGTCGACACGATGCGCACACTACCGAACCCCACTGATACGAATATTTACCACAGGAAACTTATGATTGCTGGAAATTGTCGTATGTGTCTAGTTGAAGTCGAGAGAGCACCAAAACCAATTGCATCATGTGCATGGCCAGTCCAGCCCGGTATGGTTGTCAAGACCAATTCGCCCCTCACACACAAGGCTAGAGAAGGAGTTATGGAATTTTTATTGGCCAACCACCCGTTAGATTGTCCTATTTGCGATCAAGGAGGAGAGTGTGATTTACAAGATCAATCTATGAGATATGGAGCCGATCGTGGTCGATTCCACGAGGTTGGTGGCAAGCGTGCCGTTGAGGACAAAAATATCGGACCCCTCATTAAAACTTCGATGAACAGATGTATTCAATGCACAAGATGTATTCGATTCGCAAATGATATTGCTGGTGCACCGGAACTTGGATCTACTGGACGAGGAAACGATTTACAAATTGGAACATATCTGGAACAGAACTTGGATTCCGAGATGTCTGGAAATATTATAGATTTGTGCCCCGTTGGAGCTCTCACATCAAAACCATATGCATTCAGGGCCAGACCTTGGGAATTGAAGCACTCCGAATCTATTGATGTTTTGGACGGTTTAGGATCAAATATTCGAGTCGACTCAAGAGGTCTCGAGGTTATGAGAATTCTCCCTAGGTTAAACGATGATGTCAACGAAGAATGGATTAACGATAAGACTCGATTTGCTTGTGACGGATTGAAGACTCAAAGACTTACTACGCCATTGATCAAAAAGGATGGAAAATTCCTTCCAGTCAGCTGGGAGCAAGCTCTAGTAGAGATTGGTGCCGCATACAAGGATTTCGCTCCAAAGGGCAACGAATTTAAGGCTATTGCTGGGGAACTGATTGAAACTGAGTCTATGGTTGCTATGAAGGATCTTGCTAACAAGCTCGGCTCCGAGAACTTGGCTCTCGATCAACCATCTGGAGATGCCCCTATGCCTCACGGAATTGATGTTCGTTCAAATTACTTGTTCAACTCTAAAATTTGGGGTGTAGAGGAGGCTGATGTTATTCTGATTGTTGGAAGCAACACTCGACATGAAGCTGCTGGTCTCAATGCTCGTATCCGCAAACAATGGCTCCGCTCTGATCTTGAGATTGGTGTTGTAGGTGAAACATGGGATTCGACTTTCGAATTCGAGCACCTCGGTACCGATGCGGCCTCTTTGAAAGACACTCTCGCTGGCCCCTTCGGTAAGAAGCTTGCAGATGCGAAGAGACCGATGATTATCGTTGGTTCAGGTGTCACTGATCACGCTGATGCCAAGGCTATGTACGAGACGGTCGGTACTTTCGTTGAGAAGCATGCCTCGAACTTCTTGACCGAGGGGTGGAATGGATACAACGTTCTTCAACGTGCTGCTTCAAGAGCGGGTGCTTTCGAAGTTGGTTTCACCACACCTTCTCAAGCAGTTGCTGACACAAAACCTAAATTCATTTGGTTACTCGGTGCCGATGAATTCAATGCCGCTGATATCCCCAAAGACGCTTTCGTTGTCTACCAAGGTCACCACGGTGATCGTGGAGCTCAAATCGCCGACGTAGTCCTTCCAGGTGCCGCATATACTGAGAAGGCAGGAACCTACGTCAACACCGAAGGACGTGTACAGATGACCCGTGCAGCTACTTCATTACCAGGTGCCGCAAGAACTGACTGGAAGATTATCAGAGCAGTTAGTGAGTTCTTAGGTGCTCCGTTGCCATATGATGATGTCGCCGCTCTCCGAGATCGTATGGTCGAGATCAGTCCTTCATTAGCAAGCTATGACATCGTTGAGCCAGTGGCCTTACAACAATTGAGCAAGGTACAATTAGTAGACCAGAACAAGGGTAGCCAGCCAACGGGTGCGCCATTAAAGAAGGTCATCGACAACTTTTACTTCACAGATGTTATTTCAAGAAGGTTAGTTTACCAACAATCCATTTTCCCTATTTTCTTCTCCCTTTTATTCCCTTCGACCCCAAGCAATTAAATGCTAACTCAAACTACAGTTCGCCAACAATGGCCAGATGTTCAGCAGCAAAGGAGACAGGTAACCCCGAAACTAATTTCCTGGCTCCGGGCTACTCGAGCGAAAATCCTCGTGGTCGCGTGGCTTATGGGCCATGAACTTGACTTTGGTATTTGAGGAATGTTGCGGAGGGTCTTGGCTTTCTTGCGTGCAAAGACGGTGTTTGTGTATATATGGGTAGTATGCAGTCAAATGAAAAAAAATAGCATTTCAGGAAGTTTCGGAACATTTACTGGGTGTGGAGATTGTGGGTGGATTGCGTGAAATGTGAAACACGTAAAATAGGGATATAAAACATATCACTCGATCACTCTGATTGATCTAAGGCTCAAATTCCTGGGGATCAAAGGCACACACTCTATGCATTTTAACAAATACTGTACAAAATCGCCGGAGAAAAAATTTGAACCTCATTGCCTGCCCTGCTGTGTCCTAAGCAGAATCTAGGTCCATCTCCATCCAACGCCAAATAATGCTCATCATATTTTGCTTTGTCAGTGGCTCTGGAGAGTCACTCCTTGTACAGGCAGGTATCCTTTTTCCCCTTCCCCCGATCTCCTCTCTTGTTCCTCATCTGTCCACTGATTCCCTCCAATTTCAGTTTGTCTCCGTGCCTTAATAAAATAAAGCTTCAACACAACGAGGATTGTTTATACGGGCAAAGTAAATCTCTTTCCCTTCATAACCTTGGTATAATAAATCCAGAAGAAATCCGAATAGAGAATCGTCTGCACTACACCCGCAAGCACGGCAATCCCATCCCAGTGCGATTCCCGGAAATATCTCCACAGCCAATTGGGTATATAAAGCGCACGGTAACTTCCTAGTGCAAAGAGATAATTGGCAGTAATCGTCTCGGCTTCTCCTGTTCGCTGCAACAAAAATAATTGTGGGAGAATCGCTACGGATTCCAGCCAGATACTGAAGGCCCATAGGATCTCGGCAGGGGTATAGGCGTAAGGGTATATGAATGCCAAGACGATGGAACCCCCAAGAAGATATTGTACGCGGAATGTATCAAGATTTGGATCGTGGGTTGGTTTGAAGGAGGTGGTCATTAAGTAGATGGTATAGCCTGAGGAGGCGAGGAAGAGTAGTTTAAAAGTGGTGTTGTAGAGGGAATCGGTGAAGGTCCAGAAGAGATCGAGGTAGCGGGTGATGTATACAAGTAGGTAGAGCGCTTGCGATTTAAAGGATATACCAGCGCAGGACTGAGGAGGTTAGATTAGATGCTTGAGTGGAGGGATGGGGAGGGGGAAGGGGAGAAGTACGTTTGTTTGGTGCATTTTGTGGAGGAGAATCAGGATCGAGAGGAGATGGGAGAAATCCCCTAAAAGTGCAATATGTTAGTCCATGACTTGAAGATGTGCAAAGTTAATTCTGGTATTTGAAGGAATAACATACCCAAGATTCGAAAAAGATTCATGTTGTGCAAGTCAAGGGAGTTTCCCTATACATGCGCAATCGCGAACAACTTTGTTTCGAAGATTCAAAGAAAAGTATTCAATTCTCAATTGAAAAGAGGAGCAAATCAATTGTATTCAATCTTCCAATTGTTTAGCATCGAATCTTGGAATTTAAGTCGATGTTGGATTGAGGATATGAGGACACGCAACTATGAAGCTTAGCTAAGTGCTAAATCTGAGTCGCGATTTAGCCTTGTAGAAAAGGTACAGAGAGGTACTAACAGGGATGGAAATGTGTGGTTACTGCCACTTATTGGCGGCGGGATCGAGGAAGCTTGGCTGGTTGGAAGTAGATTATGTAATCATGAATTTCAAGTCCTTTGTGGCGAGACGATGGCCGAAACATTTTGAAATGGGAATATGATGATTACGAAGCGGATTTTTGCCTAGAAACTTCCACTCAAGATTACTATTCAATATGTATATTATTTAACGTTCAATACAAACTATCACACTCTTTCACGGGCATATCTATTTCTTTCTTTCTTTCATATTGTGCTGTGAACCATAACAAAAACCATAATCATATACTCTTACGAATCTTGGAAGCTAGCGATCATTGACACCGAAGTCAGCATGTCTACTAACCTCCAAGATCCAGTCTCTATAACCATCACACATCATGGGAAACCCCATACATTCTCTCTGCCTTCCACGGCGACAATCACAGACCTCTCCGATTCCATCGCAGCCACTCTCTCGATTCCGCCTTCAAACCAAAAACTCATGGTTTCCAAACTCGGGCTTTTGAAACACCCCTTCCAAGACCCTTCTCTCTCAATAACAACCCTCGCCGATAAAAAGATAACGCTGATGGGTAGCACCGTCGCCGAAGCATCTTCAGTCGCCGCAGGTGCGCTCGCTGCATCTCGTACTGTCAACGGACCTGGATCGAGCACGAAGCAGAAAGTATCCGCATACAAAACAAGAGATTGGAAGAAAGAACAAGAGGAAGCACAATATACATTCCAAACTCTCCGACCTCTCCCTTATCTCCCCAATCCATCAAAATCCCTCCAGTTCCTTCAACGCCTCAAGGATGATGCGGGTATCAAGGCAGCTATGCGCAAACATAAATTCACAGTTCCCCTCCTTACGGAAATGAACCCGATTGAACATACAACTTCCAATCACGAAGGCACATCTCGTACGCTGGGACTCAATAGAAATCAAGGGGAGGTAATAGAGTTGAGATTACGGACCGATGCATATGATGGGTATAGAGATTACAAAACTATTCGCAAAACTCTGTGTCACGAATTGGCGCATAATGTATGGGGACCCCATGATAGAAACTTCTGGAATCTATGTAAACAGATAGAAAAGGAAGTTGAGGGGAATGATTGGAGGAGTGGCGGTCATGCTGTTGGAGAGGAAGAATATCATGGGGGGGAGGAGGTAGATGATCATGGAGGATGGACCGGTGGGGAATTTGTCCTGGGAGTCGGGGGTGCGGGTGCTGCAGAGAGTACGGGTGCAAGCTCAGTTTCTGGTCAAGGAATGAGTCGAAGAGAAATATTGGCAAAGGCGGCTGAGGAGAGAATGAGGAAGATTAGGGAACAGAGTGGAGGTGAAGGATCAAATGCGGGTGGAGGTGCTTCTTGATATACTCGGTGCATTTGGTTTATTTTGGTAATTGGCGTGCTTTTAGCGATGGCGTTTGTGTTGATTAGGTCTGAGTTTTTGAGCAGTTCTCAATCATATTCTTAGCGCGGTGCATATGGGCATTGGCATTGATTAAGCAGATCAATAGAATAATCTAATTTCATAAACTTATGAGTCCATTCGGTTCAAGATATCTGGCAATACAGTCTATATTGCTATTAGTTTGTGTAGTTTCGCAAGACAATTGGGATATTTGGGAGATGCTCCCTAGGCATAGAATTTTGGTGAAGTAGTAGTCACTTTTTGATCATGCATTTATCTTGATTGTTTCTTCTTTAAGCTTTTCTCAGTTTAGCTTTCCCAGTTCTCCTTAGATGAATCAGTGATGAACTGGTATTTGCTGTGAGTGGGTACTCGGTAGAGGAGAAGTAAGAGATATCAATGTCCAAAGGAAACAGTTAGTGGACTTGCTGTAGTAGTCACAAGGGTGTGATGTGATTGATAGTCAAGTGAAGTTCTGATGCCCGTGTTCATGCGCTTTTGCTGGAAGGGTTGGTGAAGGAATATGCAAGCATCTACCTAGTTATGGTGGGCATTGTATTCTGGTATCTATGATTGCATTTTTAATCTGGATTTGGAACGCCTCTTTGCTTAATTTGATGTAGTAGTTTGATGGGGTCGTCTTGGTTAAGGAGGGAGACTGGAGATTTCTGACTTTTAGTGTGTGGAGAAGTGAAGTGAGGTTCTGACAATCCTTGTTTTGATGGAGATGTTCTGATAGTGAATTTTATGATTTATGAGATGTATTTGATACGGAATAATATAAGCAAGTTCTTTTTAAACTTGAAACTGGAGTTATGAAAGCCCTTAACATTTTTAAGCATATAGTCGATTGTAAGATCTAGAGAGAATCATGCTATGATATTTAAATCACTTTATTATATAAATTTTGATTCCGCTTGCCCTTTGTAAATAGCAATGCAGTATAATCCCTTTTGTTAATCTGATCTTTGTGCTGTCGTAGAGGGAAATAATAAATAGGCGAGTTGGGACGAAGCTTTAAAAGGGGCTGTTTATTGGTCCATGAGCTCTTCAGTAAATTCACTTTTCTCATTCACTGATTAGAGGCCACGGATATTTAAATGCTCGAGGCTACTGTAGTATTTTGTACTCTTATATTGATTGGTGCTCATGTTCGGTACCATTCTCGGTGAAGTTCTATGTTAAATTGGTTGATATTCTCTGCGGAATAAACAGACCAAAGTTCGGAAAGACATAACAACTAAGAAATCTTTCATTCTACTCAAAACTCTACAAATCTTTTCATTTATTCTCTTCAAGTTCCATAAATACAACTATCAATCAATTTGTAGCATATTGGTTTTCATTAAGTACAAATCCTCTCAATCTCGAAGTTCGAACTATCACAAAATTCTCACAAAATGGACTTCAGCACTGGCCTAGGGCTATCATTTGGCACAGATAATATGGAATTTGAGAATCGAGACTTCAATGATGAAGAATCAGAAGAATTATTAGAAAATGACTACCAGGATCAAAAAATGGAAGACCATGGAGGATCTTCTGGGGACCAAATGTCTTCTCAATCTCAAGTTGCTGATCCAGACGCGACTCCCCGACCAAACTCATCTAACCAATTCACCCCAATCAATAGAGCTTCAACTGTTGTACCAGTACAACCTTTCAGTCAACCTTATCGAAATACTCAACCAGATGCCCCTTTTCATCTACTCGGGGATAATGCAGAGTTTCATGGTCAGATGAATGCCAATATTGGATCACAGTCAAATACATTCAATCCACAAATCTCTACACATGAAAATTACACAAACAACCTTACTCAAGGAATCCCTCAAGCTTTGCAATTTGGTGCCGATCCTCAGTTCACTGGTCATCCTCAATTAGGATTTCAGAATATGTCCACTCAACATCGAATGGACAATGGTTTGGGAAACTCAGGTATGCACTCTCAGCAGTTTAACGGAAACAATAATCTAACTCATATGTCTTCTCAAGCTATGCAGTCGCCAAATATTAAGAGAGAGCCTCGGAACATCCAACAAATGTCTGGCTATCCCCCATTGAACAGCAATCAGACTTTTGGTGGTCGTGGAATGAATCAGAATGAGCACAACCAACGGACTCCTCGGGTGAATGATAGCTTTCCACCTCATATTGGCTCTTCAATGAGAAATCAATTTCAACCACATTTCAACAATGAAAATTTGATACATGGCAATCAACTTGGCAGTTCCTCCTTTGGAATACCAGGAGGCTTGCATCAAAACAATCCCCAATCGCTAGGAAGTTCTCACATCAAGAATAAACAAGCACTTCGACCAAACAACCCACTCCAATCCTCCAACTCAATGCACAATAATGGAGTGATAGATACAAACGTCATCCAGCCTAAACCAGCAAGTCTGACGGATTATACTCCTGGCGAGCAAAGATTCATGATTAAATACATGAAAGAACAAGGAATGCGAGTCAGTAGTGCTGCAGATGTAGAATCATTCATGGATCATGTCAATCTAGTCACGGCGAACTACAATGCAAGAAAATCTCAGACGCAAGCAGAGCCCGAGTCAACTGGATCCTCTCGAGTTTCTTCAACATCTACTGTTGTTCATCATTCTATAGAAGAGAATGGAGCTACGAATCAGGGAATGGGACAGGGACAACCTTGGGCAAATCAATTTAGTCAAGGACGTACTGGCAATCCGTTTCAATCTCAAGGAACTGCAGGTTCCGGTACTCAGATGAATAATCATACTTTACGATCTGAATTTCCACCAGTCCCTCCTCACCTCATTCTCCGATCTAATAATGATCTGAGTAACCCTATATTTGGAGATCATCCAAAGGACTACGCTCAGGTGAGCTCGAATACAACTACACAATCAGCTCCAAGACCATTCGTACCTTTAGGTTCAACAACAGTTCATACTCCACCTACCCAACAGAACAATGATGTTCAAAACCAGCAAGGGCAATCTCAATTCAATCACACCAATAATCTACAATCATCTCGTCCAACAAATAGAAATCACTTCTCCCCAAACAGTGGTGGAATGCCCATGGGAGGCTCATCGCAGTTTCATCACCACGGTCTACCTTCTGAGTACATACCCCCTTCTGGTTCTCACTTCGATAATTTTGCTGACAATGATGTCGAATCAGCCGAGCAGATTGAAGAGGATGAGGAGGATGAACAGCAAGAGGAGGTATCGAGCTCTGAATCGCAGGCCGAAGAACAGGATTACGAGGACCAAGAGGATTGGGAAGAAGACCCAGAAGACCAAGAGGAACAAGAGGAGCAAGAACAAGAGCAAGAAAGCGAAGTTGATTCAGACGGTTGGTTAATTCATTCCGACGAGATTCGCTCACCACCACCTAATATCTATCCAATCCCACTTCCAGCTGGCATGGCTCGCTCACCCACACCTCGATTCCCTAGCAATGAGGTAAACCCGAATAATGCACCCAACAAACCACCACCAATCATCGGTAGCGGAAATCGCGTTTGGAGTATCGCACCGGGTGCCTTTAATGCAGCGGGAAATATCACGGATTGGGATAAAGCGAAAAGAAGAGAGGTGGGTGATGAATTGGTGTGTGAATGTAGGGGATCGTTTCATAAGGAAGGGAAGGGCTATTACATGGTGGAGGATAGGTCGTTTATTTGGTGTGATGCGGGAGAAAGTATCAATCATAATAGGGATGAAGATGATGGGAGTGAGGAGGGAAGTGAGGAGAATGAAAATGGAGAGGATAGTGAGGAAGAAGAAATGTTTTCAGGGGTACCAAAATGGGTTAAGCAGGTTTTGACACATGGACCGAGGATCGATAAGGATGAGGTGAGGAGGGAGGAAGAGGCTTATAGGGAGATGATGGCACGAAAGGTTAAGGATATACTTGCTAGGAAGGCTGCGAAGGAAAGAGGAGAGGAAGTACCAGAGACTTCTGTTAACGATGGGAATTTTGAGCCGATGGGTTTTGATTCGTGGGTGGATGATGCAACATGTAGTGATAAGAATGAAGGAGATCAGTTGGAACCGAATGTGGGAGGTAAAGGAAAAAGAAAAGCAAGAGCAACGGATTCAGATGATGATTTGGAGGGAGAATCAGCAGCAAAAAAGTGGAAAGGTAAAGGTAAAGCTACGGAATCAGATGGAGAGTTGGATGAGAGAGAATTGGTGAGGAAATATAAGAATAAGGGAAAAGACCAAGGCCTCGAGCTACCGAAGGGCATGGACGTAGATGATCTTCTATTTGGAGAGTCTGGAGAAACAGCACGTTTAGCGGAGGAATTAGGTCTTGAACCACAAGATAATGTCAAGGAGATGAACGATGATGCTATCCTTCAGAACGACGTCGACAAAACCACACAGGAGTCTAACAACCTACAAGTCGAAAACGATCCTGCGATTCCGGATCCTGAACTCGCAGCTACTGGTATCGTCTTGCCAGCTTCTTTCTATCTCCCTTCAAACTCCAAATTCGAAGAAGAAATCGAAGAAATCCCTAGACAAGCACCATATCTATCCAGAAGAAACGAAGGACCCTTCAATATCTTCCAATCCCTCCTTCTAACCCCGGAAATCATACTCGAACTCATGCGTCATCTCTCTCCCAAACAGCTTCTCAACCTGTACTGTCTAAGTCGACGCTTCAACGAAATTCTCTCCGGCTGGATGGCACATTCTATCCAAAGCATCGTCAAATACCAAGCACCATTCAGCTATAAAACCTACCCCTTCTTTCTATACCGCGAACTCAGCATCCCAGATCCACTCGGCCAACTCAACAACTCGGGACAAATCCGTCGCGTCCCAGGCCTAAAATACCATCAAATGGTTCTGCACCGCGTGCGCGCCGTAAGGGACATCCTCGCTGCCCTCGCACGACAACATCTACGCTGTCCCCCAGACACCAACAAATCCCTCAAAAAAGTCTGGTTCCTAATGGATATCTCCACGACCCTCGATCGCGTGCGTTTAATGCACAATCGGGAATTCTTCACCGATCAGGATCTCTACAATATTCAACTCTTTATCGTGAAACTCGATATGCGATTTAATGATCCGACCGACGGACCCGGTTCCGACATGTTGCGCAAATTAATGCTAGGACAACGGGGTCTTTCCCCACTTTGGCGTTTATTGACGCGCACGGGGTTTAGGGATCTCTATGAATTACATTCGTATAGTGTTCGCTATAGCTATACACCAATGATACAAGTTGAAGATCTGCAGGAGGGAATGTTTGGAGTGCCAGCGCAGGAAATAGGACGCGCGCATCTAGAAGGGTGGGGAAGGGGCACCATGCATTTAATGCGTATTGATGAGCTTGTGATGCGTGAAGCGGCGAGGAGGGAATTAGGGTTTAAGGAACATATTTTTATGATGTTTTTGTGGGGGTATGTGGATCCTTTGACGGGGGAGAATTTGAGTCCGTCCAGTGAGGAATTGTATATGAGTGATGGGGAGGGGGAGGAGATACCGGTGGAGGATGTGTGGGAGGGGACGGGGATGAATATGGCGAGGTTGGAGGGGTTGGTTTTGGGGAGGGAGGAGAGTAGTGAGGAGGATGAAGAGGGAGAAGAGGATGGTGAAGAGGATGGTGAAGAAGAAGAAGAAGATGATGATGATTGGGAAGATGAATTTGAAAATGACAGGTTTGAAGATTCTGAATTTCAGGAAAGACGACAACTTTGGTCGTAGTCTCCTAGATTGGGTTGATTGGATGGGATATAGTATTCGAGACTTTCAGAGTGAATGCCTTTAGGCTACTAGGTAAAGAGAGTATATGCTTTCGTCTGTCGAGTATTTTGTAACATTATCATGTAAGACTATTTAGGTCATTTCTTTTTTTAAAAAAACATCCTACATGACATTGAGTTCCTCAACTATGATATGATTGTGATACCAAAGTCTAGAACTTGTAACGACTCCTCAAAACTAGTAAGAAAGTAAAAACAAAAAAAGAAGACAAAAGAACTAAGATGCAGAAATCTAACAAATAATTCGATATAGATATACAATCAATCTGATATGATTCACCAAGTTTAAGTACAGAATGAATCATATAATTGATTTGCTTTTGTTTCCTTTTGGTAATGAACGAAGAAGATACTTTCAAGTTATTGGTAAGTCTAACAAATATATCAACATCAACATCAAAAACGAAACCAAAAAGAAAACCCCTGCTACAGTATAAAAACAAAAGTGCCAAAAAGTCAACTTCAACCTTGTATATTCATTTAAGCGGGTGAAGATGAAAAGAGCTATCTGCATCCAGCTTATCTACTATACTACTGATCTTAACCAGTCATCCAGCCACCAATTGCACACTCCATGCCGCTCTACTCTTCACCATCACCTAAATCTCATTTCATCCACCGCAACACATGAACATAGAACAGGAAAAGACATGACGGAAAAAGAACTTGCTACATTGAAAGGAAATAAAAACAACCAAAGCACAGCCATCCCATCCCCCAACCATCCTCATCACACCATCCCCAACCAATAACCTCCACCCTCCCATCCGTCCACCCCATCCAGACCCAAGTATCCCCCAGCCCAGCCATCAATCAAATCATCAAACCTTCTAGCAACCCAGCCTCCAATGTCCTAAATATCCGCCTACACCCCCATTCCAAACTAACCAATCATCGTATCAATAGATAAACGACAAGTGCTTAATGCTAGTATGTGTTTTCCCCTTCTCCCAGAAAGTAATGAAGGAAAAAAGTAAAGAGGAGAAGAGAATCAAAATATTCGACATATAAGTGCCAAGAAGCAAAGCAGGGCAAGAGTAACTTGACCGCAAGCACACACAAGTTGAAAGGGGAAATACAAGAAGGCGCAATAAAGAAAGTAACTTGAACAACATGCAGAAATCCTATCCCTTCTCGAAAAACCCCTTGCCAATATCCATCGCCATTGCCATGCTTTTTGTTGTTTGATCGAAAATGCGTTTGTCGTTATTTCCATACCCCCGTACGAAGAGAGGAAGATTAGACCAGATTTTAGACAGAGAAGACCGAGGACCCGATCCAAACACCCCAACCACATTAAGGGCAGCACTCCTTCGCTATGCACCAAGCCAAGATCCAACCAATTCAAGTCGATTTCGTCCCTTTACACACCATCAAGCGCATTCCATCCGTTTTCATTTGCTCGCTTTCCCTTCGCAACCCGTAAGTCAGATTCCGCCTTCCGCATTAAAAGAACTCCGCCCTCCAAACTTTGTTCCATATCAATTTCCCACGTGGTGTAAATTTTCCCTGCCGTTTTCTTTATACCGCTACCGATCCAACCGACTACCCATCCCAACCACCCATGCATGCGCTAAATCCACCTTATAAACCATTGTAACATGTCCACAATGCCCCCGACCGATAAATGTCTATCTTTCATTCGAACCCCGGAGCCGTCCTGAAATGTAGTCACAGAAGAGAGAGTCGAAATGTATGAATGGAAAATGGAGAGCGCGAATATCAAGAACGTCTTACGCTGGAGATTTGCTTGGAGCAGCGGCACCGTTTTGGCGAGCATCACCACTACCCATAGACAAGTTTGTGATTCCAGATGAGAGGAAAGCAAATGGATCACTTTCACCTTGGTTAGCGTAGAAGTTGTTTGACGGCCCTGCAGACGCTGGACCATTACTGGCCGATTGGAAGGCAGCCTCTGCAGCTCGGCTATCAAAAGGACCGGCGGAGTGAGCGCCAGTTGCTGGACCGAAATGAGTGTTCAACGATGGATAGGAACCAGTTGGTGCACCAAGACCAGATGGGAGAGCGTAAGTGCTGGGAGGGCCACCAAAGTGTTGACCACCATAACCGGATGGACCAAAACCACCGGCAGCTGAGGCAAAAGGACCAGGACCAGGCGTACCAGCCATGGAGTTAGACCCCATGCTATAGTTATTGGCAGCATCCATTGGAGAAGGATAACCGGAATCGGCAACGACGGCGGCACCTGCACGGCTCGCGCCACATCTCAAGCAGCTGACATTCTTGGCAAAGTTGTGGTAACCACACCCTTCAGATCCACACTTCCAATCACCAGCACGGAAAGGCACAACGCCACCACCACCTCCCATTCTTCCACCTCCGTGACCACCTCCCATACCTCCATGATGACCCATGTGTTGGGGGGGAGGCATCATTGCTGGTGGACCATAACCATAACCACCGCCGCCACCACCGTATCCACCGCCCATCTCAGCAGCTGGACCACCGCCCATCGCCGGGAACGAGCATCGGAAACAAGCGGTTCGGCGCTGGAAATTGGAGAACCCACATGATGGGCAAGTCCAGTCTCCAGGACGAGGCCTGTTTTTGCTAGGTGGGAAAGGAGTAAGGATTTCTGCAGCACGGTCAAGAACGCGGCTTGACGATGGTGAAACCTCGATAGCTTTCTCATTGAGAGCTCGCCCGTTCATGCAAAGACTTTCAGCGGCCTGGAAAGGTGTTAGACAATGACCACGGATGTTAAAAAATTTGATTAGTGAAGCAGTAGATAGACTAAGTAATTTATCGTAAAGTAAAAGAATGTATTCACGTGGAGCTGAAACCACTATCTGATACTCTTGGCACATTATGCAAAATAGGAAAAGATGAGTATGGGAATTTTGGCTGACCTCTTCATGGGATGAAAATACTGCGAACCCAGAACCCGTAGGCTTGTGTTGATCTGGAGTTCTGAGGGTCCAGAAAGCAATGGGACGACCACCAAATTGAGTGAACCAGCTTTCAAGCTCGGATTGGGTGGTATCGTGAGGAAGTCCTGCCATGTGGAGAACTTTGCTGCGCTCGGAAAGAAAAGCTCTAACATCAGCACGGGCATCCATAGGCCTGGTGAGGACATCAGGATGCTCGTGGGGAGGTTGCGACTTGCGAATCAACCCTCGGAGAACTCTAGCAAGTGTAACAGCTTCCTCCATTGCGCGACGAGGCGAGGCCGGAGCCAAAGCTTGGAGATGGAATGGAAGATTGTGCTTAATTGGTGCACTAGCTTGAACAGGTTCGACTTCCAACGCGGCGCAGATGTTGGAAAGCATGGATGGGCCGAATGGCAGAGATTCGGGGTGATGCTGTTGCCATCTTTGGTACTCTGTTCGAAGATCAAAAGTTCGAGAATGTTGTAAATATGGAGGCAACACAACAGCTTTGTCACGAGCTTCGCGGGGAAGCTGGACTCGAAGATCCCATGAGTCAAGTGTAACAAAAGAGAAGTCGAGGTTTTGGGATGTGAGGTGCTCGGCAGCAAATGTATCGAATCGGTTGATCGCATCGCGGAAGGTACCTGCAGTACGAACATGCTCCCATGTAAGAGTAGTCAAGCTCGCTGTTGATATTTAGTTAGTCAATATTCGGAAGGATCGGTATTGTCGTAGCTCAAACGATTGAGGTCCATCCATATCTTGATAAGATGATTCCGCTCGGCACTTACTGCATAGAGGAGTAATTGGAGTGTTGATGGGCTTAACCAGAACACTCTCTCGGTGAAGCTTGAAAATTTCTCGATTAGCAAATTGAATTCCGCAGATAGATCGAAGCGCCAATCAGATGAAAACTCACTTCATCACACGTTTTTGCATCAAGTAAAATCCATCCAAGCTCTATCACCTCAGCAGAATCTTTGGTAACGTAAACACCATGCTCATCACAAGTCGTAGCAACATGAATGACCACATATCGATCTAAGTTGCCTTGCTGGGTCTGAATAGCTGTCGACATCTTTTTTGATATTTTCGGATGTGTGCGAGGTTTAGAAAATGAGCCTTTTATTTCGAATTGAGAGGTATGGTGGTGGAGGGGGGGTAGTTGATGTAATCGATGGGACCTCCAAAAGACGAATAGGAAGGTAAGGAGGAGGCAGAGAGGCAGAGAGAGGAAGGAGCAACAAGATAGAAAGAGGAGAAAACAACAAAGTTGAAAGAAATAGACTTAACCTTAGGTAGTCAACTATTACAATGCAAAACCTTCGGGAAAGGATTGTTTGGTTGAGAAGGGAAAAAAGAGGGTAAGGAGGATGTGGAGCTAAAAACTTTGTGGTAAACAGCAAGTTTGAAATTTGAGGGCAGGGAATTGAGATTTTAGCGGGACGAGAAAGAAGAGGCTGCAACTGAATGGAGCTTGGGGACAATGAAGAAGATAAAAAAAAATAAAAAATAAAATATAAGATATCAAGAAATCAATAATGTGAGACGTAAGTTAAGATCTTACAGAGGAGCTACCGTACTGGTATGGGATTTTGAAATGCCCAAAAAAGACAAACAACAACGATGCACTCACTGTCTCTCACTTTACTTATAAAATCAATAAAAATCAATAAAATCGTGTGCGTGTGCGTGTACAGCATCAGCATCATATTACTGATCAAATAGAGAATACTACCTATCTACCGGTGCTGCAGATTGGTTGTTTATTATATTGTTTTATTCTTGATTTGTTTATTTGAATTTTATATATTTTTAAATATACGTTTAACCAAAATGATGATTGGACCTAGCAGGTAGGTGGGTAGTAGGTGGGTAGGTGGGTAACCTTGGATGGTAGGGTGGGAGGGAGGGTAGGTAGGGGAGGTAGGTTGTGATAGGTTGTGATAGGTTGTGATAGGTAATCGGTAATAAATAGTAGTAGAGGTATTGAAAAGCACTGCACTTATTCTATTGTGGTATCAGTATCAGGTATCAGATACCTGGGTAGTACTTATAAGGTCAATAGGTAGAAGGTAGAAGGTAGAAGGTAGAAGGTAGAAGGTAGAAGGCTGTCGGATGGGTCGATATGCTTACACACATCAATATCTAAAGCCTCCGTAGCCTGTCCATAACAATGCTATTCGATATCAATGCTATATCAATGCTATATCACTGCTATATCACTGCTATACATACCTATAGGAGACCTGCTACTGCGTAATGCATTCATTCATTCTTCACTCACCCATCCAGCTACTACCCCCCCCTATTACCTCATTCCAATCCCCGGATGAAAGTCATACCTAGTCAAGAAGGTAAAAGGGTATCAAGCCTATATTAATATTATTCACTAGTTACCACTGAAATGGTCCGGAATAATTATACTTTTCTCTAATCTTCACCCTCTAACCAAATCCATCATGATAAGTAGCTGTTACCAAAGTATCCATCAGTAGTGAGAAGGTATTAATGTTGGCATTGCATCGACTAGCTATCTTAGGGTCAAGGACCTGACGAAATGGAACGATTTCAAGCAAAATGATTCAGATTTGTCTTCTAGAAAGATTCAAACCTGACTCCGTCTCCCTGTCGACTTCATCCAAAGAACAAGACTGACGGGACGATAGAATGAATTTCCCCCGGGTATTCTAGCCCTAAAGACTTATCGGTGAGCACCATCATGGCATCACCGCACCACCGCACCACCGCACCACAACTTACCATCTTACCACAACTTACCACAACGTATTAATATCTTGCTGCTTCCCTCCACGTCCTTTCCGCCTCTTCTATCCTGTCTTTAAACCAGGGGAGAGTGGGCTAGTCATGGTAAATATATATTTATTGATTTCTTCCACTACGGGTCCTTGTCTCAAATGCAATGTATCTTTTTTCTTTTTATCAAACTGCCTTCAGGGGCTCCCCTCTACCGAGACATAAGGGACCACTGACTAGTCACCAATCAACCTCATATATCGGCCACGGTGCATTCTACACTGTGCAGTATCGCAAAAGGTTATTTTCCCGATTCAATGGTATTATGGTAATATCTATTGAAGATTATTCTTTCCGATTAAAGCTTGGATTCATTTTTACATGGGAATAGCCAACATACCGGCATCAATCAGACGATTTTTCCACTCCATCCACTTCTTTGGAATTGACCCATATCTTTTTTTTCTTCGTAGTATCGGGAACGAAAGAGGGATCCACAGTTATACAAAGTACCACCCAGACGACGGAAGCTTTCTCTTGTGAGCTCGAATTTCCTATTTGTGAGAGTGGAATTTCATTGAGAAAAGGGTACAACCCGTGGGAAACACGATACACTGCGTGAAAGCCACGATGCCACGAGTCACCTCTCTCATCCTCCACCGCTGTTGGTCCTTTCATTCTACAGAACCAATCGGTATTCAATGCTTGCGGAATTTGATGAGTTACAACGGCTTTCTCTCATGCTTGGCTGCCGTTGATTAATCAGCTGTGCAACTAACTGACTGCAACTTGTACACCGTCTTTCAAGACCATCCATACCTACCGGTACCTGTACAACTTCATCATCACTTTGAATCCCCGGTTCCCCTCAAGTAAGAATTCTGGAATCTATCGCCAACAGGATTTGACTGTCCAATCATCCATCATCTGAGCATCGGAAAGGACAACATATCAATGTTCAAACAAGCGGTAACGCAAAGGGTAATATTACCAAGAAAAAGGCCCAATCCAATTCCATCTATCGAGATCTGTTGAAGCCCCTATCCATTCAACAAACAGTACATCATCGTGGGGGTCCACAGATACCATCCCATTCTCATATGTTTCAGAAGAACCACACTCGAGCCACTATACTCGGAATGATCATCATCGGAATCCCGTTGTAATCCGCCGCCACCACTTCATGACTGGGTTTACCCCAATTTTATCCAGGAATTTTTGTACGGAGTATGTCGCCATGAAATGATATCTCTCCAAAAAATATTGTCATTGGAAAATAAAAACCCTTCAAATTTCTTCCTGGTGACCGTGACTCCTCTCATTACAGCCTTGGATTCGATGTATCTGATATCACCAAGCGGGTACTCGCATATCCTGTTTGCAGAGTACGGCACATAAATCGGCTCGGGGATTTGATCAAAGCAAGAACACAGAAAGCCAAAATGACCTTGACGCGATAGCCGCCGTTCCACACATGTCTGGAGGGGAAAGCTCCCGTATCTATCTTCCTTATGTGACAGTTGGACAGGAATTTTTGATGAAAATGGAAATACCTACATGATATTTAGACCCCCTGACGAGATTCCCGATTTGTCCTTCCTTTCAGAGTTACCATCGGTTCGGGTTTGCACTGCTTTCCCCGGAGATTATGATTTGATGAATCTTTCTGGCTCATATGGGGTTCGACAGTGAGATTTGGATTTTGCCTTTGTCCTCCCGAAACTCCATAGCTTCGAATGGAAATAATTTGGAGATTCATTCATTTGTGATAAGAATAGAATCAATTCTTTGACAGATGGATATTCGGAGCAAATTCTGGGAAGCGTTTGTCCTGTCACTTGCAATTACTACAACAAACGATTATCACAACCAACAATCACGTTCACCATACTTCCTTGAACTCAAGATATAGTCCATACTTCATCATTTGAGCATCATCCTTTGCAGTACCGGTTGACTTCGATTCTGATCAATTTTACTCATTATAAGCCAATGAAAAGTGTCGGCTCGGAGCTCTAAAGTTTTAACTTTTCATGTGCCAGATGCACGCTTACGAGTCAGTCGTGGTAGTCTTACCAAAAACTCGATTCCTCCGACGTTTTATCTACCCGTCCAGTCCAGTCAATATTGTACATATCATCTCGAGGATATTTGCATGTGTATCACCTTTGACAACATTGGTTCCTATTCTTTTGCTACCTGATCATCAATGAACCGGAGACCCCGTAATTGCAGGTGCTGCTGATACCTTCTACTTTACCATTAACCACCACTCATCGGCGGTTCGAGAGATTGTGCAATCGAGTGTTGCGTTACTTCTGACAAGCCTCAGGATTTGAGGATTTGGTTGGAGGTACATTTGGATTCGAACCAAGTGCTTTGATTCTAGAGGAGCAGAAATCACCATGGGCTTGTGTTATGATTGTCAACTCATGTTCTATTCTCGCCTTGTTTACTCTTTATTCTATGTGCGGCATCGACTTTCTCAAACCATCAATTTTCGTCAAGTACCTGGAGACCTTCCAGGTGACAATTTCATAGAATGATGATGATTATCGCACAAATCTCATCGCAAACATACCCAAAACCTTGTACCACATTCGAAAGAATTTGATGCACAAGCAAGTGACTGTGGAATTGGGATAGATGCTGAACCACCTAGTTGGAAGAACCGGAAGTATCACATCATTTCTCCAAAGTTGTGCTTGCGTATGGAAACTTCCCAAAAAAGCTCGCGATACATTGATTTTGGCTCGATCTAAAATTTGTGTATATCAGTTATCCAGCGTCGTCGAAATTCCACGACAAACAAAGCACTAATACAAGACTCATTTTGTATTATTCAAGAAACCGGTATTTAATCAGAACGTTTCTAAGGAAATCAAGAGCTGTCTTTTCCAACGTTTCAGGTATCTCTTCCCCTTTAGACGAATCTCTTTAGTGTTCAAAACTATTATTCTTGGATTATCCTTGCATAAACAAGCTGGGCATCCCAAGCTCCTAGATGAAAATATATTTCAGTTGTCCAAGCGAGGTAGAGCATGGTTTGATTCGTCATCGCGTTTATGAAATGTGAATGTGGCAAAGATTAGCTTGTCTATGATTGCTCTGGCAATATAAACCTTGAGATGGTTCTGAGACTTTGTTCTGGAGATTTTTTTGGGTTGATATACCTACCTGTCTAAAGATGTTGGTAGCCATCTTGCTCGAGCGGTGCATTTCTCGACCAGCTAAAATATACCAGTTAGACAATTTAGGCGCCAAACTCGACCTCGCCTGCTCAAGTTTTAAGAATAGGAAAAAGGCACAGGCGGCGGACATATCAAGCCATGAGCGCTTTTCTATCCTTGTCCCCACACTGCCAAACACAAGATGATTCTTTTTTTCTTCTGGGTTTTGAAAGCTGCAAATGATCGCGCCATCATGAAATATGGCTGCCCAAGGTCAAGAATCCGACGAAATGCCACGAGTCATGGTAGTTAGTCCTACGGAGCATTGCTTGACATGATTTCAATCAATTTTTACTCTCAACCCCGACATTCATTTTCTAGATATGTCCGCAGTAACATACATATCTTCGGGGTTGGTGAATGATGATAAATGGAGCAAGGCGTGTATATGTACAAGAAAAAAGAGTAAGATTCTGGCGAATTTGGTGATTCAAGGAATGAGTTATGCAGCGCTACATATCGTGTGCTATTCATATATTCTATATTCTGCATGTCTGGAAGGGATGAATGATTTCGCTTGAAAAGTTCCTAGTGAGTGAGGAGATGTGCAATATATTGAAGTTTTTTCTTGGAGTGGTTTGGAATTCGGTATGCTATGTCATTTCAGGATGAATCTTCGCATACGCAATATAAACTGGAATACCTGGGTAGGTAGTGATATGTGGAAGGAATGATAATGTATGGTCGACGATACATGAGTAGGAGGGTACATTGGTGAATGAAGAGATATGCAACAGAAATATCGACTAACTCCCTATTCACGGAAAGCATGATGATGTATGAATAAGAGCGGATATATTGGTGAATGAGGAGTTATGCAACATATCTGCGTTTTAAGATCATCGAGGAGAGGTGAATAGTGAGTAATGCAACAAGATAAAACAAAACAACGAAGAACCATATATGCGAAGTACGATGATAATAATGAGGTATGAAAAGCAGAAAAATTCACCAGGTGAATAATGGGATTTGCAATTATATCATATCATATCTGTATCTTTGGTTGGAAGGTATATGGACGATATGGAAGGTATGGAGGGTGTGGGGGAGGTGGGTAAAAAACACACCGCGCATAAGAGAAGGAAAAATCATCTAGTGTGGATGAAAAGATAGGGTATAATTACATGTAATTGAATACTTTTTCTGGAGGTTTGGTCTTATTAGAGGTGAATGAATGATAAAGTGGGTTATAGGTGGATTATAGGTGGATAAGATTGGATTTGTGAGTAGATGTTTGTTGGTTGGTTGGTTGGTTTCTTTGTTGTGTTCTGTTGTGTTATTTTGTATTATTTGTTGTATGCTGGTTTGGCATTTTGGGATTTTGTTTGGGTTTGAGTAGGTTAATGATCGGGTTTGGTGGGTGGTAGAGGTGCAAGTTGTAGATATAGGCAAAGGGGAGGAGGAGGAGGAGGATGAGGAGGAAGAAGAAGGAAAGATTTAAGGTAAGTGAAGTATTTTGAGAATTGTTGTCTCATGTTGAGTTTGTTTATAGTTGGCTGGTTGGTGGTGTTATATGGTCTCTGGTGAAATTGGAGGAATTGAAATGCTAAGTAGCATGAAGGATATTTAGTTGTTCAAGGTACGAGTAGTAAAGATTCGGAGGGATTTGTTGGCTTGGGTCTGCAATGGGAGGTAGGTAGGTGATTTCGTAAGGTTCTCTGGTGGAATTGGAGGCATTGAAGGATTAACTTGTTTTATATGCTAAGTAGCATCATGAAGGATATCTGGTTATTTAAGATGTGAGTGGTTGATACTTGAAAGGTAATTGATTCGAATCTACAAAAAGATACGTCACATTAGATCATCTTTGTCATAAAATTGAAGGAACCGAAAGGATTAACTTACTTCATATGCTAAGTAGCATGAAGTATACATTCGCTCGGATTTTTCTTCCGAGAAGCTTTGAGGCTTTCGCTTTTTTCCTTCGGCTCGGAAGATTAGCTTTCCGCATAACTTAACCTTACTCCTTTACCTAAGACTAGACTCGGGTAATATGGATCTCTTTTCCAAATCGAGGCATCCGATGAAATACTTTCTTACCTCCACCATTTAGGAAGGGCACGGTGTACTGTTGAAGAATGATCCAAAGCTCGTGCTCTAGTAAAAATCCCCAGTACCTTGCAGGCATTAATGCGAATGTCAGCCCTTCCATCAAATTTGATACTCTGGGCAGTGGGCACAAATAAGCTTTGACGGAATCGGAGTAGGAGTTAAGAATCCTTGGATCCTGCGGTCAGGCCATCCTGTCTAATGCCTTAAGCGATTTGACAATGGTTCGGCCGAAACATGTTGCGGTATGTACCTGGAAGACAATCTTCCCTACTCCCTACAAACAATCCATTTATGCCAAGATTCTATTGGCTTTCATTCTCGTCCTCATTCTGATGATTGCTTGTTCAAGATGTTGTGTTTCTGGACCCCTTTTCTGCACTTGCGTTTAGAAACATGTGTGAAGTCACAATTTAATTATCGTTTGCCTTGAGTTTGTATTTCAATACTAGTAGCTTTTGCAATTTTCGCTTTTTATATGGGAATCTTTATGGATACTATCCATTGGATATAACCTTCAACATGGGAATTGAAAGGATTATCGATTCGATTTGTCATGGCTTTTGCATTTGACATGGAATTGGAAATCAAGCTGACTGCTGCCCACAGACAGTACAGTAAGAGCACTTTCCAACATCGGTCTCAGATCAATATACTCCATCGTTATTTCGGCAACGATGGAACAAAGTCGGGTCAGCGGTTAAACGGAAAATCCTTCAACGCTTTCCATGGCACGTGGCCGTTCACATTCAGGTACCATATTGCGGTATGTGCATTGTGCAGGTGTCCGAAGAACATCGACGAACTTTATTCGGTCCGTTTCAAGGACCCAAGTTTGAATCCTTATAATTAAATGAAATCTTGATTGAATCTTCAACAACTTCATCGAACGTTTTTCCGCCAGAATGTTGGAAATGCGGCGCAAATTACTGTTTCGGGAAGGTGCGGAAATACACATCCTCGGTCTTCATTCGTTTCGCCATTACCCCGCCATTGTGGGGTACTTTGATGTTACTTTGATGTTACTTTTTGGGGTAGCGGGATGTTGCATTTTGGAAGGATTAACTACGATTGTAACTTACTCCGTGGTCGATATACCATTGAGTTTGTATAGTGAAGGGGAAAGGACCGAATGTCGGAACATTTATTGTGAGTTTGAAGAAGTCTTCAATTAGCCTCTAGCGTGCATATACATTTTATAACTCATATCCATGGGGCGGTGGATGAAGGGAAGTGTTGAAAGCACATACAAGAAATAAGTAGTTGGAGATCAAGTTTGGTGACAAAAAGAAAGATCTATACCTTCGTTCGGTTTGGGTGATTGAGGTAAATCTGATGGTTTTCATCTTGACTGAACTTTATTTCGTACCTAAATTTATTTTGGAATGGTCTAGGCTTTATCCCTCTCGGTTTCATCCCTCTCAAATGTTACAAATCGGCTCCTAGTCCTCAATCGGCTGATAAATAGCTATAAAAACAACTAAACGAATAATTTTGAAAAATATATACTTTTCAAAAAATCAACATAAAACAACTATGTATCCTATTAAAGAATTGTTAGATTCAATCGATAAAGATTCAATAGCGGTATAATATCTCTTTTTCAAATATTCAAAATCCTTTCAATTGTATTCCCTAGTACCTTGACTTTGCATGGGTTACGCGGGAGGGGGAGCTTATGGAAACTAAAGGATAATCTTAAAGGATTCAAATAAAACCCAAAACCTTTCTTTTTAATTAGCGCAACCTCGGTACCGAACATATGCCCTTCATGCTTTTACGCATTTGCTGTTGTATAAGTACTCTGTCCATCCTAAGATGACTGATTCTACTTCCTCATTGTTCAGTGTTTGAGTTGGGGCTGCCATCGAACTTTCACCTTCGAATCAGGAGTAGTTCTTTCCTTCATTGATCTCAATCTCCTCTTCCTTTCCAAGGGTCTTTTACTTTGTGTTGTATCCCTCACGGAACTCAATTGAAAATGAAGCCAAGCAGCCTTCTCCGTCTTATACCCGTCACATACCTGGCGACTAGTGTCGCGGCTCTCTCAGCAGCAGGTTGGAGATCACAATCTATCTACCAAGTCATCACAGATCGTTTTGCACGTACTGATGGCTCCACTACTGCTTCATGTAATGTGAATGAATATTGTGGTGGTTCATGGCAGGGTATTATCAAACATTTGGATTATATTCAGGATATGGGGTTCACGGCTGTGAGTTTTGAGATATGGATTTAATGATGAGTTTTGTGCTGATGATGGATAGATTTGGATTTCTCCGATTGTGCAAAATATTGTTGGGGATAGTGTGGTATGCAAGTCTATTCTTTTTTCTCCTGACAGAATAGGGTTATATATTACCCCAAATATGCTATCTGCCGAGTGTCTGTACTGATGCAAAATTCATAGGATGGTTCTAGTTATCATGGATACTGGGCACAGAATATTTACCAGGTTAATTCCAATTTCGGAACAGCAGCCGATCTTAAAGCATTATCAGCTGCAGTAAGTGATCTAAGTCTACCACTATAAGACCTACTCAATACTAACCTTACTCCGCACAGCTCCACGCTAGAGGCATGTACCTAATGGTCGACGTCGTAACCAACCATATGGGATATCTCGGCTGCGGAACATGCGTAGACTATAGTATCTACACACCCTTTAATTCCGTGCGTGGCTTCCCCACCAACAAACATCACATTCATGACTAACACGAATAGAAATCCTACTACCATCCTTTCTGTCTGATAGATTATAACAACGCAACAAGTGTGGTAGACTGTTGGGAAGGAGACAATATCGTCTCACTACCCGATCTTAGAACAGAAGATTCAGATGTATACACGGAGTGGAATTCGTGGATTACGCAACTCGTGGCTAATTATTCGATTGATGGTTTGAGAGTTGATAGTGCTCAACAAACTGGGAAGACTTTCTTTCCCAGCTTTCAAAATTCTGGTATGTGATTTTTTACATCGTTTACCCTGAATGAGGGGATGGAATGGAGATGCAAGTAATGGGCTAACAATATATGGCATAGCTGGTGTATACGTCATTGGAGAGATTTTCAACGGTGATCCAGCTTACGTATGTCCGTACCAGAATTACATGAACGGAGTTCTCAACTATCCTGCGTAAGTCTTCTTTCCCATCAGTAACCCCCCCACCCCACCGGCCCCAAAACTCTTCCCAATTAAAACTAAACTAAATAGATACTACTGGATAACGCAAGCCTTCCAATCCACAAGCGGAAGTATATCGAACCTGGTAAACGGAATCAACACGATGAAATCCAGCTGCTCAGACACCACACTCCTTGGTTCCTTCCTAGAAAATCACGACGTGGCTCGCTTCCCCTCTTATACATCAGATGTCTCACTCACAAAAAATGCCATCGCATTTACTATTCTCGCAGATGGTATTCCCATAGGTAAATCCCCTTTCCCTCCTTCCCCCGTTTTCCCTTCTTCCACATCCCCATCCCCACTAACCCCCCTTTAGTCTACCAAGGCCAAGAACAACACCTAAGCGGCTCCTCCGTCCCCAACAACCGCGAAGCCCTCTGGTCCAACTCAAACTCCTATTCGCAATCTTCGACATATTACAGCTTTATTGCTTCGGTGAATCAAATCCGCAATCAAGCTATCTATGTAGATCCTACGTATCTTACTTATAAAGCGTATCCGGTTTATAATGATAGTACGACGATTGTTATGAGGAAGGGATTTACGGGGAAGCAAATTATTGCGGTTTTTAGTAATAAGGGTGCTAATGGGAGTAGTGAGTCTTTTTGTTTTTGTTTTTGTTTTTGACTTATATTTTGAGGAAATATATAACTTTTGGGAAATAATCGCTAACAAACTCACGCACACAGGTTATACATTAACACTATCGAGTTCCCAAACGGGATTCACATCCAATCTGCAGGTCGTGGAAATCCTTACTTGTACGACGTCTACGACGGATGGTAGTGGGAATTTGGCGGTTAGTATGGCAGGGGGTGTGCCGAGGATCTTTTATCCAAAGTCATATTTGGTTGGGAGTGGAGTTTGTTCTTTGTGAGTACGGATGGATGGAGAGAGAAGTATGTAAGCGAGGTGAAGTCTTTCTTGGGGTTTGGCGGGGGGAAGTATTTATTGATACTCGAAGCTTAATTAAAGCTTAAAGCTTAAGTTTGCAGAAGCAAAAAAAGGAAGAATCTATTCTTATATAGATTCCATTGGATTTCCTCGCTGGTATATAATACGCGCACACACACACACACTTACACACACACACACTTACACACACACACACTTACACACACACACACTTACACACATACACACATACACACATACACATATATATACATTCCGATATTAAAAATCTATAAATCTCAACTCAAACATCCATCTCACTGAATTATTTTATGATCTGATTTCTAATTATATAATGATATACATAATCTAAAGCAAAAATGATTTCATTTCGCTTTAGTAACCTTTCTCATACAGTAAGTAGTTTCCACAACTCTTATAATCGTACTCGTACTCGTACTCGTAATCGTAATTGTAATTGTAATTGTAAATCTAATCCTGCGATGATATAATAATCTTTATTTGCCGTTTAATATATATGATCTCTTAATTCACATCCTCAGTCTCCAATTGGCATTACCAATCATCAATCATCATTATTCAAATATCGAGAACTCCTCCAGCAGCCTTCCCTCAAACCCACGCCGGTCAAACATCCTCCCACTCCCCATCATCCATCTCCAACAAACAAACCCCCCTCAAAGAAACCTCCGTATTTTCACCACCGAAAAAGATCTTATAAGATAATAATCTAATCAAATATAATCTAATCTACATATTCAGTTTCAGTTCAGGTACCGGTTTCGTTTCGGTCCGGTTTCTTAAAGATATAGAAATAAATTGAAAAGTCGAGAAATAAGGAATGAGATGAGGAAAAGGGAGGTTCCTCTGCACTGCTGCTATGCTATACGTGAACTTTAGGATAGTTATGAGGTGGTTGGTGGTCTCACTTGAGAAGGGGTTCAGTTAAGTGCTTGTTCCTCCCAAAAGAAAAGTAGAAAATGAGGAGAAAAATGAAATCAATAGAGTTGAGTTACTTTAGGATATTATATCATTGCTGAAACCCAACATGGTATATTTTTGAATATGCATTCTTGCAGTTCAATTCTATAGTGATGTGATGCATAAACCCACCCCTCAAAGATATCACTTATAACCACCCAAAACAACCATTATCTATCCACATCCTTGTACTCCCAACACCTAAACCCTCTTCTCAGCTTTCCTAGTCGTCTCCTCCGTGGTCTTTTTCTTTTCCTTCAGCGCGGGTAATCCAAATACCTTACTCACACCTCCCTTAACCATCCTCCATTTGAAAAACTCTATCTGTGGAGTCCAAGTAAGCGCTCCAACCCAAGGCTGCACATTATAATGGACCTTCAACACTACTCCTTGTGCTGATGCGAGTTTCCCACTCGGTTGGGTAATTTGGTATTTGGCTTTTTGATTTTTGAGTTTGAGGATACCTCTGAGGGATTGCAAGTTAGTATATTATACCTATGAACACTTTTTGGGGAGAACAAAAGAAGGAAGAGTGACAAAAAATGGTAAACCAACCTCGAAGGATCAATACTCTTTCCTTTAGAACTCTTGACCAATTTCTTCATTGCCGCCGGCCCAATATTTTGCAAATGATCTGCGCTTGGATTCGTAATAATCGTATCCCAAATAACAGCTTCATTATCTAAAATTGTCGGTTCTGAAGAATTGGAAGGCCATGATGCTGATACGTAGACGAATAGTTGTTTAGTATTCCAATTGAAGAGGGAGGAGAAATCTGCGTCGAGGGAGAAACGAATATGTGCGTATTCTTCTTTTTTCGTAGAGTAATAGTGTGGACGTCCTTTTACACTGGGGAAGAGAGGGTTAGTTGAAGTTGGATGGAAATCTGGAGCGGGAATGTGGAAGGATAGAAGGGATTTGTAAATTGGGGAACATACACTTGAACATCCTTAACTTCAACTTTAGCACTAGGTGTCCTTGGTGAAATGAGATCTGTACATGCGATCAAGGCCGCGACGACAAATGCCACTGTTGTGAAGAATCCAAAGACATTTTGAATGCGCACCACTGAGGAATGCATGATTGTTCCTTTTGTTCTGCTTGCTTTGCGCCCAATTGAATGTATTGTTTATGCGTATCTCTTAACTCATGCACTGTTGTTGTTGTTGTTAAGGTCCTGTTATTATGTTCAAATTTCCGTCAATTGGAGACGGAATTGATAAGTAAAGATATTGTCACAATCTGGACTTTCGGATTTAACACGTCTCAATCTGAAAGCTTCATGATTTGATCTAAATTAGCGTATTGTGGGGTAAGAGGTGGCTGAAGCTTGGAATCACAGGATGTGGCGGTGCAATTAGGATTGATGAGATATATTGTCTGTATGTTGGAAAGGAACTGAAGCTGAAGATATATGAATGAAGAGTTTTGTATATAAAGTATCTCTTGTTGGGAAATGTATGGGTCACTCCACAAACACAGAAAAAGGAAACAAAAAGAGAACAAATTGGTATCGCCGACCCGGCCCATCCTTTCCATAGCTCTCAAAAATTAAACTGGTATCCCATAGAATTATTCGTGACTTTATCCAGACCTCCCTCCGATCCTCTTCCGGCAGATCTTCCGATTCCTATCCCATTTTTTCCCACTTTCATTACCCAAACATTACTACCTTATTCCATATAGCGAAAGATCATATCATTACAATCTCCTCTCTCGAGCTCCCGACCGATTTATACCGTCGTTTCATGGACTACAAAACAAGAGAAACTCAGACATGACCCATCTAATTCGTAGGTTCAACGATCGTACCGTAGCCTCCACCTTGTACTCTATCGGAGTAGATTCCCGGTGCTCGGGCAGCTTGGAATCTACCTTCTCTGCCTGCTTCCCGTCGTTCATAGTACACGTATTCGATGTAGAATGCATGGATATGTCCTGGTATGTATCTGTTCGTGTGTTAATATGTAGTTTTCCGATGAAAGGGAGGAGAGAGGATATGTACCCAAGTAGCGTTAAACAGATATTAATTAAGAGATCAGGCCCGCATCCTGCAACTGCGAAAACACCAATGGGTGGTGCTAGGATAGTGATGAAGATTAAGAGAACTTATAAGTCTGTCAGCGTCCATCCAGCATTGTTGGGATAGGAAGTGCGCAACTTACTCAATGAAGCTACACCCATATTTGCGAATCTATCTTATTATGAAATCTGATTTGGCTTTCAAAAATTAAAGATATTCTCAGCAATAGAATGTATGTTGTCCAAAGACTTCAAGGTAGATTAATGTTGGAAGAACTACTTTATCTTGAAGTAAAATGTCTTGGAAGAGGGGTAAAGGTTACGCATTTACATTTAAAAAGATGGGAAAGCTGGAGAATGGATCTTGGAATTGCCTCGCTCGCTTAGAATGTCAGTGACGTATGTTTAGTCCTGGAACAACCCAATCCAATATCAGAATCAGGTACAGAGCAAGTGATTTTCTTTTTCTTTTAGTCCTCCAATATTATATTTCCCCTGCTATCATAATTAATTTTCAGACGCAAAACCTATCTTGTGTGATATTGCGTGTGCCTTGGTATTTTTGGTTTGATCTACTCTGCGCTGATACAAAGTGATTCGTTGTGGTATATCAGATGAGACGTGTGCCATTTTCTACCTCGCAATTTGTGTGGGGATGTTTCATACCATGAGTCAGATTTGATTGTATTTGTTCATGAGAATGTTGGTTGTTCCAATAGGACAAGCCACTCATGTGCTTCCGTTCCGTATGTCTGCGCCCCGTCATCAGTGAAGAAACGAAGAATATTCGATGCAGGGGCAAGATCATTGCACGTGCTCTCATTTATTCCTGTCTACGGTGTATGTATTTTGCTTTTCACAACCAATCAAGAAACCAGAAAGCTTCGGACTGTCCTGAATTGAGGTCTGGGAGGTTCGTCAATTATCCTGACCGGGCCACTACTCAAATTTATTGACAGGGCGGAAAATCTGGCCGGTCAATGGCGTCGACTTTTCCTTTTAGTAGAAGATTGGATGGATCTTTCCGTTTGCTCGATCCAAAAGTCTGATGGGCAACAATTCCTCATATCTATCTCACATTAGCTACTACCACAAATTTCAGAAGAGAATATCACTTACACATGCTTCGACCATTCACAAACAACCTGTCTGGTAACAGCAGGATCTATGATCTCTTCAACACCAAACGCATTTGCTGTTCTGACTGGATTCATTAATCGAGTATATTCTTCTTCTAGCTCTTTATATCTCTCCTCCCGATTCCCATTGGCTCCCGCTGCTTTCAATTCTGCAGCATGTCCAACTTCAATACCTCCATCTAATGGAAGACTTCCCCATTCACCACTTGGCCAGGCCACGCGAAAACGAGGATCTCTACAATCAAGCATTATTCCACCAGCTACACCATATGCTTTTCTCGTCACAACGCTGAAAACTGGAGTCGTCGTAGAATAATATGTCGTCGCAAGTGCTACTCCATGTCTCATGGTCGCTGTTCTTTCTGCTACTGTTCCAATTGCATAACCTGGGATGTCGACAAATTGTAATATAGGAATATTAAAAATATCGCAGAATTTTAGATGCCGTGTGATCTTTTGGCTTCCAGCAGCATCAAGTGCTCCGGCGTTTATTTCACAATTTAATGATATGATTCCAATAGGCCGACCGGCAAGTCTGGCAAGACCAACAATTGCAGTGGTTCCCCAAAGTGCTCCGATTTCGAACCAGCTTTCTGTATCAACTACAGTCGTTATGATCTTTCGCGGATCGTACATTCTTGCTTTCCGACGTGGAATAATTGTACGTAGCTCCCCACAAAGTCGGTCGGCCGGATCTTCAGTGCTTACAGCAGGTGGTAGAGAAGCCCCAGAGTTTGGCAAATAACTCAAAATAGCCCGCAATTGCTCAAAACATTCTTGCTCATTTGCTGCCATGTTGTCAATTGTACCATTTGTACAATGCATACTGGGTCCACCAAGCTCCGTAAATGTAAGTCCTTCCTCAAATGTTGCTCCTATTATTATTTAACATCTTTTTTTTCACAAGTATAATAAACTCACCAGCAACAACTTTCGGTCCTGCATTAAACAATGCTCCAACATCGGCAGCCATAACCGAAAAGTGACACGCAACAACTCTAGCAGCCCCAAGTCCTATAGCTGGTCCTAACACAGCTCCTAGGTTTGGAATTCCCATATTCAGTTGCTGCACCACATGATTAAAAGATGGCATGGGCGGTATATACGAATACCCATCTTTGCGAATAGTCGTAACTGAACCTCCTCCTGAAGACCCATCTACCAATTTGATAATTGGTAGCCTCAATGCAACAGCTAACTTCTCTATATAAATCGTCTTTTCCATCAACGCACCATCCGCATGACCAGCGCGGATACTAAAGTCATCTGCTGTAAATAGTACTTTCCTTCCCCTCAACAATCCGAAACCTTGCACATTATTACTCGGTATATAAGAAACCGGCTCCTCTTTTTGGCCGTTTCCTTCAATTGCATCTAATTTCTTCCATACAACAGTCCCAGAAACAGAACCTACTTCTCGAAAACTATCTTTATCAAGTAGTTGAAGAACACGTTCCCGGACCCAGAGTTTCCCGGCTTGCTTTTGACGAATATAACCTTTATTGGTGAGATCAGGTGTACTGGCTATTTGTTTTAGTGAGGAGATTGTTCCGAGAATATCTGAATAATCGGCTGGGAGATCGTTTTTGGTCTTAGGACCTCGACGTTTTGGGCATGTGTTGGAAATGTGACCGGTGACTTGGGATATTCGGTCTGAAGCGGTTTTTGAAGAACTTTTTTCTTGACTGTCACTTGCCATGATGAATGAAGTTTACTTGCTCCTCGAATATGATCTTCAGGACTCAATTGTCTCTTCAAACTTTGGGAAGGAGTGGAGATAGAGCTCCAACAAGGCTTGGACCTCGGCTCACCCCCTACCCCACAAAACGTGGGGTGGCTTGATCAGATCGATATTCCGAAGCTCTACCATATTTCAAACATTGCATGAGATTACAAGCCAAAATGATATGTCTATTAGGTATTGTATTCCGATGAAGTATATATCTTAACTTTCTTCTTGATAACTATCATACAATAATTATAAAATGTCGCAACCACCCTACCGACCAATCAAGCGTCTTCTCATAGCAAATAGGTGCGTACTTAATATTCGCTTCTCTTTCACCACGTCCATGTCCATCTCTTCCCAAGCTTACTTCCAAAAGGGGAGAAATAGCAACACGTATAATATCCACAGCAAGAGAACTGGATATCGAGACCTACTCTCTTTACACCGAAAATGACTCCTCTCACACTCTACACTCAACCCATTCCATTAAACTTCCCTCTCCATCATCGTATCTGGATATCTCAGCTCTAATATCTATTGTCCAAAAACATGATATCGACACTATTCATCCCGGCTATGGATTCCTCTCCGAATCACCCAAATTTGCAGAGAGGATGTGGAAAGAGGCTAATGCGATTGTCATTGGGCCTGGGCCTGAAATTCTAGAAAGAACAGGTGATAAATTAATGGCAAGACAACTGGCAAATGAATGTCACGTTCCTATTCTCCCTGCTCTTCAAACTTCCACAAATGATATTTTTCAACTCCATGATTTTGCATCCTCAGTTGGCTACCCTATCATTATTAAAGCTGTAGACGGGGGCGGCGGTCGCGGTATTAGGATTGTGACCCAAGAAACAGAGTTGGAAGATATGCTCAAAGCAGCATTGAGAGAAAGTCCAAGCAAGAAAGTTTTTGCAGAAAAAGCGGCGATTGATGGTTATAGACATGTGGAAGTGCAAATTATTGGGGATGGAAAAGGAGGTGTAAGACATCTTTGGGAGAGGGAATGCAGTATTCAGAGGCGATTTCAAAAGGTTGTGGAGTTTGCGCCGAGTGGAGCAGCGGATAGAGATTCAATAGGCAGGGTGATTGATGCAGCATTGAGGATGGCTAAAAAGGTGAGATACTTGAATGGTTCAATCAGACTAGGAATTGAAGTATTTATCATTTTTAAAGGTCAATTACTACTCACTTGGAACCTTTGAGTTTCTCGTCCGGCAATCATCCCCGGAATTCTACTTCTTAGAAATCAACCCGCGTCTACAAGTCGAACATACCATTACCGAATCTTTGGCTCTTGGCATCGATCTCGTCAAAATCCAACTTCTCCTCGCTGAAGGTCATTCCCTCCCATCCCTCCTTCCGCGATTTCTCCCATCTAGCCCCTCTACACCACCCGAAATCCACTCACTCCAACTCCGCATCACAGCCGAGTCACCCTCACAGGACTTCTCTATTAGTCCGGGAAAAATCTCATCGTTCCATTTTCCATCCGGAAATGGTATTCGAGTAGATACTCATCTGCATCCATCAACTTCCGCCGTCATCGGCACAGATTTCGATAGCTTACTAGCAAAACTCATTATCACCGCACCTACCTGGCTAGATGTTATTGCGAAAGCTAAACGTGCCTTGGATCACACATTCATCACTGGTATCGAAACAAATTTGAATCTGTTAAGGGCTATTGTGGCTAGTGACGATTTTAGGAGACAGAAATGCGATACGAGATGGCTGAAGAAGAATCTACCGATGCTGCTTGAATCAGCAAGTAACATAGGCAATAACTTGAAGAATGTGGTACCATCGATATCCACAACTCAGATACCGGCTCTGCCTATATCATCAAATGTTCTCTTTCGTCCAAGAGATGCATGGGATATTTTTCTTACTCCTGAAAATTCGAAAGATGGCTCTGGAAATACATCACAGACGCCATATCATCTCCAAATAACTCGCATTCTAACCAACAACTTCCCTTCTTTACTCAAAGCCAACATCCTCTTTACTTCCCCCTCATCCACTAGCTCATCCTCAAAACCAACACCCTACACTCTCTCACTTACCTCCTCCACCTCATCTTCCTCCCAACAATCCTCACAAAATCATCGTCTTGGCAATCTTTCAAACCCAAACCATATAACCGCCCCCTTCCCAGGTAAACTCATTGAAATCTATGTAGAAACAGGTGATAGAATATTAGCCGGACAAGCCATTTGTGTAATAAGACAGATGAAAATGGAAGTTGAGATACGAAGTAAAAAAGGAGGGATCATCACATGGGTTCTTGGAGATGAGGAAGAGGAGGAGGTATGGGAGGTTGGGTTAGATGTTAGGGAGGGAGTTCTGATTTGTGAGTTGGAGGATGAAGATGCATTTGGAAGGGATAGTAAACTTTAGATGCCCTTGATGCCGGGTAGGAGATATCGAAAAGTGTTATTTGGGCTGGAAGTTGGATTAGTGCTAGAATGGCCGATGCCAGATTGCAGCATGATTATTAGTATTTTTTTTAGGGGGAGGGGAGGGGAGCCTAGTTAACACAAATATCGCCGCGAGCTAATCGAGAGAAGGCTAATTCTCATTTAGGGCTTTGAGTTGATTGAGAAGAGAAATAACCGGTCTGGTATTAGTATGTCATTTATGAACTACTTTGGGAATTATTCATTCGATATCCCCACAATCTGATTCAGATATAAGACTACCAAAATAGATAGTAGCAATAGGTATAACAAACTTCGAACCTGGGTTATAAAAATCCTCGCCTTCCTAGCAATATGACTTCAAAAACTTTGTACTTTCATTCATGGACGAAGAAAAACATTCATAACAATAGTTTCTTTCATTGATTTATAGATTTTGAAATATTAGTAATACAATCTAAGTCTAATTATTTCATTATGTAATCTTAACAGTAAGGTAAGGTTATTTGAAATCATATATCCAAGACTTTTCCATGATTGTGCCGCAATTAAATCTCAAATCCGCGTTGTGAGGAAAAACGCTTATGTAAGCATAGGTTACCGCTTACCTAAAAGCTAACCTAGCTGGTCGCGCCATCTCCCGATCTTAAAAGAGTACTAAATCTTCTTCTTCTTCCAAATCATTTGATCGCTCATCATGAGGAGTTATTAAGAGTCATAATTCTTCTCTAAAAAACGTCTCGGAAGATGGAAAGATCATGTAGGAGTAAAGACTCATAGCGTAGGTAGGTCAGCTGGTCATGAATTACACATGACTCTGGCTGCTGAACATCATTACCTGCTTCCAGTGTCGCAGATGTGAAAATATTGATATATAAATGCCTAATCATATCCATAAAAGTGGGAGTGTTTGGTCCGCAAATTTTTACTGTTCTTAGAATTTATATACTATTGCATTGAACATACATACACACTGTAGTCGTCTTTCTCTGATACTCTCTTATTTTACATCTATCAACTTGGAGGTTAAAACGATATAGTATCCTATTGTGTTCGGAACTCTGCAGAATGCCCCATCATCATCGAAGAAAATCAACGTTGTCGAGAGAATCATCGTCTAGCTCTTCTGAGTCCTCACGCTCATCTACAAATCGAAAACGTTCGCATGAAGCGTCACGGAACTCCGGATCAAGTCGGCATCATACACGAGATCGGGAAGAAAGATATAGAAATGATGTTAAAGAGGGTTCTGGTGCAGGAGACGGCGTCGGCGTCGGAAAACGCATCTTCAAGACGGTTGAGAAACTCGAGAATCCAGTGAAGAAATTCGGCAAGCTTGTTCTTTGGGGTGCTCCGTTGATTCTTGCCGGACTGGAAGTACGACATGAATGGCATCATCATTCGCATAAGAGAAGGATGATGGATAAGGAGTATGAGAAGGCGCATTTGGAAATACAGTTACAGATGGGCAAAGATGGGAAGAAGGAGGGTATTACGATTGAGGGGACAAAGAGTCATGGGCCAGCGAAGGAAAAAGAAGAGACTTCTGAGCCTTCATCTGACGAAGTACATATACTTCCTTATCCAGCAAAAGTCTACTATCCGGTCGGTCGCCCAAGTCAACATCCTTCACGGCGAAATACTGAAGCGTATCAACCGTACTTAATACCACCTCACGTCCCCGAAGCTCCATATCTAGATGTGCGTGAAGATAGACGACCAGGAATACGAGTGAAACGACCGGGGTCGAGAGATGTGCTGTTCCCGCGTGTTCGCTCAACTTCTGAATCCATTTACGAATATAGACGGTGGTGAAACTGTTACGGGGTAATTTTTTCATTTTCTTGATCTTTCATTTTGAGGCATTTGATGATGTTTAGACTTTCGAGCTGCTTCAATTTTAATTATTCATCACTGCCTTTTCTCTTTAGTGGTATAATTTACTTGTTTTCCAAGCTCATGTTGAATCACGGGAAAGGGCATTGATTAGAGTCATATTGTTTTGTGTTACTTGAATCAAGGATAGCAAGATAGATTGAGTGCATCAAATCTACAATTGCAATGGCCTTCCCGCGAAGTTCCCAGAAATTGTAGTGTATTACTAGGCCGTAGGACGTACTGCAGTTCGCGTATTTTATCCATTCTTGGGAGTTTGGCTCTATAAATTATTTGATTTAGGGGGAACTAGAACTATAAAGGTGAGCAGTTAGGGTCGAGTAAGGATCTGGAGGATATAAATGTCAAGTAGAGGAAGAAAAGAACGGTTACTTATGCCGTATGCAGCGTTCTATACATGTGTAATTTGTAATCTTATCTCACCCAACTAAGAATGTGATGCTAACTTGTTACTTATAAGAGGTACGAGGATTTCGACTTACGTGAAAAAGGAGATATTTCCTTGAATTCTTACCATTGAAACCATTGTGTTGTTCCGTAATGAATGCGGATTCATGGTTGCATTTTCTATCTTCAAGACTTATAATACAACATTTTTACATTCTCGATACCTGAAATTCGATCTAGATATTATGGATTCGAACATGAATCATTGGAGGTTAGCATGTAACTTCAATGTATATATTTGGTAAACCTTATATTTCCATCCCCAGGGACAATATACAGGGATTCGAGAAAGGACTTGTGGCTGTGCCAGCGGAGAAGAAGAAGTGTGTACGCTTTTGTGGAGGAGAGAGCGCCGAAAGAAAGAATGGGTTTGTAGGTTCGTGTTCTAAGGGTGGTATCTGTGATCTTTGGATGGCGGTTAAAAACGAGAGTGAGAGTGAAGCGTACCTGTGGATGATAGATTCAACTAGGAGACCTCTTATTACGTTTCCGATGACCGATGGCATGAGATGAGCACCAGCTCTAGTGGAAGTTGCATAATCGGTAAATTGAAAATATGATGGGACAAGCATCATCATCTTGTAGTGTATTGTACTCAGCAAAACCAATTTGTGAAAAGGGAAATGGAATTAAATACAGCCATCTGAGCACCAAACTAAAATTCAAGATTAACATACGATGTACGCACATCTCTATTCCTTAAAAGTCTTAATAGAAAAATTGGTCCGTCAGCCCAGAATCCTTCAATTACGAAGAATAAACTTCCAGCAGCAGATGAGATGTCCAATATTGATAATATTTTTCAGATGAGTCCAAGGCATTCGACGACCATCGAGATCAAGGACTAAGAAGAGTCTGCAAACCATGGGGACAGAAAGAAAGAGGGGTCCTAGAAAATCGATATGGTATAATTTCGAGCATTGTGTTACTTTTCCGCAGCCTGCCTAGGAGAATTATCGAGTTTCTAGACTACTAGCAATAAGGCTAGGATGGTGATGGTGGGTGGACATTACCCCAAGAATGACCTAAAGCACATATATGTTTGGAAAAGTAAGATTTATAATATCATGGATACTTTAAATACTCACCAACGCCATCCAATAGTATCAATCAAGAAACCTCCAATTGGACTACCGAGTGATCTTCCAGTCGTAGCAGTAATATTGATAAAAATTCTCCATTTAGCGACTTCTCTAATTAGACATATCTTGTCGGGCACGGGGTTTGTTCCAGTCCGAATAAAAGTTGACTACATACCGACGATCACAATCGACACTAGATAATTGATACCAGCGCCGCCAACTCCCGTAACTAATCGACCTACTACTACGGCAGGAAGGTTGCATACTAATCTACTATGATTCATACTAGCTAGCTAGAAATTATTGATATGATGGTGCCTGGGTAGCAAGACAGAATGTCTATGAAGTCATGTTATCATATATTTTCACGCTGGTAATCATGATCCTCGAAATATTTCAAACATTCCATGTTTCCGCCTAGAAAGCCTCCTCAAGGATTTGCTCATGACAGAATAAGCCTACCAAATATCACGACCTGCATCGAAAAGAAACACATAAGAAGCCAAAATCGTGCTTTGCATCTCATAAATATCACTTGATTTTCCTTGCTGTAAACCAATCAATAAATCGATTTTAAACTTATTTCCAAACGGAACAACACACCAAATATTGAGTAGCCCACATAGCCAGCGTATATGATGAAATCAACCATCCCGCATTTCCTAGTGATCCATCTGCGTTTGCTATGAAGACACCTACGGAGATTGTATAAAATTAGACATAAGAATAGGGAATGGGAAAGCTAACGAGGAAAAGCTTCTGCGTGGGGATCCTTTGTGTAGGAAGTCCACAATACTGTATGTACCTAGAAGAAAGATTGAAATGACACCTACGATATTACGAGTTTTCCGGTGATGGGTCGACTAGAGGTATTTCGCATGTTGCGAATTCTTCATCACTGCCAATGGAGGGTTTGGTATAGAACGTGACTCTAGAACTTTTGGCATCTAAAGGAATGGTGTACATTCATCAACCATTGACTTCTGAGTCATTTCCTTGGTGGCACTTGGCATGCTTACAGAGTAAGATTCCCTTGAAGCAATGACAATGTTAAAGGAAAAATGGTACAATCTTTAATATGAGGAGGGAAGTACAGTGAGACATATACAGTACACAGCATCCTTCAATCCTTAATGTGCGAAATTTGAAATGCAAAGTTATCCTTTATAGAGAATGTCCAAAAACCTACATTCATCTTCCGAGCAGATAACTTTCCCTCCATCTGTGGTGCCATCTATGATTGATTGTGCATAGGCAATGAAAGGCAACGGACCTTATCATCTTGAATTGTTCGATCGCCGGTAAATTTCCGGACTCAATGGTAAAGGGGGAATAAATGCGGTGGCTGAGTGCCTATCTATGACTTCACCTACACCCATTGGAAAATTCATTATGTAAAAGAATCGTCTATGGTCATGCTCGGCAAGTGCTATAAGATTCGCGGAGTATCAACTCTTATCTAGGACATGAGTTTTCATCACTTGCGTGAAACCATGCCAGCAAAAAGAATGAGTGGGACATCGGAATATTAGCCAGTTAAGGCTTGCTCATAGTGCCTTCTTCAAGACTTCGATCCTCCTGGGGGTTCGGAGTGGCATAGTTATTTTGCGCCCCAAGGTAGCGGATCAACATAAGAACAAGTATAGCCTAATAAAATTCGATAATAAAACCACCCGAAATCGGCAAGAGACTCGACGGATAGGAAAAGAAGTAGAATTCAACTGAAATTGAATGTGAGAAAAGTAGACCTCGAAGATAAGCCTTACGTTGACTGCCGTAGAGTGCCACTCATTAAGCGGCATAATTCAATTATAAGTGTAAACATATAGAGAAAAGAAAGACTTCACCATGAAGACTTTACCGGCCGGAGGTTGAAATTCGAGATTCGGAACGTACAGTATCTGTGGGGATGGATGTGGGCAAAAATCCGAGCCTTCTGCATGCAAGCCTTGGAAATCAAAGACAACCCGGAGAATCCCATGGATTTGCTTGTAGTATTCAAGGGAAACACTCCATCATTTGATAGCTGCCCCGACCGTTTCGGAGCTGAAAAAATGGGAAATAAAGAATGGTGAAAAATTAAATGGTTTTTTATTTGTGAATTCTTTAATTTCAATGTTGTTCCCGGGAACCCTCTCTTCCAAAGCCATCCAAGAACTCCAGATTTAGCCCCTCCTTGTGTAATCCTCACGCAACGCCGATCCATGCAAAAAATAAAATCTGTGACCTCAGTCCCTCAACCATGCCCTACGTTTCTCTTCCTTTTTTTGTTTCCTCTTCTCCTTGAATTGCTTTAGTTCTGCCTTTGACAGTTTCTTGCCGCTGCGTTCTTCCTTCAGACTTCGACCATCATGATTATTTGCCGCGGCATCGACATCAAAGTAAGCGCTCATTTGTCTTTTACTCTTATTCTCATCATTGAAGTTCTCTGGATTGAGTTCTGCCGCTTGCCAACGTCCTGTGAATCGATTAAATTGGCCAGTTGCCGCATAGACAGCGGCTGGATCCAATCTTGTAGCTGCTGGCTCTTCGACTGCTGCTGATTGGGCATACCAGGCATTTGGATCATAATCTCCATGGATGGCAGGATCATAACCACCGGCTGGACGAGAAGTTGGATCGCTTTCTGTAGGGGCAACAGCAGAGTTTGTTGATGGAATACCTGGAGGACCAGGCTGCGCAACCTCAGGAACACGTGGGTTATCCCACTGCGTAGCTCCGGTAAACCGATTGTAGAAATAGAAAGCTTGATTTGTCTCATCCCAAACTGGTGCCCAACCATCATCTTCTTGTGTAGCAGCTGGAGGTTGTTCATTTGGAAGGGGCGGAAGAGGTTCTTCTGGTAATGGCGGACCGTCTGCGGCAGCAGGATTTTCGAACAAAGCACTCTCTGTATTTTGGTTCTCAATCACACACGTACCATTACCAGAAGTGACAATTTCCCCTTCCTCAGTCGCCGGCAGGTCTTTGGATGTCGCATTGTTTTCCTGTTTGTCAGATCCTGTAGGCTCCTCATCAACCTTCGCATTCTTCACTTCTGTTTCATCGTTGTTTGGTGAACCTTCGTTGCCTGCAGGGGTTTGAACGTTGGTATTCGTCAAGCTCGGCGTCTCAGTATCTATGGTACCTGAATCTGGGGTAGACATATTGCACTAAATCTATTATGCATCAGAAAGAGCTTTTGACAAACAATATGGGATGGCCTGCTACAGAAGATAGTTTCGGAGTAATAGGTTAGAGTGGATAGTTATGAGATGTTGTAGATTTAGTTGATGTCGCAAAGTTGATTAAATGTTGCTCACTTTCGGAAACCTTCGAAGTAATGCGCGCTAGAGCAGCAAAGTTGCCTCAGGTTTTAACATAAGACTTTCAACAGGATCAGCACGTGGTTGCACAAGCCAACAACAAGATGTGCTTAGAGATGTTACATGATTATTTGTTGGTCTATAATTAGCTGAGTATTTGTTTCATAGTACAATAATATTACATCGTTGCTAATTACATGTTGTTTCTCAACGTATGATATCTTCCGCGGATCTAATGACTTCCCTTGCTTTCTCAAGATCTCGCTCAATAGCGGGGTCTGACCCTTTTCCCTTTTCTGCCTTGTTCAAGTTTTCACCAACAATCGTTTCGACGTTTCTCACGGCTTTCCTGCCTTCTTCTCTGACCTCTCCTTCCCAGTATGCCCTTGCGGTTTCCCATTTTTTCTGCATTCGCCTCATACTCCATACTATCCCAAAGGCGGCTACAGCTCCCGCTTCATATATCGTGGTGGACATATTACTCACATACATGAGACCAGCAAGGGCTGACGTCATGGATGAAGTACTAAGAGTTTGGAGGACAAGCCTTTGTGCCAAGGCTTGGAGGGCAGGAATTGTAGTTGTAGATAAGAAAGCCCTAGCGATTGGAATGTGTAGAGGCCAAGGCTGAGGTATTATCTTCCTTGATGTATCTTCGTCCGCTGCGATAGGAATAACATCTCGGAGTTTTGGTGGAGGAGGTAGTCCTTCCGGAAGAGCCTCTTGAACAGGCGTGTAAGCCCAATCAGACTTCTGTATAGAGTCAGAAAGAAGAGGTATGTTTCGGTATACTCCAGCTTCTTCCGTCCGCCCGGCCAGAAATATGATTTCTTTCTCGGCCTCGGTTAAAAAGCTTCGACTCAACATATCAGATGTGATCATAGAAACATCATCGACACGCCAAAACAATTTCCACCATCCCAGCTTGCGCCATCTCTGACCTCCAAACGCAATGTCTAGTTGATCTCGAAGCTCAGTATGTGCGCGTTCAGACCACGTAGAAAGCGCATGACGGAGTGATGATATTTGGGTAGGCGGTATTTTGGTAGATAAAAGAAGGGACAATTGCCTAGCTTTTTCGGCTTCCAATTTCTTTTCCGCGTTTTGTATGATAGATGAGATTAGTCTGAGAAGAGGTTCTTTAATAGTATTATTATTAGAGGATGCGTCTAACTTCATCCAATCGATAACTTCGGGAATACCGCTCGACAACCACTGGTGCTCGTAGATCATCGCATTTTCAATGCTCTCACGGAATGTATGTAGAGCTTCATTGCCGGATTCAATATCAATAGACGGTATAGGAAGAGATTGTGATTCCGCAGTTCGAAAATTAGCAGCACTTCCAATAGCTTCCCGGTTTGCACCCAGAGGATATGAAAGCAAAGAAGCTGCTCCCATAATTCCATGCCCAAGAAGAAATGATTTGTGTACGGGTGTTGTAACCGGAGTGTAGCGGCCTGTACTGGAGGTTGGTATCTCCATTGTCGGTACCAAAACCGCTTCCTCGAAAAATCCTTGTTCAACGTTTGTCGGAGGGTCTATTTCCAGGACCAAAATCTCCATTTTATGCCCGTTGAACATTGGAGACGATATGTTCATTTCGTGTACCAATCTGCCATTCCGCTCCGAGCTTTCATCCTCATTATGTCCAACCCTTATCAATAATGGCCGGCCCATGCCATCGCAGCGCATTATACCCCGCTCCCATTCCTCCTCTGCCTTCAAAGGATCAGCTAAAATGAGCCTCAGGAGCTCTTTGGCCTTTTTAAGAGATGTCCCTCCATCTGCCAGTCCTAATATTGCAACTCTTATCGTTTCTTGACCTTCTGGTTGCTCTAGACCCCTCAATGCAAGTTGTAACCTGGAAATATTGACATAGTTCGTGGCGTATCTTTGTACCTCAAGTAATGCTTCACGGAGCGCATTGCGGTCTATTTTAGAGATTTTTCGAATTTCGTCATTATGTATAGAATGTACGGGAGCAGATGATGATTGCCGGACTTGTGATCGAGAACCAGGTAAAAGTTTGCTTTGACGAGGTTGACTTCGAGACCTCTGCGAATATTGAGATAGAGAGCATATTGGACATATATGCGCTTTTTCGAGATTACTCGGCGTTCCAAAAGATTTTGCCCATCCAGCTCTCGCCCTGGGTATTCGTGGAGGCATTATGGTCGAAGGAGGAAAAGAAAGTATCAAGATTCATGGGGAGCTTAATCTTTGAGATCGCGATTTTGAACCTTATAACTAAGGCCACAAATTAGGTGTTTCAACAGCAGCTTCAGTTACGTCACAGATGAGAGGAAAGAAATGTATATTTTCTGATAAATTAGATATTTCTGTCCCTTGAAAGTCATGTCAAGATCATGATTTATTTAAAGCCATTCCGCCGAACGCTCTATCGAGCTCGTCACCTTCTTGATTTGGTACCGCCACAGGTGTTTTTGCTAGACGTGAAGCATCGTTACTTGATACATCAACATCCATAAGGTTTCCACCTCCTACAGCCGTCTTCTTCTCTGGCTCCAAGATTCTCGCATCGCTATCCAGCCATCCAGGGGCTACTCTACGCTTTTCAGCCAGTTCTCTTGCAGCTATCGCATCTTCCCATGCCTTTAGCTCCCTGTCGGCATCGTCTTGAGCTTTCTGTATATAAGCTTGTAGTGCTTTGCAAGACGCAATTATTTCATCTGGGTGTGCTGCATGACCCGACGATGATACGACGTATTTGGGCTTGCCGTCGCTGGATGAGTCTGAAGCTATTGTGGATGATGGCGGTAGAGTCGAAGGGAGAGTCTTGTGTGTGTATGGAAGAGTAGTCGCAGTAGGCAAAGAGACGAACGGTGAGACTGTAAGCGGCACCTGTGCTAACAGAGGATGGGTACCTAAGAATTGTTAATTGTTTAACTTGCTCTATAGGTGAAGTTTGTACAAAGGGGCACTCAACGGTTGTCATTCATGATTAAATGGAGCTTTGAAAAAGAGCTATGACCAGTAATTTCGTATCAATGGCCGCCTTTCGATTCTCCGAAGTAATGATAGATAGATTAAATTAGATTTACCAAGCAACTGGAGCTTATCTTTTCCAAGGGAAGAAATTGAAATGTGTTCTCGAAGGTCGTCTCCAGTGTTGAGGAGCGTTCTTGATTACCCCTACCTGGAGGAGTTTTGACTTTGGAAATGTAGTGATTACCACATAATGCAGAAATTCTTATTACGTTCTTGAGGTTCAATGGCTCTTTGATGTACCAGTATATGTAGTAATACCAATATGGATATGACAAACTCGAGGGGAAAGACGATGTTCTGTTCTGTAACCTTAATCCGTTCTCGTAATAACAAGTTTAACAGCTGAGCTGAGCTGAGCTGAGCTGAGTTTGTGTGGATTCATAGGACCGGTGAATGGGTTGGGGTGAAAAGGTGGTCGAGGCTTAAAAATCCCCACACCCAAAATCGATTTTACTTAGGTAGGAGGGAGAGTGAATGGAGCCCGTTGGACCAGACCAAGTAAACTCTACCAAATTTTATCAGGAGGTTACCTTGTGTACTAGGTATAGGTATCCTTGGATTTGCCGCCTTTCAAACTTCATTCTCCAGCTTTAACCTTCCGGAACACAACAATCTGAACCCTTTTAAAACTTATCTGATTGTCAGCCTTGTTGACAGCTGCAACCTCAACTGCAACTGCAACTGCAACTCTAACTGCTACCACAAACGACAGCGACCTCAATATTCTCCGTCCTATCTTTTAAACTTCATTAGAACTTCTTTGGAGTCTTCGTTTGAATCTACTCAAATCTGCCCAGGAGCTGATGCAACTACACTACTAATTTCACGAGTTAAATTTGTACTTGCTTACCTACTACTTTAAGGGTCCAATTCGCCAGTGTTGCAACAAACTCCCCTTTCCCTCAGCCTCTTTTCGCCATCCGATTTCCTATTCTGATTGCGGAAATTCAGCTACGACTGATCCTTTTGTGACACTGAGGTCACCAATAAATTACATATTCCATCATTCTTTACACCGTTCGCCATCATGGACGGCGAGGACCAGCCTAAAACCCCGCTGACCCCACTTGCGCCAGCGGGCATCGAGAGCAGAATGCAAGTCGATAATGCTTTGCGGGCAATCCATCAGAAGAAACCTGTGCCAGAGATTGACTTTACTCTGCATACTATGGAAGATGGAAGTCAAGTGAGCACAATGGAAAGAGTTTGCAAAGGTATGGTTCAATCTAAGAAGTGCTGCCGTCGGTGAATGATGCTGATTATACATGTTTGCAGATGTACAAGCACCTGCTATGGTTCCGCCGACAGATCAACAGTTCTTCTCACCACAAGATCCATCCAAGCCAAATTTACAATTCTTGAAGCAACATTTCTACAGAGAGGGTCGCCTGACCGAGGAGCAAGCTCTGTTCATCCTTGAGGAAGGTACAAAAGTATTGAAGCAGGAGCCTAACCTTCTGGAAATGGATGCGCCAATCACTGTATGTGGTGATGTTCACGGGCAATATTATGACTTAATGAAACTTTTCGAGGTTGGTGGGGATCCTGCTGAGACCAGATATCTTTTCTTGGGAGATTATGTCGACAGAGGCTACTTCAGCATTGAATGTGTCTTGTATCTTTGGTCTTTGAAGATCTGGTACCCAAACACCTTGTGGCTACTTCGAGGAAACCATGAATGCAGACATTTAACAGATTACTTTACATTCAAGCTTGAATGTAAGCACAAGTATTCTGAAAGAATCTATGAAGCATGTATGGATTCATTCTGTGCATTACCTTTGGCTGCGGTTATGAACAAACAATTCTTGTGTATTCATGGAGGTTTGAGTCCTGAGCTACACACCTTGGATGATCTTAAGAGCGTATGCACGCCCATTATACCCTTTTTAAGAACATTATTGACTTAAATTGGCAGATTGATCGATTCCGTGAACCTCCCACTCATGGTCTTATGTGCGACATCTTATGGGCAGATCCACTGGAAGAATTTGGGCAAGAAAAAACCTCCGAATTCTTCATTCACAATCACGTCAGAGGTTGTTCGTATTTCTTCTCTTACCCTGCCGCATGCAGTTTCCTGGAGAAAAACAACCTCCTTTCAATTATTCGAGCACACGAGGCACAAGATGCTGGTTACCGAATGTACAGAAAGACTCGAACAACCGGATTCCCCAGTGTTATGACTATATTCTCGGCACCCAACTATCTCGATGTCTACAACAACAAAGCCGCTGTGTTGAAGTACGAGAACAATGTTATGAATATCAGACAGTTTAACTGCACTCCTCATCCTTACTGGCTACCAAATTTCATGGACGTTTTCACCTGGTCTTTACCCTTCGTCGGGGAGAAGATTACAGACATGTTACTTGCAATCCTCAGCACTTCCTCGGAAGATGAGCTCAAGGATGATCAAACTCCATCAAGCACTTCTCCGGGTCCCATATCACCACCCATCAATTCTGCAATGGATCCGGAATCTATCGAGTACAAGAGAAGGGCTATTAAGAATAAAATTCTTGCAATTGGTCGTCTTTCGCGAGTCTTCCAGGTTTTACGAGAAGAATCCGAGAGAGTTACTGAATTAAAGACTGCAGCTGGTGGTAGACTTCCTGCTGGAACTTTGATGCTTGGAGCAGAAGGTATCAAGAGCGCCATTAGTAGTTTTGAGGATGCACGAAAGGTTGATTTGCAAAATGAGCGTCTCCCTCCCAGCCACGAAGAGGTCACGAGACAAAACGAGGAGGGACGGGAGCAAGCATTGGAGAGGGCAAAGAGGGAGGCTGATAATGACAAGGGGCTACAAATGCTCTCCAGAAGGCTTAGCACGTAAGTCAAACTTGAATCCTATTCAGCCATTTTCTACTAACTGATTCTGTGGGTAGTGACCGTAAGAAATAATAAGGTACAAATATACAAGGGGAAGAAAGGAATTGCGGTCACATCAATGGCACTTTGGGAAGCTACCATGAGAATCGATTTAAGTCATAGATACATCTTGATGAATTGCGTACTAAGACGATTGATGAATTAATTGCACACAACGTCGAGTTCAAGTTTAATGTTCACTTTTGAGCCTGTGAATCCTTCTCTGTTCTTATTCTTCTTGGCGCGTGTATGTATGAATGATATTGGACAATTTCCAATTCTGTGCAAATTCGAATATCTATTATGAGTGCCATGCCACTCCAATATCATATGCGCACTTTGCTTGAGTACATATGGTAGGTCATGACTTTACCATTGCATTTATTTTCAGAAGTTCGCTTTCATCCATGCTATATCATAACAGTACCTTACCTTAATTTCTTTGGTTGTTTCGTCAAGTGGAATGAGTGAGTGCGGTTGGCTTTTGTGAATTAGTATGTAGTCTTACTTGCTTTTTGGGGGGGCGGGGGTTTCTTTGGGGGATTGTTTTTTGATGTTGTATTAGAGAGTAGAATGTGGGTAAGTAGGTAGATAGCTAGGTAGGTAGGTAGGTAGGTGGTGTTGTAATCTTTATGTTTGATTTTGTTTATTTTTGTTTGATGGTGGTGGTGTGGATGTGGATGTGCTGGGATTGGGATTGGGACTAGGTGAGGTAGTGAGAAGAATTCAATAAATTGATGAATGAGTGGTATGAGTGTGCTATTTATCTAGGTATTTGTTTACGGAATATATATCGTATATTGTATATTATATATTATATGAATAATGAGTGATAATGAGGTCTAATATCCAATATAAGAATGGAACGCACAGCCGCGTTGGAGGGTGTGTACATTAGAAAATACTAGATAGTTCGCAGGTTGGTATAGTAGAATCTTACAATTTATAATCTATTTTGGTGACCTGGTCTTCTGAAGGATATTCATGGGGTATGGAAGGTAGAGGAGGTGGGGGATTGATATAATTTTTTTGATTTTGGTTTTGATTTTGTACTTATTGGTTTGTTAATTGTTGGGGGAGGGGAATTTTGGTATGTAGGTTATGATCTGGGGCGGTGAGGAGGTGAGATGAAGATTTGAGGACCCAGATGAAGATTTGAGGAGCTGGGAATGCAAGAATGTGGAAGTTTTATGGTCATATTTTTTGCTTGCTATATGATGTAGATGTGAAGGTGGACATGGGTATGGAAATTGATATGGATATAGGTGAATTTGGGTATAAATGTGATGTACGGATGAATATGGATGTATTTATAGTGTTGCGTCATTTGTATAGCCCATTGTTGGCGGGGAAAGCTATGTGATAATTCAAGAAGTTCCTTCTCCCAAATGGTCATTGTATAGTCGGTATCATGATATAAAGACAATATGCTAAGTGTATGTGGTGATATGATGACATTAGGATGGGGGAAGTCTTTGCAGGTAGCGGGCGAGTTTATTTTCTGTAGTAACTACAACGCAAATTTCTATTCTTCATAAAGATACAGTACTTGATTGCGAAGACAAATAAAGGATTAAGGAAGGGAAACAGCATTGGTCTTGGTATTCCCTGACATTCTTTTCACAAGAGTCGTAACATTGAATCTTGTGAATATTGTTGTACATGCCCATAATTATGCCCTCCATCTTATAGAGAGATAACATCATTAGGGAAAACCTTGGGGGTTACATGTAACTAATCACTTTCAGATCCTCAGAAATACTTGATCGATTCATGGATTGACATCATACGATACTGATGAGTAGAAGAAACCATTTGTGGTGGCTATCCAAGAAATTGCAGCCAATTTGTGAATGGCCTATGATGATTCAAGTCCAAACAGCATTGCAGGTTTTTTTGGGGTAAAATTAAGAAAACCTGCTTCCAGTATTCGATGAAGAATCTCAAAGAACATAGAATCCATGACATCACGTATTTACATTCCAACAGCACCCACGAACAGAAAATCCTTTCCCAAAACCAGCTCTCAACTCGAGATCCGATCCGAGAAATCGCGGGGAAATATCGGAAAAACCTGGCAAGCGAACTCCTTTCCCGCTCCTTTTCCGTATAAAAGTCGCATTACATTAATCCAATGTTTGAAATCCTCATCTACAAAAGAAAAGAACCCGAGAAAATAATTTTCTGCTATCTTGAAATGGAGCTTATCGTCGCAATATATGCGAAAACCCGAGATCTTTAGAGAAATAAAAAGGTGGCCGTTCACCTCGCCTAAGTCGAAGAGCTCATCGAATCCTGGTATTGCGTGCTTAACACCTCGAGCCTTCAACTTTTGCAATATTGGTATTGTGTTTGAGGAACTCATTCGTAGAGACATATCAGATGAGAAGAAAGAGAGAAAGTATTATATATGGCTATTGCGGAGTATATTTCATCTATAATAAAGAAATTGAGAGAAAGGCCGGTTGGAGAAAGGGGGAAGAAGGGGGGAAGAAGGATATTGAAATTTCTGAACTTAGCGACGCGTCGCCCAAAATGAAGAATTATTTGTACATGCATACTACCTAGTAGCTAAGCTACTCCTTGTGGAACCCCCACTCGCCAGGGTGAGCAGCTCGGAAAATTTACAGGTTTGTAATGATTGATGTCTTCCCACCCCTCCATCAATTGTGACACTGGTGGTTTTTCACTAAAACGTGTGGCTGTATTGATGTATTCCCATTGCATGGATGATGTTTGCAATTTATTCAGCTTGCAGATTCGGGAGCTAGCTAAGAAGTAATGATGGGAAAAGTGGCATATATCGTTGGCCTCGGAACACCTCCGCAAGAAATGAAAGCTGCTAGCCGCTGTGTATACTCCACTCGTCAATTTTTTTTTAATCTGGCAAGACGCCATCCAAGGTTTACACCCAGTCGGAAATTTGTTCCTCGGGCTTAAGTAGTTACATGTTGGCTAAAGTGGGCTGGTTGAGAGGAGGTTCAAAAGTTCTTGGATCTCGACTTTCTTTGTCCTGTTCGAAAAGATTCAATATTTCGTAATACCTTTGTTTTTTTTCGGTCCTTTTGTGAGTAAGAGTGGTGGTTTGGTAACTGAAGTTTGCTAATTGCATGAGTATTTAAGACTTTACATGCAGACGGAATTGAGCGTACTTTCATGGTTCGAGAACTTCGTCTGGATCGTTCGTTGTCAGTCTGGAGTTTTTGTCACTCTAGGAGTTCGCCGGTGTCACGTCGCCACGATTCTGGAATAGCGAAACAAATTCCGCATATTCGCTACAGTTATACTTAATTTTCTTCAATTGAGACAGAGAGCAAGGCAACATATAAAAAGCTAGTTCGACATTCGCGGAACCATTGATCGAATCAGTCTATCTTTCCCCATTTCCACGTTTAGAAACATACTAAATCAGGAAATCCCACGCACATTTTCGCCTCCTCCACTAGATGCTGGTCTAGGGCGGTCCTTCTGCATGCCTGGGATCCATTCACCTGCGCCTTACAACGCCGCCCCCTCTCACGACCCGACCCTAGAACCTCTCTCCACGCAATCTCATATAGATAAGATCATACTACATAATACGCTCTACGGCCAATAGTCAGCCATAAATTACACATTTCCCACTCGTTGAAAATTGAGTTCCAGCTTGTGCTCGGGTCAACTAACGAGTTGTTGTGATAAATGCCCTAAAGATTGTGTGATCTCTGCACCTCTAATGTATTTTCTTTCGCCCTATCACACGTAATTGGCATAAAGATTTACAATATAAGAACTCGCGATGACGGTCACGCAGATATATCCTTCCATCGCTCCGCTGCCGATAACAGAATCAGATCTTCTGTACCATCCGCAACATTTCGATCCTCAATCGCAAATACTTTTTCAGCAGCAGCAGCAGGAACAACAACAGCAACAACAACAGCAACAACAACATTCATATCTAGATCCTGCCCTCGCTCAAAATGATCTCAGAATATTCACTCAAGGGCTGGCGCACAATCGGAGCTATGATACCCCACTAGCGCCATATCCTGCCTCGGATAGTAGTGATGGTTCGATAGATTTGTGTGGAGGAGTAATGAATTGGGTTAATGGAAGGAGTGCCAGTGAGTTCTTTTTGCTTGTGTCTTCGATATTGCGGGGCGGATCAACGGCCTGCAAGAGATGAAAAAAGAGCTTCTATTCTAGAAAGTGATGGGACAAGATAATGGCACTCATCAGTTCCCAATCTTCGTCGCAGAAAATTGTAACCCAGGAATTTCCAGATACTAACTCCCTTAGCTATGCCCACGGATCCATATATTTATAATCAATCCTCTCCATCGGCACCTCCGTATGCTCTAGCACTTACGCCACCCACACAATCGCTTTCCCCACGGGAACCGAATGCCAAACGCGATGCATCGACTGCAGCCTCGGCACGATTTCGCCAGAAAAAGAAACAGAGAGAAAAGATTCTGGAGTCGAATGTTAAGCAACAACAGGAGAGAATTGGGATGATGGAATGTAGAATAAAGGAATTGGAAGGCGAGAACGGATTTTTGAAGGAACTAGTAATGGGCAGAATTAAATGGAAAGAGGAGAGAGAGAACGAGGAGAGTAGCAGAGAGGAAGAAGAGAAAGAAAAAGACAGTCGAGAGACAGAGTAAATGGTGTATATAGCTACTCTGCTGCACACAAAGAAGAGCGTAGAGCGTGAACATGGCTTGAAGTTTTGCTTCACTGTGCGGAATCGTACAGCATTTGTCTGAGGATGGAGTACATACCGAAGAACTTTGTGAGACTTTCGTTCCTGGAATAGTCAGCCTGATGAAATCTTCCTAGGCCTTCAATGCGAATTTGATGTTTTTGAGAGTAGCGGTCCATATATTGAACGGCTTACATATACTCACTCACTTGAGACAAAAGACCAGATTCTATGGCAGCTTCGTTTTATTATAAACAGTCACAAGAGATGGAGTCCATGACCATTTCCATGATTAGACTCATCTAGGATTCGACTGTGACTTGCTCAAGTACCCAACCTCACTGACCATGAAACTTCTTCGGGTCAAAGTTTATCCGCGCGGCGGCATTTCTCCGGCATCAATTTCAGCCTTACGGGAACAATTCGAGGAATATTTATTTTTAGGGACTTCCTGCGAAACATAATATATACAGAGTCGAGCTAGAAGGGGCAGGAATCGCAATCTTGGAAGCTTTAGATACCTCAATTTCACTCTCCCCACTGAAAACTCAACATGCCTCTGTCAACTATACACTCGGCGCCAGCTTTGGACTCATTCACACCTTTAGTAGAACACCAAACGCAAACACCAAGCACATTTTACGATGCCAGACCTATATTACATTATCATGCTCAGGGTGCGCGCGCGGTTGCTTACGGAGATTATATAAAAGAACTACCGTTTTTTGCAGACGGTCCGGCGCAAAGTACAGAAGCTGCGGCAGTGGAGTTTGTCGATGCCTACATATCCACCGAGTAATTGTTCACCTCTCACCATTTCATTGCGCAAAAGCTGACTTTGGTTGTTGTCTAGGAACGTCACCATATTCAACAATGCAACTTCGGCTGGACTCGCAATTCCTTATACTTCCATATCTCTACACGCCATTCAACGACTGCCTGATCCTACTGATGCTTCAAAAGGTGAGGTGACTGGGTTGTTCATGCAACTGGAGACACCTCCTCCAGCCGGAGAAGATATACCATCAATCATCGAGCTGGTTCTTATTCCCGCTGAGCCGGATTCTACAAAACCCGTATTTGAGGCTTTGTCCAACTGTTCAAATCTTGTACCAGACGAAGAGGATGAAGATATGGAAGGAGGAGGCGCCGAGATTCAATTTGAGGGTAACATTGGATACGAAGGTATCAGTGGACTACCTGGAGTACAACAAGGAGCTACAGATGGTGGATTACCACCTCCATTTCCTGGTAGTGGTGGCTGGATTACTGCGGAAAATGTTTCGGAGTATTTTGATGCGGAGGGTAACTGGATTGGGGGTGAAGAATCCAACGAAGTCGAAGTACTTGGTGATGGTGCTGGAAGAGTAAGGGGGCATGATGAGATTGACGGCGAGACGGAGACAAATGGTCACAACGAAGGAGATGAGGCTAGTAAGCGCCCAAGGACCGATTGAAAAAGCAAAAAGGCAACGCATTCGATTTGCGGAAGTCCATATCGGAAATTGGAGCTGAATGATTGAGCCGACTCATGTGTCATGTCTCAATCGATAACAAGTCTCCTTGGCGGGAGATTGGGGCCTCATCAAGAGCTGCTCTGGATCTTTATTCTGGAGCACTAATGCCTTCTATGGTACGCGAAAAAGCTTTGCAAACAGATACCCACTGGGCCATTTGAAGGAACTCAAGTTATCAAAAATATTATAGCACGACGAGGCTATAGTGAATATAAAGCAATACAACATACATGCGTATTTGTACCTCTCTACGTGGTAATCAAAAATAGTATCCTGACATCCCAATATTCTACAAGGTTGACGTTCAATTTAATTCATGCTGCATTTAGCGAGTCACAGCTTTGAGTCGGGCTCTTTACAGCCAGGGTCGTTATACTGTCCTCCACTTGTTATTTTGTTGTCTTCGAAGTATTTCTGGGTTCGAACGGCCGAATTCGAATGATTTATGTTCTTTACTCGGTACTCTTGCAAAACTCCGACGCAGCAGGGCCTGGCAAGGCAGTATTCTTCCCTGCTTGATATGTTCAAATCCCTTCGCAGGGCTCACTCTTCAGCCACGATACACTTTTTTCTTCCCGGAAATTGCTATGACAGTCTCATTCAAGTATAATATTTGACACACATTGCACCGTCGGTCTAAAATATATCAGATATTGATACAAAAACACGAAAAATAAGTTAGTTTACATGGTCACCCCATCGACTGGCCCACGAAACCATTGACTTTTACTTGCAACCATACCCCTTACCGCGTCCAAACTAGAATTGCCTATAATATCGAAGACAGAAATGTTGGGACGGAATTCCTTTTTAAACCAACCCCTTAAACTGACCACCAGAAGCGAATCAACTCCATAAACATGGATCGGTCTCCTTGTATCAATACTATACACAGGAATACCCAGAGCACCCGATAGCTTGTTCAGCAATCCTGCTTCAACAATTTTGACGGCTTCGGGCAGGCTCTTAGCTTTAGATAGGAGCTCCGCATAGTCCAATTGCTTATTCGCAGCAGCCAGGCCAGAAGTGCTACTATCTTGCGATCCGATTGTCAGTGCTCTCCACAATGATCTTTTTAAGATCTGAGGAAAGCCTTTACCTTTCATTTTGCCATATCCAGGAGTGGCAACACCGACAACAGTTTAGCAATTCAGTTCGTTGATATCCCGAGCGGGGTTACAGTAGTAATCGGGTATTACGCATACACTGACTTGTGAGATTGGGATCAAGAAGCAGGCTGAGTCAAGCCCTTTCTCAACATTTTTATTTTCAGCCACTGTTCCCACAGATTCGATCTACCCAAGGTCTAGGGACACTGCCTTTTCACCTGCTGCGAGTCGAGCGCGGGCAAGCGCATCCATAAAGGTATTCCCTGCTGCATAGTTGGCTTGTCCTCCAGTTCCTACAACTCCAGTTATTGAAGAGTGTAAAAGGAAGAATTCCATCCCTTTTGGTAACAGCGAATGAAGATTCCGGGAGCCCTGGACCCGAGGCTTTATTGTTGTGCACCATTGATCGTAACTCATTTGTTCAAAGGCAGTCGACGCGAACTCCTTAACTTTACAAGTCTTTAAGCAGTTCTTGAGCTAGCCCAATCGGGGGACCGGAGTGGAGAGTAGAAGTAAATTATTAGCTTCCCTACTAGCCAGCCAACGAGCTAGGCTTCTTGCAAGACCTCCGAAACCTCCAGCTATCACGGATTCGGAGGTCGGATTCTTCTCCCGAATTCGTCACAACACTCGCATAACCCGCAATGAAGCTACTTAGAGCCCATATTCACTGCTGCTGACAATTGTATGGGTCCAATACAATTGCTTTGACCTGAATTTCTACTTCTTGAAATCCGATTTGTGTTTCCTTCTCGTCTTCGATCAAAATTGAGAATTGCAATGCGGTGCCTATATCAAGTCGAAGTGGCGGGGACTTTCCTATAGTTTGCAACACTGTATGCTGCTGTTTCGAGGTCTTTTGAACATGGGCATTTAAATAGTCAGCTGCGATGGCTCTGTTGATGACTATTTGATTGGCATTTTCGCGATACTCCTGATCCAAATTACAGACCTCTGTTGATACAACCTTCTCAAATACTCGGATGTTCCTTGTGATGGTTCCTGGACTGGCTTTATTTTCAAATGTGAGGGTGACGAATTTTTGGTCGCTGTACTCCGTTCTGAGAACACGAGCAGGTCTATTAATCATGTTGAATTTCGCTTCCGAGTCACTATGGCGATCTTCCTTTGCCCACAGTATGCCACTGCAAGTCGCAAGTAAGGAACGCACACCATAAAAGTCTGATTCGTCCAGGGATCCTATCAATGACGACTCGAGCTCAGCCAAACAAATGCAAAATTTGTTGGTTAAATCATGATTTGACAGCTCGGATAGTTGGAAAACTCGAATCGTTCCATATCCTTAAGAGCCAAGCTTGTTCATCAACTCTTTGGAAATAGCTGTATTGGCCTGTCCGTTTTCTGCAATAGTCACAGCCTCTGGCAACATTGATGTAGTAATGTCCTCAATGGCTGTAGAAACGATAACACTGCATACCTGGCTTTGAGGCTCATCGCAGTCATTGACGGCTAAATCTGTTCCTGAAAAATCGTTGCGACGTAGGACCTTGTCCCACTCGTCACTAGAAATTCAAGACTCGAAGAGCGGTACTCGTCTGTGTTAAGCTACCATCCTGGCAATGTGCCAAAAACGAATTGAGGAGCCCAAGAGTTCCCGGTGATCTCGATTAACACATTTTCCACTTTTCTTGAGCAACTTGCGTGCATTGCGAACCGTATTATCAAATTTCTCAGTGGCATGGAGCACATAAGCAGCTATGACGAGATCATGTCCTCCTACCTCGCATCCCTGTCCTCCTGGGTCGATTGAAGCATCCAAGAGCAAAAGTTGAAACTTAGGGTCTTCATTTTCGAACTTCTGCCTAGCAGCTTCCAAAAATGATGGGGAAAATGTCTGTGAAATCGTACTCCGAGATTGCACTTGTAGTTTGCTTGTCTGCTCCTCTGATAACGGCAGATCTCTGAATATGATCGGTGATAGATCCGTGCCTGCGCCAATCTCGATGACTTTTAGCCCAGGACTTTTGTAAGGTATTAATTCGACTACACAAGCTAGCGTTGTCTTGACTTTGATGTTTACTTCTTGAGAATATCTTGATGCTAGATCCGTCTGGGAGAGGATATCTAGGGGGTCAATATTTCCTTTGAGGATATTGACGATATTCCTTCCAGGCTCAACGAACATTTTCCCTTCGGCATTCACATTTTCCAAACTGTTCATGATCATATCAATTGCTTCAATCTCAGCGGGACCCGTGGGACTTTTTAGATCGTATTGCTGGTCTGTTGGAACCTAAGCTCGCAGTATATCCATTTATCCATTGAATATACCTTTGATAATGTGGTCTTGTGCCGTCCAATTCTGTCGAATCCACCTTTGCTTGAGTTTCAAGACTGAAATGAGTTAACGATAGAGACATGTCTTCATAACACTGCGAGAGATCCTTGGTCAAAACACCTTTTCGGCAGTATTCTCTAGCCATGGGTTGGTCTAAAAAATCGATATTAGGCTTCCAGTCAATTTGGTAGCAAAGCTTCTGCTTGTTGATAATTTCGTCTTTGTTGCTCCCAGAATACACAAATGTAGTTTCCAAACCGGAAGTAGCCACCATACCTTCTTCAGTATCACGATCGACAGCGTACGCCGTGGAATTATTACCTCGGGATATAGCCTCATGGACTTTGCCATACACGCGAATAGTGCCAGTCTTTGGATAGTTAAGGCCGCTGCCTAAAATCCAAAGTGACGCCACGCGGGTAGGAACAGCTGTTGGTGACTTATTTTTATTTCCTTGGGTGAGAGAAACTAGTATGGTTTGAAGCATAGCGTCCAATGTAATAGGATGGATAATATGATCTTGGCGATGGTTTGAATCATCCACAGCTGTCCATCGAAATGCTTCAACGTCCGCGCAAGCTTCTAAATTTGGCCCTATAGAGATTTTGTTCAAGGACTGGAGAGTAGAGCCAAATGTTAACCCCGTGGCCTCAAATTTCTTGTACATTCGATCCGGTTCTATGGTTTGATTGCATCTCGTAACGCCCGCTTTAACCGCGTCTTTGATCATACTGGCTTTGGAACTCAAATTTGGGTTTAGGCTTTCTTCTGACGACTCATATTGAACTTGTATCATTCCATGGCAGTTCTCCCATCGTTCGTTTTGCAGTGTAGACAACGAGAACTCTACAAACAGGGATGTCTTTTCAAATTTGTCCTCTAATGGAACGATATGAAAAACTGACTCAACCCAGAGATCATCAGATGCAACGCGCAAGGGAGCTGGGAAGGAGGTATCCTTAATCAGGTAGCCTTTTATGCTCTTACCCAGACTGGCAATTTTCATTGCAGCTTGAATCGCCATCACAAGCATACCAGCGGCTGGGTATATTGTTGACTCATTTACTACGTGGTCTTGAATCCATGGTGTCTCTGAAATCCTGGTTATTTTTCGCCATTTCATGCCTTTAGCATTTGAACCCAAAATTTCTGTTCCCAGAAGATCTAAACGAGGCTGTTTGCGAAGTCTATAATTCTTTCCGAGATCACTGTCGTGCCAATGCCGAGTAGAATGGTCGAAGGGATGTGAGGGTAGATCTACCAAGACTTTTGGCTGACGATTTTATCGATCATATTGGCCTTGATGATATCGACAGGGTATCCGAGACAGGTCAAAGATCCAACAGCATTTAGCAAGGTATTGATACCATTTGACTTGCGCTTCAGCACCGAGCCATAACTCACTTCTTTTCCATTGGCTATTGTAGCAAGTGTGTCCTTGATGGGACCTTGAAGAGCGGAATGGGGCCCTATTTCGAGGAGATTGAAAAGTTGACGCTTTTCGTGTTGTCCAAAGTGGATATAATTTTTGAAAGAGCAGGAATATGAAACGGCCTTAATCAAGGCTTCTGAAAATCTGACTGGAGACACCATGTTTCGCACCCAGTATGATGCTTTCTTGAGCTGGTCGGATTGTACTTCACATCCTGTAACAGAGGATATCATAGTGATCCGCAGAGAACTGTCCATCTATCATCGACAAATTATCTTTCGGAAATCTGATTCATATGGCTAGAGTGATAAGAGATGGGGACTTTAAGTTTTCGGTTGAACACTCCTTCTGTGTCTAACCTCTGCTTGAGTTTGTTTATGGGCCCCTCGTTACCAGAAATTGTGACGCTTTTAGGACTATTGATGGATTGCCACCACAACATGTACCGGACAGTCTTTTAGCAGTGACTCTGTGTAAGCCATAGCCTGAGTCTCTGATAATCCTGCGGCAAGCATAGCACCGTGTTGAGATGTGTCATGCGCAAGACCTTCCGCCAACTTGCCCCGAAAGTATGCCACTTTACAAGCTGACAACATAGAAAGTGCCTCCGATGCATAGGCAGCGGCAGTTTCTCCTGAAGAGTGGCCGATAACAGCTGCTGGAAATACTCCAAAACTGTGGAGGAGATCCACTATGGCAACCTGAATCGCTGTGCATATCATCTGGCTCATTTCTGGATTATTGATCTTCGAGGCTTCGTCATCTTTCAGCAGCTCCTCTAAAAGTGACCACCTGCATCCAATATTGCTAAGATGACTTTCAAACATCTTCAGCGAGTCATGGAAAATGGTGTATGCCATCAATTCATGACCCATCTTAGCATATTGCGCGCCTTGACCTGTGAACACTAAACCAAGGCCTTGCTCTTTTCGGCATCGTACTGGTTTTGACATTGTATCTTTGAGGTTTCGGAGTGCCAAGACTGAGCTTGAAACTGGGAATGATTTCCAGTTCAATGAACTCTTTCAAACTGCCAGTCTATATGCAAGATCAGCCATATAGGGCGAGTTCTTGGATGTTTCGTCCGTGAAATCGGAAAAATGCTCAGCAAATTCTCTGGACACCCTATCCACTCCCTTCTTGTCTGAAGTAGACCAGACGAGCAATTTCGGAATATCAGTGTTGGATGCTGGCCGGATGATAATTTGGCTGCTTCCAGATTACCATTTTACCGAACTTTCCGGACTTGATTCTCGAATAGAAGCTATATCATCCCATTGGCCGATGTGTGGAGATAGCATCCCGGGCAAAGTGGGCGAGATAACACTATCGACACTGGGTCGAAAAGTTGCCGTCTGGTGTTGTCCAGAAATACCACGCATATTCATGAAGTTATATGCATCGTCGAGAACAAAATGAGCATTAGAACCACCAAACCCAAAGGAATTGACAGAAGCTCTTCGCAGACCATCTACAGGCCATGGTATGCATTCTTGGGGAAACTGATTTATGATCAGACAGTGATTCGAGAGAAAGATGTGACTTGGCTCACTGCTAAATTCAACTTTTTGGCATCGATTTTGGGATTGAACTTCTCAAAATTGGCATTTGGAGGTATGTCACTTTTTTCCAGAGCAAAAATGGTTTTGATGAGGCCAGCAATTCCACTATCCCCTTCTAAGTGACTAATGTTCGATTTCAACGCGCCACTAGGAAGAGTTAGTTTCTAGGAAGTAAGCTAAGATACCAGTTGAGCTTACACATATATGGGGTTGGTAGATGATCTACCCTCTCCTAAAACTTGGCCAATTGCCGATGCCTCAATAGGGTCTCCCACTGCAGTTCCAGTTCCATGAGCTTCGAAAAAGGTAGTGCTATGAAAGTCTAGACCAGCTGTTTCATAAGTATTCCTAATCAAGCCTCTTGTGCATCCTGACATGGAGTCGTGAGGCTGGATGTTTTTCCATCCTGGTTAGTCTCAGTGGCACGAATAACGGCACGAATAGAATAGCCATGTGCTATAGCGTCTGACAGTCGTTTCACAAAAACAACGCCACATCCCTCTCCTCTCCCGTAGCCATTTGCTCGGGAGTCAGGTGACACAAGATTCAAATTTGGCAGAAGAAGCAATTGTTCTACGGAGGAAATGATATTTGATCCACCCACGATAGCCATAGAAGATTCTTTAGTCCGCAGACTTTGGCATGCAAGGTGTAAAGCTACTAGACTGTGGAGCAAGCTGTGTCGATATGCATACTTGGACCTTTCAAGTTGTATTCCCAGCTAAACCGATTTGCGAGAATTAAAAATGTATTTCCAGACGCTGCGTGCTTAGATAATCTTTCTGGGTCCTTCAAGGACATTATTCGAAAGTCATCGCAGAATGATGCACTAAATACTGCTGTTTTCGATCCATTGATGAATTCTAGTGGTGTCCTAGCTGAAGATTGATCATATTTGAAACAAAATTTGGCCATTAAAGAATGTACATACCATTCTCGAGAGCGCCATATGAGACCTCCTGTATCAACCATTGTTGGGGGTCCATGGAAGCGGCTTCTGCTGGTGATATCGAGAAAAATGGTGCATCGAAAGGTACCTAGGTCCTGCTTAAGAAAATGTGCTCCCCGGTGAGTTGTCTTGTTAATTGTTAGCAGTAGCTTTCTGTCTCACGGAATAAGCTCACTGTGTCGAATCTAGCTTTACCTGCATGATAGAATGCGTCTATATTCATTCTACCTTTTGGTATCTCTGTCATTGTGTTCATTTTCTCTGCCATCATCTTCCAGAACGCCTTAGGTGAAATAGCATTTTCGGGGAATTTAAAAGACAGACCAACTATAGCTAATAGCTCCATAATATCAGATTCAGATTGGAATGAGTGTTATTGGAAAAGATAATGTGGTGTAGGTAAGGGATTGAAGTCATTGGCTGTCTCATCGCGGATTTGGAAATTCTTTTGAAAGTTCGACAGGTTGAATATTTATTTTGAGTTGTCTTAGCAATACAGTTGAAATCTACAAAGGAGTGTATAGAAAAGAGTATATCATGTGCAATAGCGAAACATGAAAGAATACAAAAGTTGTACTCAACTTTTATCAACAGATGTCCCAGGAGAAGCGAGAGAGCTGGTCGAACATCAATGGCGAGCGAATATATTACATAAGTGTAAATTCACTATGCGTGGGGTCCATGACCGAAAAGGCACGGAAAGAACTGCGACTTACACTGCAAGCATAGCTCAACGTTCTTTCTTTAGTAACAAAGATAGCCTCGTAGTATCTTCACAATAATAATACTTGACTAGGTTTGGATTAATTTGATATCGGACTAGTTTCCTGATAGGGTAATAACGTAATCATTCGGTTAAACCACACATGATATGCACGTGTCAGAAACGGGACGCCCCAGATTGAGGCACAGTGACACGCCAACCATGGATTCTGGCAGATCATTTAAATGTAATTATGTCAATTAAGTTATGGGGGCTGACATTACGGGAGGTTGCACTGCATATATACTATGCCCCGCATTAGCACATTAACTTCACTTCCACGCTATGCAGGTACATACAGAGTATGTACGATTATAAATAATCGGCACTACTTAATTTTACTCCCCCTTAAACGCAGAGCCCAGCATTTGTCACAGTTGTCTTTCTGGCGCCCAGGTTCGCCCATCGAAGTTCAAGTCAACCTAGAACTCTCGAAGGATTCAACATCCTCAACTTTATCACCTAAATTCATCTTCCATCCATCACAAATCATCATGAATCCTACAGTGGTAATTGCTCCTGGCGCATGGCCATTACTTGAATTCTTTCAACCCCTCATGCAAGCCTTGGAATCTCGTCACTACCCTGCCGTTTGCAAGATCCCATCCTCCTATCCGACAGAAACCGAGACGTTGCAACCAATGAACCCCGACTGCAAGCATCTTTGTAAAGAAGTCTTGAAGCCTCTAGTGTATGAAGGAAAAGATGTTGTTCTTCTCATGCACTCATATGGTGGTGTCTAGTAAGCTTGATCGGTTCATTCAACTTTTTGTTCTTAATATCTGATTTTGTTCCCCAGTCTCAAGAACAATTAATTGTTTCCGCACAAATACCCATTTTTGCACCAACTCGTCTTTTTCCTCAGTGAACTCCGAAATATTCTCTTGTTAGATAATGTTGACTCCTCGACCTTGCAGTGGTGGCTCGGCAGTTGAAGGTTTGAGTAAGACAGAACGAGCTGCCAGTGGTAAAGCTGGTGGCATTATCGCCTTTATTTTCTGCGCCGCCTTTACAGCTCCTAACGGAATGACGCCAATTCAGGTCATGGGTATTGATCCTGAGGAACTACCGGATTGGATTCATCATGATGTAGGTCACATGTCACTTCTTGCCGCTTTCTCTTGTACCATCCATTCTCAGCACTAGCCACCTAAGAATTATATTTCCTTTCCATAGCAGTCAATATGTCTGGTATACTTGTACTGACAGCTCAACTCTAAAACAGAAAGAAACCGGCCTAGTCAACCTTACCAAAGCCTGAGAAATGCTGTTCCACGATCTCCCAGACGATGAAGCCGAGAGACTAGCCAACCTTCTGCCAAAGCAGCCCTATACTTCCTTCGCGACGCCAGTATTGTACGATCCTTACAGTGATCCATTATACAAGGGCAGATTAGGATAAATTTTCACGGAGGCTGGCCGTATGCTTCCGTTGGCTGCACAGGAAATATATGCTAAACAGGCTAGAGCAACGGAGACTTTTGTCTTAAAAGGCTAGAGCCATTCTCCTCATTTGAAGAGGGCGGGTGACTTGGCGGATGCTACTATTGAGATGGTCAAGAGAATTATGCAAATATAGCGGAGACTTCCATAGTGGACAGTTTCTGAGGATCTGGTTTTGCTTTAGTGAGTTTAGTTACTTGGGGTTGATCACTACGTTGCCTCGTGCAGTGATAATCCAGAATTTAATATTCGCCCTTTTTCTGTATTTCGAAGTTATTACCACTAGATATGATTACAGTAATATTAGATGAAGGCTCTTAGCTCCAGTAAAAGATTATTTATTCTAATATAAGCTTATTAAATATATTAGTTTTATTAATCTTATATAAATTTAATTTATATATAAATATTCTCAATTTTTTCCATTTGAATATTAATTAATCTATTTCACAATATAATACATTTAGAAATAACTAAATTGATTTCGGAATCTTGATATTATATAGTGTTTTATAATATCAAGTTAAAAGTAGTTCAATTTATATATAAATAACTGATTTGAAACTTTGATTAAATGTCACGGTGTATACGAGATATCGACACTGAAGTGATCAGAATTAAAAATACCTAGGTATTTAGTTATTGACAATGAGAATGATTTTACTATGAGACTAATTCATCTTATATATACTATCGTTTTCGTGGAATATAGTCATCACCTTTAAATATAATCACATAATCAACGCTTCCTGTCACGATATTTATCTAATAAAATATTCGAACCGTGACGCCTCATCTTTCCTCCCGTGGAAAAGTTGAACAACTTTTCCACTAATACAGTTTGTCTATCTATATCCGTTACATTTACCATGCAAATTTCCTTTTACAAAAAGAGTTCCAAAAGCCTCATCTTTCTCCTTTTTGTACTCGGCTCATGAAAATTTTTAGCTTAGTCTTCAACACACTCATTACCACTCTTCCCAGCTGTCGTTTTCCCGATTAGGAAATTCCAGAAAGTATGATTCACATAGCTAAAATTTTGAAGTTTTCAGAAATATCTTGAGGTATTACTATAAATGAGACAAATAAATTTACTTTGATCAATACACACAAGTCGAGATCCGTCTCTCAAATCTGCTTCATGAGTAACTTTTTTTTTGAGGGGGGATCGTATAGGGATTATATCAACAGTTGAGCTTTTTGATTTCAGGCAGTCTATTAATCTTCTTCTATTATAGATGTCAAAATTAATTAGAATAAAACGGCGATAGAAGAGAAACTAGACAGTCAAAGATAACCTCAAGAATTGTACACAAGAGTAAAAATCAGACAAATAAATATCCCATTTATCTAAAACGGCAAAAAGTATCCATATGAATGAAACCCCTCCACAAATATCTCACTCATCAAGTCTAAAAAGACTCCTTTGCTTTAGACGGACCAAATAAGTATTATCATCAAAAATATAAATTAGTATCCCCGATCTCGCCAAAACAATCCTTCTATCCCACATTTCCTTTCCTTCGAATTCCCCATACATATACTGCATCTCCATTTCTTCACACCTTTCAACCTCTCTCCCCTCAAACCTATGTCTAATCAATCCACCAAATCCACTGACTCCCCGTCATAGCCTCGTCATACATATGCGGTAACCTTAATCTCCAGAATTCACGCCTAGAATCCAGATACTTCTTAACAGTATCATATACCGCTTTAAATTTTTCCGTATACCCTCCAATATTATCTTTCGCATACTGTTACACTACAACCTATATAGCACCCTCCACGTTACGAGTGACCAATTCCGACAAAGCGAACCTAGAGATAGAAAAGCAGCTCGAATTGTAACGACTGAACATATGACATCATTTCCAGCAGCAGGATTAGCAAGATAGAGACAGAGATGAGTGATTTCTTCATTATTAGATTACGATGTATACATATGGAAGACTCCCAAGACCGTAATAATCAGTAATTAGCTACTACTACTACTACTACTACTACTACAACATACGTACCCTTCTAGTGCTAGCCTACACGGAAGGAAATCCCGATGTAAATCCCGGAGGTAAGAGGAGTAGATAAAAATATACATTCCAGCGGTAAAATATCATAGACCATAGCTAGAATTAGTCGGTATGTACCGTCGAGGACTGGATTAGTTCAAGGGGAAAGAGAATATATCATATCATATAAGCGGATATTGGAATGGGATTTCTGGCAAGAGCTCGAGTGGGGGATTGATATATGAGGCGGGAGACGAAGATGAAGATGGAGATGGAATAGAAAGGGAATACGGGGTTAGAGTGATATTTTCTTTGGTGTTTTAGAAGGGTTTCCGGAGGTGAGGCGTTGGATGTTATATTTGATAAAAGCTCGAAAATGGAAAAGTGATTGATCGATATAAATAAAAGTAATAATGTAATTGAAATATTCAAATACTAAAATAATTTGACTTGAAAATAGAATTTCTGATTATAAGTATTAAGTACTAAAGGATTCCGAGAGGGATATCTTGAGATGTCGAATTTTTGATCGATAGATATGGTGTGAAATGATCGAGTATTGTGATACTGAGATTGCCTTGATCAAAGTAGATGGTGTGATGAGGAGGTCGACCACCGGGTATTGAGCAGTAGAGACTAAGTTGTTGGTGTTATAACTCCAAATCTTACAGTCCAAATATTCAGACGATAATGTGGCCAGGGAATTCATTCCTCGATTCTTCTAAGTACAATAATCATTCATTTATATTAACTGATATCTAATTTCATATCAAAAATAACCAAATTATATAGTTTTCATCCGAATGTTCTGATATAATAGAAACATTGATAATTAAATTCTTCAAGCTTTAAGATCTGTTAAGAAAAAAAGATTTCATTCGCGCTATACTTAAAAACAAAGCTCCAAGGATATCTATCACTTTAACTACCATACACCTAACGTCAGTCACGCCTAGATCTAAAATCTATCCGTATTCTCCCCCTCTATTATGCTTTCTTCCATTTCTCTCCCGACATAATTGGACCAATAAGTTCAACAAAATATGATTTTCCTTTACCTATCTTCACCAACAAACTAGGTACTCTCCAACCCATGAGCTGTCCAACGCCACCTGCACTTCCGATTGGTACAAAAATCGTCTCTTTCAATGGTTTGAATTCCTGTTGTACAGGATAACCATCCGAACCACCTAAGAACATTTTCAACAATGAGGCTAGGTATCCCGAAGCTGGAGCGGCGGGTTTCTTGATATCGAGATCTCCGGAAATATCTACCGCTAATGAAGAAGACAATGTTGTAATCATAGGGTCGACTTCCATAGCTAGATTGGAACTACCGGCTACGATGTCTCCTAATGCATATATACCCTTTACATCATCCGACCCGGCTCCTTTGACGCGGAAGTATGCATCGCGCGTGATCACTCGTCCTGTTTCATCGAGCCAAGTTTTAGGTAAAAATTGACTGTTGGCGCTACCTCCTGTAGCGTCGATATATATATCGACCTCACGAGAGCTACCATCGCTAAGTTCAAGGGTAGCAGGTGAGGCGTCAGGTTGTGCCGGGTTGGTACTTGCGACGCGTACATTGTGTATGACTTCTACGCGCATATTTTCGAGATAATCTTGGGCTCGTACACTTGTTGCTTCTTTGATCCTGGGCAGAAGCCTGTTTGCTCCAGAAAGTAGTGTTACTTTACAGTTGGGATAATTTGAAGCTATTTCTCCAGCTGTTTCGACACCTACTGGTCCTCCACCGGCGATCAAGACGGTTTTTGCATTTGGAAGTGTGGTGTTTAAGGACTCCAGGGCTTTTTTCGTTATGGATTCATTTCCATGAAGACCCCATAATGGGGACTTTGAGGTTGTGCCTGTGGAAATGATGAGGGAATCATAATGAATTTGTTGCGTATCGCCTGTTTCGTCAATTGATACAGTGACAGATCGTTTTGCGGGGTCCAAAGCTGAAGCAGTTCCTTGGATTAATTCGAATTGGGAAGCATCATACTGGGAGAAAGCCTCTGACAAAGGTCTGAAAATCTTCTCTTGTGGGATTAATGTCGAATTGATAAGAGCTCTGGGGCTTGCGATTTTAAAGAAGAAAGAAGTATTTGGCGTAACGAGTGTGATATGATAAGACTTGGATTGGTCCAGGCGCTGAAGCTGAGGTAAGGTTTGACGAAGCAAATGATGAACAGCATTAACACCTGCAAAGTTTCCACCTAAGATGACGATTTCGTGAGGACTGGGGTTGGATGGCATTTTGAATGGATTTGTGACGGTGGGATGGTGAAGATGTTGAGGTCGAATTCTGGAGATTTGTTAGGATAATCGCTATAGAAATTTGGGGTCTGTGGGTCGATATGGAGTGGATCGATAGCTGGCTGGCTGTCTTGGTTGTGAAGAAAGTCGTACATACCTGGTATTGCACCGAATGAATATCCTTTGATTGATTTTCTAGGTGATGAAGCACTTGAGGAATTTCAAGACAGAATTGTTTTTGAGGAACCGAATGGATTAAAGTTGAAGGTGTGAAGGTGTGAAGGTGTGAAGGTGTGAAGGTGTGAAAGTGTGAAAGTGTGAAAGTGTATCCGCTCGGGCTCGATCAAATTAACAGATGTCGCCTTATGTAAGTCTTACTAGGTATTCACTCGAGCATGAAATTTAAGCTCCTGTACTTTTTATTACCTCTAAACAACCAATTTCAACATCGCCCATCACATCATACTGGATGATAATTTGTCAATAATTGTCATCAGCAGTTAGGGGATTACAAATGTTTCTCGGTCTAGTGATAAAGCTGCGCATTTAGACACACATCCTCATCGTTATGTTGGCAAACTGTTGCCGCAATCTTGATCCAATCAAAAGCATTTCCGCTGAGAAAGAGAATCATAACATGTACCTAGGATTACATAATTTCTGCCAAAGCAAAAAGGGAATTTGCTGAGAAATTCAGCATCTGCTTAATAACATCTTATCTAAAGGAAAAGAAATACAGTCACAACAAATCTTTTCGCAAAGAGAATCGGACTTTTTAATCTTCTATCGGAATATCTAACATCCGATAGGAATAGGAATCTCAGGTTATTCATAAATATGATCGGGAATTTATACACTCCGAACCCTAACCAATTGTTGATTCTCTTCTTAAAGGGGATTAGTGCGAGTTCTTACCTGTGAATTTAGACGTCAAGGTTATCAGAAGAATAACCCATCTCTGCCCTAAACAGATTGAAGAGTGCATCTCTGGGGGTATGTAGACGCCGTACGCATGATGATCACGTGAAATGCCACGTCGTTTCTCTACTCGTGACTGATCCACCCCCATTTATATACCTATTCGTTCATTCATCTTCCATTCAACAATTCGACGTCATCATCAAATCATTCCATACTTCCCCTATATCCCTACATCTCATTCATAGACAATGGCTACTGAAACCGAGCTCTCACTTTTCTCCAACGATTTAATCTCAGAGGAATGTCAAAATTCATTACCTGAAGGCTATAAATTCCGTGCTCTTCAACGCTCCGATTTTCATCATGGTTATCTAGGTGTTTTGCGAGATCTTGCATATGTTGGGCCCATCACAGAAGAACAGTGGGAGGAGCGATTTGATGCAATGAAGAAGTGTGAGGATACTTATTATGTGTTGGTAATTGTGAAAGAGGGTGGTGATGAAGAGGTTATTATGGGAACGGGTACACTTGTCGTGGAGATGAAATTGTGAGTACACTTCACATCTTAGACTTCTCTAGGAAATAATGCTTGGAATTTCTAACAATATTTATGGTTGAAGCCTGGGAAATCTGGGTTTACAGGGACATGTAGAGGATGTGTGTATTTCTGCAGATCATCAAGGACAGCAATTTGGAACGAAACTTATCAAGGCGTTGGATCATATTGCAGCGGAAAGAGGCTGTTATAAGGTGCGTACATTTCTTCCATTGCCAAAACTTGGAATACAGCAGTTGCTGATTTCTTTCCAGAGTATACTTGATTGTGGTGAAAAGAAGAGAGCTTTTTACGAAAAGTGTGGCTATGAAGGGAGAGGTTACGAAATGCATCATTATCACGACCTTGAATCAGAGGCTGCATTGAATGGAGTTTGAGCTGAAGCTGTATACCCTCTCAAACCTAATGTTTGCTTTTAAAATTTTGGTGGCAGCAGGCTTGGCTCAAGATAATGGTGTTGAAATTTACTTCCTAAACGCTCTACTCTTTTCTTTCCAACTTTTATCATTACTGTTTGACGTATCCAAACAATTGAAACAACATCTCGATATCACCATCAACAACAGCATATTCGTCGTCAAAACAGGATTAGATCATTCCTTTGTTAGCTAGGTACCCAATACCAGCCTACAATCATCCTGACAAATCAACCAAATATACGACTTGTCCCAATTGCCCTTTCAGAATCTTACTGGAAAAAGCACATTGATGCATTAGCTTGAACTTCCCAAACTCTTAAAATCTTAGCTTCATGAGGCATTACTTCCACAGTGTATGGAATATCATAAAGACCCTCCTTATGTTTCCACAAATCACGAATTCGATAATGATCCCAAGTCATAAGAAGATCCCGACGAGGACTCAAGCTCATTTCCGCAGTGAAACTTCCTCGATTGAGTAATGCGACGGCATAACTCCCATCCGACATTTCTTTCGCATATACTTGAAGATCACCATCAGCTTCATAACCCACGCCAACTCTTTGAGCCGATATTCCAAGTGGATCTTGGTTTATTTCGATAATCTCTTTATTTGTGAGGGTTTGAAGATCATATGTATCCAGTGTGCGTATATCGGAGCCAATAAGCAGAGGAGAGGCAACCATAGCCCACATACTGAAATGAGTACGATACTCAATATTCGAAGCACCAGTTCCGACCAGTTGAGTAGAATTTCCATTGAGACCGATAATTAGCATATCATAATCATTCCAATGACCGGGCCCGGAATATTGCACTAAGTCATTCCCTCGATCAATCATATCTAATACGTCGAAATAGTACTTTTCCCTATTTCCAGGATAATTGAAATCGTCAGAGATATCCTGTCCAATTCTCCATTGATTCGCTCCCTCATCCGCGGCCCATTCCCAGATATCAGCCCAACCACAATGACACGCATGGTATACGATTGGACGACCACTAGCCAGTAAAGCTTTTGACATTTTCAGCACAATTTCCTGTACTACTGATTTCGGCGCATCACCATGAGAACAACAACTAATTAGAAGAAATTAGAATCAGAAACACCCCATCAAAATGACGCCTAGAAAACTTACCTATCATATTTCAAATGATCAACTCCCCACTCAGCAAACATCCTCGCATCCTCCTCCTCATGCCCCAAACTCCCCGTATACCCCGCACACGTCACATCACCAGGACCGGAATAAATACCCAATTTAAACCCTCGTTCGTGCGCATAGTCCGCTAGTGCTTTTATGCCGTTTGGAAATTTTACAGGATCGACTTCGAGGGGATAGGATGAGCGAGGACCTTTGTAGCGTTGCCAGCCGTCGTCGAGGTTGATGTATATGTATCCGGTGGCTTGGAGTCCGTTGTGCAGCATGCTGTCTATGGTGCTTTGGATGAGAGATGAGGTTATGAGGGGCCCGAATTGGTTCCAGGTGCTCCAGCCCATGGGGGGTGTAAGGGCGAGGGTGTTGGTGAGGGGATGGGTTGTGGGGGAGTTGGGGTCGCTGGGGTATGGTTTGGTGGTTGGGGAAAGCGAGGTTGTTGTTGGGGAGAAGGAGGAAGAGGAGGAGGAAGATGTACTGAGACCGTGAACGAGGGTGAGATGTATTGTTTGCACGGTCAAAAATAGTAGTGTTGGGAAATACATTGGTGAGATTCTTCTTTCTCGATCTGAGTAATCTATAAGAAGCTTATGCAACTAAACATCCACGAACAACTTTTAAAACCTTTTCCCGGGAATCTTTCACAATTTAAATCACTTCATCAATATATTCATTGACACGAAGTCACACATATATGTATACATACCTAGTATGTAAATCCCCACAAACTACAAAGTACCTACCTAAAAGACCCATCACATCAGCACCACACACACACTCTATCCCCTCTCTCTCTCTAAACCCTCAAAAACACCCACCACCACCAACCCAAATCCCAAGCCTCTACAGCACATCCAAATCCTTGGTATTGATTTTTCTGCAGCCAAAACGGCATGTAAGATTACATATATACACATAAGACACATAACCTTAACCACTACGGCCTATACATATTCAGCCGCACGCGTATGCATGCATATGGGCAGATATTAATACCAAAGTAGATTTTTGCTATGAATGTCAGTATTGTTAAGTATGCAGAAAAACCACAAACTGTATGGAGTAATTTTGGGGATCTGGATTTGGATTTTGTAATCTTAGATATCAGGTTCATATATGATGAATATGAATATGAATATGAATATGAACATGAGCTGACGAATGGAACCTTTCTAGGTATTCAATCTTTAGATTCGGAGGTTGACTATTTTACTTGTTTACCTTCCAAGCTGAAATAATTACACAGAGTGAGAGAATTTTACTTATTTATCTAATTGATACTACCCTACTACCACCTACCACACCCCAAGCCCCAAAATACCCCGCAACCCCTCTCGTTACACAATCCAAGAGTCAAGACCCTTTACGATATTTACCTTCTCAACCCCTTCCTACATAGGTATGCGGGGGCACCTTCCTAAACGGGAGATTTTTTGATATTGATATCGATATCGGCAGCTCGTGAATGCCAAGAGGGCGGGGATGTCCACTGGCTGTATGCACTTGTGATTGATTCGCTCTTCGGAGAAGTTGTCGCGTGCATATCTAGCTAGTACCCCATTTTATGTTATCTTGATGCATATCTGCGACGATACGAGGAGATATGAAAGATAAAAGATAGGAAAATATTGATAAGGATACAAGTAATATCCTATTCATGTTAAGACTGTGATTGTGATATAAAGCTATAAGTCTACAAGTTTTACAACAAATAACTTATTTCATTCTTGGAAAAGTGATTTGGGAATTCTATGCTTCGTTTTGTGTAATACCTAAGTAGGTAGGTATCGACGAGACGACAACAACACATTCGATATTTAGAGTTCGGTGTAACCTGACTCATTCCAACTACACCCAACTCAATACAAGAATTGATCTTTTCTACAACCTTCATCCATTCATTCATCTTTTTCCCATCAATCATTTTTCAAAAGAATCCAAAATCAAAATGGAAGTCCCCAAAGCCCCCGACATAGAATCGCCAAAAGTTACTCAAACCCTCTCCAGCACATCCATACACAACAACAAATCCCTCCAAATGGACGCGCAAACCGCAACAGAAATCGAGCACACAATGACCTTCCGCGACGGACTCCGCAACTATCCCGCCGCAATCGGATGGTCAGCATTTTTCTCCCTCGGCATCATCATGACGGCATTCGATCCGCAGTTACTCGGTAGTTTATACGCGACGCCGGCTTTTCAGAAGGATTTCGGGTATTTGTTCAAGGGGAATTATATTATTAGTGCGCCGTGGCAGACGGCGTTGGGTATGGGAAATCCAATTGGTCAGGTCGTGGGAGCGTTGCTTATTGGGTTTCCGATGGAGTGGTATGGACGGAGATGGGTAGGTTTTATTTTGCTTTGATTTGGTGTTGGTGTTGATGCTGGTAGAGTAGAGGCTAATTTACTTATTTGCGAAGACGTATATGGTATGTGTGGTAGGCACGGCAGCATTGATATTTGTGCAATTTTTTGCGCGATCATTACCGGTTCTTCTCGTTGGTGAACTTATCGGAGGATTGATACTGGGTACTTATACGACTATTGCGCCCACCTACGCATCTGAAGTATGCCCCATTGCGCTTCGAGGACATCTAACTTCTTATATTAATCTTTGTTTTGTGATGGGTCAACTCCTTGCAAATGGAGTTATTGCAGGAACATCTCAACTCAATAATCACTGGGCTTATAGCGCGCCATTTGCAATTCAGTGGCTTTGGCCTCTCATCATCTTAATCGGTACCATCTTTGCTCCTGAATCACCATGGTGGCTTGTTCGAAAGGATAGACTTGAGGAAGCGGAAAAGTCGTTGAATCGCCTCTCTTCGAAGAAAATCAATAATAAATTGGTCTTGGCTATGATGATTGAGACTGATAGGTTGGAGTTGGAGATGGAGACGGGAACGACTTATTGGGATGTTTTTAATAAGACCAATATACGAAGAACGGAAATCGCGATAGCAGTTTTTGTTACGCAGGTTTTTAGTGGGATATATCTTGTGGGATATGCGGCTTACTTCTTTCAACGTGAGTTTTCCTTTTCGTGCCAAGTGTTGATTTCTTCGTTTGCATAGGTATCTTCGTTTTCTTTGTGCACACACACCCATCTACACCATCGAAATATTCTCTTTTTCTTGGAACAGATACCACCATTTAAGCTTTTATATTCGAGTGCTATTTGAAAACTGAATGATGGCCTAATCACTCATCACTCCAGTTGCCGGCCTTGCGGGATCTAAAGCTTTCGATATGAGTGTTGGATTCCTAGCCGTTGGATTCGTAGGAACTCTCCTATCATGGATTTTGATATCAAGATATGGCAGACGACGCATCTACAACACTGGACTTGCTGTACTCACGACAATTATGTTCATTATCGGAATCTTGGATTGCGTACCAAATTATTCGAAGCGTCCCGCTGTCATTTGGGCGCAATCAACACTCATGGTATGTTGAAGAATTTCCTCGCCGTTCTGTGATGGACATAACGTGGTGATTGTCTCGTATTGATCGCTCTGCGTGAATTTAGATCGTTTGGAACGGTATCTTCGACCTTACTATCGGGCCAGTTTGCTATACAATTTTCTGCGAGGTATCCGCTACCAAAGTTCGCGCCAAAACCATTGCTGTGGCTACTGCAATGCAAGCGCTTGTTGGAATCGTTATGACAGTCGCAATTCCTTATATGATCAATCCGGATCAAGCTAATTGGAGAGGAAAGATAGGATTCTTCTATGGTAAGCAAAATTTTACATTCAGTTATTGATTGCGGCAACGCAATGTGCCAATTGACAGGTGCATTGGTGAATCGAGTGACACCAAATATGTTTACTTGATGGTATTAACATCGAAAGAGGATATTATTGACTGATATTTGAATAGGTGGTTGTTCGGTAGTATGCTTTATATGGTGTTGGCTGAGAGTTCCAGAAACCAAAGGAAGGACGTATGAAGAGTTGGATTTGATGTTCGCGAAAGGCGTAAAGACGAGAGACTTCAAAAATTACAAAATTGAGTAATGTATGTACATATCCGTTTCAGTCCTATTCGTTGACCACAATTGAGATTGCTTTTACCTACAGAGATTTCATGAAGAAGATAATTCTTCCATGTTCATCTATCAGGGAATGAATCTATGAATGATCATGACATTTCAAACGTCAATCCAAAATCAATCCAATTCGTTGAAACACCTAATCTAGAAAATGCTAGAGGGGTACCGGTACTTACTTGCTAGTCCTACTTGGAAGATCAATGCGAACCTGCTAGCTCATTGACACGACAATGAAATTGACATGATGCTTACTTATTATTATTCCTGTTAATCTTGTCATCGTCATTTCTTATCAAGTTTGTTGTACCGGTGTAGTGGTGGCCGAGGGAGTTCCACTTTTGAGATTCTTATCCGAGTCCGTCCACCACACCAAAATCTGGGATTTGCACAAAAGTTCGAGCTGCCGGCGGAAAGGAACACCAAAGCCGCGTAAAGCCGTTGATGAGCTAGGACAAATCCTCAGCCACGAGACATCTAAACAACGAAGGCTTTCTGAGTTCATGTCACGTTGTTCTAATGAAGGTTCATCCTTCATCATTGGTCATTAAAGTTTTTCGCCGGCTTTTCTAGCGTGTCATATCATTTCTAATCTAACGTCTGAAATGAATATCTTTTGTCCCAATAACCTATGAAAGTTTAGACTAGGGAAGTATAATTAATGCACAACACGGCTTTCTTCCTGTTTTTCTTCCTTTTTCTTCTCTTACTTGGTACGAGTATGTCCGAGAGAAAACAAACACCTTACCTTATTGAGCTTATCAGCTAAGTGGCTTGTTCCGATTGAATTCTCCCAGCCAGCTGCAAACCCCTTTCTTCAAGCGCTGGACTCATATTCCGAATATCCCCCAAAATGAGGGGGAGATAACAGAAATTGTGGATTGTCGTGTGGGGGTGGGAAAACGTGAGATCATTTCTCTATTTATACTTATTGCCCGTGTCTTTGAAGATAGATGGTCATGATTTCATTTCATTCCACGTCGTCCGCCTCGTTTTCTTATCTTTACCTACGGGGTCTTCATCTACTTTATACCTGGGCCGATGAGGTATGCGTAGATGAAAGACTGGTGGAGACGATGGACGAAAGAAAAATGGAAAAACTTGAACGTCTTCGGTTATTCTCGTTTAAAGCGGCCCGACAAGGCTGCGGGAGTTGTCGGTAAAGGATCTACACCATAAGGCGGGAAAAGCCAGGTACAAGCTTGGAAATTCATCAATTTGCATTTTCGAAGCGTTTACTCCGGATTTCGTTCTTCGAACTTGGACATGTCAAACGATGTGGCCATTTGACCTTTTGAGACCGTTTCAATCACTTGCATCTATGATGAAAATCAAATCCAACTCGTTTTGTTGGCATGATCTCAACATGATCAAGGTTGACCATGCAGAATCACCCACTACCCCAGATTTAATACCCTGAATCAATCAAATCGTACATGAATGCTACCGACATCCCGCTGAAATTATCGAATGATGTGAAAATCATGGAGACCGTTGTTCGCGTCGGCTCGCCAAAACATAATAATTACTAGACAGGTGGGGCATTTTGGACTGAAACTCCATATAAAAAAATTTCACTTACGTCTTAGGAACCACCTTCTAACATGGTCTTACCATTCGCACCGGCATTCCCCTCATTGAACTTACCTGAATTAAATAGAAATCAATTGTTAATCTTTGCCTTATCTCAGTGTTGAGCGTGTCTCGCCCCGTCCAGAAACCCTACATATCTTCGTCTCGTTTCCACATCTGTCTGATGTTTTTTTCTCCATCTCTCACCTCTCACCTCTCACCTCTCCCCTCTCCTTCAACACCCAGCCACTCCTTCCTCAACTGGTAGCTCCAACCCTACCTTCTTGCTCCAACACCAATCAAAAGTAATTGGAATCGACAACATTATTTCGACCTGTTAAAACAGACATAGATTTACGAACGAATCATAAATTGCAAACATGGAGGCTGAGAAGGTCAATACGAATAAACCCATGCCAGACGACATTACGGCGGCCAACAATTTCCGCGGTCACATCAGGGCGGATGATGAGTCCTCGGAAATGAAAGTTGCAGAGGTTCTCGATGCCTTTGGTAATGAGGAAGGCGCAGAGGTTCAATGTAAGGTTTTACACTCTTAGCTCCCGGGGATATGAGCTGACATTTGAACTCAGACAAAACCATGACCTGGTGGCAAGGTGCAATTGTTATGATTGCTGAAAATATCTCCCTTGGTATCCTTTCTCTACCAGCTGTTTTGGCCAAAGTTGGTCTCATCGGTGGCGTTATTGCCATTCTTGGTCTTGGTATCTTTTCAACATATTCGGGTTACGTCTTGTGGCAATTTAAAATGCGCTATCCTCAGGTATGTCAAATATTTATGGACACAATGGAAAAGAGTCCCTGTTCCTGACCACTTTTTAGATCGTTACTTATGGAGACATTGGTGGAGTCATGTTGGGATCTTGGGGTCGTGAGATCTTTGGTGCTGCTTATGTCATCTATTGTATTTTCAGTATGGCTTCGCATCTTTTGACTTTTACAATTGCTATGAACGTTCTTACGAATCATGCTACTTGTACCATTATTTGGGGTGTTGTTGGATTGGCTGTCTTCAGCTTGCTCTCCTTGAACAGAACTCTTAAGAATGTCTCGTTCTTGTCCATCATCTGTATGTTTTTTCAAGTCTCGACTATTGAAAGATACTGACCATTACCATAGCATTTACCAGTATTCTCTCCGCCGTTATGCTCACCATGATCGCATTGGGCGTTTCCCCACAAGCGGCATCCGGCGCCATGAAAGGAACTTACTCACCCTCATTCCCATCCGCTTTCAACAGCATCTCCAATATCGTTTTCGCATATGGTGGACACGTCGCATGGGTCAGCTTCATTGCCGAACTCCGCGACCCCAGAGAATTCCCCAAGTCTCTCATACTCCTCCAAACAGTCGATATTAGTTTATACGTCATCGCCGCTCTCGTCATCTACAGATATGCAGGCGAGGATGTTGCTAGCCCGGCTCTTAACAGCAATACTCCTATCATTCGTAAAATTGCTTGGGGAATCGCTTTACCAACTATCATTATCGCCGGAGTCATCTTCGCACACGTCACAGTCAAATATGTCTATCTCCGTATATTCTCCGGAACCAAGTACCTCAACAGTAGAGGATGGGTCGCCACAGGAACCTGGGTTGGTCTCGCGGTAGCAACCTGGACCATCGCATGGATCATCGCCGAATCCATCCCCGTCTTCTCCGACCTCCTCGGTTTCATCTCTGCCCTCTTCGCCTCTTGGTTTTCCTACGGTCTCCCGGGTATCTGTTGGTTTTACCTCAACTGGGGAACTTGCACACGGGGTATCAAGAAAATCTCCCTCAGCGCTCTTAATTTCACTTTGATTATCGTGGCGTGCATTATTTGTTTTGCAGGTTTGTATGCTAGTGGTTATTCAATGCATGTTGATACGGCGTCTTCTCATGGTGCTTGGTCTTGCGCTGATAACCGAACTTAAGGGTTTGTTTGTATGTATTATAGATAGGATAGGATAGGATAGGATAGGATAGGATAGGATAGGATAGGATAGGATAGTATTGTGCTGCGCTGTGGGGTTTTTGGGATAAAGCAAAGCGGGCATGTGCAAAATGTGGAATGCGGGATGCTGGATAGGATGCGGGATAGCATGGTTTTCTTGGGTGGAACTCTTTTGTTTTTGTGTGAAAAATCCTACATGAATGGCTTGGGATGGGTGTCTTGGGCATGTGTTATTTTTGGCGGGGAGTCGAATGGGGATTAGTTGCGCAGTCATGCTTGATTTGATGACTGACTCTGACTTTTTTTTTGTATATTATATTCTACGGTTGTTAGGCTGTTAATGGTGTGATGAATAAAGAAATTAAATAAATAAATGAATAAATGAATTTGTATGAATTTTTGATTTTGTGAGGTTTTGAGTTTCGGATTTAAGATTTGGATTTGAGATTTGGATTTGAGATTTAATAGGGTCTAGTAGGATTTTTTGAGATGGGAAGGGGAGTCTGGGTGTAGTGGGATTTATGATGGGGAGATTTATGATGGGGATTTGGATACTGATGAGTATTGATGGGAGGAAAGGAAGAGAGGAGGGGAGGAAAGAAAGTGGAGGGGAGGAAGAGAGGAAGAGAGATGAGATACTATATGTGTATTTCTATGTTGTGTAGAGTATATATAGATGAGAAATGAATTCTTGTCTCTATTATTTGATTTTAATAGTACCTAGGTAGATATAAAATAAATCTGTTAGGAATTATAAGAACTTTAATGTAATATAGAATAATAATTGAAATCTTAAAAATTAATTAAAGTAAATAAATATTTAATCTTATATGGTTATAGATTTATATATACTCGAGTAGATGTAGTGATATTTTTAATTTTTCTTATTTTTTTTCTATCTATATTAGCCTTGAGGTATGTATATATATATTTTATGTTACTTCTCCGTCAAATATATTTGTTAAGTCCTACTTCTACTCCTACTCCCTCCTCCCATCCCCTCCCTTTTTCTCATCCCATTTCTTCTTTTTCTCCTCTTCTCTCCCATTCCCCTTTCATTCCACTCCTCCACCCACCCACACCCGTCAATCCTCCTATCCACCCCATCCCATCCCATCCCCATCCCTTCAGATACCCTCCGCCGCCCCCAAACCACAACAAACCAACAAAACTCCCATCTATCCCAACCAGGTCGCTTAGCTCAGTTGGTCAGAGCGTGGTGCTAATATCTTCTCCATCTGTCTATCTGTTCAAGCACGAACAAAAACAGAGGGGTATATTAAACGCCAAGGTCGGCGGTTCGAAACCGTCAGTGATCAATATCGATGCGATATCTCTTTTGCTGTTTCGGTTTCTGTTGATTTGAGGTTTTGAACATGTATGTGTGTCTGTGATTTTAATAAAGTTGGGAGGGAAGAGGGAAGAGGGAGGTGGTTGAGATGTGGAGGATTGAATGAAGTTGTGGTGGGGGGGTGGGGTTGCTAATATCTTTTTAATGAAAAATGGAAGGAAGGGATTGCAATTTTGCAAATGCCAAGGTTGGTTGGTGTGGTTCGATTTTACTAGTGACTGGTTATTTTTTGGAGTTTTTGTGTTGTGGTTTGTTTTGCTTCGGGATAATAGGTAGTAAGTAGGTAGGTAGATTGGGATGGTTGGGAATAAGTGAATGAATGGATGGAGGCGGGAAGCTTATGGGCTGAGATAGATGTTGAAATTGAGGTGTTGGAGTGGGCTGGCTGGGTTTAAATGGAGGGGTGGTATGTGTGTCTGGGTGCCTTTTAATATTGAGATAATTAAAATGATTACTTTGACCAAGGGAGAGAGAAATATTATGATGATTTGAAGATTTCTGAGGAATGAAGATAGAGGTGGGTTGTTTTTAAAGGGTACATAACTTAATTAGAGTGACAAGAATTAATTTATTATATTTATCTTATTTATAGCTAATAATATATATTTTTATATAAATAAATAAATAAATATTAAAAAATAGATATAATTAATTCATTTACAACAGGTATAAATAATTATAAAAATTTTGTTATAATTTATTTTTAAAATAATAAAATATTCAAAATTAAATATTAAATAATTATAAATATTAAAAAGATTATACTTGAGGTATGTTAAATTCAATAAAATATTATATCATTATTTATCAATAGAAATAATAAATCAATTTTTTTATAATATTATTTATTAATAAATATTTATCCTGAAATGTTAAGGTTTCTAATAGCCCTACGAATGTTACGAGGGCTGCGATCTAGATCATGTGGAAGTGGTCTGGATCCTCGAAGTGGTTTATAATTAGATGTCACAATTGATCTTGAACACAAAGCTTTACAATAAGGAATCCTTTCTTGATATATTAACCTTCGTATCTAGAAGCTGTAGGAGCCTTCGAACTTTCAATACTTTATTAGAGTTGTAAGAGCCTTCGAATCTCCAATGCTCTATTATATAATCCTTTAATCATATAGTTCTGTAATTGTTACCATACTGGTTCTAAGGTTAACAGGGCCTGTGCATAATTGTTCCCTCACGACCTTAATCCCATACTAAATTGATCAAATCGTATCGTGTAAGCACACGATCGGTTAGTATAAGATCCGTGGTCGTAATAACGAACTCAATATACATTGTACGACGACAACCTCTCGCTTCAAAAATCTCTGTAACGTGCTCTTAGATATCTTCATTCATATAAATTATCAAAATATCCACTATTTGCCACATACGACCATAGACTGAAGAGAATTGGGCATCCCGTCCGCTCTGCCATACACAAGCTTCAGATCGGTGGATTAGTATAGTAGTTGGGTGGGTGACCACCAGCGAATCCCCACTGTTGTATGTATATTTTTCTGCAAAGTTTTTGCTTCATCATTCTATTTTTTGAATTTCTTCTTTTTAATAACCTACCGCCCTACTTTGTCTATCACTTGAGATGCGTCTAATTTTTATTATTTTCAATACCTAAAAGGTAAGATTGCATTTTCGATACCTCTCGGGGTATACTTTTCGATGTGGGAATAGTTTCCTCAGTTTCCAGCGGGTATTTACTTGGTCATGAATTAGGTGTAAAGCGTCACATTGTGGACAAAAGAGTAAAAACCTTTTATTAGTTTTTTAATTCTATTGAAAAATCTTTACTACACAAAAAAAAACTCTTCAAATTAATATAGATTATCGGCCCCTTTTCGGCAGCCAACGTTTTGTATTCGGACTTCGCAACATTAGGCGAGGAACTTCATTCCATAGAACATCTAATACGAGGGCAATTTCATTCATGAGATGGGAAACCCGCTGTATCGTCAGCTGGATTTGAAGATGCTTATTACTCGATGGGGGAGGAAAGAAGCAGATGAATTATATGTGCCTTTACTATTGGCTACGGGGCCAAGCTTTAAAGGTTCTTCCATATGCATGTACGTATGCAGGAATTCTAGCTACAGTGGTAGTCTTGTAGGACTGGTGGACTCACTAAAGTTTATTTATATTTGTTGCCGGAAACGACGTGATGAATGGCAAGATGTTAAATCCTCCGAGTCGTATATGACCGTAGAAGACATATTGCACGGCATTCCTGAGTCTCACTACCCTTTGTTGCGTGTACAGAATTGCATTTCAGACTAATTTGATTATTTTGACATGGCATTTGGATAAACATTTCCTTCCCCTAAGATTTCAATTAAAAGACATTCACATCTACAAGCTGACGCTTGAAGCTATGCCCTTCACTAATCTCCTAGCAATCTTCGAACAAGAACGGTTGCTTTTTCAATTGCTTGGAAGAAGGCTGCTGATTTTCCATGAGGCGCCTTGATAACAATGTAAAAGTGGTAGGTCGAGATATGTGCGTCCCGATAGCACGTTGTGAGGAGGGAATTGGAAGAGAAAGCTGAATTAGATTATATTGTAATACATCATTTATGAAGAAAACAAGATTCACAATAGTTTTAGGGTTGATGTTATATGGGTTCAAATGTATATATGTAGAAGGTTGATTATTGTAGAAAGAAGAGGCAAAAGCTCTCCTTTTATATCTAACTATAGGAGGTTATGTGATTGACTGGTTAAAAACCTCTATGTATTTGGCTTATAATTCTAACTTTCTCACAGTATAAACAAGGTGCCATTGAGCCAGACAATAAGGTTATGAAATTCATATATTATAATACAGGCTGGGCTATTATTGATGTCTTGATAGTCGAGCTTAAACATCTTCGTGAGGACGTATCTCCAAGGGCGTTCGAACAGATCGCTGAAGATCTCCTCGACGATCGTATGGAGGAGTCAAAAAATTTACCCAAACACAACCCTTTTTGGGGCTGCCGAGATTGGACTCCATATCCAATTTTACAAAGAATTAATACCAGCCTGGCATGTAAAACTACTACATCCACAAACTCTTCACTTCGACACCAACACGATAACAATCCAGGATTACTTTCACTGTCTCAAGGTCAAACATCCCGCGCGCTCCAGTGGCTGCTATCGTCAACGCTAACCTTGTCTACATATCGCCAGTTTTCACGATAGTATCATCCTCCAACGAGATAGTAACGGTCGCAGCTACTACTACGTCATCTCAGGCTGAGATTCTGAGCCGTATTACTATGTTCATAACAGGCAATACTATTACTCTGATAATGGGAAAATTAGCACTTGTAGACTGTCCAAAAATTCAATGGGTTTTAGTTTTAAATCAAAATGTATAGAGCGAAACTGATCGGAAAAAGAAATGGCGATATTGGGATGGGAAAGATGTAGCTTATCAATAAGTGAAAATAGTTAAGTGGTACTTGTATCTTGCAATAGCACATTTTAGATTTGAGAAGCTTGTTTCATTTCGCCCCCGGCCTAATCATCTACTGACGGACACAGAATACACGGTCAAACATAGCGTTGAATTCCCAAATAGCCTCTGCCACAACACTCTGATATTGATATGTACCTTGAAGTTCTTGTTCACAACTACCTTCCACCATGCTTGGACCCCATTTAATCATCCTACTATTTGTCACTATTGTTATACCTTCAACCTGTGACAGACAAGAACGTGACTTTTGTTTGCAAATGGGTTTGACCGTTGTAACTTCCAAGTCTACAATTTGCTCGCCTTCTTCCAGAGTATACGTAGTGCCAGCTCCTGTCCATTGGCCAGCAGGTCAGGTTGGTTTGAATCATTGTTTGAGCGAAACAGATGGCCGGTAACCTGCCCAGCGCGGCGGTACTTTGACATCGTTGGGTTGATGAATGCTTGAACTTACAGGTACTTCTTCCCTAAAGATACACGGGACTGGTACTGACCATGATTCTTAACTCCACCAAGTGGCATATCCTGGATTTGACTCTCAAGAGCCAACTTGGTAACAAAGGTTTTCGGAAGAATCTTGAAAGAGGTTACTGAGGTCGTTGGTACGACTCCAAAGCAGTGCAGCTCACTGAGAGGGCCCTTTAATCAAGATGAGCTTGTGGAATTGTGATCAAAGATATTTAAAGAGTATCAAACCATAAAACAACCACAGAATCCGATAATATATCCACCATCCAAAACCTTATACCCCATACGCTCATGTGATACAATGGCATCTATCGATAGTGGAGGATAGACATTACTTGTTCTACCAATGTTGGTAGTGAACTACAAGAATTTGTTAGAGCATATAGAGAAATTATTTGTACCAAAAAGTGACTCAACCTGTAATTGACAGACCAAAGAATCGACCTTGTAGACTGTTATTTTAATCAATCGCTCTTGAACATCGAGAAAAAATGCCAATGAAGCAGCGTCGTGTGTAGAACCCCATACGGTCTCGGTACCTGTATCATAAACGAATCCAATACCAGTGATACCAGCAGAGCATCCCAAGGGACTGTAAACTTTGATCGCGACAAGAATTCTCTTCCCTTGGTCTATAAAATGAGTCGAAGCTAGTGCGAATGATGTACTCTGTAGTCTATATAAAGCAGCAACATCATCTTGATGAATAGAAGGCGCGGTTGAAAGGTGAGGATGTTTCCAAGAAATACCATCGAATTTATCTTGTCTCTCGACATCCATGGAAATTTTCACTATTCGCATGGCCTAGAAAATTGTTAGGACATCCCATAAAAAGAAAAGTCAAAGTGACCAGGCTTACGTCAAAGCCAAGGTGAACGCTCTTAAGATTTTTCAATGGCCATCTAGCAATTGCAATTTTGGTTCTGTGGCTAGGTGTGATGCTGTCAAGATATTCTTGCGGATATGTATCGACTGTAATTGCCTCGAATCCTAATTGACTGTAAACCAACCATAAACAAGTAGGAGAAACCATAGAATCAACGCGCCTTTCCGGATTATCTACAACATAGCCCACATTGATACGTCTGCCATCGTGAAACTCAAAACTTAGGCCGGAGATCAATCTCCGATTTGAGAAAAGGATATATGATGGTGTGACGGTGCAAAGTCGAAAACTATTGTCCAAGCATACATACCCATGCGTCAACTCTCGACAACCTTCGGAGTCATATTTTTTGGGCTAGGCAGCTTGCAACATAACTTGGTGGTACCTGACCTTAAGGTATGACGCTATCACCACATAAAACGCGGTGAGGTTCCTCAACAGCATATAAAAGATCAGACAAATCAACAACAAGCTTCCAGGTTCTCTTCCGATTTCGTAGGTTGATCTTGTTTGGACCTTCCCTCAGTCCTGACTCTATTGTGGAAAACCAATCTTTCCAAGAATATGATGATGGGCGGATCGATCGAGCGAAACCAGTCTCGCTGTGAGCCCAGAACCTAGACTCCCAATATATTGTTGGTAGATTTCGGATGTCTCCTCTATATCGTCTAAAAATTGTCGCACTGGCTTGTAGTAGGTTTCGAGTATCACAGAAATCAATGATGCATAGGACTGATTCGGAGTACCTCACTCGGAAGGCAATGAATGTCAAGATGCCCTTTTCTTTCATCACAAACGCTTCCTGAAAACGAAATACTAGCAGGGGGAAGAGGTAGACTGAGACCACCCCAAAAGTTTTTGAGAATTGGTGGCATGCCTTTATTTCTTGTCGATACCCGTGATGAGGAAAAAAGATGACCAAAGCACTGTTGATTCCCAGCCTCTTCATTTTAAGCCTCAAAATTTAAAGAGCTAATGAGAATAGATAATTTTGTTTTATTAGCAGGTACAACATCTTCATTGAGATTATCCGGATCTTTCTCGTCCGAGGAGGAATCTAGAAGTTCCTCGAAATAATAATTATGACCCCATTGCAGGGCACGAGCACTTCTTTGATAATGAATACTTTCGAAAATGTTGAACAACGTTTGAGCATCATGATCAAAAAACGTCTTGCCATGGCTTTCCTGGAGTATGACCAAACAGGCTGTATGGAAGGGTAGCAGGAATCCTGTATCTCGTCCAATAAGCTGCGTCGATAGCAGAACCGATTGAATCCATGTAGAGGTATAGGTAAGTTGATGGGAATTGCATCGTCATCTATGTAACCTTTTCCACTAAGAACTGGACGGTCTTCAAACGAACATACTAGATAAAGCAACATCAACCCACTTCTTGCTTGTAGAGGAACGAACTTACCTGCAGAGATGTCTTTGCTCCATTGAGGGAAATCACTATCGTGAGGTACCAAGACCAGACCACAGATACAACAGGAGTCGCCCATGGGCTGCGAAGTATTAGGAAGTAATTCTTTTGAGAAGGAGTGTACATATTCGTATGTCGAACAACCATACTATAGAAGAGTTCCCCGGCCAACTGAACACAGAACTTTACAGGCTATTGACTGCTGAATATGTTGAGGCGATAACCTAATCAGATTGGATAGTTCAGTCAGCGAGGGCGTATGTATGTAAGGTGCTGATAATCATCTTGTCAGCTCAAACATAACTAACAATAAACCTTCTTTCCTAGATCTATAAACATTTATACTCATGATTTCTTCAAATTCTAACATTATAGATATAAGTCTTATAATAACAATAAAATATCTCGATGAAATTCCCAATGTAGGTTGTACAGTTATACTAATTATGCTATATACTATCTCGAACTTTGATTTCTCTTATTGCCGCTACCGATAGGTATGGCGTTTTACATATTATAATGTAGTTTTGGGATGGAATTGAATGGAATGAAAACAGGAGAGAAAAACTGATATCAGAACTATAACTACAAACTAATATCACTATCACTATCAATTAAGAATACTTCTCCAATTCCGTATTTGATCTCAAGAGCAGATAGATCCGTCCAACATTGGTCTTGATCATATAAAAACGCAACGAACAAAATGTAAGATTAAAAACCATTGCTATCCTATGCTATACCTAAATAGACATAAATTTCCAATCTCGAAATTTTCGATATTCTCGACATATCCAAATCCCCCTCAAGTATAAATCGTCTCAGTAATCGCATTAAAGCTCAAACCTTCCTTTGCAAAATCAACCCCATCCATAAACAACAAGGGCATCTCGACCAACATTCCCCTAACCCTACTCAGCTCCTGCTTAACTTCCTCCACACCACCCGGGAATTCTTCTTTCACCACATGCCCGTAAAGATATTTCGCAGGCTCTTTATCTTCTTCCTTTGTATCCTTTGAACTAGGGGATACAAAATACTGCTCGTAGAATTCATTATAATCATTCCAGTTTCGTACATTATCCGCGGGAATTGCATGGAATACTTTCGAGAAGACTTCAGTATTAGTTGCAGCGCGGCCGTTCCAAAGATCAACAAACTCCGGGGAGAATACATCTTGAACAGCAAGATCAAATTCAGAGCCCCAGTCGTAATCATTGGGATCTTTGTTGATGGGCATATAATTTGCATCTGGCCTGGTCCAATCCTGAGGTGCGACCATACCGAGATGTTTTCTGAAAAGTTGTCTGCGGAGCGAAGTAGCGTATCTGGCGGCCTGGAATTCCCGGCCGTCCATATATGAATCGACAGTATTGTGATCTTCAATCACAACGGCGATTTCAGAGTCATGGCTACCAAGTTGAGAACGATCGTTGAGATTGGCGGATCCACAGATTACGACGCGGTCATCTGCGATGAGGAGCTTGGTGTGAATGTAGAGTTCTTCACTGACGAAGGCGTCCATTTCCGCTTCGGGAGTGCCGTTCCATGGGATGGAAGTGATGGATGGTCCATTATCCATGTAACACGTTGATACTGTGTCATATTCTTGCGAACGGGATGCCACTCTTTGGTATTCGTCATACTCGTAATTTCTTTGACCCCGACGAGCACCAGTTTCTTCGCCATAACCGCCATATCCGGCACCAACAATGTCATCGTGCTCTTTTCTAGCACTTTCATAACTGACGCCACTTTCTTCCTCAGCTCGAGACATTGTACTGCTATCGTTGAGTCTATCATAGTTTCTCAAGTTGTAAAATCGGATGTACTCCTTTGGATCGGGTACTCCAGCATTAGCAACTGTTTCCATAATAGAGTTACCACCACGACAGATAGAATTATATTGATATTCCATGATTGCACGAGTGCCCAAGGCATCATCTCCCTTAAGATCACCAGCAAAAGCAGGTACGGCTGGCATGCAAACGATAACTTTATATTGCTCGCCATTTCGATAAGCACGAATGATTCTTTCTGCAATGGCCGCTCCGATTTTGTTATCGACAGGATGTTGTTCATCGGAACAGGCAGTGATGAAAAATTGATTCTCAATGTAGATAAAATGTTGACTACGAGCAATAATCTCAATGTAGGCATTGGCGATAGAGTGCTATCATAATTAGTAATTTGCATCAACGTATTGTGATGGATGTAATTACCTCTGTGGCTACTCCATTACTCCATTCAGTACAACTTCTTACGAGCTGAATAGAAACACCATTTTGATCGCTTCCAGTATCCGAATTGCCTCCAAAGCCGCCAAAGAAGGTACCTGCACGGTGGATTGTGTCTGAAATCGCACCCTCTGTAGTTGAACCGACGTTTGAACCATCTTCGTTATAATATCCATCAGGAATTTCATTGGGAGTCAAAGACAATGCTGTATATCTAGTATCTTCAGTATTGTATTTTTCCCTGAGAATAAAGTTCCATCTTTGGACAAAATGTGCTCGGAGATCCTCGACTAGGAGAAGTGTTAGTTAATGTAATTATTGGAGGGGTGCAACCATCTTCAAAAGTAATAATATATTAGAAAATTCACTTACCAACTGGTCCTGTCAATGACATGGACAAATCCTGCAACGAAAGTTAGACCTCATCTTATCGCGCCACATTTGAAATCTAGTGATACATACCGACCAACCCATCCTAGAATACTTTGTACGATCAAGCTTGTTATCTTGCCAGTTTGAAACATCCTGGAAATCATATACTCTCGCATTGTTGAAATCTTGACCGGGGAAGAGAATATTATCCAAGTCACTTGGATGAGCATCAGCGATTGGGTGCTGATTCACATCCCATCTACCAAAGCACAAATCGAGACCTCCCATAAAGGCGACTTTGCTATCAATGAGACAAAGTTTTTCGTGGTGTGCCCAATATAAGATAACATCATTTCGAGCTCCATATAATGCCTTGATGCTATCTTCGGGAAGTCTGGCAAGATCGAAATCTTTCAAGCTGAAATTCTTCAAGTCGGTGAGAATTTCCGATTCAACGTGAACGCCACTTGGAATATGGTCAGGATGGCGAAATACTGAGATATTAGGATGGACCTCTAAAGCTTTCTTGGTGTGCTCAGAGCATACTGAGATTATGATTAGTCCAGGTGACATGTGGCCAGAAATGAAGATTGAACATACATGTCAACACTTTGGTAACCTCCTTGTAAATGATGATATTAACTTTCACACCCCTCTCAGCGGCAGCCAAAAGCATGCGGTCAAGTCTATATTCTTCATTTGCCGACGGCGGTCTTCTCAAATAAAGTTCGGGCGTGAGCCACCAGTCCAATATCCAGATACTCTCTTGGGCCTCTTCCAAGGCAACAGATATCGCCCACATGTATGCACACCCATCGATATGCCATTTAATGTCATGGCCAGACCTTGGTGGGGCGAAACTGCCAAATCTGTTCTTATTTCCATGTATGTGAAGTGCATGGCATGCCTCTCCGATATGAGTGTGACTATGTTTCTCGCCGTCTGAGAGACCTACAATCTTGGAGAACTCCCTCTCGACTTCATTTACGAGACCGCCGATGGCAGATTCAGCTGCGTGGAAAAAATGAGACATATTGAGCAATATTTATGACCAGAATGATGAATTGAAAGAAGCTTTCAGGATGAGCCTGGCTGGTTTATTATATAGATGCGAAAGTGTACTCGTACCTATAGTGGGGTTTCGCGGACTGGTGGAGTGATTTTGGTGGGGTAGGTCAATAGCTTCAACCTATGAAGTTGGTGAATGTTCACCGTCGATATGGACGGCAATGCTGGCAGCGAATCTGGTTTTTAGATTAACAAGTCTCTGTCAATGTTCATCAAATTGTGGGTTTCTGTTACCTGTTAAGTTTTTATGCGTCTGTCAGTCAAGCAAGGAAAGAAAGAGATCTACGGGGGATGTTTGATATCGCCATCGGTACTCACTTTGTTTCACGTATAGCTTTTGGCTGATACGAGAGGCTGCAGTGTGGACCCTGCAGCTGGAATGTGTGCATTACCGTGCCATTCGTTGGCATAACCATGCTGTAGGGTTCAAGAAGCTTTTGGTCTATTCGTATGATTGGTTCAGGCGGAACATTTTCCAACTGAGGTATATTTTTATTCGTAGTTGATGCATGACATGACAGCTCAGCTGCAAATCCAGTGAAGTCTAAGGTGTAAGGTTATGTGGAATAACAGCAATACTGCCTTTGCATGAGAACCCAAAGTGAGGAGGGTTCTCCATTCGGACTTTTGTACAATGCTAGAAATCCGCCGTAAGTTGATTTGGCTGCCATATATTCCGGAGATGCTGTTGATGCAGATTTTCCATCAAAAGTCGAGAGTACTTGAGTCGTGAGGAAGAAGGTAAGAATAGCAACGAGATCGCAGCGAGATAACTGGCTCTTAGCGGCGGCGGCGACATTTCATAGTGTCCGAAGCCATTGTACCTGGAAGTACATAAACTTCGGTTTTGGACAACTGTAGTAGGAACTTGGTAGCGCGGCAATCAAAAAGTCCTCAAAGGGAGCTGCGTAAAGTCGAAGCCATCACATTGCCAACTCCCGGTGGCAGTACTAGTCATCGTGATTTATTTTTAGTCACGTAAAAAGATATCGAATAAGTGTGCTTGCATTGATGCGGCGCTCTTATATTCCTATATCTCCCTAGCACAAGCTTCAATTGATAAACCATGGCGGAGGGAATTTTGGTTAGATCTTGTTATTTATATAAGACCCTGTTATGCGTGTACAGGCAAGTCCTGGTGGTTAATTGAACGGTTGAGGATGTGTTGATGGAAGGAAAGCCTAAGTTTGGATCGCTTATAGGCATGCACCTGCCTATATCGCGAATATGGTAGCGTGCTTTTAACAAATCACAGCACAGATGGCAAGTTCAACAATTCCATTACTCGAGTACAACTATCAATGTATCTATTGCACTAGATTCCAGTACAATAAGATCAACATTCCCAAAAGATGGAGATATCATTGAAACAACATTGAAATAGACACATTCTTTACAGCAACTACACATCTCAACCAGATCATCGGATCGAGCAGTCAAATCCATTCATTCTGTATGAAGCACCAGACATCGTGATATTGAGTCTTTCAGTTTTCTTCACGACCAATCATCATGTGATTGATGGTGAGCTACTTTACTTTACTCATTCTTCGAGAGCAAGAGGAATTTACTTGTTCAGTTGCATTCATTCCTAATACTCAGCCTATCTCCATAGCCCTCAACCTCACCAGCCTCAAAGTCGATATGCCTTCTTAATCGCATCGGCAGCTCGCTCGGCCATTGCGTACACAGTAACCTGCAAATGCGCAGCCTGTATCATAGGAAATGTACCCGCATCAACCACTCTCAAATTCTCAACTCCATAAACCTTAAAATTGGAGTCAACCACTCCTCCAAGTTGTCTCTTCATCATCGATGTAGAACCACTTGGATGATACGTCGAAACAATAGCTGAGCGAACCCATGTTTGAATGTCCGACTCGGTTTGCACAGCTGGACCAGGAATGCTTTCAACTGGTGATAGCGGTGCAAATGTTGGAGTGTTTATTATTTTACGTGCATATCTAGCCGCAGCACTCAGCAGAAGAAGATCCGTTTGATGCGATAGGAATCCTGGGTTTGCTGATGGTGGAATGAAAGGATCCGTGGAAGTAATCGCTACTGTACCACGAGAGAAAGGATGTTGAAGAATTGCATATACTGGCCCATCGAGAAATATGAATTCCATAATTGGAACGCTATTTGATGGGAGATCTCGAGTGAGAATTCTGTATTGGGCCTCATATCCCAACAAGACGGACCGGTCAGCATCAGGTGGCAAGTATGATGCCGGAGTGATTGATGAAGCGGAAGACACGATTTGTGAAGTTGTGTTGGTGAAAGAGGGAGTTCCAAGAAAGGCGAATGCATTCACCCCTGCAGTGGAATAAGGACCTGTACTACTTGGTTAAGGCCGGTCTCAAATACTAATACGTTTTACCTACCTGTTTTATTGAATCTGTACAATGCTAACATTTCAGCATTGAAAGCCGCATTAGTTGTCAGATTGTTCGAGTTGAGAGCAATGTTCACTAATAAGCTAATCAGTCGTTGTTATCCTAAGATTTGGGCATATCAACGCACAGCTATTAACGGACGCAAGCAACGGGTGATCTTGAAAGTTTGCACCAACCCCTGGCAAGTTTACCACAGTGTTTATGCCGAGCTTTTTAAGCAAAGAAGGCTCTCCGATTCCAGATAATTGAAGCAGCTGAGGCGAGTGTATAGCACCAGCTGCGAGAATGACCTCCTTTTTCGCTAATACAGTCGACTTCGTGGAGTTGGAACCAGTGGCATACTATGTTCAAAGTCAGAAAATTGTTAAAAGGATTCATCGGTAAACACTTACCTCCACACCAATAATTGAAACTCCCCAGTTGTTTGATTTAGTGATCAATTTTGTTGCCTGATGTCCAGTCAAAAGGTGTAAATTTGTCCGGTTACTTGCACTGTTCCAATAAGCAGTTCTAGAATTCGATCGCGTCTTGGTATCTGGATCAAGTGACTGTGGGTTCCACAAAGCACCATTTGCATCTCCATTTAGAGAATCAAATACTTTGCGGGTCCCAAGGAATTTCATGGCAGCAAAGAAGTATTCTAGCAACTGGTTAACAGATATAAATAACGTCAAGGTTCTTGCAATGCACTCACTGGTGGATGGCCAATAAAAGGTCGGATAGCTTGAATGAACCTATAAAATATCAGTCGGTGTCACAATGATTGGTAGGTGGTCTACTACATAACCGTTATATCCATGTGCTGCAGTATCAGTTTGTATATCCCATTCTTTTGCGATTTCCGGCGCGGGTGGCGTGAAATTGGTTAACTATTTAACAACAAATGAGTCCATCTAATCCTTAAGTTAATAGAAAGAGAAAGACCATACCTTTTTAAAATATGGAAAGAGATCATCCCAACCAACAGCCCCTACTTCCAACCAGCGATCATAATCCACTTTCCCAGCAATATCAAAAACCATCTTATTCAAACAAGAGCCTCCACCTACTACCTTACCCAATGGTATAGCAATTTCCCGATCATGCGCTGCTGTCTGCGGTGAATAGGTTAGGTTCCAATCATACTGAGTCCCTATAGCCCCATTACTAATTCCTGCAAAAAGCGGCACATATATAGAGTCTTCCCCCTGATCACTTCAAAATTCACACCCATTAGACATGTAATCTTAAATCCAAAAAAGTTTCCAAATGCATATAACTCACAGTTCACCAGCTTCGATAATAAGAACGCTCGTTGCTGTATTATAATTATGGTAAGTATTAAATCATGTAAATAAGTAAGTGATTCTGACCTGCATTTTCAGATAATCTATTTCCTACAACAAGTCCACTGGTGCCTCCGCCTACTATTATGAAGTCGTAGCTAGCTAGTAGCGCGGTATCATGACCAATTGTCTGACCACCCAGTGGTGCTGCGTGGGAGATAATACATAGCGTGGATAGTGATAATATTGAGAATAAAGACATTATAGAAGAGTATGGACGCAGTGACAGTATAATACTTCAATGGTAGGTAGTACTGGTGTACCTGGAGCTAAAGGGTAGATACTCGACTTAAGTATTTTAGGGCAAGCGGATATCTTCATCTGGGTTTACATTGCCAAGTCAAGCCTACATGCAGCACTACTTGCCTCAACTTCAATCTGGTCACAGTAAGTCTAAAGATTGAATCTCATTGGTAGACAAAAGATTTTCAAAAGATTATTCGAGCTAAGAACAAACTAATTATTCAGCAAATAGCAGAACACTAAACTTTCGGGGATGGATCGAGAGAATATACTCCAATACGCCCTGGTGCATGCTGACATCTCCCGCGCGCCATAAAGATGCGGGACGGCTTATGTAGTCAAATAGATCTTCATTGCGGAAAATCCTCAGCATAAAGATCAATAAATCTCATAATATGATTACCAGACTGGGAGATACGCATGACCCTTTCCTGCAACATTACAAATCCTGCAACTTCACCATAACCTTCTTTCCTCTAATACCATTTTTTGTCAGAAGATCAACGCCAAAACTCACCCCCGCAAACCCTGTCGCTACTATTTCCCCCTCATTCGGCTCGAGTAATCCTTTCCAGAGAAGACTTTCGAGTCGCGGGATTAGCTTTTCCACAGCGCGGTTTACGGCGTCTCCTGCTGGTTCTCCGGATTTGCCAATCTGACCGAGGTTGACTTGGTAGATGCTGATGTCCTTTTGTTCTTCGATTGGATCCCTATTTTCGGTTATTAGCTCATATCGAATTGCTCCTCACTGCAGGTTATTTCCATACCAGTTATTTGTAGTTGAGAATGTTTTCTTTTGTGTTTTAGCCCTTGACTTAGTGTTCAAAGCTGCTAGGGCTACGGCGGAACTCGCAGCTGAAGCATCGAATATGCCTGCAAAATCTCCTGATGTAATGGACTCGATTTCAGATAATTGACTCTCGATGGGTTGTTTATAGTCAAAGGTAGCATCTGCTCCGGCAGATTTGGCAATCTAGAGAGACAAATTAATTGCTAGTCACAGTTCATCGGAAACGAAGAGTAAAATGTACGGAACTCACCTCAACACTAGACTCTGAGCACGAAGCGAGGACTTGGTATCCAGATAGTTTTGCAAGCTAGATTGTATCAATATCACTTTCTTCAGACTTCAGACTTCATTGTGAACAGGCTGACCTTGATACCGTATTGCCCAACATTCGATGCACCTCCTAATACAATAAACCATTCTGGTTGATTTTCTCGAGAGGCAGGGTACATGATGTCGTTTCCCGCATCCAGAGATATCGCAGCTGTCTATGAGATTCGTAGTCAGTATTCATCATCCACACCTTAACAAAACAAGCATCGATATTAAAGAGATCTGCTCACCAATAGCCCCACCCCAATCGTGGCAGCTTCTTCGACCGAAACGTTCTCCGGCCTCTTAAATGCCAATTTCTCATCCATTAAATGCTATATTTTCAAACAATCATTAGCCTCTTGTATCCAGCTTACATCACCTCACCGTAAAATATCAGATACCGAAGGCAACATAAAAACTATTAACATACAAACTCCTGAAAAGTACCATAACCCGGAGCCCCTGGGGGCGAACACCCAAAAACACCATCCCCGACTCTAAATTTTGAGACCTCAGAGCCCGTCTCCACAACAACACCAGAAGCATCACAACCAAGAACAATAGGATAGCTAGGAATTAGAAGACCAGTTGTGCGCATAAGGTTGTCCCTTCATTATTATTTAGTCGATGAGAAGCAATTGATGTTAATTGGGAAGGAGGCAGAGTTTAGAGAGTAAGAAGGAAGTGAGGAAGAACTTACAAGGGATTAATACCCGTAACGAGCGATTTGACTAAAATCTGATGTTTGCCCGGAACGGGGTTTTCGAGATTATCGACGACTTCCCAGGAAGCATTGAGGCTTTTGATTATAACTCCTTTCATTTTGTAAATCTTAGGTTATGTGTTGTAGATAGATTTTTGGAGAATTAGGAGAATTGGGAATGATCAAAGGACTCAAAGAATAATTGCAAGCATCGAATTAATAGTAAAAGTGTGTGTAAAGAACTTCAACAACAAAAAGTCGTTCAATTGTTGAAGATAATGGTTCGATATATAAAAATGGGCAGGTAAAAAGTTAATCTTGGTGCTTACCCCTCCTTTGTTACATTTACCCCTCATTTAAAGCTTCCACCAACGAGGTCAGGATGTGTTGCTATTTACGCGACGGGCTTTTTTGCGGCCAATGGCGTGTTGGGATTTCTGCCTTGGAGGAATTATTTGATGAGGTTTTGATGAGGTTTTGGTGCGTTACATTTAGGAGATATGGAAGTCTCTGGGTTGGCTGGCTCTGGTGCTCAGATCGCTCGTTTACTACTTTGGGATGGCTTGTAGACGGAAATATGAGGATGTCATGCGGAGTACGTAGGGTAATATATTTAGGATCGTATGTTCGAGGCACGATGGACTTGTGCAATTGTTGGGGTATATTGAAGTACCTAGTATACTCACCTGTCACACATCACTGGAAAATTCAACAGTATCCTAGGAGATAAATTTTGCGTCTATGGTGGCATACGTATTCAACACAATATTCTTTTGCAACACTTACCTCTCAGTCCTCGACTTTTCGGGATTTTTCCATTTTGTCCCTTCAATTACCAAGCCATTCCTCCGTGGTGCGAATCACGTCTCGTAACTGTGACCAGTATTTCATTGCCCTAGAAAACACCAGTGACAAATATACTGTCAAGTATGAAGGCAGGGAAATTCCGCGCTTAATACTTAGCTAGCACCTAATATATCGCTTAGGTCTAGAATAACAGATACTGGTCTTTTCCGCAATATGCAACATAACCTCTTCTCAAGTAAAATTGGGACTGAGTGAATCGGAGATAGACTAGGTGAACAGATGCTAAAACTAGGCAGCATGAAAAGTAAAAGGCTCGAACTATGACTATTGACACCATGAGCATTGAGTTAAATGCAGGATAAGCTGAAAGACCTATTTAATTCCGATGAATAGATGACTACCTAATATTTGGAGAGGTGCAAGTAGCTCTTTAGCTAATAGCGTGGAAGAGGAATGAGAGGGAAGTGAAAGTGACGTGATAGTGAATTAAAAGTACAGATGTATGTTAAATGACTGAAGAATTGGGGAGTTGAAGGAAGGTATTGAGATAAGTCTATATGTTGAAGTTTAAGAACAATCACAAAAGCAATATCAGATCACCATTCACCCAACGACGAGAGAGAATCTCCTTTTCCAAAATAAACAAAGTTTCAAGTAGTCGCCCAATCTGTTGAGATAATGGTGTAGTATATAAACCCCATTATCCCGTGAAACAAACTCAATACAGTGTACGAATACTGATCTAACTCCACGATTACAACAGCAGATAAATAAAGCCAAATTAGATGTGCACCCAAGCAAACTAAACCAACATCCAGATCAGTTCCCACACACAACAAATGGCCACAATACAGCAGATCTCGCAATAAAATAAACCAAAAGTAAAAGAAGTAAAGAAAACAAAACAATACAGAATAGATATTAGACAAAAAAACCCAGACAATACAAGAAAATGACAACATCTAGCTTTCACAGACATGCAAATTGCTCGCTACCTTATTTTGCCAAGCAGAAATAGTGAATACAGAACATCCCTTTTTCGAAGTCCCGCCTAAGGCGATTATTCACCGATTCCATTCCTCTCACTTGATAAGAACTATGACAAACACTCATACGCCCATAATTAAGCGCTGTGCAATATTTAGGGCCTCGGAATGTGGAGTTGGAAACACACCGTTTATGTCAATTCGGCGTGAAAGTGTAGAGTAATGATGCATGATCTTGTTCTGTTTCATATCTGATAGCATATGGTGGTGACTTGACTTCATACAGGTCTCCAAACTAACTCAATGCGTGAGGGCTCTAGCTCATTAAAGTGAACTATAGAGTGATAAAGCTAGTGGAGACTTCAACAAATAGCTATTACGCCGCATGGCAACGGGATCTTGTGGCTGTAAGAGATTTAAAACCCCGTATTGCATCAAGCAGAAGGCATTGTCTCTCGATGAGGGTGTCTTATTGAATTTCTATATACAATTAACATCTTTCTAATATGTCAACAGTGTATCTGAAATTTTACAACTTCATTATGTAGTCCGATTAGAACCTCCATTATGTTCATCTTTGATTTCATTTGTTTGTTTCGCTCATCCATCAACAAGTCCTGATTTGATTCTCGGCTACTCTATCATGATAGCCGAGCATCTTTCTCTCCGAGTGGCGTCCTATAGCCATCATTTTTCTTATTTCCATCCCCATCTCCATACATCCAAAATTGCAAACCCAAGAACAAATCGCAACACATCTGGAACATGCCACAAAGTTTGAAGGCCCATGGTATAGCACTTGTAGCAGTAAAAAACCAGAACATCTTCATTATATCACCAGCAATCCAGCTGGCCATGACAGAAAAGCGAAAACCTTTGCACGATCGAGATTTGTGGTTGGCAATGATTTGTGGGATTGGAAGTGTTGCTTCTACACCAAGACCAATGTAGCCGATTGCGTCGGAGTAGACGGAATAGAACCATGGAGCTGGAGAGAGGATTAATTCGCATGCGATGAGGGCTATGAACAAGTAAAGGAGGAACTGCCAATAACTGCGAGTTTGTTCGTTAGCATTTTGGAAGATTTTGTGAGAAATATGTGAGAAAATTCGTACGGTTTCGGGGAACGCCATTGCCAGAAGTTATATGGTCTTGACCCTCCAAAATCTCCTTCCCTATGCCCAGCAAATGGCACAGCAGCATCTCCCCCTTTTGACGACGGCGACGGTCGATGATCCAGCGCAACTTTCAATAGCATAGTCTGCATCGTAATCATAATGAACGACTGTATCAACAAGGAGGTATCGAATTGGGCCCCCGGATAGTAGAAAACTCTACAATAAAGAAGATTAGCACCAAGTTTCCCCATGTTCATTGCAATATGGCATACCTTAAAAACGACGCAACAAGCATGATCAAAGGAATATCTAGAGAAAACCCCGCGCTGGATTTACTCCGATGTATCGAGTACGTCTGATCCGCATATGAAGTTATGGGAGATATTATGATAAACATAGGGGCGATGTAGCCAGTAATGAATGAAATGAGGCCCATCTTGAAGGAATTGGTTTTGGCTTCAAGCCAAGACTGACAAAATATGAGTAGATTCTATAATACAAATTCCATAGAAGCCGAAAAGATGTTTAAAAATAACAATTGGAAAGAAGTGAGTTAAATGGTCAAAGTAAGTCGTTCTATATTTATTTCTAGATAATAGATTCGAAGATTGATAACATAATAACCTTAATTCTCACCCCGGCATTTATTTTATCCGTGATCCGATGTTCGTCCCATGCAGTTTGAATTGACTTTCAGATAAGATAAGGAATAAGGTTAAGGTCATCTCCACCGGTTGCGATGGTGACAATGTCAACAAGAGGGGAAATAAGATTTCTTCCTCTTCATACAATTGCGCCCCATCATAATATTACCTAATGTATAGTCTATTTAATTCACCACAAAAGCGCAAAGGCGCATCACCTTCTAAAGTTTCTCTCAATGGACTCTTTTCCGATGGAAAATGGAAATGTAAATACTCCAAAACAACATGTCCATTTATCTGTTAGGCTGACACATAGGGGAAGGCAACTGCAATCCAAGATTACCAGCCGTAAAATTTCAAGTTAAGAAAGCAGGGCCAAATAAAGGTCGATGGTTCTATACATGCCAAGAACCAAAGGAGACAGCATGCGGATTTTTTCTATGGGATGATAAAGCCAAGGGGAGAGAGATGGGTGCAGTGTTAAACAATACAAGAACGGAACCTCATACTCCCGACTCGCGCGAACCGGTGACTCCATCGAAAGATAAACGGACTTTGGAAGGGCATGCGATGGCTAGCAACAAATGGCTTGAAGACCTTGGAAAGAAGGAGGATGATGAATTTGGCGCATGGCCCTTAACTCGAGAGGATGAGGAGAAAGTGGTTAAGACGGTTGAGAGGACAGACCCTGGAAGTTTTCCAGAGACTCCAAGGAAGGGGATGGATAGCAGGACTGCGACACCAGGAAGCAAAAGGAAACGAGCTGAAGAAGAGAGTAATGGCGCTGGTGTGTATCCTACGCCTTCAACAAAAGGTCCGCGAGATGAAGATATCTTTGGCACTCCATCTACAAGCCGTAAAAGATTAAATGGTGGCATATTCGATGGGAACGAAAGATCTGCTCATTTTAGTCCATCGGAGACACCTTCTCCCATGCGATTTAAGAATGTCACAATGGATGCACTTCCAAAATTCATGACCTCTCCTTCCAAGAGCAGTACCGGAGACCCGCAACAAAGTTACGACATGACCGAAGAGATTATGGATCTCCTAAAAGATCAACATATCGACGAGGAAGTCAATATCAAATTATGCCAAATGCTAACCAGGCATGCGCTTAAAATATCCGGTATCGTCAAGGGAAGGGATATCACCCGGATGGCTCTAAGAAGTAAAGATACGAAAATCGCAGAGCTTCAACAGCGGATCACGGCTCTGGAACATGAACATGATATGGATCAAGCGGTGATCAAGCGCCTCAGGGATCAAAATGCTGGATAGGAGGCACTTGGTTTTGTATGAGATATTCCAAGGAGATGCGAATGAATCAATGTTCCTCGTCCCCTTGTAGATATTCTCTCCCCTCAAATAATCAGCACTATACTCCAAGTCTTCACATCAATCTCCTCCAAGTATCCTTCGATCTCACAAGACCCTAGGGATAAATCGAGCAGCGTCATAAATAGGTAGGCAGGTAACAGGTTTGAAATTTACATTTCACGAAGCTCCACCACTCTAAAGACATGATCTATCTAGTCGATAGAATTATATACCCGCTATCTCGTTGCACACTATGGGCCTAGACAATAATAGGCAGTCTCGGTCCCCTGTCCCTTTCTCGACGCTTAAGAGATAGTCAAACACTAGTGGCTCAATTCTAAGTTCTCGTCCTTCTAGAGATCCCGGGAGCGCTGGCTGGGAAGAATGGTACGGCAAGGCTTTATCTAGTTAGGGTGCGGGAAAAGAGCAACGCGGAAGTCTACGGCACTGTTTTGGAAATGCTTCAGTTTCTAAGAATAAGAATCCCTCCTCGAGGAAACAAAAATATTTCTTAATATCCGCGTGATAACCATCCATCTCGTATCTACCCCTATAACTCCATCAAAACAATGTATACAATGATATCTTTCCCAATTCTAGCCATTTTCATCCGTAAACCCCATCCAAATCGCAACAATCAACCAACCCATCTTCTAGCACTCTTAAACATTCTCACCCAGGGTCCGAATTCTCCCCATTCCTCTACGCTCTCACTTGGCACATAACTACCCACATCTGCCATGATCGTTCTCTCGGGATGTGGCATCATAGCCAATACTCTTCCATCCAAACTTCTAACCGCCGCAATACCTTCGGGACTGCCATTTGGATTGTATGGGTATCTCATGGTTGGCTTATCAAAGTTGTCGGTATACCTAATTGGGATGAGATTGTCGGCATTCAAAGCTCCCAAGTCGGCGTCGTTCTTGAAAGAAGCTCGACCTTCACCGTGCGAGACAACGATAGGTAAGGAACTTCCATTCATACCGTGGAGGAAAACAGATGGCTTCTTGGCATTGTCTTGGATCTTAACCATGCTGACTCTGCCTTCGAATTGTTGAGATTGGTTATCAACGAAAACTGGCCAATGAGAAGTGCCAGGAATAAGTTCGGATATGCGACTAAGCATTTGACAACCATTGCAAACACCCAATGCAAAGGTATCTGGGCGTTTGAAGAAGTTTTCAAACTCTGGTCGGGCCTTTTGTTCATGCATAAGAATAGAATTTGCCCAACCACGACCGGCACCAAGGACATCACCGTAAGAGAAACCACCACAGGCAGCAATTCCAACAAAATTAGCTAGAGAATAATGCCCGGAGATAATGTCAGTCATGTGCACATCGATAGGATCAAATCCTGCAGCCTTAAAAGCGAATGCCATTTCGGCGTGACCATTAACTCCTTGTTCACGGAGGATAGCCACGCGAGGTGCCTTTGCGAAGGCAGATGTGATTGATGCTGTCAATGGGAGAATATTCTCCTTAGGTTCGTAGGTAAGTTCATAATGGAGCCCAGGGTCACGGTCATCTTTAATGTTCTCAAATTCAACGTCAGCACAATCGACGTTGTCTCTGAGACGTTGCATCTGGTAGGACGTTTTGGTCCACTGTTGTTGAAGCTCAGATCTGGGCATGTGTAAGATTGGCTTCTGTCCGTAGCGAATGGCGAGTTGCTGTTTCGATGCAGCTGGCACTCGACCAATCTTTCTGATGAGTCCTGGAGGAGGGCCACAGGTAGCAAAACACCTCATGAAGTTGACCTCGTCCGATTTTCGGACTTGGAAAACTGCACCAAGTTCTTCGTTGAATAAAGCTTCGATCACATGAGACGGGGATGCACTTTTTGAAACTCCGTCAAGCATGATCTCGGCGCCGCATCGCCCAGCAAACATCATTTCGGCGATCGTAGTTAATAAACCACCATCTGAAATATCATGATAAGCCAAGACGACACCTGACTCGTGTAACTGTTGTAAAGCATCGAAGTAGTCGACAATAAGATCAGTGTCCCTGACATCTGGTGCTTCATCTCCAACCTGCCCAAAAGATTGAGCCAGTGCTGACCCACCCAAGGCTTTATGACCTTGAGCAAGGTCAACATACATTAATGTAGTTTCTCCGACATCTTCCAATCTTCGAATTGCAGGTGTCCATGTGTTACGAACATTTGCGACTGGTGCAAAGGCTGAGATAACAACTGTCATAGGAGCTGTGACTGTTTTAAAGTCTCCAGTCTTCTGGTCCTTCCACGACGCTTTCATTGATGTCGAGTCTTTGCCGACGGGGATACTGACTCCTAGCTTAGGGCAGAGATCCATTCCAATTGCTTGGACTGCCTCATACAAAGCTGCACCCTCACCAGGTTGGTTCACTGCAGCCATCCAATTTGCGGATAAACGAATGCGAGGTAAGTTACCTAGAAGATGTGCTGCTCCAATATTCATCAAACTCTCGGCAACCGCCATTCTAGCCGACGCTGCAGCCGAAATTAAAGCCAAGGTGGGCTTTTCACCCATAGCCATAGCTTCACCAGTCTTCAACTTGCCCCCAATGTTAAGAGCAGTGGCTGTGACAGCTACATCTGCAACAGGGGTTTGCCATGGTCCAACCATTTGGTCACGAACCGTCAATCCTCCTACTGAACGATCTCCGATAGTAATGAGGAAGGATTTGGAGCCAACAGACGGTAAAGAAAAGACGCGCTCGATGGCCATTCTTAAGAGATCATGATCAGGAATATGTGGATAGGCTTCCTTGAGAGACTTCTCTACGTTGAATGGAAGTAGTTGCGGCCTCCTAGATTGAACAATTCTGTCCAGCTTCCTATCCTTAGGGAACAAGGTAGACATAGGAAGATCGATAGGCGTAGGATGCTGGGAAGAATCTCGATCAGTCACCACAAGTCTGGCAACTCCATCTTGATCTTTAGGGACAACAGTTCCAACATTGGAGAAGCCACATCGTTCACGTTCTGTAGATAATTAGTACTGAGTTGACTTTTTCTTGAGACAAAACTTACTAGCAATGCTGGTGAATCTAGCAAGGTCCTCCTTATTGACGATCAAGACGTAGCGTTCTTGAGCTTCGCAACACCAGATTTGTAGAGGACTCATACTTCCATCCGCACTTTCAACATTTCTAAGCTCGAATTTACCACCATATCCGGCATCCTTAACGAGTTCAGGTAAAGCATTGGATAATCCACCAGCTCCTACATCATGAATGAACGCAATAGGATTCTCGTCCTTCAAGGCTCTGCAGTGATCAATCACCATCTGGGCTCTCCGTTCCATTTCTGGGTTTCCTCGCTGAACACTATCAAAGTCAAGCTCGACAGAACTTTCCCCGGCGGATGTGTTACTTGAAGCTGCGCCTCCACCAAGACCAATCAGCATTGCTGGACCTCCAAGAACAATCACATGAGCTTCAGGCTTCACATCATTGCCATTCTTCAGAGCGTGTCCGGGTCTGACGGTACCGAGCCCACCAGCGATCATGATAGGTTTGTGATAACCCCGGCACTCGTCTGTTGATGCATCCGCGTCTGTGAGGAGAGTACGGAAAGAGCCAGCAAGACACGGTCTACCGAACTCGTTGTTGAATCTGGCACTGCCAATTGGTGCTTCTAACATGATATCCAAACTACTGGCATAATGCGCTGGTTTGCCAACATCCATTTCCCAGGGCTGCTTGTGTCCCGGAATCAAAAGGTCCGATACCCAGAATCCACAGAGACCAGCTTTTGGGGCGGATCCTCTACCAACAGCACCCTCATCTCTAATCTCTCCACCAGAACCGGTTGCTGCTCCTGGAAAGGGTGAAATTGCCGTAGGATGGTTATGAGTCTCGACCTTCGCTAAAATATGCACAACTTCGGGGGTTTGCTTCCAGCTACCAGTAGAGTATTCCGGAGCCCAGTGACTTGCCATCTCTCCTTGTAAGACGGCAGCATTATCGCTATATGCCGATACGGTAAAACCGGGGTTCTTTTTATGAGTGTTTCGAATCATTTCGAATAAACTCCTATCCATACTCATGCCGTCGATCGTCCAGTTCGCATTAAACTGTTTGTGTCTACAATGCTCAGAATTGACCTGTGCAAACATAAACAACTCAACATCGGTAGGGGATCTTCCATGTTGTGTGTATTTCTCCACAAGGTACTCCATTTCGGGGATGTCTAGAGCTAGTCCACGCTTCACATTATAGGCTTTTAAAACTTCAATTGGTGTTGAACCGTCTACCCAAAGATCAACAACTTCCAATGGAATTGGCTCCCCCTCTTCGAAAATTTTGTGAACATCTGGTTCTTCGGCACTAAAGTTCTCGGTCATGCGGTCGTAAAGGATATCTTTGAATGGCAAATCGTCCGCCTAAGAAACAGAAAGTCAGTGATTGCTTTTGGAGATCGGTAGCATTGAATTTTAACAATATTTAACCTAAAGGTATGTGGACAGAAAGGAAACTGATTATGCTCACCTCTGCCTCAGATGGTTCGGCGAATTGTACCAAAATAGCACGACCTCTTTCGATTCTTCGAACTTGGGATTCGAGACCGCATACATGTGCGATATTTGTGGCTTTGGAACTCCATGGGGAAAGATTTCGCGGAGTAACATCTGAAGAATAAAGGAGTTAATTAATGTTGTGGATACTTAGGAAGGAATGAGGGGCCATGACTGTTGAACAAGGCGCAGATGACGCAAAAAGTCATACTCCCAAAGAAACACCCCTTTCAAACTCCCAAATGAGATTCAACAATCAAATGGTTTCAATATTCAAGCTGAGTTTTGACAATCGAAACGTCTCCAAGGCTCAATTTGAGAAGAATGTTTTGATATGCGATCTATGACAAAGAGACAACTTACAATATATTTTACTCCTTAACTCAGCCTCCAAAATCGCCTCTGAACCTGGAAGAAGTTGTTTAAGTTTGGCTTCAGTTTCGGGATCAGTATGTCGCAGATGAGTGTAATGAATCCAAACACCCTTAAGCTCGACCTTCACAGCATGAAGATCATTGATTCTAGCAGCAAGCTTCACAGCCTCCGCTGCTGTGAAGCAAGAATCTCCAGTAATTTTGAGGTATTCCATGTCCAAGGGGTCGGTTGGAGTGAGAAAAAATTGATCCCCGCTGAAGAGATTTCTGGAGACAAGATCTTATCGTTATCATGGAGGGGTTACCTGGGGTTATATAAAAGACAGATGCCTTAAATACTAGGCACATATCCACCCAAGAGCTGGTGAGCCATGCTAAACCTTTCCGGATGCCCTTCCCCTAATAACCTCTACCCCTCAATCGGAAATAATCTTTTTTCTATTAGCTTTACCGGCACTTGATTTTCCATATATTGGGAGCTTATCTAGGTCAGTAATATAATAATAATTTTACTAAATAAATAATCTTTTTGTTATCCGAAATGTATTATAGACAAAATACAGCTTTAGAGATATCAAAATCTCACTGTCGTTGAATGAGAGTCTTATTATCTGCGTTGCATACGAAGTATATCAGAAAGAACTGCCGGCGTCATCTTCAGTATTCATTCCCGGAGATACCGACGAGGAATTGAGCCGTATACCATTTATCAAAGTTGTTTTCACAGAAGAGTAAAGTCTCGAGGACTAACCATATTACTTATAGCAACAATTCCTAAAACCTAATATCACATTCAGTTTGATTTATAGACTTCTTTTACTAAAACTCTAACACCTGCTTTCTCTCTAGCGCAAAAAGGGTCAAATATATATCTTAAAGTTACTATCTCTTCCATTTCACCTGCAACCCCGACTCTATCAACCGTAATCTTATCAGCACGTGCAACACAAGAAGAACATTCAATCTAAGATACAACGATAACTTCCACGTCAAAAAATTGAAAAAATACAAAAAGACAATTTCTCTCAGGCGTGAGTCGAACACGCGACATCCAGATTACAATGAACAATTACAGTCTGACGTCATAAACCAACTAGACGACCGAGAGTGTGATCGAGTGAACTCGAACCGGTCAGGGTACCACTGAACCATAAACGATTTAGTGGTTGTTATAGAAGTAAAAATTGTACAAGAATATATACCCATTACAAAGCATAAAACCGATTCTGTACCCACATCTCATTCGATATACAATTTACTTAACAAGCCTCAGTATGTGTATAGCAGAAGATAGATTGATGTGCATTTCATCTTTTTGTCAGAAGTTCTACTAACGATCTTAAAAGTCTTGTTTCTCATAAAAGGCCAGCAATCTACAAAGTGTAGATAGTCCACAGTCATCAGGTGATAGACATCTCACATACATACCTCGCATTTTCACTAGCTTCTTGAAATTTCCATTTCTTTTCCAAATCACTATAACCTGGAAGTCATGCTGCAAACGTTTTAAGTCTCTCCATGGATTTTTCATTATCAGTCCGTCGTATCTGCTAGTATTTCAACAAGATACTCAAAAGAGCTCGTAAAAGCTCATCTTCCGTATTCGTTGCTACAACTCATCTACATTCTCATATGCTACTTGCTATTGCTATACTGCGCAAGGTGAACTCTGAGAACATAAGACTTTATTTGAACTACGTCTTCCAAGTCATATATCAGAAGACCAAAAAGTCTCTTCTATCACAAGATTCATATTACAAGTGTCCTGAAGAAAATGGTTAGAATATCTAAAGTGGACAGAACTTGAGAATCCACTTGACAAGATCGTGTTCTCCAGACAAGAAGTTCTTGTGAATATGATTGTGAAGGGTGCGAAAGATGAAGCGGACATGACGTTCAGTGGTTGGATACTATGTCGTCGGTGAAAACATATGAGGGGACACTAGTGGATTTGAGGAGTAAGGGTGAGAAGGAAACGAAGAGGCAGAAGGATCACGGTACTACAAATGTAAGAGTAAGAATGGAGATAATTCTTACTTCTCTTGTTCTTAAGGGGTAACTTAACTCCTCGCTTAGATGAGCATGCAGGAAGGTTTTGAAAGTCTACAAAGTAACGATACGACAAGATTTCTTTCGGGATTGAGATGAATAGAGTAATTGGTACTTGTATTGATTCTCACCAATCATTTGAAATATTTCTTCCATATTATCTGGCACTTCATACTCTATGAACGCCGTATGCCCAAGTCAACCCCACCCTTCCCTACCATATTCAGTATATCCCTCATACACAAATTTAGTATTATACTACCCCATCCTAGGTAATACCATAGCATGCTATGCTAGAGTAGTGATAGATTAGATACATTAAGTTGAACCGTGTAGTAGTGACTGAAGTGGTATGAAATGTCTGAGAAAACATACAGTGGCTAAGTCCAATATCTGGTCAATCAAGTTCAAAGTCTCAACAAGTATACGAGAGCATAAAAAGTTCATATCATCAAGATTCATATTCATATTGCATATCAACTATTCATAATATCGTCTAGCAAACTAAAATATCTCATCTTATCTCTGCCGGTCTCATCTTAAGACCGTCTTCACTTCATCAATCCATTTATTTACCAATCTCACCGAATAATCAGACGCTCTTTTTCGGATATTCGCAGAACACAAACCACCCCATATGGATCAAATGACGCAAAGCTCAAAATGTCATATACCGGCTGGTAACTTAATACTCGGCTTCAGTCTCTTCAGCCTCAAAGCTATCAGCAGCAACCTCTTCGTAGTCCTTCTCCAATGCTGCCAAATCTTCTCTTGCTTCACTAAACTCTCCTTCTTCCATACCTTCACCAACATACCAATGCACGAAAGCACGCTTGCTGTACATAAGATCGAATTTGTGATCCAATCTTGACCAAGCTTCGGCAATAGCGGTGGTGTTGGACAACATACTGACGGATCGATCGACTGAGGCAAGGGCACCATCGTTGGGTGCAGTGGATGGAACAGACATAGGCTTTTGGTAGTTGATTCCGAGCTTGAAACCAGTTGGACACCATTCGACGAGGTTGAATGATGTCTTAGCTTTAAGGGAAGCGACAGCAGCGTTGCAGTCACGGGGAACGACGTCACCACGGTAAAGGAGGGCAACGGCCATGTATTTTCCGTTGCGGGGATCGCAGACCACCATTTGATTGTTTGGTTCAAAGCATCTTTATGGAGTCAGTATGAAATATTAATACAAAAATGGAGAAACATACTGGAGGGTCAATTCTTGAGTCTTGAAGCTCTCGTGAGAACTTCTAGAAGCGGAAATGACTGGGGCGTAACTGATCAATGGATAATGAATTCTTGGGTAAGGAACCAAGTTAGTTTGGAACTCGTTGAGATCGACATTCATAGCACCATCGAAACGAAGCGACGAGGTAATGGAGCTGACAACTTGAGCAATCAATCTGTTGAGATGCTCAAATGAAGGACGTGGGATGTCCAAGTTGCGGCGGCAGATATCGTACACGGCCTCGTTATCGACCAAGAAGGTACAGTCGGAGTTTTCGATGGTGCTATGAGTGCTGAGAACAGCGTTATATGGCTCGACAACAGCGGTAGAAACCCTTGGAGCTGGGTAAACTGCGAATTCGAGTTTTGATTTCTTGCCATAGTCGGTAGAGAGACGCTCAAGCAACAGAGACCCGAAACCAGAACCGGTTCCACCACCGAAAGAGTGGAAGATCAAGAAACCTTGAAGAGAAGAGCAGTTATCCTTGTGGCAGCTAATTAGTAATGTCCATTTATAGACACATGCAATGTTTCCTCACCAGAACGCGACGGATCTTGTCCAAAGTACCATCCAACATCTCCTTTCCAATTGTATAGTGACCACGAGCGTAGTTGTTGGCAGCATCTTCCTTTCCACTGATCAAAAGCTCTGGGTGAAAGAGTGATCTGTAATCACCAGTTCGGATCTCGTCAATTGGAGATGGGTCGAGATCGACGAAGATGGATCGAGGTACGTATTTACCATTGCCGGTTTCCGTGAAGACTGTATCGAGTTGACCAGATTCGTGGACGGCCTTTGCCTCGGGGTCAGGGCGACCATCTTGTAAGAGACCATGCTCAAGGAGATATCTAAACGATCAATCAGTAGATATACAACCGAATATACGAGGCATCAAATCAACTTACAACTCCCAAGCACTGTTACCAAGCTGAGTACCAGCTTGACCGATATGAAGGTGAAGAATCTAGAATGAAAGAATTGTCAATTATCGATCATTGCGACGCGTATATGATGGATCGATGAATGGATGCATGCAGGAGATATACGCTTCTCTCAATGAAGTGTGTGAAGTGATGCTGAGGTGGGTGAAGTGTTGTAAATAATAGAATTGTTTTTGTTTATTTACCTCTCCTCGAGTCATCTTGAATTATCCTTTTGTGTTCTCAAAGAAGATGGAATGAATTGGGAGAGAATGAGGGGAACAATGGAGTTGGAATCGTCAATAAGCTATGGCAAAGAATGTTCCCTTTGCGATCTGGGTTTAAGTTTATTGTTTATTTGACGAAAGAGTGGATTTGCTGGCAGCTGTTTGAATTCGAGTTTCGCGAAGTTCTCAAGTTCAAGTCCTCTTGGTTGATTTTGAATGTGGGGCCCTTGCATAGTGTGGCAGATAGATAGCGCGGCGGTGTAGATTTTCAGGGGGTAGGAAACCTTAGGCATTTTGCATTTGGCAATACAGTGTGTAACACAATCCTATTTGAGACATATATATATTTGATATCACGTGCGGTAAATATCATCTTATACAAACTCAACTATTTCAACTCATACTCTTATACTCTCATACTATCATCTTGTGGTTCTCGTCGAGGCAGTCAAATATCTACAAGAATTATATCTTTAGCCTTCAGGAAAGCACTAAAGACTCTATCCAACTACCCAGATATACATCCCTACATAAACACCACAATTACCTCAACTTCCTTTCAAAAGCAACGCCCATTTACCAACAGCCTAACGACTCTCCTTCTCCCCCTTATAGCTACTCAACAAAAAATACAGCACTAGAACTATCATGCTGTGCCGCAAATCGAATATTTCAATCCAATCCGAATCAGCCCATCTAATATTGACATTGCACGGCGGGACGGACATGATAACCTCATATAGCTATGATCATCCCACTAATCAAATTCGTTCTCACAATTTGGGACAAATTGATATTAAATATTAAATGATCTCCGGTTTCCAAAGCTTAGGCTGTATGATACATTGATAAGAACTACTTTTGTCTCCTCTATTTCAAAATATAAATGATTAGCACGATATGAAAAGAACATTAGATGAAGGTTCACATTGTTGCAATTTTTCTCATTAGTTTTGAAGATACAAGCATACGAAGAGTCCATAACCATGATTTAGTGTACATCGCTGAAGGCAACAAGCAAAAACGATGCTCACGGAGAAATGAAAGCTTTAGAAGTGTAAAGCGAACATGCCCTGCACAAATTGTGCTTTAACGCCAAGAAGAGAATTTTGAAATCAAACCCAGACTGCTTCTTTCCACCACCTATTTTTCCATAATCTTCACTCAAATTTCCTCGGTCCATTCTTTCACTATAAGCATCGGATATCAATTGACCTTGAACCACGCTAAACCTTTCACTTGAACTTAGTAATTGAGTTCGCCGGACCCAGCTCCAGCAACGGCATCAAGATCTTCATAAGATTTTAAGCTTCTGCCTGCTGTTGCTTCACGAGGCCCAACAGTTGTACTACCAGGAGCTGCTCCATCGCCCCATCGGCTACCACCACTAGCTGGCGTAAAGCGGTGCGGCAGTCCACGGCCGCCACGTTCACCACTGGGAGGGCTTAGTCTACCGGCATTTGGATCCCCGCGGTTCTGATTGGGTCGGCGATCGTAGGGACCTGGTCGGCTATTTGTTTGATATCGACCAGCACCTCTTCTGATGGGGCCGGGACCACGACTATCAGGGCCGCTAACCCAACCCATAGGTGACTGCACAGCATGACCGGCAAGGAAAGGTGGGAAGCCATTAGATGGAGGAAAGCCTGACATAGCATTGAGTCCATTCATTCCAAAGTTTTGAAGATTGAAACCACGCGGAGTGCCGGCTGGCATGTGACCATTAGCTGGAGGGAAGTGACCGTTGCTATTGGCATCCGATCTTGATGGAGCAATATGCGCAGGATCGAGAACGTAGGTATTGACAAGATCAAACTATATGCCATTAGTTTGCGTCGTGGGAATGGACCAAAAAACTTACGTCAGTCTTCAAACTTTCCAGCCATTCCGGATGTCTCTTTTCAACATGCTTCTTCCAGAAGTGCTCTTCCTTAAACAATTTGGTGCACTCTGGAACTCTGCATCTAAATTTGTGATCATCTTCTTGCTTCACATATTTGACCAACTCATCCCTCAAAGCCTCATCAGTTGGCTTTCCACCCAGTTTTCGCACATCAACGTTATCCGGATCTAGGAGTTGCATAATCTTGTCCTCAAACGTTCTGACCCAATTGAAAGCTCGTTGAAGCTGCTGTTCTGCCTTGGAAACATTGTTACGCGGATTGCCTTTGCGCTCACCATCTGGAGAGGAGGGATCCATATCCATCTTGTCGTCGGACTTTGCCTTTCCAGGGAACGCTTCACCCAATGCACTGGCGCGAGCAGCTGCTTTGGCTGATGTGGTAAGAGTGTTACGTGGTCTTCTAAGATGTCCTCCAGGGCATTTTCGAGTGAGCTCGTGAATCGAGTCACTCTCAAAAACACAGAAGAAGCAAAAGTTGAAGACACGTCTTAGATACTCAACCATGAGATCAAGCTGCTTCTTCTTGACAAGAAGTTCCTCATCATCAATGTCATCGAAATCAAAAGCACCTTCTTCTTCTTCCTCTCCTTCCTCCATCTCCTCGAACTCCTCAACTTCGTCCATTCCTTCATCAAAGCCAAGCCCATTCTTAGACTTCTTGCCTTTCTTGGGCGTAGGAGCTGTGACCGGGGGTTGAAGACGGCCTTGGTTCTTCAAGTCATCGACTTTTTCTTCAATCTTTAGGACAGCATTGAAGTCGGAACCAAAATCTTCTTCGAATTTGCTAACGAGGCGGGTGGCCAAATCAAGATCTTTCTCAATACGTTCAGGAGCTGAAAACAAATCCCAAAGTGCCTTCTTGCGTGGTGAGTTAGGCGGCACATGAACACCGACATGGCAGGTAAAATCTCCTCTAACTTCATCCTTGACGGTCTTTCCATTGATAGCCTCAAGTGCCTTCTGAGCAGTAGTAAGTGGAGCTGCTGGTTCGGCAGAGATATCACCCTCTTCTTCATCCTTCATTTCTGGTCGATCAAGGATGGGAGCTGAATCAGGGGCAGGGTGAAGCATGACCCAACCAATTCTATGGTATCGTTTGCTTGGATTTGGATCACTCAAACTCAGCCACTTGAAACCACCCTCATCCTCTCCCAAATGCTCCTTGCAAAAAGATTCGAGATTAGAACGGCTCACATGTGGCGCAATTGTCTTGATAAGCAACGTGGGCTGGAAAGCATTCTCATCTCGAATGTCCCCACCTCTAGAAGGAACTAGGTCACCAACTCCCAAAACTTCATTGGCAGCGGTTGTCTCGCCCTCTTCCTTTTCGATAACACCACCAGTACCGTTGCTTTCGCTTTTAGGAATACCCTCCAGAGAGTATTCATCAAAAGTTCCGGATTCAAGATCTTGCTCCCATTGGCTATAATTTCCGCGGCGGAACTCGTTAACTTGTAAACGCAAAGCATCTCGCATCTCGGGTACGTATCTCTCCATAAACCACTGTTCTCCTTTGTGCTCCTGCACAAATGTACGTGCCATCCTGGCTTGAAGTTCTTCTTTATATGCATCATATGCAACTTGTATGCGAGCCTTTTCGGCATCACGGTCTTCTTCACGAGGTCTGAAGATTTCACCACGCTTCCCGGATCTAACACGTTCCTTGTCCTCCTTGATCTTCTCATTTGTGCGCCACCATTCCCCATAGTACGAGAATCCGACCTGAAAAGGCAGGATAACTGGATCCGCAAGTGGATTGACAGTAATTGGAGGAGGCGGACCGGAATCTTGACCAGGTACATATCGATCGATATTGGCTGGTGCAGGAGAAGCAATTCGTCTTCGATCCTCGCGATCCCTCGATGATCTGTAATCATCTCTATCTCTTGCTCTACCATTAGGTTCATAACGGTCTACCGGAGATCTAGAGCGGTCGCGGTCGCGCGGGTTTCGTCTTTGCCTATCACCAACTAAAGTAAAAATCATGTAAGCATAAGAGTAATAAAAAATAGATACCAACGCAAGGAAGTATTATTATGTAGCAGATGCATTGTAATGATTAAGTAGGTGGAAAAAAGTTGTGTTTGAGTGTGGGGGGGACATTTCCGAAAACCATGACTGCATGCTTCGCGTCCAGTGAAGGGCAGCTGTTCGAAACTAAAGCAGAAAGGGTGAAATGATTGAGCTCATAAAATGCGACATACCAGGAGATCTGCCACGGTAAAATGATTCGCGGTCGCGTTCGGGTTTCACACCTCTGAAACCATCGTCGCGTTCATTTTTAACACCTCTAAAGCTATCATCACGTCCAGCCCAACTCGTTCTTTCAGTTGGTGATCGCGCGAGCGGTGGCTCTCTGCTGTAATTTCCGTAGCCGTCCATGGTGTGATCGTAATCGCCCAAAATTACTCCACCTTTGCCTCTCTTTCGAAATTCAGATATTCGGCTGATCTGACGCTCTGGTAGGATAGTTCGTTACTCAAGATACTCTAGACGAGATCGATGTAGGTATTCGGGTTTCGTCGATTGCGATTGTCAAGTGACACCTATGGATTGTCGAGAGGAGGTGATGACAACGAAGCTACTGCTGTTTGATAACATGATTGCCCGTTAGAGGATTGTTCAAAATTGTAATAGAATGAAGAAGGTTATGTTTGATGAACAGGGGGTATAAATGCGATATCAACTGGAGAAAGGATGCAGAAGAGGCAGAAGAGAGAAAAGAAGAGTAAAAAAGTTCAGCGCCTATAGATGGCAGATAAAAAAACGACGACAACTTGTTGTTGTTGATGGGGATATCCGATCTTGATATGATATGTATGATATGGTTGATGAATGGATGGATTAACTTGATTCCAAGATTGAAGATTCGGAATTAATCGCTCAAGAAGAAGAAAAGCAATTGTTATGGGTTTATCGCAACGATAATGATGGGGCAGAAAAAGGATGATATGTGTGTATGGATTTTTGGTTTTTGAGGACAAGGTTTTTAAGAAGAATAGAAGAATAGGACTGACGAACAAGATTCAGGTATTGAGTAACTGTGGTTTAAAATGGAACCTCCTCTACCAAAATGAGATTGGATAGATAGATAGATGTTGTCGATTGAAGAAGGCCGAAGTTGGAGAATTGGGATTCGGGGATTTGTCAAAGGGAGCAAGAGCTTCCTAGCATTGCTGACTAGTGTTGATAGACCTTTACCCATTTGATCGTTAGGGTAGGAAGCACAGTCCAGGTCCATTATAAGACTAGTGGGAGAGTGGCCATAATGGCAAATGTAGCTTAGTTCGGTTCGCTTAGCCGCTCAAAACGATGTTACGAATAAGAGAGGGCATGGGGTAAGGTACATTCAAGAACCAATTAAATGATTCAAATTCCAGAGTCTATGGAGTACCAACCGTTGCCATAACTGAATTCATCATAAGTTAGGTAAGGAAACAAAGCCATCCATCCGTCCAAAAAAGGTAGGAGGATCCATTAATCAGGTCATTCATTACCATTTCACTTCTTCAATCTTCACCAAATTCTCTTTACTCTACATAACCGAATACAGAAGATAAATACCTAGCAAGTTCTCAGTCCCCTCTCCCCTCGCCGAGTAAACCGAGGTGGTCAAGTCCTCACTCCACCTATTACTTTTTGCTTCACAGGAAGAGTACGTCATTGAGGGGAACGTGACATTACACGTATCCACACGCAAAAAGATATAAAGACATCGCGGTCGACTTCTACTTAACGTCTCTCTTCAAAGCAGTAACTAACAGAGGAATTGATTCATCAGTTAGGACCTCATTTCATCCAACATGACGACCTTCATTCCCAGCTTAACGCTGCCGGCATCCATATTTGCCAACCCAACCGCTTCCATTCTCCTCCCAGTTACTCTTGGTACTGCTGTTGGTTTCGCAGTTAGCCGTACGTATTTACATCCTATTCTTTGAATCCTCATGTTTCGTCCAGATTATGCACAATGAGGATATCCTCGAGGAGATTATACAATTGGGAGCAATATGCCAATCCCTTAAAACAATACACTAACATCCTTCCAGCAAAAAAGACTCAAAAAACCTACATGGCACTCAAACAACCTCCCTACCGTCCACCTCCATATGTCTTCGGTCCCGCATGGACTCTTCTCTACGGTCTCATGGGATTCTCTGCCTACCGCGCATACTCCACCGGAATGAACCCTCTGGCTTCTACTGAAAAACATCTCCTCACCAAACAAGGCGCGACACTCTACACAATTCAGTAAGTGATACCTCTCTCGGACCTATTTAAGCAGCCGCTTCATACCCAAATCGCTCCCTCACGTAGAAACCCAACTAACATATTTCCTCAGACTCGGCCTAAACCTAATCTGGACACCCCTCTTCTTCAAGCTCAAGCGTCCCGTCCTCGCTACCGTTGACATTGTCACCCTCACCGGCGTCGTCTCGTACCTCACCTATACCTGGAGCAAAGTCGACCCAGTTGCCGCATGGGCACTCGCTCCCTACCTCGGCTGGCTCGGATTCGCTACCTATCTATGCGCCGGAGTTGGTTACTTGAACGACTGGGACATCAGTGACAAGGAGGTGAAGAAGAGCCCCGAAGGAAAGGACACAAAGTACGTAGATGAGAAGGAGGAATAAATGGTAACGCGAAGCGGGTATGGATATGCACGGGAGGTGTTTCCGCCATCCAAATGCTTTGCAAACTCCTAGAACCCCTCCTACTACCTAGGCAGATGAACTTTGGCGCGCAAAATGGGCACAACAGCACGGTTTTGGCATATATTTAATGGGAAGCGAGTACTAAGTTTGTCGACGAATGCGGATATGCACTAAATTGATCGTTTTCAGATATTATACCACATATTTTAATCATGAAATACTTACTTGCAACAAAACCAAATGAAATATCTGAAACCTTGGAGATAAAACTTGCTCGTCAATAGTTCTTCGCGATTTCTTCTCAATATGAACTACGAGTACCTAGTTCTAACCTCAATAAATCTACCCTGCTCCTTTTCCGTCTATATTAATAAATTTTGCAAAGCTAGCTGATCGACCCGAGATCTCGGACCCTTCTAACTCAAAACTACCCTTTCAAATCCTTCATCCCAATCCTACCCCTTGAGGAGACTATCTTTTGTCTCACCTTGCCCCTCCTTACCGAATCAGCCGAGCGCGTCAGCCAATCTAAATTTTCCTGAACTCCCTCAACGCCCGCCGTGATGATCTATCTCCTAGCCGAAAAGAAAGACCCGAGTTTGTTTTCTATAGCCAGCCACTCTAAAATGATATAATGTGGTGTGCAAATGGAAAGTAGAGAACGTTCCAATGTTATGTACATGCGTGCCGTGCCGTAATTGGTCAAATGTGAAATGAGAGTTAGGAGAGATGGAAACGACTCTTTAATCCGTCGTATATCATGAATATGAATGCGGAGCTAGGTGCTGATCGCATGACTGTGATACCACAACCTCGGTACATGCCCTTCAAGCCATGTTGTTTCCAGAGAAGAGCGCCTTCTTGCATGAATGTCGTGCGGGGTGCCGTGGATGAAGTAGAAGCGGTTTGCATGCGAGATTTGATGGTGTCCGCAGGAAAGAAGAGAAAATTATAAGACATGCCTGCTGTGGCGCCAGCGAGAGCTTGTTGCCAAAAAGGTAGCGGTACTAGCTCGGTAGGTAGAACTAGAGAAGGGTTTTGGGGTGAACGTTTGTCGTTCAATTTTCGAAAAAGTGAAGTAACAGTTTCCTTGCTACCAAACCAAGCGGCGCATCCACCCGTTTCACGAATTAAGGTACCCAACTGCCCATTCCAAAAACCACGAATGCCCTGATGATGCCATACCTCACGGATAACTGCTGAGACTGTTTTAGCAGCAACGGGAGCCGAACTATTTGCGGCGGCACTTGGTACTTGTATTTTGCATTTGACCAATTCAATGGGCGTGAGGATTAAGGAAGTGAGGGCACCAGAAAGTGCACCAGTCATCCATAACGCCTCAAGAGGAAGTGGTTGATCGCTCTTATATATCCCTACCTTGAGGAGCGCTTCTCTACTCGCTTGCTCCCAAACAAAAAGACTGCTGGTCTCCAGAGCAGCTCCAACTAGTGGAGCACTAATACCCCTATATAATCCTAGAATCCCATCACTGCGAATGGATTGTTTGAAACAATCGAGAGGCCCTGTATACCGCAGGGGAAGATGGTAAGGTTGGGATTGAAGTCGTACTTTGACCGTGTCGAAAGGATATTCGATATATTTGCCAGCCACTCCAGCAATCTATTCATTTGTTAGCAATCATCTTGGCTTTTTCTGCAGGCATCACACACTGAACCGTATATACAATCCTCGACAGAATTCATTAAAGCCTCTCTCCCTTTAGACACTACTTCCCGAGGTGTATCTGGAGTGAAATCTGCTGTCATAGCGGCTGCCATTCTAACCAAACCGTAGCTTGCTTATGCGAAACTACAGAAATATGTTTCCAGGAACGGTGATGATAGTGCGATATTTGATTATGCCGATGTGATTTGATTGTCCTAAGACCTGCAAGAAAATAGTCGAAGAAGGATGGAGAATCTTTGCACGGGTCTTTATAAGCTAAGAAGACTGTTCCACGTCGCAATTGAATAACAGTTATAAGGTTAAAGTAACAGTAACAGTAACAGCTGGATTGTGTGACTGTATGAAAGTGTGAATGTCTGCAATATATTTCGCCAACAACGGGTTGCACCCAGAACTTTCTTACCCTCTCGTAATTTATTGTAGCAAACTCGTAATATTATGAATCAGAGGGGAATGCGACCCACAAACGATGAAGGTGAATCGACCCCCAACAAGCCCAACCATAGTGTTAAAAAGACATGGTAGAGCCTAGAGGGCGTGTGCCAAGGCCATTAATGAATGAATCAATCAATCAATCAATCAAATGTATGGTGGTGGAGTTGGTGGAAGGCTTGAATAATGTCGTGAGAGGAGAGTGAGGTCCGATTTATCGTGAAATCATTTCGAAGGGCTTGCTTTGTCAAAAATGATGTGGGGAGTTATGGAGCTATTTTTTCTTATCAGATGGAAAATCTGCGAAAATCTCCACAATCGAGTGATTGGACCCGAGTCACTCAAATCATCATTACCTAGGAGAGAGACATGTCGTTTCTGATACTGATACTCTTATTTTTTGTTTTGTATTATGGATTATGATTATGGATTATGATTATGGATTATGATTATGGATTATGATTATGGATTATGATTATGGATTATGATTATGATTGTTGTAAAGATAGGGAAAATAAATGGACCCCACTTATTTTCAAAGAAATATGGAAAAGGGAAGAGTCCAGATTAGTTTAGCGTCATAATTAGTGCACACTGATAAGCTGCATTTGCGCTTATCGAAAGTGCAGAAAAAAAAAGTTCCTGGCCCTCTATATCGAAATCGGGACGACAAATTGATTCTGGTGCTGGACAATCGAAACGCCTAAAATAAACTCATCGACGTCCATCGTAATTACTTATTCGCTCATCAACATCCAAAAAGAAATACATTGATCAATATCTGTTCCGTATTTTTATTGATCAAAAATGTCAACAGAAATCGCCCCTACCACTGTTGCACCTGAGTCGACCTCGGCCGTCACTCCACAGGGTATGCGCAAGAATGGTATGTATGCGCTCCCATGAGGCTTTTCAATGTCTTGCCAGACATAAAGTCGCTAATTTTGATATTCTATAGGTAAACAATGGCATCCTGTGAAGAAAGCTTTTCGACCAAAGGCTGGGAATACTTCTTATGAAAAGAGAAAGGCAAATGATCTGGCAGTGGCACTAACTAAGGCCAAAGAAAAGGAAATGAAGGATGAGAAGGAGGCAGCAAGACAGGTTAGAACCTCGTCAACTGTATATTGGACGAAATCTAATCATATAAATAGGCCCATATAACAAAGATCAGGGAAAAGCGCGCCAACAAGGAGGAGAGAGAACGATACGAAAAGATGGCCGAAAAGATGCATCAGAAGCGTGTCGACAGATTAAAGAGAAGGGAGAAGAGAAACAAGATGTTGAAGTCATGATGGGCAATCTTCTGGGACGGAGCATATGGCGTATGGGATGGATTGAAATATATTAAGTGCGATGGGTTGATATGGTTGATTTGTACAATTCACATATAATACGTCGACCAATATTCAGCTTGGTGGCATAAAGACGACTATCCAAAGTTGAATATAGCAGCATGGATGAGGATCTCCATCCTGTTAGGGACGATGAAGTCAATTTAGATTCAGTCTAGGTTCTTGAGGAAATTGATGTATATCATCGACGAGATGGGAATTTATATCTTCGATGATCATTTAACATTTGATTGGAGATTAAGGGAACAGACCTATTAGCTGTTTTGAATGTATGATGAACAATAAAAGAGACAATTAAACGAGTTAAATCTTCCTAAGTATATATCAACTGGTTTTAAAAATATCCTCATATGAACGTCCCCTTCATTAACAAGTTCATGCTGATGCGGCCGCAGGCTCTGTAATGTAATTGCATCAATGGTCGCTAAAGCTCACCATCTAAGCTTCATAGCACATGCATGGGAAGCTCAACAGACATAACATGAGACAAGCAACAGCTGATCACGGACTAAAGAGTTATGTCTTCCAACGGTGATGGATCAAAATATGTTTCTCCAAATAAATCTAGTAACCAGGTCGCACGGTCGGTATCCGAGGCATCACCATCTCCCCTGAAATCTCGCCGATCGCAACATCACCACCACCATCATCACCATCATCCCCATATACATCGCCGAGAAAAGGAGGAAAAATCATCTCAATCTACTCTGCAGAAGGCCCTCAGTCCTTCTGAAGAGTTGTCGAGAAGTGAGGGAGTTTCTTCCAGCGAAAGCCGGAATGAAAGTAGAAGGCACAGCATTTTTAGCTCAACTGTAGACGGCTTCGATTTGTCGAGAAGCAGCGAGAGAAGGCCATTAAGGGAAGGCGAGCTCGAAGCGGAGAAGGAGAAGAGCGCCACGATGGCCACGTTTGTCTTTCTTACCATCGATTGCTGTTTTATACTAATGTACTGGATCAGGGAGTTGCGAAATGCCTTGACGGACGTGAATGCTGTGGCAGATCATACAACCAGACATCTCGATGCAACATACTATTCGGTTCTAGAAAAACTTGGCGATCTGCATAGGACGATTGGCTCTCTCAAAGAGTTGGCGGCTATGACTAGACAATTGAATGAGGATTTTAAGACAGAAGGGGAGGAGCTTGTAGAAGAAAGTCGAGCGCAACTAGAAGGGTTTGAAGAATTCGAAGCACAGGAACAGAAGATCAGAGCATTGGAGAAACGTGTTAAAGAAGGACGAAATACAATTGGCACATTGAGTAGGCGGGTAGACATTGTTAGGAAGCGAGTTAAAGGCTGGGAAAAAGCAGAGCAGGAATGGCAAGACAAAACCCGAAAGCGACTGAAGATGATGTGGATTCTAATGTCAATATGCGCAACCATATTGCTATCAATTGTTATTCTGGCTTATATACCAACGGGGGAGCAAGGACATGGAGCTGCAAGATTCAACAGCTTTAATACGACTGCGCTGGGGGAGTTGGAGAAGGCCAAAAATGAGACCAAAAACATGCTAAAGCCCCCTTTGGAGATACTGGAGAGTTCAACTGGAAGTGAAGTCAACAAGGAGGCAGGGAAACCGGCAGAAGACCCAAGGCTTGAGATATTCGACGAGTTATAATTTATTGGTACAGGAATGCACGTACAAGGTTCACATTTTCTTAGCCCAGCTCAGTCGTGAATATAACCACTTTTTTCCAAGTATACTACGCCTTGTGGGATCAGAAAATCAGTGGGTCTACGGTCTGATGACTTAGTATATTAACATGCCGAGCAGCCGGATCTTGGTATAAATCCAAAGCAACCTGGCAATTCGTATATCTTCTTAGCATTTTCGAATCTTTGTAATCTTACACCAACCGTTAACGGCACTTGTTAGATTGATAGGGACATTTATATGCGCCGTATGAAATGATATGTACGATGTAAATAGCATCGAGGACTCGCATCCATCCTAGAATCCTTGGCAAACTAGACATCGGAGGAGTTCGGGTTTCATGTCGAATGATGTCTAATTGCTCTACGCCCCCCTCCCCCGGTGTGTTCGTACCAGCCACTGTATTCGTACTCCGTACTCGTACTACAGTGTAGTTTCGGGGTAACATCTTTTAAGCTCTAGAATGATGGCACGGTGCGGTCTTCTAGGAGTCTGTGGGCCAGCTCAATCATCATTTCTTTACTGAGCCAGCCACCAAAAATATTTATCCCTGTATTGTGTATGTATGGTAAATGTCAAGAAATTCAAAATCAATATATAAGCTATGAATATTCTCTTTCCCATGAAAGCTAATATGAGTCTGTGATTTATTTATCGTTACGGTCTGTCAATCTTAGATTCGTCTATTGTGACTCCTAGTCCTAGATCGAATAATACATAGCGATATTTATTCTTGAGGCAGCTGCATCACGTCAACAACCAGGAGGAAATACCTACCCCGCTGCACAGTAAGCTACTTTAAGCATTGCATAGCCCAAAAAGCATACAAACTCAAAGTCAAACTGCCAAATAACGTTGGGCATTGAAAATCCTTCAACGAGCAACACGATCGATCACAAGTGCCCAAGACTCACGCGGGTTCTTCCATAAATATTTACAAAGGAACGAAGCAGCTAAAATAACGGTTCGATGAACGACGAAAACGGTATTGAGGGAAGAAATCCCGTCATTCCTCCTTCCTCGCCATTCAAAATGACAGAGAATGGCACCGTACTTTCACCTACAAGGAGTGTCTTTGGGCATGATAAGGGTCAAGCACTTACGGGAAAGCAAGAGCATTGTATGTATTCAGCAAATATATTCTGCTTTTTCGCAAACGCTGTGGCTAATCTTCTCCAGATCTCAAGCGCGAGTTAATCTCTCAGCAAGTGAAATACGAAATCACCGAGTTGAACTCTCCCACGGCACTACAGAGATTCGGTGCCCCATTCAAATCCGATCGCGGGGAAGTATCTCCCTTGGATTCCGAGCTACCTATTCTCAGATACATATTCGTACATCATGTTCGCGAGTTTCCATTTCTGGACAAGGCGAAGGAGAAGGAGTTCTGGCAGGACAAACTACAGGTGGTGAGTTTAAGTCCCTGGGCTCTTGGGATTGATTTATCTAACAAATGTACTATGCAAGTTCCTACAATCTTTCGCGGAGAAACATATCTCGTCATCCGAAGACAGGCTCGAAGAGACAAAGCGCAGAAAGTTATCAATTAAATGTCAGAAGCTAGTAGAGCTGATGATGGTGTCTGGTATACCAACGGCTTCGGGATATGAGGAGAGGATTAGATTTTCTGAGTTAGAAGTTGTCGATGCTGGTGCTATTGAGCATGGAGTTCTCTCAACCATGCCAGAAGGTCATTATCTGCACGGCTGGGATGTGAACGTGGCAGGAGTTAGAACAACCAAAGTCAAACGTAACATCAGATACCATAAGCATGCGGTGAGTTCATCACCAGCTATACTTCTGGAAAAACTACTTATGCCACCTTAGGAATTCATTCTCCGAGTTAAGAAAAAGGGGGAGATCCCATACTTCATTGGACGAAGATATGGTGATTTCAGCAGACTTCACAAGAGGCTAAGAACAGAACTCCCTGGCAAAGTCCTCCCACCCATGCCCAAAAAGAATAAGGAAAGTTCGACCGCCTCGAATCTGATTAGTGGCATTACGGGTGGGAAGGATTCCGACGCATCTTCCATGTCCTCGGTTTCAACGATGGGAAATCTGAGCGCTGAAAGTGGCATGAAGAATCTTTCCGTCCGTGGTTAGTCCATGAACCTTCTGTCATGTTTCGATATTCAAAGAGTTAATTCTAGTAGATCATCGTCGCTCTGGATCGGCAGCGTCATTCGGAAGGTCATCTCCTAGAGCATCGACGTCATCCCCACGACCATCTGTAGACAAAAGCTTCAAAAGTCCTTCGACCCCTGCAACGGATTCCGATGTCAGTCTCCTTCATAGACGATTGAGCTACCACGTGCTAATTTCTTTCAGGGCATGACACTATGGCGAGAAAACCAGCGTATATCCTTGAGGGCATTTCTCCGTGGTCTTCTTACCAATCCTCAAATCGCCGGAACACGAGCAATGCAAGATTTTCTGTCAAGTCAACCTATTAAACTAAGTGATGAAGATGTAGAGGATGTAGAGAAACGAAGGTTAATGGACGAGAAGAGAGTTGAAGAGCAGAAGCAGTTTTATGAAATAGCCAGGAAGCGTGCCGCTGAATTGGACATATACATGGAAGAGTAAGTACTCCGGCTTGAACCTCTTTATGTTCCATCGACTTACTATTTTAGATTTCGTCGCGATATTGTGGAAAGCAATGGTCTCACCAAATTATTCAAGGAAATCAAAGATAAGCCAACCATTCAAGATCTCAGCATCCAGTACCAGAAGTTTGCGGAATGGCTACGGATCGAAGTAGCAGCAACGCTTTACCATTTGTTCCTGGCGGAAGATAACTCTCCTGAATTATTCGCGCAAGCGAAAAAGATCCATTCAATGATACCCTATACGATTATTAAGAACGCAATCAGGATAGCTAACCCCGCGGCTGTTATGTCCAGCATATTAGACATCTTTTTAGCACAACCTTTTGGAGCGAGATCGCTCATGCAAAGAATCTTTTCTTTAACATTAAACGATGGCATCAGAAGTTTCCAAAAATCTATCGACGGCCTTGAGGATAAGGTCAATGAGCGCGTGTTCTGCGAGAAACTAAAGAAGTTCTCCGACGGTCCGGAAGATCTCAAAAATTCTATCAGAGCTGATGCAGAAGACGATAACGTGGACTTGATTGTCGCCATCCTGCGATCAGACGCAATCGAACCACAACTCAATGCAGGGCAAATTGGCAAAATATTTAACGCTTATGTGGCATGGAACAATGCTGTGGAGAATGTTGATGAGGAGATGAAACAAGGTGCACAACTATTCTCATACTTGAAACAGCTTCTAAAACTGTACACAAGACAACGGGACAAGGCTATGATGCTCAATATGATTGAGGAACCAGTTACGCTACGCCTTCTTCGCGATTTGTTCACCATCTTTTACGAGCCCTTGGTACGGGTGTACAAATCGGCAAACGTGTACAATAGCGTCACTGATTTTGCCGATTTTATTGAGGATACAATAAGCGTAAGTGCGATTCTGCTTTCATTGATTGACAGAAATGGCTAATGATGTTATCAAAAGGTTGTCGAGAAATGCCGGGAGCAAGATTTTTCAGCAGACCCTAACCAAACAGTTCAAGCATTTATTGATTTATGCCAACGACACGAACACAATTTTTACAAGTTCGTTCACGAAGTCCATACACATGATAATGGGTTGTTCACTCAATTGATGGGTTGGATCGAGGGAATTTTGGAGTTCCTTCGTCAAGGCCCTAAGGGCGGAAAACTTGACATCAATGCTCTTGTTAGCGGTGCCGTGAGCATGAATCAACTAAATAAGGAAGTTGCCGTCAATGAGATAAACCAATTAATCACATGGCAAGAAGCACGCAAGAAGTGGCATTCTGATAAGACAAGACAAAAAATGGCGGCAGAAGGTACAGGCACTGTAGAGCAAGTACCTGGAGCGCTAGCATTTAAGAGTGCCGATTTTGGACTAGATGAAATGGATCTTGAGGAGATTAACTATGAAGAAGAAGATGAGAGTAGTGATGAGGACGAAGAAGACGACGAGTTGGACCCAATTGCGGCAGAAAGAAAGAGAAGAGCAAGGAAACAGGACCATTTGAGGAGAACAGCGGGGGAGCCTGTTAAGCCAGATGTGCAAGAGGTGTATAAATTGAAGGATGGGTTCTTGAGTATGCTTAGGGGTGTACTTGCTGAGTAGTGAATGGTTTTGATTTGATGGGGGAAAATAGATGTTGTATCGGTATAAGGGTAGTATGATACCTCTTGGGGGAGTTGGTTTTTGGGGATGTTTATGGAGGACTGGACGATTCGTGTGGTCGGGTCATTGATATTGAAATCGGATGACTGTAATAGATGCAGCCAACGGAAGATACATGAACACCGGATACAAATAGCGGACATAAATAGCGGATACCAGGGAAAATATCATAGACAATCGATGGCTGTCATAATAATCCCGGAAATGTTCTGACGAATTTGTGATTAACAGATATTTAGGGTTGGATCAACTTCAGTATGTTTGGCGTTGTCCGATGCTTTGTCCCTTTATTAGCTTATGCACAAATGAGAATTCTAGACAATCGATTCTTCAAATTTCGGAATAAACCTTGATAGAAGAGACCACCTGGTGGACTTTGAAAAGAGCTTCGATGAGTTGTAATATGAATCATCTAGCAGGATCACACAATGGATAAATATAATATATAATATTGATTATGATTATGATTTGGGACCATTGATCAAAGTTCCATCTGCTAAAACTCCTCGGTTAAAAAGATGGTGCAAAAAATTCAATCACCACTTTTGATCATGATGCGATGCTTTTGAATTGTGATATACTGTTCTAAACACCGAGAACAATCCACCCACCCACTATATTTCCCGATAACAATACCACCATGCCTCCAGAAAAACCGCTACCCTATCCGGACGATTTTCCCAGCGCGGATCAATACGTCGACTCCTTGTTGCACTTCGCAACCACATCGACTCTTTTCCAAACTCTATGCGGAGGCGTCCATATCCTCGATTTCTTCATCGAGAGCTCTACTCTGTATCATAAAATTCTTCCAGAAGAATGGCGTGGTTGGTTGCTAGATTGTCCCGAGATGGATCTTCTTGATCTGCTTCTGCGCGATGATCTCTCTTTACCACGTGATAATCCGCCCCCAGAATCATTCATTGAATATATTCGAGAGATTCGTAAGCATTCCCTGCTCAGGGGCGTGGAGAAGAAAAACTTTAGTACGAAGAAATTACCGAAGCATGTGGCTGTAGGTATGGTTCCGAAAAAGGTGCACGAGGTGACGAATTTTGCGGATTATGTGGTTCGGGTTGCGGATTCGGTGAAGGAGGAAAGTGGAAAGGAAATTACACATTTTGTCGATTTTGGGAGTGGTCAGAATTATTTGGGGAGGGCTCTTGCGAGTCCGCCGTGGAATCGGTGGATTGTGGCCGTGGAGAGTAAGGGGGGGAATATTGAAGGCGCGAAAAATATGGACGTGTTAGCGGGGATGGCGGAGAGGGAAAAGGTTATGAGGAATAAGAAGGTTTTTAGGGAGAAGATTATGGGAGAGGTGGGGAAGACTAAGAGGAATGTGGGAAAGATGGATAGGGATGAGGAAGCGGATTTAAGACCAGCGAGAAACTTGCAGACGATTTATACGCCATCTGATGGGAAGGGGTATATTCAGTATGTGGAACATCGAGTTGAAGATGGAGATTTATCAGACGTAGTGTCTCAAATTGAGGAACTGAAGGTTTCTGCCCCAGAGAAAAATCTCAACATCATTTCCGAACCCGGTTCTGCGACTCCAACTGCGGAAGAGATCATATCACGCGTTTCCGGAACGATAACCCCGAGAACAAACCTAATGGCCATATCGATTCACTCCTGCGGTAATCTCTCGCACCATGGCATACGGTCTCTCCTAATCAATCCTTCTGTACACGCTATTGCCATTGTAGGCTGCTGCTACAATTTGCTATCCGAACGCCTCACTTCACCCTCCTTCAAACATCCTTTACTCCGCCCCAATCTCCGCGCTGTCAATCTTCCCCCTCCTTCTCCATCTTCCTCTCCCGCATCAGCTGATCCTCATGGCTTCCCTATGTCTAATCGCCTGGCTACATACAACGAAACAGGTATTACCCTCAACATCACTTCCCGCATGATGGGCGTCCAAGCACCCGCAAACTGGACAGCTAAAGATAGCGAATCCTTCTTCACACGGCACTTCTACCGCGCCTTACTACAAAAACTCTTTCTAGATTATGGAGTGGTGCAAGCAATTCCATTGGATACCTCAGACCATCCCAAACAGCCACCTTCAAATCCAAAAACATGCACGTCTCCAGAATGCAGCGGCTGTGAAAAAGAAGAAAAAAGCATCACCACAACCCCCATAATCATTGGCTCCCTCCGAAAAACATGCTACACATCTTTCACCAGCTATGTCCGTGGCGCCGTGCAAAAACTAACCAGCACTCCGTCCCCATCCCCACCATCCTCCTCAACAGATATACCCACATCTACATCCACATCCCAAGAACCCCTCACCCCACGCACCGACATCTCGACGCTAATCCACTCCAAACTCGACCACATAACCGACACCGACATAAAAAAATACGAAGAGCGATACTCGGCTTGCAGGAAAGAACTTAGCATTATGTGGTCATTAATGGCTTTTAGTGCGGGCGTGGTAGAATCGTTGATTGTGACGGATAGGTATTTGTTCCTGTGGGAGGCGGTTCAGAGGGGGGAGTGTAGGGATGCCTGGGTCGAGGGTGTGTTTGAGTATGGGGTTAGTCCGAGGAATTTGGTGGTGGTGGGGGTTAAGTAGGTAGTTTTGGGGTTGTGGGGGGAAAGGATGGGAAAGGATGGGAGAGGATGGGAAGGGATGAGAGGTGGTGTGTGGTGTGTTGTTTCCGGGACCCAGGGAGAAGGATGATATGTTCAGATTCTAAGTATCCAAAATTCAATTTGGATCTGCTTAGTATAGATAAACTCAATAAACATCAAGACATAGAATCCGACCCATAAAGCTATATCAACCTAGTATGAGACGAGAAGATTGGGATTTGTTGGAGAATATACTGGCTTAAGTGCTCTGATCGCATAAATACTTGAAGATCAATTTACATATCACTTCTATTCACGTGCTCCCATCTTTACACCTACACTCGTTCATAATTATATTGGCTTTGTCAAGAAAAATCATGGTTCATTAGAGCTGATGCCAAAAGGGGCTAAGCGAAACATAAACATGATATCCCGCTCACCACCATGCATTAATATACATCTCTGATCATAATCATCATATTTTCCTTTCATTTCCTGATTTAGAAATACACTTATCTAGATAAAGCGATGTCATCAATACGTAAAATCATTTTCACCGTCTCAGCCGCCAATTCAATAGCGCTCGTGCTGACCAAAAGTGGTTGCAGTACATTCTCATCCGCGATATCATCCTTGACGCCTCCACTCTTAATACTGACACCTGCGTTTTTCTCTCCATTGGCATGTTTGTGTCTCAATTCAGTAACGACCTTAATGCTGTTGAGACCAGCGTTTTCGGCGAGTGTGGTGGGGATTACTTCCATGGCGTCGGCGAAGGCTTTCCAGCAGATTGCTTCGGTGCCGGTTAATTCCCGTGCTTGTTGTGCTAACTGCGAAGCGATTTCAATCTCGGGGGCTCCTCCACCTGCGATTAATGCCTTCTTTTTTACTAAACATCGAACGACGCAAAGGGCATCGTGAAGACTACGCTCGGCTTCATCAAGAATGAGTGAGTTGGCACCTCGGCAGACGATCGAGACAGTCTTGCCGGCATTCTTGGTACCGGTGATTTTGACGAGTCTAGAACCGGAAGTTTGGGCTTCTTCAACGAGGTCGGCTGAACCAAGTTTATCCTCGGTAAATGAGTCTATGTCGGCGACGGGCTTGCAGCCAGTGGATTTGCAGATGAATTCTACCTCATCACGTTCGATATCTTTTATGCAGAGAATGTTAAGTTTGGCGAGGAAGTGGAGGGAAAGTTCGTTAACTGCATCACGGAGGATAGACTTTTGGATCTGAGAGTTGTTGTTAGTACTATTATTATGGACTGCAGGTAATATCTGACATACCAATAAAACATTACACTTCGCCTTCTTGATCTTTTTAACTAAGTTCAACAGATAGGTCCGCTCTTCTTTCAAAATTTTATCCATCTGTCTGTAGTCGTTGACAACAATCTGATTTTCCATCTGAGATATGTTAGCAATACTCGCAACGATGTCCCGCCAAGAAAACATACATCAGGCTTTGGAGGGCTGAGTTGGAATTGAATAAGTCCAATCTTTGCCTTTTCCATTCTGATGGGTCCACCTCCATTTTTTAAAACACCTTGAGTCAAAACTACCCCTTCAACCATCTCACTGTCTTCGATGGTACCTCCAGACTTTTTAACTATTCTGATATTCTTCAAGTCTACGTTTTCTGCAGTCTTGATGTCGATTGTCTTTGTAACAGCATTTACAGCCATAGGACCGAGGAGATTTGAGTATTGTGAAACGATTTTGGAAGATAGAGATGTGTTGGCGGCTTGTAAAAGGGTTGCGGTGTCGCTGAGAGCAACTGGGACCGACATATCGTGGAGAATTTGAACTGCCGCCGCAGCGGCTCTCTGGAATGACTCGGCAATAACTGAAGGGTGTATTCCTTTTCCTAATAATTTATCTGCGGCGCCCAACAGGCTTCCACAAATAACCACAACTGAAGTAGTTCCATCTCCGGCCTCTACATCTTGTGCTGCTGAAAGGTCGACCAACATCTTCGCAGAAGGGTGCATAACTGCCATACTCTTCATCATAGTGCTTCCATCATTTGTAATAAGTGTTCCTCCTTTGCCGTCTTGAATCATCTTGTCCATTCCTCTTGGACCTAGGGAAGTTCTGCATGCATCCGCGACAGCTGTTTTTTGTCAGCTTTACATCCGCAATCTAGCACTTATTTCCAAACACACCTCTGGCAGCCAAGATGTTGGCATTTCGAACAGCCATAGGCTTCTCCTTGTCCTGTAGACTACATTAGCTATATTGAACAACCCCTCTCTAAGCTTCGATGTCCCACCTTGAAGGCATTGTTGGTAGAATTTCCTGCTGATTGTGTGAGAGCCATATTGAAGTATTCTGATATTGGCTATAGGAAATCTGGGACGTTTAAACTCAGAATATGTTGAGAAGTGACGTCGTCGCGTTTCTACACCTACTGCGCGTCTTGTCTTGAGATTTCGAATTTTGAAATATCGGCTAACCTTATCTTGGACTAGCTTATCGAGCAACACCGACGTACCTTTGGATACCTAAGAGCTATGGGAGGATTATCAATACAACAATCCAAACTTCTCACAATCACATTTTCTCCACCACATTGAAAGGAATTTGAGTTAGGACGTTACCCGTGGAATTTTGATCTCTACGCAAACAATCAATTCTAAGAAATTTCACCCATCACATTTTCAGCCAAAACACTCCTATACAACACAGTACCCTTCATAACTTAGCTCTCATCATGGTCCGTATTATTACCAGGCATTCATACACTTAACTAACAATTTTGCAGGTCAGCGCAAAAGGGCAAAACTGGGAGAACTATAAGAAGGTACAAGTCATTCCTCAGGTTTGTCAGGACTCTTTTCTAATAAGTTCTTAGGACTTTGCGGACGACGAGGTTGAAGAGAAGAAGATCACACCTTTATCAGATGAGTAAGGTTATCCAGGTCATCGCATCATCACAGCACCTAACGCGATCATAGAGATATTCAAGTCCTAAAAACCTATGGCGCAGCTCCCTATGGTGCGGCGCTGAAGAAACTCGAACAACAGATCAAGGAGAAGCAAACAAGTGTAAATGAGAAGATTGGCGTAAAGGTAGGGCTTTAGGAGATACAACGTGTATGGATATGACCTAAATCTTCATCAGGAATCAGATACTGGTTTAGCGCCACCTCATTTGTGGGATATAGCTGCAGACAGACAACGAATGTCAGAAGAGCAACCTTTACAAGTCGCAAGATGTACGAAGATTATTCAAGACGAGAAGGACACGGAAAAGAGCAAATATGTCATCAACGTTAAGCAAATTGCGAAATTCGTTGTAAATCTTGGCGAACGTGTCAGTCCTACGGATATTGAGGAAGGAATGAGAGTTGGGTATGGCAAATGCATTCTCAATAATCTACAAAGCTAATTTATCTCGAATAGTGTCGATCGCAACAAGTACCAAATTTTATTACCATTACCACCGAAGATTGATGCCAGCGTTACGATGATGACAGTTGAGGAGAAGCCGGATGTTACATACGGTGATGTTGGAGGTTGCAAGGAACAGGTTGAAAAGCTACGAGAAGTCGTCGAAATGCCACTGCTATCACCAGAACGATTCGTCAACCTTGGTATCGACCCACCTAAGGGTGCTTTGCTTTATGGTCCTCCAGGAACTGGAAAAACTCTCTGCGCCAGAGCTGTCGCAAACAGGACTGATGCTACATTTATTAGAGTCATTGGTAGTGAATTGGTACAAAAGTATGTTGGAGAGGGTGCTAGAATGGTTCGTGAATTATTCGAAATGGCGAGGACGAAGAAGGCATGTATTATTTTCTTCGATGAAATTGATGCTGTTGGAGGCGCTCGTTTCGATGATGGTGCTGGAGGAGACAATGAAGTACAACGAACTATGTTGGAGTTGATTACCCAACTCGATGGTTTCGATGCGAGAGGAAACATTAAGGTCATGTTCGCCACCAACAGACCTTCCACCCTGGATCCTGCATTGATGAGACCTGGACGTATCGACAGAAAAATAGAATTTTCGCTACCAGATCTCGAAGGAAGAGCAAATATTCTCAGGATTCACGCTAAGAGTATGTCTGTCGAGAGAGACATCAGATGGGAATTGATTTCACGTCTTTGCCCCAACTCTACTGGTGCCGAACTTCGAAGTGTCTGTACAGAGGCGGGAATGTTCGCTATTCGTGCTAGAAGAAAGGTCGCAACAGAAAAGGATTTCTTGAGCGCGGTTGACAAGGTCATCAAGGGCAACTTGAAGTTTAATTCCACTGCCACTTATATGCAATACAACTAGAGGTCTATCAAAGACTGGAGGGATGTATATTAGCTGGCGTTGGTGTATAAGATAGCATTAATGCAGAAATCCATGATCACTCCATTATTGGCGGTACGTGTTTTCCAAAATTTGCGTAATAAAGCCATATAATGTTTCCGCCCGTCATCTTTGCTAGCAACTGCAATAATTCTATTCGTTGGTCACGCTGTTACTTTTGATATCACTGGTTAGTTTGGTTTTATATAAAGTTTAAAGACATCGCAATTCTGCTTAATTCACGCAAGGAAGTTGAGGTCTCATTCTCGTCAACTTGAGCATTGAGAAATGTAGGGTCCGTTCATGATGCTATTTCTATTATAAATATGTAGAAACGGCTGTACAACATTCCCAGTAACTAGAATACTATTCATAATGACATAATATTCGATTGATGAATCTCAACAAGCAGTCAAGGAAAATAGTTGCGAAATTGTTCGATAGTCGCAAATGCGCCACCTGAAGGCTGACTCTCAAATATCCTGTCTAAGAGCTGATTCCGGTTGATAGAGCCTAGAAAGGTATTTAATTAATATTCATGAAGCTAATTGTTCTCTTCTATTTGCCAACATACCGATAAAAATATCATTGAGGTCTTGCTCGACTCTCCATAACCGGTGTCTATAAAGACATTATGCTTTGGCGACAGTAACATGACGACCAAATTTACACAAAGATTTAGATACTTGAAAACCGCCGGGGGTACTGACAGTGCTAGAATCTCTAATCTCTGCTAGTATTGCTAAACAAAACACTAGCCATGGTTGTTGCGGAAGGATGAGGCATTGAGAAAGTCAACCTTTGGGTTTTCACCATCTAGAAGGTGTCGCTAGCATGGATTTGCGGATTGCTAGTCATTTCACGGATTCGAGAGATTGTTATCATCGATCTATAAATCACGGCTGGTTCAATCTCCTAAATACCATGTGGTACAGTAGATGCTGAGCTGGAGTATGTTGTCTAGTAACACAAGGGAGTATTCTTTACCGATCACATGTACCTGCTCCGACAAGCGAAGGCACAACAATATGGAGTATAGCCATCAGCCTTTGGATTTGGTTCATCGTCATGTTGACTGAAAGTCTAAAACACTTCTATTAAATGATGGCTCTAATGGAAGTATCTACTCTTTCCCTACTTCTGTTCTTCCTTTATCACCAAATTAAGTTCCATTACCCTGCTGCAAGACTTGTTCTCACTCAAAAGTTACACCCTCCTTGCTTCTCTCGCTTCCCTAGTTTGGTTTCTCATGGCTATGATATTGTACCAGCTCCATCGGCGCAACCACCAGCATGCCATCTTTCACGTAGACGATTCGTGATTTCTTTCTTGTTTCCCGGGGCTTTACAGTGTTACCAATCATGGTGGCCGGTGGTGTGCCTTGCATCTATGGAGGAACAGTGGCTGAGAAAATCGGTCGTCTGTATGCATTTATGGCTGCATCGCGTCCTTTTTGCATTAGGAATAGCCAATGGAGGTGGGTGCGCGGGACTATTTTGGCGAGGGGTTGTGGTTGAGGTAAGATATGTCATTGTATAAGTTTTTAAAGGACAATTGGGTAACGATTTTCCCTACTGGGAGATCGATACATTCCCAAAACAGATCCAGATGTGTCTAGAGAAATGCTTGTATCAATCCTGCAAGTCATGTGCCTCGCCGGTGTTTACGTAGGATATTTTACTTGTTTTCAGTCTGCATTATTAAAATCATAAATGTGATGGCGAGGACCGTTATCGTACTATCATTGCTTGCTGTGGTTCTCGCGGGACTCTATACTGCTTATTGTTGAAGGGACATCTAAAATCGTTCACACTGTTACATATGATCAAATTAGGTATAATTAATCAGGAGCAAAATTATTGCTAACGTCACATCAATCAACCATACAAAATTTCCGATATAGTAATTTCGACTCCACATTGGAAAATACAAGAAGCTTTAACCACACGGTCTCACCAGGCTCACTTCATATTCACTGTCACCAATATATCTCAAAGTACCTTGTAGAAGTAACAGTATTGAAAAACTCTTAATCGTATTGGTAAACCTCCCCGTATGTGCAGAGAATCATCGCAGTATGTACAATCTTGATATTCTAGCCAGCCAGCCAGCCATTTCTTGCTTGCTTAGATAACCATCTTTCTTCCCCGTCCAGCAATATCTTACACGCATTGCGAGTAATAAGTGCTTAAGACTGAGCATGTATATGGCGACGCACACTATTTCAAGTATTAGCGATCTGGACATAAAACCCGGTGACCATATCCAAGGAGTATAATGATCATCTATGTATAGGGAAGAAAGGACTTGTTCTAACTTACCACAGTAGAGCCTGTCCATGCTTGACCTCCGCACTGACCGTAATGGGCAACCGGCGACCCCGTTCCTGCACTCGCTGCAGTACTCGTAGAACTCGACGTCGTTCCTGAACCAGCAGTCGTACTTGTACTCTTACCAGTACTAGCAGCTGCAGAGGTAGAACCGCCGGTCGAGCTTGCCCAAGTAGATACTGCACCTGGACCTGTGGGCGACTCATTGATAGAATCGTTAGCGCGTACACAACCGCTCTTAGCAGTGAGGGCTGCCGGGCAAGCAACTTGCTGGAAGGAGACACCCGGGTTGTCAGCATTGAGGAACCAGTCGAAACGCCAGTAACAACCTGCTTGTAGTGCGGCCGGGAACGAGGCGCATTGGTCGCGAGAAGTGATGCCGCCGTATTGGGCGCCCCAGGCTGAGCTTGGTGTGGAAGGATATTGGTTTGTACATGCGTTGTATATACCGAAACCACCGCCGGGAATCTGGTGCAATGTTAGTTGGATGTTCAAATGGTGAAGTGAGGTGGGGATTTTAAGATGGACATACGGCGAGATCAAATTGATTACCTCCCAAATCTCCCCCAGTATTAGTAGCTTGGACAATCATCTGTTTACCTGCCACTGGGCCACTCGTAAACGTCAATTTGTAACAAGCGCAACACCAACTCGCCTCTGATCCACCTGCGATATTTGTGGCAGCAAAACCATAACTCAAGGTATCTGAGACTGCCCAAGGAGTTTGTGAGCCGCACATGTAAGCAGTGCCACTGGAAGAAGCACAGTAGGATACAGCATTGTAGTTTGAGAGCGGATTGTTCGAGATGTCGCAGGAGGTGACCGGGTTGGAGCCAGATGCTAGAGTGGCTTTTTGGGGCCAGCCGCAGGAGGCTTTGCAGCAATCCCAGTAGCGGGTTGTTGTACCAGTACCAGATGCTTGAGCATGGATACCTGTGGGAAGGAGGAAAGAGAAGGGAAGGGAGAGGAAGACAGCGGATTTCATTGTTGATGATGGCTTGTGTAGACTGTAGCAGGATTTCTAAAGGCAATAGAGGGACTTTGCACTTTTGAAAATCGAATGGCGACTACCCCGAGTAAAAAAGGATAGGAAGAACAAGGCATAAGGTAACATATATATGCTGGGTATAACATCCATTTTATAGACGGGGAGTACCAAACATCGAATCACTCCTGCATGTACCCTGTAGGCTGCCAATGTGCCGAGACATCTCCACAAATTAGTGTCGTCCTACCAGAGTCGTTACATATTTCCCCAGATTATCGCTTAATTATCTTGGTGGCCATATGTGGGATTTGGATATTAATACTAGGAAATGACGGGCCGTGAAAAGATTATGTTGATGAACTCGTGATTTGCATCCCATTTAACCGCCTTCGCTTGAACGGGGGTTTTGGAGAGGCGAGTGGGTCTGATGCGAATGCCACGTATTGACTAATGAATAAATAAGCTCACTTGGAAGTTTATATATTTTAATGATTGAAGATAACATGGGATTGTTAGTGTGGTCCTTCAAAATTACCGTCACATGCTCTGCTTCTTGCATATGGTGGTTCGAGGTCAGCGGAGGTGCCGGAATAATGTGTAGAGGTGCCGCTCGCTTCCCAAATCTCCTGGTCGAAAGTGAAGCCAGGCCCAACCAGCTATCTATCAATGCATGAAGGAGACATCTGAAGTAGATCAGGGAAGTGGGACATGCCTTTCACTTTCATCCCATCGATACCTCACGCACTAAAATCTTATCATCTCAACCATGTAAAAAGCTCACCACAGTACCAAATTCTTCGTCGTTTCTCTGGAAAACGTTCGAATCTAAATCCATACGACTACAACTTTGTGCCTATTGAATCGACGTAAAATTCTATACATATCCTAGCTTTTACTCCCTCGCAGATGCCAGGAAAGGCTCCTTATTATCATGCGATCATAGCTCTCAACTCTTGCTTCCATCTCATCCTTCACACAGTCCAATGCTTGTTAATCGACAGCAAAATTACGCAAAACATGTAGAGATTTTGGTTATTTGTACTATGCAATATGATGGGACATATTTCCGCCATGCAATACACAATGTATCAGCTCAGGGCAAGGCAATGCATTCAATTTCAATATTGACACCCTTTGGCAACTCCTTGACAGCAACACAACTTCTTGCCGGCTTATGAGTGATCCACTTCTCATACTCCTCATTCATCTCGGCAAAATCCTTCATGTCCGTTAAGAAAATTTGGACCTTCACAATCTTGTCGAGGGAAGAGTTAGCAGTGACGAGAACCTCTTGAAGGTTTTTTAGAACTGCCTCCGTCTTTTCACGCACTGTGCCTTCAACAAGGTTTCCTTCGAAATCTGCTGGTAGTTGACCGGAAACAAAGACAGCGAAAGACGTTTGCACAGCATGGGACTATGGACTCGAAACATTGATCAATATGGAAGAATATCCGGTTTCGTTTGGGATAGTTTTTAACTTACATATGGTCCAATTGCTGTGGAAAGTTTAGTATGTAATCGCGGGGACTCAGTCCGGTGACTTACGAGCTGGAAGGTTTTTGCTGATAATAGTTGATAGAGAAGCATTTCTACTGTAACCACATCTACATTCTTCCCTCCTAGCAAAATTGTGACGACCACACTTTTTACACAACCAGTCGCCAGGAAGAAAATGATCCTTTATTGTCAACGGGGACCCTCCCGAAACTGACCGATTTTGCTGGCGTGTTGTGGTTAGTGTTGTGGTTAGTGTTGTGGTCAGTGTGGTAACCAGCGAGGAACGATTGATTAGCCTGGTGGCAGAATGTCTGAACATGATTCTTGACAACATTGCTTCTTCCTGATGGCAAAATCTTTCCCTGTCAAGTTTGTGATGTGATATATTTAGAAGCTTCCGTAAAACGATGAGTGTATTGGCTGCAGGTTGTGTGCTCGATATGAAAATTCTGCGAGTTGGAGCTCTTATCTATGCAGCTTATCTTCACGTGACTGGACTAATTTTAGAACCATGAGTTAGTTAGTTACCTTTCCTACGAGTACATAGGTATGAATAAGCTTAAGGTCGAGATGGGTCTTTCCAGAATTGGATGATAATAAATGTTAAATCGAAGATATATTGGTCTGCATGGAGTAGATTTTGATATTTTGATATTTTGATATTAATAGAAGGAATACATAAATATATCATATTCCAGAAAAAGGGATCTATCTGTTCATACCCCTGAGCTGATCAAACAAATGATGATGAAGCTAAAGCTCAGGCGAGATTCTTAACAAAGTGTCCTATTCTTACTCGGCTCAAAACTTTGGTGGTAATCTCGCTCTATTTCTGTCAAGGGGTCTTCAATTTCCTTATAAAATCTACCAACACAAGGGACAACAATTCATTTCCACTGGTCTCCTTTGAGATCAATGCTATCTTCTTACGTTCTCTAAAACAGTTTGCTGCTGAAGCACTCTTGTAGGTTATTCCCAGTTCTGATACCATTGTATCGGCTCTTTCAAGCTCTTAGAGCCTTCACACTCGCACCCATATATATTTATATATCTAACCTTTATTGTGCCCCTTAGAAATTTTTATACCTTTCGCATCTGAATATGTCTTCTCAAGGTTCAGTGCGGAAACGAAAAGGTGGTTCAGTCCCACCTCAAGGAAAAGATAAAGATGCCTCTGTTGTTGCAGCTCCTCACCCTGAGCTCGATGCTTTGGTGAAAGATATACAGACCAAAAACGGACCAGAATGGGATTATAGGATCGCATTGTTTATCATCACGGTTCTGGCATTTGTCACAAGATTCTGGGGAATCAGTCATCCAAATGAGGTGGTGTTTGACGAAGTTCATTTCGGCAAGGTAATTTCCATCATATTCTTCAGAAGTTATAGCTTTTCTGACACCTTGTCCAACAGTTTGCTTCATATTACCTTGAACGGACCTACTTCTTCGACGTTCATCCTCCCTTTGGGAAGCTTCTTTTCGCCTTGATGGGTTGGTTCGTCGGATATGATGGGCATTTCCACTTCGAAAACATTGGGGACTCGTACATCGATAACAAGGTGCCATATGTGGCTTTCCGCGCTATGCCCGCTCTCCTCGGAGCTTTAACAGTCCCCACTGTCTTCGCTATCATGTGGGAATCTGGTTATACTCTACCTGCCTGCGTCCTTTCCGCTTCATTGGTACTATTCGACAACGCCCATATAGGCCAAACCCGCTTGATCTTATTGGATGCCACCCTTGTTCTTGCAATGGCATGCAGTCTTCTATGTTATATCAAATTTTACAAACTCCGACATATCCCATTTTCGAGAAAGTGGTGGAAGTGGCTCCTATTGACAGGATTCGCTTTAAGTTGCGACATCTCCACCAAGTACGTTGGCACATTCGCATTTGTTACAATTGGTTCCGCAGTCGCAATTGATCTCTGGAGTTTGTTGGACATCAATCGTCGCCAGGGTGCTTTGAGCTTACCAGAATTTGGCAAGCATTTCGCAGCTCGTGCTGTTGCCCTCATCATTGTACCGTTCCTCTTCTACTTGTTTTGGTTCCAGGTACATTTCGCAATCTTGACCAAATCTGGCCCTGGTGATGATTTCATGTCCCCTGAATTCCAAGAGACGCTTAGCGACAACGCCATGACCGCAAATGCCGTTACCATTAATTATTTTGACAACATTCAAATCAAGCACAAGGAAACACATGGATACTTACACAGCCATCCCGATACATATCCACTTAGATATGATGACGGTAGAGTTTCTAGTCAAGGTCAGCAAGTTACTGGTTACCCATATGCCGATGCCAACAACCATTGGCAAATCATCCCTGCAGGCACTTTTGAAGAGGTTGCTGGTCGCCCTGTTAAGAACAACGAAGTTGTTAGATTAAGACATGTGATCACAAACACAATGCTCTTGTCACACGATGTTGCTTCTCCATACTACCCAACAAACCAAGAATTCACCACTGTTTCCATCGAAGAGGCTTTGGGCGATCGCCTGAATGATACATTATTTGAACTACGAATCGAAAATGGAAAATCACGCCAAGACTTCAAGAGTCTTCAAGGACAATTCAAGCTCATTCATTGGTCAAGTAAGGTTGCTATGTGGACACACACAACTCCCTTGCCAGATTGGGGCTACAAACAACAAGAAATCAACGGAAACAAGAATTTGGCTCAAAGTTCGAACATCTGGTATGTGGATGAGATCCCATCCATTCCTAAGGACTCTCCCCGTTTAATCAAGGAAGAACGCAAGGTTAAGAGCGTACCATTCTTGAAGAAATGGTTTGAGCTACAACGAGCTATGTTCTATCACAACAATGCTTTAACTAGCAGCCATCCATATGCTAGTGAACCTTTTGTTTGGCCATTTCTTTTGAGAGGTGTTAGTTTCTGGACCCACAATGACACCAGACAACAAATCTACTTTCTAGGAAACCCACTTGGTTGGTGGTTGGCAAGTAGTTTGCTTGCAGTTTATGCCGGAATCTGGGCTGCTGATCAATTGTCCTTGCGCCGTGGCGTCGATGCACTGGATAACCGTGAGTCTTATACTTTTCTAGCCTCTGCAAAGACTCAAACTAACAATTGGCTTAGGTACCCGATCCCGTCTTTATAATTCCACTGGTTTCTTCTTCCTTGCCTGGGCAACACATTACCTACCGTTTTACCTCATGGGTCGTCAATTGTTCTTGCATCATTATTTACCTGCCCACTTAGCATCATGTCTGATCACTGGAGCATTGCTTGAGTTCATTTTCAACGTGGAGCCTGTCATGGACGATGTTCCATCGGGAGCTGCGAAGAAGGCAGGTGCAGTCAAGACGCACCTCCCAGCTCGCGAAAAGCTCGTCGGACAAAACTTAATGATGTCCTGGGCCGCAGTTGTAGTCATTCTCTCCGTTGTACTTTTCGGGTGGTATTACTTCTTACCATTGACGTATGGCTATCCAGGCCTTAGCGTTCCCGAAGTCAATGCAAGAAAATGGCTAGGATATGATCTCCATTTCGCCAAATAAATTGGCGGCCTTGAAACCGATTTATATAATAAATTATGAGGTGAGTGGAAAGTGTAACGATACTAGGGAAGGGTACGTGATGCATGGTTCGACAAAAGTGGAGTGGCTTTGGGAATTTGACATTGGCAATGGGGATTTGTAAAACATGGATTTCCTAGATCTATCTATTAAAGTTGAAGATTTTTTGAATGTCCTTTCCATCTGTCTAACTTTTCCATTTTGCTCCTTTACACTTGTGATTGCTATGAAGTGGGTAAGCTGCTCTATACATATCCTTCTGTTTCTCTGCCAGTTCAGAAGTCTGAAAGCGAAATTTGAAACCAGTCCTGTTGATGCTGATATGTTCATGAAAACGTGCGAACCGAGAATCATGATGTAGAATATATTAAAAGACCTCTTAAGATCGGTAGGAAACTGCCATCTATGATATTGTGAAGTGCAAAAGGGGTTGCCAAGTTGCTCACTTGCCAATCTCCGGTTAACTCGGATATTGCCCTGTCATTATCTGGCAATAAGTACTAGGTTACACACAGATGTGGCTTTCAAATCAGTCCGGGCCATGCAGGTACCCTCCGGCACGGCTACCGTCCTACTCAGTACAAACTATGCGAATTTAGATCGACCCCCTGGGAGAAAGCTATGAATATACATAATATATTTAATCATGATGACATATCCGGGAGGATGACGACCACTTAATTATCACAGCCCTTAGACCTGAAATTGCCACAGTCATCAGTATCATCAGTCATCATCGATTGCCCATCCATCCGTGCCTTTAGCCCTCGGCCCCCAAAATCCTCAAACTCGGTGACAACCAAAATGCCAACACCAACCAACCCATACATAGATCAGCTAGCTTTTTATATTCATTCGCCGTAGTGAATATCGCCTCAGTGAACAAGTATCGTACATGCAATCCAATCATCCCGCTGATTTGTAAAACGGGGAATTCGTTATATCCGGTCCGGAGACTCGGATCCGAAGGTTTTGATTTTTGTAACCTTATTGGCCTTTTCTTATGGAAGGGAGACATACTTATATTTGGGGGGTTTTTCACTTGGGAAGTCATATTCTTGCTCATCATCAACATTAACATTAACTTCTTTTGTGTTTGACCTTCTTCACTTCTTCATATCTACAACGAAAGTATCATACTCATCAAACCGCGACCCAAATATTCAAAAATCATTCCACAACCACACCATAATATAAAAAGTCGCAACCGCAATCGCAAAAATGCATTTTCTCCTCCTAGGTGCATCTGGCAGAACAGGAAGTCTTGTCCTCGCCGAAGCTCTCTCAAAAAGTACGTTTCCACTACCACAATCCCTCAACATCTCTATCCTAAGCCCAAGCGCCCCACATACACACATACATAAATTCACAATGATCCCCAAACAAAACCGACTCGCTAACCCTTATTCACAACCACAGACCACACCGTCACAGCGCTCGCACGCAATCCCTCCTCCATCCCCGCAACCCCAGGCCTTACCATCGTAAAAGGCACACCATCATCCTCAGACGATCTGGCCACTGCTTTTACCAGCGGTCCCAAAATCGACGCTGTGCTCGTTACGCTCTCATCGAGCCGCGCATCAGATAGTCCCTTCGCAGCCTCAACCTCCCCTCCAAATTTCCTCCAAAAAACCATTTCTACCGTCACCGAATCGATGCTCGCACATGGCGTTAGAAAAATCATCTATATGTCTGCATTTGGAGTTGGTTCTTCGAATGGTGCGCTCTGGTTTCCAATGCGTATGTTGATTAATAATTCGACGATGGGGAAAGTAGGGTTTCAGGATCATGCTGCGGCGGAAGAGGTACTCAGGCAGTCGGGGTTGGAGTATGGGGTTGTGAGGAGCGCGATGTTGAAGGAGGGGGGGAAGAAGAAGATTGTGGAGCATGGGGCTGATGGGAAGGGAATGGGTCATTTGCCGGGTTGTACGAGGGAGAGTGTAGCCGGGTATATGGTTGAGATGGCGGAGAGGAAGAATTGGGAGAATAAGGTTGTGGTTATTTGTAATTAGGCTTTTAAGGGGGTTTGAATGATTGTGGGACTAATGGATGGAAAATGTGAGTTGAGGTGAGATTTCAGGAGGCATGGGGGCTTTTAGATGGGCTAGACGGTTGTGCTTTTGCTTTATTGCTCAGGTAAAGATATCCATTGTTCTATGTTCTAATAATCTATCGTTGCTTTATTTATACATTATCCAAAGCACTTTCACATACGATGCTGTAACATCTAATACCGAATGATTGATTGAAAGCTCACAATACCACTCCTATGTCCCATACCCACCAACTTCATATCTGTACTTCCTCCCCAACAGCTTCAGCTCCACGATATCAATATTAAAATCATCGAAGTCGAAGTGCAAGATAGGTCTTGAGACTATAAGACTATCTTATAGCAGCTTTAAACTCAGAACCTAATATCCTCATCCTACAGCATAAAATACTCCCAGCTTTCCGAATGCCAAAGCATATCATCAATTTGCTTATAACTATTCCACCCCTTTCAATAGCAATAGTGTGTAGATATCCCCTACATCCTCAGGAAAATCGTCAACCGTTTATTATGCATGCGGAACCACCACATATCGCTTAGATGGGTCACATGCAGATGCCAGACTATAGCTACTGGTGCTACAATCAATCGGATAGTCATTTTTTCTCGATTCCGAAGGAATAGTAGCATCATATTCGGACTTGCTTGGTTTTATATTAAGGCTTTTTTCACTTTGTAGGGAGAGAAGGGGAGGAAATCGACAGAGCAAGTGAAATTGCCACCAAAACCCCGTGAATTCAACAGTTCAGGGACGTTCTGACAATTCATTGAACAAATATGCTCAATTAAAGGGATATACAGTGCAAGACCTTTGAGCTCAATAATGACTAGGAAGACCTAGGGATACTGCGATTCTTTATTTGGTTATCGATGATGCCATCGAGTCAAAGTGAATTTTGAAACGAATGCTAGATACTTGCAGCACGAGTAACTTAAGGGATATCGATACGGATATCGATATCATCATTATGTAAATAAGGAACCAGGAAAAAAAAGAGTGGTGAGTCCGACACTGTAATGGATGGAACAATTTTTTTGTTTAGGTCAAGACCAACGCTAGAAGTTACAGAGGAAGGTACCCTTTAGGCTTTCGCTCCTAACCCTTTTGATTTGCGATAGCCTAGAAGAGTACGAATCGTAAAATCCTTGATTGCTCAGTGAATAATACTTTTATCCTCCAACAAATCCAAACATTTTCTTCCCCAACTACTCGACCCTCATCGAACCATCCTCATCGTAGAAGATCTCTCTAACCTTAACACACCTCAAATGATTCTTTCCCCCACTCAAACTACTATCATGATAAAACAACCACCAGCGTCCTTGAAATTCCACGATACTATGATGTGTTGTCCACCCTATCACAGGCTCTAACAATCTCCCTTTATACACAAACGGCCCCTCGGGCTTATCTCCTACCGCATAACACAAGAAATGCGTATCCCCTGTTGAATAAGAAAAATAGTATTTTCCTCTATACTTATGTATCCAGGGTGCCTCAAAGAATCTCCTATCATGATCCTCTGCCTTCAGTTTCTCGCCCGTTTTCTCATCCAAGATAGAGATTTCCTGGACGGGAGACGAGAAAGAATGCATATCCTCGGTAAGTTTCGCAACTCGAGGACCAAGTGCAGAACCAGTGGTAGGTTCCATAGTAGCGTATTTATCCTTCTCGAAAACTTCGTGTTGGGAACCCCAGCATTGGAGTTGGCCTCCCCATATTCCGCCAAAATAAAGGTAGGCTTCTCCGTCGTCGTCTACGAAACTACACGGATCTATACTATAACTTCCTGGTATAGGCTGTGGATCGGCAGTGAAAGGACCTTCGGGCTTATCACTAACTGCGACACCAATGCGAAAAACACCTTCCTTGTCTCGAGCAGGGAAGTAGAAGTAGTATTTTCCGTTTTTGGTACAGGCGTCTGGGGCCCAAAGTTGTTTGGAAGCCCACGGAACGGACGAGGCGGATAGGACGACGCCGTGGTCGGTTACGGGACCCGTGATCGAGGACATGGAGAAGACGTGGTAGTCATTCATTGCATATTGGTCTCCATTGTCGTTGTCTTGGATATCGGTGGGGATGTCATGTGAGGGGTAGATATATAGAGTGTTATTGAATACATTGGCCGAGGGATCGGCCGTGTAGATGTGAGTGATTAGAGGTTCTTTGTCAGACATTTTTGCCAAACTTGATGCGAGTAAGAACTTTGTAATAAAAAAGAATGAGAATCAGAGATGAGGAGCATAAGGAGATATTATATGCAGCATGGGCGAATCGTGGTAGGCACTGGTTGCACTTACCCATTTATCCATAATGTTGGTTAGCCTGATTGCGGTTAAATAGGGGTGAATATCCACCGAGACGACCCTTGTCCATTCTCGTAGGCTGAATATTCTTTTCGGGGTCAGAAATCTAAAGCGATGCGTGTAAAACAAGATTTTGAGTCTGATAGGACGATCTTGGAGTGGGGTGTAAATGAGATTATCAAAAAAATGCTTGTGGGAGGGATGACTAATCTGTATCATCCAGCTACCCGCGTAACATGACCAAGCAATTCCATTCTTCGTATGTACACTGGTACAAGGTTGAATGGTTCTACCTGTTTTCGACAATTAGGTCGTGTTGTATCGAGTCAGCAAATAAAAAATGCAAAATCACAATGGTTGAAGCAAGCCCATATCAAGCACTTTGGCACATCGAAAAATCCACTTGGGCTGAACAGGGAATCTGATTGACAAAATTCATAATGTACCAAGGAAGTCATTACAAACCACATTCCCTCTATCTCTATCCTCTGATTCATCCCTTCGCTTAAACTTCCCAGTCAGGACGTATAGTATATTAAAAGATTCCTTCATCCTTCTGTAGCCCATGATATCTTAATTCCTAAAGGTCAAATACCTATTGCTCAACACCTGGCTCCAAAACTTCGCTCATTTCATTCCTAACTGCTTGTACCTGTCCTTTCCATATACTTGAAAGTCAAAATTTACATAACAACACAATCTTTCTGCCTTTCTTGTTGCTGCGGAGTCGATAATTGATTCGGATTTTGGATCCTGCGCCCAGGGATCTGATCGATTAGTGTCTGACCACCCCTTCCACGGCCGCCATATGTAGAATTGTTACGACGGCCTGTCATATTAGCTGGAACACGTTGCTGACTATCCGATGTTGCTGCGTAAGAACTTGTTCTCCGGCTTGGATTTGCGTTTGGATGGGCTGGATGATTAGTTGGAGGTTGGTAGGCCGGTTCGGTGGCAGCTTGCTCGTACGAAGGAGGTGGTGCATCAATTCCTGCTTCTGGATCAACAGGAGCGATGGCAATATTGCTATTGCGAGGTGGAATTGCGGGACGGCCTTGGGTACTACCACGAGTTGAGCCTCGAACAGGAATATTTACTCCACGACCGCTAGTACTACCCCGTCCGCTACCGCCACGCTGACTAACAGAACCATTATTGTCGTTGCTATTATTTCCCTGTTGCTCGATGTACTGCTGTGATAGCTCCGATTCCCTTTGTCTCCGAGCGGTTTCATTTCGGTGACGTTCGTTCTCTTCTTCCTGCAATTGCAGAGCCAAGGCAAGATCATGATCTTCCTGTTCAGTGTTTATGCCTTGCTCGTGATTATTAGACTCCTGCTGATTCCGTGACGGCCCAGAATGCGAAGCTTCACTTCGATTAGTATTTCTACGCCCTGTAACTGTGGTCCAATTACCTTCTTCGTTTCCATGAGGTGCTGTGGAAGCTCCACCAACTAAACGAAAGTCGCCCGAATAAAACTCTGCCCTCTCTCCATTAACGTCAATAAGACCTTCCCATACGACTTCTTCGTGTCCTGCATAACCAGAATCTGTGACGAGCTGCAATAGTTGAAGAGTCGTTGGATGCCGGAAAATTGTAGAAAAATGATCATTTCTAAACAAAATCGCTACAGCACCTGGACTTAAAGATTTAGTTATAAGATCCAAGCCATGAGCTGTAAGTTGAGTCGCCGCGGAAGCGAGGAAAGCTTTAATCGTTGAAATATCCTCTAGAATTCCTTGTTCCTCAAAGCTGAGGCCCTCCGAAGATAACTTTTCTTCCAACACTTCCTCATGAAACATCAAGTTCTGTGCGTCTTCATATGATCGAGCAGATCTCTTAAGCGCCATATAAGCAGGTGATTCTTCCTCGGGGAGCCAGCCATGAATCAGAGGCACTGCGAAAGTACCATATAACTTCATTTCGCGAGTCTCTTCAAATGTGCCTGGAAGTGAGGTCCCACGTTGTGCACGTGACATTGAGCTCGGAAGCTCATTCGTTGATTGCATAGGTTCAGCCGGGAAAAAAAGAGGATTAACATTCATTCCAGTATGGAGTGTCAGTAGAAAGGAATAGAGATCGCCCACATCTGGAAGCTCTTGCGCAGCATCTCCACGTCGTCCAGACATGAGCTCGTCAAAAACTGCGTCAAGCAATAATCCAAGACTGACTCGCTCCCTTGACCGAAGTGTTTCAACCAAAGCAGTCTCCACACCAGCAGGGGTCGATAAAGTTAGAGCATTCACAAGAGCTAATAGCGGACAAGGCCCGTTAGCATTTTGTACCAGGATAGGTGAAACTCTAAGGTTGTGTTCGGCATTAACATCATGCCAAGATATTTTCTTGACCTCGTACGTCTCTTTCTTTTGTCTTTGAACGGATGCTATCATATTGGGAGTCATAATCGAGCTTGTGGCTGTGTTTGCCGCATCTGCAACAGGTCGCGGAGGTTGAACGGGGGGATGATCTCGAGCGTTTCGCGGTGGAAGCGCCGGAGGAACTTCTTCAGAGGGTAAAGTAGAGACTTCCATGCCATCTACTCCAATAACACCGCTGTGCTGGGAATTATCCAGTATAACATCATGGTCAATAAGATTCCATCCTTCCGCAGAGGGGCTCGAGTATTGATTGTGCCCAGGGGGCTGAACCGGGACTGCTGTTTGTGTTTGACTTGATTGACTTGATCCTTCACCATGAGCAGAATCCCATGCATGCTGCCCTTCTAGTATCTCATGCCTCTCGTCCGTAGGCAATACCGGCTTCTTAGAATCTGCCGGAATTTCTTCCTCTTCGTCTCCTTCGTCGTAATCATCCTCATCCCATGCCGGTGATTCAGGTTCATCAATGTCTACTAAGACATGCTGCTGCGACTGTTCAGATGACTCGGGAGGAGTAATGATATTTTGGGGATTCGCGCCTGACCAGGCTCCGTTTCCCGAATCTTCTCGTTGGAGATTGGTCATTTGTATAGCCTGTCTTTCATTCGTAACGGGCTGCCATGGATTCGGATTTTGTCCAGACACTTCCATGTTCGAAAGTTGTTGGGTTACTATGCCACATGTCAGTATTGAGCATAGAATATAGGGCTACTAACAAACCTTGAGACACAGGCGGGGGAGGTGGGGGTGGGTAATCTGGATGTGTTGGTTTCTCTGTAAGCTCGTTCCAAATATCTGCACTACTTTCGTTTTTGTCAGACACTGCATTTTGTGAAGTCTGTGATTGTTGCCTCCTCAAAAATGGATTAGTGGTCGAGGTATTAGGTTTCAACACATCGTCAGAAGGCTTAGGAGGGGCCCTCGAAGGCCCAACTCTTAAACTATCGGGGATACTGCTAGGATCAGGATGGGAATGTCCCTCTTCGTTCCAAATGTTGGGTTCGGTATTAGTTGCGGACGACATCGCATTGGGGTTCTCTTCGGTGCGAAAACTGGCGTGTGGATTCGAAGATACTGGGCTAATGGGGTATGGCAGCGAGGAGGGATTGTTGGAAGGGTTGGTAGATGAAGGTACGGGCTTTCGAGTCACCATCATGATTGACTTTATCGAGTGACTAGAACTGTATTGAGGAACTGAGTAAGGATCGTTCTTTTTTGAACCCTCGTTATATTTTCGATCGAAGACCTGGGGTGTTTGGGTAAATTGGAATTGGAATTCCTTATGCCAGTATATCAATCAGTGTACTCAAGTACAATGAGGTCATATCCAACACAACTATGCTTTTGAATTTGTCCTTATAAAGTTCTTAAATATAAAAGCGACACAATCAATCTCCTTCTGAAGTTTTGACTCTAGCAGCCCGATCGCAAATATTGTAGTAGAGCTTCCAAAGTTTGATTGATTTTGTCAGAAAGTAAATGGTATGGTATCGATACGATAAGTGAGATTTGTAGGGGTATTCTGCATGTGCTATAATGCTGAAATGTATGAGGCTGGGAGATCAATTGTGTCTCTCAAGCAGATTGCGACAACTTCAATATTTCAATGCCTTCTCATAAAAAAGAGAGTTAAACTGGTTGGAGGAAGGGAAGAATATCTTGGTAAGAGAGAAGAAATTGATTCTATCTACAAAATGTGTCAATAGGTAAGTGCTTGCGCGTCTGTGAGCTTACTGCTATGATTCTTGAGGTTAAAGTTCCAGCCAGAAGCTAAACTAAAGTGTGGCTGGAGTGTGGCTCAGATTTGCCATCATAAACGGAGGTATGTGCGATCGGCGAAAGGCTGAACCTTGAATCATTTGCCCAAACAACTCAACCAATGATACAAACCACTACCGAGAGAAAAAATCCACCAAACACGCAAGGCTACCAAATTCATTTGCATGTTTGGAAAAATTATTACCCAGGTACCTATTGATAGATAACAATAACAATTTCATCTTTAATACCTAGGTACTCAATTGTATTTACATATACTTTTGGATATATATACTTTACCCAACTGAGTGTGTCAAGTTTCGCAATATGCACAACTTGGTTAAAGCAAATGCTTGGGTAGTTCTAAGACTACCTTCCGATAACCTCAAAGTCTTACAAGTCGTTCCAAATACGTGAGTGAGTCTTGATAGATTTGGCGAGGAGCCTTCTTCTGCCTCTATATACCAGTCTATTAATGGGAACGTTTGCTGACAACATTACTAGTCCAATATCATTGGGAAAATATGGTACATTTCCAAGCAACCTCATAATTGATCGCCCGTACAACCTTAAATACGAACTTGTCGACAGACAAAAAGATCAAAACTACTCGGATTTGAGGATCGTACCAGCGTCTGAAATCCATGCCGACACAATAGCGGAGGAAAATGCAGCGGCAAACCCTGTTTCGGATGATAATGTAATAATTGGAGGAGATGGTGTCGAATTCGAACTTGTGGGAGAAAATGGAGAAGTCATTATGCGCTCAAATCGCGAAACTATTGATGACTCTGCTAGGCAGACCTTAACACAAGAGGAGATTGAGAGTTTAAAAAGAGATGGTGCCGCCGCAGGAAAAGACCTCATTGCTAAACTAATGCTATCACATACCGCCCTCGACGAAAAGACGGCTTTCTCATTAGCAAAGTACAAGCTGTTGAAGACTAGGAAATACTTACGACAATTCACGATATTACCAATGGATGTGGCAATGATGGATTACTGGATGATGAAAGAGAAAGACGCTAGCAAGATCATGGAATTCAGGGACGAAATGCTCGCTTTGGCTGGAAGTTGGGCGAATGTCCACTTCTCGGAGGATCCAGAAAATGAACATACAGACGCTCTCAATACAAGTGGTGGAGGTCGATTGCTGGTAGTAGACGAGACTGGGGGCTTACTAGTTGCAGCTATGGCGGAGAGAATGGGCTTGCTATACCCAGAAGAAGATCAGGATCTCCCTACGGAATATACAGGCGCATTGGAAGAAGCTCAAGCTGATAAAGAACCAACTCCACGACACCAGTCCGATCGTCAATATCGTCCTTATGCCAATACCAATACCTTGACTTTAATACACACCAACTCTCAACCCAATCTTTCACTACTAAAATATTTCAATTTTAATATTGATAGTCCTGCAGCATCGCACCCACTGACTAAACGACTTCTACCCATATCTTGGTTACAACTTATCTCGCCAGAAAGTGATAGCTTATACTCTTCCCCACCCCCTTCGGCAACACCAGAGGAATTGTCGAAATGGAGTTCAGGAAAACGAGGAACTCATTTTCGAAAGAAGCGTCGCTGTGAGAGAATTAGACACATTGTCTCAACTACTCAGCATGGCGATTTCACAGGTTTAGTAGTAGCTTCCAATATGGATCCTATATCTATCATTCGCCGCACCATCCACCTCCTTCGACCCAGCGCTACTATTGCCATATATTCTCCCAACATTGAGCCCCTAGTCGCCCTAGCAGATCTATACAGCACAAGCAGAAGAACCGCATTCATCCAAGCACCTCCAGAAGAGTTAAAGGGACTATCACAGGCTGAAATAGCAACATGGCAAGGAAACGAAGATTTTCCCCTCAATCCCTCGCTTATCTTGAATGCATCAGTACAAAGCTGCAGAAAACGTGAATGGCAAGTCTTGCCGGGGAGGACACATCCATTGATGACGAGCAGAGGTGGTGCTGAGGGATATTTGTTTACGGGCACGAGGGTCGTACCCGCGGAAGGAAAAGTAGAGGCTAGAGGAAAGTTCGCAAAGAGAACGAAGGCGGTTGATGGGGGAGTGGGAGCTAGTAAGAGGGTGACGGAGGATACTCAAGAGATTGCAAATAAGAAAATCAAACTGGAGACAGAAAGCTTAGATGTCCAGACAGACAAGAAATCGGATATAGATATGGAGATGTAGATTTAGACCTCGATGTAAATAGTATATCGCAATTTGATGCATTATCTACATGTGTCTAGGTGAAGTATAGAAGCGATGTTGTAATCGGTAAAATGATCTAGAAGATTAATGAGCTTCGTCTGCTTATCCTCATCTCTTAGGAGCGATGCCTTTTTTCTTCTCTCTGTCCTCCACCTCCATCTTGTAACCTCAACTGTATCTTTATTTCACCCGTAATAACACCGCCAACTCCCTTAACAAATGCATACTCCCAGCGTCAACATCCACCCACCCCTATTTTCAAGCGGCCTAAAAGTCGTATCTCATCCGTCTCACACATCATGCATCCTAGGATCCCCTCACAAACTCTTACCCATAAACTTCCTCTTCGTAAAGCTTAGCCACCATTTACTTGGCTTCCCATCCTCGGTATCATAAATGCGTGCTAACAATCTACTCGCCAATTCCTGACGGACTTGTCCTAAATATTGTCGGAGGGTCTCGGCTTCTTGTCGATTTGCAGGTGCTTCGAACATCTATTTTGAAGTATTGTTAGCTTCCCTTTCTAATAACTCCATTCCCATCTCCTAAATTGCAATCTCAAATACAGAGGATAAGGGTAAGAGATGACGTAGAGAGATAGTAAAACCAACCTGATTCAAAGGAAATCCCGCGTCTCCCGGTATCGCAAAATTGGTATCCAGCGCAATATTCTGGACCTCCTTCTGTGCCTCCCTCACCGACATCGAAGGCTTCACCTTTCCGAGACACTCGCTCACCCACAAAATCCCATAAATCAAGAGACGATCTGGAGGTCCTTGAATCTCAAAATTACGGAAAAATGTATTGGCGCGAAAGAGAGAGAGTACTTCGTCTAAAGCATCGTAGGACTCGGAATCTGGTTCTGGGGATAGATGGGCGGCAAGAGATGGATCGAGAGGGAGTGTGTAGGCAGGTCCGCGCACCTTTGTGCGCAGGGGAAGGATAGGAAAGTTGCCAATTAGGTGAAGGGCGGTGGAGGAGTCTTCGTTGAATATGCTGTTGTAAGCCTAGATTGAGGTGGTTTGTTAGCTATATCCAAGGTAGAATATGTGAGGTGTTTGGAGGTTACAGTGATTTTGGGACGCCCATCTCGAGATTATGTTTTGATAGAAAGAATTGGATGACGGATTTAGTATTTTGACTTACGGGCATATTGAACAATTTGCGTTTGTGAATATGGGGAAAGGTGTATGAATTTGGAGATGTGAGGGGCTTGAAGCTGCGTCAGTTCAAGGAGAGTTGTGGTTAAGCTTGTTTGGCCTGAGGCTGGCTGTAGCGACACCTGCAGTTTTGATCCACCTTGTGGACAAGGCCGACAACTTTATATCCGTCCTGACGACAACTCCATAAGTTAAGTGGCATTTCGTGGATTCTGAAACTATAAAACTTACCAATTGTCTGATTTGAAGAAGTTTTCACCAGGATTTAAGTGGCATGGCGCCCAAAGTACAGTGGAAACTTTGTCGACTTGTCCCCTGTCTATTGTTGGAACCAGCCCGATGCTGATCTAGTTGATCACGACGTTTAATTCGACCTTAACTATGAGTCTAGTGTGCACTATGAAGCGTTGTTGAGCTCTTTCTAAATGTCTGAAGTGTCGATGTGCGAATGATGTTAAAGCCTTCTCTCAGGAACAGGCTGGAGCGCTTGTGGAGTAAGATTGCAGTTTATCACGAAGGCCGAAAAGTCAATAACGTACAGCTGGTCGAAGGTCATGTGCACCTTCAATCTATGCAGTGTTCTTACTATCCATCGCCGTCCACTGTGCAATGGAGAGGACTAGCTTCCTATATTAAGCTACTGGAACCTCCCTCTCAGAGTCGTGGGCGCTCTCGATAAAGCATCAAAGGGATAAGGGAGGACGGGAACATATTTCCACAAATAAGTATTTCACTCCAATCTCTGGTTCATTATCGAGAACTAGTTCATCTCGTTGCACAAATCCAGGCAGCGCACGCGACCTGCCTTATGTCCAACTTTCACCGGGAGTCAAAGCTGGCAGAGTTTCAAGTGCATTCTCTCCGCCCTCATCCATTCCATCTGTTCTACTTCTGCGGACCAGGCAGGTCGAAAAGTGCAGAATCTCATAGAATTTACTACGAGCGGTGGAGACTTGCGGAGTGCTTAGATTGGGTATCTATTCATTTCTGATTACATGGTGTGAAGGTAAATCTCAGAAGTTACGAAAAAGATACCCATGAAAATCCAATGGCTTCAACGCGGACCTCAATTCCTCACAATTACAATATGGGCTATTCAATTCCACGGCAAGATGAAGCAGAAGACTCTGGCTGGAAAGGTCGAAAATTGAAGACAATTTATTCCCTCACCTTTAGCTCGCCTGTAATTTAGAGACCGAGGCTATTCTTCTCGTCCCATTTCCTCAATTCTTCAACTAGATCATCCGTCTCAACGAGCCTAGCATACCCGTCCAAGATCCCCATTGCCACTTTATGTACCTCCTCAGCATCTAACTTTTCCTTCTTGAGATAATCAATTCCAAACGACGCACATGCATCCACCACGACTATCATGTTCAATCCTAAATCGCTCCCATCCCTCACGGTGCTGTTAATACATTTTGCACCTTCCATTCCAATTACCACCATCTCTCTGCCTTTACAATCTAGCTCATGGGCAGTATCGTTCAGTTTGGTAGACGCAAATGCACTGCCAGTGTTCTTGATGAGAATGGGCTCGTTTGGTAAAGGGGCCGCGCAAGCATGCGGTGCGATAAAGCTAGCGTTGGCGTCGATAGGGTACAGTTCATCCTTGGGGTCATTCGAGTGATGATGGATATGGATTATTGGAAACGAATGTTTACGGAAGGTACTGAGAAGTGTTGATACATTGGAAGTGAGGTGGGGAGTAGAGCGCGGGCCCCAGGAAGAGGGCGGATCGACCTCGATCTGATGAAGGTCAACGACGAGAAGAATAGGTGGCTTGGTAGGTGTAAAGGTCATGTTGATTCTTATGAGGGCGTTGTATTTGGATTGGTATTTTTGTTCGATTCAAACCACAGCAGAAAAGGAACGGATTATGACTCACACATAAGATTCACGAAAACGGGGTGTGATCACGTGCCATAAGCAGTAGGTAGCCCGTGTCTAGCTATTGGTCCGGGACCGTCGGGGAGAGAAACCGACGAGCATGGTAGGTCCATTCACCTCTGATGAAATGGTGAGAACTTTGCCAGTCATTTTTAATACATACTCACTTGCAGGCCGAACGATACTTTCTAAGGGGTCACATTTCGAAGCACTTCGAAATGATCTCAAGTGCTTGACTTCCTCTTATGCTCACGATCGACAACATGCCAACTAAACATGATTTGGGGATATTTCTCGTTTTTGGTAGCTGTGGCTATCTTGGTTCGAATCTTGTGAAGCACCTTAGCACAGTAACTTCTTCCAACATTTATTTCCTAGGTTGAGAGCCTAACCAAGCTCCGCCCAACGTTACTTACCACGCGGGATATATCATAATCACCAGCAGATAAATGATCTTCTTGAAGAAATCTCCCAAAAAGTCATCGCTCATACGGCCTCCGCAAGATTTACCGTTTCGGAAGATACACTTCGGCGCGCGAATATCGAAGGTACTCGAACTCTCCTTGAATCTGGAACCAAAAAGTCGGACGTTCGCGCGTTTGTGTATACAAGCTCAGATTCAGCAATCGAACAAGCACCCGGAGTAGAGCTCACCGAGGAAACCGCAATACTACACTCTGAAAATAGCCATGAGGCGAGTTTATATGGGAGAACTAAAGGGATTGCTGATGCTGCTGTGATTGCTGCCAACGGGATCAAAGCTTCACACTGTTCTTATCCGTGTTCCAGTCCTCTACCAAGGTTTACAGGTAATATAGATGCTCACATTCAAAGCTGGGAACCTCGACGAATAGCAGCGCGTGGTATAATATTTGTTTCTGCAATAAATCTCCCTCCCTATAGTCTCGGAATAGTTCCAGAAAGTCTTCATTTATAGGTTGAGCCATTTCGTCTCATGGATCATGCGTTCTCTAATACTATTAGCAGCATACACAACTCCGATTTTGTAAGAGACTTCTCGAGAATCATACACGGAATTGGAAAAACGTTAGTGATATTTCAATTGGAAGAATTTTTACGATTGCATGAGTAGCTTTTGAAGTGTCACAGCGATGGCGAACGATTGCAAGATGGAAGTTAAATTACGAAAATGCGATATGTAGAGAAACCTTTTTTCATTTCTTTACTATAAGTACTCCTTTCAAAATATACAGCACACAGTATATTGCATCTCACCACTATGGGGCCCCATTATCCTCCTTACATGCAAGTCCAGCAGCCTTTGCTCTCAACCTCATCATGAAACAGTGTAAACACCACTTGCGCTAGCGGTCGGTGGACCAGGTAACGTTTGGGTCTCTGTGGCTGCACCAGTATAAAGAGGAGGACCGGGAATAGTATAATTCGAAAGTGTTCCATAAATACTGAACAGAATGCCCGGATCGCTTGGATTGTAAAAAGTGGTCGCAGATACACCAGGCGGTTTGGTTGTTCCTGTACCCTTGATGGCAAGGCTAACACATTGCGGGTAGTTTTGAGCACCGTTGGCCGAACCAGCAGCATGGAGGGCGATAATCTCGTGGCGGAGGACATAGTTGCCAGTTGCAATGTTCGAAGGTATTGTAACAGTCCAGCTATTGTTGTTGGCGATCAATACATCGGTACCCCAGAGTCCGCTTGTTTCTGCCGTTGGACTGACCAGTCCAAGTTCATCAATCTTGAACCATTTCAATGTTGTTTTATCGACAGTTTCGCATGGACCGTTGCAATTGGCGAGGTAGTCAATCACTGGTCCTTTGTGAGATATGGGCCATGGTGTCCATTGCAGTTCAACCTTTCCTCCAGCGGTAACAGGAGCTTCAATCTGTGCTGGTGTTGCCCCTACGTGACAGATAATGTCGGAGGAAGTGTAGGCAGCGGGAGCGATGAAACCGTTGTCGAGATCTTTAGGGATCGGCCAGCCGACGGTTATTGGGGCAGGGCTGATATACTGATAGCTTGGATTGTATCCGTTGTAACTTCATACTGTTAGCTCAGGTTTTGGGAATGAGTAAAAATTCTCAGGGAGGGAACTTTACTAGATTCCGTTGGCGACGATCCCAGAAACCGTGCCGTGAGCTCTCACGGCTGAGATAAGTGTCAAGGCTGTGATTTGTTTAGAGAACATGATCGCTGGTTTTCCCCTAGAAGATGTCTTGATGGTTTCTGAACTACAAACCGCATCTAAGAAAAGAATGCTACTTTATACATGTCCTGGGAAGCATTATCGTCTACTCCTTTTTCGGGTCGCCGGATGCGAACACAGCATATTAATCTTACAAATACATAAATGGAACTACAAAACTGGAAAACAATATAAAAAATCAAGCTTCTGGTCACAGGAGCTAATAAGTCGTCTTATGATCGGCGTTGAAGCCTGCTTGTGGAGTAGATCATCTCTATATTAATATATGTGGTATTAGTCTTCACATCAAACTCGCCTATGAGATCCCATATATGGGGTGATGCTTCTTCAAGCTGCTACAGAACGCCTCATATGCGGTGTTCTGTCGGTTGTGATGCCACATACCCCGGATTTTCATTTAACGAGTTCCAATTTCCCGACGAGCCGTCGGGAACTGTGTCGTGCCATTTTATCCGGAATCCGGGGTATGGGGTTCGGGGTAAAAGGGATACGGCACATTCGCGAGATCGTGATATTTCATGATCATGATGTGATAATAGAAGTTTTGGTAGGAAAGTAAAGGGTTGCATATCCTGAGTCTGTTGATTGCAAACGTTGTTTTCATGCTGATACTAGAAAAGTCTGCCATTGACATATGTTGTTTCAATTCCCCACTAATGCTTTTCATGGATTCAGACTAATTTATTTAGCACCAGTGTGTTTTTTAGCATAAAGCTTTTGTAATTGACATGTGTGCCATGCTTGTAAGTTCGGGCGTGTGGGATAGCGAAGATTTTACGGTTGCGAGTCATTGAAACACGTTCAAAATTCCATTTAACCATATTAAAGTACCTCCCAAAGCAGAACATCAACCATTAGTAGACGTCGATTTCCTGGTTAGACTGCTTAGTCCGAGGTATAACTACATCAGATGGAGCTCGTTGTCAAAGTATAGCAATGTCGCTCTACGTCCCAAAGCAGGCATGGGACAAATATCTGTTTTGGAAACCCTTATGGAAAGTATTGGTGGTCCGTTTACCCAGCTCCAGGAAAACCTAGTGTTTGTTATACAGGTACTGGTCTCCATGGTCGAATTAGATATCTCGGAAGATTTATTGCAGGGTCATAAATTTGTCAAATATACCTAGGAAAATAGGGCTTTAATCTGTGCAGAAGCACGCCTAGGCGATGCCGTTCAACCTTCAATTTCAAAGATCAAGTGATTATTTAATATGTAGAATTCTGCTGGTTCTATGTGACAACGTATCTTACTATTCCGAAAAATGGCAAGCTATTGGTTGGTGCATCTTTGATGAAATACAGAAATTAGTGGGGAGATTATCATATGCATCCATCAAGTACGGCGCTTGGGATACGAGATAGCTTCCTGCATGATCGTGCCAGTATGCTTCACTTTAAGGACTACATTTCTTAGAATAAAACCAAAGTCAGCATAATTGGCCCGAGGTAATTGAGGGGAGCGCAAACTCGGGGGTAGTTAGGCCTTCCGAGTTAAGGGTATCAAGTAGAAGATAAAGCGCAGACTTGACGTAAAAAGCTTGTCGCGTACTCATGTTAAGATAAAGTCTTCTGGTAGGAATTATCATCTATTACATACTTTCGAAGGTCTATGAGTCTTCGCGGTAGTGCATCTTTCGTCTGTTTTCTTACACTCAACCTCTGTTAGCGAGATGTTAGCAGTCGTCCAAAACATATTTATATCTCTTTTGGCATGACGTGCGGCTACCAGAAGTATATGAACCCTACGATTTTCGGAATCGTGGCGTAGCTCGATAAGTTATGATGTAGCCATGTCTACCAATGTAATGTCATCGACAAAAAGATCTTAAAATCCCATGGAAATTACACTTCCTTGACACTGATCTAAACGTTTTTCAACGAAGGATATATAGTCTTCCAATATCTGGTAGTTAGAATAATCTCCTGAAGCGACACATTTATGCTAGAAGAACTATGGAAAAGATCACCTTGAGATGCGGAGTACCTTTCCTTCATATTAAAGTCCCAGCTCTCTTTTTCATTTTTTCACACAAAGTTACTATTCAGTTAAGTTTGGCGATGATTTTTTATTTCACGTAGATTGCACAGGATGGGTATGGATATTGTTTATATAACAAAGGAAATGTATTTTTTTTATTTTTTTGGGGTTTTCGGTTTCTTTCGATAAAAGCAAGAACGAATTCTAGCATGTTTACAAAGGAAATGTATTTCAGTCTCTTTTGATGAGCAAAAACTAAATCTAGCATGTCTACAAAGGAAATGCGTTTTTTTTTTTTGTTTTTTGTGTTTAAGTCGCTTTCGGTAAAGCAAGAACGAATTCTAGCATGTCTAAAAAGGAAATGTGTGTTTCAGTCTCTCTCGATAAAAGCAAGAACAAATTTTAACATTTCTACAAACGGAAATGCAAGCCTAGCTACATGAGTACCAGCCTCTAGTTTACTCTCTGTGGTTTATGAGCTCTTGAAAACCATATCAACGTCCCACTCCATACGCGTAATGGGGATACTTGCAATGAGAGCCTTGCGATGATTTAGAAAAGTTTCAAACTCCTCAAGTAATTCCAGATGTTCTTTCTTCAAGAGCGAACGTTCATCGAGAATGATGTTTGACACTCGAACGGCATTGGCATGTTGTGAGGCCAATACGTTAAAGCAGCCGGCGCATTCACAGCGTCTTTCATCTTTGGCGTCAAGGGGCCGGAAGGTACTGCGCTCGTACTTTTGCCTTTCTCTGTATGGTAAGGAAAATTTCGAAAGCCCGGGAATTCGGTGCACCCGCGCTTCGAATTCGGTGCGTAAGTCTTCATGTAGCGACTCCCATATTCCAAGTTTAGAGTGCATGGCATCTTGAAACTCGATGAGCTCGAGGTAATTATCTGACAAGTCGTTGAAGTGGCTAAGTTGTTTCGTATCGATGATCGACAGCTTAGGGCTGTCGGGCTCTGGATTTGATGTATCCCTCAATTGCAATCCATATCGGATGGAAGGGGGAAGCTCATCTGGAACATCCCGAGAAAGCATAATTCTGTCTTCACTTGGCGTATTATTTCTCTCTGCTTGTTGGTAGGCGTTGCGAATGTACACGTCATCATCCACTGATTCCCGGCCGGGCATGATTGGCTCCGGACTTGGTGTGTTTCTCTCTTCACTTTGGAGGACTCTACAATAGTACGTGACATTCGCTGTTTCTTGAGAAAGCGTATTTGCCTGCGGAATTGGCGTAATTATCTCTTCAGGTCGGACGACGCTAGGGAGCTCATCAGCTATTTCTGGCTCAACAAGCTGAATTGGCCGCCTATGTCTCTCATCGGGTTGGGCGGCGCTAGGGGCCTCATCAGCCATTTCCGGCTCATCAGCCAGAATTGGTTGCCTATTTCTCTCTTCACTTTGCGTGATGCTAGGGAAGTCATCATCTATCTCCAGCGCATCACGTCTAAGGTGAATCATCTTTGCGGTTACGATGTTCTTCTTCTGAATAATTCGCTGAGTACTAATTGTAGAGAAGGAACTGAGATGTGAATACAAGATAGATTGCTAGTGCTATTCTTGTCTTGTGATATTCTGATTGCTTGTGTGTATGTGTGTGTATGAGTATGAGTATGAGTATGAGATGGGATTGTTGAGGGAGATATTACACGTATTTATAATATAAAAGGAAAACTTATTCAGGATCTGTTACTTGCTGATTTCGTAGTTGTTTTATCTTACTTTCGAAGGTAAGATTACGCTGTTAGTTGAATCCATTGTCTAATTTGTTTGATTACCTATTGAAGTATACGCGTATGAGGTTATTGTTATGTTTTTCCCTTCCCATTCATCATATTGGTAAGATGCGAAAGAAGCTGGCTCCGTAAGTCTTTGTTTAAATTTGGCTGAACAAAGTTAGCCGAGGTCTCGCAATCCATCCCCTATAGAAAATTTCTCAAACACCCATCCATTCCCACCTCGCCAAAAACCCGAAAAATATTTCCAATTTTCCCCAACTACTCGTAGGAATTCCAGGCCATATAATATTCAAATATCAATGTGCTCAAACTTATTATTGTCGAGAATCCTATGTATTTCATATTAAAGCACAATTAGTAATACCTTAGGGACAAAGAGAATGTAGTATTAATACTTTATTAGAGATACCTATATAAAGCGAGACATGGAAGATGGTGAAGTTTCAGTCCGGTGGCAAGTAGGTATGAACATATTGACTATCAGCAAGTATGGTACAACTAAATGACAAGACAAGACGAACATTTCTTTTTCACATCATGATGAGACGAAATTTAAGGGTTTAAAACACATGAACTGCTTAGTCAAAGAAAGATAAATAGACAACCTCCACCAAATACACTTCGAACAACCGCCTACTCACTGGCTACTCAGCAAACGTCCCTCGACCGCTATCCACGCACGTAAAACAGAAACAGAGCATTTTCTCATCCTCATCATAACTCCCATCATCGTCATCGTCATCATCACCAGCAACCACCATGACATCCGAAACAAATCAAAATCATAGCCAAAGAAACCAATCCGTCCAATCCTCGTCAAAAGAAAAATCACCCTAAACTCTTTCCAGTGGCTTTCTGGCCCATCCATTCACGGTCCTCCATCCAGCACCACAAGCTCTACCCTCTTCAATAAGATTGTGTACACCCTCCAACGTTCCCTCATTGCCCACTGTCTGAACTCTACATCTCAGCAACCATTTTTCCCAAGCCCAGCCACCAACTAAACCAGAAACACAAGCTGCATCTCCTGTACTCCCGCTGATAATTGCTTCCATTTCCAATGGATCACCCACGCTATTTCTCTCGACGTCAAATTTATGTTCCGGATCTGCGCCCATTGGCAAAAATACCCATGCGCGCTTGATACCTACAAAACCCGCGCGTTTCAAACGGCTGAGCCAGAGTTTGGTGGGTGCTGGATCATACCCGAGGGTTTTGAGGTTGAATCCAAATTCAACACTCTTGGCCAAACCCATTGGGCCTGCGTTAACAATATCTGAATCCATGATGGAGAAATCAAGATACCCACCTGGCTTAAGAATACGCATGCATTCATTAAGACAAGCTTCCCATTCATCTTCTCCGTTCTCACCGCGCTCCTTGAGAATGCTGTAGATTTCGCGAGCGGAGATGAGGTCGAATTGATTATCTTTCCATGGAAGCTTAACGAGACGCTCCACGGCTACTTGGCGAAGATTCTTAGGGCCGCGAATGTTGGAGTTAGACAGTTGGCGAAGGGATTTGGTGGTCACCGTGTATACTTTGCAGTTGGGATATTCGGTAGCACATTGCCATGCCCAATCACAAGTGGCTTGTCCGCCGAGATCAAGAATACGAGCACGGTCTCTAGGGGTGCCGTTAATGGTGGGACCCATTGAAGAGAGTCTTGCAAGGCGTTTGGCAACAGGAGCTGCGATCAAGCGACCTCCGTTGAGTAGTTTAGTTGCTGCGACGTTCCAGGCTGCAGGTGCCATTTGTTCGAGAGCTTCGATCTCTTTATCATGCTTTAGCTTGTCTAAATCTTCTTCAAATGGAGTCTCGTCACCACGAGCCACGTTGGAAGACATGCGGCGCTTGGCGGACATTGGAAGAACGCTCAATTGGTATTTACCGAGAAGATGGGCACGATGAGCTGCTGGAAAAGATACTCGTTGAGATTGGATAGCTTCAAATCTGGGCATACGATGCACGAATACATCACGGCGATGAGTTTTGCGAATCGATCGTTTGAAGGCACGGTGATAGGTCGATTCTTGAGGAAGAGCTTTAGGTAGTGGACAAGACTTTCCAGCAAGCTTGGCAAGCGTAGCAGTAGCAGCTGCTGGAGTAGAGACATCATTGGTAGAGCCTGTAGAGAAGTGTACGGTCTTTTTACGCTGCAAAGGGAGTGGCTCAGGCTCACTTGGTGAGATTGCCATCTCCGCTGCTGAAAATCTTACACTGGAAGCTCGCTTCAACAAGGCGACTTCGTCGTCACGAGCCTCTGTAGGGTTGATGAGTTCTGAAAGGTAATCATGTTGAGCTGCGAGCCACAGCGCAGTGCGATCAATATTAACAGTTGCAGTATCCTCAAGCTTGCTAATATACCCAGGTGTGTAGTCGGTCAAAATTTCATCAGCTACAATGACCTCCTCAAAGCTAGTTTTATTTGGCGGAGGCGATCTGATAGCAACAATAGTTTCGTCGGAATTACCGTGGCGGATCTCTGGTCGGATGAATTTAGCGGTTGGTGGCCCATCAGTATCAGCAGGTTCTAGAAGTTCGATAATACGCTCAACTGGATGTGGTGCCCATGGGGTGTTGTAAAAGTTCTCTGCGGTGGTTGATGAAGGAGGAAGAGGTTCATCTGGCGTGACAGGCACAAGGTGCCATGTATGTCTCGCGCCATGACCCAAAGATGCGAAGAAGCCACCAGGAGATGGTATCTCTAGATTTGTTAGACTTTCCATAGCTCTTTGTTGGCTTGGGGTGAGAATCAGTGAATTAGCGCGATGAATATTGGTGTTTAAAGGTGGCAAGCTTTGCTGCATTTCTTGAGTGGGCGCGATTTCTAGTGGTACAGTACTTAATTCAATGACTTGTTCCAATTGCTGCTCCTCGAGGTAGTCATTAGAAGGACCTGAAATCGCCTCCAAGGTAGCCATAGCAGCAGGTTGCAATTGGATTCTCCAGCTGGCACGAGGACCGTCCTCTTCGCTGTCGTAACCAATATCTGGAGTTGGTGGAGCAGACATTTGAGCCATCTGCTCTGAATCCATGCTTCCATCCAATGACGGTGGAGTCGAAGAGGATGGAACTGATAGATTCTCTTGATTCTTCAGGAACGTAAGGACAGCAGGAGACATAGCTACTCTTGGAGGTGGTGTTGGTGGGACTGGAGATGCCAATTGTCGTTTGAATGCTGTGACTTCAGCCCATGGATCTCCATTTGGGGGGATCACAAGCGAAGGTAATGAGCTTAGGGAATTTCTGCTTCCGATTGAGCTTGTGGATGATCTGTTTGATCTTGGAGACTGCACAATACTGGCCCTTCGTCTCAAAGTGCTGCCCCTTCGATTATCTTCGTCAGATGAAACATCGTAAAGATCATCGAAGTCAGTAGCATCAGTTGTAAAACTTGCTCTTGTCCATGGTGCCGATGAAGGAGCGGAAGTTGAGTCTCTGCTTGAATCTGAGCAAGATGGTGAAGCTGGACGATATGGTTGCATGAATTGATTTGCTCGAGGCGTTGGAAAGTGATCGCTGAGTGGAGAAAGCCAGTCTGCTTTGTGAGAGGATCTATCTTGACCTCGCATTTCCATGTGTTTTGAACCACGCATCGATTCTTCTTCATCTTCCATTATTGTATTAAGAAGCCTTCGTCGTCTCTGTGCCTGCACAGGTGAAGTCGGTGGCCGGTATGTTGTGGCAGGTAGATAATCTAGAGTTGCCATTTTGTCGACCTAGAAAACGTGACTTTTTTGATATACGCTTCTCGTCGGGTAGGTATCGTGTATTAATTTTTTAAGACGCTCTACGTCTAGTGAGACAAGGAAAGAAAATTAAAAGACAGTATGCTTCGATCAACGAAGACTTTGTAACACTAAGCTAAAAAGAGAGGGATTAACAACGACGAGAACAATACACCTCCTACACTACGAGAAAGAACGAGACGAGAAGAAAGTGATGACCTGAGTTTGGTAACTGGGTCACTGAAGGGTTTATACCGACAGTACCTGCCAAAAAGCGACAAGGGGCCCAGAAGGTGTGGCTCCAATTGAAGCCAAATTTTCTTGAAGAACCGGCAAAAAGAGGTTTTCCAAGCCTCTCCAAGCGACAAGGTCAACATGATCTCCACTAGTGAGGAGAGACATCCAAAAAGAGTCTAAGGAGCAAAATAGTCAAATTGTTTAAGATGCTACAACATCGGCTCATAATTCGTACACCCAATAAAAGTTGTGGCTGTCTCACCCCAGTGCATGGCACTGATGACCTAGCAGCAAATAGTTGGCAAGTGACGACTGAAATGGGAAGAAAAATCGATTTCTCTGGAGAATTGCGCGCGCGACGAGTAAATGAGAATTCAAGAGGGTAGTATTTTGTTAGCGCTTGCATACAATATCTACCAATGAGACTGCTCATCGCCTGCAGGACCCAGCTTGTTCGTGGAGCCCAGCGAAAGTTGGGCGCGTAAAAATAGAAATGGTTGAAAGATTGGCCTATGAAAACGAATATGAGTACGCCACGAATTAGAATGGGGTTTGACTCGATGGTAGTTTAATTGTATATGACTGGATGTGATGTTCCGATTTACAATTGACCGCGTGAATTTACCCCCGTAAAAAGAGCATCGCAAGGAAGTAAAGTGGCAGGCAGGTAGGTGGCTATATATAATTCTGCATTCTGTAAGAAGAAGTGTTTTCCGAAAATCCGATCAGTATTGCGCCCAACCAGTCATTCTAACTTGATCTTGATTGTGTGAGCCACGAAGATGTATGATCTTATGGGTAATGCTGGCGGTACCTGCATTTAATTATCGGCCAAGTTGCATCGGGTGATGAAGATGCTTGGTGCATATATCCCAGCGTCTGGCGTGTGTCACTGCATGATAGCATACGGATAGGTAGTGAAGAAAATAAAATGCAAATCTTTGATATACGTTTGAGTTGAGTTTTGATGAATCATGGCTAAAATGAGAACATAGTGAGAGTTTGCACAAAAGATATTGCTAAATTTTAGTCACGTGTTGAATTGTCTCCATCTTTATCGCAATTCAATGTTATGGGCCACCATTCAATCGTCATTGCACCCGCTTACTTATATAAGCTACTCAGCAGTACTCAGCGAGATATTACACATTTTAACTCATATTGTGCGATGAATAGTCAGCTGTTGAATACCATTTAGAAACCTACCTAATAGTCAGGCACCAACCTAATAGTCAGGCACCACTCAACATATGCATGCATGGACAACCATATATTCCATCCAATGCTGTGAACCCATAAGCCATCCATTCATCGAGTATTCCAATGTACCACCAGCCAACAACTACCGAGAACCCCAGACCTTTGTGTGGAGCCCCGCAGCCGTTGAAATGAGGTAAGATGATTCATACTCCAGAACATAACCCCATCTCAGAAAGGCCATACATCTAACCAAGTTCCAACCCTCTAGAGCCGAACACTCATATATCAATCACACTCAATACACATCTATTCCAACACGAGATTCGCAGTACAGTATTCCCAAAAATACCCTTCCAACCTCCTCATCCATTAACCACTCCTAATCCCAACCATCCCAACAGCTCCGCCTCCTTCTTTTTGATCAAAAAGTCCCCAGACAAGCGGCACCACAAACCCAAGAAGTTTCATTTCACACCCCAACTCCACCAACTCCGCCAACCTTGCTATCAATCATACTCCAAAACCACCCAGAATAAACCAAGCCCCCGTCACACCGACAAAGACCAAAGACCAAAGACCAAAGACCAAAGACAAATTCCCAAAATTCATAGCCCATTATATTTCCGAAAATACCTACTACGTACTTACTACCAAACGCACATCACCACCTCAAACAGGCCACTGAAAAATGACCGTCTGGTCTAGTCTATTCTATTCGTATTCGATTCGGGCTGATCCGTCTATATATGTATGAATCAATCAAATGAGGTCAGGTAGGGAAATCAATATATGACGAATATGCACTCCATCCATTCCGCTGTACGGAAACCGTGATAGTTGTTAATATTCTTAAACCAAGTGGTGACTGGGATGATATTCTTATATTATTTATTACCTAGTAATTATCACAAACTCTAGGTAGTCATAACATACAAGCGTGCAAGCGAGCAGGCGACTTCACGGCTGTACCTATACCAAAGTTTATTTTGGGGATTGCCAATGTTGGAATTTCAAGAACACCAAAAGTTAATATTGCTTCAGATCTACATTTCATCTTCGAGCTTTACCTTTGCGTCGAAGAGTATCTTTCAATGGGCTCATTATGGGAAAGGCTAACAAGATACGGAACTTATAAACTATGAAGAGCCACCATGCACAATGCACTTAAGTACGGACTAATTTCGATCGATGTATAGCTATCGTTTTCTAACATAGCAAATTTATCTCCTCTAATAAACGAAATTAACCATCATGCTTCAATCTGTTGTTGGATTCGATGCATTCTCCGAATGACGCGATTCCGTAGCCTCACTTACAGGGTACACAAGAGCACGCATCAGTGACTCAACCTCTTGCCTTCCACTCAATTCAAGCGTTAAATGTGAATTGTCCGATGCTACAGCCTTATTCCAGCCTTCTAAAATATGTTGCCGGCTTCCTGGATCAGGGATTGTACTGTCAAGGAAGCCACGGAAATCCTCGATGATGAATTCCGGAACATAAGAATCCGAAGTCGAATCTTCAGTATTAATGGGAGGAGCAACGGTCACAAAAGCATATCGGACTTTCGTGTGCATATTTTTGGCAGGTGGGGGGTCGCAATATATTTCCCCAATTATCGCTAAAGTCCATTCACCGGGCATGATCTTTGAATATTTGTCCTTTTTCTGGCGCTGGAAGTGTCCGGGAATGGCACCAACTCGCAATGAATTTTCATTGTCTTCGGATGACGCATTGGGTATTGCTAAATACTTTGCGATTTGTAGTGCGTCCGCCATGTCAATGCGTATAAATGGTTCCTTAGACATGAGATAATGAATGTATTGCGTAATTCCTGCAATGAACGCAGATGGCGGAACATCCATCTCTCCAAAGGGTATGCAGGTGTGATCAGGAGACATAAAAGAAGACCTAATCACGCCATTGGGGAAGCAAGACTCGATGCAAATGCCTCCATCATTGTCGCGCTGGACCTTACTTGCATCGGAGCAAGTGAACATAATTAGCTGACTCACGACTGGCTTGATGTGGCCATGTGCTGGAGCTTCGCTTTCGTTCAATGTATCAACGCACTGCTTATTCAAATTCACAAATGGCAGCGCGAGAAGCTCTGTGTCATAAAACTGAACCGTGGTTCCTCTTAACAATTCGATTTTCTTGTTTAAAGGAATTTGTGGAGTGTTCAAGAGGTAAAGGAATTCGAGTCTAGGAAACTTGACGAGAATTTCCCCAAGAAATTCTTCGGTAATGTTGGCGTTTCCAGAGAAGCTCAAACCAATCACGTCCGTTGGGTTGTTTAATCTTTCATTCAATACTTCAAATATTTGTTCGGTTGTCAGGTCGAAAGGTCCAAGGTCAATTATAGATTCGCTCTTGAGTATAGTGCTCAAAAGTCGACGTGCAGAGGCAAAATTCGACACGATAGTAGGATCAGCATACAGCTTTGATTTGGCAGTAGGATAGAAATCCGGGAGGAGCGATGCGCTTTCGATGATTTGAGGGAGCTCGGAGGGTGTGCCTTCGATTATCACGTTCAAGACCCTGGCAAGAGAGGATGCTCGGAGGCTGGGGAAATCAGCCGTTCCGACGTTTGATTCCTCATTTGTCGAATGCTCTTCTTCTGTGGTGTAAAAATTAGTCCAAGGTTCCAATTGTTGTCGTCAACAATAAAATGTCAGAGATCAAACGAGCTATATTTACCCTCAAGGATCTCCTCAACAAGGACCCATTCAATCTTTTCACCACGCAAAAGCGGGGTCATCCATTCAGGATCAGGCCATGCACTATACAAAGCTCGGCAGTCCACCAACGGCACCGTTTCAAAGCTTTCAATCAAGTCTTTAAACTTCTCCTGCTCAGCAGGGTCATCTTTGTTGCGGTATCCCCAAAGATATTGAGGCCCGGTAAGTGGAGTCATGGGTGGAGGTGGTATGGCTTGCTCTGCGTCCACCTCGTCATCGTAGAAGTAGTCTGAGAAATTGACAAAGCAATAGCGCACTTTTTCCAACTCTGTAATATCGAATATGGTAATTCCATCATTATTGTCGCCTCCATTAAACGGGAGATTGAAAGGAAGATCATCGACAGCATGATAATAATTATCCTTCACATCTAGAGCTGACCCGATAACCAGACATGTAAGAATAAATGGGAATGGAACGTCGTCCATAGAAGTGTTGCTGTAATTAACATATCGCTTCCAGTCTTTTTTACTGAGATGAGTTGCATGGCGAAGTTCGTGCGATAGTGCGATTCTGTTGGCAGGTGATTGCAAGATTTGGCGTATATTGAGACAGATTTTGAGGGCATCATCACCATAGAGCCATTCTAGAAGATAGTTGGTATGAGAATAGTCGGATTATTATGTGGGAAGGTAGAGAAGAGAACTTACGGTGGTGTACGGCTGCTAATCCACGATACCGACCATTTATTTTGGCGATGATAAAGAGTTGGTGTCTCTGCCCCATCTTGGATGATTTCTCTCTGTGTTCTTGGATGATTTCTCTCTGTGTTCTTGGATAATTCCTCTCTGTGTTCTCAGATCAATTTCATTGAATCTAATATCGCGCGTGAGTGTACTTGAGTATTTCTCAGAAGTATATTGTGGTGGGGTACGCGAAAGATGGGAAACACTTTCTCTATATACCATACCTAGTAAAACGCGACGACCTCGCGTTAGCGCGTGATTGGGCAGTGAATGTGCACACGAACAAAGAGGAAAGTAATTTCAAATTTCATATTGGCCAATAATACTGAGTGCATATGCAAAGTGTCTGCAAAACAGGCGGATGCCTAAAGCCACAGCCGAAAAAGGAAAGAACGATTGCTTTTGCTGCGGGGAGGGTACTATCAAACAAGCCGAGTACGATTATGAAGGGTGACTCATGATTTGGTGAGCCCATTTTGTTCAGTGGAATAAAACCATCCCGAAAGCCACTTGGTTCGGGACTGCGCGGGTATCCGAGAAATACTAAGTATACTGCCATATAGCCGATATCTGATGTATACACCGTAAGATTTTCTTTATCATATAAGGCAAGGCGTCTCTTCATTTGTGTATTATATAAAATAATCTTATATTATATAGGAATTCATGTAGAAATTTATATCATGCAGATCAATTATATAATGGTCATGTTATTCACGTATTATGTAAGCATTTCTATGCTGTGTATAGGTACCTAAGTAGATTCTACAGTGGTTGAGGGATGGTAAGGTTATGAATGCTATGGAAATCAGGCGATCTAGCTAGGCCAATCTAGAAGTCGAATGAACCCTCACTAGAAGAGTAAGGCAAAGGACTGTAAGTTCGAGAGACAACGGCATTGGCATGAGAACACTATGACTACCAATTTCACGTATTCTTCCAGACATCCATATGGAACAATGCAATCTGGAACTCACCTACTAATTCCGTACAATGACAGAACGTTCAAGCAGCACTTGCTGTAGGCAACTATTAATACTACTTAAATACAGGCGATACTCTCATACATTCATCACCGAACAACTAACACCCACATAAACACAAGCAATTCGATCCTCTCAAGGAGAAAATTTTCGCAAGTCAGATCAGGATGAATTCATCAGATTCAAATTCAGATGGCAAACGCCCATGCAACTTCCAGGAAACTTCAGGACCAACAACCCGATCAGCAGTTCTTGGACCATTCTGTTGGACATTTGCACCAACGGAGCGTAGGCAAATGCCCGATTCCATCATCGAATACATATTGAAATATTTCTACGAGCCGCGGCCCCTCCCGAGGGATGTTTACAACGACCTAGATTGTCCCAAAGCCGGCCCTCACCTAGAACGTTACGACAATTTAGACGACATCTTCCTGCATTTCTGTTGGGACGTGAAGAATAAACTAAGGGACGAAATCAATGATTTGAAGAAAGAGCATGATGATTTGAATCGAAACTACGCAGCTTTACTCAACCAATTCATCGGATCTTCAGCCGTGGAAATCTCTTCAGAATCCTGGAAACTCCTAAACTGTGATGCAGGTCGTCCCTTTGATCCTCCGGACAAATGTGTGTGCTGTAACTGTTTCCGGCTGCTTGAACATTCCCTCTGGGAAACACTATGGAAGACGCACAGCTTGGTCATTGACCTCGATTTCTTGCGCATCGAACATCAGGAATTGGTTGAGAAGTATGCTTGGCTCAGGTACAAAGTACGCCAGTCATAGAGAACATGCAAGAACTTGAAGGCTGGCTCTCATAAGGTCATCTGGAGTTTCTTTTGTCGATGTCTACAAGTCTAGGGAATGAGTTCCTAGGTAGAATGATTCTTTCTTGATAACAACGTATTTGCCTCCCAACAAAAAGACCAAAACACAGCAAAAGAATGCAATATTTCTCTTGTTAAAAATATGTCCAGTACAATGCACCCTGTGAAATTGAAACAGTGATGAAGGAAATGAACAATAACTAACAAATCGGGAGATTAGAAGAATGTTGATCCCACAATCCTGGTAGTGTAGTTCACTTCTACAAGAGTGAAAATAATATTATGCTACTCTGAGGATATGGGGAGGAAACCAAGCCCGATACTTAGGCTTCATACAAATAGGCAAGTGAACTTTCACCACTGCCACTAGTGAAACAGCTTCTAGACTGTATTCCTTCCCGAACATTCTTTCTGGTGCTCATGCTTTAATGTTTATCCCCGCTTCCAAGATCTCGAATACATATGATATCTTCCGATAGATGGATGTACCTGTATATGCATCAAGTTTTCAGTGTTAGCCTTCCCTTTTAAAACTGCACTGTCCTTGATATGAACCATCATTAAAAATTTGATCCAGACCAACAGTGACAGTTCAATCCGAGTTTCCACTCTCAAGATGATTCGGTTTTATGATTTCTACGCTAGAAATATTTCATTAGTAAGTATTAGTTATTTACACCAGAAACAAAGAAACAATTAATTGAACTAACTGAGTTAAATTAAGAAAGAGCCACTTCTCCAACCCCTTAATATCATCATCACACCATACCCTCCTACAAGTTACACAACTCTTTGCATCAGATTCATCAATAGCAAAGCCTCACCCTATATCTTATCCTCTCATCACCTCATCCTCTCATAACAACTAGAAGAATCCGTCTAGAAAGTAACTAAATGTTATTTCCATCACTTGATTCCGTAGAGTAAGTAGCCCATTAATTATAACGGACGATTTATGTTGGTTCAGTGTGAAGCCTTGTTTGTTGGATGCTAAACACGCAACGTACTGAACGTCCCTATCTATCAGTCAGTATACCACCAAAACTCTTCAGTTACAACAATGAAAAGAAAAAGAAAACCGACCTTGCGATTTCCTCATATTTCTATTTCGATAAGAAATAATTTAAAAAAATATTGAAAGTCGATTGAAATAAAAGCATGCGCAACAATACAATCACCACCGGGAGAGCAACTATGCTATGCTATGCACTTTACATTAAACTGTTTAGTATTTTCCTCTTTCGTTCTTTTATTGACTTTTTTAAGGATTTCGTGTAAGATGAGAGGTAATCTTACCTGGTATCAAGAGGACCTTAGTCAACGGGGCAGACGGTACATTTACCGCGTGAAAAATATCTACTACATTGCAACAAAAGCCCTAAAAAAGTGGAATAAATATGCAAAATATAATGATACAACAGAAGGCCCCCAACCGCAATCCATATACCAACCAGAAGCTAAACATACAAAAAAATATACAGTTCAATTTCTTAAATATTGTTCCTCTTCTTAATCCCCACCATACACTCCAAAGGTTTCCTCAAGAAGCCCTCTCTCGTCTCCAAAACATCCTGATATAGGTCAAATTCATATCTCCTAAATGTCGTTGCTACAATAAGTGCCAATTCCATCTCTGCTACATTTCTTCCTACACAACTTCTTGGTCCATAACTGAAGGGGATAAAAGCGTTCTTTTGTCTCTCGGTTAAATTATCCCATCGATCCGGTACGAAATCATCTGCGTTACTACCCCAGATTTCTTTCGAGTGGTGGATGGTGTAGGCTGGGACAGAAAGGACTGTGTAGCCTGGGAAGAAACGTCCGCATACTTCTGCTCCTCCAGGAGGAACGATACGAGGAAGTCCAAGAGAAGAGGTAGAGTGAATGCGGAGGGTTTCTTGAATGACATTGTTCATGTACTTCAAATCCCTGACCATGTCGAAAGTGGGAACATCGACTCCTGCGGGGATTGCATCGTCTAATTCCTTTTGAAGCTTTTGAAGAACTCCTGGAGTCTTACAAATCCAAAAGAGAATTGCACAGGAAGTATTGGACGTAGTGTCCGAACCAGCGATAAGTTGGGTAAGAGCTTCTGCAGTTAATTCTTGGCGACCGAGTTTAGCACCTGTCTCATCTTTTCCTTCCATAAGTCTGGCCAAAAGATCGACACGACCATCTTCCTTTTCACGATCGAGACGTTCACTCACTCGGGCAACGGCAATACCAGCTAAGTTTTCTACCGCAGCGAGACCTTGACTAAAGAAAGGATCTGGGAAGTATTTGGCGTATGGCTTGAATTGTGGTAAGCAACCAAGTGTTCCAGAAACTTCACCACGTCGATTGAGAACTTCAACAGCTGGTGCATAAGTGATCGGTGCATCGGGTGTCTTTCTAATTTCCGTGATATCCTCTCCCTTCTCGAGCATGCCAAATGGAACTCCAAATGCAAGGTCACCAATGATGTCAAAAGCGAGATAATTGAACCACTGCAAATTTAATTCATTAATACTGATGACAAAGCTCATTCCGAAGAATTAAACTTACCTGAAGGCAATCGATTTTAGCAAATTGACCATGAGCGTTGTCGGACATTGCATCCCATCGATTCACAAACAGGTCCAGATTTCCATGCATGTATTGTTCGAAATGGCCAATGCTTTTGGTAGAGAAGGTATGCGAAATAGTTTTGCGCTTCCTCGTGTGCTCGACACGATCACGAGTATTGAACAGACCTGTCTGAATCGAGACGAAAGCATCGTAGTAATCTCTGCGAAGAAGCAAATTAGCCATTGAAAACCCCTTCGAACCAAATGAAGACCTACGATTTCAAAAATCCATTGCCATGACCATAAACGGCCTGAATGGCAGCATCATCTGCGATACTGATATGATCTGGTTGAATCCTAACCATTTTTCCATATTTGGCATGGGCATCATGAACGCTCAGATATCGATGTCCAAATCGAGCTTGCAACAGCAGCCACAACCTTGTGAATTTTGCAGCGAAAGGTCCTGGAATGTCTCTTATAGCTGTATTGGATGTGAAATATGGAACGATAAAGTAGAGCACCAATGCGATTGGAATCGCATAAGGCGAAAGAAGAAAATCCACCACGGCCATTGTGTGTTAGAACTGGGGCCAAAGTACCGGGTTTTCTGCCGGTGTGCTGCAGGGTCCCGATGCAATATGGTGAAGACAGGCGGATGATAAATGATAGTTTCAAGGGCAACGTTATCGCAGCACCCAAAATATCTTTATTTCACACGTCAAACGATATAAATAAAAAGATAACTTCAACTCAAAATGTACAGCGATATCGAGCTCAATTATAGGTACCTAACTGAAGTCTTCAAAAGTGCCGACTATTAAAACCGTTCACCCCGCAATTTTGATTATGGCACATCCCGCTATCCAATGTGCTCGGGTCCAGACGCTAAAAGAGACAACTCGACTCATCCCACCAATAATGACGAGCAATACCCGGTGAACTCTCGGAATCTCTAAGCTTATCCTTCAAGCGGATGTTCAAAGCTGGTATTTGACGGTGAAGTCATCCTCTCCAACTCCCTTTCTTCGAAGCCGAAGTGATTGGCATTGCCGACGTTACATTGGGCGGATACGTGGCGGAAATCTAACTGAAATTTTCTATGTGCATATCATATCCGCTTACTTTAAAGCTTTTGGCTTAATTTTTACCGTAGACATCCGCCAGCATCCCGTTGTTTCCGCCGTATACGAACTTGTAAGACTTATATCACCTTGCATTGTAATTTACAACTTTCCTCTTCTGCTGTCAACAGCCTCTCGAAGCTTGGCAATAACGTCAGATGGGTCTTTGGCTCCGAAAACAGCACTACCTGCAACAATTACATTTGCTCCAGCATCTGCGGCTTGATCAATTGTTCCAGGTCCCAATCCGCCATCAACTTCAATATTGAGATCTGGGTAACGTTTTCTAAGTTCGGCGACCTTTGGCAATTCTGATGCCATAAACTTTTGTCCTCCAAATCCAGGGTGAACCGTCATTACCAATACCATCTATAATTATCAGTGTCTCATTCTATTATTTTCGTGCCATGAACGCGCTCACATCTGGTCTTTCTTTCTCCTCAGTGTTCTCGAGGATATCCCATAGCACATCAACTTTCGTATCTGGTTTAATTGCTATTCCTGCCAACATTCCATTATCATGAATATATCTTATTAATTCCTTTGGATTTGTTTTCGAATCGCTTGTGGTTTCCGGACTTTCCGCCGCAGTGCTTGAGATTGCAGCTTCATAGTGAAAGCAGTAGAGATCACATCCGGCCTGTTGAAATTCCTTTACCCATTTTTTTGGCTCAGCAATCATCATATGGCAATCGAATGTTCCCTTTCCATGTTTAGCTGTTGGTCGATCGACATGGCTTCTAATTTTGGTAACGACAGGAGCTCCAAAAGTAATGTTTGGCACAAAGTGTCCATCCATAATATCAACCTACAGGTCAATAACCAGTGGTTAGCATAAGCTCGTCGTTACGGATTGGAAATGAAGTACATGGAGCCAATCTGCTCCTTGGCCGATTGTATCAGAGCATTCTTTCCCTAATTTTGCAAAATCTGCAGATAAAATGGATGGAGCAATAATAGCTGGAGGTGACATTTTGGTAATAAGTCCTTGGCAGATGTGCTGACAATAGTGACGTGAGTACTGGGTATTTAGAAAGAGGTCTTGCAGATGGGAATTTTAAAGTAGGTACATCAGACAAGTTCTTTGGTGGGGGGTTTTCAAGTTTCGTTGTAAGATCTTAATAACTCCTCTCCCCTTCACCGAGAAGAGCTTCAACTCGATCAAATCTTAAATCCTCAGGCATTAAGGTTATTGATCAATATTCCTTCCCTTGTTCTTGTTCTCATGTCATCATCATTGATCGATAAACCAAAAAATCTACGCTAAGATAAGAAATGCGGGGAAACAAGACTTACTCCGTACAAATCAAAGCAAATTTGTTTCACCAATTAGCTTTCGGGATTCCGATTACCGGTCAAGAACACCAAGATAACCATATCTTGATTCAATAACGTCTAGATCCCCTACTAAAAAATTCATGTGCCTCATATTTCTCACATTTCGGGGAATACAAATTATCAATATAACCTCACGTTTGTGTTGAGAACTGTGTGATTGATCATATATAACCTTATTGATCCATCAAACGAAGCAAATTTGCCTCGAGGCTGTGGATAAATCGTGGATACTCAGATATCCAGTCATACGATGTGATCTCGGATGAGGACATAAATTGCTCAATTTCCTCTTCACCCAGGTCATTTTGAAAGTCTTGAGGCATACGGAATCCGTTGTCGGCTTCTCTATATTAGGAAGTCCTACTTGCAAACCCTCCTTCATCAACTTATTTAAAGGCATTCGCCAGTTTTTGACATTTGTTCCTTACATCCACCATGATGAGCGTCGCCCCAATGCTTCTATACTATCGATACCCAGCCGATTTGGCTGTTCCTTATCAACGTTACAGTTCCGCTGCATATCCTTCCGTCAGTCTCTATGAGTAAGCGCTCACTCCAGTTTTCGTTCATTCTTTGTTCCTCCGAAAGTACGATTTCTGCTGCTCAAGCATGATATTCGCCACGATTTTGAACCTTCCAAGTGATAGAGATGAACCACAAGCCTTCACCCCAATACGAATACTGAAAATCTCTTCTTTGTTTTCTGTCCCCTATCTCCAGACACTAACACATTCCTCGTCACCAGCTCCGATAACGAGCCTCTTCTTCCCCGTTCCAATCGTCTTTCCGCCCTTTCAACCGCTCCCTATCCTTCACACACCTATTCCCAACATATGTATGCCGCTCCATCCTTTCATAACGCCCCTGTTAGCGAAGATTCCATCATTCCCGCTATCGTCATCGATGTAATTCCGGCCGAGCGACGTTACTCCTCTGGCTCAGATACTAGCCAAAATGATACCATTCGACCAAGAAGTAAAACGGGACTAGTTTCCAGACTTGTGAAGAAGAAGAAAGACAAAGCGAAGAATGCTGGAGATGAAAAGGAAAAGAGGTTAACAAAGGTGATCTACATGCCCAGGAGAGAGTATGTTATTCCATAATTTTCCTTTATCCCCCAGCTACTACCTTCAAGTATTCTGTTCCACTGTCAAGCGTGGCTTGCCTTTTATGATGCAGAACATACTAATAAACACTCATAGATATCTCAAACATTTCGCCCGGGGTCAAAGTGGTGAATACATAGGCACCGAACCTCATCGCCGCTGGACAGAAGAAGAGCTAGAACAAACATTCGGAAGATTCAGACCACCTGCTAAAAGAAATAGTGGAATGTTTTGGACACGAGGTTAAGATTTTCTCTCCATAGTTTGTATTTCGGGTTTCTTGTGTGGCTAGCGATAGTATTGGTATTGGTATTGGTATTGATTGCTATGAAAGTGGAACAAGGAAGGTGATGGAATTGGGCACGACACAGTTGAAATGACATATTGAATGGATACAGGCTTGGTTTCGGAGTACTATACCCTGGATTTGAATTTGGGGTTTGAAAATGGATAATTTGCTTTGGTCAGCTTAGGGATACGAGATTGGTAATAGGAAATTAAGGGTTAGGGGTTAATCTGTGGGATGTTGAATTTGTTATGGTTATTGAGTTTTTCGACTTCGTTAGTTAGCAAGTAAGATTGTCAATTGATTCTTTTCTATAAATGTATCCGAATGTGCACCTATCTATGCTTTCCCAAGAATCTCGTCAAAAATCTCAATCAAGCGATTTACTTCCTCCACTAAGTCCACATACATTAGCATTCATCCAACCATCCCCATCGCAAACACTGAAAAGCACAATATGACACTTAACACTACAAAATAAAAAGGAAGAAAAGAAAAGACAAAACTCACAACTATTATAATGCACCAAACTAACCCTCACCACACCCTCCTCCCCCAACCCCAATACCTCCCCACACAAGCGATTACTATAAAACATACCCCAACGAATACCCACCTCACCACTACTCTTCTCATCGACCAATTCCACAAACTCCCTACTCCCTTTCCCTTCCACCGTAAGACTAATCGTACAAACGCGCTTACTCGTATCCCAGGATTGTTCGCCGAGGATCTGGATATCGGGACGGGAGAGGAGATATTGCAGGAGAGATTTTTGGAGCGTTTCTTCGTGGAGACGGATGGAGTGCCAGGATTGCGTGGCAAGGTATTCGGTGACTTGGGGGATGGAACTGGTTAGTTCGTAGTTGGAGCCCGCGAGACCGAGTTTGTCGGCGAGGGTTGTGGACTAGGGTGGAGAAAGTGGGTTAGTGAGGGTTTGTAGAGAGGGTTTCTTGAGGGTGGGGGAGAGTGGAGGAAGGTTGTTTTAGGGAGTGGAGATTTGAGGTATGGGAAATCAGAAAAGCTATGCTCACGGGATTGAAAAAGTGGCCGAGAGTTTTGAGGGTTTTGAGAGCCGACGGGGAGGAATAGAGGAGGGAAATATGCGGGCCGTAGACTTTGTACCAGCTAAAAGCGTAAAAATCGACGCCTAGGTCTTGGACGTCGAGGGCACGATGAGGGGCATAGGCTACACCGTCGACGCAGACAAGTGCGCCGGGAATAGTGTGGACGAGATCGGATACTAAGAGTGAGGTGAGTAGCTGGGACTTGAGATTTGAGGTGGGTTTAGAAAGGAAGTTAGATGGGAAGTGGGGAACATGGCAGGTCAATGGTCAAAATTAATATCATCATGGTGGACTGCTATGCAAAGGAACAGTGCAAAGGAATAATTTTTGCTTACTGGCGCGAATATCATGGATAGTACCAAGGATGTTAGAGGCGTGGGTGAGGGTTACAAGTGCGGTTTTGGGGGAAAGTAAGGGACGACTAGAACACAAATGAATTAATTATCTGGCCGCATAGACTCTGAGAAAATTGCATGTGCCTGACTTGTATTGGACAGGGAAAGGAGTAGACAGAATTGAAGGAAGTATGCAACCAGAGTTAAAATTTGGAAATGAGAAATTAAAGAGACGGATAAACACACAGTGACTCGGGAGTGAGAATGGGGTTGTTGGACGAAGGCGGAGTCCACCATTTAATGTTCAACTTTTGGGATGCAGCGAGGGCGACCCAGGATGCAATATTGGATTCATGATCAATGGATGATATGATCAACTCAGAGTCTGGTGGAAAGTCGAGTGCCTGAGAAAGGTTTCGAAAATTCTGGGTTGTGCTCGAACCGAGGACTGAGGGATAATGTCAGTGCATGGGTTAATCGATGAAGAGAAGAGAACGAGATTTACCAATATTGGATGGGGATGTATTGATGTATTTTGCCGCTGCTTCATATCCTGTAGCGTAACTTGTATTTGCTTGCTTGCCCACATTGTATGAACCGCCGAGTTGGACATTGGAATTGATCAGGTAGTCATGGATCCTTTATATGTGTGAGATTATCTGTATGTATATCTCATAGAGTGAGATATGTGGCAATGAAATATCAATATACCTGTCTATAACAGTCCCTAGTGTTTGACTACCGCCTGCATTGTCAAGATACACTTGTTTCTTGTCCAATGCGGGGAAGCATTTTCTTGTAGCTGTGATATCGAGGGAACTCATCGTCGTATTGTGCTTGAATATATAGCTTTGTAGAAGCAAAAGAGTGCAGGATTGAGTAGGAACGACAAGAAGATTGTTGACTTGTTCTTATTACTTCACGATAGCATTGGTCATCATGGTGATCAAGGTTATCATCGGCATGGATAGCAACGTGGGGTTAATTGAGGGTCCAAATCTAGCTTGTCCAATAGAGCTTCATGTTCAAAAATGACGGATAAAGATCAATCCTTCAAATTGGCTGAATTCCGCAGCCAAATTGACGTAAGATATCTTCTCTTTGCTTTTTGAGACAATGCAGGAGCATTGATGGCCGGGTGGCACTGATGTCCAAATCTCAAACTTGAGACTATTCATATATAAAAAGGTCTCCCTGCAGTGCGTCTACTCGGCGCAGCGCGTAGATGCATGTTTTTATATAGTGACCAATATCATTATAGTCCAAATTTATCATTGAAGTTGTGCAAGTGTCAAGTTCGGTCCCTTTTAAACTCCAAATTCAACAAAAATAAACTACACCGCCCTGGCAAAATCGTCATAAGAGGAGCTTCAAATTTATTATGACCTGATAATCCTGAAAATATTTTATCTCTACAAACCCAAACTGATTCTCTATATTCTTTCATCCACACATCATCACATTATTAAAGATGAAGCGCAAGGCAGATACTCTATCCAATGGCAAAAATGGCAAAATTATCCTAAAGAAACGTGCAAAGAAGTGTATGCTCTCCATGGACTTTTCCCTCTCTGCCCCATGAACTGACTGAATCTTGTGTTACAGCATTATCGGATGAAGATGCAAAGAAAGCTTTTAGAAAGGGACTTTTCGATAAAGAGGTTCTCAAGAAATATACTAAGGAATATGCCAACTCGGAACCATATAAACACCAAGTTATCAGCCCATTGATCGACGATGCTCTTCTTCGCAGCGTCCGCAACGAAATTCGAGAAAATGTTCACTTCACACCTAAAGAAACGGATATTTATAAAATACATCAATCGGGAGACTTGGCCAATTTGGATGGTTTGGATGATGGTGCACTGGAAAAGTTACCCTCTTTACTCAGACTGCGAGATGCATTGTACTCATCTTCGTTTCGAAAATATGTTGCAAAGATTACGGGTTCTGGAGAATTGAGTGGGAGGAAAACGGATATGGCTATCAATATTTATACGCCAGGTTGCCATCTTTTATGTCACGATGATGTGATTGGGAGTCGGAAAGTCAGTTACATTTTGTATTTGACTGATCCAGATGTGGCTTGGAAAGAGGAATGGGGTGGGGCTTTGAGGTTGTTTCCTACCAAAGAGTTTGACGATGATGGTGTGAAAACCATTACTCCTAGTCCTGATACTTCGAAGATTATTCCGCCGGCATGGAATCAGTTGAGTTTCTTTGCTGTTCAACCTGGTCAAAGTTTCCACGATGTCGAAGAGGTATATCATGCCGCAAGCAAAGAACAGTTGGAGAAGGATGGTGGTCGAGTTAGAATGGCTATTAGTGGATGGTTTCATATTCCTCAAATTGGAGAGGAAGGATATGTGAAGGGAGCTGAAGAGAAGTGGGGGAAGAATAGCAGTTTGATGCAATTGCAGGGCAATCCAGATAAATATGACTTCCCGAAAGAAGAACCAGTTACAGTAGTGGAATCTACTGCTGATGATTCTGAGGAAATTGGCCTTGAAGAGGCCGATTTGGATTTCTTACTAAAATATATGGCACCCACTTACCTTACACCGGATACCTTGGACCAAGTTGCCGAACGTTTTCAAGAAGAGTCAAATGTTACCCTTGATGGTCTTCTATCAGTCAAGTTCGCGGCTAAAGTTCGAGAATATGTTGAAGCACAAGAGGCTGCAGGTCTACCAGAAAGTACCGCGGAAATCGAGAAAGGCTTCTGGAAAGTTGCTAAGCCACCTCACAAGCATCGTTTCCTTTACCAACAACCATCTGATTTCCAAGGCTCCGATCGCGAAAAGGAGATTAATCCAATTGGAGAGATTCTGAATGTTTTACTTCCGAGTACTCAATTTCGAAAATGGCTTGAGATTGCCACTTCCTGTCAAATTGAGAATTACGATCTCTTGGCACGTAGATTTCGCAAGGGTTCAGATTATGCTCTTGCCAAAAATTACGAGGGTAAGCCAAGACTTGAAGTTGATCTGGGATTGACGCCTACAACTGGATGGGGAGATGATGGTAATGATGACGAAGAAAATGAAGATAATGAGGGTGACCATGATGAAGAAGAAGAGGAAGACGAGGAGGAAGCCAAACCAAAATCCAAGTCCAAGGAGAAAGAAAAGTCAAAAGGAGAGAAAAAGGCACCAGAGCCTAAAAAGGAATCTGAGCCTGAACCCGAGGAGGAAGATGATGTTGGAGGTCATTTAGTATTCATGGCAGGCGACGATGAAAATGACGAAGATGCAGCAATTTACAAAGCTGCTGGAGAGGAAGAAGACGATGGAGTTCTTTTTACCATGCCGGCTGCATGGAATAAAATGAGCATTGTCTTGCGAGATAGTGGTGTGTTGAAGTTCGTCAAGTACGTTAGCAAAAATGCAAAAGGAGATCGATGGGATATTAGCGGTGCTCTTGGGGTTAAAGAAGAGGAAGATGAGGGAAAAGAGGAAGAAGAGGAAGGTGAGGAAGAAGAAGATGGTGAAGGTAAATCTTCACAGGGGACACAAATCTCACTAGAAGATTCCGATGAAGAAGGGACCTTTAATGGTTTCCCTGACTCGGAGCCTGACAGTGATTCGGATTAGTGTAATGAAGACTCTACGCCTGGTCAATTGTGTTTCAATGATAGGATACCCATCTTGGTCCGGCCTACCAAGTTGTCATATTCTTGACACATGTGGAGACATTTATGGATAATATTGTACTCTATTGCGGATACAAAATTCGTGTCAAGTTAGCATTGACTTATTCCAACGTATCATATGAAAGAAAATGGTCTATCAACTTTTTGTTGCACGTCGAAGTGCATTTCGCATTCGTCTATTAGAGCAACGTGGAGTCTCATAACACTAGTTTGTGATTGACTAAGCCTCTATATCCTAGGCTGAAGTAAACGCCGAAATAGATATTGTTTAGCCTGGAGGAAGGGGGCATCTTTCAGCAGGGGGAATCTGCAAACTATGCAATACATGTCTGTAGTTCATGCACGTTGACACATTTTACATATTAGTGTTTGGTCACAACATGAACGAGTATTACGGTCGAACTCAACAGTTTTGTCGGTAGGTACCCAGTAGGTACTACCTAAGTATGCTTCCGATTTCCGTGAAACCAAACCAAAACGATGTTCATTTTTACTCGCTCATCTTTGTTTCTATCTATCTACGTACTTTAAGTTTATCATACTTTTTTAAAATCGAATTCGATCCACACACAGTCCACCAGTCCAGCATTTTTAAGAATATCTCCGTTTGAGATCTAGCATCCACCTTTATTCATTCATCCGCACTAGTAAACCAATTAATCAATCGAATCATAAACTCTAATGCATTCATTGCCTTATGTACCTAACTAACTAGGTAGGTAGATAGCTATTAGTAGGTATAGTACGTACATAGGTACTAGATCCAAAATTAGCGAATGCGAAAGAGCTCGGCGTATAAGACGGAGTATATATTCCGAAGTGACAGGGTGGCTTGAGCGCGGTTTTTGTGGTATCACGTGGATTGTTGCGCTAATTATGGTGCATGGTTTTGTTGCTTGTCTTGAAAATGTGTTCGTTCAGAGAGGAAAGGTTTCACCGCTTTTTCATTTTTCGGGGGGCAGAATTTGTGAGATGAATGAACGGATTGATGGGATGGTGGATGGATGGGTGGATGGATGGATAGGAGGGGTGGACGGATTATAATGTCTTCCCCGATATTCATGCCCTCCCACCGGTGGAGAACATGCTATGTACGACCTCACTCATCTTCTCATACGATTGGGTTCTCATGATCCTTTTGATTCTGCCGATGTGGTGAATTTGTATAGTTCTGGAGTTTATAGGGATGAAGCTCTGGGTGGTGAGAATGGGAGGGAATTATCTTCTTTTTAAAGAGTGGAAGGATTCATGAGTGGAACTGTCGCATCCCAATTGCATTTTCCAAACTTTGTTTTTGTTTGCGGTTACTGTGGGAATATACGTTGAATGGTGGCTTGCAATTGGAGGTTGTTATGTAAAAGTTAGAGGTCATATGAGAAACTCTTTTCTTTACGCAGTTGTTGTTTTGATCTACCGGCCCTGGGTATTCGTTTATACGTTATATTTCTTATTTGATTGTTATTATTATATTTCTTTAGATGTTCAAGAAACACGAAAGGAGTCAAGAAAGATGACGATGTTATTTCGGCGGAATATAAATCTTCCTAATAGCGTGGATTGTATACGAGGTATACGTTGATTAAGAATAAAGTGAGATAGATGATATTGAGAAAGTTTGGAAGGGAAAATGAATGTAAGGGGCCCAAATTATTGAAGAATGATTTTTCTGGTGGAGTAGAGAGGTATGCAGGATGCAGTGTCTAGGAAGCGTATCTATGGGCTTTCTTGTGGTTGTCAGTATCTGAAAAAGGATGACTGAGTTGGAAGTCGAAACTGTTTGGCATCGGCATCTGGTTTTGGTTTGCATTGTTGTTTATCAATGTTTACTTTCGTGGAGGAATTACAAGTGTAAATGATCTTTGTACATACAGCTCCTTCAATGAGTATTAATATTATATCTTTTTCAGTTTTTAAATTACACAAAGTTAACCATCCATGCCTAGTAGGTATGAATATCCTCGAAGATCACGCACGAGTACGATAACTAGAAATAGGCATAGGAACTTACAGACTCTTCAACCCATTCTTATTCTACCATTCCATAGCCTTAGTATGTACCTCCGACGCAGAAAACATAATCTTACAAGCGATCCTCTCCACAAAACTCCATGATTTGGTATGATGTCCCACGCACCAAGCAGAAATTGAAACATATTTTCGAATAACTCAGATACGAAATATCTACCGCAGACGCTGATGCTGATGCTGATACTGATGCATAGGCTCGCTCAATCAGACCACATCTCCAACCTCAAATCTCCATGATCAGGTAATCATAAGCGAGTGATCTCAAGCTGCAAACAATTCTCCACCACCTACCGAGCAGTCACCTCCGTTCCAAATCCGTCCATCTGCTCTCTTCTTCTCCGTTGCACAACAGATATATATGAGTACATAGCGAGTATCTCTTCAAAAATCAATCAACATGTAATATATTCAAGCTACCGTAGCACTCTCCTATCAATCAATCCATCAATTCATCTATCGATATAAGAGGTAAGAATGTGAAAGAACTATAAGTTAACCAGACTATATCCCACTCTCAAGATTATGTTATCTTCTGAGTTCTGAATGTGATTCCTGGAAGTCTGGCAAATATAATTAACAAATATATGAAAATTATTTTGTTAATTTTGTTTTGTTTTGAAAGTCTTAAATTCCATTTTCTTTTCTATGTCCGCTTTTAATCTTTTAATAAATTATATATCTATTTACCTCTTTTACCCGCGCTTTAGAATCTCTATACTCTAAAGGAAGAAAAATGTATTCTTGTAATGCTATCACAACCTTCATCTCCTTCCTCTCTCTTTTACCCCATCTGCAAAGCAACAATGATATCCAATCCTGAATGTTTAAATACAATAAATAATAAATAATAAATAATAAATAATAAATAATAAATAATAAATAATAAATAATAAATAATAAATAATAAATAATAAATAATAAATAATAAATAATAAATAATAAATAATAAATAATAAATAATAAATAATAAATAATAAATAATAAATAATAAATAATAAATAATAAATAATAAATAATAAATAATAAATAATAAATAAAACTAAATAAAACTAAATAAAAATTAAATAAAATAAAAATTAAATAAAAAATAATATTTGTATTTTCTTTTTTTCTTTCTATCTTACTTTATCTTTTATTTATATCTTATATCTATTAATTTAAAATCAATCTAATAAAATTATAATATATATATAATAAATTCTTATTCTTACTTTATATTCTATATATTGTATATTATATCCTATACCCTACATCCCCAAACCCTCAAACCTCGAAATAAAATAAAATATAGCAAAAGAAAAAGAATATATTTATCCCTCAATACAACAAACACTCAACTCAACACAGTACTCAACAAACCACTCGAAAAATAATATCATCAATTTTCATCTTAAAAATCTCATATAGTATACTTCCTTCCTGTTAAAAAATGAGACGAGTTGTTGAGTTTGTTAATGTATATATATATAAATATAAAGAAAGATATTTAAAAGTTAGAAAGCTAGAAAGCTAGAAAAGAAAATATATACTTTCCTAGGAAATATAGCAACAGTGCTCGTTTATAATAAAATTAACAGGAATTTTATTATCTTATATCAATTTAAAGAATTACATACTGTATATCCCTAACTAATTCTATGGAATTAGCAGGGTAATCCAAACCCAAGTCATATACAGAGAAGGAAACCTAAAGCTGCAATGCTTGCATCCTAAACTGCCTTCCGAAACGCCATGCTATACCACCTCCCATCCAGAATTCATTCATAACCTCGTATTCATGCTTTCGTTCATAAACTCTAAATCCTGTCCTATCCTATGCATACCGAAAAGTATAAAGTGCAAAAACTCCTTCCCAAATGTCTGTCTTCTTTGCCACTCGTGTCCTGCTCCTTTCCTATTTACTAGAAGGTGATCTCTTTTTCTTTGGTTTCGAAACCACCTCGCCTAATCCTAGAGGTTTCTGCATAACGTATTCTCTCTTCGGCCCATCTCCATATTTATGTGTCGTACTTCCATCCGCATTAATAGTAGCGGGTATTCCTTGACTCGGTCTCCTGATTTGATCTTCATGCAACCGATCCAAACTCTCTCCCATAACTCCATATTTCGCCCAGTTAACCGGTGGACACCGCACAATATTCTGCGGCATTGGCAGTTTCTCCCATTTCGCATCTTTAGCTGAAACTCCATTGATTTGTTGACCATCCATCCTAGACTCCTCATCCTTGTCATCATCCTCATCACTACTACTCTCTTCATCCGCGGCCACTGCTCCACTCTTCCTAGCATTCTCCTCCCTCTCCTCCCTCTCTCCCTCCCTTAAACTCCCCGCAAATCCCTCTGGATCTTCCATCGCCCTCTCCTTAATCCTTTGCAATGTAATCATATCCCTCTGCGCATTCCTCGCCTGCAACTGTAATATTGAAATTGTACTTCTCATCGCCAAGACATCTGGGTTCTGATCCAGGTCAATGGTTTGTGGTTTCGGTTGCGGCATTGATACTTGTGGCGCTTGTTGTGTATGCGTGTATGTTTCTCTGGACGAATGAGCTTGTGCTTGCGCGGCTGGATGGCTTTGAATTTGTTGAGAAAGGGTATTCTCAGCTGTGCGACTATTATTCAACATGGCGATATTCTTTCCCCCTGTATGATTTCGATGTGGCTGCCCTGATCTTTGCGATTCCGGCCGTATCGCTCCATTTTGTGCGCTGGGTCCCAAACTCAGATTCGCATTCGCATTTGAATTCGAGGCCAACCTTGCGGCCGATAATGTAGGAGTGATAGGAGAAACAGGCGGGGGAACCGGACTTGCAGATCTAGAAATTGGAGACCTTGGTGTATGAGAAGGAGGTGAAGATCTCTGAGTCGGAGTAGAGTTATTATTTGGAGGACTGGGTGCTGCAGGAGAAGAGGAATTTGAACTTGACACCATGTGGTGAGGCATTTTGAATTTGATGGTGGGCATTTGCGAAAGCTTGCGCCCGCGTTTTGAAAATAGTACGGGAGTAAATAGTACAGTATAGTATGAACTGCGGAGTCGGACTAGTTTTGTCCGTGATTTTCCAAATGCCGGTGGTCGGGATGATGGAATTGGAAATGGCTGTGTGCGGGGGAGGGAGAGGCGATGATTAATTGGTGGGGGTGATTGAAATTTGATTGGTTATCGTAGTTCTCTTGGCCAAGTTGTTTTTCTGTTGGGGAATGCTTATTAATGTTTATCACTTATGCAAGTCAGTCCTTGATTCCCGTGTCATTTAGTTGAAAGAAACTGAGTTGTAGATGTAGATGTGTATTGAACAAAGATGAAAAAGGTGTAAAGGATTGTATTACCGAGTAAGCTTTTGCCTGGTTATGAGTCAGGGGAAATGGAGAAATTAATTACATAAAAGGAAAGCGGAAAGCTTGTTCTTTTATTAGTGTCGAGAGCTTTCCTCGCTTACAAAGTGGTTCGGTTGGAGAATTCGGTTATGTTCATGTCACTCTGTGGCTCTTGCTTAAGCTCAAGCTCAAGCTCAAGGTCAAGCTCAGCCTGCCTGCCTTTGAAAGTGGCTGGCCCAAGCTATCTACAACCTGTTGTGGCCTTACTACGAGTCAATGAGCGATAGGGACCGAGTATTGATTTACTTCCTCTTTCGTTCCTGAATCATCAAAGTATATCAACATCTAGACATAAGCCCAGGCAAAACGGGCAAGTGCAAGTACTCAAAATACTGTGGTTGCTTTGAGCTTCATTCCAAAACAAATAGTGTTTCCAAAAGTCATGTCGTCATAGCGGAGAATAAGTTAAAAGACGATTCCAAAATCTCGGTTTTCCCTTCCTCTTCCTTCACTCCCTAATCTTGTTATCGTATACAATGGATATTAGCCCCCTTGGCATTGCCAAAGTAACTATTCCCAATTTACCTTTGATTATCAAAACTACTATTTTAGCACTGCTTTCTCGTTCCCCAAATGCTTCAGTTCAGGATGTTATTACCGAACTTATAGTTATCGCTGCACGACCTATGCTTAGCACTCCTGCAGCTATTTTAAAATCTCAAATACAATCTCAAATAGACTGGGGAATATGGGGGCAAATGTGGATTGCCAAGTATACAATCCCGAGACCTCAAGATGATTGCAATGGCGATACAGGTGTCTATAGTGCCAGGAATGCTTTGGTGAGAGCAATAGAAGAACTTGGGGGCGAACACAATGCCTTTGATCTACCAGAAACGGTGGATGTGCAAGCCGAGTGGACAGGATATCGTAATGGGGTCTCGATTTTTGCTCGTCGGCCAAACGTACTCGAGCATGAGCAGTACGAGATGATGATGAGAGAAGTGGCTACGAAGGGTCCCACGATTCTTTACTTCCACGGCGGAGCTTTTTGGTAAGGAAATCATAATGTTCGACGTCTTTATCTAAACTCAACATGTAGCCTGATGGATCCCGTTACGCATCGACCGACAACGTCTGCTTTGGCTCAACAAACCCATGGCCGTTGCTTTTCAGTTCGCTATCGATTGGCACCACAAGATCCATTTCCATCAGCACTTTTAGACGCGCTGATTGCCTACCTGTCACTGATCTCTCCTCCCCAAGATTCTTTCCACGAACCTGTTCCACCTGGGAAGATCATTCTCTCAGGAGACTCATCAGGGGCGGGACTGGCAACATCGCTTTTGCTACTATTGTCAACTTTAAATCGGATGGGCATCAATTCAATCCGTTTCCACGGCATCAATGTACCAATTAATGCGAACAAAATTGCTGGTCTTGCCATCACCTCGCCTTGGCTGGATATTTCCCGGTCTCTGCCTTCCGTAACGAGAAACATCCAGTACGATATGATAGCACCACCTTCGCCAGATTATACAGTACCTCACCCCAATTTTCCTCACGATTCAGTCTGGCCAGCCAAGGCACCTCGTGTCGAAACATATTGCGAAGCGTCGATGGTAGCCCATCCCCTCGTTAGTCCACTTGCAGCTAACAAAGAACATTGGTGTGGTGTAGCACCAGTCTACATAAGCGTAGGCTGGGAAAGCATGCAGGATGAAGCAGAGATATTCGCGCGTAGAGTTTATGAAGTCGGAGGGACAATCATATTCGATGGATATGTTGGTATGCCACATTGCTTTGCGATGATGCCGTGGAATGAAGCCGGAAGAACTGCCTTTAACAATTGTGCAACATTTTGTGTGGAAGCGGTTCACGGCAGAGTAAGGCGAAGGAGTTTTGGGCTGTGGACGAATAAATATGGAAAGTCTGAGTTAATTCAGCTGAAGAACTTGGGAATGTGTAATAATGAAAGAAAAGTGGATCTTGACGATATTCTCGTAAACGAACTGCTAGAGAAGCAAAGAAGATGGAGGATAGATTTAGAAAGGAGCTTGAGAGATTGTGAAAAGACGAAGCAGTGATAAGACCTTCAATAGAATTAGCAAGCTTACAGCTAGAGAATATTAATCAGTTTTTGTAGCACACAGCTCTCCCCTGTACATATTTTCATCGCCTGGAAAACGCTTGAGTCTCCAAACTGCTCTTCCCGCTGGGCGATAATCTGGCCTTCTAAAACAGTGTAGAAAGATACATGAATTGAGATCTTGGTTCGAAGACACAAACTCAATAGACTTTCTCTGCGCCGTAAGAACCACGAGCCCCATTAAAGTGGGAGTCGTGGAACATCAGATATGCACGGATCTTGTGAGCTGTGAGTAATATCCGTGTCAAAAGGCTCAAATGTTGAGTCACTACACATGATAGTTCTAAGTTGAGTAGCTCAATAATAATAGAAATGAAGTATAACGGTCTTCCGCTTCTCAAGGCACATCAGTTGATACTTATTACCTTAATTCAAACTTGCAGCTGACTGACTGATCGCATTATACCTCGTGATTCCATGTATAGTTTTATATGTCTTAAGTAACAAATAAGATTCTGACATCCACATTTCCTTAGTTAATTTCTAGAAGACACCTCGAAGATATATAACCAAAGCTAAAGAATTCGAAGAGGATCGAAGTATTGCTGATAAACTGGGAAATGCAAGAAATGCACGGTTAAATGCTGTTTGTGTGGAACTGATGCACTGCATGAAATAATGCAACCTAGAAGATGGGACGAGCGGGACCTGGAAAAAAAAGGAGACACGGACTACAAAACCCCTCTAGCACTAAATCACTTTTGGAATAGTGTCTTAGGATAGTAGTTAATCCGGCCCCGAAAGTTCGAGGCATGTAACGACTGAAGTAAAATGTTTCGAACTTTTCTTACAATGCCCTTGTGAACAGATGAATGAGTGAAGACGTTTTGATCTTTTCAATTGATCTTTGACTTCTTGGTGGGCCCTTGTAGGGCAGGCGAGGCTTAAATACAGCTATGTAAAGTTCCTGAATTGTTCATGTGTTTGTCATGAGAGATGTTTACTGATATTCAAGTACTTCCAGACTACCTACCAACCATTTACTATCACCATATTCAAGCTTCACTATCTGCCAATACCTAGTATGGGGTTATGCGTATAATCAAAGAATCTCTGTTACTTGTCATTCATTAAATTTCTTTCAGCTGATCTCTATCATTCATTTCATCTCTAAGCTTTAGAGAGAATCGGAGCCTGGTTATTGCCTCATTCTTATCACCTAGGCGCTACGTATGACAAAGGACCGATCTTAATTACATGGCAGAGAAATATATTCAATTTCCAAGATTCGGGAGAAATAATTGGTCTGGTCGTCCCAAGTTCACGTCAGGTGAAGTGCCCCCCTCGACTAATCAGTACCACTGCCTTGAAAACATACTGGACTACCTTCACCCACACTATCAATATTGAAAAATCGATTTTTCTTCTCAAAGTCTTTCACAAACAACTTTGTTGCTGAATCAACAATTTTCTCCACACTCTTTTCAAAAATGGAGGAAAGGTTAACCCAGCCATGTAAAACCTCCTTCATTCTCTCTACATATCCTCCTCCTCCTTTTACTCCAACATTTGTTTTTAGCTCAATCACTAATGACTCTGATTACGAAGCTACTCAACCTACCGATGAAGCAACTCGGCTTGGTAATGGTAATTCCGGTTTGACCGATGAAGATGCTGCAGACATCGTTTGCATTCTCCATCCTGATTCCGAATCGGCTCGCAGGGTTTGTTCCGAAAACTACAGATGGAACCCAAATAATACAATCAGCCTTGAAGATGATATATCTGACTCAGAACCCCAAAGTCTGGTTCCCTGCGATCTGGCACTCCGAATGTCGGCGGATTTAAAAGATCCTAATCTGGGCTGGATTTTTGGTCGAAGCCACGAACGATGCGACTTCGTGATAAAAGCAGGCTCGCCTCATCAGGTCAGCAATCAACACTTCCGCATTTACCTCAATGAGCACTGTATTCTCATGATAGACGATATGTCTACTAATGGTATCGCGGTTGATGGTACTCTGCTCCAATATAAGTACAGGAAAGAAGGTAAACCCTATCGGCAAACTCTTGAAAACGGAAGCATTCTCTCCATACCTTTATTCAGAACCAAAGCCCTCAATTTCAATTTTATTATTCGGGTACCGCAGCGTAGTGATGAAGCTCAAGAGGCTTATGAAAACAAGTTCGCTCATTATATGCGTCGAACTCAAGAAACTCAAGTCCGACACGTCGTTGAGGGTGATGCAAATAGGCAACCAGTAAGTGATTGCTATGCCATTAAAAAATAGCACGATTGCTGATAGATACACAGCTTGATCTCTTCCCGAACGCTGCTAATCGAGGTGCGAGCTCTTCCTTGATGGTCAGAAAGCAACGGGAATGGAAAGGTGGTCAAAAATACAACAAGCTGAACACAATCGGAAAAGGTGCTTTCGCCGTCGTCTATAAAGTGACTGACAGAAGAACCGGAATTCCCTTCGCTGCCAAGGAGCTTGAGAAGAAAAAGTTCCTGAAGAATGGAGTCCAAAAAATCGATTCCGAGATTAAGATTATGAGCAAGATTCACCACGTAAGTTTCCTCTCGTCTCCGTAATATTCTAGCTAGCAAATGCTCACAAGTCTCAGGAAAATGTAGTTTCGTTCATCGAATGTATTGACTGGGAGGATTATCTATACATTGTCATGGAGTTTGTGCCTGAAGGAGATCTTACAGGCCTCGTTACAACATGCCATCACCTTCCTGAACATGTAGTCAAAGCCATAGCTGTCCAGCTATTGAGCGCATTGAAATATCTTCATTCGCTAAATGTCACTCATCGTGATATCAAACCTGACAACATTCTATGCCAGAGTCGCAATCCTATTCACGTCAAACTGACCGACTTTGGCCTATCGAAGATGATTGATACAGAGGACACATTTCTACACACTTTTTGTGGCACATTGCTATACTGTGCACCGGAAGTTTACAATGAATATCCGCAATATGACCTCGCAGGTCAAAGAACCAATCGTCGCTGTGACAGTACGGCAATGCAGCAGAGATATGACCACGCTGTTGACATTTGGTCCCTCGCCTGCGTACTGTTTTATTCATTCTGCGGATCTCCGCCATTTCCTGTAGGAGGTAACTCACATCATACGCAACTACTCCGAAAAATCATGGGAGACGCTCTAGATGTCAGGCCTTTACAACGTGTCAAAGTATCAGATCATGGAAGAAGTTTCGTTGTAAAAATGCTTCACATAAATCCAGAACATCGTGCTAATATCGCGGAACTAGAACAAAGTCCTTGGTTGACGGGAGACCTAGACGAAACAGATGATGAAGATATTGAAGAGCTTGCGCTACCCGCTTCTCAGTTAAATTTATTGGACAATCCCGAGAGTGGAGATGAAAATAATGACTTTGGTGCTGACACGATCAATTTTCAACCTCGCAAGAATCCGAGTAGCTTTAACACTGATGACTCGGACGATGCGGGATATGTGGAAGTTGAAAGCTCAATGCCGAATAATTTCGGTGCAAATATACCTAGTGTCGAAAGCCTTGTACCACAAGAAAATTATGAGTTCATCCGAAATCCTGCAAATAATGGTCGGCTATTTGGAGAAGTTAATGTGGATTCCTCTGCTTTAGGAAGCTCCGGGGCCGTTCCGTTAGATCAATTGGACCTTCCAACTCCAATCCAGCACATTCGAAATAAGCATCCTCGCCAGTTTACAGAGCAGAACGAGGCAAAACCTTTCGCAAAATTTAAGACTCGTCTTGGAGCCGCTAGCGCCATACCAAAGACACCACCACCACCTTCAACTCACCGTCGCATTGTAACTCCAGCTGCGAACTACTTCGAAAATGGAGTTACTCAAAGTCCCTCGAGCCTTATGGGTGCTGTATCTCAACTAGGTCATTTGCAGATGAATTCTCCTTCCATTTCACCAAGCGAAATCTCGGCGGCCCAATTAGTCAATCTGTCTCATGCCCAGACGGAAAATATCAGTCTCCGAAGACTCAGAGACAATAGTGATGTTTGGCACCCTGAAGATCTTCCACCGCAGAAACGCCAAAAATCCACGCGAACAATTGACTTCTTGTTACCCCCGCAGACATTTTGGAATCCTAGAGACAAGTCGACTCACCATGAGGATTATCCGCCCATGTCAGCGACCGTGTGGAATCGATATGTTGAGCTTGCCGAGTCAAAAGGAGAAAAGTTTCAGCATGGCTGCACAACATTTGAGAGCATGATGGTTAGCTTTAGAAGCAATAGCAAGACTCCTTCCGTGGGTTCAAGTGTGTCGTTTCGAGCTCAATCTGAACCTTTGGTTGAAGGGGCAGAAAATTTTCCACGGTTGGTGCGCGACGTGCGAAGACTCAGCGACGACGCTTCTGTACAGCAGAGCATAGCTTCGAGGGATAATTTGTCTATCCACAGCAACGTGTCTCCGCCTCAAGTAGCGCAAACCTCGAGGTCTTATTCAATGGTGAAGGCGGGTACGAAAGAAGATAATACATTGCTTCCTACGATTGAAGCTAAGACGGAAAACACATCAACTACAGACCTAAAAGACAACATTGCTGCGAGAAATGATTTTCAGGTTCCTAAGCGGGTACTCGCAAAGTTCTCTGCAACTCCAGACTCTTATATACCAACCATCTCTTTCAACGTTACGGAGCCCTTTACATCTTGGGGTCGCGGGTTTTTCAATACTATCCCATACACAACCCGCGATAATGTCCGAGTTGCTGTTCCAAGATACGCCTTTAAGCTTTTACTATTCAAGAATGGTTTTTACCCCTCTGATGGAAAGTATACCGAAGAATGGAACAAGAGCCGTGGTGATGAAGAAGGCTTCAGGTTCTTGATCTCTACCAAGTCCTCCGCAGGTCTAACAATCAATGGTTTAAAGCTCCCAAGCCATAATTTTGAGGATCCGTTGTCAGAATCGAAGTATTGGGGAGAGATTCGTAATGGCGACGTCATCACCATTAGTAATTCGAAGAACACATTGTTGAAGCTCAAGTTTGAATGTTTTTGGGGTATGGGTAAATATAGGCGGAAGGACTCCAAGTTCTTTCTCTACAAGGAAACAGATCATATTGCCACAATTGATCGGGCTTGTTTGAAACTTCAGAATGCTGTTCTTGAAGAGCGCTCGAAACGAATGGTGGAGCAAAAAAAATTGGCTAAAGAGATCAATCATCAACGAAAAGCATCTGTGGGCCTTTAATCCTAATCCAGTCTTTTGTATTTTGACGTCACGCCAATATCTCGTTAAGGATTCCTCGACGAGCACCTTTTGACGCAAAATTTTTGTATTTTTACGAACATTACTTTTTCTCCTTGGTTGTACCATCATCTGTTACATACCACACGGGAGTTTTTTAGCTGCTTGGCTTAGCTTTTTTTTTGCTACTGCTTAGCTTGATGGTTTTGCTCCTTCTCTTTTTTTTTGATTTGAGCTAATTTTTCTTTGATATGAAATGATGTGAGTTTTTGGTGATTTTATTTCAGGAGTGGGTAGTTTTCTATTTGAAATAGACGGATGGATTGGAGGGTATGAATGAATGATATTGGCGGTATGGATAGGTCGCACAGATTTCAGATTGAGCTGAATTTGCAAGTTGCTAATATGGATGAAAATAAATGTACCATCTATAATGAAGAAAGAATAGTTTAAATATCAGTTAATAACCAAAATGAGTTCAACAAGTTTTGTTAGATTTTTAATGGATTTGGTGATGGTACTTGTGATTGGGATGAGGTAGTTGGGGTAGAACTATATAGTACCTCTGTAGCTTTACAAGTCAACTCCATTGCTAACACGATGAATCCCCTTTTCTCTATGTATATATAGTAACTAAAGAAAGCTATTCCTATATAAGAGTAATATCTAGACCAATTATCGGATTATTCTATTTAATTATTATATTGTAACTTGTTAGATGATTTGAAAAAGGAAGTGTGAAGTGTGAAGTGTGAAGTGTGAAGTGTGAAGTGTGAAGTGTGAAGTGTAAAATTATAAGTAGGTAGCTAAGTATTATTCATGATAAGGTTTCAGGTTGGTGGTGGGAATGGGTGTAGGGATGGATGGAAAGGAGATGGAAGGAGATAGTAAATGGATTTAGTGGGTGGATGGGTTGAGATTGCTAGAATTGAATGGAGGAGTGGTGGTTAGAAAGCTGGGTAGTTAGGTGTGTGTATGGTTGTGTGGGGGATACGCGGTAGTTAGATATATATCAGTCTTACAAATGTATATAGTATATATTATATTCCATCACCATACCAAACAAAGATAAGATGCGGAATGTAAGTGTGATTTGGGTGCTAGGCTGATAAATATAATAGATAAACATATAGAGATTAGATATACAACATAAACAAAATCTGCAATTCCAAGATCCAGGATTTTTCATCCACTTCTTCCATTCTATACATTCCATTCATTCCATTCATGTACAACTTGGCAAGGTTAAGATTAAGACTAAGACTAAGATTAAGATTAAGATTACTAAGTACGTACTTGAAGATACTGGGTATAGGTAAGATTTACCTAGTAGATGAAAGTTCCAAGGCCAAGAACTCGAGATTGAGATTGAGATTGAGATTGAGATTGAGTGATGTCATGAATGGAATAAGATAGGTAGGTAGTAGGTAGGTAGATAATTGCTATGGACAACAATATCATCATATCATCCATCGCAAGTACATCGTTCGTTCTGGACCGGGAATGAAAGGAAAACAATGAGAAACTGAGGAAATAAATGATCACGAGTAGGAAGGAAAATATAGAAGTGGGAACACTAGAAGTTGTTGTGAGAAAGAAAAGAGTATCTAATTAATAATTTGGAGTTGTAGATGGATATGAAAACTTTGTTAATTTTTAATATTTAAGTTAATTAACTAATGGATGGTTTAGTTTAGATACCTAGATATATCATTCCCATCCTTCACTAAACTACACTACACTACACTGCACCGCACTACACTATAAACATTTTCTTTTCTCGTATCACCCTATCACCCTATCCATCTATCCATCTATCCATCCATCTATCAATCTACTACACAACCACAACTGCACATAAATCTAATCCTACCTAAAAGTACCCGAGGATACCTATCTACAAGTGGAAGATCTATCAGATATGCATGCGATCCGGTACTTTTCACCCACCTAATATAATATGATATCCACCACATCCCAATCCCCATCCCCATCCACCAAACCTACAATTCCACAATTCCACAATTCCACATCCCATCCTCCCACTCAACTTCCTCCCCCAGAACATCACGCAAAGAAACCCATAAATTTAAGTAATCAAGTAATCAAGTAGTCCCCAATCCCCAATCCCGACGTCAAGTCCTCAGCGTGCATATATATATCTTGCATAATGCATACATAATGCACATAACCTTACATGCACACATACATGCACACATACATGCACACATACATCCATACATGCATCCATACATCCATACATCCATACATCCATACATCCATACATCCATACATCCATACATCCATTACCGTGTACTACTCCGTATGTACTCGGCGATCCCAAGACCCTGTGATGTGCTGTGCGATGACTCTGCAGATAGATATGAAATTATCCATGAAATATTCGCATCGCAGCGCATCACACAAGCACGAGGGAATTTCAGATCTTTGGAGATAAATAAGCCTGTTGTGAAACTACTGCGCAACTTTATTTCAAGAGGCTCAAGTAAGTACCTAGGTAGTTATATAGCACAGAAATCACCCATCACCAATTACATCGAATTTTGGGTGTATGATATCAATTCCATTAGTCTACTCGAGTATCATTCAACATACTCGTCAAAAACCTCCGTCTCGAATTTAACTTGCTTTAACCTCTTCATCAACTCAATTCAACTCCACTTCTCTACTTGAAACTTAATGAACAATAATTGTAGAAGGAAGAAGAAAACGCCTCTAGAACTTATTGCCTTTTTGAGCCAATGTCATACATGATGTATTCTCGATATAAGATAGAATCAAGGATGTTCATGATTGCAATACCATTCATTTTCATGTCTCCTTCCCATCACCATTCATCACCAAAAAATTAATCCTCCAGCCAGACCATCATCGTCATGCGTAAAATACATTATAGGAAGTACAAAAAAAACCTTTAACAATTGAATCAAAGTTATCGGGTATGAAGCGAAAGACCTTTCTCTAGAACCAAGGAACAGTTCTTAGTTGAGGGTGACGATGGCGGCAAATGCGAGGAACACAAATGCGAGTGGGGAAGAGAACTCAGCAGCTGCTGAAGTTGGCGCCGAGGTTGCACTGGAGGTGCTACCGGCGGTGGTGGAAGTAGAAGTTCTAGATGCGGTGGTGGTTAGAGATCCTAATTGCTTGTTAGTTGTGATTTTATAGTCATTTCGTGGAATACATACTGGTTGTCGAACTAGAGCTGGAGCTGGATCTACTAGCAGTGGAGGTACTGTTGCTGCTTGTGATAGAAGAAGAAGAAGAAGCAGCAGCAGAAGAAGAAGAAGCAGCAGCAGAAGAAGAAGCAGCAGAAGAAGCAGCAGCAGAAGATGAGGTAGAAGATGACGATGATTCAGAAGTAGAAGAAACGGTTGTTGAAGATCCAGAAGTGGAGGATGCAGTTTCTGAAGAGGAAACACTTGTGGAAGAAGCGGTGACAGTTGAAGCAGCAGCCGTAGCGCCGGAAACTTGGAATTGTTCACTGTAATTTGGTGTGGAGGTAGAGTCTTCAATTCTAATAGCATAGAGACTGGAGTCGAGCGTAGCAGGCGGTGTCCATGTGAAAGATGTTCCGGTCAATCCACTTCCAATGGTGGAGACGCTGTTGAGAGAAGTGGAGGGGCCATTCATCAAAACGAGCGTGACAGGTCCTTGGGCATCTGACCAGGTAATGTTGAAGGGGGATCCAGCGGTGACTTCGAAAGATGGGTTGGTCAATTGAACGGCACTTGCGAGAGTGGCTGCTGCGGCAGCGAAGAAGAGAGTGCTGAATTGCATTTTGATTATTTGAATGTTCGAGATATTGGGATTGCTGAAGACGATTGTATATAAAAACTATATAGAGAAAACGTGTCAGATTGTTGTCTCTAAGAGCTCTGGACGCATAGCAACATTGAGTTGCAAAAGCGCATTCAGAGAGGAAAAGTTGAGGCGAGGGATTTATTACTTACTTTGAGAGTGAATGAAGTTACGGATTTCCGAAGAATATTATAAAGTAATTGGATGAAGTTGTGTGAATGAACGACGGTTATTATCCAAGAAGGAATAAAATATAATTGGAACGAGGAAGGCGAACGACAACGACGACAACGATAGTCTTTTTGTTTAAAGTGAAGATGAAGGATTTCGAAGAAGGACCGGAATGGTTGGAGGATGGGCGCCTTCTTATTAGGAATTAATTTTGGCGGAGAGATGGGGGCAGACACCCTTGGCATGGATAAAAAGGCGGACGGGGCTTATCAATTGTTTATTTTGTGATCTAAGCAGGGAGTAAACAGGGGAGTAAACAAGGGTAACGACGCTAAATCTCATTTTATTTTACGTTTTTTTCATATAGTAGACTTTTATCCAGCATATTTTCATAAGATGTTTACATGGTTGTGAGAGCTTATATAGGCAGGTACGTCGGTAGGTAGGTCGGTAGGTAGGTAGGTAGGTAGGTAGGTAGGTAGGTAGACAGGTAGACAGGTAGACAGATAGATAGACCGGTAGACAGATAGATAGATAGATAGATAGATAGATAGATAGATAGATAGATAGATAGGTAGGTAGGTAGGTAGATACATAAACATAATCCATGCCGACTCATACCTCTCTCTGTTTACACTACACACCACACCTACTTACCAATGCATAGACCAAAAAGCGAACCATCGTGGAAATTGAAAAAGAAAAAACCTACGCGGAATACTAGACTAGTTTCAGGGGTTCATGTTCGATTGAGCCAATCATCAATTGATCTTTTCATCTCTCCCTACACCTCACTTCACTTCACTCCACTTCCCTTCACTTTCACTCTTCACTCACTCAACTCAACGTTCAACTTCTCCATTCAATCAATTTACCTCTCCGCCTCTCCGCACAATATCGTCGAAATTCACCAGCAAGAACTCTTACTAAGCCTCTTTAAGAGGAACAGCGATAATTGGTGAGAGCCCGGAGTCTCCAAATCCCCGATCCTTTTTTCAATCTTATATTGGGTTATCGATATCGATATCGATATCGATTGACCGGTGAAATCCCTGAAATCTCAGACTGTTCATAAATTTTGGCGGGAATGAGAAGATTCCGAACCTTAAATTTATCCATTCATCAATTCTCTTTTCAACCGGATTTTAGTATGAATTCCTATTAGTGAATCTAGACGGTAGTCGATAATCGATCATTTCCCGGTTGCTAGGCAAGAGGTTCAGGGAAAGCCATTGAAGACTTGTTGATAAACAGAAAAACATCGATTGACGACGAACCATCCAGCTATTTATTTTCGAATACATCGCATTTCTCCACATTCCCAGGAAAACTGTTGTAGAATGCGAAATGTAAGATCGTGGCGTTTCCTATCCTTTTCAATTGGCACAGCATTTAAATGTGTAGCCTTCGTCCTGGTAACTTTATGTTGGAAGAAGACTTTACTTTGAGTTGTACAACCAGGACACGTCCGAAAGAGTTATAAGGTGGTCCCAAAATAGATAAAGGCTGATGGTTGGCAACAATCATTCACAAGTCTTCATCTAGAACCGCCTCAATAATCAATGAGTGGCCGAGCCCAGAAAGAACCCCTATTTGACTGGCACAGCAACCTTACTTACTTAGTATCAACTCCTACTCCGTAGATTCCGATAGCTGAACTCAAAGTCATGGCGGTCAAAATGGCGTGTCAAGGAAAGTTTGTCGGGTAAGATTATGCTTCTTTTCATCGAAGGAAACATTTATATGTTGATCGATCGCAACAATTTCGAAACCAAACGATGCTCGTCTAGAAACCCCTCCGCCAAGCCTTTCCTCTCCCTTCCCTACCCAAACAGGCCCATCAAACTCCGCAGGAATGTCATCATCCTCAACACAGCAGATCTTTTGAGGGGTCCTCCACGGCTACTGATATCCACTCCTCTAACATCCTCCGCACTGTGTCTTGCATGCAAGATCTGCTCGCACTTTTTGACAGTCTTGGTATGCATAAGTGTTTCGGAATAACAACTAGTTCTGCATCAGTGGCGAATACGGGTTTCGCGGAGCTCACGGATTATGTCACTCACGTGATTGAGCAAGGAAGATCATTATATCCTCTCGTCATGTTGCTGTCGTCGAAACATATGACCTTCGTCAAATTTCCACTTCCAAGCCATGCGGAGGAAAAAAAGGAAATACTGAATAGAAGCCTAGCTCCAGGTATCGGATTAGACCTTCAGTGTTGTGTTTTTAGTTAGTGCTAGACTATCGTCCATTCTTATCAACATGCCATGAGTTGATCACTTTGAGGTATCACAGGCAACCAAAAGTGGTTTATGTCGGACTTTGGAGAGTCTTTCTGTGTTGTTTATTGGGATTGGTAGTTCCAGCGAACATGAGTCCAACTCCACATGCGATGAACAAAATAAAGCAGACATCAAAGTCACTCGGAAATATACCTCTCTACTAAGCCTCAACACTTTTCCGTGCCCCATTCCAAATGCGATAATCAAATAATCTCTCAGGCTTGTGTCCAATCTTTGATGTCCGGTTTACTTGATCCATTGCGTGTATCGGTAGCAAAACAGATTCTCAGTACACCAGTACAACGCACTTTATGTTTGAGGTTTAGGGTTCTCTAAAAGCCGATATGATGATAAATATGGGGTGAAGATAGAGTTACCGCTTTGGTTTGGAATATTGAGATGTCAAATACTTTCGAGATTTCTGGGAATGAGTGAAGTATTTGATGGATACCTACCTATCATTCAATCCTGTTTGAACATCCTATTTGAACCCTTTTCATCGCCAAACTCAGCACATAAAGTAATAGAGAACAACCTCAGGTGATTGGTCGAGTACAAAAGTATATTTCCTTCCTCTAGCTAAATAAGGATTACTCATTCAGAGGAATGGCTATTCTCCCGCTGTGCATTTGAAAATACAACCAAATTTGTATATTTTCTGTGAAGAGCAAGCTCATCGTGTTAACGATCAGAGACTCAATATATCAGTATATCGCATATGATATATCAGTTGGGTATCTAACTTGCAGGTACGGAACACTGATCCAAATATTTCTAAAGTACTACCAGACCCCAACAAAGGTTTATGGCAGAGAGGAGAATCTTCAATTGAAAAGTGGTGTGCATTCAAATGCGGAAAGAAATACCTACCCACCTCTTCTCTAGGTATATAACCTCTTTTCCATATTCACCTTCATCTCTTTCTTATTTATTTATTATTTTGAGTGGGTCATTGCTCTGTTCTACACGCTTTTTCTGCAAAGTATCACCAGAACAAAAATCCTCTACGTCCGTTTCTCCATTCGTTTCCACATCTATTTCCTTCTCTATTACTCTTTGCTGCCCGTCGATTATATGAGTATCAAAAGTGGTAACACCGGGTTTCAACACATTTTGCGCAAAAGCATTTTGTGCTTTCTGCTGAACAGAGGGAGCTGCATGTGGTTTTAATTCCTGCTCTTGTAGTCCAGCCTGCTGTGCTGTTATTATCACATTCCGCGAAGCAGTATTTCGGTTTTGAAGCTTCTTCTGTGAACCAGTTTCATGGTCAGAATTACCTACATCGATGCTCCTTTGTGTTCTCTGTCCTCTTGCTTGCTGCATGTTGTCTGAATTTGGATTCAGCGCGGCAGGGGGAGGATTTGAAAAAAGTCGACCGAGATTCTTCTGTACAAGTAGCCAAGAAGCAGAAACGGGAAGTAGCCTTTTTGCATGCAATGAAGCTTGACGTGCCATTTATTCCTCACGTGAAGTTTTGATTCTTTCTTGAGGCTTCTTTTGCGGTTGAGTTCCAGAACTGGAGGACTTCCTAATCGATTCTTCTTTTGCTTCATCCTCTGTTACATTTCCCTGCTTATCGCTGAAGCTGAGATTGAAAGCTGTGATATCGTAATCCGAAATAGTCCGAGTAGAATTCTCCTGTGAAGGAGCCACAGGATTGATTTATGGCCTTGCAACGAAGCTTGAATTTCTCTTGCTTTAGCTTCCTTCCTTCTCTGCACCGTCGCCCACCCCTTCGCTGCGCACGCGAAGGACCTCCAGAGACAGGATTATTATCATACATGTCCACATTCGCGTCCCGATAGCCGTTCCCGTAAATTTTTCTATACGTGTCTCCATGGATTCCCTCATTGATATCTTGTTCGCCTACTCTTTGTTCCATATCAGTTGTGTCAAAATCCACAGATCCATTCTGAATATTATGCATTAACCTTGAGGACAGTGTTGCAGGTGGTGTTGCTAATGTGAGTGATTGACCACGCGCTTTGAAAGACTGTGTACCATTATCCGATGAAACCTCGAGCAGCCCGTATACTACTCGACGCTTCCGCCCAACCCAACAACCGCCTATGTACTTTATGTCCCTTTATAATTTGCTTCCAGACTTTTACTTTAGCAAACCGAGCTGCTTTATCTCAGACTGCAGGTGCCATTAGTGTGAATACTTCGAGACTCAAATTACCTTGCGACACTTCTGTCCATTCTCCTTCATCTAATTCTTCTCTCTCCGTCCCATCAGATACAAGCCCTTCAGGATACTTAAATCCTAGAACATAATACATTGAGTAACAAGAAGTATATGTGCATCATAAATTGACAAGGAAACTAACCTACCGTGGCATTATCAACACTCTCCATTTCCTCGTCCATTTCGAAGGATATCGAGGTTGAAAATCCGACGGTAAATATAGAAAACGTAGAGCGCGTTTTGCAAAATATAACGTTATTTGGTCGAACAGATGTAAAGATACATCAAGTTGAGTTCAAGAGAAGAAAGAACAAAGAGCAGCAGCATAGAATGACAGACAAGACACCATGGACTTGATGGGAAAAATCTTAATTCTAGAACAGGATCACAAAAAAAGCATCTAAAAAAGCTCATAAGCGAACTTAAGAAAGCATACAAGGGCAGGTTACAAGAGAAGAAAGACAAGATAGCGGGAAAGATACAGCAAAATGAATCGAGTAACCAGGAACCAACCGAATTGCAACTTTCTCTTCTCAGCAGACACAACAGGATAATTCTCCAAACGATTGAGGAAGTCATGCAAGCAATAACGTACTCCCCCCACCAGGTGCACCTGAGCAGGAGAAACCCATTACAGTTACAGATGAGGAAAAACAAAGATTAACACTATCAGTACTAGTGCCAGAGGGAATTAGATTGTCGATAGAAAGGGACGTGGAAAAAAGAGAAAAATTATCAGTATTATCAGCACCGGAGGGCATAAGCATCGAAATGGAGAGCACTGAATCAGAAGCATGCGCCAGTATTAGAGATACAGTTCGAGAAAAGATCGAGAGAGAGATACTTGGCAGTAGCAAAGCAAGCTGCACAGCCTGTACTACAAAAGCAGAGTCTAAAACTACATGCAGTCTCTTCTTCCCAGCAAATTCAGCAAGAGAATTTCATTCCTTTCATCGATGGAAGTCTTGAAGTTGAGTTGTGGCAGCTTGAGCATGGAAAAGATCATCACAATACATCTAACAGAGAGTTCAGAGCGGAAAATTGACATTACTACTGACTCTGTGTGGAGAGCACACTGGAAATACTACCCATAATGATAAAAAGCTATTGGATACACATTGGAAAGTGTAAAACAGAGAGTCAGGGTCTAAAAGTAGAGAAGACTAGAGCTACACTTGGTTCCGATTCTAATATCGAGTATCTATCAAAAGATGTACCAAATCAGGCCTTCATTCCCAACAACGATATCTTATCAATCAGAACCACTCCCCCCGCCGATAGATATCGCAGAACGCAGAACACAGAACACAAAAATAAACCGAGTGCGTGTATGTATACTGAGATTAGAACACATAGATAGATAGACAAACAGACAGATACTGAGACCTTTCAACTAACAACAGTGGAAATGATGTATGTGCTTTCTTATTACACACCGTAGAGCTTAATAGCAAGGTATTGAGGTAGTGAGATTTTAATGGGAAACCTTGTAATAAGTAAATGATAGATAGATGGGTTTTAGAAGGCAGAGAGATGGTAGATAGAGGTTATATGGTTTGGTTTGTATTTTACTAATTTTTTGGTGGGGTTTTAGATACTCTGTTCATATTGCTAGGTTGATGGAGTTATTGGGTAGGTATATTGTACTGTGAATATGTATGAGGATGAGGATGAATAGGAGGGGGGTTGTTTTGATTTGGGAGAGTGCGCGGGGAAAGGGGGAGGGAGTTACATGGATGGATGTATGGAATGAAATTAGATAGGATAAGTATTGCAGATGATCATATGGTATATCCTTCGATAGGTATCTAGTATTACTTAAATTCCTTCACATCAATCACATCACGCATGACGTCACATAAGACTTACAAAGACTATACGCATAGCGCGCAAATAAATCACTTCAATAATGCAATGCAACACAACATTATTTAATCTTTTTTTTATTATATTTATCATTTATCTAGTTTGAGACTGTAATGAATCAGACCAATTATTGCAATAGTAATCTAATGCATAACAGTCATCTGCCAGCAGTACTGCGCAATATAAATCCCAATCCCAATGTGGATATCCCCTATCCCTAATCTCTTGATATTATCCCACAGCGCATCGGAACCCCTAGTGCAATCACCCTGATGTATTCCACATTTCATATCCCGGATGAAATCTTTCCTAGGATAGAAAAAGGAGCTTGTATTGTATTCCCGAATCTTATATCCCTCTACCAATCACTCATCAATTCATTCTGTCGTTGAATCAATCAAAAAACAAAATTATTTCCTTCCTTTGATCTTTATGCAGGATGGAAAGAACCCATGAAAACAGATCAAATAATGCAATTTCATCAACTACTCCCGCAAATTAGAACCTAAGCCGAAGAAAAACCAAACCAAGGGGAAAATGAAGAACAGAACAGAAAAGAGGGAAAAAAGTAGCAATGAAGAAGAAAAACCATAGGAAAGTGGTTGATTGATTGTAGTGAACAGTTACACATCCAAAAATCCTCCGTTGGTATATCTCTTGCAAACATGTGTGTGTCTAGTATGTAGTAGTAATAATCGCCGTGCGCCATTGACCGAAGGCCTAATTTGCCGTTGACCGTGTGCATGTGCTGTGGTGTATTGAAACGAGTAACCTGTTTCTGTTTTCGAAAATGATTTGAAAGTGAGGGAGTGCTGAGAAGAACTCAGATATTGAGAGAAGAAAAAGTGGGCATGGGACCCCAGTCATCGTCCTCCTTAACCTTTTTTGAATTATAATCATCACCACCAATACCAGGAGAATTCTCATACTTGGTCTTTCGTGTAGGTGGACATGCAGAGCCATATCCGCTGAAATCAGAATTACTGTCATTACCCCTTTGGAGACCACTATAGCCACCAACTTCTGGGAGTATACTTCCCGTTTCAGTGTTGCTTGACCAGAGGTCGTTGCCAGTGGTATTGGTATTGGCTCCCCATGAATTGTCTCCCGTAGTGTTGGCTTCCCATGGATCGTCTGCATCGGTATTTGCAGTAGGGCCCCATGATTGACTTTCGTCCGTATTTTTATTTGCGCCCCATGATTCCTCTCCATTGCTATTGGGATTAGCAGCCCAAGAATTTTCTCTAGATTGCTCAGGAGTAGTCGCAAACTGAGGGCTGTTGGCAAAAGATACTCGGCGTCGAGCTGCTCTACGGTCAAGCATAGCAGTCTTAGAGCGAGCGGTTCGGAGAGTAAGGTCAGTAGCGTCGTCGAGAATAGTGGCGTTGTCATCATCATCCACAATGACTTGGGTACGTTTATTGGCGTTAGCGCGATTTGTTCCGCGGGAAATGATTGCTGCCACGCCATATTCAACGTATGAACTATGGCTTCCTAATTGGCCATTATACTTCTGAAAGGTTGAACCGATGGCATGACCGTTGTCCTTGGCTTGAGAATTCGTAATCTCAGCACGTCCATTACGCCGACGACTTGATGTCTCAACTGACTTTTTGGTAATGGTTGCCTTTGGACTTGGTGTGGCAATTATAGATTCAACTTCGTTATCACTTTCCGTGGTTTCGTGAATTGAAACTGGGAAAGGGGCCAAAGATAATGGTGTAGAGTCCGAAGAATCTAGCTCATATGGCGAATCCGATGGTGGCGGTGTGATAAAAGAATCCGATTGAGTGACCATCAAGCCGGAGGATCGAGAATCAGAGGACTGAGAACGAACCAGCGAAGGACGATTATGTTCTAGACGTTGTCCAAGTTGATCAATTATCGATGCGTTCATCCATGCTTGATTATTCCGAGGAGTGCTCTGGTGCTGGGGAACTTGAGATACGTTGCTCTGGGAGCTTGAACGGCCTCTCCTTCTTGCTGATCTCGTATTTCTAGGCTCCCAAACACCACCCGAAGTTGGGGGGTCAGGTACTCGAGGAGGTGTGTTAGTACCATCCATGAAGCCTTCAGAGCTTCTGAATGAGCTGCGTTGACGGCGGCGTGGTCCTGGGTTTGGCAGATTCTGATGAGCCATTTCATCTAGCAACAAGTTAGCCACGTCAAATAACAATGATATGGAAGACTTAATGAAATACTTACAAGCTCTGTTATACTCTTCGCTAGACTCTGAGGAATGACGTACAATTGAACGGCGATGAACATCTGTTGGGGTACGGTGACTACTTGGGATGAAACTAATGGCAGAGCTTGAGCTTGAGCTGGCCCTCCTGGTAGTCCATCTATATTGCGTTTCGTTACCATATTGATCTACTTCGGAAGTGATATAAGTTTCTCGGGTTCTAACTGGCGACCGTGCGGGATTGCGACGTCTCTCTTGTGGTCCTCTAGGTTCATGTCTAGGCCGCTCCGTCTGGAATCTGGGATATTCGTCCTCAGCCTCAACGTCAATAAAGTCGTTATAAGAGGAGCGAGGTCGAGGTCGAGGTTGGTACCTTGATTCAGTCCGTGACCTGGGATGCTCATGCTCAGTCTCAGCCACGATAACATTTTCATCAGAACGACGACGAGGAATATGTTCGTATTCTTGCTCACAAGCGTCATGGTCATAAGTACGTTCAGTATAGGCACGCTCAGAGCGTCTGCGCTGAACATGGTCTCCCGTATGCAAGCCTGGAAGAGATTCTCTTGAAAAGCGAACGGACCTTGGCATAGATGCGTAACTAGTAGCTGAACGAAGTGGCTCAACATATCTGTATGATTCGCGGAGATCTTGCTGAGAAGTGGCTTGCGGAGCAGCGTTTGATCCCCCCGCTGGCTGATCAAAGTGAACCGACTTTTCTCGGGCTTCGTAAACGGATGATGGTGGACTGGCCGATAGTGATCGATTTGTGATACTGATTCTCACTTTTGGTTCTCCTCTCGGAGTAAGATCGTCGTCATCAAGATTTCTTTCATGACTACGAGTGTAGCTTCGGGACAATGATACTCTCGAGTTGTTATCAGTTCGTCGTGCTTGGGATTTTGGTACTGTTTCGCGTTTATGCACAGCCTCCTCCTCAAGAATAATTTCATCCCCATAGTCGTTAGAACGACCATTGTCTCTTTTCTCATCTTGGCTCAGAAATTCAACTGAGTTAGGTCGAGATGTGGTCTTACGCTTATACTTCTTCTGGAAGGTGTTAGTAAGTGGATGTTCGAGCTCTTTGAGGGACATAACTCACCTTTGAAGCCTTTTTCCTTTCACTTCCTTTCCCTCCATTGCCATGTCTTCTTGAATCACCATCATCACTATCATCGCTACTTGAGCCACTAGTTGAGGTAGCATTTCTTCGACACTTGCGACAAAATCCAGGAGTAGGTGTTTCACCAGATTTTATAGGATGTTCTAGATGATATTTAGCAGAACGATCTCTTCGACATCTAACACAAATGTGCTTGGTAATTGTAGTAGTAGTGATTGTTGTCTTGGTCTCTGTATGATCGTCATGATCCCCGTCTCTTGTTCTTGACTTTGACTTCTCTCTCTTAAGGAAATCCGACTCGACTTTTTGAAGTTCTTCGAAGTTTGGTGGTTTTGACGATTTTGACTGAACGGCCCATCGCATAGGTTGCTGCGCCGGAGTCCATGCTGGTGCAGGCGCAGGCGCAGGTGCAGCAGTAAACCCAGGAAAAGGATAGAAAGAAGGAAATAGGGAATTTGTCGGAGCGAAGAAATTAGGGCTGGGAAAAGGTTGCTGAGGATTGACAGCTGCAAAAGACGTATGCAGTGGTGGAAAATTGGGAAACGGCTGCTGTGGAAGAGGTGCTGAAAAGGGAGGTTGTGGTTGAGGAGGGTATTGCAATTGCGCTGGCTTCTTCTTCTTCTTCTTCTTCCCCCCCCTCTTCAAGGCATTGACGTCAGATATTCTCTTGGGCTCGTCAATTCCAAAAGCTTGACCTAGCAAACTAAAGTTCTTGTTCCCACGACTTCTAGAAATATTACGTGCCATAACCATACGGCCATTATTTTTCTTGAAGTAATAAGGGTATCCATCTCTTACGATTTCCTCTGTACTGTCAGAACCCGCATCACTCCGAGAACTAGCCCGAAATCTGAAATAACTGATTAGAACTGAGGATCACAAGAACAAACCAATTGAAGTATTCTATCCAAATGAAAGAGGGAAGACTTACATGGTGAGCATTGCGACGACGGAATGAGACGTCCGTTATTCTTCACAAGTGAGAGTGGTATAGAGATTGTTATCTTGTTCCTGTATTGACATAATACAAATCCTCAGATAAAGAAATGAAAAAACAGTGAAAACATCCAAAAGAAAAGGAAAGAGGTGAAGTAAAATGGCAGTAGAAATTTCTTGAATTTCTTGACTACCATAAGCAATTAATATAAAATTTTGGTACAGAGCCGAGACTATGAAAGAGTAAAAGGGAAGTTGAAAAATGATTATGCCTTCGAAAGATTAATTGTAGAAGTGTGTAGAAAGCAGTTGAAGGAAGGGAATGTTGAGAATATGTTATGGCTGATTCTTATTTTGAATACAATTTCCCCAGATTCGATTATTATTAGTAGTGACCAACCACAGGATTTCTCGGATGTAAAATACATTAACAGAGATCATTAACAAAGGTTGGATTCACTCTTATGGAACCCAGAACGGAAAATATATGAGTAATGTTCATCCGGGTTTTCATCGGTTATCTTTGGCCTTCATCTTCACTATTGGGTTTAAGATAAAGGAGGTCTCCTGTCCAAAGGTTGAATAAGGTGAGCATGACAAAGTGAATGAATAACCTAGCCTCAAAGTTGTATTGAGAGGAATGGATGTGAAGAACAGGACTGTGTGCCTGCCTCGAATGCTGAATAGTTTATTCCTGTTAAATATTAGGATAAAGAATGAAAGTATATTATAACAGAGGGAATGTTTACTTTTTAGAGGATTTTCCTATTTTGGGGAAGGAACTCTCATATATATAGGGGACGTTTGTTGAAGGTTGAAGTCTGTAATAATATATAAAACTCACACCTAACAAGTCAATGTCTAGTGGTCAACTAAGTTTAGCACATAATCATATTTATGAGTATATTTCTTCTCTATACATAACAATGGACTCGCTCTATCTTGCAAAGCTCCCAGCCCAAGATAAGGAAATATGATACAAAGTAAAGTTCATCCTTTTATTCAACCCTCAAAACTTTTGGTCCCCTCTTCTTTGTTGTCTTCTTCTTCTTGTTCCCTCTATCGAATGATGCGGCTGATGCATGATCTCGGCCAACATTGTCAAGGTCCTTAACCTTGTAGATTCGAATGATCCAATTCTCACTAGTGAATGCTTCCTCGACAGTGTTGAGAACTGGTCCAACTTCTGGCATCTTTACGTTACGAACTCTGTCTTGGGCTTGTCCAGGTGGGAAAAGGGAGTTGTAGTTGTAGTATGACATTTTATACCTATTAAATGATTAGCGAAATTCAAGTTTGTCATGGCTAGCATTGCTCACATCAAGCTGTCCTTCATGGTTTGAGTAGCACCTTCGTCAACTCTGTACTCTCCACGTTCGGTGAAGAAGTTACGTTCCTTAACCTCATCTGGCCAAATTCCCTCGGCAATTCTGACCATCCACAAGAATTTGTTGATATCATCTCCAGAGTATCCGAGAAGACCACCAAAGACGACGAGAACGTAGTCAACTTCGTGTTGGCGCATGATGGGGTAGCTGACCTCTTCACGAGAGCTCATTGCCTTCCCAACGGTGGCGATGTGAGTGTTGTTCCAAGTATTGTTGTCGACGAGTGTAGGCCTGTCAGCCATACCACCAATTTGGTAACCGTAATCCCACCATGACATGATCTTTGCATCTTCCTTGGTGTTCTGTCGCAACCATTGATAAGCCTCTCTGTAATCATCAATAATGTGCTGACTGCCGTCGGGCATTCTACTAGCGAGCACGACAGATGGAGATGAGTAAGCGTTGGAAGTAACCCAGGTACAGTGGAGAACGAAGATCAGGAGGTATGTTGTCATGGCGGTCACAACGGAAATTTTAGAAAAGGCAGCATAGATGCCGATGAGAGGTTGACGCATTGATCGTAGTTCCTCTTGCTTAGCGGCCTTCTTTGTGGCACCATTGGTGGCACCCTCTGTTGCAGTAGCTTGGGTTGATTCTCCTGGTGACTTAAAGGTCAAGTAAGTGTCTAAGATGTTGGACAATACCAAGGCTGCGGCTACACAGACGATCGGAGTCAAGGTGAGCATTAATCGAACCATGACACCAGAGAAGTAACTTGCAAGGATGGCGTACACAACAACGAAAACTTGTTCATCGGCAAGCTTCAAGAAGCAAAGGTAAACACCAGCTGGGAAAAGCCAGATAAGAAGGTTAAGGTCGAAAAAATAAGCTGGCCATGCTGTTGGCTGATGTTCAGAGACGGAAGCAATAATAGGGATGTGAATCTTGGCATATCCAGTATCCCACAAAGAGTAGAAACGGCCAGTCCAAGGAGCAATAACACCAGAGACGGTCAAAAGTACCAAGCCACCAAAGGAGATAGCGAACACGGCAAGGACAAATCCTTTAAGGAGAGTCGCGAATTGCTTGCTTGGTACACCGGAGCGGACGAATTCGACAAATCCAACCAATTGAAGAAGGCCGAAAACACCTAAACAAATTAGTACATAGACATCGTAAAATCAAGCAATTAAACTTACCGAGAGCGGACATATGTTCACTACTGCGAATTGGCAAGAATCCTACGAAGGGAATTTGCATGCTTGCCAACGTGCCAAGTGCGTACCAGGTACAGTAACTGACATACACTCTTGGGCTGAATCTTCCCATGCAGACCAATACAAATACATGGAGAGGAATCAAATTGGTAATGAAGACATATCCACCCCAGGCGGATACCATGTATCCATAGAACAAAGCACAAAGAGCACCCCAAAATGCGGATCCGAGCTTGATGGCTTTAATCCAGAGGTAGAACGTGAATACGAGTAGGAAAATTGCAATGGCTTCGTTATCGTAGCTGCCTGCAACTGATCGCGAAATGTAACCTGGGGCAATTCCCATGAAAATAGCCGCGAGAAGACCGGCGGAAGGAGATGTGGACATCTCATTGGTAAAGAGGTATGTTGCGAAGGCAGTCAAGCCAGAGAAAGCTGGTGCGAGAAGCACACAAATGTTTCGAATATCGACTGGAATAGTAAGAGCTCGGAGGGCATGGTAGATTACACCACTGGTGACCATGAGACCTGGGTATAAAGTTCCTCCTGTAACACGCCCAAGTGGATGCCATGTTCGGTCATCAAACCAATCCCAGAAATCATAGAAGCCATGCGAGACCAGGTATTTTGTAGCCCTGAAATTGAACCAAGGATCGACTAAGCTTAGGTTAGTCGCGATCTTTAACAGAGAGCGGAGCTGGAGAAGGAAGAGCTCCATCCATTGAGGGGTCGCTTAAATACTAACATTCGTGAATTATACTCTCGAATCCTATACAGAAATATTAGCTTTTGTTGGAACAGTTTAGTCGGTGGCAGTGAGTACGGCGGAAGTGCTGTGCCTTTCAATTTCAATTAGGGTAAGAGGTATCCAAATTATTTATGAAAGTTGAGATACTTACGAATCACAGAAAACAATCGACTGGCAATTGCAGCACCGGCAATTAAGCAAAGAATTACAATTCTTAAAACTCCACGAGAGTTCTTCCCTGTACTCCCTTGGAAAAACGGTTCCTGAGTTTTGGCAACCATGATGATGGCAGCTGTGGTGGAAAGGAAAGTTGTCGCTGGTTGAAAGGTTCACTGGATTAACACATATCTGTTCGCAATGCTGCACTTTCAGAGCTCCGCGTCAGTTCACAGGGATTAGTTTGATGACCCGCCCGCGCTAGTTCCAAGATCACGTGGGTCAAGAACCATGAGTGGCTTATTCTCTATTTGTGCACTGTGTGTATGTTTCTATGGTTATTATTCTATTCCAGGAAACCTACAAGATGCGGTTTAATGTCCCGGATGGATGACTACTGGGTTTGGAAAGTGGCTTAATATATATGTCTTTGGTGGCTTGGCTAACTAAGGGAAAAGTATACTTTTCCCACTAATCCCATTCCTGTGAATAAAAAGCAGTATGGAAATATTTTATGTTCCTACAACAGATTTGAAGCGTACGCAACTTCTTCTGTGGGCTCCTTGTAGGTGAAAATTGGGTCTCCGACAACAGAAGCTCCCAGCTGTATTGGTCGTCTATAGTACAATGTACAAGAAGTATCACCTGAGTGACGTCTAAAGGCTTTTGTGTGTTTGAACAAACCCTAGAAACCCTCTCCAAACATCGCTGGATCCCATATCAACTACCACGAATGGTTTTCATTCAGCGATGCCCCTCTATCATTACCCATAAATTATCTCCCCAATTCGCCAAAATACCCCTAGTTCTCTGCTGCTAGAACCTTCAAGTATGCCTCAAGGTCAAAATTCTTGTCCATAGGATCCCGTATAACTACTCAAATATTAGCAATGCTGTATGAAAAAGCTTTGAGGCGAGATATCGAAAAAGATCGAATAATCATTCGATTGCGGATATCGGAAGGTGTGGTAGAGATTGAGGTATGAAAGCAGTCCACGTACTGTCATCACCTCCTGTTTTCTTGCTCGCAGGTAAGTTCTTCTTTGCGTACTCTGCTTTGGCTTGCTCGATCAACTTTTGCTTGTGCTCAAATTCTCTGTGTGCTGCTGCTGCCTTCGTTGCAGAAGATATGCTCATTTGATGGTAAAATCCATAGAATACACCCGCGCCTAGGGCTGACCACCGCAGAACCTGTCAAGAATACATATTAGCACATTTCTGAACAGTGAACTTGCTGAGATCAATTTCAAGTTGAAATGAAGCTTTCGGATTAAGGAATGCGCGGAATCGTAAAACGTACGTTTACCCCAGTTGAAGCCATCGGGAAGAGTTGTGAGAATATGCCGAAGATAGTATAGTGAGGATAGTAATGGCTTAACAGACACCAATTGAACTTGGTATCACAACAAGGAGCAGGTAGAGTGGTTGTTGTCGGCGATAAACTTTTTCAAGGTGGTCGGATGAAATATCGCGAGCAAGCTTCAGCGGCATTTTGCGGGACCAAACCCCACGTGATATCCAAATTACAATATGCGCATCTTAACAAAACAAACGCGACTTCAATCATGTGTGTTTACTTGTGTGTTTGGATTGTAATAACACAACTTCATGTTTGATTTCTTACATTTCTGGAATATTATAATACAATCTGCGAACTTTAAGTAATCTCAACAACACAATATTGCGGTAAAATAAAGGCGTCTGCCCTTGAAATGGGCATAGAACTCCTGCAACATGCAACAGCGACGAGATGAAATTCTGGCGAAGAAAGCCAAGCTCGCGGAGTTGAAGAGGCAGAGAGAACTCCGTGCGAGAGAAGTTTCGGCAAGCAGGCAGAGTATAGGAAGTGGAAGTGATGTAATTAAAGCCACCCTACCACCTGAATCAAACTTACAAGCCATAGCTTGCATCCCCTACACCACGAGCCGATAATCGAAGGGAACTCGACAGTCTAATTTCCAGTTTAGTTGGAGATAGTAGACCTGCATCAACTGGTCCTGGCGGAGCAGGATCACCGGCAAGAGGTAGTCGACCAAACAGTGTATTAAGTGCCGGTGAACTAAGCAATGCGCCCTCCGAATCGAGCCCATCGAATGCCCAATTCTCGCAGACTCAACCCTTATCGATATCGACCCAACAGTCCCTTTCTACGGTTCCATTGTCTACAGTCTATGAATTCCCACCATCTCCCGTTAAGGAGGTATTCTCATATAGTAAAGGGGTACAAACAACAGAAGAATGGGGAACACAAAGCTCAAAGCCCCGAGCGTTTGAGGATTCCGACGATGAGCTTGACAGGCCAACTGGGGTACAGTCACCAAGCAAAAGACTAAGCAGAAGGGAGAAGAATCGAGAGGAAGAACTAAGAGAAAACATTCGTCGAGAAATCGAGGAAGAGCTAAAGGCAACCCGAGACCTTGTGGATGGCCCTATAAGGCCAGATTCCCAGCATTTCTCAACAGCGAATTTCCCAGCCAGAATCTTGACAAATGAGGAGCTCAATGCCGTGACGTCGTCTGAAGAATTTATGGACTTTGTTGAAAGATCAAGTAAGGTTATCGAGAGGGCATTAGATCAAGAATACGATGTGCTTGCAGATTATGGCTTGAGTGGCGCAAATGGAGTTGGGGATGACGATGAATATGGTAATACAGGTGGAAAGGGTAGGAGGAAGATAAAGGAGGTTGCTCAATTCTACGATGAACGATGGTCAAAGAAGAGGATGATTAGCGCCATCAATTTCTCACCTAAATTTCCCGAGCTCGTTCTTGCAGCTTATACAAAGAATCCTTCAGCACCACATGATCCAGATGGACTGGTTCAAGTCTGGAATATGCATCTTCACGATAGACCAGAATTTGTCTTCCACGCACAATCGGATATTCTCGCCGCAAAATTCTCTCCTTTTCACCCCAATTTGATCATTGGAGGTGCCTACAGTGGTCAAGTTTTACTTTGGGACACAAGAGCGAAATCGGCACCAGTTCAAAAGACGCCTCTAACTGGATCAGGGCATACCCATCCTGTCTACTCTGTCGATATTGTTGGAACGCAAAACGCGAATAATATTATATCATGCTCAACGGACGGTGTTATGTGCGGATGGACGGTGGATATGCTTGCGCAACCACAAGAATTACTTACATTAACAACGCCACCGCCCGCAAAAACGGAAGATATGAGTCCAACTTGCATGGCTTTCCCACAAACAGATCCAACATACTTCCTCGTTGGTTCGGAAGAAGGAACCGTTTATTCTTGTCATCGATATGATCGAGCAGGCGCCAAGGCAGGTGTTGATCAAAGAGTCAGTTACCGTGGTCATGCAGCTCCGGTAATGTCTTTAAGTTTTCATCCAGCAAAGGGTCCTGTTGATCTCGGCGACCTTCTTCTAACCAGTTCCTTGGACTGGAGTGTCAAATTGTGGAAAGTCCGAGCCCCAACCGCAACAGCAACCACTGCCATCACAGGAGAAGGTCAGATAGTGGCACCATTATTTGACTTTACGCGAGAAGATCTTGTCTACGATGCAGCCTGGTCACCTGTCAAACCCGGTGTATTCTCACTCGTAGACGGAGCAGGTAACCTAGAAGTCTGGGACATAACCGTCGACACCGAAGTTCCCGTGTCTAAAGTCCAACCCAGCGGTCGGAAAGGTGGTCGAAGCATTATGTCCAAGAGCTTGAATCGTGTAGCATGGGAACAAACCGAAGGAAAACGTATCGCAACCGGTGGTATCGATGGCATGCTCTCCGTGTTTGAGGTAGGTCCAGACCTTGGGGGTAAAGATAGTGCCCGGAGCGAGGAATGGGCGAATGTTAAGAAATTGGTCGCGAGAATGGAGTCCTCGGCTCAAAATATTAATGATACTAATGGTATCAATGGGTTGTAATTATCATGTAGATGTAGGTGTAGATGGAGATGAAGATAAAGATGTTGATGGAGATGGAGGTGAGGTGCTTGTAGGTGATGGCATAACTAGCTGGCTGTATTAGGTAGATATGGCGTCGTTGCATTGAATATACCCTAGTTAACAATCAACATTCGTCGATCCCCCATCCTCCCGCCATCCACATCCACATCTGCATTTCCTAACATCACATTATATCCCCATAGTCCACACACGACACATTGAATATCTAACTGATGCTGATGTTTATATTGATATGCCTATATGGATATATACTCAAGCCATAAATCCATGTTTAATCCATCCACGTGGTGACCCTTCTTCCCAAAAATTACAATCTCGGACAATATTAATATTAATGCTAAAAAGAACCTAAAATATAAACGTCGAATCCTTAGGTGTTACCTAGAAACATCGTACATCGTCCCTTCTATCTTCTAGTTTTTACTTTGTATTTCTTATATCCTATATCTTATATTTTAATACCTCTCTTTGAAAAATTTATAATCTATTACCTACACACAAAAATCACATACAAAAAACACACTATATGCCCTGCCGCCCTTCTCTCCCTCTCCCTCTCTTTCAGAAAACAAAACAAACCCATCACTTCCACTTCCACTTCCCTCCCCTTCCACTTCCCTCCCTCCCCTCCCTCCCCTTCCATTTCCATCTCCACTTCCAAGTAACTGGCTCATCATACCCATCTATCTCCTACCTCCTACCTTTCTATCAAACAAATAATACGGAAACCTGTACTCCCGACTTCCCGACTCCCCGACTCCCAGACTTCCAAATTTTTACACTCTCAGATTCCCAGATCCCTAGTGTAATTATTAAGTAAAAGCTTGAATTTGCTACAGAGTAGAGTAGAGAAAGGGGTAAAGGATTTGTGATTTAGGTTTATAATTATGTTTGTATTGGATATGATTTGGGTTTTGTAAGATTATATTATATAGATTGGCTTCTGTAAAAGGGGAGATTGTAAGTCTTACCTGGTCAAATAGAACTTATAAATCATAAATATATAAACAATGATAGAATTCAAGGATTTCCACCATACAGTATAATCGTATGATAAAGTAGATAGAAACAAGTTGGTATCGTCCGACACAGACGCCATGCCAACTCCCACCCAAATCCACAGAGAAGGAATCCTATTCTCTCTATCCAAACCCATATCCATACGGAAACAAAAATCCAGAACCACAGGAAACAAATCCAACAATCTACCTGATACATGAATCCTAGCGCGACAGGCATCCAAACCATAAGAGAAAGCTAAATTCCATTATGAATATTTGGAAGAACGCAAGAACCACCATAGACTCTTTCTCATCAGTACGAAAGTTTGAGGCAGGGACACCCAGGCCAACAAAATGATAACTCGCACACAACCAAGTACTGATGCTTTCTAACCAAACAACAAACTCAGATGGATCTAGCACGCTACAAAGTGGCTACCATAACCTCGGATGGACAATTAGGTCCGTTTGCGTTGGTAGAATAACAAATACGGTTGGTTACTCCCAAGAGCCTTTGCCATAGTCGTAGCGTCGTAATATGCATCGTTAAAACAATTCCAGCGACCATCAGGTCCACGAGCATCACAGGTGTAATGCCCATAGTCGAGGCTGCCAGAATGCGAAACGGATGCTACAAGCTCGTACTCCATGGAGTCCTTGCTTCCATTAGGGTCGCGATAAGCACTGAGGTCAAGGGTATGATCGATCGGAAGCGTAAGCTTATCCTTTCTTCCATCATAACCAAACCGTTTAAGCTGAACGAACAAGATGTCTGGTGCGTGACTGATCAACTGTACACGATGAACGTCCCCTACCTTCTTACACTTCTCGCACCGGTAACCTTCGATCGTCTCATCCAAGTATTTATGCAAGTACGAGGAAAGAGAACCACCTCGGATACGTGGTTTGAGGGGTACGGACAAGGCTAGTTCATCTTGTAGGTCTCCCACTGAGACATTGTGGCACTTATCGCATGTGATTCTGCTGCTAAGAACAAGCTGCATTATTGACTGCATACTGGCGACGCTCCTGGAATTAAGGTCAGCGACATGTTCCATGTAAGCGACGAATAGAAACTATAGACTTACGAAGCCTTCATCTGCTTGTCGATCTTTTCCAGCATCCAGGTAATTTGCTCATGAGGATCACCTTGCCCAGAGGGTCCAGGATACCACCCAAGACGCTTGCACTGAACCTCGAGTCTTCGCAGCATAATTGTGATCTCCTTGGCAGGAAAGCCAACAGTCCAGTATTTCGAAGACAAGTGGCAAAGAGCGCAGGCCAAGCAATCTTTTTTAGGTATGTCGCCTGTGGAAATCAATTAGCAAATGAGTAACCAAAGGGAATTGAAAAACAATTCAGATTGGACATAACTTACAAGTGTCCACAGGATGTTGGTCAATCAAAAAATTGAAAAACTTGGGAAGATGGAAAAGACCTTGTAATAAACTGTTTCTGTAGCATGCATATCCAGTAACATTGGCCAATCCCCTCTGGGCGGCTGTTGGCATGCGGCTCGAGTCCTTTCGTACTTTCGAGGCCTAAAGATATATGAGTATTTATGCAAGTAAAGAAGGGAATTGACTTACCAAGTATCTTCGTTTTTTAAGCGAATCACTACGTATCTTCTCCAATTCCTCCTTCGAGGGTTTTGCACTCGGCTTGGAAGTGACAGCTGTCTGGATAGGGACTTTCGAGGCCTTGGGATTGAGTCGTCGCTTCTTCGGTGACTCCCTTTGGGAAGCAGTTTCATCATTTTCATCGTCTGATCGTGATCTCTTTAGAGAACTACATGTAGTAGTGGAGTTTTCATCTTTAGCAGAGTAAAACTTCGATGGTTCAACGAATTTTATCTTGATCTTGTTGCTCTTCGTCTCCGGAAGTGCTTCATTAGGAGAATTGGGTTTCGTAGTGATTTCGTCTTTGATAGCAACTGAAGGAGACGACAGCCCAGGAGATTTAGAAGGTGCTGGAACAACGGACGAAGGAAGTGAGGATAGAGGTAGATCTGGCGAAGCGCAAGAAACGAATGAAGATATGTTGTCAGATTTCTTTTCCAATGAAGGACAAACAGAATTCTCTAAATGAGGAGTAGGAGCAGATAAATCTGATGGCGGAGGAGAATTAGATGCAATTAACTGAGCAGTAGTATCGACCGTCTCCTCCGGTGAAGAAGAAACAGAAGGGTTTGATGGTGGAGGAGAAAGGGATGATTTCGCAGAAGGAGAAATAGACATCCTTGAACGTGGAGTAGACTTTGTCGAAGGATAATAATCAGAAGACTTTGGTGGTGGTGGTGAAACAGATGACTTTGAACCATTTGTAGAAGAAGAACTGGAAGACGAAGAAGCTGATCTTGCAGGGGAAGACATTTTCCTGCCACGCGAGAACCGACGTCGATAAATCTTCGATGGCGCAAAATATTGTGCGTACAGCTTGTTTTGCTTTGGGTTCTTCATAAGAAATGATCGTGGGTTGTATTTGAAAGCTTCCGTATGATTGTATCCGGTAGAGTTTGAAGAATCGAAAGTGAGAAATGGAGGTGCCCTATACATCTTCACAACTTTGGTCGCCATTTTCAATGTCGATTTTTATATTGTCCTCGCAGTTGGTAGCTGTATAACGCGTTCTGGTTGTTTCAACGGTAAGAGGTTCAACAGTGCGCTTGGCCTGTATCTTTTTTCGATGCGAACGCGAATTGTAGAGTATGACAGTGAAATGGTCAATTTCGCTAAATGACAACAGGTAAACTACCTTATGCCGCTTCTAATAAGTCTCGTTTGATATTTATTGTGCTGTCGTAAAACTTGGCAGATGGAAGTGAAATAACTTTCTATCTAGCTCAACTCCCTCTCAAATTTGTAGTAAAGATTGGTATATATCCTAAAAGAAAATTGAGCTCCCGTTGGAACTTAATCGATGCCTCTAGCCCGTCGATTCTCGAACTGTACATCGAGTCTGGAGCAGAAATTCGTATTTCGTTCAAGGAGAATTTGCGATTGAATTCGATTGCGTGGATAAATTTTGGCTTATAATAAAGCAGTCCTATTATGTAGAGTTTTCTAGTTGGTTCGTTGGTAGTACAATGAATGGATGGTTGTCGTTATATCTTCATTCTGCTCGAGACATGTGTTGAGGTGAGGTCTGAATTTCAAAAAAATGAATAATTTTTTAATGTGCATCATCCCACACACCAAGAATGATCTGTGCACTAGCGGCCGATTATTCCGGTGAAAAATCCGAAGAATAACTTTCGCTATTTTCTTATCTAATCTAAATCAATTCTAATCACGCTAACCTGATCGGTGCACATTACTTCCCTGCTGCAAGTGCAAAAAATATATCACAGTAGCATTCACCATTTAAGACCTTGTCTTGGACAGCAGCGCTTGAGGAGAGACATTAAAACCTTAAAATAACCTCCTAACATCTCTTAAGGTTATTATTCATCACGTCCAAACTGAGAGAAAGATAATCTCTGCCCGTCATAGTCATATATACCAAAAGTTCCTCATCACGTCACATAGCCATACACCCCGTTCTGATCACGAGATCGAGACTTTCATTTATCCCAAAGGAAATACACATACATACATTACTCATCAAACATCAACACCAACATCAGACCTAACCTAACCTAACTCCAGTCACGAGACCAACCCCCTCTTCTCAAACCATGGCAACCCAACCAACCCCAGAAGAATCCCACTCCGATTCCCACCCAAAAGTCCCCTTACCCAAATCCGCACCCGAATCCACACCTATAACCTCTCCGCCCCCCATCCCCGAAAACTACGAAGAACAAAACGTGCACGCAGTCTACGAACAAATCGCCTCCCACTTCTCCTCCACCCGCTACAAAGCCTGGCCCATCGTAAAGACCTTCCTTCAAACCCTCCCCCCTGGATCCATCGGCCTCGACATCGGCTGCGGCAATGGAAAATATCTCCTCGTAAACCCGGACATCTTCATAATCGGATCAGACCGCTCTACAAACCTAGCCAAAATAGCTAGCGCGCATCAACCACACTCTGCCATTGTAGCCGATACACTAGCCTTACCACACCCAGAGGGAAAATTTGATTTCGCAATCAGCATAGCAGTAATCCACCATCTATCCACCCCTGCTCGTCGTCGCGAAGCCGTATCCTCTATTCTCGCTACCCTATCTCCTTCCTCGGGGAAAGCACTAATCTATGTCTGGGCGCTGGAGCAATCATCCTCCCGTCGCGGCTGGGACTCAACAAATCCCCAAGATGTCATGGTACCCTGGGTAATGCGCACGGGCAAAAAGATAGCTGCCGATGGAAGTGTTGCACAACCGGCTTCGGAAAAGACATTTCAACGTTATTACCATTTGTATCGGGCCGGCGAACTAGAGGAGGATATTACAGCCGTAGGCGGCGTAGTGGCTGAAAGTGGATACGAGAAGGATAATTGGTGGGCTATTTGTTCGAGGGGCGGTGCAAGCGGGTGATTGTGATGTTAACATGTTAACATTGTGGATACGCATTGTGAACACAGGAAATGAGAAAGAACTCGGGATGATCCGGAGCCCTAGATGGATATCATGTAGGATAGATATTTGATGCATGATGGTGCATGCATGCATACATACATACATACATACATACATGCGAAATCTTCTACCCGAAAAGCAGGTAGCAGGTGACAGGACCCGAGTCGGAAGTAGGCGCCAGTGTAGTACGAAATTGACCGGGAGGTCAATCAATACCCGCTTCTTCTAGGACGCCAGCCAGGGATTAAAACTTCAGCCTATACTATTACATTACTGTATCACATCAACCTGACTGCTACTACACTATTAACCTCAGCTGAACTCGAAGGGAATATCAAGACACAGCTCAAGAAATATTTCCATGTAAAGATACCTAAATACAGACACACATACACATACATATAGCAATCATAAAGGCAAATTACAAAAATATAAAAGATACAAACAACATAATACAATCTAGAAGATATAGTTCAAGCACCATGCATGCCTGCAAGCAATGCGTGCTACGTTAACCCATCCTATCTTATCTTAACCCAATTCAATCCATCAAAACCCTACGCGGCCCAAGCCAGGGAGAAGCTCACGCACACATTTTAAATCACCGCGCCATCCCAATATGCAAAGCCCACCCACATATGCTCACCACAACCCATGGTCATCCCGTCCCATACCACCCCATCCATAACATACCATAGAAACCCAAAACAAAAATAAATAAAAAGAAAATTAACTTTTTCCCAAACGCCAATCGCGTTTGCACACGTTTCCTTCATTCCACATAAAGTTCTATTTGAATAATTTCATTGATATTGACATTGTCCTTGTCAAGCTCATTGTCTCCTCCTCGACGAATCCCTCGAGCCAGTCTCGGGACTCCCTCTTCGCTTCACTTCAGGTCGATGACCCATCATTCCAATCGCGGGTAAAAGTGGTCCTGGACTTGGGTAGCCACTCGAGTATCCACTCGAGTGCGCCGGCGTCGACATCGCGTAGGCAGGTGTGCTATACGGGCTGACGCCCGTGGTCATCTCCACCAGACTTGGTAGGTACTGGCCACCTCTTCCTGCTCCCATCATGTTCATTCCACCTCCGATGGCAGCTAACGCTAGACCATCGGATGGGCTTGTAGGTGGGACGGATCTGGGGGTGCTTTCTCTTCTTGCGGCAATTGTGCGAGTGCCTCCTCTGGGATTTGGGTTGCCTTGTGCAGTTCCAGGTCGACTGTATCTAGAGCCACTAGATCCTGATCCCATTGTACTGGATGTGGATTGGCTGTAGGAATGCCCTCTCACTGGCGAAGCTCTTGAACCAGATGATGGTGCATCGAGAGTTACACTGGATAATGAGAACGGGACAACACCTGCACGTCTTGCCATATCATTTTCGCCAAGTTGCCAGTGCATAGCTTCTGCTGCCCGCCATGGTACTGCCATTTCCTCGGCTACTTTTGACCACATCTCCTGTTTGAATCTAGATAGTCATGTTAATAACATTCTTTCTCAAGTTCAATGTTGGAAGAAGTCATACCTTTCGTAAAGTCTAGCAAGCTTGTTCTTTCGTTCTTCATCCCATTCACTCCTACGTTCCAGGTAGTTTTGATAATGTAACCGACAACTAATAGCACTGCGGCCTGGTAATCTCTTAGAGATGTCCTCCCACTTCATTCCACTGCCCCTTAGATCGATGATCAAAGCATCTTCGTCGGCCGACCATTTACTCTGCTTCTTAGCAGGAGACTCCGATGGATGGGCACCCATACTTCTTTTCCCACCTGAGCCAGAGATGGCAGCAGCGTAGATTGGTAGGTCTTGTTGTGCGATTGATGACTGAACAGATGCAGATCTTGTTTGATTTCTGTCGGGTGGCGATGCGGTCGGGGACTCATTAGAGTCCGGGTCCTTGAGGAGAAGGGAGATATCCACGGTGATGACGAAGTCCCTGATACCGTCAAGGTCGACGGATGATCTGCGAAGAAGCGGTGCACGGTTTGTTTCTGTGTTGCTTTCGGTTCTGTAGATCATTAAATTTTGACGCGAGGTCCGACAATTCGAACTTTTTGATAAGAGTCGTCCCTGTACAATCCGAAAGAGTAGTTGTTGGTCGGAAAAGAAGATTTGAAAAGAGACAAGCAACACTTTTGATAGATATGAGTAATATGGTGGCGTGAAACAGGCTAGATTGTTCTTCAAGGCGTGATGGCTTGGATTGTTCGGGAAAGACTATCTTGAGACCACTTCTGACGGGAGGACCACGATCCTATTTCAGGCCTTCGGAGTAGAGGGAAGGCGTGGCTCGCCTAAGGTCCAATAGCCATAAACCTGATTGGCAAAAATATATCATTGGATGCGGCCAATCGCGGTAGATGAGATGGAAAAGGGAAAGGAGCAAAAAGCCAACGCCAACGGAACAATACGTCAAGTTTGCTAATGAAGCTTGTTAAAAGACAAGGGCATTGTTCGAACTGATCCCCACAAGGAATGACTAGGTTGGGTGCTAGACGGTAGGTCGGGAGCATGCGCAATGCAAATAGAGCCCTTGGTGGTGGGGGGCGGCCAGCCAGGGGTATGCTAGTGTGGAGGAAGGCAGGCCACGAATTCATGCATGAACATGAACGTGAGCATAATCATGCTTCCAGAATGGTTGCATTCTAGTGTCTCCATTGTTTAGAAGTCGTAGAAGAACAGTTGAAACTTGGGAGCTGGCGTTTGAAACTGATTTATACTCCTTAGATCCCTCGAGGTTGTTTTAGACACATACATGTCTGTGCGCAATCTGATCGAACTTGACTTTGATTGTAATCATCTGCAGTTCACCAAATTGCACAGTAAGAGAAGCGTTCGAATGCCACGGTAAGGAAAAAGTTCATGAAATTGATCTCGGTTACTTGTCGCTGCCTCAATGAATAGACATTGTAGATCTGAGATTGACGTCTAAGAGGAGGGAATTGGCGGTCTGATTTTGCAAGGGTAGTGGACAACTCTGATTCAAGGATTATAATGTATGATCTTCATGGCTTGCAGCGCTTCTTAGTCCTCGATGAACCACGATCTTCCGTGGGGCGAGGAAGCCGGAAAAACCGAAGTAATTTAAGCAAGCCACATAGAATAAATTCCCTTCAATTGGGTCGTTGGTGGCTGAAATAACCCTTGCGCGACCGTTTAGGTCGGCTGTGCCTCATCCAAAGTATAACCCTTGATGCCCAAGTAGAAGAAATATGCTGCGCTGTTCGATCCCCGTTTGTATCTCTGTCGCTAGCCATTATAATGGGCACAGTTGCATCCCCAGTCTCTTGCCTTCAATAGAGCCTTCGGATACCTACATCTGGCGGTGTAAATTCGTATAATCATGTGAGACGGCGCCATGATCGTGTTGACGGTTTGAGTCATTCAACCTTTTTTTCCAGAACTTTCGGAAACATCGTATCCATGAACGTAGCCCAAAGCCTAAATGACCAACACCTTAAATGGCATACACGGCGAGCGCTCAATCAAAGCTTTCTGCAGTTCGGGTTCAGCCCTGATAATCTCATGATTCTCATCCGGGAAGATGGGGGCGGTGAAAGCCAAGTAGACGCTTTTAGCTGTCATCTAGCCTCGAAAAAGTATAAAGTTGTCAGATCGGACGAGAGTAGCAAATTATGGTTGTCGCACGGTCTTGGAAGACGGCGCCTCAAAGCAAGCGTCGCCCATTGCGTGCATTAGCATGCTTAGCAAGATTTGACAACAATAGCAAAGCTGTGCTGTCATTGTTGATTGCTGTGTCTCAGAAAGGATACATATTCTGCGGATATCCGTCATGTATCTGAGCCTGTTTGGATTCCATTTACAATGGTCATTGTTGTGTGAAAGTAGAATTCTGCATTCAGCATTTCTGCATTGAGCATTCAGCATTCGCATTCATGGAGGCCTGAGTAATCATAAGGCGGCTGTCAAAATTAGTATTAATTGCCTCATGCACAAAGTATAGGTGGGTTGTTTTTTAAGCGTTGGTTCGGGTAGCTGCCGACGTTATGCCATGAAAGCATGATCTCATCATGAGTTTTGCCTAGTCGTCGGTGTAGAATTTCCCAATTGAGAAGGCTTAGTAATGAAAGCTACTATCGTGTTCATCGCTCCCTCGTCCCGAATGGAATGGAGACGGATCAATTGTGGGGGTTGGGTGGGGAGAGAGATCTTGCGAACGTTAACCACCCAAAGCAAAGTCCCAAAAGTCGATACTAGATACAGTTGGAGATTAGCTTTAAACTTGGCTTGATATTAGCAGAGATGCAAAGATGTAAAGATGTAGGATGTACGGAGTAAAAGATGCAACGATGCAAGTCGCGTGGCACTTCGGAGAGTGGCGCATACAGGGCCAGGGCAATGGAAAAGAACTTGCGTCTCAGAAAAGGGAACCAAGCCCCAGCCCATGTCTGTTTGAGCGGTGTAGTTATAATATGCCATGCAGTCCCAGACCAGAACAATCATACTAACTATAGACACTTGGAACAAAATAAATGGCGCCGAAAAGAGTTCGAGGATAAACTCTCATTGATGATTGAACACATTCAACGCAGGGTCCAAAATTATTTCATGCTGAGTTCCCGTGTCCTCTTTTTTTCCGATTTGCTCAATGGGACGATGGTGAAGTGAGCGTGGACACTTTTGGTCAAGATCTTACAATTCAATAAGGTAGGTCAATCAATCAGTTCAATCAATCAGTTCAATCGGGGTCAACAAATAATAACAAGTCAGACAGACTACAAACGAAAAGTTAGCCAGCCAGCCAGCCAGCCAGCCAGCCAGCCAATTGGGACAAGAACTGTTAGAGATCTTCTCCCGATCCTCTTTTTACCCACAATTTTGATCAAGTTTGAGCCTTGCGACAAAGTAAAATCCATAATCCATAACCATAATGATTAATATGTCTATAACCCATAATTCATCCATAACCACAATCCATACATACCTAGGTATGGTATCCTTAGTTCATAATTCCTAATTGCATCAGTTCGCCTTGTTATACTACATTAAGTTAACCCAACCATCAATTGAAGTTCACGGTCCTTTGCAATTGAGACTTCTCGAGCATCGACTTTGTTGACTTTTCTATAAATGGAGTAGAGAGTCTTCTATTACTGATAATTCTTATAGTTATGTGGGGGATGGAAGAAAGTGTGCTAGGCAGGGTTGGAAGTTTGAGAGAGAGAAGATGGATGTATCAGTTCATGAAATGGATGGATGGATGGATGAACGATGAACGATGAACGATGAACCTTTAAAAAATACGACCAAGATGTTGGTGACGATGACATTTTGGATGTGATCAATTCTTCCCATTTCTTAGTTGACAAAGATTAGGATTAATAGGTGGGTACATATGTAGAAGAGTTTGAGAGAAGTAATAGGAGGAGAAGAGGAGGAAAAAGAAGAAGAGAATTTCCATCAGATTGGGCAACCTCGATTAACCTCGATTAACCCACCTAACCTTGATATGCAAGTGCGTTTGGTAGACATGGAATATATTTTCATGGGAGAATTAAACGTACCTGACTCTGCAGGTGATATACGGTACGGAGGAGGCGACGCAGGTGATTACCTAGTAGGTGCTTATTTCCCTTGTGCCTTCCTTCCTTATCTCGTCTTCTTCATTCCTCGAATGTGTGATGTGTGATGTGTTCAACCTGGACCATATACTCCATACAGCGTAAGACTTACATTGTACATCATGCATCATATGTTGCAGAAATACATGTTCCTTCCTAAAATCTTTTTTGTTCATGTAAAGGTTAAGCAAGCTTAGCACTTATTCAATGTCGCCGTCCTAGTTCGGATTGAAACTGTCAATTTAAAACTGGGGGTCATTGAAGAAGTTGTGGCTGGTGAGTACCTGAATAACATCCACCCAGTGCCACCAAACCTTCCAGTTTCCAGTTTTTATATGGGTCAAGTTGTCGAACAACAACAACTTAATGGATCAATTTGCCTCATCTTCATCCTTCTTGCCTTCTTGACCCATCAACGTCGTATTTTGACCAAGAAAGCATCAGTGACACCTCATCCGTCTCCATAATCTGTGTCCAATTCTCCATCGAAGCTCTCACCGAATCTTCTCAACAGATCAGTTGCTACCTAGCATACGAGAACGATTGCCGTTGGCCGTTTCCTACCCATCTGCCACAAAGTCACCCTGCCTTCAGTCAGAACCTGGTAGACTTGTAGACATAGACTTGTAGACATAACATACCACCTAGGTAAATCAAGTAAACTTGGAAGTTGGCACATTGGCATACTGGCAGAGTGGCACGTCTGTCCCTTCCTGGTAACTGCAGAGATCCGTCAACTGGGATATATTTCTATTTCAAGGTCAGAAAAGGAAAGAAATAAAAACGTCTACTGTACGTACTGGCCTGCCCTGTCTTGCCCTGCCCTGCCCTGCCCTGTCCTTAGTCCTGTGGATCTACCATTGATCATTCGAAAATACCTTCCATTCCAATTCTTTATCGATAGGAAAATATTATTGGGGAATTATCTATTCCCAATCAGAATCTACCGATAAACCTTGAGGTTTCTCGCAGATTCGCTTCATTTTAATTGTGTAACGGTACTCTGTACCCCAAACCTTACCCAACATCAACATTTACCTTGTCGCCTTACATCGGAAAATTTCAACATTCGAAGCCTCATCCGTTAACCTACGCCTTACATACCGTACCTACTGCGTACTTACATACTTACATACTTACATATCTACATACCACATATCACACACCACATTCCTCAGAAATCGCAAACAACCATGAATATGCAGACAGCAGGGGATATCCCCATGATTGTTAAATCAGAGAACTCCGGATCAGAGCGTCGTATTACCCCATCCTGGTCCATTGGTCAACTGAAATCCAAACTTGTACCCGTGACCGGTATCCCTTCGTCAGATCAAAAGCTCACCTTGTGGATCAACAATCAACGGTCAATTGATATTCAAGCTGTCGATGAAGAGAACACGCAATTAACCAACTTCCCACTGGCACCGCATGCCGTTATTCACGTGAGTTCGGGAAATTTCTTTAGCTTCGTAACGCGAAACATGTCGTGGTACTCTAAGACCTTATCATTCTGCAAGGCTGTCTGTACACCGGATCCCACGGATGTTTTTTTCCAACTCCATATGAGACTTGATCTTCGGTATCGCATTGCTACTAGACCAGGTTGTCATTTCTACATCATATGATAGTTCATGCCGATGTGTACCAGGTTGCCCCAATAGTTCATTCCATGATACTTAAGTCATTGAGTTGATGAATCTAAATTTGTATAGTCTACTCATCTCGCTGATATTGCTTTGCGTGGGTTAGTCTCCTTCCATACAGCCGGGCCAAGTGTTCCATGATGCTTCGAGTGGATATTTCTTGACACGGACATGACAAGTTTTGTTCGTTGTCCATGAACTATTTGCCGTAGAGTGAGCTCCATCAGGTGGATTCATTATTGCATGAATGTGGTCTCACTCTGAGTCAAGGTGGTGTGCTGTATCCGAAGTCTAAACAAGCATTCAATACCTGCAAGCACAAACTATTCTCCTTTTCAAGTCTGGCAATGCTCTATGACGGCACGCATCACTTTATGTCTTTCCGAATCTATTGTGCGGAACCTTTCGCCAATTAAGCTTGGCTAATCTTAAGAAGTGCTAACACAATTCCTCCCAGGTAACTGATACCCGTGCTCCTGGACTACGTGAAAATTACACCGATGTTTCCGCGGTCGAGAAATACACACTTCCTGTAGAATCTTACGAGAAACGAAGTGACAGCGTTCTTTCCTGGAAAAAGAATGAAAAGCTTGGACGATTCAACCCAGATGCTCCAAGTCTTCTCGATGCCAAGCTCGCAGTCTACGACAATGAGATTAAAGAGAAAGGTATTTCAGTAGGAAAGAGATGTCGAGTTGGAGAAGATGATTCCCGAAGAGGTGAAGTGATGTATGTAGGCGACGTTGAAGAAATTCCTGGTGGAGCAGGTAAATGGATCGGGATCAAATTAGATGAACCTGTTGGAAAGAATGATGGTAGTTTAGGTGGAAAACGATATTGGGGTAAAGAGGGTGATGGAAAATTCGGTGTCTTTGTTAGACCTGAAAGAGTTACCGTGGGAGATTTTCCTGTATTGGATGATTTGGAGGATATGGAGGAGATGTAGTTGTTGTTGATACCTATTTGTATGGTGTTTGCACTTTTTGAGGAATCAGAATTACCTTTTTGAAATACCTGTTGAACAATGCGTATTCATATTAAAGTAAATCTTTGCATTCTAAATTTCTTACAAGTAACTACTTTATAACCTCAATCCCAATCAACTCCAATCAACTCCAATCAACTCCAATCAACTCCAATCAACTCTAATCAACTCCAAATATCAATCTAAATACCCCCTCCCCATCCATCTTAAACTTCCCTCTCAAATTCCTCAATTCAATTCAATCAAATCTAGAAAATCTACTTCATAATTATCTCATATCTCATATTCTCCTTTAATATCCCTCATCATTTTCCTTTCCTTTTAACTTCTTTTCCTTCTCCCTTCTTTCCTTTTCTCCTCCCTCTTCTCTCTTTTTTCTTTAACTTCGACTTATTCTTTATTTATCTTTTATTTTTCTTTTATTGTTCTTTAAATCTAGATATAAATTTTGGTTATTTACTCTTTTTATCTCTTTTTAAAATAATATATAAATAGATATGAGTTTATGTATTAGAAGTTGTAATATAAACACATATGTATAACTTTAATACTCTTCTTAAAACTATAAAGGAATTTGTTATTACACATCACATCAAATAACCCAACCCCTCACACCCATCACTCCTTCCACTCAATCCCCTTTCCACTCCCCTATCCCCCAAACCAAACAAAACCTCACCACCCAAACCGTCCGACCAACTACCCCCTACCCCACCTACTCTCCACGAATCACCAATCCGCCCCTCCCTATACCTAATCCTCGCCCCCTCCATCTTTCTAATCCTTGCCCCTTCAATCCTCTGCCTCTTAATCTCCTCTAGAATCATTTGAGGCGTAGCCCCCTCCCTCAAAAGTTTCTCTCTTATTTTTCTATTTTTCTGATAGCGAACTGCGCTATTTTCTTTTACGCTGCGTTGGATATTTATACGTGTATTCGTATTTGTATCTATATCTGTATCCGTGTTTGTATTTGTATTTATAGGAAGTTCGTCGCTGGAGCTATGGGAATCTATTGGATCGAGTGCTGAGGAGGTAATTTCGTTTATTGGCGGGTCTTGTGGAATGCGGTTTGATGTACTCATGATTTCGTATATGTCTTGTGGCATGGGATTGGTTATCCTCATGTTCGTATGTACTTCTCTTCTTCCACCTATACTATCCCTCTCATCTATATCCCAACCAATATCCTTAAAAAGTCGCTTCGCTGCCCTCTCCACCTCCCCCCATCTCTGCTTTCCTTTCTTGATACTCCATTTCTCTAACGCCTTTAGCGCTCTCATAAGAGTTTTTATTTTCTTCGCATGTGTTGTTCTATCTAATATTGCGATTCTATGTTCTCTTAATGCCAATAATAATGCATATATTGCCAAGTTCCTGCTTTCTCCTTGAGGATACCCGACTTCATCCAGTATAGCGCAGATTTCATGAGCCAATGGGCCATTGGCTATTTGAGGCATTGCGTCTTTGGTCCAGAAAGACTGGAAGACCATGTCTGTTTTTGAGGGTTGGAAATTTTGGAATCCGACATCTTTTCCATGGTGGTTTTGGTAGCGGTTGGTGTATACTGATGGGAGGATTTTTTCCTCATTTTGCTCGGATTCATTTTGATCTGAGACACCATGTTGCTCTTGGTTTTGTCCAATGTCATCCTCGCCTATGCTCTTCAATGTCTTATTGGCAATTCCCAAGCTCCTTATAGAATGTGGAACATAAGTTGATAACACATCCCACGCTTCTTTAGTTTCTGCTTCCGTAGGATATGGTGAACTTAGTATTAAACAATCAATATAAGTATCCCTTTCATCTCCTGATGCCTTGAGATTTTTAAGCGATGAAGCAATAGAGCTATGGATTTGTTGAGATACAGATGCAGCCATAGAATACGGAATTGTTTCTAACGCTTGTTTTAAGGCCTCTTCTCCTTGTTCACTAACCGGAAGTGAATGAAGATTTTGGCCTTCGGGTGGTGCGAATGTAGTTTGGATCTTTGGTTTCGTTAGATATTATTCTCACATCTCTCATGACGTGATAAAGATAGAATTAAAAAATTTAACAAATTTGCAAATATAGGAAAAGAAAATAGCATCTCCTACATAAAGCTCTTTTCTCTCCACCCTCCCCTCATCAATCGCCTTCCTAATTCCTTCTCCGGCAGCCTTCTCATCATACCTAAGCGGTTCGGCCCCTGTTTCTATACCCCTATATCCGGCGCTTAAAGCCTGGTAAACTAAATCTGCAGTTTTTTCCTTGTGCCATGACGTGCTGTATATAATCCTAGGGACAGTAATTTGAGAGGCGGTACCGACATTTACTACAGAGGATTCAAGGATCTTAGATAGCTGTGTAGTAGATGTGGAAGCTAGTCTCGTGATCTGGTTAAGGAGACGAGGGCTAGGTAATATTTTGAGACATCTGGTTCTGGATTGTACGAGACCAGCTTGATGAATCAAGAGTGAAGAGAAACGAGGAGTGGTTAACATTAGTGACTTCTCTGATTGGTAATTGAGGATATTAATGATATGACTTTAACGAAGAATGACGGGGGGATTTTGATATGTTGAGCTTGGGTACGCGCACCAATTGTTTGGTTTGTGTGCAGGATGAAAAGATCTGAGACGGTTAAAAGATCATCGCGAAAGTTTACTCGAATAGGTAATTCCGAAGTTATTCCATAGTGGGGTTGTTCATTGCGGGGTGAGCTTAGGTAAGGTTAAATGTTAAATAAATATTATGAACCAACTGCATACATAACATCATTATCTTGTTTCTCAAGCTTGCTCAGTGCTTACATATCTCATCAAACTGTTAACCTACCGGCACACTTATCAGCTAATATACATGTTTTACCAGTTCATCACAAGTGGATAGAAGTCGTACATACAAACGAAACAATGGCATCCAAACCTTATGAAGTAAAATGGGGTATCTTAGCTACAGGAGGAATCGCAACCAGTAATCCACCCTTTCTATTTTTCAAATCTTTAGAACTTTCTACTAACTATCGCATCCAGCCTTCTGCAAAGACATACTCTGCAATCCCGCCACTCGTAATGTCCACGACATTCAACACACCATCGTAGCAGTAGCATCTTCATCCTCTGCTTCCCGCGCCGAGACATTCCTTAAGGAAATCAAAGCTCCATCTGGTATCAAAGCATACGGTTCATATCATGAACTCGTTAATGATCCCAATGTCGACGTAATCTACATTGCTACTCCTCATTCGCATCATTTTCAAAATGCCATGTTAGCATTGCGTGCCAATAAACACGTATTGTGCGAAAAAGCACTCACTGTAAATGCAGCTCAAGCGCGAAAATTGTTCGAGACAGCTAAAGAGAGGAGTTTGTTTTTTATGGAAGCAGTATGGACTAGATATTTTCCACTGAGTATTCAAGTCAGAGAATTGGTGAAAAATAAAGAAATCGGGGAAGTGCATCGAGTATTCGCAGATCTCTCAATCGCCGAAGCAAATGATGATGGAAGCCTTAACTTCCCTCTTGAAAACCGCATGATAAATCCTGCCCTGGCAGGTGGTGCCCTCTTAGATCTCGGTATCTATGCCATAACCTGGGTATTTCAAATCCTCTACCATTGTCAACCCTGTTCATCATCTGAGCGCGAAATCCCCAACATTCTCGCCGCCGTGCAGAAATATGAGAAAACGGGTGTGGATGAACAAACGAGCATCATATTACAATTCCCCAAGAATAAAAGCGTAGGAATTGCCACGACGGGAATCAGAGTTGCGACGCAACCGGATGCTCATAATTACGCGAGTAAGAATGAAGCTCCTACGATAAGAATTCAAGGCACGAAGGGAGAAATTCAAGTTTTTGGTCCGGCGTATCGACCATTGAGATATAGTGTTTTTAAAAATGCGAATAAGGCTGGGGATTTCAAGACGGTGGATTGTGAGATTCCCCGGGATCCTGGGAGGGAGGATTGGGGACATGGGATGGCGTGGGAGGCGGATGAAGTGGGAAGGTGTTTGAGAGATGGGAAGAAGGAGAGTGTGGGGCTGGATTGGAGGGAGAGTGAGGTTATTATGGGGGTTATGGATGAGGTTAGAAGACAGGGTGGTTTGAAATATAGTGAGGAGATTGAGTCGGATGTTTTTGATGAGAAGAGTGTTTTGAATGGGAAGGCTTGATGGAGGGGTAAGATGGATTGTACTCCGTTTTTCACTTGCTGATCGGTATTCTTAAGTTTGCAATTCCCCGTTCTTGATTTTCGAATTCCTTACATAGAAAGAAATAATATTGCATTTCACCGAAATCAAATACATGAAGCAGTAAAGCAACCAGCCGATTCATAGATGTTTGGTGTCTCATATTCTTCTCGTCAAACTCAAATTCAATACCTAAAATTACTAATTCTGTACCATACTCCACGATATTTTACTTATATAATAAAGAATCTAGTTGATAATAAGACTTACCTTAAATCACCACGAACAAAGCCGCAAAAACCTTTATATTATATGTCCTAAAATGTTAGAGAGAGATAAGAGGGATGTAGACAGGCTAAGTATATATTAACGTGTACAAATTTGAATACAGTACGATACTACAACCGAACTCTCTACTGTCCGTCCTCCTTCAATCAGGAGTTAGGATATAAAGAAAGAAAAGGAAAAAAAAAAATTTAAACAAAGTAAATGAATAAATGAATACAAACATCATCATCATCATCATCATCGGCAGATAAATAATTTCCCCAGTTAATAGATACATATATTATCTTTCTCGCAGCCTCCCATAATTATCCCTGGATTCCTAATCATCTTAAATGATATATCCCCTTCCTTTACATATTTATTTTCAGCTACAGCTACTAGTATTATGATTGTGATTCCGCTGTGAGTTTTCATCAAGTTGAGAGTTTAAACGTGAAGTTTATTATATCGCGGCTTGTGGGTTTGGTTAGATATATATCGATGCATATAGATGATAATTGAGATAGCGATGGGGGTAGCTGTGGTTTTAGCGGGGGAAATGGTAGAAATGAGGAATGTAGAAGAGGGAAAGAGGGAATGGGGGTATTGTGGTTATTTGGATTGTTGATGAGATCTAAGATTAGAGATGCGATATAAAGCATACTAAAGATACAACGAGTATTGTGGTAAACAAGATAAACGACGATACTTGGATGTAAATTATATAAACCGATGTTCGTTGGAAAAACAAACAAATCATATTTGAAGATACCTAGTGGATGGAGTTACAATGCACAGGGAGGTGAGGGTTTCGAGTAACCTTACCATCTAACCTTATCCGTATAGTCAGGGACTGCCAGAAGTGTAGAAGTGTAAAAGTGCGAATTAACAAATAGTCAATTACTGTAAGGACTTGTGAACTTCTAGGAAGGAAGTGAGTTTCTGTATCATTACTAGAATCTCCAGTGAGTTCTAAGACGTGCTAAAATACTTCTAGTTCTCCGAAAGCAGTCGGTATGGAGATATAGACGCACTGGGTAGGTATATCTGTCCTATTAGGATTCAGAAAACCAGTGTATTATTATCAACCACCCACGTACTTTGATACTTCCAGCCGAATCCAAAGATTTAATCAGCCTGTCATCAGCACCGAACAAGACAACCACGATTTTCTTACATTCGAGAGTAACAATTTTCAAAATAGGTATGTATATGAATCGCCCGGCTGGACTCATAGGAGTGAGGCTCTTAGATAGCTTAGCCGTAACGATGAAGCAGTACATTGTTTGAGATATAGCAAGTCGCGCAATATAAAGGCAATGAGAGACTTCGGGCGATAGACGGATATCTTTACTGGGAGTTTTAAGAAACGAAGTGCGCACCTGTTGCCCAGCTCGAGAATGAGAATTCTCATAGACTGCCTGTATTCGAGCAGCAAACTGAGGGTTTTTGCACAGCAGTATTGGCTTAATTTAGATACCCTCAGGATTGAATCAACTTGATGACTTCTTGTGGGAACATGTCTGTATGATAATGAATCATCCCAGAAAATAAGCAAATATTTGGCAAGTAGATTTATCACACATCAAAATGCCCAATTCTAGGTTCTGAGTGCGGAATCTTTTGCCAATGGAATAATAAATTGATTGGTGTTTAGCTAGAAATATCCGAGTACTGCAGGTCAAGACTGGAATCACTTGAAGAGCGCCCAGAGCCATTGTTTTTAATCTTTCGGCCAGTCATCTTGACTCAACGGAGTGGCCAACAGGCTGATACGTTCACGTTGGCCCTCAATCCATTACAGCTTGAAAAGATTCCTCAGGATTTACATCGACACATTGTGTTAGGTTGTTGTTACTCGTGGTGCAGGCGGTAGTAAGCTGCATCAGCGGACATACTGCCTATGTAACCACAGATGCAAGCGAAATTCATCAGGGAGGCTGGTGCAGTGATAAGGAGTGCAATCTAGACTTCTACCATGTGAGATGCCCACCCCGAACAGTGGTGCTCAAAAATAATACCCTTTGGTATGCTACCGCAATGTAAGATATGTATGTGTGAATGTAAGAGATAAGGTACAAAATACAAATATATATAGCTTAGATTTAGATGACTGGCAGGAGAGTGGTATGGGTGGAGGATCTATCCAAACAAAAGAGAATCAAGGAAAGGCTTTCGGTGTTCATACATCATAAACCTGAGATGTTTAGAGCCTCTGACATCTTCTTCCTCCCTCTCAATGCCTTTTTCATCACCTTGTAGCGAGGATTAAACTTGGCGGAGGGGAAGAACTGAATACCATGAATTGATAACGCCGCGAAACATGAGTATTATGCACAGGCACTTGCACCTCGGGGTTTATCATTTCTATTTCTTGAGGTTTGGAATCTTTTGTTTCAAGCTGTGGCTTGGTATGAAGCTTTTGATTGATTTAATTGGGTAAATAATTGGCGAGCTTTTGTTTTTTTCTTGGATGGAGATTTTGATGATGGGAAGTGAGAGTGAGAATGACAGGCCCAACTTCGTTTTATCCACTATTGAAGAATACTTTCATGCGGCTTTGACCTATATTTGAGGCTCAGACCATATATACTCCTCACTGGAGACATGATGCAAACGAGACGATGCATTATAGGGGAGAGGGGTAGCAATAGAAAAGATGTAAATGGCTAACGGCAAGATAAAACCTCTAGGCCAAAACAATCAAGAGACTTCAAGATCTACCAAGATGGCATTGGCATGTGACTATTTTCTCTTGGTGTTTATTTGTGGAGAATAAAGTTTACGCTACCCCAGATGGACTTTTTCATGTGGGAGGGGGGCGCGCGACGATTGCTAGATCCCATGTGTCAAAAAAGGGTTCGCCGTGCTACCGAAGGCGACAAGTAAGGATCAACGAATAGTCAAGGAGAAAAAAAGATCTAAAAACGCTAAGACCGAATGATAACAACAGGCCGAGGACAAGAGACTAGTAAGTTCTCCACAAGTTTTCCCTAAGCTTTTTGTAAGCTTCTAATCGCTTTGAAAGCCTTGGGAAAAGATGTGAGCTGAGAAAGAAAGTTTCCGAGGAAACCGAATAAAAGAGAGCCGAAAAAGCCGAGAACAATAGACAATGGACAATGGACAATGGACAATAACATGCTATTGAATAGTAACCTTAATTGGCACTAAATAGCACGTAAGTAAGCTATTCTTTCGAGTGTGACGTACACGATTTACACGATTAGACAACGAAAAGGGGCTGAGCGAATGCAAAATAAAGAAAGTTTGTAGCACAGCTCATGGCTGTGTTCTAGAATTTGGAGAGAAAAAGAAGGAATTATTGATGCTTTTCCCAAGATTACCAAGTGAAGGGAAAGGTGGCAGTAAGCGATATCATTGGATAGAGAGACGGGTTACAGTACTTCGTACATACTACAAATCTTGGCCGTAGCTGGCTTTTCTTGGTGACGGGAATGAAGGATTTGAAGGATTTGAAGGATTTTAGACAATGGTTGTCACCTCTACCAACGCATAATGTTTTGTGTTTTGTGTTTTGTGTTTTGAGTGAAAGGAGAAAAGGAGAATTTGAGTTTCATCACTAATAACCGACCAAGCTTAGGCAATTAATTGAAGCTGGTAAGGTTATTCGAGTAAAAACTTAAGGTTACCAGGTACTCCGTAGAATCGATAAGATTTGAGATCTGATCTCATGACAATTATTCCCAAATAGGAAGGTATTCATTCACATGCAGTCAGTAGTAGCAGTAGTGCTTTGAAATGTCAAATCATTAATGATTATGTAAGGTTTCAGATCAGCACGAGCAGTAAGGGAGTACAGAAAGAAGATTGAGGCTGGAGCGGGGGCTGAGATAAATGATTTGTGTTTTTTTCTTTTTTTCTTTTTTTCTTTTCTGTCTTTTCTTTGTCCCACAATCTCCAGATCCAGAGTCTTGATATCATAAGGGCATCATGCCGGTAGTCTTCATCCGTGTCAATGCATATGGGCAGGGTATGTATGATATCCGATATCCTTTGAAATCATCAAGAGCCTTTTCAGTTAGTATTCCCAAGTAGTTAGAACCTTAACCTAGACAGGTAGGTAGTAGTTCTCGCGAGTTACTACATTCACTCTTCTCCGCATTCCAATAAATTCCTACATCTTTTCTTATGTCTGGTATCTCTCCAACAACTTGAGAGCGACAAAGCTACTATATATTATTTCTATCCCCACCATAACAGACCTACATACATCCATTTTCACTTTTTCTTATCATCACGCCCCTCCCCCTCCACCTTCCCCTCCTCTCCACACACATCGTCACATCGTCACATCGTCACATTGTCACATCGTCACAGCGCAGAAACTCAAAAATTACATCGAGAAAGAGATCCATCAGCGAGAAAAGCCAAAGCCATAGAGTGATCCTTCCATCCATCACCTCTGTAACTTGTCTTAGAGTTCTAACGCACGGAGATCCAACTCTGCCGACACCCCACGCTAATCCCAATTAAGTTTGACTACGGCCTTCTTCTAAAACAGATCCCGCCAAGAAGAGAGTTTCACTTCAACTTATTTTAGTAGTAGTGGGAATGATCCCTCTCTACCACGGCTACTGATAATTATTTGGTTCTCTCAAGTCAATGGATATGTGAAGTTTTGATCAAAAGATTGTTGTTGGCCGTCGACCATTTTCCGTTTATCTTTCCTCTTGCTCTGTTCCGTGTTCTTTTGTCATTTCCTCACTCCATCCTCTCATCTCATCTCATCGCATCTCATCTCAATCATGTTTGCATCGGATTTGGGAGGGAGCATGGCGAAATGCATATTGACCCTCATGTTCTTCGTCGCTTTAGTCGCTGGGCAAACTACTACCGCGCCATCTTTCACACCCTCGAATGATACTTTACCGGCTAACATGACAACACCTGATATTGAATTGACTTTACTGGCGGGAACCAGTCTGCCCATGGTCAAGGACACGTACAATGTTGCCCCGCTCACTTCCCTCGCCGGTCAGGGACAAGCCGAGAATTCCTTGGGTGTACGCAAAAAATTCCTAATACCTGATTGTTAATGTATGGCATGAAAAAGACTGCTAACGTAGCATGAAATAGCAAATTTTATTCAACGGATCTATTGCCATAACAGATGCGACATCTGTGAGTAATTTATCGATCACCACTATAGCATACATGAGCTGTGACCCGAACGAAACCTCCAACATCAATTCGACAGAAGCTATCATCATGGCAGGAAATGCGAGACCGAAGGCTATACTGCTGTATAGCATGTATTCTCAAGAGTGCAGTCTCACCGGAGATTCTACTTTTGGCTCGATTTATACGATGGTGTCTGCTTCTGATTCAATGGCTTTGCTCATTACTTTGCGAAACTTTACTTCTAGTTCATTGTTGCTTGCGAAAATTCAACAGAACCAAGACCCATCAAGCTCGAGTTCCCCATCACAGACTAGTAATAATGGGGGGCCACCACCGACCACGGCTGTTGCCATGAGCATTCTATACAGTATTACTGGAATAATCACTTTACTGTTCCTAATAATCATAGGCACTGGTGCTGTCCGAGCTCACAGGCATCCGGAAAGATATGGTCCTCGCAATGCTTTTCCAGGAAGGCCTAGGCAAAGTCGAGCAAAGGGTCTTGCACGTGCTATGTTGGAGACTTTACCCATTGTGAAGTTTGGGGATCCAGAACCGGGCAAACCCGGAAGTGGCGATATTGAATTAGAAAATGGCAGTGTTCATCATGCTCCTGTTGCCGCTGCAACAAATGCTACAACTGACGACATCCCCAAAACTTCAACCACAGCGGCAGTTGTTGCGACTTCTGCACAATCTGGGATGGAATCTGATGCGCAGCCTAATCCTGGACCCACCGAAGCTTCAGTAGCCCCCAAGGAGGACGATATTTTGCAATGTTCGATTTGTACAGAAGATTTTGCTACGGGTGAAGACGTTCGGGTCCTTCCATGTAATCACAAATACCACCCTGCTTGCATAGACCCTTGGTTATTGAATGTTTCCGGAACTTGCCCATTATGGTAGACTTTCTCTCCTCTTATTCATGAGCACATACTAACTTTTGTAGTCGTCATGATTTGCGACCTACAGCGACCAATGCCCAAAATGAAGACGAAGAACTTCCACCACCACTGGAAGCACATGAGGGAGAAACAGCTAGTGAACACGCAGCTAATGTTTCTGAAAGCGGAGAAGCTGGGTCTGGTCACCGCATTTCTCGTCTTATGCATCTTCGTCATGCCCCTCCTGAAGAGAGCATCGCTGCTCTTCGCGAATTGGCGCGAGAGCAACCCCAACAAGGAGGGGAAGTGTCAAATCAAGATATAGCTGAGGAACAAGGCAGAAGAGCTAGACTTGCTGGCCGACTCCGAAGCACTTTCCGGATAAGAACACGAGCACAAGCAGCCTCCGCTACTGAATCTAGTGTGGCAGCATGATATTGCCACTGTTACCTGATGTGATTCACCTCATCACAAAATGATAACGACTTTTCTCTCTTTACATCTATGAACTTGGAATATTAACTTTTTATATCCGACAATCTCTACAATACTACGAAAGTCTGAATATATTTTTTAGAGTCTAGTAGTACCGGCGGATGAATGAATGATGGGTGGAACGGTATGGATGATATGGAAATGATGAATATGGATAGATGGAGTTTTTTTTGGCGTCAAAATGAGTCCACCCCTGATTTTTTACTCCAAGCGAGCATGGGTTTGGTTTGGTTACTTTGGGTCGTGTCTTTTGATTCACTAGGGATTTTGTACGGTTGGAAGGCATGGAGCACCGGAGTAGATGGTTATATCAGGAGTTGCAGAAGCTTGGGGGTTTTTACGTCCGCGGCGCCAATATCCGGTTATTGTATTATATGCACATGATGTATGTGTAAATCAGGGTAGTTCAATACGATATTATGCCTCTCATCAATCACTTTCCTTGTATGATGCCGTACTTTACTGTCATAGAAATACACCTCTTTGGGAACCACTACATAGTAAGCCGATTCTAAAAGTGACAACGTTTTGAAAGTAGGAACTGATGTATGTGGTAATATTCTTTTGTTTCAAATAGACTGTTGGATTTGACATTCTTCCAAAATCTTGATCTCCTACATGCCCATCTACATTTAATCCTCATCTTCATCCTCATTCACCAACTCCCAGGTTTCCTTCCCGCTCATCTCCATACTACACTCCTCTTTCCCATCTCATCCACTTCTCTGCGCTCAAAAATCCCACAAATTAACTCCATTGCTTGCTTGCTTGTTCTCTAACAATCCCAGCATATCAAAAACCCTCCCCTCTAAAATCAAATCAAATCAACCCCTTCCTAGCCAACTCAACTTTCCTCGCCGCCTCCCCTGCTTTAAATCCCCCCTTGGATATACAAATCGCATTCCCATCTGCCAACTCAAATTTCTCTTCGTAAATTGGGTGGGCGCAGGGACAATGGTGGGGAACTGAGACGCAGGAGAGGGTTCCTGGACAGAGGTAGCTGGAGCAGTGTGCTATTTTGGGGAAGGGGGTTGTGTTAGTTGTATTCTTTTCTTGTTATGGAGAGTGTTTACTTTTGGGGTGGAGGGAGTGGAGAGAGTTATAGAGGAAATGAAATATTCACCTCGATCATAATTATCTTGATACCATTGTGAATCGCTGGGTACGTCTTGTGGTTGCTGGTGATGATGATGTTGCTGTTGGCCGCCGTTGTTGAACATTTGTTCGAAGAATTGGAATTGTGCGGATACTCCTATTATGAGGAGGAGGAAGGAGAAGAGTAGTTTGGTCATTTTTGGGGAAGGGAAAGGAGGGTTTGGAGGATGGAAGTGGTGGATTGGGATGTTGATGTATTTATTGCTTGATAGCTGATAGTGATGGTAGCTTGATATTGACAGGTGGTGAGAAATTTTACGGGAGACTGTAAGGTGGTGGGATGTCAAAATTGAGGGTTTGAGGGAGAATGTGTAATTTTTGTATTTGGAAGGGAGATTTATAGGAGATAAGAGAGTTCTATTCCTCAAATACTCTATTTACAACATTAATTCCGACTTTCTACAAAATTTCTTCTACTCAAGCACAATATTGAACTTTCCATAATCACAGCGCACCGCACCTCTCACGGTCTCCGTAAAATCATCACCAGCTTCATAAAAATATCACCACTTCCGCACCCCAAATCCACACATCCCCAAGATGTTACTCCAACGCCTACAGCCTCCTATACGAGGCGCCATAACCTCAATTACACGCACATCCTCCGCCTCGGCAGCAGAAACCCATCTCTGTGAAGCCCTCACAAATCTCACATTTAAAAAGCCATCATCATATCCTCTTGCCCCTCTTATCACCATTCGTCACGCATCTCACGCTGCGCAGGGAGCCGTAAATAAAGCAAAAGATGGGCCTGGAAAAAGACTCGGTGCTAAGAAATCCGGCGGTATGTTTTCCTTTTGTTCCTCTCATTCCTAGAAATTGAATCCGAATCAGACAAACCTTTGAAAGTTGCTAATCAATGCATGCATGCATATATGAATAGAACAATATGTCATTCCCGGTAACATAATATTTCGTCAACGAGGCACCCATTGGTTCCCGGGCGATAACTGCGCAATGGGTCGCGATCATACGATCTATGCTACTCAACCCGGCTATGTAAAATACTACAAAGATCCCGAACGACATCCCAAACGCCAGTATATCGGTGTAGTATTCAAGCGCGAGCAAGTTCTCCCGTTACCACGGAATACTATTCGACGACGACGTCTTGGGATGGAAATCGCAAAGATTGTTGAGCCGGAGACTGCTCCTGTGGAAGTAGAGGTTAGCGTGGAGGAAGATGCGAATACGAGTGTGCAGATTAAGAAGGAGAAGAAGAAGAAGGAGAGGAAGGGGGAGGAGGGTAGAAATCTACAGTTGAGACCTGGGTATATGTATCGGGAGGCTAATTGGGAGATTGGTCGCGCGGCGGAGAGGGCAAAGGTTAAGGTGCGTTTGTATAAACCGGGGGATAGATGGACGGCGTGGAGGAAGTCAAATGCGAGGAAGTCGAAGAATGCGGAGAAGAGGGGGTTGGCGGGTAGGAAGAAGAAATAGATGGATGTGGATTAAGGGGGAGGGAAGGGCAAGGAAGAGGACTGTATGATTATCTATCTATCTGGTCTTGTTATGAGGATTTGAAGGAACGGGCTTGGATTAGCCTTTTCGTGATATTGAAGATATCCTAGAGAAATGGCTGGTGTAACTAGGTAATACTGTATCCGAACATAACCAATCTCCTGAATGTATACACAGGTTATGAAGCACATCATATCACATCACACATTATCCCAAAATGTACAAGGCCAAATTTCCATCAGGACGAACCCTTCTCATTCCCTATCATTTCTACAAATTCAGTATTCGACAAAATTTAAAATTTAATAATAACAAACAATTTTGTTTATTTTTTCTTCTTTTTCTTTTGCAGAAAGAGTTTAAAGCAGTCTATCTACTCTATCTAGTATTTATTTCAGACTCGATGTCCGATGTTGGATGTTTATATGATTCATATGATTTATATGATTCAACTAAAGTTTCGTGATTATTACTACAGATAGATAGGAAAAATTCAAGTGGATTTCTTTATTGGGTTTAAGAGGTGGGGTGTATGGGATCTTCTTGGGCTTTTCTTGGGGAGTTGGTTTTTGGTTCGGGATCTTTGGTTTAAGGTCCTATGTGGATTTTGTCGTTTGGTGTTTGTTCTATAGGTACCTCATGAGTCTAGGGACTTGGATAGATAGTTGTCTTGGATTTTTTTTTTCATATGTATGTCTTGTTTTATTATGAGGGAGATGACAAGTAGGTTGACAAGTAGGTTGACAAGCAAGCTCTGCAGTATCAGATTTATTACATTGAGGCGAACATAGAGAGAGGCCATTTCTCTCATGGGAGTGAAATGAAATGAGAGGAGTGTAAATGTAAGTCTGCATCACCACGAAGCGTCTGTGGTTCTATACACGAGCAGAGAATTAAAAGCTAGTGTCTTAGTATTCGGGGTACCTCCTTGTTTTGTTTTGCATTTATCGTTTTAAAAGGTTTTAATATCTATATGCAACGAGATCTCCTTCCACCGCTTGCTTGACTTTAATCGAAAAGAAATAGCAGAAGTCTTCTATGGAGAAATGGAGAAACGAAGTAAGCTTTTTAGTATTTTGTAGTATATTAAATAGGTACTTAGATGCAATAAATAGCAAAACAACACCTCAGGAAGATGAAAATAGGAAGATCAAAATTATAACCATCCCATTCCATCGTGGAAAATCTAAAATTTGGATCGATCACCTACCTAGTGAAAATTTAAGCGAGAATAGGAGATAAATAGTTGGAAGGTTGATGTGGTGTAATGTAATCCTAGTTAGGGCAAATATCCAATCTGTATATTTATTTCCATGCTATTACTACTGTTTGAATTTTGATTATATTTTCTGTGGACCGCTACTTTTAAGACTAATAGTTATTTTAATATAGAAGTAAAGATGGGGGCGTGATGTGTTAAGTGTTAAGTATGAAGTGTAGAGGATGGATATGGAAATTGAATGAATTAATGGATCAAGAATATAATAAAGGATCCTGCTAATCGCAATTGATTTAAAATTGATGTGATGGGTTCCAGAATGGAAATCTCTTGCTTCTGCAAGGATGTAAGATGCCATATTACTATGTTTGTACACAACTTACTAGGTATCGGTGCTGGATAGGTTACAAAAATAGTATGTGTGCTAGCTAGTGAGTGGATAGTAGTGGTTGGTTTGTGGTTGTATATAGTCGATTTCCTACATGGATTATTAGATGTCGTTAGTTGGATATTTTGGGGGTATGTGATGTGTGTTTTGGTATGCAGAGGATGGTCTGAAAGTATATATTAAGTATTTGAGAATGTAAAGGATAGCTTGAAAAATCTAGCTAGCAAGTATGTATGAGAAAGAACCAGTCTCCAATATTCAAGGAGATTAAATATAAGAATCTGGGTCAGAATTTCAACGAATGTCTGAAATTCTGAACAGTGAAGTCTGGTGGCATTACTCCCCAACTATAGGAATGGAAATGTCTGTTCGGATGTATAGAGATGGTATGTATCCTTGGGTTTTCTGTGCAGATGAGGGGTTCCTTCCAGTCATTAGTTTTCGATTGTGGATAAATCCTGTGTCTTTAGTCTTTCCTTCAGGATTCAATATGAAATTCACCATTTACTCGCCTTCTTCGTGCTGTAGATATTATAGAATTCTCAGTATCTCATGCTAGAGTATTTCCCAAAAGGGAATATGCACTATTATACGGACGACAGGTAGCAGATACTGGGGATACTCAACCAGTTTTATTGATTATACGTTCAAAAATGTAGTAGCCAAGAGCATTATAACATAGAGGGTCAAAGGCCAGTTGCTAGGCACACACACAGCGTTTATCGTCGCACAATGTTGTGGGAAATTCGATCTCAGACTCAAAACACATGGGTAGTGCTTTCTTTAATTTCCGGCGTAGAAGAAACTATCGCCAGTCTAGGACAGTCAATACTTGGACATAATTTACTATGATGCACCTACCTATACATACAGAAACCTGGAGGAAGAACGAGTATTTTCGCGGGATGAAATATGTTTTCATTGGGTTTAGATTATTTATTTTGAGTACAACACAATGGATATACTGCCTACTTAATATACAGCCAAATTAGAAAAATATTCGACATCATCCCATTATCAAATTAACCAGCGCTTCCTCTTTCTTTCTTTCTTTCTCTCTCACGCCTCTTTAAAAACACATCCGCTACCCCTCCGATAGGCCGTCCCATCTTCTCACTCGACCCATAATACATGATAACAACCTTGACGGGCTATAGATCGAGGAGTCTAGCCCTTGATCCCCTTTTCCCTCCTCGCTGCTCTTATTATCGATACCAAATCATCCTTCCGAGATGGCAACTAGTTCGACTACCGCTCCAGGTGCTATGTTCTCGCAAAATGATTTCTATCGCTTTCACGCATAAGCGTGGGAATCCCAATGGCTTTTCCATCTCATCTTGGAGCTTAATATCATTGAGATTGTTATAATTTCTGAGTTCAGACGATGAAGAAGACTCCTTTCCTTTCTATTTCAGAAATGTCTGGAATGCCGTGTAGAAACGCTCGTGAGGCCTGAAAGAACAGAAATTGTGTCTGTGGCCGCGGAAGATGCATGCTATAGCAATCCAGAAACGAGACCGGGTATTTGTACCACCTATCCGGAAAGTTAGCATGCAAGTAGTCATACTCCTGCCATTTTCCCGAAGACGCAAATGTGTTTAGAACCATAGGGTACCCATCACCCCCCTCAAAACTACTACGCTACCATCCTTGAAGGGGCTTTTGCATGACATCTCTGCCAGAAATTTATACTTCTACCAATTCGACTCAATCCGTCGTCTTTTTAACGATGTAGAGTGCTCCATTATGTAGCAAGTGGTAACAGGTTGACGAAAACTTTTTGGATTTTCACCTCTAGTCCACCAGCATGCCTGAAATTCATAACTATCTTTGAAAGTTGCACCAACCTGCCACCCAAGAAATGACCAACTGGGAAGCTGTGACGTATGTTTTCTGGTTGATTGTCACCTCTTTCCCAAGCCAACCGTATTCCACATCAAACCACTCTCAAAAAGAGTTCAGGAATACCGTATAACAAACCGCCTTTAAAAGTCTGGCTGAGTGAGTACCACTGAAGCACCAGAAAATACCGACGACGCATCCTTCGGACTAGTGAGAGCCTTTTGATTAAAACCCCATAAGAGATAATTCGTAATCTTCAAATCTGGAAAACTTGAAAGCGTGAACAAATCCGGGTACTTACATAGCGCAATAGATTGCTTTTCGGATGGTGGTAGATCGGGTATTAGTTGTTCACTCCACCTAGATCTGCTGTTTTCCCAGTAGATGGTTCTATTTTAGTCCAAGCGCGTGGGTGATAAGCACTTTGAGTCTTTTCACCTCTGTTTCTAGGGACGATTAGATATACCGGGGGAACCATTGGCATTATATCTTGTTTGAAGCCTCGTCGAGGGGTCAGCCCTTTAAATCCTCAAACTCCATAGCTCGCATCAATGCCACTCGCAGCTACCACTGTAATGTCTGCGCGGGTGGTAGTCTAATAACTATAGTGGCAAAAGGAACCTTGGACGAAGAAACTTGTGCTTACATAGACTAGAGTAGATTCTAGCCATGGAATTCGCGCCACTTGCAAGGCTTCCACATAATCTTGGACAACACACAATACTTCAACCTGGGATATCGCGCTCAAGCAGTCGAATAACATCGATAGCATTTCTGATTGTTCTAGGCAGCCTTTCCGCGATGGGGCTCTACCGTTAGAGCTCCTATTCCTTGCGGCTGATCGATGATACTTCTCTCGGTTTGGAAAGACGCAACTGCACTCCATGTATAGCTTAATGTAAGAAACTTTGTATGTATGCCCTGAGCCAGGAACAAAACAACCAGCCAAAAAAATCCACCAACCATATCGACCTTGTCGATTCAATGCGTTCAGATTTTTCGGGGTATTGACACGCATCTCCATGATGCCCCTTGCACAGATCTTTCCAATCCATGGTAATTTTCTCATCAATCCAAGCCGAATCAAGAATGCGTGCATGCCTTGAATTTAGTCACTCATCGTTCTTTCTCGGAACTAGTTTAAAATGGCATCTCGGTCAAAATTTTCCATTTTGATTCAAGCTGAGGCCTATAGCTGAATAATCTTTGATTATATCAATTTTAGACTCGAAGCGGTCCTGAATTGAGGAGCCATCTCAGTCAAAGTGCTTGATCCAATCTCGATGAGAGCACTCTGTGTCAACAAGTGAAGAGATGAGTCCTAACGAGACTGTAGCTCTTTCGATAGCCGTGTTAAAGAACTAAAATGATTTGTTCACATATTGCACAATTTATTGATGCTTCGCTCATGATGAGTGCACAGTGATATTCTGTTTTTGGCGCTACATGAAGCGGGATGAAAATTCGCTGAACTGTATATCATATAATAAGCAGCTGAGGCAAGGAAGGGTGAAGGATCCACCAAGCCAACTAAACGGCGTAAGCCCAACTAGACGATATGTTAACAGAATCCCGCAGTTACGGGTGTTATAATTTCAATATAGGGAAATAAGCCCTAAAGTAGAAAGCCGAGACTAATTAAATTAGACTGTCCAGCTGGCCGGTTGTTTACAAGCTAGTTGGCCGACGGATATTTCTTGACATTCAGCAGCTTAACATTGGTCTTTCATGATTCAATAAATATACCCCGAAGAAGGAGAAAACACAAGCTGGAGATACTTGTTACGAACTACTTGAAGTAGGCTATTTTCAAAACCCGTCTAACAACAGTGATGAGCCTGTAGGTCCCCATAGACTTCCGCATAATGCAAATGTGCACATTGCGGAATTGTGACTAATCCCCATAGCCTATGTTACCAAGACTACGAATGTTTCCTGTTTGCCCAGTGCACTGACAATGATAATGATCAGCGCTGTCATTCAAGATATCACCGACGCCCGTAACCTTCAGTATATATGGAGATTTGAAAGATCTATGGTTCAATTCTGCTGCTGACGAAACAGGACATCTTCGAGCACCATACTGCCTGAGCCGCTCTGTAAATTCTCGCATAGACCAACGTAGTGTGTACCAAACACAGATCCGAGTATCAATGGATACCCATAATGTAGTTTGTATTACTTTTTATGGTTGAGTAGTGCAATATAGTGAAAAGGAGTGGAATCCTTTTACCCAGTTTATAGACGTAGGGGGAATGGAAATGGTTTGATAAATTCATGCATGATAAGCGAGTTGTAGAAGAGAGATGAGGGGGGTGAAGAATAGCCAAAAATGATGATAGATGCATGCATCTATGAAGAAGTTTAAAAAGAACAAGCATAAGTGGAATATAAAGCAAGAGAAGGAATTTCTTATACAAAAATATGAATTGAGCTGTTCTCAAGAAATAACATCCTATATTGAATATAAAGAGTCAGGCTTGAGGTTCATATAAACATGTGTTGCTTCTGGCGTAACATACGAAATGATAGAACGTTAGATAGAGGATTGTTTCTCGCTACTTAGCTAGAGATTTTCTTCACAGCTTTGATTCCTCCTGATCATGTACATTGCCATCCATCTAATGCTTATAGCATGCCACCCATCAACGACAAATTCCTTGAAATTATGCCCTTCTAAATGCTCAACGAGCATCCTCAGCTCTAACGACCTCACAAAATTCCCTAATTACCACAACCCAATTCCCCAATTCATTCCCTCACTTCTCCGCCTCACCTCCCTTAGCACTCCACTCCATCCAACTCCCCTCAAACTCCCCCACCTTCACCCAGCCATTCCCCTTCGCAATCTCCGCCGCCGCCCTCGACCTAACCCCCGACTTACAATAAAACACACACTCCTCCCCCTTCGACGGTCTCTCAAACCCAAATCGATCTTCAAATTCCTCTTCGCTAATACTGAATGCGTCCGGATTTGTCGTTATCGAGATATTGATCGCGCCGGGGATACGTCCTGTTTGTTGTAGTTCGAGGGGTGTACGGACGTCGATTATATGGGTATCGGGGTGTGGTGCAGAGGTAAGGGTTTGCATCTGTTAGGAGGATTATTAGGTAATTGCAAAGAGGGGTGTGAGGAGGAGAGGGAGGAGAGACAAACATCTTCAAATGTGTAGTGTTTGGATTTATTTTCGGTTTCTTGTGAGTATGTCCTAACTTGTCTAAACTGTCTAGATACCTGCCTGCCCAAGATTCCACCATTCTTGAACTCGCTATCCCGAATCTCGGTACCGAAATTGTTACGACAGCTCGTTGAGAATTGCGATGCGGTATAACATCTTCCAGATGAAACTCCAACGCGCGACCGGATCGCGCGGACTACTGTGCGAGATACTCTTGGGGTAGACATTTTTATGAGGTTTTCGCGTTGGCGTTAGATTTTCCAATCTATATCCTACTATTTTCTGGAATGAGTGCTGGAAATTGAGGGCTGTGGGAGTGTAGATTCGGTACCTGAATGATTTCAATGCCAAGCATGAGTTTAGGTGGGATGTAAATGGGATGAAATTAGGTGAATGAAATGTTACCCCGGATTTAGGTGCCATCTACGGATCCTTGTTAGATTTCGTCATATATAAAACATAAAGACAATCAAAACAATATTTATATAAAGAAACCAATATACAGAATATAGAATTTTATCAAATGTAAAATTTGCAAATGTTCTCACACTTTGGAGATCCATCCAAGTTTGTTAGGTTAAAGAGAAGTCTACAATACAGCTCACTGGGAGTGACAAAAGCAACCAATTTGTAAGAGGCTAGGCAGGAGCTCAGCGGGAGCTAAGCAAGCATGCTGATCAAGAACACCAATTTATCGTAGAGAATATAAGATCTATAGATAGCAATAAACACAATGATCATTTCAAAGATAAAGCTCAAAGCCATAATTCTAAACGGTTAAATTCTGGGCCCCTACTCTGTAGATACCTACCTATCTTAATCAAGCTCAAATCCATAATGGAAAAAGAACACGACGATTGAGCAGGGTATTTAGACATGCATTGAGCAATAAGATAACATGATATATTCGTACATGATAATGGGTATCGATCTATTGATTTGATTTTGAAGTAGACTTAGACTTATACTTCTTGAAAATACTTTTTCCTCTCTTGAATCCGGCCCAGCATTCACTTCGTCTCTCCTCAAAGTCCAACCATAAAGCAAAAATAAAATAACCGCATAATGTCCAAGTCCCTAAAATAACATCCTAGTTGGATTATCCCCCTTAGCAGGATCTTCCGTAGCAGGTTTCTTAGCCACCGGACTTCCATGCGCAAAGAACAACACCTTAATAGCAATTGCCAAACCGGCATGTAGAACAACCACTAAGATAAGCAGTATTTTACTTGTCTGTTTGTCCGTAGCGCTGAGAACGGGATAAAGATTTCTGAGGAGGAAGGCAACGCTCAATCCAAATCCAACTCCTACGAATACCCAATTCATGATTGTAAGGGATGACCAGGAGACCAAGGCGACAGGAATCCATACGAGGTTGGAGTAGCCGTAGAGAGCGGCACATTCGAGGAGGTTGGCAGATTCACTGCCGAAGTATTTGAGGGCTAGGAAGAGAAGAATGGGAATTATGAATGTATAGCCATAGATTAGACCTGCGGCACCTGTTGAAGAAACCGAATTAGTACTGTAATCATCTTATTTGAATTTGCCTCAACATCCAAGCAAGTAAAAGATAAATGAAGAACCTACCACTTAACAAACCAAAATCATAGGCAAATCTCCCTTCACCCCTCTCTGCCAAATACAAACTGACGGTCCCTCCCATAAACAGAATGAAAATAACCGTCGTAGCAATCCAGAACGGTCCATACAAATCCGGATTCCCCTCCAGCACATCCAAGAAATTTGCGCGAGGATACAAAGCTGCCCAGCAACGTGCTAGCACGGAAGAGGTATCCACATCGAAGAACTGAGAGTAGAAATGTAGGGACCAAAGGTAACGTTTCGAGTTACTGGGACCGCCTGCAGTGGCCGGGGCGGGAAGACCGGGGGATGTAGGCTTATTGCGGGACGAGGAGGGATTAGCTTCGAAATTGGAGTTGTGAAAGGAGAGATCTTCTTGGAGATCAGTGTGGCCTAGATCGCCCTGTTTTTTGGTTAGTGTTGATGCGGTTTTGGATACTGAGATTGAGGAGCAAGCCCCGAGGAGTTACAAAAGATGAACATACTTCCTCATCCACATCGACAACAACATCATATCCAGCTCCTGACATATCGTTTTGCTACAACTGGAGAAATTTGGAGTTTGTAGAAAGTGCTATTTGGCTGCGTGGTGTTGTAGCTTCGGACAGCTTGCGAATCTGGAGATGGGCGCGCTAGTGATGCAGGTGGAACATCCTTGTAAGGCGACCATTTATCAAAAAGTTCACTAAGGCTTACTCCGTACATGTTAAAGATTTTTTATATTATTTCTTGTCAACAATTATTTTCGTCGTTTACCGAAGATATTCTTTTAATACTATGCTATGTGGTAATTAAGTAAATGTACTAGGTATTTAATTGACCCATGATGTTACTTTTTATCTTATACCTTCCACAACCGCCGAAATACTGGAATATCGTCAGAAGGCACGTACTAAATTTCAACATATAACAATATATCTTTGTGGCAAAATCAATTAAGAGATCCAGTCTCGAAAGCTACATCACTATTCCTACTAGCGAGCGATTCGGGCAAGGTTCTCCTTCCAATTTTACTGAAATCCCTCGTGGAAAGCGATTTGCCAACCACCTTATAGGTCTCAAGTGGAATAAACACATCCTATACTTCTGCCTTGACTTCACTTTATCCGTTTAGTGGTCGCCCTGAAATAAATGTGGCCAAGATCGTAATGTCCGGAATAACTATCGCAATGGCCATCTTTCTATTGCCGCAACACAGTAAGGGTATGATGGTGCAAAGCTGCAAGATCCGTAATTAAAGGTACTGAAAGGCTCATCTGCCCTGCTGGGTAGCAGAAAGTTCTCCAAGCTTAACCAAAAGCCCGGAACTGGAACTCTGAACTCACACAACAAATTGGCTCAGGCCAGGAAACATGCATGGACTTCAAACTCAACTGCACATGAAAATGTGTTGAAGATATTTATTATTGGTGTGCTGAATAATCGTCTCATTGCTTCATTTGCCTCATGCTATTGTTCTCAAATACAGAGCTGGCCATGTAAATAATCCATCGATATATCGGCGCACCAATCCTCCCTTCCACAATCTCCCTGTGAACCCAAACGCCATAAGAGCGAAACATTTACTTGAGCTTCTTCTTTGGGCGGAGTTGGTTGGTGTGTCCGCACTTCTTCTTTCTGCAGTTGGTAGCACGGGGAGGGAGACGGGCCTAAATTTGGTAATTAGTATTGGCCTGCTGGATAACGCTGAAAGTTCGAAAGACGTACGTAGCACTTTCTGCAGATCATCTTTTCGCAGTTGAACTTGGAGGCAAGGGCCTTGAGAGATGGCTCGATGAGACCACCACGGAGACGGAGGACCAAGTGGAGGGTAGATTCCTGTAAAACATTATGTCAATTAATCGGGCCCCAAACTCTCATCCCACAACTCCTCTCATATAACCATCTGTTCGCGATAAAGATCCCCATAAATCTATCCAAACTTCTCGATTCGGTCCGGAGTGTGAAATATTCGTACCTTTTGGATGTTGTAGTCTGAAAGAGTACGTCCGTCCTCAAGTTGCTTTCCAGCGAAGATCAAACGTTGTTGATCGGGAGGAATTCCCTCCTTGTCTTGGATCTTGGCCTTAACATTGTCGATAGTGTCAGAGGACTCGACCTCAAGGGTGATGGTCTTGCCCGTAAGGGTCTTGACGAAGCTATTATTATATCATCAGTGCTGCCCTCCAATTCGCATTTTAAACGTCGCAAGCGATCTATCGATTTCCGAATCGCATGATCATACGGAAAGTAATGAGTGTAATATCGTGGGGTCTCTTACATCTGCACTAGAATCGCAAATGAAATCAGTAACTATTCGTAGACATTTTTATGACCGTATGATTATGACTTACTGGTTGCTGAGGTTCTTCGATTGTCGTTGTTGTCGTGGAAATCTAAATTTCGAAGTCCCAAGTCAAGTCGAATTTGCAGAATGTGGGTTGGGAAGCGAGAAAAACCCTAGCGCATCCAATCACATGACATGAACAATTATTAACCCTCGAATTTTAGGCTACTCAAAGCCATCAAGGTCAAAACGACAGAGGATATCACGGATGGATAGAAAATTAATAAGGAATACAGCAGACGGATAGTGGATTTGAGAAGTTTTGGGATTGATTATTTTTATGGGTATCTCTGATACATTTTCAACGCCGGATGTATCTTTTCAGAACAAGATTGTACCCTTTTCCAAATATCCGGACAAGAACCAATACTTCAAGAACTGCAGATAATTGAAGAATTCCTTAATTTACTCCTTCATAGGGGAACCTTCATCTATTTCATCATTTACCTCTTCTTGTTCCCTGCCCTCTTCTTGGTTATCGTCCTCATTTGCGTCATGTTTTCGCCCATTCCCAACCTCTTCCTGCTCTAATAAATCTTTTCTCCGTTCATCTAGCATCCATTTTTCCAATTGAATTTCTGTGGTAAACACGCCATGTACCAACCTTTCAAGAGATGTTCCGACATTTCTGGCTATCCTATGGTTAATCAAAGCACAGAGACATTCGAAGAAGACAACTTACCAGCAATCTCATAAAAAGCTTTAGCGCTTTCAGGTAACTCCTCAATCGTCCGATACCTTTTATACATTTCACCTGGGCGGAAAATGCCTCCGAGTTCCTCATCATCCATACGAGCGGCTGGTTTCTGAAGAGTTAATGTTTTATGAACCTCTTTGGCTCGGTTAATTGGATCTGGATCAACTACTCCCACTGTCGTCTCAACTGGGATATCCGGCAAAGGAAACAGCTCCAAAATCTGTTGAGGAACTGTTCACAGTCTTAGCAAAAAGTTCATACAGCAGTGTATGGTTTGCTCACCTTTGTGGTCTCTGTCATCAACCCAAGTTTTGTGATACCAACTCATCCAATCGTCCATTTGTGCTCCCGTCATTTTGAAAACATCCGCATCTGTGATTTTAATTTCATCTCCACGTTTCAAACCTTCGCTAGGGCTTTCATCCATGATGTTTTGCCATTTCTTCCAATTGATTCTTGCGGATGTGGGATCTAAATCGCTATCTGGATGACGGACAATGTCGTCGAATGGCTGGCTAAGTTTTGTAGCGATGACTACCAGACTGATGAGTTGATACTCCGGGAATCCGGTTGTTCCATATACACGCTTGTTATGGATTGGGTATGAAAAGTCATATTTAAGAATCTCGGTGAGATGATTCACAGCCGTGTAAATGTCAACTGAGTAAGGTTAGATCTGAACAGAACTACGAAGCTGAGAAAGAGTACATACCTGGAAGACCCAAATCCCTAATATGCTTGTATAAAAGTAGTTTGTTGTTAATTGGTGGAAATACCATCTCAAAATTAAAATTATAGAAAGAAATCATATCAAATACTGTTTGATGAAGTCTATGACCACTTAAGATGCCATGGATTTCAAGAGCTCTGAAATAATGGGCTGGTAGTCGAGTTCTCATATCTTTGGGGATCTCTTTAACCTATAGATAAATGGTTCAGTCAAAACACATGTTATGACACATGAATTCACTTACCGCTCGTGTGTAAATAATCTCATCTCTAGTCGCCCATTTGTATATCTCTCCTAAGCTCGTAGGCAATCTCAAAAGTAATATTCCAAGGTAACAAAACCCCAACGTCTCAATTAGCTTGGGGAGATTTTTTTTCACTCTCGATGCCCTCTTCCTACTCATAATGGTTGAAGTCGTGCTCCTGTACCCTGTCCCATCTGTATCCGTGTCGTCTCCCTCTGTCGTCGACCCAAACTCCGTCCCATACTCACTTCTCACGTCTCCAGAACCTTGCAAAACTCTCAACCTCAATTCCCACAAGTCTCTTACGACAGTCTCTAGCTCTGCTGGAAACCCCTTCATAGTCACTAGCCAGTGGATTTGTTTCCAAAGAATTAATTGGTAACATTGTAAATAGAGTTGGGTGGCGTCACGACCCCCAAAAACCTTTTCCACCTGTTCTTTTTCTTCTCGCTTTCTTCTTGACTTTTTTCCTTGCTGATTCCAATCGTCTTCATCTTGCTGGGTTTGTGTAAAACCCTAGATTGTGTTATTTCATGCTCATATTTAATTAGGGAAAGTTTACGAACGGCTTGTTCATGGCCCCGCTGACAGAACTTTTTGCCATCCTCAATGTAGAATTTTCGAGCGCGACATCCTTCTTCGCTACAGGTCTCCCCTCTTCGAAATTTATGGTAATCAATCGCCGAAGACATGATTCACACAAAAAGTCGGCACTATGAGAGTTTTTGGGGATAACGATGTTCGGTTGTCATGTACAACAGATTCCTTGAAGTCTCATTTCCGTAATTCGTTTATATAGCGATTTTTGGGGCGCTAGAAGCGGAGACTAGTAGGTATGTTGACATCGTTTTCTTTTAACTTTACTGTTATTTATATATCACTACTTCACCAAAATGAAAATGTAACTTCATGCATTTCACATAGGAACTCGATTAATTGGGAAGAAACAAACTTCGTAGAATTTTTTTGAGAATTTGTAGCATACCCGCTTGACTACGCCGGTCAAGCAATATCATAGAAAAGCACACAGTAAAATGCTATGGAATTATGATATTGGGACTGCCAGAAGAGATAAGATAACCAGTGTGACCAAGGTTTCGTAGATCAAATCGCCCAACGTAGACCATAAGAATGTAGATATCCGAAAGCATTACATTCCTCTAAATGTAAAGGACCTTCCAGCAAACAGATCTACACACAAAACAACCCATGCTATTGCGAAATTCCAGGTCGGATATTGTTTGAAAAATATTTAACCAGATTTTGGTGCCTCCTTTCCATCGATAGCAAGTTGCTCACCCATGGCAGTGAGGACAATAACGTCTAGAAGGCAAGTATGTCAGTGGTGTATTGAAGTTTCTCTGGGCGTGTGTTGCTTACTGGTCTCCTTCTCGGAATCAAAAAGTGCACGAATCTTTTGTCCAACCTCTCCATCTGGCAACTTAACATCATCCTTAAGATCACCTCCCTCGGACATCAAGGAAAGGAAATCATCATCAGTGATATCGAGCTGTGAATGCTCGTCAGCGGGGATACCAAAATTTAACCAGATATTCTTACCAATTGGTATTCAATACGGGAAACGTTGGGGACATCCATGTTGTGGGTGGATGGGCAGAGTTCTTCAAGCTTCTTTTGGGTGAAGATATCGATGGCGACCAAATGGACCTTGGCGTGACCGTGCTTACCAGTCTTGGAGGTAGACATGTCGACGATCTTGCAAGGGCGGCCCTTAATGACTACGAATCCGTTCTTTCTCAAGGCGGAACATTGCATAGGGTAGGTGGCGGATGCACCAGCATCGGCAGAATCGAAGGTGTGCTCATGCTGTAAAAGAGAAAATAGTTAGTTATCAAGATTTATCGTCCTCGTCGTCGTGGATTTCGGACGACATGCGCGCAAAGCCAATTTTGGTGGGGAAAGAGTTCATGTGCGGGGTGAAGTCGACACACAAAAGAAAAGACAAAATTCTATCTTACTTGAGAGTCATCAACTGGGGCTTCTCCAGACATCTTGAAAAATTTGCAAAGGAATTCGGACGAGTTGAATAAAAATTGATCGGGTCAAGTATTCGCGATGAATAAGATTGCGAAAAGATTAAGAGGTGTGAAGAAGAAATTCGAGGAAGAAGAAGATGGTTTTTGTCAAGTGGTGTGTGGAGGAATTCTACTTTCGAGACTAGGAGGATGTTCGCTTTTATTAGCGACCCATTAGTTCCATTTTCTTGTAAAAAAAAGGTCAAGGGTGGAGAAGATTTAACCAATGAAATCAATTCATTTTGACTTCATTCCTATTATGGTTATTGGATAAATACTCTGTTAAACTGGAAGGGTGGCTGAAAAATAATAAGAACTCTGTCCAGCTGTATATGGGAAGACATTGGGCATGGAAGGTACCACTGGTGCACCTGTCTACAGCGGACTGCTAATCCCAAATCAGGTTTTGAAGTGTGGTATTTGGTATTTGGTATTAGGTATTAGGTATTAGGTATTTGTATCAACAATCAATGGTAAGATCTTATTTTAATTTATGCTATAATACGGAGTACCCAGAGTTGGATTAAACTATCGCACCGCGACCTTTCAGCGAGTCGATAAGTGATAAGTGGAAAGTGGCTGCAGATCCAGTTATCACTCTCTCACTACCATTTTCATCAGTAGCAGGTTTCCCACTCCCTTCACCAATAGTTCAACCCTTTCTCAAGTAGATTACCTACCTAGGTAACAAGTACGAGAGCCGTTTGCATTCAGATGTACTTCTTGAGCTATTCCTTATATTGTTTCTATAGGTAACTAAGGTAATAATTTTCCATTATCTTGCTTTGTCAACTGTTTGGGAGCTAGCTATGGTGCTGAGGAATGCCTTTTTCGATAATCTGGTCTGTTCGATATCGATAAGCTGAAGCTCCCTTCTACTTGACTTACCTAGTATATTACAACGACGAGGAGTAATACCTCCAGTACCTCACTTGATGCATGGATGTCTTGACGATTAACTTCTTTTGGCGCATGGCTAAGAAAAATTAATTGCTTTACATTTCGACCATCAGCATGTGGTCATTAGACCGATTATCTGGACATACAACACCTTCTGCTTCTCCACCTCCACCATTAAATAGGAACCCCAGTCTACCTCGCCGTCCGACTCATCTTGCGCCATTACCAGTCGGCGGTAGACCTCCATTTAATCCGCGATCCTCTTCCCTATCATTAGTCTCCAATGACTCCAGTACATCCTTGCTATCATCGCGGAGACCCAATGGGTCGAACCTCAAACAAGCAACTACACCACCCAATGTGCCAGATCCTTTAGAGGTTTTGGGAAGAATACTAAACAATGGAGAAGAGGCAAAATCACCGTCTGCGAAGGGCTTTGGAGCCATAAATGGAACAGTCGCTCCCATAAGAGAGGAAGATGATGAAGCCGAATGGGACTTTGAAGGTTTAAGTCTACAAGATATAGTGGCAGGGGAACCTTCTGTCACTGAGGATGAGCATGTATATAAATCACAAACACTTGAAGAATGTATGTGTGCCACCCAATTAATTTACAAAGACTACTGCTGATGCGTTGAATAGATGAGCGTGATAAGGATAAGTTTGAAGATCTCCACAGATCGATCCGCGCTTGCGATGATGTCCTAAATTCAGTCGAAATAAACCTCACAAGCTTTCAGAATGATCTTGCTATGGTTTCTGCGGAGATCGAAACTTTACAAGCACGATCGACAGCGTTGAGTGTACGGTTGGAAAATCGAAAGGTGGTAGAGAATGGACTTGGACCTATAGTAGAGGAGATCAGTGTCTCCCCAGCTGTCGTTAAGAAGATTGTGGATGGAGCTATAGATGAAGCTTGGGTTCGAGCACTGGCGGAGGTTGAGAAACGATCAAAGGCGATGGATGCTAAATCAAAAGAACAACGAAATATAAAGGGAGTTAATGATCTCAAGCCTCTGTTGGAGAATCTAGTGTCTAAGGTCGGTTCCCCTATCCTAATCTCGCGTACAAATATGTTGACTTTTACGTCCAGGCACTGGAAAGAATCCGAGATTTCCTCGTTGCTCAAGTGAAAGCTTTGCGATCGCCCAATATAAATGCCCAGATTATTCAACAACAGCACTTCCTGCGTTACAAAGACCTCTATGCATTCTTGCATAGACATCACCCAAAATTAGCCGAGGAGCTCGGTCAAGCATATATGAATACGATGCGATGGTACTTCCTCAGCCAATTTACACGTTACGCAAAGGCATTGGAGAAGGTCAAGCTCCATGTGTTGGACAAACACGATGTTCTCGGGTCAGATGATGGATCTCGCAAAGCCACGCTCCTATCCGCGTCTAAACAAACTGGTCCACCACATGATGCATTCAATTTAGGTCGGCGAATCGATCTTCTCAAAACCTCCAATGAAACTGCACTGCCGTCTTTCTTAGCAGAAGAAGACAAACAAACTCATTACATGGAATTCCCCTTCCGCAATTTCAACCTCGCCCTAATTGACAACGCTTCCGCCGAATACTCCTTCCTAACCTCATTCTTCTCTCCCTCACTGACCTACGCAACCATCTCTCGCTACTTCAACTATATCTTCGAACCCACCTTTTCCCTCGGACAATCGATCACCAAATCCCTCGTCCATGAGTCACACGATTGTCTTGGTCTCCTCCTGTGTGTACGTCTTAACCAACATTTTGCATTTTCCCTCCAGCGCCGCAAAATCCCCGTCGTGGATTCATATATCAACGCAACGTCCATGCTCCTCTGGCCTCGCTTCCAACTCACAATGGACACACACTGCGACTCAGTCCGCACCCTAACCTCGGCCCTTCCCACCCGAAAACCATCGGCTTCAGAACAAGCGAAACAATCCGCCGCCCCACATTTCATGACCCAACGTTTCGGCCAATTCCTTCAGGGCATTTTGGAACTAAGCACGGAAGCTGGTGATGATGAACCCGTGGCGAGTAGTCTAGCGAGACTGAGAAGCGAGATGGAAGCGTTTTTGTCAAAGTGTGCGGCGATTATGCCGGATAAGAGAAAGAAGGAACGATTTTTGTATAATAATTATTCGTTGATACTGACTATTGTGGGGGATGTGGAAGGGAAATTGGCTGGGGAACAGACGGCGCATTTTGAGGGATTAAAGAAGGCTTTCGGAGAGGGCATTTAACCCTGCTCTCCTCTTTCATACTGGATTGAAAGGTTTTGGACGTCTGTACTCATTGAAGTATAACATTTTGATCATCCACTTTGTAATTCTGCGGGAAGACAAAGAACTTTTATTATGATAGGCATAGAGCTGCAAGAAATTTACGCTGTAGAATGTAGAAAAGCCTTGCCCCTCGCGACCATCAACTATGCCGTCTATACTCCGTTCTCCATATCCTTATAGCCTTTATACACAACCGATATGCCTTCCCACCCAATGTTTCAATAATTATTGGAATCTCCGCGCAGATGTCCCCAGAGCACCCCAAATATGGACGTCCAGCGTCGTTCTAGTAGATTCGACCGAGGCAAACAATAATATGAGAAAATTCCGACCAGAACCGCAACGCCGATTGCCTTCGCAGGCCGTCTATATTTCCATACCGTCTTAAATATTTCATCGCGCTTTGCAGCCCATTGTAATTCCTTCACTTGTTGTGTAAAATATCTCTGGCCGTCTTGGAGGCTCTGTTTTGTGACTTGATCAGACCACCGAGCGGTTTTGAGGACGCTGGACGAGGATATAGATCTCCAGGAGGGTAAGGTTTCAGGTGGGTGCTCCTCGAATAATTTGACAGTATTTGAAATGAGAGATTGGAGATCGAGAGGTTTGGGTAACTTCGAAAGTATAGAATGTAACATTTCCGGTTCGTCGGTAGGTGTTTCGAAAAGCTCGTTAGAGCGTGAAAGAACGATTTGTGCAAACATATAGACAGAAAATACAGCCTCTCGTGCTAGTAGAACATCGAAAAGTCGGGCTATTTCACCATATTCTTGTATATCATGTGCGTACATTGTGAGGGTGCCCGAGAGGGCAAAGAATGGCTGAGTCTGGGAGAGGTGAGTGCAAAGAGCGGGAGAGACAGTATTGATGATGGCTGGAATTAGGCGGAGTTGTGCCAAAGCCGGGGATAGCGTTGGAAGCATAAAATCGCGGATTCGAAGCGCGGAAAGCCTGGCCACTGATGGAGTGCGAGTAGCAGGTGGAAGGACAAGAAGGAGTACCTGGCAGATGTCGTGGTAACCTTGAAAGTAGCAGAGATAAGGGTTGCGACGGAGGACCTCGATGATGAGATCGGAGAGTTCTTCCTTCCTATGGTCAATCTCTTTCGAGGTTTGATCTGGGTAATAATTAGCTTGTGTAGGCTATGCCACTTCATTGTACTGGCATGACCATACCATTTGGGTAGTAGATAAAAGATCTATTAACATCGAGAGCAACCTGGTCTTCGTCTTCATGCTTTGGCAGTTCCTTCCAACTCGTTACGTTGCCCTTTGAATCGCCATGATCACCGTCACAACCAAGAAGGATGGGCCCTGTTATAAATCATCAATGTCGAGTTCAGAGAGTACTTTGGAAGCTTTGAACATACATGCTTGACGACGGACATCGTCCGAGACAAGGCCATCTTCCGAAGTTGCTAATTCTCTGATAGCTTCCAAATCTTTCCATTTGCATGCCTCTAAGATTTTTACCTCCTTCTCACTGGGTTCCCGTGGTTCCTTCAGTCTCTTTGAATGTGAGGGGGAGCGGGACGAGGCCCGTGAGGAACCTGGCGAGCGCTTCTCTTCCTTGATGGGCTGCCCATTAGACTCCATATTGAGTATGAAAATTAAGGAGTTGAATTTTCATGGTAGCTTGTTCTGAAATCGGAGAACGATGTCCGACGAGCGGAAAACGTCATCTGTAGTGAGGCTTGTGAGGTATCCCTTCCATTGTTGTCCTGATTGAATGCCTTAGCGCAAAATTAGAGTACTCCGTAGAAGCGACCTTGATGAGTTCCCGTCTTCAGTCAGGGATCCCTTTCCAATCCATGCCAACATAAAATATGATCTATCAATAAACTCATTTTTTTCCCTTTCAATGACAGCGGAAACAGGGTTGGGAAGTATATGTCTTTCCTCGGCGATTACTGTACATCTTCTATAAAGAGAGAAATGTCTTTTTCTGTAGTCTTACATTTTTCATGACATCTCGGGCCGAAAGAGCTCAACCAGCCTTGTCCAAGGCTAAATACAAATACAGAAGTCACGATCCAAGGTCACATATCATCACATATCGCATATTGACTGACTGATACGTGCTGGTGCTGGTGCCGATGCTGATACTGATGCTAATGCTGGTGCTGGCCACGGCATTTCAAAAGATCAAAAGCGGTAATAGATCAATTAATACCTCATATGCCAATTGCAACTTTTAGGCCATTTCAGCTGGGCATGATCGGAATATTGGTATTCTGATGCAACTCCAACCGCCAAATACTGTCACCCCTGTGGAAGTAAAAGTCCTCCAAGGAAATCCCAAAGGTCAATATCATTCATTGATCATCTTAAATCTTATATCTCGAGGTTTAACTTAACGCAATAAAGTTATCGATCATTCTATCTTACTTTTACCTTTTGTTCAATCCCTACCACCAAGTACCTACTTACCTACCTACCATCAAAACTGCATACACGAGGTACGCCACGTCTTCCTTATTCGGATGACAATTAATCTGGCAATCATTTCCAATCTGTCTCCATGGCCTTTTCTTTGCAAACACAAGTGTTGGTTGACGGACAATGGGTCACCAGGACTATCGATACCCATACACTGCTTCAACACCAGAATCGAATGGATGATACGGCAGTTGAAAATACCATGGAAACGATACGTCCTCCGGTCCGTGGTGTCTTAACGCAAACCATTGTCCCAAGTCCGCTGGTACATTGGATCCTCCCCATCAGACTTCGAGGTCAGGAGTATAATGACGTAGCGTTTATTGGCGTAAGTAGTATCATTACTAAAAAGGAGTCTGGTGATGTATATCTTTGTTTTGGGCGACGGCTAACGAGCTTAGGATACATTTGTTGAGATTAGACGACTTGGACTTGGCCCCCATCTCTATGAAGTTATCCGGAAAGACGACTTCGGGTCCAGAATTCGCAATGCAAGCGTCCTTGGATCGCTTGAGGACTATGAAAAGGACCAAATTCGTATCAAAGAGGAGTCCGAAGATGTTGATATGATCAACTCTTCAGCGTCGCCAGACAGTCCGCCATCTCCCAGTGTATCCCTACCGCCTCAAATTCTGGTTTTACAGCTTGAGGAGGATACGTCTGGTGTATGCGTCTTCTTGATGCTACATCAGTCAAATGACGGATCCTGGAAATTCATCTCTAGTAGACGACGGTTATCCAAGGCGATGAATAAGCTTCAACCTGGAACGCATCTGTCTATTGACCCCAGTTCAAGATATATGGCCGTAGGTGGTTCTGAGCAATGTTTTACAATCCAGGCTTTCAATACGAGAACGGAGCTGAATCGCCAATGCGCCAATGGCGAAGAACTCCGATTTATAGAGTCTGAGAAAATCGTCATATGTACAGGTGCTATATTGAAACTGGTTTTCCTCCACCCCCCGGCGGGATCTGATGATGATATTATCCTGCTCTTGATAGCAACCTCGAATGGCAAAATAAGAATGAGACTATATTCATGGAGAGCTGGAGATCCCTTGTCAACCGTTAAAACCCGAAATTCTAGCAAGAAAGGTTATGTATTAGACGATATTCCTCTGCTAGTGATACCGTTGCGCTTTCAAACAGCATTCTTTTTAGTCAATAAGCATTGGATGGCGGTTTACAAAGGAATTTTGGAAGGTGCGCCTGAATGCATAGTAATTGATTCCACTCCGAAGGCCCCTCTCAAGCTTTATCAAGGCTCGGATACACCTTTATGGACGGCCTGGGCTAAGCCAACCCGTTTGCCCTATCACACGGCGCAACATGACGATATCTATCTCGCTAGAGAGGATGGGTGGATCTGTCTATTGGAGATTAGCCTTGAAAACGGAGAGCCTGATTTCACTCCGACCATAACCGACGTTGGAGAGATGCAATGCAATATCGGACAAGCCTTTGCATGTGCAGACTATTCGCTCTGTTCGGATTCTCAACCTCAAGGTGATGTACTTGTCTCTGGTGGTGAAGCTAGCATGGGAGGAACTTATTTAGTGAGTAAATCTCGTTGTGCAGTGCCAGATTTTGTTTCACTGGCAGCGTGTACGGGAATTCGCCGCGCAAGTTAATAACCCTTCGTCATAATAGAATGCAGCACGAGCACAGCCCAATGTTAAAAAAGACACACAAAATTGGTCGCCGGCTATGGATCTTGTGGCGGTAAGTAACAACTCGAAACCTAACCTAGACATCAATACCAGACCGCAGAGTTTTGTTCCCATACCAGATTCGATATTTGTTTGTAGCGGAAAAGGAGAATTGTCTTCCATAACGGAGTTGAGATATGGGATTGAAGCTATTCTTGGCTTGGATCTTGAGTTTCATTCTGCGGTTACAAAAGCATGGATTTTACCTTCAGAGGTATACTCTGGCTTAGTTGGTGGTGATGATTGGATACTGCTCTCGCTCGATGATCGATCAGCCGTCTTACAGGTTTCTCTAGACCGTACAAATGCCGAGGAACTTGACCCAAGTCGCACCCAATTAGATTTGACTAGTCGGACTATTGTTACCGACATCAGTGGAAATCGCGCGATACAAGTAACAGAACAATCTGTTGTTATTCTTGACTCGGGTCGTTGGTACGTCTTTCTTTTCATATGATGGTTTGATCTGATATCATTTTATCGATGTGGTAACTGAACTAACAGTACCCATAGCATCACGCTAGATGGTCTGGATATGATGGGCTTCCCTCAAGCCTCATCTATTTCATCATCATTCATCAACGATGCTGTTATCTGCAATGGAAAGGTATTATTTACAACCTATCAAAAAGAGCAGCGTCTGCTTCGTGCACTTGATGCTGCCTTCGATAACAGCACATCGCCGCCTACGATCTTGTATGCCCCTAAAACAATCAGTAGCTGGACAAGAGATGGCGGAGAAGTAACATGTATTGCAAAGTGTGTAGACCCGCAATATCACCAGGATCTTGTTATTGCTGGAGAAAGAAAGGACGCAGACATTTTCTTGTTATTCATTACGCAAGAAGAATTTCATTTGCGTGTACCTATCGTTTACGAAGGATGTAGCTATGATCTTCGAGCACTGGGCAGTATCATTGTTATACCCTCCCAAACTCCCAATAACTTCACAATCTTGTGTGGAACACTCACTGGTCTAGTTATTTCCTTGGAAATTGTTAAAAGCGGACGGAATTTCCATATTGGCCGGTCGCGCTGTGATAGATTTGGAGGTAGTGTGGCAACCTTAACAAATGGAGATCAAGCTGGAGATTCTAAGTGCTTGTTCGTAAATTGTGACGAAAATATCTTCAAAATATCTCTATATATTTTGAGCACTCACGGAAGAGCTCCGAAAAAAAGGACAACGAGAATGAATATGAAAGCAGATCAAATTTGGCTGGTAGATGAACTGAATACTACCCTACAACAGCCGAACATCAACTTCATACTACCCCTCACGTCTGAATCATCAGCTGATAACGATCTCCTCCTGATATCACACAATCGACTTCTCTTTGCAAGAATGGGGATGAAACGGAAAACAGTTCCTCGCCGCATCCCCATTAGAGGAACTCCATATCGAATTATTCATTCAGATTCCCGCAATGCTTTTGTAGTGGGTGCTTCTATAGATGGCAGAAGCACACTCTACTTTGTAGACCCCAAGAGTGGCGACAATTTATCTGATCCAAGAGACGGCAAGCGTGGCGCGCAAGTAAACTTTGTTGCTGGATTGGGTCGTTTTGATGACAAGATTCTTTGCATTTATGAGTGGTTATATTCTCATGATCCTTACACTTGGAACTTTCTCGTCGTTTGTACCAGTGGAGGTAGGGTTTTGATTATTTCCACCAACAGTGACGATTCCTCCGTCGCATTATCCGGTAGAAGCAAGATATCCTTTTGGACAGTGACCCAGTTTAAGCACTTCACTTCTGTTTATTCAGTTGTTGGAGATTCAGAAGGATTGTACTACTGTGCTCAAAGAGGCAACGAAGTTAAATTGTACTACAGTATGCTGAACAAGGAAGATAAGAAGTTTGACCAATTCCCGGCAGAAGCAAAGCTACTATCGCCAGCAATCTCACTATCTTATGATTCTGGAAAGATATATGCTCTCACCAGACATCATTCCCTCCAGATCTTGGAGGTGATCAAAATTAATGGATTAGTCCATCTTCGTCATACACATACTGATCAGTTTCAACATGAATCTCTGCACCACTTAATAGGTAGACCAAATATATTCGGGGGACTCGATGAAAGTCGCATTAATATGGTGTCGGACAGGTCGAAGTTTGTCGTTGGTTTGTGTGCTAGTTCAGACATGAAAGTTGATACACTAGACACCATATTCGAAGCACAACTACCAGCTTCTGTAGTCCGATTCCGATCTGCGAATTGCCGTCCAGTCTGGGATTCAAGCTGGAAGGTTCATAAAGCTGAGGATTCTGTTGTGGACCCCACCGGCCTTCGCAGTCTTGGTGCTATTCACAATGACGAGATGAACTCAGAGACTTTAGGATTGGGGATTGATGGGTCCTTATACCATTTCACCATACTTGATATTCGAGCATGGCAATTTCTCAAATTTGTAGCCAATCTTGCAAGGAGTTCGGGAATAGTTGGTGGACGCCCGTGGGAGGGATTGACCGAATTAGAACCCAAACAGGATCCGAAACATATGCAAGTGGATGGCGATATTCTAAGGAGACTTATAGAGAACGAAAAACTCGAGGAGTTGTTCAGAATCGGTCAGCATCAAACGGACGAAAATAAGAGGGAATTCAAAAGTTTTTGCATGCTCCTCGAGATGATGCATGAAGGAAAATTGGAGACTAGTGATGACCCATTTGTCTATATAGAGCAGGCTTATGATGATCTGGAGGCCTTTTTGAGGCCAGTGATGTGATGGATGGATAGCTGAATCTTCTTGTGAACTGTGGGACTTTTGAACTGGATTGGGTTGAATCAAAAGCATTGGAAGGGAAAACTATGGAAGCATATCAGGCTTACATGGTGGAAGGAACAGGTCATGATTATGAATAACGTAAATTAACGAGTGTTACATGTCATCCGATTCAGAAAATGCAGAAGACAAGTATCCCTCGTTATAGTATTGTCGACATTTTTAAATAGAGTAATGGGAGCAGAAATGATTAACCGGAGGCAGAGGTAATAATAAGGTTCAAGGGTTCACTTTAAGATGAACTTATTATACTACGACTCCTAAAGTCACAATTCATATCAAAAACCATACATAGAGACTGTAATGCCAAGAATCCGAGAAATATTGTCCAGAGGTGTACAAAGAGAAAAAAGTCATGAGGGAAGTAAGATTATAAAATAGTGAAAGAGACCCGAGAAGGGGGGTAAACTCGTTTAAATCCCTGCCTAGTGTGAATTTTGGACGCAAAAAATCGACCAAACCACCGACGCACATTCAGGATTGAAAATGCCCCGCGCAGACCTCAAAATCTTCAATCTCGCCCAAGACAACATTCACGCCAGAGTGAATCTCGAAAGCTGTTCAATTGTAATCGATTTTGGCACTCTTTCACTAGATTGTCAAACTAACATCTTAACGGAACCACATTTTACGAGAGCTTTTTTCGACTAATTTGGATTGTTCCATTAAATTCTGTACGTAAACAAACCTAGGTTTGCCACGTTTGCAGGTCGAATCTCTACCACACTACTACTTTTTTCGTTCTGAAAACTCACGACAAATCGCAACAACTACCCCGGTTTTCAAAAATGGCGCCAAAGAAGAAGAACAACAAGAAGCAGAATGATGACTGGGAGGCGGAGTTGGGAGAGACCGTTGAGCCTGTCAGTGCAAAGGAACCTGATGCTGAAACCGCCGAGGCCGACCCTGAGGAGGAATTTCCAGCAGGAGGCCTCATGGCTATGATGCGCAAGAAGCAAAAGAAAGGCAAGAAGGGAAAGCAGATAGAAGATTTTGTTGAGGGGGAGGATCCCCCAGCCGCGGAGGAACAACCTCAAGACGATTTCGCAGACAAAGCTCCCGTTGAAGCTTCGATAGACGATGAATTCGCTCTGCCAGAGAAAAAGGGAAAGGGAAAGAATGCGCAGGCTAAGGCTGCGAAGAACGACGAGGCAGGAGATGACGATTTAGGTGCTGATGGAAAAATGCTTACCAAGGCGCAAAAAGAAAAATTGAGGAAAGAGAGAGAGAAGCAGAGGAAGAAGGAACAGGTACGTGGATACCAGGCCTTGAGGTTCTTCGAGGCATTTGCTGATCTTATCATTTGTAGGCGGCTTTGAAAAAGAAGACAGCCCCGGCTGGAAAGGCTGCTGAGGTTGAGAAGCCGGTGGAGGAAGTGAAACAAGTAGAGGATGCACCCGCTCCTGCTGCAGGTGGTAAAGGCAAAAAGCTACCAGCTGCCCTTGCGAAGCTACAGAAACAACAGGAGGAACTCAGAAAGCGGGAAGCAGAAAGAGCTGCTGCGATTGCAGCTGAGAAGGCTCGAATTGAAGAAGAGGAGCGTCGAGAAGCTGAAGAGGAAAAGAGGCGCGAAGAGGCTAGAGCTTTGAAAAAGCAAAAGGAGAAGGAGAAGATTGAACAACAGAAGAGAGAGGGTACTTATCTCACCAAGGCCCAAAGAGAGGAGAAGTTACGAAACGAAATGAAGCTAAAGCAAATGATTGATGCCGGTGTAAAGGTGGGAGGTGGAGAGGGAGGAGAAAAGAAGAAGGTCGTTTACGGCAACAAGAAGAAGGGTGGAAAGAAGAACCCTGCCGAAATCAAGGCTGATGAAGAGAGGGCTCTTGCTGAAGCCGCTGAACGTGCGAAGAAGGAGGCCGAGCGAATTGCGGCGGAAGCGGCAGCTAGAGCAGAAAGGGAGGCTGCTGAAGAAGCCGCCAAGAAAGAAAAAGAGGACAGTGAATTAGAAGACTGGGAGGCGGCTGCAGACGAGGAGGATGTCAAGGAAAGCTGGGATGCGGACTCTGACGAGGAAGGGGAGAAAAAAGCTGTCACTACTTTACCAACCAGGGCGAAGGAGCAAGAAGACTCCGAATCTGAATCCGAATCGGAAGATGATGATTCTTCTGAAGACGAAGAAGCCACAGCAAGAGAACTGGCCGAGCAGAAAAGAAAGGCAGAGGGCGCTGACAGACGTAAAAAAGCACATGAAGCCGCAATGGCAGCCAGATCGGAGGATAACCTGCGCTCTCCTATTTGCTGTATTCTTGGACACGTCGATACTGGTAAAACTAAGCTTTTGGACAAGATTCGACAAACCAACGTGCAGGAAGGAGAAGCTGGAGGTATTACACAACAAATCGGTGCGACTTACTTCCCTGTCGAGGCTATCAGGAAGAAGATTGCAGTAGTAAACAGGGATGACAGCTTTGAACTCAAAGTTCCCGGTCTGTTGGTTATCGATACCCCTGGACACGAATCTTTCTCTAATTTACGTTCCCGTGGATCGTCACTTTGTAATATCGCCATTCTTGTTGTCGACATTATGCACGGTCTTGAGCCCCAGACTTTAGAGTCGATGAAACTCCTTCGAGATAGAAAGACTCCTTTCATTGTTGCTCTCAACAAGATCGATCGTCTATATGGCTGGAAGAAGGTTGATAACAATGGATTCCAAGAAAGTTTGGCACTCCAAAATAAGGGTGTTCAAAACGAGTTCGCGAAGCGTCTGGCCGATACCAAGCTTGCTTTCGCCGAACAATCATTCAACGCCGAAGTTTTTTACGAGAACAAATCTATGGCTAGAAATGTTTCCTTAGTTCCAACATCAGCTCACACTGGTGAAGGTATTCCAGATATGTTGAAGTTGATTCTCCAACTCACCCAAGAGCGTATGGTTGGTTCATTGATGTACCTTTCCGAAGTTCAATGTACAGTCCTCGAAGTCAAGGCCATTGAAGGGTTTGGCATGACTATTGATGTCATTCTATCCAACGGTATTCTCCGAGAAGGTGATCGCATCGTATTATGTGGTGTCGATGGAGCTATTACTACAAATATCCGAGCGCTTTTGACACCAGCCGAGATGAAAGAACTTCGTCTAAAATCTCAATATGTGCACAACAAGGAGGTCAAGGCCGCGCTCGGTGTCAAGATTTCTGCACCAGGTCTCGAAGGTGCTATTGCAGGTTCAAGATTGATGGTCGTTGGTCCTGATGATGATGAGTCAGATATCGAGGCTGAGGTTGAGTCTGATCTTGGTGCCCTCTTTAGCCGAGTTGAGAAGTCTGGTCGTGGTGTCACTGTTCAAGCATCGACTCTTGGATCTTTGGAAGCTCTTCTAGATTTCTTGAAAGTATCCAAGATTCCTGTCGCCAACGTCGGTATTGGTCCAGTCTTCAAGAGAGATGTCATGAATTGTGGTACGATGCTTGAAAAACAAAAGGAATACGCGGTCATGCTCTGTTTTGATGTTAAGATCGACAAGGAGGCCCAACAATACGCTGATGATCAAGGCATCAAGATCTTCACTGCTGACATCATTTACCATCTTTTTGATTCTTTCACGAAACACATGCAGGTTATTGCTGAGGCTAAGAAGGAAGCCGCTAAGCTTTTGGCAGTCTTCCCCTGTGTTCTTACACCTGTAGCTGTCTTTAACAAAACAGGGCCTATTGTCATTGGTGTCGATGTCAAAGAAGGGAATCTTAGATTGCATACACCTATTGCAGCTGTCAAGAAGAATTCAGTCACTGGTGCTAAGGAAATCGTTGGTATTGGTAGAGTGTAAGTTTTCATTTCTCTACGCTCATATTATGATACTAACCCTATAAACCTTTAGTACATCTATCGAACGTGACCATAAGCAAATCGATATCTGCAAGAGAGGACAACCATCTGTCGCCATCAAAGTCGAAATGGGCAGTTCTCAACCGGCATATGGTAGACATTTGGAAGAAGAGGATACATTGTATTCATTGATTAGTAGACAGAGTATTGACACCCTGAAGGAATTCTACAGGAGCGATGTCAGTAAAGATGAGTGGGAACTCCTCAGAAAGTTAAAACCACTTTTTGACATTCCTTGAGACCTGCGTGTATAATATTAGCGTTGTGTTTGGGGAACCTAAAGGATGGAAATGAGGTACAAAAAGAGCTTTGCAAATTTCAATTATACAATATTGCAGTTCCTGTCGGTAGAGCGTGTATGATACATTAGCATCAATACCAGAAGATGTCACGAAAATTAACATTTCACTGATATATTGGGATTTAAGTGAAGAAATAGTATTCCGTGAGCATACAGATAGATGTTTTATATAGAACACTCTGTTTTGAGATGTGATATTAAACCTCCTGCTAGCGACTGGGAGAAAACCCCACGGAGCATCAGAATCGAGTAGGTCCATAATCCGTGACATCCTGCAAATTAGCTTCTTGGTGCTTCCTGAGGGCTAGTTTACAAGACAGGGGTCTCTACGAACCTTATCAAAAACCGCTAGCAAGGTTATTATGCACTAATCCAGTTTGAGAGTATTCATATCCACCGCCTTACGGCAGAATTTAATTTTTGGTCAAGTTTTCAGACTGAGCTCTTCAGAGTTCACATTTTTTGCATCTATCAAGCTTTATTTCGAAATGGGTAGCAAAAGGAAGCGATCAGCTCAAGATGCTGCAGTTGCAGCCCCTGCTGCCAAGAAACAACAAAAAGACTCCAAGTCAACGACCAAGAAGCCCGCGGAAGCTCCTGCTCCTCTCGATACATCCCCGTTTGTCAACAACCCAAAAGGAGACGAATTAAAGCGTGAAGTCAAGCTATATGACATGCTCAGTAGTGAGGATGATTTGCAGAGACTTGATGCCGCCAATGCCATTGTTTCCGGGTTATTGGGCGAAAATGGAGTCGAGGAATCAACACTACAAAGGCACTTGGAAAGAAGATTATTTCGGGGACTTGCAAGTGGAAGAAAGGGTGCGCGATTGGGCTTCAGCATTGTTCTTTCAGAACTCTTGGCGCAGCTCTTTGGTGCTGCGAACTTGAGCGCGACAAAATATCCTGGATTGACCTTCAATAACGTCTTCGAATTTTTAATCCTCAAGACAAAACCAGAGGGTGATCTTAGCGGACAGGAACAGAAGGATCATGCGCTCGGCTTGTTATTCGGACTACAATGTTTTGTTAGGTCCAAAATTCTCTTTTCGATCGACGGGAAGTGGGAACTGGTCTTAGACAAGCTATTGGAGTTATCGAGCAAAAAGTCCTGGACCCGGGAAGAATGCGGTTGGGTGATTATGGAAGCTTTGGAGCAGATGGATCAGGAACAAGCAGAATCAACTTTGAGTAAATTGTGCGATGCTGGATTGGGACTTTCACCAGAAGGTGTCGGTATCTGGCTTAGAGCAAGGGATAAGTTCCCAAAAATGAAGTTTCCAAGCAAGCCTTGGGGCCAAAGTGGTAACCCATTGGAGCATCTTAATTCCCTCGCCAAAGCCCTCAAAGAAAGCTCATCCAGTGAGGAAACTTCAAGTAAAGGACAACAGGCCAAGCAGACTGGGACTTGGAATCCAAAATTACATTTTGTCTGGGATATTGTCTTGAGTCAATATGTCAAGGCAGCTAATAGCAAGGCGAAGAACATCATGTCTGAATTTGACAAATTCTGGAAAGTCACTGTTGATGGTAGGTAATTTTATTCTATGGGTTTGACTATTACTAACACTCCACCAGAAAATTTGTTTTCTGCATCTGCATCAAGGGAGCGTAAATTTTGGGGCTTTCTAGTCTTCCAAAAGATGATTCAAAGCCATATTTCGTGTACAAAACTTATCACTAGTATTTTCAGCCACAACCTCGTCCGTTGTCTCATCAATCATGTTCAAGAGAAAGATCGTTTCCTCAACAGAGCCGCAGACAAATCGCTAAAGGTTCTAACAAACGCAGTCGAAGAGAACCCTGAAGCGTTAGTTGTTGTTCTTCAAGGATTGATTGATGGCAATGGCGCATACAGCTTTGACCGAGTCACCAAGACAAAGACGGTAGAAAAGCTTCTGAGCCTGGTTGATGACGCAAATGGCGAAGCTGTCCTCGATGTCCTCACCTCACCAGTTTTAGTTGTTTCAAGCTCAGAAACCAATGACGCTGAGAAACGTCGACAAATGTTCGGTGACTACGTTTTAACTGCGATCCGCCATGTTGATGTCGCAGAAGCATCAGAAAAATCAAGTTGGATCAAAACTGCTGCGTTACCTCAACTTGCATCATTGGCATATTCGAACAACTCAGAAGCCAAACCTCCAATCTCTGAAGGCACTCGAACATTAATCAGGAACCGCTTGACCTCTGCTTTTACTCACTTATTATCTAACATGAATGGCTATCATTACCCTTGCGATTTGGTCATTTCCTGTCAACCTGATGCAGTTGCTATGGACGGACTCATCACCAATGCCAAAGACGCTGCGTTCGCTACATTACAGAAGCTCATGAAGAAAGCAAAGAAAGAAGGAGGAAAGGACAAGGCAACATTCCAAGCCTTGTCATTGTTATACGCTTTGGTCATCTTCCAATTGTATAATGGCGACGTTGAAGCTGTGTCCATTCTAGATGAATTGAAATTATGTTACGACAACTTAGTACGACACAAATCGACAGAGGATTCGGAAGTTGAGCCTTTCGAGGTTCTTGTGGAGCTCTTATTATCTTTTCTTTCCAGGCCGTCTGCACTCCTTAGAAAGGTCACACAACATGTATTCACTGCATTCATGAGTGAGATGACTGAGGGTGGACTAAAGCTCATGACAGACGTTCTTGAAACTAGCGAAAATATAAGAGGACAGCAGGAAATGTTTGATGAGAACCCAGATGATGAAGACGCGATGGATGTCGACGAAGAAGATGATGAAATGGATTCGGATGTTGAAGTTGTTGACATGAATGGCGATGAGGGCCATTTAAACGCACACCTCGCGGAGGAAGAGGAGGACAGCGACGTAGAAGACGATGAGGAGGAATCTGAAGACGGAGAGGATGAAGGAGATGACGAGGCCAACAAAGAGCTCAATGATGCATTAGCAAAGATTCTTGGCACCTCCGCGTTAGATCAAAATAATGAAAATGAGGATGACGGCAGCGACTCTGATATGACTGATTCGGGGATGGATGCTTTAACTCCAAAACTCGAGGAGGTTCTTGGACGGATGCAAAAGAAAGGACCAAGTAAAAAACAAGAACAGAAGGATGCCAAAGAAAATATGGTCAACTTCAAAAGCAGAGTTTTGGACCTTCTTGACATTTATGCCAAGAAACAAGCATCTAATCCTCTGGCTGCGGAAATTTTACTACCTTTATTGCGCTTGATTCGTACTACTAAGGCCAAACATTTAAGTGATAAGGCATTTTCAATAATTCAATCCTTCGCAAAATCCAGATCAAAGGCATCATCTTCGGATTCTGAGGCAGAAATTAACGTCAAGGCACATATTACGTTGATCAAGGGTATCCACGAGGAAGTACTCAAGGACCAATCTAAAATCTTTGCCAAAGCTGCCAGTACAGCTAGTTTATCTTTGGCGTCTGGCATATACAGAGCGGACAAGAGCCAATTCGAGAAGATTGGAAAGGTGTACCTGCACACGATGACTAAGTGTGATGTTGAAGGAGTCAAAATCCAGGCGAGTTTCGTTGCTGATTGGGTTAATTGGTGGCAGAGTCATATTGCTCATTCTGCCGCTGGTGCGACTGGTGCGGCTAAAGATGAGTAAGGGGCCACAGATAGACTATGGGATCTAATGTATTTGTAAAAGATACCATTGAATTAAAAGTTTAAGCGATCATACTGAGATAAAGGGGATACCTTTTAGGGCTTTCCGCTGAATGTAGTCTTATGTGATCTTTGCTATTTATCAGCGGCGCTTGGTAGGTATTAAATTTCTTTGATGCAGTGAAGTCAGAAACTAGTTAGTGTAGAGGGGAAGTTCTCATCACAAACTACCGCATGTATGTTGTCAAATACCAAACTATCGCGCTTATACGCGAGGCAATAGAACCGGAAATACATCTATCTGGTCTTTGATTTCACACGGTCTTAGTTTGACGATAGGATATAATCTTACCTTCTACTGGGTTGCTCAGATGGGCAGACAACCCTACTCATCGTAATTAAAGTCATACACGAGATGATTAAGTAGATGTACGAATAGATGGACAATCGTGAACAATATTTCAACGATATTATGTTTACCATTACGACTATTAGTACTACACTGGTTCTGTTTTATTCTGGCGAAGCTCGCAATCTGCAGGCTCAGCATACAATAAGAAGGTACACAGACTACTAATATGGATATCATTTTTAGGGTTATCATTTTTCAAAAACGTATTGATTGCGTATTTCTCTTCGAATATGCGCTAAGGTTTTAGGGGGTGGATTTGAGGCGAGGGTGATATTGTAGGTGCTGTGATTTTGGGTTGGTGTCTTACCACGATGATTTTACTATTAGATTCAGATGCTCGTCTCATACAGGGGTTATGGAAGTAGCAGATGCCAACGGATCTCAGTCCCATGTTACACTGAGGAACTGCAAATGGTGTAGGGTCATTGAAGTGCTACTTTGAAGGCGACATGTGATATATGGGGACTTCATGGTCTTGGTCCTGGTTTCGGTCTAAGTCCGGTCTTAATCATTCGGTCCCTCTCGATATGGTAATTGTAAGATTACATAGTAATCTTACGATGAGCAAAGTTGGGTTTTCGAACGACGAGCAGCGCTGCTATGTATCCAAATTCTTGGGGAGTTGCGAAGTACGTAGTGATAGCGTATTGTATTTCTGCAATCTAAACCCCACGAGGTTTAATTGGTGGTTTGCACTTACATGAAGGGTATATTTTCGACTCATGTCGAGTTGAGTTCGGTTGGGCAGGAATCAATCTGAGGTTGCATACTTCAGATGAAATAATCATTCAGTAATCTTCTATTTTCGACTTCTTAACAACTTTCCTATATTAAGAGATATATCTAGCTAAGCTAAGCTAAGAACTTATCATTGTATCTGCTTACAAGAGAAAGATATGATGATACAGTGAGACAGTAACAACAAATCCAAACAAACCTGATGTTTCAAATCCTCATCCCTCAACGTTTCATGATCAACCAACTAACAGTATCCATGCGCAAACCAAGCTCCCAAACATCATTCGTGACAGCACTTATATGCAAATACCAGAAAGATGACTTCACTTACAATCACAGGCTTTGTTTTCTTTAAATAATAGTCATAAAAATGGGATCGCTTCATCGGGTATATCTCTCTCCACAAGAGTGGCGGATCTCGTCCCCGAAGAATCATGCATCTAACAAACTAATCCTCACTATTCACCCACCAAACAACAAAATTCAAAGGAATTTCCTCACTCTTCCTTCTTACTACCCCTTTAACTTACATCTCATAATCAAACTTTGATCTACGCTAAGAACTCTTCCCTAATTTCGGAAGGCCGGTCCTTCATCCCCCCATTCGTTCCACAGTGATGGCATTCCGAACCATAACCTTTCTTCAATTCTTTCTATACATATCATCCATACATTCTTTTCCATTTTCCTTTCTAAACCTCAAACATATCAACACGAGAGATCTATCCGCTGTAGCAAATGAATTGGGTACATTAGGAAGTGATCTCACCGATCCCAGCACGCTGAAAACTTTCCTTGGTAATAAGGGCAATGTGATTACGCAGAATGATGTATTAGACAGTAATGGAAGTTGTGCCACGATGACAGTTTTATTCGCTCGAGGAACGGGAGAAGTCGGTATGTAGCGATCCCAGCCTCACAGCGGGAGAAGGGGAAGTATATACTGTAGAAAGAGCGAAGCTAATAAATAAACGACTAGGAAATGTGGGAGTATTGACCGGCCCTCCATTTTTCACAGCTCTAGCTGCGTATATGAATCAAACAGGAAGCATGGCAATCCAAGGCGTCGACTACGCAGCCACCGTCTCCGGGTTTCTAGCAGGTGGTGATCCCGCCGGTGCTAAAACAATGTGTGTATCCATTCCTCCCAAACTCAATTAATCACTAACTGGACCAACTTCCAGGGCTAGCCTTATAAATAATACTCTCACCACTTGTCCCAACACCCATCTTACCGTATCCGGCTACTCTCAAGGCGCACAACTTGTTCATCTTGCCATGAGTTCGCTTTCCGGCACTATTGCCTCGCGCATCAAATCTGTCGTCATGTTCGGAGATCCGATGAATGGTACAGCGCTTAATGGTGTTGATGCTAGTAGAGTAATGACTTTTTGTAATCCTAAAGATGATATCTGTAAAGGGAGGGATGTGATACTCCCAGCTCATCTGGAATATAGTGCGTATGCGGGAACTGCCGCTATGTTTGCGCTGAGTGGGTTGGCGGATGTAGGGATTACGAGTGCAAGGAAGGTTAGCGGAGTTGGCGGGATTATGTCTTGAGTATTTCATGCCTGCCTATGGGAGAAAAGTGAAGATATGCAAAATGAAAAGATTATCTTTGGGTAAATGATGTTTAAGACTTTAAACTAACAAAGTTGAGTTTATTTCTGCGTGAGTCCCATCACAGGCTTTCTATTTATGTATTGTACATGAAAAATACAACTGTAGAGATGGTATCTACCGTCACTCCCCCAAAACCTCCCATTCTAAAGGATCCCCTGTTCTAACCATTGTCTTGATAGCTGTCAGTGTCCTTGAACAATCATGCTCCAGGTCGTTGAGTAGAAGTCGATTAGCCCTTGATTCGGCAGCCATAGCTTGTATACTGAGGAAACCTTTTGTGAGATGCAAAAGAGTGCGGTATTCTGGACGCAAAGACGTCAACAGCTTGCCCTTCCTTCTGATTTCTAGTGGTAGTCTGTTTTTCTCACTAGTTTGAGCTCTTAACTTAGCCCACCCCTTCCAATTTCCCATAAGAACGGATTCGCATGTCTTGAATGCTAGCTTGAAATGGCGAGCCCTGGCGAGATGTTGAATGTATTCATTCCAATTTTGATGACTCAATTGAAATCCAAGATTCGTGATCTCGTTGACAGTTCGTATCATAATGTTGATTTTCCCCTGCCTCAGGAGCGCTATCATGTAGAAGTGTAATGCCTTTGTCAAAGCAAATCTATGTGCAGCCATGATCTGTTCTTTGTTCTCCTGCATGTCTAATTTTGTATCTTTTGAACCACCCTCTTTACCCTCTTCAGTCTCTTCACCCTCTTGACCCTGTTCACCTTCTTCGCCCTCTTTACCTTCTTTACCCTCTTTAGAAGAATGATCAATACCATCTCCAGCCATTTCTGCCTCTTCAGCATCATCTATACGAGATAGCGAGCCTGGAAGCTGGAGAGGTTGGTGTCGCTTTCGAGTATCAGACAAGAACTGCATCCACAGATCCTCCACGGCGCCATAATTTAGTTCTTGAAGTTTTAGTGACATTAAAGCAGTGGTAACACTCTCGGGTTGTGTGCCTCTTCTGTCTTCTGGGAGCATTCTCAGGAAGCGTTGATGCATATCCTTGGCGGAATTTATTTCCATGTTTTTAGAAAGAACAAATATAATGTATCCAAAACAAGTAGCGGGATAAGCAATATCGAGTGGCTCGTGCCGAATACCTTTCCTGACTTTATCGCTAAGATCGCGAGGATTCATTGTTTTGACGACTTGTTCGAAAATCTCCATGGCACCTTGTGCATCTCCCCACCTACGCCTAGCTTCGTGAATTGCACTTCTCAACTCCAAGAATTTTGTGCTTGCAGTCTTCATCCTTTTCTGTTCAAGCATTCGATTCTGAACTCGGAAAACGTCGTCGTAACGGTGGGTAGCAAGGAAACCACCCATGACGATTGCATAATGAAGACTAGTGGTGGGTATGTCAGCTTCCGGCATAACCTCCACTAAAATCTCCCAGGCACGTTCTGGTTGGCCGACCATAGACAGCGCTTGCATAAGGGCGGCATATGTATCGCCGTTATGTTCTATGTTAAGCTGAGACATCCTTTGAAGGATTCGATTGACGTTGACGAGGTCAAATCGCAATGCCCAAGCAACAAGCAGGGAATTCCACATGCGAGTTTGTGAATCCTTAAAATCCAAATTCACGGCCTCTTCGCAGATAGTTTCCGCTTCTTCCAATCGATCGCATGCTAAATAGGCGGTGACTAGTGTGCTAACCATAGCAGCGCTCTTTTCAACACCATAAGAAGCAGACATCCGATACAGTTCGATAGTGTTCTCAAGATCACCACGTGAGGCACACATGCCCATCAAAGTTCCAAAAGTGTAGTCATCAGGCCGAAGATTTCGTTTGTTGACAGTATATTCAAAGGTTTCAAAAGCATTATCATATTTGCCAACCTGAGCATAAGCACTAATGAGAATGTTGCAACATGTTATGGTCGGTTTAAGGCGATATTTTTGTCGAATACTTTTGAATATTTCGAGTACTCGTTCAGACTCTCCCCGCCTTACGTGAACATGTAGGAGTGGGGCCATATCGTCAGCCGATGCCAAAGGATTAGGGGCCGTTTGCGACTGACTTTCTAATCGCATATATCGCTCTGCAAACTGTTCAAACATTGCATGGACGGTGTCGGCATCTCCGTGGCGTGCGAATTCGTCCATGCATCTCCTGTATGAATTCCGGTCCAGGTTCTGATTGAAGCGGAATATATCCGTGAATACTTCTTGAATTCCGATCAAATCGTGATTCTTGAAAAATATTTGTAGTACGGAGTGCAACATGGACCTTGGAAGCATGAGGTTTTTTTTTGAACTTTCTCGAGCTTGCCTGTAAAGCACGACTGCTGCTTTCGATTGACCGAGAGTGATCAACATTTGAGTCGCGTGGGTATAAAGAGAGACAGACTCAGATCCCCAGTTCTGAATATGTTTTACAAGAGGCCAAAACGTGGCATATGAAAAGTGTTTAGCACTCAGTAGAGCTGATGAGATCACCTCCGTACCAAATTTCGTGAGAGCTAAGGATGGTATGGAGTCACCCTGTGAGGAGGCGCGAACCGACTTATTGATAAACTGTGCCAAGAGTAAAGCCTTGCTTGGAAGATCTTCTAGATAATGTAAACTTTTGAATAAATCATAGCGCGGCCCAGCAAGATTATCATGCAACTGCACTTCTGTCCAAAGATCGAAAGCTTGTGGCCATAAACTGTTTGTCATGAGGTGTAGCATGATATCTGACCCTCCAGCCGTTGTGTTGAACTTTTCGAGTGAGTATTGGTAGAGTTCATTCGCTCTTGAGAAATTCTGCAGTCTCAAATAGGTGCGAATCACGATCTCGTATATTTCAGGTTTCTCTCGACGATCATCGCATCGCTCAAATAATGAAGTCGCCCTTTCTGCATCTACTATTCGATTTGAAGCTGCCATGTATTCCAAGACCTGGATTCGAATTCGTTCCTCGGCCCAGCTGCCGAATTCTAAACGCCGATATTTTCGCCACACCTCTTCGTATCGTGAAGATGTTGTTATTCCTAGAACTGTTGCGATGGTTGCTGCGTCATCGGGTACCTCAGGTATCATAGACCGTTTCTTGATTTCAACGGTCTCTTTCTTTTCTACATCTACTGGAACCAAGGCTAATGATGTGCTTTTAGCAGATGACGTGTAAAGCCGATAGCCAGAACTACGTAATCCCAATCTTCTTCTTTTCCCTTCTTTTCTATCAATCCCCAAGCCTGAATATTGTCGTAGAAATTTGAGTGTACCAGCTGGATAGAGGAAGTCCAAGGAGACACCAGGATTTTCGCTCAAAGTCCCGTCTTTGGGTGACCTTAGGTTCGGGTTCTCGAAAAAATCGGTCCCCTGCAACATGAGCTGCCATAATGGAGAAAGCTCAGGTTCAATTGGACCATGACTCCAAAAACCTGAATGAAGCGTGCGTCGACTTTTGACTAAATGCTTTGATCCTGGTAGAAGGCGCCGTAGACTGCCTGTTTCAAGACATCCTGCCGTGCGCTCAAGCATGCCCTATCGAAAAGACAGAAAAGTGTGTACGAATGTGAAGGAGAAATCTCTAATCGTCACCGGTGTGCGGCTCTAAAGTGAAAACTCAAATCTAACTCAATATTAGACGAGACGATTCTGGAGACTAACAAGATCATTTTGAGCTCTACACTCACCGTAGAACATGCTTTGCACAGTCAAAGTTAGACTGACGTTAAGGTCATATGAAAAGACAGTGAAAAATCTAGCAAATTGTAGTAGGTTAAGCTGGAATTCGGATTCGCTGAAGGTAAAAGAGGCAAAAAAAACCTTCATACAACAGCATAGACAAATAAATTTGGCTGTTGTCGGAACATAGTTTTATTTTGCTCCGAATGCTTAAGTAAGCTATTCATTTTCACGTGGGGCAAATGTGGCTTGAGCACCATCATCAGCCACCCCACACCTGCGCTGATTATTCTGCCACAAGCCACAAGGCGGCCAGACAATATTTCCATATTTGTTAGCCTCACTCAAGCTACCTTGTACTTACCAAATCCCCTCGACCACCCCACAATCGTAGTCATATTCCTCGAACAATGGATGTCACCAAATTTGTCGTGGAGGGACGAGATGAAGCGAAACTGTACGGCGACTCCTCCGCTTATCGAGGTCGACTTTCAAATAGAATTCATAATTTAAGAAAGAAGCTTGGAATTGCGACGAAGCCCCGCGCAAAGTACTCCAACAGGCCAGTGACAGCAGAAGATATTGGTCAAAACCATGAGTAAATCCGCTTTCCATGACCCGCGAATTATACTAAGGGAAACTATAGATATGTTCATCTCCTATTGCTCACTTCTGAACGAGCTTGGGCGCATGCTATGTCTATGAAGGAGGTACACTCTGCCGATACAAAAGGAATAGCTGGCTCAGCTCGATCGCATATTATTTCTCGATTACATAAATCTACAATATATGCCAATAATCTCTTTCAACTTCTGTCTAATAAATCAACTACAAATGCGAACGATGTTGACATATTGGAAGCTCGCGCATATGCTGCTTCTCTTGCCGGTGCAATGGAATTCGAGAAACAAAGTTGGGAGGCTTGTGTGAAGAGTTATTCAGAGGCTAGAATCATATATACTGCACTCTCTAAGGTCACCAAAACAGACATCTTCAAGGATCTATTGGGTGACCCCGTTGATCCGAGCATAAGATATGGAGCCTATAAGATGGGAATGCCACGGACATTAGCTATTTCCGTTATTGCACGAAAGAATTTCCCCTCGGATCCTAATTTGGCGTCACAAGTGGAAGAATTGGACCCAAACTGTTTGAAAGACGAAACAACAACGACCAAGTTTGATCATGTGGAATCTGGTGATACACCAAAAACAATAACGTGGCGATCTCGAACAGTCGAGCTGGAAGATGCAGCAATTGCTACTGCGCTGGGATCGGTGAAATCAGCTTCAGATAAACTATCTGAAGTTCTTTCCTCTGACACTATGAAGAGTCCTAAGGATAGAGGTTCCGCGTATGATGACATTCTTATTGCTAGTCAAGACGTAGTCGATGCCACAAAGCATGCAATTGACGAGCTAGTATCTGAGGGTGTCGGACAGAGCGACAAGCGAATGCAAAGTCTTTTAGTCACTAGGACTGCTGTTAGCTACGATATGATCGGCTGGCGTATAGGCAGGAATAGAGTCATGGTAGGACAACAAGATGGCATTCTTGACTATGTCCAATCTTTGCCTTCAAAGAAAGGCAGCAAGAAATCAAGCAAAGATGAATCTACGGGACGTAAACTTGCAAAGTTACGGGAGAAAGTTGTTCTCTATGATGCGATACTGCAAAGTGTCGAGTCAATCAAAGAGCTTCCTGGTGTCGCAGCCGATTCCACTCTACAGGAAGAGCTAGATGCAAAATATAGCTATTTTCAAGCACTTAAGTAAGTAAAAGTAACAGCTTTGGCATATCATATGAATTTCAACTGACCGTTGAAATAGGTGTTTGACAATAGCTCGCTCCCATGCAATTCTTTCAAATCCTAAAAGTGCACTAGCTCTCCTAAATCGTGCAACAGAAAAGTGCACATCCGCCAACTCACAACTCTCTTCATCGATGGACACAATGATTATTGCCACCCCACCAAACTTGGTTGTCACCCCCTCCGAATCTCTGAACCTTCTCACTTACCTACAATCCGAACTTCAACGCTACCGCGCTTTGGTTGAAATTTTCAACCTCACCTCCACCTTCTCAAAACCTGGCAATGAGAACACTCATCAAAAGCCTCTTGTTGAATGTTTAAACGAGTACCCAACTAATGGGGTTGTTGATCTCAAAAACCTCGTTACATTTCCTCCGAAAATGGAGGTTGTACCCGTCAAACCGTTGTTCTTCGACGCAGCGTGGAATTACATTGACTATCCGGGAAGAACAGTAGGGAAAGCCATAGAGAGAACTGATGTGGAGGAGGAAGCAACGGAGACAGAATTACAACCGCCACAGCAACAACAGCAGAAGAAAGGTTGGTTTGGTTTCGGTAGATAAAAATAGGATACAGAAGACAATTGCTGCATTATATAGAGCTTCTACAGTACTAAGCTAGATGATTACAAGTGCTACAATAATATGAATTCTTCGAGGACTGAACTCCTTTTGGATTTCCTTAACCCATCTCATTTTTTCATACTTGTGATTATGAACGTGAACTTAATATCTATCATTTTGTTGTGATACATTAAACCGAGTTTATATGCACCTAAGATCTTACAAAACAGATTCGTCTTAAAAACTTTAAATGTAAGATTACAATGTTCAACCGAAACTGAGTTCGCATTTTGACATTAATAGATCGGATATTATCAATGCAAATGAAGGACTTTGCTCAAGCTTAAAAATCTAGATTTTGATCATCTAACACGATAGCCAAATACTCCCTATCCCGAGAGGAAATACCATATTCTCCAATCAATGCGCATGTATCATATATATATATACATATAAAATTAAAATGATCCAATAGCACCGCACTTAAAAGAACAATAAATCTTGATCCTTCCACCCCAGATCAGACAATATAACATGAACACTCTTCTCCAAAGCCTCAGGTCCACAGATCAAAACCAGCTGTTCCCCATCCGCATACCCAGTCCCTTGACCACCAGTCTCAAATCTCCCTACTTCCTTCTCAAAAATATCTCTTCCCAATCTACCCCTTAATCCCATCCATTCCTCCGTAGGCTGACTCAAAGCGTAAACTAATCTACAGTTCTCCTCCCTTCCCTTCACCAAACTATCTAATTCCTCTTTGCAGAGAATATCCGCCTCCTTTCTATTCCCATCCAACACCACGCATTTCGGTGCATCTACTATATCCCTTTCGGTTAAAATAGCCTTCAACACGGAAAAAATAGGCGTCACGCCACTTCCCCCGCAAATCATCACGAATCTCCGGACTCTCCTCCTCTTTCCCCCAATAACACATTTCCCCTTTGACAAATACTCGAATTTACCAATTGGGCCTTTGAAATCTATTGAGTGACCTATAGGAAGACCCTCCAATGCCATTGTCATTTTTCCGCCGGGACCTCTGTCATTTTTCGCATAAATCTTGATTAGGATATCTAAAATCCCTTTATCGGTGCCGAGAGAAAGAGGTGTGTAAGATCTTATAATCGCTTCCCTTGTAACTGCATCGCATAAGCGCATCATCAAATGTTGACCAATTGGTAATCCGATTATTTGCTCCGCATGATCAAGGGCAAAAGAAAATATTCGTGTATCGCTTGAGATGGCTTTCTTGGAAGTGAGAATAGCTTTTTGCCAGCTTTTTGGTTGCAGGAACACGGGGCGTAGAGAATTGGGTTCGGTGGAGAGGGGCTCGGGGTTCAGGAGGGAGATGCGGGCTGAGGGGGAGAGAGTACCGATGTGGTAGGTGGGCATCATTGCTTTTGCTGTTTCGGAATGAATGGCCATAAATTCGTCGGTGGAATCTTGACCCGCTGCTCCGGTAATACTTGTTGCACCTCCAGGATGGCCTCCCAGAAATGGGGTTCCGTCGTAGACTTCGCCGTTCAGCACAAACCAAGGTTCCTTTTCGTTGTTATGTTGGCGTAATTCGTCGATTGAGATTTCGCGATTCATGCAATCTTTTGTCATTTTAATATCTACCTTTCTATCGGTCGAAGCGACGGATGCGTCTTCGCTGCCCATTTTCTCACCCCAGAATCCATTGGCAAGGTCTCCTCCAGAAGCCTTTACTCGCTCCATCCATCCTCCTAGCATAAGTGCTGGTTGTGTGGGATGTTCAAAGAGCAGATAATCGTGTTCTTTGGTGATAGTTATTCGATACCATGGATTGTTCATCATACCAAGGACACTCCAATACATATCTCTTGGTTGAACATTCATACTCTCGTCCATGGCTCTTACCATGACATCGCTCGATATTGCGAGATCTTCGATTCTCAAATCAACTTCCCAGAAACACCATGTAAAACATGTTTCCCTCCATTCCATGTCTAGTCTACCGCCAAATAATGTTTCGTTCTCGTGGACGCGGTCGCGATAATCGTCTTCATGGTATCGTATATCGGCCAATGCCCAGGATTTTCCTTTGTCGAGTGTTACCTCGACTCTTGTAATGCGTCGTCCACCACCGCCATATGCATAACCCTTTGCACGATATGTTTGTCGTCCACTCACCAACGATAGCCGCTCTTCATGTTCCGGGTATGCAGTAGCACTGTTTGTACTCAGATCATAAATAGCGTATCTCTCATCCGTCCACCATTTAGGTTCGTTGGCACTTTGCTCTGGGCTGATCATAGTTGGGAGAACTCGGTTATCGTAGATGTGATACCAATTGTCACTAGGGGTAGCTGTGACAATGATCTTTTTCAACCATTTCACACTGCGACCGCCAATCTGACCGGGAACAACTGCTCGTAAAGGTTTGCCATGATCGGGACGAAGCATTTCTCCGTTCATTTTGTGGGCTACCATGATTCCTCTGTTTGGGTCCAAAACCCAGTTCAGTTTTAGGGAGGTTCCATAATAGCCATTGGGAAGCTTGTCTGCCCCTTCCATGCATACATATTTTGCTCCTCTCATTGGGATAGCCTTTCTGATCAATTCATACATTGGCACACCTGTCCATAGTGCCGTTGATACACCTGCAGCTCCCCAAGAGAATCCTTTTGAGTTTCGAACTTGGTTTTGTTCTTTACGACGATTTCCGGCGCAGACAAGTGTAATAGGTACGGTAATTTGTTCATAATTTCTGATGAGGTCCTTTAGTGTAAGAGTAAATGGGGTTTTGACCAATCCCTCCACTGAAAACTCCCAGTCGGGTATCGCTAAGTCATCAACATGAGGTACAGCTCCATGATTCCTGACGTAGAACAATTCGGGAGATGTGAGAAATCCTTCGTCATATAAAGCGCTCAACGGAGGTTCGACATTGAACGGGTGAATTCCAGTCAACCGAATAAGTCGGGGGTCTCGGGGTACTAGGTTATCTGGGGTTCTCAAATCCTCCTTGAGAATTTCTGTTGGAGGATTTGTTGGAGGCGGAAGCGTATATCTTTGCTGTGATAATGAGATTGAACTGGCTCGGCTTGATAAACAGCTGAACTCATCTGCACTATTTTCATTAGAGTCCGGTGGAGTTGGTGGCAATTGAGGGTTTGTTTCCAACAACTCTGTACTAGGCTTGAGCGAGAGCTCATCTATATAATTCGCACTGGCCATTATGATTCTCCAGTGAAGGTACCAAACGGTCAAAGAGAAGGTAGAACAGTCGTCGAAGGTCCGCTGTTAAAGAATCTGTAGAACAGGACGATACTGGTTCCATGAAAACCACGAACGCTCAGATGAACCGAGGAAAATGATATTCAAGGTTGGATCCAATTTCGGTGACTACACAGAGTTCTCCGTGGAAATGAAAAAGGAAGTTTGATTACGCAAGGGAATGATAAAAGGTAAGAACGAGATCAATACTTATGATGAGGAGCAATGTATGGAGAACTGTTGGCAGTGAATCAACTATTCCTTTTTTTTCAATCATTAAGGGTTCAACGCAGAAAGCCCACCAGAGAATCTCCAGACAAATCCTTCAAGTTCGCAGATAGTATCATCATCTATCGTCGAATGATTGCTTTCTCTGGAGCACGATATGGTGAACGGTGCATCTCCTGAAGTGAAAGTAGCATTGTTGATGATTTCCGCGGATATATTTTGATTTTCATGCAGAACTGATAAGGCTTCCTCTTCTTTACATACCTATCTATCTGTAGCCATGGGCTTAATAAATAAGATACTTTTGGTGGCTCCACGCGGACCATATACCAAACTTTGCTCTTATCTATACCATGATCGAATATGATTGGCCCACTAGATACGGGCACTAACCGTTACTAAGGGCCACAAAATCAAAGTATTTCCGATTTCTAAGTAACCATTGATATTCTTACCAAGTGTATGTATATATCAAATCGGTGATAAGGAGATCTTTCATGTGGCAGAACCAATTGACTGTAAAGCTTATTAGTTTAGCGATAGCACCGTTATCAATATCGAAACTCGAGGCGCCTTTGGAATTTTCCACACAATAATGAATAAATTGTGAAAGATAAGAAGATAGATAGGCGGGATCATTTACCGGACACTAGACTTCAGTCCAGCACGGTACTAGTAGTTCCCACGATGCATGCTTCCGTAGATGTGACACCCATATCACCATATCAAAAGGCAATGACCAACACTCCGTCATCTTGAACCTGATATCAAAAACCACAATGCAGTCTACCTTCCGCGGTAGCATGCTCATGATCTGCTCAATCTCATCCCGGATTCAAACACTTTCGAGGTCGATAACATTAAACCAGCATAGCATCAAAATCCGCTGTGGATAGAAAGAAGTTCAACAAAGTCGTTCGCAACTCTATGAGTAGTGGTAGCCCACTTTGAATTTGGTCAAAACTTCATAACTGCAAGGCTGGCTTACATACACATCATTGTGTCTCGTGACATGCATGTTCTCCGGATAACACCTTCTCAATGGCCATAACGATATATACGCAAATGTCCCATTTCCGCACCGCATCAAGACTCGGATGAAATCTGGTGAAGGGGTTATGGAAGCGAGGGTATCCAATAGTCAAAAGCCGTCTGTCTGAGCTGGATTCTTGAGCCTGTTTCGGCTTGCAGATCCAGCCATTGAATCGCTGTTGTACCTGCTGTAGTGGTGGTTGAGCTTCAGCTCCAGTAATCGAGAAATTGGCAGAAAGTAGCTCTGGTATTCTAATGCTTCTTTAATTTGAACTCCGTAAATCACTGACCTTTATAGGCTTAGCTACCATGGAGCGAGAGTTTCTAGTAGGTAGGTTGTGAGGTATTCCTTCCATCTCAGTGCTCAACGTGCCAGAAGCACATCATAGTTAGCTCATCATAGCTCGTAAAATAAAGTTTCTAAATTGTTGATGATGGGATGAGAGGAAGTGCTCTTTCTGAGCCTCTGGTAACAGTTAGGTGATGGTATGTAATACCTTTTAATTCATGGAGCTCAGAGATCCAACTTTAAGTTATTCATCAATCCACTGTAGCAAAGCCCAAGATTTACTAGATGACAATTCTTCCGCATGGAGATCCGATGTTTCCTTCCATCAGATATAACATCATTAAGTAGTCAACATGGCTCCGTCTCCTTTCCTGTAGATTGTGACTTATTAGAACCTCAATTTGGTATTGTCAAAGGCTCGGTATCAAACAAAAAGGCGTGAGAATGATTCCAGTTCTTGAATCGGGCAATAGCTGTTGCATGTATGTTGTCCTGCTTTCTTTCTCATACAAGATGGCAAGATTGTCCCCATGAATGAACACAGCCGTTTGTTGGAACATTGGGGAGAGCACCATGGGGAATACTGAAAACGAGAAAACTCTGATGAATCCAAATATTAAATGTAGGTTCAGCAGCATCAAATCGTTTGCTGCATATGATTGCAGCTATTTTTATGCAGGACAAGCCGGCTATACCTACCCTGAGGTATCCTCATTACCTCACTGGCTTTACAATATGCAGGTATCAGCCAAAAGAAAATACAAGAAAATGTCTTGTCCCAAAGGGGACAAGGTAAGTTTACCATGATGGAATATATTTCAATTTCATCAACTATCTAGACATTGAGATCGTTGAGAAGTTAAGAAGCTGATATACAGATGGATTATTACAATGTTTATACATATATATTTCTAGATTCAAATCTTTATATGCTGGTAGCTAGTAGTCCTTCAACCAGCACTAGTAGATATCATATCTGCACGGACCATGACATCAATGCAATACGGTAGCTTTTAATGTTTCTTAATGTTTTCAAATTCCCAAATTCCACATATTTAGGAAACTTTCTCAAAGCAACTTCCACTCAACTTCCCAATTCTTCTAACCTACCAAAAGGATATCTGACAACCAATTCAAGAAACCCATCTTCCGGCACACAAGCCTTCATATCCAGATGCATTTTTCTGCTTCTGTGAAGTACTATTACCTTTGGTCTTTCTTACAAAATCCCTGATGTGGGGGCGCAAGGAACACATCGCAAACCCCACCTCAAACTACAAAGATCCGGCCTGAATAGGCTCACCATGGATCGCAAGAGAAAGCGTGAGTACTTGCATGTTATCCTGGGAGGTGCAGACGTGTATACTGACGTGAATATTGATCTGAAGGCGAATTGCGCGACTTGAACGCGCGTGCCTGGGATGGCGAGAAAGGTTAGCTGGTTATGCGAACAACCCCTGAATTATTTTGTCTGACCTACAAACACAGACGTTTATGCAGTCAACAAGTCACTAGATTCATCACTCAAGAAGAATACAGCCTTTATCAAGCGCCTTCGAACCGCAATTTCAGCTGCGACCCTTAGCACCTTCCTACAAGAAATTCGTACCCTCAGCCTTCACAAATATCTCTCGGAAATTATATCAGCTTGTTATGAAGGACTTTGCAGACTTAAGTCTCCTGGGGAGGTCGAGGCCGGCGTAGAAATTGTCAGCGCATTACACCAACGTTTCGGCCCAGCAGAATTCACAGAATTCCTAGGGTGGTTGGTAGGAAAGGGATTGGCTACACCAGAAAAGTCATTGTTGAAGAGTCTCGCAGCCGAAGCCCGAGAAAAGGAAGAAAAGGAGCGAATTGTACGACAGAGAGTACTTTTGAGAGTTGTCACGGAGTTGTGGCTCGTGGGAGTTTTGAGAACGCTAGATGATGTTGCTCGGCCGGATGATGCATCCCACGGCAAGGAATCCCTTTCAGGACCATCGAGTAAAGCACCAGATAATAAGGCAAAACTAAACGGAGTCGGAAAGGGTGGAGGCGCGGAACCATTTCCTCTGGAAGTTCTAAAGGATCTCCTGGGACATGATAGGGATCATGCGAACTTGCCCTTATTGGTAATTTTTGTGAGGGCATTTGGCTGGGATATACTGGGTGTCAGAGAAGCCGGATACGAGGGCAGGAAAACGGTTGAAGAGGATGGGGCTACAAAGACGTCGAATAATACCACTGATGGTGATGGTGGTGAGGGCGAGGACGAAAATGGAGATAATTCTGTGGAAGAAGCGCCGCCCGTCTCGGACTCCGCCGAAGATACCCCTCTTGCCTCGCCCGAATTACAGGAGCGCTTTCGAAATATCCTTAATCGCTATTTCGAAGATGTCAAAGCACACCTCATCCGTGATCAGAAGGCTATTGGTAAACAGGCTCGCAAAGATTCGGAGGCATACGTTAAGTCTGGTCAGGTGTTCGAAGATCGCCAGGCAAATTACGAAAAGGCAGTCAAGGCGCAAGAACGACTTGTATCGAATGCCCAAGTCCTCGCAGAATCCATCGGTGCAGAAATGCCAGATCTCAAAGACGCCGATGATCCTTCGGCCCTAGGAAATGGAGGCATTGGTTTAGTCAAGACTGGTGATTACTTGAGAGGCGAGGGTGATGGCGCAGGCATTTGGGAGGACGAAGATGAGCGAAGATTCTACGAAAATCTGGTAGATCTTAAAGGTAAGGTCCCAGGTATGCTCCTCGAAGATGGCAAAAAGAAGAAACCGGATACAGATGAGCAAGTTGGTAAAAAGATCGATACATCTGAAACAGCTTCCGCAGAGTCCGCAGCAACAAAGCCCACCGATGATGACCAATCCACAGCCATTGCCAACAAAACCATTGGTGCTCAGGTCGATGCATTACTTGCTCGGCTTCCTGATCTTATAAACAAAGACATGATTGATGAGGCTGCCATTGACTTTTGTTTCTTGAACTCCAAGGCTTCTCGTAATCGTTTGATCAAAGCTGTACAAGAGGTTCCCAAAGGCCGTAGTGATCTTCTTCCATCATACTCAAGACTAGTAGCCACACTCGGAAAGTACATGCCAGATATTACCAAAGGTTTGGTCGACTACCTTGATCAAGAATTCCGTAGTCTTCAACGCCGCAAGGAGAAGGAATTCCTTGGCCAAGCCCGGCTAGGAAATATCCGCTATCTAGCTGAGCTGACCAAGTTTGGTGTGGTTCCCGAACATGTCATATTCCATTGCTTGAAAGTCAGCCTTGACGACTTCTCACGGATGAATATTGAGATTATATGTAATCTGCTTGAAAATTGTGGTCGATACTTACTTCGCAATCCGGAAATGTCCCCTCGAATGACATCTTTTCTGGAAACACTCAAACGCAAGAAATCGGTACAACATATTGGCCAACAGGAGCGCATGCTAATCGAAAACGCCGTTTACTATGTAGACCCACCTTTAAGAGCTGCAATCCAGCAAAAGGAGAGAACTCCCACTGATTTGTTCATCCGCAAACTTGTCTATTCTGATATGACTACACGCAACTATGCTAGAATCATCAAGTCAATTCGGAGGCTTCACTGGGAAGAACCAGAGGTATGTATCATTTCCAATCTTTAAAAAAGATAAAGAAATCACTAACAATCCCTTATTCAAGGTTGTCACCATCCTTGAAAAGGTACTCTCCAAACCTGGAAAAGTGAAGTATGGTAACATCTATCTACTGGCAATTGTCACAGGCGCCCTATTTCGATATCACCAGAGTTTTGTAGTTACAGTCATTGACAACGTCTTGGAGTACATTATTGTTGGGTTAGAGCAAAATGATTTCAAGTTCAATCAACGTCGGATTGCAGAAGTCAAGTACCTCGGGGAACTGTACAATTTCCGTATGGTTGATCATCCTGTAATATTCGATACAATGTACCGTATTTTGACTTTTGGCCACGGTAAGTTACAATCCTGGCAATTTATAATGTGCGGCATGCTGATATTATTAGGCGGACCCCCTATTCCTGGCCGCATTAATCCATTCGACATGCCTGATGACTTTTTCAGGATTCGTCTTGTAGCAACTTTATTAGAGACTTGCGGTGTTTTCTTTAGTCGTGGTGCAGCGGGGAAGAAGCTTGATTACTTCTTGTCTTTTTTTCAGGTATATTACGTTCACATTTCTGTGATTGCTATCATGTTGACTCTTATAGTACTACATCTATACGAAAGATACTATGCCCATGGACATTGAATTTATGGTCACTGATATTTACGCTGCCACGAGACCTCAATGGAAGCTTGCCTCGAATTTAGAAGAAGCCAGTCGTGCTTTCCAATTAGCTATGGCTCAAGATCAGAAGACCGCTGGCATCGAGAAGGTTGTTGAACCGGAAGAGCCAGACAGTGATGCATCGTCAGATGAGGGAGATGCAGGTATTCCAGACGGAGATGCTGATGATGCTTCCTCTGATTCGGAAGAAGAGACAGAGATTGACGCCATTGCCGACAGCCTAACATCCCCAACAGGAAACGAATCAGAAGAAGAAAACTTTAGTGTCACTCGCCAGGAAGAGGAAATCGATCCTGAAGATGAAGCTGACTTCGAGCGTGAGTATGCTAAAATGATGGCTGAGAGTCTAGATTCCAGGAAATTTGAACGAAAAGCGACATTTGATGTTCCGCTTCCCATGAGACGCAAAGATCGCGAAACCACAAATTCAAGCGACTTGCCAAAAGAGACTTCTTCAGCAAATGGCCCCTCTGGAGGTACAATGGCATTCTCGCTCTTGACGAAGCGTGGTAATCGCCAACAGGTTAGGATTGATTTAAGTCTGGATTGCTTAATTTACCACTAACTGTTAATTTTAGACTCGTACAGTTGCCCTCCCTTCAGATTCAAATTTCGCAATTGCGATGAAAACACAACAAGCTGCCGAGCGGGAGGAACAACAACGCATCAAGAATCTGGTTCTGAACTATGACCTCAATGATGGCGACGAACAAGATGGTGACTTTACACTGCAACCCTTACTCCCTAATCCCAATATTCACACTTTCAATTCAGGTTTCGAGAAAAGTGCTACTACAACGTTCTCCAGATCTGATAAATCTGGTAGTAACCGTAGTGGGCAAAGGTCAAGAAAGTTACAGCTTAGTGATGTTGATTGGTATGACCCCCTAAAAGAGCCCTCTCAATTTCGCACCCCAAGAAAGATGAGAAAAGATGAGAACAGTGAACCCAAAAATCTTGACAAATTGGATGCCGAGGTTGTTTTAGTATCAACGCCCGAAAGAAAAGTTTCAAGGCCGTATCCAACCCTCGCTGCCGAAAGTAGGTCGAAAGGCAAAGGTCACGCCGCAAAGGAAGAGGATCAGCCAACGGTAGATTCGCCAAGAAGTACTTTCGAAAAGTTCCGTATGAGATAATATCTGGCTTACATTCGGCGACCTGGTGTTTTACTTGACAATAGGACACAAACTCTCAAATCTCCTTTCATTTCTTCTTGGAGCGAACATTACTAAGATAATCCAACAAGAAAAGTGCTGACATATTCCCCGTTTTCCGGGGATCGCTCAATAGGACATGATAAGATTGGTGTTATAATGTTCGCGCAATTTTGATCTTAACTTCGGCTTTGGAATTGGGATTGGGTTGCCAACATATAAGTATACACTTCTTCTCTGCTAATTCGACATGAAGATCACTAAATCTGGAATACAACTTTCTCTCGGAGGTTCATACCTAGGGAGTGTAATTCAACATGACCTCCTGTCGGACTCGACTCAATGCATACAAGCGAACAATCATTGCTGGTCGCCGGCAACTCAATAGACGCTAAGGTGCCAGTCAAGGCAGAGGGAACGGTGGCAGTCAAGGCAGAGAAAACGGTGGATCCAGTGGAACTGAAGGTTGGAACCATGCAAATATTGAAGTTATCCAGGAGGTTGCGAAACAAAGTCCACATTCACCCTAAAGGATGGCTGGGTGCTGAGTTGAGTGGTGAGGAATTGGAGCATCGGATGGAAGGGGAAAAAAAGATGAAGAAATGGAGAAAGTTGTGGATTTGGTGGGCCTGTTTTTTTTTCGTTTTCATTCATCCACTCTTTTGTCTTTCTTGTCTGTCAGTCGCAAAGACAGAATTCCACTCTTTTCTCGTGCGTATGTTTAACACGTCCACTTGTTCTCTGTCTATCTATCTATCCATCGATCTATCTATTCTTACTCTTCAACTACTGGAGAAATCTAATTGTTAAGAGAAAGAGAAGGAGAGAGAGAGAGAGTGAGAGAGAGAGAGCGCGCGCAGAGGGAGAGAAAGGATGATTTAGCATACGTTATGTTATATACAATTGAGAAGCATTCCACATCACATCACATCACATCAGCGTATCCATCCATCCATCCATCTATCTCTAAATGTTTGTTTGTTTGACATTTCCATGTGAGTGAGATCTATTCGACACAAATCATTGTAAAGACCGGGTAGGTATCCCGGTATACCTATATAATATGTACATCATTTTCCCTTTCTCCTGGCCCTTGTCTCGATATTCGATTCGAACTTAGGGCTTGTTGTAGAATAGTAGGTAGGTCGATATATTATTTTCTTCCATATCTACTCACTCCTTACTACCCATTACGCACTACGCGCTAACCAACTAAAGGGTAACTTTCCTCACTTCAATTAATCATTTAAACCCCATACTCATACTCATACTCATAATCATAAGATCCATTCGTTCTATAATACCATTCATTCCTAGCTTATCAGTCGTAAGAATTATCACAACGTGCATGATCTATTTGTTTCCACCCAACTAACTCCCTCAAATTTGCTCCATCATCTATTTTCACTTCACTTCTCCTCAACCTCGGGCTCGGCCTTCTCAGCATCCGTCATGATTTCATCATTATTTCCTCCATTCTCTGCTGCTTCCATGGCCATCGCTGCTTGTTTAGCTGCTTCGGCCATCTCCCTCTTCCTTTGCAACTCAGCCTCTTCTTGTTTCCTGGCCTCCTCACGCTCAGCCTCAACCTTGTCAAAGTAGCGTTGGGCGATTGGTCCTGCTACGGTGCGGATTTCATCCATCTTTGCCACGTAGACAGCCTTTGTTGCCTCTTCACCTTCATCATAGAGCCAGTCCTATTGAGAATTAGTATGACTAAATCCAGGGATGAGGTAAAAGGGGAAACTAACCTCGGCAGCCTCAAGCTTAGCCTTTAACTTCTCCTTCTCCTCATCATTTGCAAACTCGGCATATTGATCATCAATCTTATTTCTCATTTCGTAGATGTAAGTCTCGAGTTCGTTCTTCTTCTCTTCGGTATCGGCGACCAATTTGTCCTCCATGTTCATGGCGTTTTCCTGTTCGGAAGCAGCGGCAATGGTGGCGGTGTCAAGGGAAGCGGTGCCGGAGACAATTGGGAGATCACCCTTTCGGACTTGCTTCTTGACCTTTCTGGTCTTTGGTTTATCATCGGTATCCATAGCCTTGACGTGGGGTGTTAGTTTATCATGTCCCTGCAAACGGGGACGTTTTGGAATAGGTTCGTCCTTGGGTAACGGTTGAATATCAGTAAAAATCTGGTTACTCACATCATCCTTCTTCTCTCCATCCTTCTCGGGGATTGGCTCCTCAACCTCCATATCCTCAACGTAGTATCCTTGTTCAACGTTCAAGATACCATGTAAATTAAGACGAGCCTTCAATTTACAGATCATGAAGTCATCCTTTGAGTCAGCCTTGACGTTTTTGACGGTAAATCTTCCAATCCATGGGTTCATTGTGCCAGGCAGTAATTCTGGCTTGGCATATTTGGCTTCCAGAGTAAATGGTTCCTTTCGGTAGAATGTAAGTATCTTAGTTGAAGGCATAATTCCACCTTTGTTAAAAACAGTGAGGCTAGTATCCTCATCCGGGATATCTGGAGATTTTTCCCATGTAAATTCAATTGGGTAGTTAACGATATCGTGAATGGCGAAATCACGGACACGGAAAACGGGGGAAAGAATGGCGCAGCTGAAAGCACATCCTCTCGCGATAGCCTCATCTTGGTTGAGCGTGAAAGAAAGGCTCTTGTTGAAGAACTTTTGAATGCGGTCTTTGAGAGCTGGGACACGCGTGCAACCACCGACAAGTTCAATAATATCGATATCCTCAACCTTCAGCCCGGCATCGGCCAAAGCTTGCTCCAAAGGAACGTGGACTCGGCTAAGAAGTGGCTCAACAAGTGCCTCGAGCTCTTCACGCTTCAACATGGCGCTCACATCAACGTCGTTCATTAAAGATTCGATGTTAAGAGGTGCCATAGCGTTGGCAGACAAGATCTTCTTTAACTTCTCGGCACCAGCAGCGACACGGACCATAGCCTTAGGGTTAGTCTTGATATCAATCTTGTACTTCTCCTTGAACTCTGCGGCGAAATGCTCAACCAAAGCCTTGTCGAAGTCTCGTCCACCGAAATGTCTATCGTAAGCGGTCGACTTGACAGTGAGTTCACCCTTTCGGAATTCAACAATCGAGGCTGTATAGTTACTGTGACCGATATCGATGAAAGCCACGCGACGAGGCTTCTCCTCTGGGCCTGGGAGATCCAACTTGGTGATACCGTAGCCCAACGCAGCAGCTGTGGTATCGTTCATCAGACGGAGGAGCTTGACACCGGCAATCTCAGCAGCATCCATCAAACTTCTTCGTTGGACATCAGTGAACCAAGCTGGTACGCTCATGACCATATCTGAAACAGGAAGTTTCAACTCCACGGAAGCTGTGTGTTTGATTTTGCTCAAGTACATGGCCACAAGTTGAGTAGCCGTGTACCTTTCCTTCTTGCCCAAATATGTGACCTCCGCACCAACCTGGCCGTTGAGATCGACAAGAGGAGCCGAGACATAGTCTTGTTCTAAAGCAACATCTGGGTCCTTCAACGATCTGCCTGCTAATCTCTTGAGAGATCCAACGGTATTCTTGAGGTTGGAGATTTCTTGTGTCTTTGCTGGCTCACCAAGGTATCTGGATTTGGGTCCGAACCCTACAAGGGAACTATAGAGTAGATATGTCAGAGATGTTGTAGGTATTGCAGATGATGTAGGACTAGGATAACTTACGGAGTGGCACGATTTGAAACTTCGTTTGTGATCTGCGCAAAGGATAGTTAGAATAAACACCCCCACCAGAAGAAAAAAAACCACAGCCCAAAAGAAATTTAAACACATACGACATCAACACCACGGTTTCTTGCGACAGCGATGACTGTGTTAAGAGTACCGAAGTCTACACCAACAACTATAAATGATTGTAGTTAGTATTGGAGTCCAGATCCAAAAGAGTGGTTCGAATAGCAAGCACCCACCAGACATATTGAATTCGTGATGTTGTGTTTGCGCTTAAAAAGTAAATGGGGAAAGTGTAAGTAGGGTAAGAAGACGAAAACTTCTTTCTGGCTGAGGATGAGAAGAAGGGATATCTAAAACGGGGGATTCCTTTTGAAAGTCTAAACAGAAAAAAGGTAAAACTTTTTTGATTAAAGAAGTTGTTCTTGTTGATAATGCAATCTCCAAGTAAGTGGTTTTGTGTTGGTATTGACAAAGTCGTAAGAGTAGAGTAGAGTAGAGTAGAGTAGAGTAGATAGAGTAGATAGATATGAATGAATGAAACAAGCAAGGCCGCCTTTCTCTCGATTTTTTTTAATTTTTCCAGTCTAATAATCTGGCGAGGGCGCGGTGCGTTGCTCTACAAGGCCTACAGGCACTCGCTCGCTCACTCACTCACTCTTCCGCTTTAACGAAGAAACTTCTCGATCTTTCTCGGCGCTTCACTTACATCAATCCAGCCCGTTACAGCCTTACATATATATATTTACCTCATTCCTTGTATTATTTGTATTCACCCATTTGGAGATTTTATATAAAAGATGAGATCATCTTATACATACATACCTACCCAAGCAGGTATTAACTAGTAAAACGAAGTTTCTATGAATTTCTTAATCATCATTTATTTATATAATATAATTATTTTATAATTTGTATTTGTTGCCCAAGCAAAACAATTCCATTCAGCAATACAATGATTCTCTCACTTTCCACCCACTTCGCTCACTTCGTTCACCTTGTTCACCCCTCCTAATCACGTGAGAGACATTGATACACCGTACAGTAATTAAATGTTTTCGATGAGGCGGGAAAACTCGAGCCACTTTTGGGGGTATTGGGCAACATCACAAAAAAAAAGAAATAAAAAAAGGGTGACGTCTATTTTGGTGGGGTGAAAGATGCTGTGTTGGCAAGAGTTCGCTCTATCTATTTGTCAAAGAGCCCAAAGAGTCTAAAGACTTCAAGGATCATACCTCGAGGCATTTCGCCCTACTCTTTGTCACAGAAAACAAGAAATGTCGTGTTCATTATTGGCTTCATTATTATGGGCATTGGCATTTATTAAATGGAATAGTCAAGGAAATGACAGCAAAATTTATTCCATTTGTATTATTGTATTGTGGCTTGTTCATCAGCTTCCATTTATCATTAATTATAACTCCTGCCAAAAGTCATTCTACTCCGGCTTCTGTGATGCAAAATTCCCTCCATATGTCCTTCTATGGTATGATTGTTTGTACGCCGCGCTATGCCCATCCCAATATGGTGTCGCAAAAAATATCAAAAATGCAAGATGCAATGTGCAAATGCAATGTCATGTGAATGCCCTTCACAGTGCTCAAGAAATCCATCTCTCATACGTGTATCACCCCTGTAAACCCAGTTCACTGTTTCCGATATTTCCATCCAGAATCCTGAATGCATCATTTCATATGAAATTATTCTCGACGTTGTGGTTTCGGTTCGGGAGAGTTTGAACTGTCTGAACGCTGATATTCCATCTCAATCGATTCATCCCTCGAAGTGGAGCGTATCAAAGACATACGGCCCAAAGGACTTCGCCCATTCCGGTACGAAGATGCTTGAGGAACTGCCAAAGAGTTGGATGTTGTCCCCTCCAAGGAGCCCAAAGATTCTAGTGAATCCTGAAATCCACCTTTGGCCTCGGGTCCATCAGAAATTTCATAGACGTATCCCTAAGCATACAATTAGCACCGTTTAGTTTCACGGAAAGATGATTACTTACCTGATTGTAGTATGCTCCAGCTGGTGCCTTTTGATTGGCTTGAGCTATCTCATACTTCTTTCTATCTTCTTCTCCCATGATACTTTCCACTCGTCTTGGCATGTACACCGAATTCGTACCAGTAAACCCAGATACATAACTATCAAAAGAGTCTCTGGATGCCGTAGGGTTTCTCCCAGAAGGTAGAACACGTCCAGCAGCGACGCTATTGAGAGAGTCATTGACATGTTCGTACCATCCACCTGGGAGTCTTTCTGCAGCTGCGAAACGACCTTCGAGACGGTTTGGAGGCAACAATGGAAGGGTTGGGCGGCGAACAATTTGGTTGTTTCGAGCTTCAGCGGCGGGTTTGAATGTTTCAGGAATAACATTGAGGTCATCTCCAGCCTCCTCAGCAGCTTCGATAACTTGTTGTGGAGTTTTAGTAGAATCGGCAGCTCCAGCATCTGCTCGAGGTCCTCCCCAGGTTCGTTGCCCACACGTGAAAATTCCATAGACCATATAATACCAATTAAAGAAAGGATTGATAATAAACATCAGTGGGTAGAGCCAGATCTTGAAACGTCTGAGCTTAGCACCGAAGTAGATCATCATCAACCAATTGAGGCCAAGTGAAATACCAATAAACCCTACGGGAAGATCTTGAACTTTCTTTGTAGTTGTAATAATAGAGAGCACCATGATGAAGAAAAGTAGAGCCGTGGTTCGGATCGTGTTTTGCATAAATCGGACAACGGCCAAAATTGGATATCTCTTCCAAATTCTGATGTCAGTCAACATACAAACCTCATTGGTGATAAACCCCAAGAACCAACGGCGACGCTGCTTAATCAATGATCTGTAAGTTTGAACAGCTTCGGTCTTGCAGAAAGCAGAGGTACACATTTGAATTTGATATCTCTTCTTTGCTCCAATCATGAAAAGATGAGTCAGCCATCTATCCTCTCCCAAATGGCATTTACCGTAATCGAAAAGATCATCACATTGCTCAGCCTTGTCAGCAAAATAATACTTGGCCATGCGGCGGAAAGCCGAAAACCGTAGCATCGTTAGAGCTCCCGGTAAACACGTGACGGAACCACAACCTGATTCAACCGTTCGCTCAAAGAGTTGGCCGTGAATGTATTCCATATCCTGAAGCAAAGTGATAAGACTGTGTTTCTTTGTAGTCGAAGTGATAACTCCTGTCATTGCAAGCATATCTCTGGTATTCCCCGGGCTCAGTTCCATATCGTACATGAAGTTCTGAAGACAAACACGATCCAAGATGCAGTCGGAGTCGATGAAAAGGATGAACAGATTGTCATTGCGCTTCAAATATTCGGTATAAACCTTGTCAATTAACTTGAAAGTAGCCTTTTGGCAATGACGTTTTCCACCGTGGGGAAATCGGGAAACTGTGATGCGGGCCGTTCGGTAGGTAACATCAATACTCTTTGGGTAGGAGTCCAGAGATAGTGGAACACCTAATGCCTCGATTGTCTTGAGATATAACTCATCTTCTTGGTCCCCATCGAAGGAAAGAAAGACGTGGATACAGGAAGGAGGATAATCGCAATCCACGATTGAATCGATAGCCGTCACCAAGATATCTGGTTCTTCTTTATAACAAGGCATGACAATCACAACTTTTGGTGCTGAATGCTCATCCAACACTTGTTTTATACGTTTCGTTCGTCCCAGAGAATGAGTGACAATTTGGTATACGCAGAAGAGCCATGGGATGGTTAAAAGGGCAGCAAACGACCAAAACCCGAACCATTGAAGGATGGTGACCATTTGTATAGGAAAATATTGAGTAACTCCTGGTGGTAGAGGAAGCGTGACAACCATGATGGGAAGGTAAATAGCTCTGTAGAAAGTCTTGATTAGTAGAGCTCATAAATAGATTCTTCGGATGATCCCTACCTCAAGAGAAAGAAGACAATCGCGACTATTATTGCTAAAACCCGAACAGACCAGTGCTCAGCTTTCTGAAAAACCTTAAACAGACAATACATAAAAGCTGCCAACCAAAGAAACCACTCGAGGAATGCGGCGAGCATTACCGAGCCTACTATGGCAGTGTAGACGATCTGAAACCAAATTTGTCAGTGAAATACTCCTGAAGAGACCATTGCGAAGAAAAGTTGAGGCATTAGCCTGGATGGGAAGAAACTACTCACGTCTTTCACCGGCCATGGTGAAGTATCGTATTGAGTCATTTTGAACCACGAATGGATGGTTTTTTTGTGATGGACTTTCGGTAGAAGTTGTAATATGGATCTCGGCCGATTATTAAATCGCCGCCTGCAATATCTTAGAGCTTGAAACGGAAGACCATGCGCAAGTTCCCGAAAAGTGTCCGTTTGGAAATGAGTAACTGCATAGCAAATGCGTCAGAATGTGCCCGTAAAGAAACAGGGGATGAATCTAACGTACAAACCAATCACTCTCCACCAAATCCGTAAATGTGAGTAATTTTTAGATCTTCAGTAACACGGTTTGCGAGTTCTTGTTTGACAAGATAATATTCGAGAATAAATATGTTGAGCAACACTCCGCGTAGTCGGTCGAGAAGTTTATACACAAGATGATGTGGGAAAGAGTATATCGTAATCACTCCAAGAGGCAGATTTGAGGCTTAGGTTATTTCTGTATGATTTCGTGAGGTGAAGGCGGAGGAGAGAATGAAATGCGGGTTATCGTGGTTTGCTGCAGGTTGGACCGTCACAGCAGTAAATAGGTGGAAGCTGCAGTATGATGTCTTGGTATCGAATTAATGTTTGGTTGAACGAATGGATGCCCCGTTAGATGGCGAAAAAATCCTAAAAAGGAGAAGAGTTGAAGTTTCACCAAACGATTGAGGAATTAATGAAATGGGTCGGTCCATGGAAGGAAAGATTCAATCTCTCAGTTGTTTTGAAAAGTAGAAGCAACAGTTAAGAGCGGGGGGAGCGGGTTAACAGTGGGAGCGAACGAATGAAATGATAATGTTGGCTCCAACCAGTGACCCAGACAAAGAAAGATTCTTGAATGTTTTAATTTTTGGAAGGAAGAGTGATTTGATTGTTTGAGGTCGAGAAAATGAGTTTGAGAGGTTCACCAAATGGTCCACGAGGGTCAAGTAGGAAGGAGAATACCAAAAGGAAGTTCAACGCATCAATCCCTGCTGCCTACCTTTTGGAGGGTGATATCACGTATTTCTTATACTTTGCCTATGCCATGTGCTGGAAATGACGAAGATTCTACGGTTCCTCGAGACAGCGTCCGTGGGGCTTCAGAGGTACGGAGCATACAACTCAACCACACTGCATTAGGTAGAGGTAGAAGAAGCTGAGAGGCATAAGAGGTAACGATTGGATTCTTGGCTTTGATGGATATTTCCAACTTTCAGCATGGAAAGAGGTTAAGAGATGATGTGAAAAGGGATGAAAGGGTGTGAAACTGCTACCTTTTTTGGCATGGATGAATTATACTACCAGGTATATTTACCGTACGGAGGGAGAATACCTATAGATAGGTCGGTGGTAGGTGGTGTTGTGTTTGGTAAAGCGCTTTGATGGTGGTGGGGGAGATGAGATATGAGATGCGATGTATGGTTGTGGCCCGTGATGCGAAACACCCTGGTCCGCTGATGACTTTCTTCCCGCCAAAGGTGTACGGATAAAGTTGTATTGGCCTTTTGCTGGTGTGTGCTCGGCCACTTTTCTTCCCAAGTGGAGCAGAAGACAGCGACCTAGCAATACTCCATGTTTCAGCAACTATCATTGGTCCAAATGACGGTAGATCTTGATGCATGTCGCCAATTATTTACTAGAAAGGTGCCATTTTTAGCAAGGAAGCGAGCTTGTTCATGATGCCGGTTGGGAAAAAGTAAAAAATATCAGCTAAGGGTAGCAACTGGCCAGTTTCATCGAAGACGTGCAGCCAGACGACCTTCCAACGCGGTTACAAAATACACAACATCCAATCTCTGCAAATATATTGAATTTACTTTGCATGCATTACATGACTAGCTTGGGACATCTCTTTCGTTCCATGTACCAACGTATCTTTTACTCACCATCATTCGTTCAAAGGTTTTCCATGGTCGGTTAAATGTTAAATGATCATCAACCTTTCCCATGTTTTGGCGTCAAAGAGCGACTATTTTCCCAGCTACTTACTCATGATGCTTCGCTTTGGTCCACTCAAGTAAGGGTCGCATTATCCTCTCTCCTGCGATTAACTCATTGTAGCTTGGCTATTCCATCAAACTAATTTCTTGGGCGGTTGGACCCTGACTCTCGACTTTCGACGAGTCTACATGCGATGAAAGGTACAGCAGTAGAGCATGCATGAGTACTGGTACCAGGTAGCAACAACGTAGGAGAACAAGAAAACTATCCGAACTGGAAATCAGACCAAAATAATTCCATCCGAAATGCTCCTCTATCGTATCCCAGTATCGGGAATTCTCTTGAAATTCACGTACATTGTGTGAAGAGTTTTGCCATATCATTTTTTTCGCCAAGCTGCATACACGAACTGCCATTCAAAGGATGATACTAGAACAATTTAAACTATTGGCTTTTTAACTGTGCCATACGATCAATCAATGAAGTTTCTCTCCTCTTTGTCCTACAAGGATGACGACTCTATTCAGCTATTTGTTACATTTTTTCATATTTCTCTTCTTCCTGGTATCATCGGTGTAGCCCTCGACGATAAAAAAACGGTTGCGCCAATACAACATGTCCCGACCTTCATCCACCGGGAGATGTCAGCCGTCAGCATTATGTATCACATCTTTTTACTTTCGATATTGCACGTTTTCTAAATATCAAGCCACAAAACAGGGGATCCGTTCAACGATGAGAATTTAAAGTTGGTGTCCGAAAACTCTCCATCTACGCCACAGGGGTCATGTTGTTAAGCCTCTCAGATCCATTTCGTTGGCATTGACCCGTCCTCAGACCTTTTGACACCTGCGCAGCAAACTTTCCAATGTACCGGTCATTTTTAAGGATCATGATTTCAAATACCATCTAACCGGCATCTAACCACCACTTGAGGAAATATCTTATAAACCATATCAAACCCTATTGATCATTTCCGCTGGTACAACATCAAAGATAGGGGAACTCCAAAACCCGATCCTGCAGCCAAAAGGCCTTCGCTTCAACATATTTCCTTCCCCTCGGCTTAACCGAGTATTTTTTGCGCTCCCTTTATCAAGCCAAGGATACATTCAAGGATCATCAGAACAGCATTTCGGGTCACCATAAAATCCATGTGGTGTTCCCCCAAAAGATCATCAAAGCCTCATTTAAAATTTGGAGACCGGGAATCGGAGTTTTTTTTGGATAAGCATTCATCAAAACTCAATCTGAGCTTCATCTCGTCGATACGATTCTGTACTTCTATGCCATATGGAATCCTGGATTATACAGCATTGAGTAAATAATACAACAGTTAAAGACACAAACGCAGCCCAAAGCCGTACACATATAAAACACATATACCGACATGACGCTCATCAGGTCGCAGAAGAAACATCAGACGGATTATCTAGGATAATTTTGATATCATCCACAATTAAGAGTTCGATATCATTCTGAAACACGCACCGCAAGGAAGTTTCCCGGAAACGCTTTCACCGCCTCACGCCCAGCCTTTCTGCCACTCAACGTCGGCATGAGTCAAATTTTTGTTTTTTATCTTTATTTTTGCTTCCTAGCTTTTGAAACTCTCCCAGTGGTGGAGTTTCGTACTGCGCTGGCATGTTTTTGTACAAGCTGTCGAGATTATTGAATCTTATCTGCATGATAAATTAACATATCTCATATACATATATACTTATGTACTCTGTAGTGAGATATACGGGGTAATGCTTGCATTTAGCCCGGTAGAATGAACGAGTGTACGGAGTATGACAAGCGAGTTGCTCGTGCTTTTGTCATTAGGCGATTAGACGATCTGGGCTTAATGAACTGGATTTTGAGGAGGCTAGATCACAGTCGAATATTCACGGGTTTTCATCTCTTGTACTGTATGAAAACGCTTGGCAAATTTCTTATATCCCTGGGTTTAGATTTCCTGCTTCTATGCATGTGATACATACCTACATATTGTTGAGATTGATTAATACTCACAGCATCCAGCCAGATACACCTTCTCACATACAGCAGTAACCAACCTGTAAGTATTCCCCAATTCCCCTCATTGCATCTATGATCGAATAATCAACATCTGTTTATCACACAGATCACAAGGGCTGCAAAACCCTCGCTCCAAATATCACAATAACTTTCCTTTCATAAAGAACATATACAACATAATTACAAGACTTAGAATTACACATCTATAACTATATCGTCATTAAATCCCCAATCCCTTTTCTACTCTTGTAAAACTTATCAATCTCAACCATAGACCCGTTCTACGCTTTATAAAATAAAATAAAATATTCAACAGACAGATAAGATTACAAGAATGAAAAGCTCTTTCTTTCTTGTAAGTACTCTTCTTTTATAATACTTCATATCGTAATATTTATTCCTGACCGCGGTATATCTCTCGAATATGTTATATTATTATTTATTTAATCTTGATTATTTATATATCTCTTTATAAGTATTTATTTATATAATATTCTATATTATTGTTGGTATCACTTCGGTGATACTTATTGCAGTGTAATTGTATTCTTGTTATATTTGTTCATGGATGATTATTCTCTATCTAGGGGAGAAGGACCTATTTATATTGAAAGGGGTATGGGCTAGAATGCACTAGTCGTACGGCTCCCTTTATGTACGGCCTCCCTTTCGAGTTTGATCACATGATGTACCGACAACTCTATGTATTATCACTCAATGTAGTCACACTATTATAATAATATATAATCAGTTGCTCGTCTACTTCTTTTAATTAAATTATTCATTCGATATACGCTACGCTACACTATTTTACTCAAGTAATATAAAGAAGAAATGAACATCCGAGATGTAATCTATCTACCAGGATATCCACCCATAATTCAAAGTTATATTCTATCCTAACCCATCCATCCGATCCTATCCGATCCAGCCAAAAAACCAGGCTATACCATACCATACCAAACGATTCCTATTTCACTCCTATGCAATGCTGCCATGCTGATATATAATAATATCCAAAAGATAAAGCCAAGCCGAGCCAAGCTCAAACCAATACCTGGTTTATATGACATGAAATCACAAGATGCCACCAATTTCCATATGCCTAATGGTTCAAATCAAACCACCATTCATATCCTTTCTTCCAGGTCCCGCTTTCCCTCCATCCCCTCCATTCATCTTTATCGATAACCCTACGCCCAACTCCCTCAATCTCGTTGCCAACAAACCTTCAGCTGGAGATTGCCTCCCCTCTCTACCAGAACTATTTACTCTTGCAGACGAGTATGCATTACGACCGTAACCCGGATCTCCTTCACTCAACTTATCATAGGAACCCATACCAGCACCCACATCCATTCCACCCATTGCTATCTCCCCAAACGCTGTGCCTGGTCTCAGAGTCTCTGAAGATTTTGATGATTGCCCCGACTCTAAATCTAGCGGGCCAAGGTTTCTCTCCATGTCCATCGTAACCCTCCTTGAAGGGAACTGAAAAGGAATAGGATTCACCACTCCTCTCGATCCACCATCATCGTCCCCAAAATCAAAATTCTTATTTCCACCCAGAGGAAAACCCGAGCTCCTCCTTCGAAATGCCTTCTCCGCTGCCAATACCGCGCCCGCAGCCCCAAAATTCGAATCCCGTACTGCCTTGTAAGTAGTAAATCTCGGTTCTGGGAATGTGATTTCATTACGTAATTTTTCTTTGCCATCCGGCACACGGTTGGCGAAGACGACACGGATACTTTTGTAAAGATAGTAGCGACCTCGAGTTGGAGAACAAATATGAATATGGACGAGATAGCGGAGGGTGGATCTTTCAGCGAGTGGATCGATGGTCGGTGCTAATAAATGAGACGAGGAGGAAAGTGCCGAATCAATTATTGGCCCAGCAGAGTAGCTACGCTGACGAATGAACGTCTTCGTGCCCGGTTCCATACCCTTAAGATCATATGGGACGAGAAACAGTTTGACAGCTGTTTTGTTAGGATTCTTGATGATTATTTGTAATTGGCCCTTTTCGGGGATACGGTAGCTACCACCCGGCGGTGCCCGCGGGGAAGTTGATCGACGTTTTTGTTTTTCTGCCCTACGTAATTCTCGTTCCGAGACTTGTCCTGAATTTTGAGGGTCGGGCTCAAAATCATCCATATGTGTTCGATCCAGGGTGGCATTTCTCCTCCTCTTTTGATTATCCTTCGCCTTTTCAGGACTAGGTAGCCCATTTTCTAGATCAATACAACCAACGTACGGACTAGGCCCATCTTCAGACTTTCCTCTTCGACCATGATTCGTGGACTCATAGTCATAAAATACTGCTGGAAAGGGCAAGGTCACATGGGCTGGACATTTCAGGCTCGATTTGCATTTTCCGAAACCCAGCACCCCTATCTGAGCAACAAAGTCAAGTGGCTTTGAAGGCGTAGTGGACATTCGCCCCCGGAGAATACTCTCTTCGTATGAACCGACCATTGAAGCATGCAAAGGTGATACGTCAGAAAATGAAGGTCTCCTTGACCGGGAGAAAACTGGTGTTTGTGGGGAAGAAGTCGAGTGTGGCACCGTGTTAGAAGCGACGGATTTCCTGGGTTGATGGGCTTGGTAAGGGTATGAATTATCTCTCCTGAGACTCGGTAAAGGTTTGTTAAATGAAGCGGACGTCGGTATAGAGGGATTTGAACGTATTGAATGTGAAACTTGTGAAGTATGACATCTTGAATTAGTTCTGGGTGTCCCAGGACTGATGTCTATTGGATTTAAATGCGAACTAAATTCTAAATCGTCGTTACTCTCTGATTGTACTAAAGGACTTGTTGGTGCTTTGAGTACAAAGCTCGAAGAGAGTGAGGAGGACAATGATGGAGCGCGAGTCCTTGACCTCAGATCTGGTTCGAGTCTATCCACCGATGGAAACCGAGGATCGAGTTGAAAAGGAGTAAAGTTTCGCGGAGGAGATGTAGCAAGCCATGGTAAATTTCCTGTACCAAAATTCTTTATATCCTGCCCTAAACCACCAGATATGTGTTGTGGCCCATCCGTAAAATCCCCACTGTGTAAAGCGGATCTTGGTCGTTCAATTTCTAGACCAGCTTGAGATCTCTGTTTATCTACCGAAGATGGTCTCACAATATTGGATATTTCGGCAGATGGCAATAGAGGAGGTGATTTTGTTTGATTCGAGGAAGTCTTTCGAGGGGGAGTTTTCGCGCTCTGGCTACGAAGTAGGGACTCAAACTGTATTCACCGTCAATACAACATGGCAAGAACCAGCGTTTGATGATTCACATACATTGTAATTCGGTAACCAATTCGGACTTTCGCCCCTTTTCAACCTCCCCATAAACTCGCCTCTATCTGATGTGCCATTGTATAAATTGAAGCTTGGATCCAACCCCAAACTCGGTGTATGTTTTGATTCCTCCGGAGTGTCTGGCACAGGGCCTTCACATAAATCTGTCCTAATGCTTTCCTCGCTATCTTTCCTCATAATCGTTCTTTTCCACGGTGGCGTCATAGAGGGAGGTGACATTTTCGATTTTTGAATGGGTAATATCTCTCGGCCGTCGCCGAGGTCATCTTGAAAAATGGGCATGATGAATGGTGTGTGAATGGAGCCTTTGGTTCTGCTCCTTGTCGTCTGGCTACGAGGACATTGTAAGTTAATTTCGAAATAAACCGGGGAGGAAGTGAGGCTTTATGGGTGAAAGTATTGGAGGAATGATGTCGTAAACGAAGCGGGGACGAGCGTTCTAATTCTTTGTCCCTGCCAATGTGGTGTAGTATTGTATGCAGGAGCTTGTGCAGAGTGCAGAGTACAAATGAAGGAAAGGATAGGATAATGATCTGATGTTTGATGGGAAATATATGCAAGCAAAGACCAAAGAGGATTTTAAACCATTTTCGTTCAATACCTAATGTAGGCAAAGGCAAGTACGATTCAGAATGCAATACTTCAATATAAACAAACGCACGAGTATTTTATGTATGTACGTATGTACGTATTGTATCTATGTGCTAGAAATGAATGCATATCAGAAGACACGAAGATAGCAATCTTTACTATGCTGTACCTAGCTACCTGCTCCGTATGATATATGATATGATGACTTTGATAGCATTGAATGATTGATTAACCTATAGGCTCTAACCACCAGCGAACCTACCTAACTTCCCACCATTTACCGCGGGATGCACCAAATCCCCACTGTTCTGCCGTTATTGGCTATCGGCTCTAGCGTGTCCGGGTGTCATGTCATGCGAGTTGGGGTGCTGAGCAAATTCCTGCGGGCTGTACCCACTAAAATTTTCTCAAGCACAAGACCACCAGACCCTTTCGATTTAATCCATTCCATTATCAAAACACTGTTGACTCAACAAATTCCACAATGGCCCCCAGCAAACGCCCCCGCGAAGAAGATACCACTTCACGCTCAACCACCAAAAAGCCTCGCCATGGCTTCAAGGTTGGTCCTGACAATTTGCCTGACGGAACTTGGCGTCGGAAGGTTATTGCGATTAAGAAGGATTTAATACATAAGGCGAAGGTCAAGAAGGCGTATGCGAAATTGAAGGCGAAGGAGCCGTTGAGGGAGGACAGGAATTTATATGTCGAGAGTGAGAAAAAGGAAGGCGAGTTAGAAAGGAATGAGGAAGGTGAGAACCTTGCCGAAGGAGAAGAAGCAGTGGAGCTACATCCGCAAAGAAAAGCTATGCTTGATGAGTCGGAAGCCGACACTGCTGCCAAAAGCGTTCCACGTTATTCGGACAATCTTGAAGATGTTAAGGACAAGAAGAGGGAAGGAGGTGGAAAGAGAGGGGCAAAGCCGGCATATTTTGCAAAAGAATTAGCATTTGCAGAAAAACAAAAGGCAGAACAGATGGCCAAAAGAGAAGAGTTCGAGAGGAAGGAAAGGGAGAAGAAGGCTAAGATTGAGGAGAGGGAGAGATTTAGAAGGCAGATGGCTAAGGCTAGGAGTGGAGGCAAGAACGGTCAGAGGAAATTAGGGAGAGAGAGCCAGGTTTTATTGGAGAAGGTCAGGAAGGTTGTTGGCAATTGAGACAACGGTGGAATATGGGACAAGGAAAACAAAGGAAGTGCAGGAAGCATGGTTCACGTATTAATGGATGTTAAGGCGGTTGCAGGTAGCGAGGGAGAGATTGATGAGACTTATGATACCCATGAAAGTCATCGGAGATGAACTGCGCGGAGATTTCTTCTCTAGGTTTATGGCGTTAATGGCCGATGCTCCTAACAAGCGTCTATGCACTATGGTGCTTGATTGAAGGCACACTCAGTCTCCTATATCAAATAGAGGTTTGGGATTACACCTTCACGGAAATTTGCAATTCGGGTTGACAGGATATCTCATGAAATTATCGCTATTTATATGCTATGTACTTCACTGTACTATCCTACAGTTCATATATTCCTCCCGGTGTTCTGGACAAATTCATCCACATTTCTTCTTTCCTCCATCATAATTTACTTACTTGCTCGATTCAGTACTTTAGTCATTCCTTCCTCAAATTCTTCCTTGGAACCTTCTTTCTCCTTGATTTCCTCCTCGAGTCTTTCAATCTCGGTCATATTGTCGGCTTGACTTTTCCTCAAAGCATCTCTCATCATGATCAGATTTTCAATGTCCGAATCGACGACAACAATTCTCTTTTCCGTGTCTGCTTTCTCTCCTCTGGATTCCAGTAAGTTCGTTTGCAGATTGGAAATCTCTGAGTTGGCTTGTTCCAGCTTCTTTTGTAAGATTGCCTTTAGAATGGTGTCGTCAGTCTCGATACCATCTGTCGGAGTCGATTGAGATGGATGGGAATTACCCACCATTTGCTCATCTGACGTTGCAGGATTGTCGGCAATGAGCGTAGGTGTAGCTGAAATGTTAGAATTGGTCGAAATTGTTTGTGGCCGTTGCGGAACATCTATTGTCTCGTCTGATACCGTGGAATCATCTTCAATGAGCGAAGGTGTCTTTGATGAGCGAAATCCAATTGCACCCGTGTCCGATGGGACGACAGCTGGCTCCTCTCGTCTCATGGTTATTACTGGGCGACGAGTTCTACTATTCGGAACGGACATGCTGTTTTCGTCGCTGTTGTAGTCTGTGACATTCTGGCTGTCTGCGGAGTTCCGACGCTGGGGAGTTTCAGGGCCAAACAACCCGAGGATTTCTTCAGCTGTATCCCAAATAGGGGTCGACTCCCTGTCCGGCGCCTGTTCAATCGACAGCCTGGCTCGTTTTACTGGTCGTTCGGAGATAGGTGAAGTTGGTGCAGGGAGTGCAGGAAGCCCAATTTGCTGTGCAGCCTCGAACAAAAATGGGCCGTTGGGTAGACTAGGGCTGGCTGAAGGCTCAGGGTATTCAGGTACTCGATTGTAAGAAGTGAACTTTTCACCAGTAGATGGTATGATCAATTCAAGTGGGTGATCATCCGCGTTCTTCGCTGTATAGTCTTTCTCCCTGTACCTGCTCTTTTGGTAGGTTACCATATCGGTAGCCGTCTGTGGCTTTTGGCCCCTTTTCGGCTGATATTCATCAGAATCAGAACGTCTTTTCTTGCTCTTATTCTCCTGGATTGAAAAATCTGCGCTCATCACTCCTGGCCTAAGATTGTTCCTCCTTGCGGATAGTCTGATCCGGTTGGCAGGGCTTTTTGGAATGGTAAAGCCGGTCTGCTTTGTCGTTGTCTTTTGGATGCGTCTTATGAAACGTGGTCTCTCATCATAAGCGAACTCCTGTCGACCATCCTCCTCCCAATATTCACGTTGCTTATGTCGACCATCGACATATCCAGCTTGCTTCATGGCTTCTTCAACTTTGCTCCAAAATGTCTCTACTGGCATACCATACTGGCTGCTTTCCATCATTTTGATTACCTCATAGAGATGTTCCTTTTGCTCTTTTGGCAAAAGCTCCGACGCCTTTGTGGCAGGTACTGTAAGTAACATAACTGCGTCTGGAGCTCTTCGGATGCGGTCAAACGCCATTACTTCTTCATCGACATCCTCTGACTCTGGAGGCCAATCACGGGCGATAACACTTTGCTTCCTACCCATCTGGGACCAATATATCCAACAGTCACGTGCTGAGTGAGTGATACCGAGTCTCATCACGGCTTCGCTAGCTTTTTCGAGGATAGCAATAGCATCGAGGTCGGTATTTTGGGAATTCTCCTCGATGATTTGAGTAATGAGGACACATTCTGTCTTCAGGAAGCGCTTCATTACTTTTAGGCGAGGCTCGTATATCAAAATATCATCATGGTCTTTCTCCGGCATTGAAGCGGAGGCTTCATTTGCAAGAGTCGTTGGAGAGGCTGCATCCCCTGTAGGAGCGGCGACCGAAATACTTGGCTCTAGCTCCCTTTCAGCATTTGCAGTACTTGTAGCCATTCTCGGCTCAATATTTCTCGAAGTTTCCAGGCGGAGATTTTGCAACCGAGTAGCCGGAGTAGGAGTAGCAGCATTGGTGCGTTGAGGACCTCGGATTGGAGAATGGGTGCGGGTGATTGGATGTCCTCCTCTATACGACCGTCTCGAATCCGTTCTTCTAATTTCAGGATAATACTCAGGTCTGTTGTTTGTTTGATACTCTTTGTGGTAATATAGACAGTGTCCTGCAAAAAATCAGTCAATGTTTTCCTCGTAAAACCGGGGAGAGAATCATACTTCCGTGGTGGCAGTAGCCCTGTCGCCAAAATCTGCACGCTATATCGCCTCTATTGTATTGGTACATGTTGAAAATTTCGAAATATTGGCTGTTTATTAATACGCTGGAGCTTCTCGACCTCAAAAAGGCAAGACTTCCCTTGCTGCGAATTTTGATAGTGGAAGCGCGGAGCAGTTGCTCAAAGAATTGATTGATTGAGTGGGTTGATTTGGAAAGTGTAGGAGAAGTTGAACTTGGTTATGTTTGGAAGCGGGTTGTGGTTGGTTGTAGGTGGAAAGGAGGAGGTGTTGTGAGTGTTTAAGTATTTCTGCGACTCTCGCCTAACAAATAATGTATAAATGGATGTATCAAGTACAGAAGTAATTATCCTTGACTATATTCAGAGACTTGACTTCTTATGTAATGTTGTGTGTTGATGGGAAGAAAAATTTTCTGGAAAATGCGGGATGGTCCTTAAATACATCTTGAGACCTTTCGTCTAGCAATCAGAAAACGGCATCAACAGTATAATAATTTGCAGAGAAACACACTAGTGCTCCTGTATATATCTTCAAACTCGCATCACAGCGAAACGGATCGTATAAATCGTACATGCCGTATCGTACATTCTAGTGCTAGGAGTATATCTTCAAAATTTTCATTGTGGTGAAAGGATCTTATGAGCCGGACAAATCACTATAAAGAAAGCACTAGTATTCTTAAAGGTCTTTTCGAGACTGCCGCTGTGGGGGGCAATTTGCATTGATTGTATTAATTCTGTTGATCGTATTGACCGTATTAAACAATGCGCTAGCAAATCCCTGCAACGCTCACATCACAATGAAAAGAATCATATAAACTGTATAGGCCGTAGTGGTCGGGATATTGAGTTGTGGTCTTCCCGAATGGAAAAATCCGCACTATTAGTCCGTACGAGATTCGGTCTTCAATATGGTGAATTGCTATCCCCCCTTTTTTTCTTTTGGAGGGATGCGAAATTTTCCTCACCTTAGGATGATTTAATCTTACAAGCGTCTCATTTGCTTCTCTACTACAAGTTGCTGCAACTATCTGAGATATATCTGTAGGCGATCTACTTTTTTCCCGTCGAATTTGGTGATGGCCTTGCTAAGGAGCTATGCTGGTTTGGGTTAATTGGGTTAATTTGCTGAGAAGTGGTTGGCTTTCATCTGGCTAGCAAGCCTGATAGATCTACGCCTTGCTCAATATAAATAGATCTGCTATTTCCCGTTTCTGTACGCCGAAAACCATGAATGTAGCCATTGATTTGAAAGTTTTGATGATTCAGGAGGTGTTATATAGATGGAGCTATTCGGCAGTATTACAGCACCAATCCCTGGAATTCGCACGGCAAACATGGCTCTTGAATATCTTAAAATGAGCTCAGATACCCAGGATATGTTTGTTGTAAGGCTTTTCGTCTACTGTACCGCTACTACTCATCATTCATCAAGTCTCTCCAGCCTTCTCCAATTCATCTCACCAGTAAGCTAATTATGAAGCAACGAGGTGTTAAAATAACTTCCCATTATTGATGAAAAGACAAGAGAAATCCATGGGTCTCTGAAATCTTGCAAATAGTAGTCTGTGGCAATGAAACATCCAAGTCGAAGTTGCAGAGGAGATATGGCCAGGTAGCCATTAGACCACCGGGTCCGAGATATTTATCGAGGAAAGCCGAGTTTTGGGGACACATGTCGTTGGGTAATATAGGATTCAATGCTTGATGTCTGTGAGTAAGAGGCTGGACCATCGCCAGCGAAATCATATATCTCCCAACTCCAGTCGATGTCAGCTGCAAGCAAGCGACCTAAAGTATCCGGAAATAGGGGAAAATGCAACTCCTCGTGCTGAATCTCGCACATGATGAATAAAATAATCTTTTCTCATAATACTCTTTATTCTAATGAGAAGCGCGGACGAGCATATGAAATCACCCTCAGTAACTAGATAGGTGTGCCTTTGTCCCCTAAAGTATTCTACATATATACCTAACTGTCATAATTTATAAATAAAGAAATTATCTATACTATGCCCTGAAGAGGAATCCAGATTTGCCAGGAACAATAGAAAACAACCTAGAATATATCGATATCTGTCTAAAAAAATCCATGCATATTTTATCATCCACATAGAGCTAAAATCAGTATTAAAGAATGCAAACGCGGCGTTTGACAGCTAATGACATGATTAGTTCTCAACGACGATAGAGATATAGGTAAGACGTCGCCACATATCCATATACGAAAGTACGGTAGTAATAATCTTCCATCCTATCCTCGTTGAGCTCGTCAAGCAATGGCGTAGTCTCACAAGAGTACCGGTAGTAGGTTCCTATAACATCACCAAATTAACGCGTCATTAAGCATAATCCTAATCCCGCCAAGCTATCCCGAAATATTCTAGCAACTCACACTCCGTTTTTCGAATCCTAAGAGTAATCGACGTTTAAGTTCTTCTTCGGCTTATCCTCTAGTTCCTTAACCCAAAGCGCTTCCACTATTTTGTTCCGGAAGATCCCCTTGATGAAATCACGGTCTACATAACTATTAATCTCATTCATAAATAACGATATAAACAATAAAATCATATAATATAAGCAACATTAATATGAATTAATTCTACAGTAAGAATTTTTGGGACTGTAAGTAGAGAATTAATTCGAGATCATTCCAATTACTATATATACTTTCGTCATTCTTAGGTTTTAGCTAGAAGTCTTGGCAAATCAGTCGATGTATCTGTATAAAACTCTCTACTGAAATAAAACACAAGAGATAGTATTGGTGTATTTAATACTACCTAGGTAGGGTGAGTAAATCATTTGACAGACAGTAAAGCTAGCTATCGATATTTATAAATACAGTGGTCGGTACAGCTCCCTGACGGCGAAAAGTCCCGGTTTCGATATTCATTTTTGTTACGGGTCTCATGTACGTCCATCACCACGAATCGATAGTTAATATTCTAGAGATCACTACATTCACATTCACATATATACAGCCCTCACAGTCAACATACCGCAATATCACGTTGCAAACTCATTGGAATATAGTTAAAAAATAGATCCACGCACATCATCCAACCGCATCCGAGAAGAAAAAGACAACGAGATATTAAATATCAGTATTTGTATGCAGAAGTTTCGTGAGTCCATGGCGGACCCAGGATCTGAAAATAAACGAAACAAATCCATCGAGAAATCCATCGTTCAAAACAGGGGACCAAATACATTTTTACGATCCATGTCTAACCGTTAATATCAATTTTCCCTAAACATCTTCTATCCCAGTAGGAATTAGGTACTCTTTCTGCGTATAAATTTTGCCGTGTATACGGTCCTCCTGCAACTATCGTTGTTGAAATCGATTGTGCTGTGTAATTTTTGGTGTTGTTGAAGGGAATGTAATCGTAAGTACATCGATTCGCCAAGAAAAGATCAGGCTAAAGGAGAGATTTGATTTGCTGAATGCAAAAGAGAAATGCCACGATATGTATCCACCACGATACTGGAACGTAAAATGATATGTGACTTAGCAGAGATCGGTGGAGTGATACACCTCACTGCGACGAAGATACAAGCGCAACCATTGAGAGCTAGGATTTTCCCGCAAGAAAATTAGATTGCCGCATAACGCTTGGCACAGGCTGTAGCATCGTATACAGCCTGGCCATTGTAAAGGTCCAAGTTCAATTTTCGTGCAACATTTGTCCATTTCTCAGCCTCAACCTGCTTGACGATATCGACCAATCTATCCTCAGCTTCGGCAGTCCATCCGGCTTTGCTAGTTAACGATCCGTGTTTTGCAGCACCATTGGCTTTCCTACGTTCACTCAGAGGAACAAACTTAAGGCCTTGTGTGGCGAATAGAATAGGCGCAGTACGATTGTAGCGTCCGTTGACACCACAGACCGTAAGACCTGGTTTTAATCCGGCGGATACACGCTTCGCATTGAGAAACTCGGCGATCTCAGCGAAGGATTTGCCCTCATTCTCTTTCATGTTGACAATTGCAACATTCTCCGGATCATTTGCACCATAGCTTCTCTTCCCAACCTTTTCTCCCGGCGGAGGACGTTTGAGACCTCTCTTCTTGAGGTGCGCATCTGAGACTGTCTCCTGATCAACCAATACAGGCTGTTGATTGATACCCCACGGCATAATAGCTCCAGAATATCTGGATGGAGCCAAATCTTCGCCTGGATTATTAAACAAGATGCGAGGCCTGCCTGATTTTTTACCGCGTCGGGCCGCTGGGTGGGAATTAAGAGAACCCTCGGATGCTGTAGCGTTTGTGGTTGGCCGTATATTTGATGGATGTAAAACACCACCAGCACGATTCTTTTCGACACGATTCGGGCGGCGAAAACCAGGCTCGGAAACAAACATATACTCGTCCTCGTCTCCATCGTAGTCCTCAACTTCGGCCATGGGTGTATCATAATCGGGACTTTCATCCTGGCGATACCTAGCCTGCTCATAGTATTCATCCTCATCCATATTACTATCTTGGTAGTCGGAGGTTTCAAGAGTTGCATCTTCGTTATCACTCACTTCGGCAAATGGTCGGCGACCGCGTCGCAAAGCTTGCTTGACAACTCGACCTTTGACAGCAGGAGTAGTTGGAACAATAGGGAAGCGGGGCTCTGGAAGACCTGATGTAAGTGTGACTCGCTGAAATTGTCGGGGGCCGTAACCGTGATTTTCATAGCCATCGTCCATTTTGCCGAAATCATCACCACTATCATCATTTGGCCTAGACTGATCCCGATTGTTGCGAGCCTTTCTACCATTGTGTTGTTCTTGTAGGAATCGACTGGCAATACGACGATCATTTCGACTCGCGGATGGACTATCAAAATCACTGATACTACCTTCGCCGCCGCGGATCATTTCAGAAGGATGCGTTAAATTAAGATATCCGTCATCGCTCTGACCTTCAAAAGGGTAGGAATAGTGGCGGGGATCTACTCTGATATATCCGGTAATGTTGTCATGACCCTCATCACCATTGGCATTGTGCTGTTGGAATGGGCCCATGGGACGGCGACCTTCTCCATCACCAAGTTTGGACTTATTCGCATTGCGGCGGGTCTTCCGACCAGCGGGTGAGCCCTCAGCATTACCAGTATTGGTGTGTTTGGTTGGAGCGTTGACGACACCAGTTGCGGCTTTACTAATGTTCATATATGCTAGTGAAACGTTAGCCACGAAGATTGAATTTTGCCAACGATCACAAAATAAACGAGATTATAAGATTGTAAATGGACCAGCCAGGACATTGTGCGCTTCCGCTAAATTTCAATGACTGATTTTGGGTTTGACAAGGGGTAGCTCAATCGATGATAAAGAGCTAGAAGCACATCCACCTATAGAACATTTATCATAGCATGCAATTAGCCAGATGATAGATTAGAGGCACAGGTAATCCTCTACTACAGATGGGATGAAGGCAATGATAAGTGATGGCTGGGCCAAGAGTGATGTCGAGAAAGTGTTAAATACTTATTATTGAAAGCCTTAAATGATTAAAAGACCACGATCATTTCACATATAAATGCAAGAAACAGAAACGGAAGACAAGGGCAATATACGACGAAGACAAAACGTTCGATGGTAAACTAGAAACGGTGAAACTTACCATTTTGATAATGTCCATCCGGGTCGAAGCCACCGCCTCCATGCTCTTCCAATGCCAAATCTTGCTCCATGATGCGTGGGTCGATAGGTGATTGTGCCTGCGAGATTTTATTGTCGGAGGGAGGTTGCGCAGTGGTTGGTGGAGTTTGCGATATGGTGATGACAGGGGAGAGCGCAATCTTTGAAGAAAAACCAGTTTGACACTGGCTTGTTTCAGTCATTTTGATTGTCTGCTGAAAGGTTTAGTATCAACTCCAGATAATAAACGTGCCGTCAAAAGAAAATGGAAGTATGATTAGAAAGGCAATGTTGGAAAGGACCCAAAGGTTGAAAGTTATTGTGATTGCTGTTGTTGTTTTGTTGTTGATAAAAAGTAGTTATTTGTAACAAAGTAACTTTTAAATAGACAAGTTTGAACAAACAAACCACGCTAGTCAACAATGCAATTGAGTTTTTTAATAATCAATATTTTTGACGGAGAGCAAATGGCCAAATAGAAGATAAGACTCCGCAAATATATTCACTGAAGGCGGGGAAAATAAAACGCTTGAGATTAAACATGCCTGTGGAAGAAGAGCTGATAGTATGGCTCCCTTGCACTATAAACATAGCCCAAAAAGTGTTCGAGGCTACCATAAGAACCAAGCTTCGATTATTCAGATTAAAAAAAAGCAGATATAAAAACATATTTTTGAAGACTCCGAAAAATAGAGCAGCACAGAAATAAATTAAATTGTAACCAGATTTTGAAGAAATAACCAGCTGCGGAGGTTATGCAGGCAAAGGCTAGGAATTTGCTATGCTAGGAACAAATTATCCTCAAAATGATTGGAAAATGACATACCCTTGATGGATTAGAGAATATAGGATAGTCAGCACCTGGCAACATGATTCTAACTCGGCAAGGACTCATTTTGCAGCTTATGCGATGATAAATTCCACCCTATAAAGTTAAGAAAAGTCTTGGAAGCTTCGCTGCGATGCATCACAAAACTTGTTGGAGAGGAGGTGGTGATGGAAGGCAGGCTTGTTTCAATGCTAGGTCAGTCAAAACTCTTTTGCCGAGAATTAGTTAAGGATGAAACATGCGATGGCTATAATTGTGGTAGTGGTAGAGGGAGGTGCACTGCGACACAATTTGTGATTCGTAGAGAGTGATTTTTCTTTCAAATTCTGCCCTGAAAACCGATACTTAAGTTGAGCCCAAATTCATGGTCCGTGAATTAAAAACATGTTTCCGTCTGAGAGATAGCTAGGAAGTCCTGCACATTAGTAAATCATTCACTCGTAGTCACGAGTAGATTGACGTGCTCATGAACATCTACAGTCAGAAATTTAAGGTGACAACGAAAATAGATCAATTATCGCTGCCCTAGTACAGTCCCCTAATCGTCGGTAGCGTCATCGAGAAAAGTATATACTGAGTGTGCACCATGAGGATGAATACATAAGCTTACTTCAGCCAATATGAAAAAAGCGTTCATGAATTGTTGTTGCTTGCTTCATAGATTCTCGGTAATGCAGACTTCTATTTGGAATTATATATAGGGAAAGCAAAAATAGGGAAGCCTGCCTCCGCGGGATGTTGCCTGGAACGAATGAATCAATTCTTCAGTATCGGAAAGTGCACACACAAGTTACAAAGGATTAGATAATATTCTGAATACTGACGTATACAAGAATATCTGCCTCGGACATCACAATGAATGTATGCTGTTCAACATACTGAAACTGTCCTTTAGCATCAATCGAGAAACCTCTTATTCACCGCATAACATTGTGATTGTGCAAAACATGCTAATAATTTGGCAAATATCAAGCAAGTACGAAACGCTTCCAATTTTCTGCCAATCTAGTCACACCATCTTCAAGGTCCCAGCCTTTAATCTCGCAGATCTTCCGACACATGTCCTCCAGCATATTATCCATTTTTTCACCGGCAATGTGGAGGTCACTCTCGACGAGGACACGGTCATCGGGCACAGCTTTAATGACTTCAATTGCTTTAGCACTAGCTGGTGAGGACATATTGATGGCTGTTGAGAACGAAAAGTATATTTCAGCGGGGATTGAAGGGTGATAGTATTGTTTAAGGGTATCTGGAGGTCCAGAATATGAATGAAGGCAAACACGCGGAGGAAATGGTTTCAATATCTCATCTTTTGTATCCTGTTCATCATCCGTATCATCTAAGGGTGGTGGTACCCCAGCAGTCTTTTTAATCTCTCGTTTGCTAAAAACCTTTCGCTCATGGCCCTTCCAAGTTTCCTGCAACGTGTCAAATAGGACACCATGAGCTTGCACACCATGGACAGATACAGATCGCTGCATTTCACCTGCAAGTTTCAACTGCGCCTTAAGAATCACCTTCTGATGGCCCATCTGGACTCGGTATGGCGTAAGACGTCGACCTTCTCTTCCACCAGAGGTAAGACCTGCATCTCGAGACTCTTCGGCATCCTCAGACCACTCTCTGGGCAAGCGAAATTGCTTATCTAGGCCAACCTCCCCTACCAATGCTAACGGATACTTCAAAAGATACTCCTTTGTTTGACGAAGAAATTGTGTAAGTGGTCGAGGAGGTGGTAATGATATCAGAAATTGTTTGTCGTCTGGTTTTGGCGTCAGTACCTTTCCATAGTGATCAATCTTAAAATTTTCTGTATTAAGCAGAGACGAATCAAGCGAGTCTTCGGTGTCATCGAAAATTTGGTATGAGAACCAAGGATGCCACCCGAAACAGGGGATCATGCATTCCGTATTTGGATGATTGTTGGGCTGCAGTTTTCTCAGGCCATAAATATCAGCCACTTGGGCAACGAGCTCTTGGTCTTGTGCTCTGGTCGCCATGACAGTAAGAACTCTTGACTTCATCGAAGGCATATATTGGATTGAATCCATGGTATCGGTTGGATGGCAATGGGCATCATAAACACCAATATGCCAAGGAAATTCGACATTTTCGGCCATTTCAGTTGTAGCCATTAAAGCAGATTTGTCGAAGGGAAGAGGGTGAGACAGTCCCCAGTCTCCCTCATGGATTTATGCTCTACAGACAAATTCCCGTGTAACTTGACAAGTGAGGTCAAAAGAAACAACTAGATCAACATGATCTACCATTCGAGCCGGGTCACAAAGTGGACCGAGCTTTAGCGGCCGCATTACCCACATGCAATCCGCAAGCAATCACCCCACACATTTCACATGTAAATTACCTAGTATCCCAATAACAAAGCCTTCTTCATCAATGAGCTTCAAATTTTCAATTGGAAAGGAACTTCATTCCACTTTTTCACGCTGACGTGTTTTGACATTCAATTTTTTAGTCAAAATCATGAGGTTATTCAGTGCTTTTTACGCCACAATCTTACCTTTTCTTTTCTTCTTCACAGTTCCCATCGCAATATTCGCATCCATCACTACAACTTTGGCTTTTTGCATCCTATGCTTCCGAGTCGTTATCGTATACATTGAACTCGCCCTCGCCGTCATTCCATACTATCTTTGTGGTCCTAAAGATGATATCAAAGTCTCACAGTCCAAAAGGGCAATTTACAACCCTCCGACTTTAGCCTCTCGACGTAAGAAACGAAGAAGCAGCGCTAGCAGCAGTCAATCAGCCACTGGTTCTATCACACCAGTACCAGCTCGCATTCTAAAGGGCTCGGAGTCGATGCTTGGGTTAGGTCAAAGTGTTGGAATCACTAGAGATTATGAGGGCGTAGGTGGATGGCGTCTCGATGACAGCGGTTCTGATGACGATGCGCTGTGGACAAATATGAACTCTAGACTAGAATTACCTGCAAATCATGGAAGAAGACATCATCAGAGATCTTCGACATCCAGTAGTCTACCTTCAGAAGAGCTGAAAATTCGTAGTCCGGAGGCAACAATGAATACGTCGAAGGCTAGAACACCAACTTCAATAGGATTGGGTTTGGGAGGAGAGAGTTATTTTCCAACAATGACACCAAGTCCGAAAACTAAGAAGAAACCGTCTTTTGGGTCTGCGTCCGGATCCCCTACCAGTTCGAAGGCTAGTTCTGTTGTGAATATGAAGCAGATATAAGGCATTGGAGTTGACTTATTACGATTTATGATGGGATAACGGTAAACAGCACGTATCTCTAGCGTTCTTAATATGGAGCTTTATGCTATCCTATAATGTGAACAGTAGCCCATTATAGTGGGATCCTTGGGCTTTTTGGTATCTAATTGAAGCAATAAGCTTTCATTTACGTCTAAATTGGCAGTTTTCAAATATTGCAGACAACAGCCACAGGCTATTGCAAAACCCATAGGGTAACTCTTAAATTTTGGATTATGAAATAAGAAGGCGCTCGGCTTCCGGGCCACATATATGTGATGATGTTTATACATTGGAACTATTGTTCATAAATTTCATGCAGCACTCTACGTCCGCCAACCGTGGTATCAACAAAACCTCGTCTGCAAGTCAATACATTAGCCAAGAACCCTAGCACCAAAACGCCAGCCCAACTCCTTCCCGAATGATCCATCAGACCTCCAAGTGATCTCTACAAAGTCTGCCAAAAGTAATTCGCGTAGAAAAACTTCGAGAACTTGTTGTCCATGTTCACCACATGCACATCTCCCTTCTTCCCATTTCGAATAATAGCCTTAGAATATTCCCCACTCTCTCTATCCCTCTCAATATCAATCCCTAACCCTCTATAGACTTTTAGTTTGAGACTAATTTCGTCATCCACCTGGCCTCTCTTAACATTCTCCCCTCCTTCCATTCCCTGCTGTTCGAGTTCTTGCAATCGAGCCTGAAGATCCGCAAGTTGTGAAGAGAGACGTTCAGATTCGATCTCCAAGTCACTCGCTGCTTTTGCGATGCGGAACTTTTGTGTATCGAGAGTTGCTATTTCGGAGGCGTGTGCTGTGGGGGAGTGGGCGGAAACGGTTTCAAGATGATTATTATTTAGAGTATTTAGATTCCTCGATAGTTCTGGGTGGTATTAGTATAGGAGTTCACTTTTTGATGCCAGAAATCAGTCGCTCACTTTTCAATGCGCTCTCCGCTTCTCTTATTCGGAGATCTCGAGCTTGTTGTAATGTTGATAGAGATTCATTGATGCGAGCAACAGCGGATTTGTCGGGGACAATGTTAAAATTTCCAATTGTATGACGGATAAGAGTCGCGGGATCTTCATCGAGGAGCATTCTGTGTATATTCTGAGTGTCGAATGTGGATTTATTTGAGGTAGGGTTGTAAATGTGATGATGAAGCAAAAGTTTGGATGTGGGTGTTAAGCTTCAAAGTAAACAAACTTTAACGAGCCCACTTCTTGGAACGGCAACCAAAAAAAGGCAACAACCTAAAAGTCCCACGCGGCCGTGCCACACATGACGCCACAGCTTCCCAAGATCAAGCAAACCTAAAGCACCCTCAATCACTTCAATTAAATAGCTTCATATCGCAACTTCCATATTGTTTTCTGAAGAATACTAAACTTGAGGAAATAATTGAAAATGAGTGGCGGACTTCCATGTAAGTACAAATATGGCTACTGAAACATTGGATACCAGGCTCCATACCCTTTTTACAATATTCCTTTACACCTTTCGCCTCGAATCAGTGATGCTAATGAATCTGGCTATACTAGATGCTGCGGATGCCGAAAGGTTAGTTTTGTTTGAGGGGACAACTGCGAGGTCTTAAAACGCCGAGACTAATAAGATATCAGCCCTTTAAAAGCTGCAGAACTTCAGGTTTTGAGAGCACAATATGAGAAAGAGGGCGAGCATGTTGGTGTGCAGACACAGTTCAACTACGCATGGGTTTGTCCAGTCTACACTCTCATAATTTTTATGATCAATCACTGACAGGATCAGGGTTTGATCAAATCAAATTCTCGACACGAACAACAAGAAGGAGTTCGACTCCTCTCAGACATATTCCGCATATCTCCAGAACGAAGGAGAGAATGTCTCTACTACCTCGCCCTCGGCAATTACAAATTAGGAAACTTCTCGGAAGCACGACGATACAATGATTTGTTAATAGAAAAGGAACCGGAGAATCTACAAGCGAGCAGTCTCAAGGGGTTGATCGATGATAAGGTGGCGAAGGAAGGTTTGATAGGTGTTGCTATTCTCAGTGGGGTTGCCATTGCTGCTGGAGTGGTTGGCTCGATGCTATTCAGAGGTGTGGGTAGAAATAATAGATAATCGGTGGGATCGAATTCCGAGAAGGTCGGATAACGAGAATCAATGTGTTTGATGTATAAATTTGGGGGACTTTGTTTGATATACCATTGGAAGCGAAAGTGCGATCCTACAACATGAGAAATAACTTCACTATTCGTTATCGTTTTGTTCAATATTGGACTTGAAATGAGTGAATGGGCATGTTCCATTTTGTGTTTGTGATTCATTCTCATCACTCCGTTCAGCATTGACTCTCAGCCCTCTGTTTCATTCTCAGCCTCGGAAGTCATAAGAATCGACAAGAATTTTATGGAACTTTCGAACGTGGCAATTTAATATGCGTATACACTCATCCTGCAAGCAAATCCAAGTCGACTTCAATACGACCTTTTGAACCAGATTCAATCTTTTACATTCATTTGAGGTTACATTTGCAAAGACATACATCTGGCTTACAGATCCTTATCATCGTTTTTAGATCTGGAGAAATCTATAGCTAGCTGGGTATGTACTGCACCGGTAGTCCGATACGAAAGGGACCCAGCATAGCATACATAGCCTTGCCACCACTCACAGACCATGTCATATATGACTGAGCCGACCAACTTTTTGCGTCACCGACCCTAATCGCATTGGACCTGTTAGATTTCAATGATTCAACCTTCGTTTCTTGACAACGACCTAGTAACCTTATTAACCTTATTAACCTATTACTTTAACAATCTTCAGGAAAATCTCAAAGCGTGTCTTCTTCACCTTTTACTTACATCTACCATTGCTTGATTAGTTATCAAAATCCAAGTTTACTTTCTTTCCCCGCCCGTCCATACAAATAAATTTCCGATTATCAATCTAACGAGGCAGTTTCCCGAACTGCAGTGCAGGCTTACGCCACAACAAGTGTGGGTTGATTTGTGCCTTGCGCTGTCCACACACATATCTAAAGCAATCACACATAACCACACCGGTTACGATCTCTTCAAACCCCCTGCCAGTAGGGATAAAGGTCAACACACCTCCCCACTCTCATTATAGGATAGTCAAAAGTCGAAGCAAGCACGTCTGATTAACCACTCTGGCTTTCCGGGCGCTGCGCACCACCGGCCTGGCATTTTCTCTCGGTCTGACTGCCCTTGGGGCATATCAAACGATCAGAGACGCCATGGCAGATCCCAGAGACACGACTGGTGGGATTGATAATAGTGGCGGACGAAGACATTTGGACGCTACCGGTCCTAGGGAAGTGGTTTATTGTCATCAATGTGAAAACGAGTGGTACAAAGATGAGCATGGCTTAGTATGTCCGAGGTGCGAGGGGGAGATTATTGAAATAGTAAGTCTGTCCAAAGTTGCCCCTCTTTTCACTCTTCATCCCATTCTTTTCTGATAGTTTCATGTAGGTGGATCCAAACAGTGACCCTCGTCGTGAGACGGACAATTCTCGTTTTATTTCGCCATTGCGCGACCTGGACAACCACAACCCTTGGGCCGATGACTCAGATCCGGAAGAAGCAGACATTGAGGAACATATTACGCATGGCCCACATGGCTCTATAATGATATCGCAAACAATAAGAAGTACAAGGCCAGTACCATTTGGAGGAAACTTCAACACAATTACAGGTGAGATGCGTCGAAGGCGGAGCCCAGGAGGCGGAGGAGGAGATGACGACACAATGCGAGATTTCCAGAGTATGCTGGGGAATCTAATGGGTCCTAATCTGAGATCAAGCCGCACCGGTCGATCTGGTAATGACGACTTATTCCCACGCGCTGAGGAATTTCACACTGGTGGTGGTGGAGCTGGCTTTGGAATGGGTGGCGGTCGAGGACCTCATACTGTCGGTGGTCGTTACACTTTCGAAGGAAGATTTGAAAACGGTCGATTACGGCCAAGAGATGCAAACAGTCCCCAGGCTCAGGGAGCACCCGTCGAGGATTTGGCTACGTATGTACCCTTTGGTGATCCTTTTGTTAATTTTTATGAGCTGTTGTGCCTAGGCAGAGTTCAACCCCTCTCTGTTCCCAAATATATGGAAAAGTTTCAGATTGTACCAAATCTGGAACGGGGATCTTTTCTTAATCTTCGACCCTGTCTTCGTGCTCGTCTCGCTTAATATCAATTTCCTTTCTATGTTTGCTTAGACAATTCGCTGACCAGACTATCAGACTAATCTCTCATTTGTTTGCTCAAATAGGTGCGGTTCCCGCACCTGGAACACCTGGTGAAGATGACGAGCCTCGTCGCGGTATGCCTTTTCCCGGTGTTGTAGGCTTACCAGGACTTCTTCAAACACTTTTCAGTCACCAAAATGCCGTACATGGCGATGCCGTCTATTCGCAAGAGGCATTCGATCGGATCATGTCTCAGCTGATGGAACAGCATCAACAATCCAATGCCCCTGGTCCTGCCTCTCCAGACGCCATCTCGGCACTCCCAAAGAAAGCTCTGGACGAAAAGATGCTTGGGCCGGAAGGCAGAGGCGAATGTAGCGTTTGCATGGATGATGTGTTTCTTGCTACTGAAGTTGTCGTACTCCCTTGCAAGCACTGGTTTCATGAAGCTTGCGCCAGTGCCTGGCTCAGCGAGCACAACACCTGTCCTATCTGCCGCAAAGGCATTGGAGCTGAAGAGGCGTCCTCGTCTCGTCATGTTCATTCTGGTAGATCAAGCAATTCAACAACTCCACAATCCGCCAATTCTCCAAGTAATCGCCGTCCTCGTCTTTCTCGCCTGAATTCAGAACAAGATGATTTGATGGCCCGAAACCAAGCTCGTTTGGATTTTCTCCGAAATAGTCGCTTCACAGGTCCTTCTTCAGCATCTCCTTCATCAGAAAGGAGGGAAGTGGAAAGACATGCAGAGAGAGTAGCAGAACAAGCCACTGAAGATGGTATATTTCCTAATTCTTCTCGAAGCGAACACATACCGGGTATGTTTCCTGGTAGCAATACATCTACGTCTACATTGTACAGAAGAGATCCGGGCTTAAGTACGGGTACGAATGAGCCACGGAGAGGAACTGGAAGTTCCGGTCAGATTTCGTCAAGAGATAGACCAAGGAGTGAAAGGAGTGAAAGTGATAGCTCAGTTAGGGGAGACGGAAACGGAAATGGAGGGTTGGCTGGATGGTTTAGGGATCGTTGGAGAAGGCAGGAATAATCTGGGTGACATGTTGAAGGATTTGAAATTTTCGGGAAGCGGTTTATGATTCAAGGTGTGGTGGAGGAAGAAGAAAAATAAGAAGATTATGTGCGTAGTGTGATATTGAAAACACTTCCAAAGTTCTTCCTCCACACTCACCTTACTACGTTACAATATGATACACACAGCACTTGAGAGAAAGTAAGCGAGCATGGGATTTATCATGTATGCTTTTTCTTGTATGATTTTTTTTTTCTTTCTTTCTTTTAGCTAAGGTAGCTATGTAGCTAGCTAGTAGTCTGAGCGATGATGCTTGGCATTTTATTTTACTTATTTTACTTATTCTATCTATTCGTTTTATTAATAGATATGGTCTTCTTTTTTCTTGAACTGAGATTGAGATTGAAATTGAAATTGAGACTGAGATTTAGAAGATGATGACTGGTTAGTGGGTGGATACGGCTGGAAGGTTGTTTGGATGGATGGATAAAAATGATGAAAAGAATGAAGCAGTTGAGTAAGTTAAGTGATTAAATAATAAATAGGAGGATAGTTTAGTTTTAGTTGAGAGAATAATATAAATATATTGTGATAGATATAATAGATATAGTTTAAGAGGATATAAATAAAATATAAGAAGAGAGAGGAGAGGAGGATAGAATATATAAGATATAAATAATATAATAAAATAATAAAAAAAGAAAAAAAGAAAAGTAAAAGAAAAGTAAAAAAATAAAAAAAAATAAAGGAAAAAAAAATATAAAGAGAGAAAAAAGAGAGATGAAGAGCGATTGAATAAAGTTGAGATAGAATGAAAGTATTAATTATATTATATAATATTTACTTAAAAATTACTTTTTTATTTTACTAGTTTATTTTAACTCAACTCAACTTATATATATTCATCGACATTATAAATATTCTATTAGATAATTTCTTGTTTGATTTATAATTATATGCAAATTTTATTCCTTTTGCTATTCTATATTTCCCTATTCGTATTCCTATTATATCCTATCCTATTCTATCAATAATGTATCCTACCCTATCCTATCCATACACAATTACCCAATTACAAGATTTTTTCCTTGTCGTAATCCCTTCCTCCTCTCCGACGCATCTCTCTCATCTTTTATCTCCAAATGAATTAGGTACTTCACAACTAGGAATACCTCATACATAATCACTTAAAACCTGGACCCTCGTCCTTGCTACCTGTGATCCATTTTCTCCTTCGCCTACTTTGGTCATTATTTCAATCATTCGTACTATAATCCCCGGGATTTATTAGCACAGTACATCCAAAAAGAACAGAACCAGGTAGAAAAATGCCAGATAGATAGAAAAGAAAGAAAGAAAACATACCAATATCCCCCTTAGCTCTCACAAACAATGGATCCTTCGCTAATTTCTCCGCTCCATCTTCATCCTTTGCAACATCTTGCAACATATTTCCAATCATCATACATTCCAAAAATGCTCGATGATTAAAGACCCACCAAACTTTACTTTCACTCTCGAAGAGTTCGTAGAGGAGAAAGAAAGCTTTGATAGCTTCATGAGCCGCATCTAAAGTTCCTCGAATATGTGGTGGGACTTCAGGACTTTCGCTTGCGTGAAGTAACATTACATTATGGAAATAATTACTGGTGAGAAAAAGAGTTTGTCGTACAAGTCGTTTATTAGTTTGTGCTTGTAGGGCAATAGAATCGTGGTCCCAGGAGCGAAAGACATCGGGAAAGGATCGATAAACGGCACGGAATTCGGAGAGGAGTTTATGTTTTTGACGGGCGCCGGCACATATCGGAAGGTCCAGGGAGCGCGGAGAACAAATGCTTTCTTGGACGAGATTGGCAAGAGCCCAGCATCCACGGATATAAGCCATATCGTTCGGATCGCTATTAGCGATGGAGCTGTAATCATCGATGAGGTCATCTACGTTGACGTCTGTGTGTGTTGCACTTGGGGGGAGAGAAAGGAGGACGGTAAGAAAGGTATCTTGAAGAAGAACTGCTTGCCAAAGTTTCCGACGTTGTTGCTTGTCAAAGATAGAGGCATTTGGGGTGACGATATTGGGATCACGATGAAGACCCATAGCGTAAGACTGTCGGATTAGTATACCAGCAAAGGCCCAGCCATCAGAAGCATGATTGTCATTGATGAGGAAATATGTAATGAGAACCATAGCTTGAATTGAACGCATTGAAGCTTTGTTGAGATATGAACCCATGCGAAGTGACTGGTGAGCCGCAGAAACATAAAATTCGGCAGTTTGTTGTCGTTCTTTTGGTGGAGAATTGTTGACGAATTGAGTTCCTAAAGCCATCATGGAGAATATCATGGCAACTAAAGCAGCATCTGTCCTATTTCTTTCAGACGCTGGTAATGCCCAGAAATGCTCATAATCTGCATAAAAGGTTTGTCTATGAAGCATGGGATAAACCGGATCGACACATTCAAAGTATCTTTCCATCAAGATATCTGCTTGCTCCTTGGCTGGTAAGACTGAAATCACTTCTGGAAGTCCACCTTGACATGTCCAATAATTTGCAAATGGATGCTCAGAGCCAATGCCGAAGACATTCGAGGCTTTAGGGTGTGAATAGGGTACATTAGAAAGCAAACCAGTTGAGGATGCAACAGAGCCTCTAGATGTACTCCTTTCGTCAGGATCTGGTGCTTGTCTTGGCCTTTCGACAATATTGCTCGCCCCAAAACTTAACTTTTTTGGTGGTTTGGTCATACGTCGAGCATTTGCGGTAGATCTATTTGTTTCCCTAAAGATGATGTCAGTTGCCATTCAGGAAGTTTTGGATTTTAATACTAACTCAAGGATATTTGCTGCTGGGAGATATTCGCAATTCGATTGCCTTTTGATACCTATAGCCCAGGTCAACATAAACATGTAACCCAAACGTTGCTTATACTTACATGCAAGGCAATGTGGTCGACCTCGGTCGCACTAAACGTAAATTAGTACTGATTCGTAGAGAAGGATGGCTAGACTGAAGGATTGATAGATGGTTGTATACATTTTTAGAAGAAGGAAAGTGATAGCATGGGCACGTAAAGAAGAAGGGAGAGAGGCATGCTTATGTAGAAGAATGAGGTTACATCAGTACCAGTACAACGGGGAATATTTCATTCTCGCCCTTATTCTCCGATGTACGTACTTCATAAATGCATGATCAATTAAAAGTGCTTATAATAGCTTAGAGGAGGAATCATGATGTATCTCCGACTTTGACTAGAACCACGAGAGACAGTGTAACGGAGAGTAAAAGCAACTTTGCTGGAAACCTTTTGTATACGATGACGATGAAATGAAGTAAATCGAGATGCATGAGTTGTGAAAGGTATTACACAAACCAACTAACCTTTGTCTTGCGTTCTACACACTCGACACATGATAATGTAGGTTTATTACGCTTTTGTCTCTTCTTTGGAGGTTCCGCCGATGCGATTCCCTCTTCTGTCTTGATTGAAGCTGTTGCTGGACTTGTTACTGGAGATGCATTGAAGGTTGAATTCGAGACAGTCGGGGAATTGGCTGGAGGACATGAGATGGTCGCATTATATACAAGTGCAGGCGAGAGAGGTCCAATTGGCAGCGGAATGGTTCTTTGATCCATTTTAGGAATAAATTGATTGATTGGGATAGATCCGCTTTCCCCTGTTATTTGTTTGGTACGTCGTATATCTTGGCTTACAGTATAAAATATCTCCGTGTCGTATTATGATGATCTTTTTGGGTCGTTGCCGGGTCTTTCAATGCACAAGGAGGGAAATTTGGTAATTTGGTAATTTGGTTGATGGAAATAAGAAGAATGCGGCCAGATGGTTATGCGATTGCTCGGGAATATTATTAGTCGGGTAGGCGGGTGGGTGGAAGGTCGGAAGGTGGATAAGGCTAAAAGCTTCTCCAATGAAATAAAAAGCGGGGAAGTCGTCATTCGAACCAATTCATCATATATATATATAACAGATACAGATGAATATATTTATATAGTGATGAGTATATATCTATATATATATCTAGACAGGTAAATATAGAAATATCATCAAGATGATGAGATGATGAGATGATGAGATGATATGATACGATGAGAGTACTAGATCTTAAGTAGAAATTCTTTAAAGAATTAGTAAGGATAAAAATATACAAGAATGCAGATGCAGTACAGAAATATTAGCCTCCGAGGGAAAGTGGGAAAGTCCCCGACGAGACGCATGAACCACCTACCTATTTAGTACAGGGTGGACAATATGTGTATCTCTGGCCTGCTTACGTAACACACTTATGTAATGCACTCTTTATCCTTTTAAATGCTACTTTCACGTCGCGTATTCCACAGGCGCGTTGATTCGCGTTTTCGATAAGGAAATACTCCGTACAATCAATCAATCAATCATTAATGGCTTCATGGAATTTTAGTTTTACATCCATTCAATGGAATTTACCTCAACACGAGATTTACCTCCAACATCCGACCCAGCATTATTAGAAGACCCAGACGATTCATTTGATCCTTTGGTTTTACCATCACATCCTAAATCGGACGAATTTGAAGCATTGCATTTGCTTGAAGAGGAAATTCGGCTTAGAAAGAATAGAGAAAAAGAGGTTATTTAACATAGAGCTTGGAAATTGCAGAGGCATTTCGAATTGAGGCGGATCGGATCATATTCAAGGTGAGGATCTATCTTTTTGGAAAGATTTGGGCCAGAGATTGGACAAAATAGTACAGATTCTAACACTATACTTCTACAGTCCGAATAAAATCCTCGAAGCATCAACACTCCTTTTTCATACCTTCCTCCCCATCAAATCTCAAAATGCCATTAATATCTTCACCAATTGAATATCCTCAAAGTTCCTCACCTCCTCCATTGAAAAGGCCACATCCAGTCAAAGCCTCGGAACTTAGAAAGCCGCTCAAAGTTGGAGGGTTTTTCCTAGATGATGGCTCAGATGTTGAGGAGGACTTTGAACAACCTGCGGCTAAGCGACGAATGACTGAGAAAGCAACAGATCCAGTTGTGGTAATAGAAGAAAATTCACAAAAAGAATTCACAAACCAACCTGAAGTGCCACCATTGAGTACTAAACCACGCCAGACTGTTGGTGGATTCATGATATATGATGACGACGAAGAGGACGAGGAAGATTCAGGATTGGAGATTTTGCGGGAGACTCAATTGCGAAAACTTGCCCCTGGACCCATAACGAATTCCAATGAGGGTAACAGTCATACTTCAACATTTCCAGCATTTTTGAATTACATAACGACAAAAGCTGGGAATATACAGACATGTTCGGGGAAATCCTTTTCAATAAATCTAAAAAAGAAAAGTGCACCTATATCATTTGAGAAATTGGTAGCAGCAAGATCTGTCACGAAAGCTGGACGAGCGAAGAAGAGTTATTATGGGATAAATATACATGAGTTGGTCGAGGAAGCTTCGAAAGAGACAAAGGCTGAGGAATTACAAAAAGCTGAAATTCATAGTGAAATCGTACCTTCGATTGAGAACCTTGTTGGGAAGAAACCACGAAAATCATTGATGTGGACTGAAAAATATCGAGCAAGACATTTTATGGAACTTTGTGGTGATGATCGCACACATCGCCAAGTATTACGATGGCTCAAAGCATGGGATCCTATTGTTTTTCCTAAAGCTGGAAAGCCTAAAGTAGCGCCGGCAAAGAAATTTGGGGAAGTAGATGATGAAAAGCCTCATCGCAAGATTTTAATGCTTACAGGACCCCCGGGTCTGGGTAAAACTACTTTAGCCCATGTTTGTGCAAGACAAGCTGGTTACGAAGTTATGGAAATCAATGCCAGTGATGAACGAAGTCGAGATGTTGTTAAAGGCCGGATTCGAACAAGTGTGGGCACGGAAAACGTCAAGACTGGTTCAACTGTTACATCAAAATCTGGGCATGTATCGAAGAATGCCCACCCACTTTGTGTGGTTGTGGATGAAGTTGACGGAGTTGTAGGTGGTGCTGGTGGATCAGGTGAAGGTGGGTTTATCAAGGCTTTAATAGATCTAATACTTCTGGATCAAAAGAATTCTTCCTCGGTGGGCACGAATACCAGTTATTCGAAGAAAAAGAAAGGTGATGATTTTCGGCTTCTGAGACCACTAATCTTAATCTGCAACGATGTATATCATCCATCTCTACGACCACTACGTAATTCGAGTTTTGCCGAAGTCATACATATTCGAAAACCACCATTAGACGCTGTTGTTCAGCGAATGCAAACAGTTTTTGAGAAGGAAGGGGTGTCATGCGATAGTGACGCCACTCGTCGATTATGTGAAGCAACATGGGGAATAAGTCCAATGGATTCCAAGAAAGGGGCCGAAGGAACGGGAGAAGGTGATCTACGTAGCATTATGGTAGTAGGAGAATGGGCAGCAGGAAAACTTAAAACCGAGTCCAAAGGCCAAAGACCTCGCCTAACTCGAAAATGGGTTGAACAAAATATGACCAGTGATCTATCTCATGGTGGAGGTGGTTCTCGTGCCGTTGGACGAGGAGGTATTAAAGAAGTTGTGAATCGTGTCTTCCTCGAGGGAGCCGGCTTTCCTCGACCTACAAGTTTTAAAGACATAATACCAGATGATGCGTTCAATTCAGAGCCTAAAACACAACTTGGTGTTGCTGAACTCGCTCGAAAAGCAGGGATGGAACGCCTCGGATCCATGATCGAGACAAGCGGCGATACTGATAGGATCATGACTGATATTTTTGGCGAATACCCTAATCAACCCTTCAACGATGATTCCATTCTTTCTAAACCGGATGCTGCATATGAGTGGTTACATTTCCATGATAGTTGTTCATCGCGCGTCTTTTCAGGTCAAGAATGGGAATTAGCTGGTTATCTCACTCAACCTATTCTCGCATGGCATCATTTATTCGCCTCCCCTGCTCGTCATTATTTTCGCTCCGAAAACCAACCAAACAAAAAATGGAACAAAAACGATGAAGATGCTGAGCCTGAGACCGAACCCCTACCATTCACTGGCCCTCGTGCCGATTTCTCGGCCTACGAAATGGAAAAATTAAATAGAAGTACGATTCAAGGATTACAAGCTCAACTTGATGCGAAACTTCTAAGGAGTTTTAGAAGTTGTGAGGATATCGCTATGGATTTATTGCCATTTGTAGTTCGTATGATAAGTCCAGATGTGAAGCCTATTATCGTGGGTGGAAGTGGCGAGACGAAGGGTGTGGCCAGTGTACGCAAAGATACGGAAAAGAGAATGGTTAAGAGAGCTGTAGATATCATGAGCGAGATTGGTGTTGTGTATGAGAGAGGCAGATTAGAGGGTAATGCTTCAACCGCGGGAAAATGGGGAGCAAGTGAGTGGGTTTATAGAATGGAACCACCGCTTGATACATTGGTTACGTTCTTGACTTCGCCGTCGAAAAGTGATGCGACGAATGTTCGGTATGCGGTGAGACAGGTTCTAGATCAGGAATATCAGAAAAATATTATCGTGAGGGAGAATGCGGCAAGACAGGCGAGGTTTAAAGCGGGGAATTTGGATGGAGGGGATGAGGAGTTTTCTTTTGAAAAAGCAAAATTTGGGAAGGGGAAAAGTGAGAAGAAAGTTTTGGGAGTGGGTACAGGGAATGAAATTAAGAAGGATTTCTTCGGGAGGGTGTTGGAAGATAGGGGTGGGAAGGAGGGGTGGGAGAGAATAGCGAAAGTGGAAGGGGGAAGGGGAAGGAGGAAAAGAAGGTTTGGGTTACGTTTCATGAGGGATTTTCGAATGCGGTTAAGAAACCAATTACTATTGCGGAGTTGATGAGGGGGTTGTAGGGGATTTGTTAGGGTGCCCATTGAATTGGATCTTTAATACTATTACTTGTAGTATTAGAGTCGGTATTAGCATTAGTATTAAATATCTGAAAAAAGTACCCTAGTAATGAGTCATGAACATGAATATAGAACATAGAATATCATTCATCGTAAGCTTCAAGCCTACTTATCCATCATATATTATATATAAAACGAGAAAAACTATCCAGAATATCTTTACCCCTCTCTCTCCCTCCCTTCAATGGAAAACAATATCTACATCTACTCACCCTCAGATGTCAACCCTTTTTTATATCTAGAATTCAAATTTATACTTTGAAATTAATATCTTCTCAATCTTAAAGTTTATAATTATTATTTAGATTTTAATCTATAAATTATAAGATAATTATATATTATATCTTTATGTATTATAATTACAAGAAGTGATTATAAAAAGTATATTGATATCATTATCAATACTAATGTCATATTTGGTAATCTTATATAAACTATATAAACTCCAAGTGTATAGCACACACAGATATTTAAGCGAATCCGAACCATCTCAACAATCGCTTATTGATAGAAGCGAGTTGTAATGATAACTATTAGAAAGGCTGAAGCAGATATGAATGTATACGCGGACCTTGAACTCTGTGTTCATATTGATCATGCATAGGTCTTCATGGCTATGCTGAGGCTTGATTTCTTAAGCAGTGAGTGCTCCTTGTTTTCTCGCTAATTACATCCTGTTCACGTGAAATCACTTCCCGCCAAATTTGTCTGATCATCTATCTACTTTCAATAGATCGTTATTCAAAATTTCATATCCGTTTATACGCTTGAGATTGCTTCATCAAAGTCTTTGAAGATTATGTAAATGCATGTATATATATGTGAACTGGGGGAGGTTATTTACTTGGCTAACTTGGGTTACGATAGAGATAGAGATAGAGATAATTGAGGTTGATTTATCCTTTAATAAGAAAAATGAAAAAATGAATAGAAAAACCATAGAAAAAACAAGGACGCATGTCCGTTGTCTACCAATACAAAATTTTGCTGTCTGGGATACACACGGGTTACAGTTTAGAACTGTAGGTTGAGGTGTACTGGGCGGGACTCATCAATATGAATGACATTTTTGTCGAGCTTGGGCGTTAGCACTCTTGAATCATACAATATTACCAAGTATAATCATTCGTATATTGTTCGGCTCTGTTACATCTCACATCTCTCATATCAATGCAACCCGCCTGTCCTTTGAATACTGACACCCGTTTGATATATATTACCATTTAGATTCAATTCCTAACGCCAGCTTCCTGGTGAATGGTAATAATATCGTTTCCCATTTTCGTAGATTTTACAAATACAGAGTGTTTTTGAATTTGCTTTCAAGTGACTCCGTTATAGACAGAATAATTATAAAAGATCGATGGAGGAACTACAGTGTAGCCTCTAACAGTTCATAGTATAGTGAATGAATGTAGTACAAATCAGCTGTACTAGAATGTTATTGGTTCATTGCAAAATCTAGTGCATACAATTCACCGGATCCGATTGCAGTCAATTAAGCCATGGACTTTTGCTACTAGGGTAGAATAGATATGAATTCTCACACATGATTACATACACCTATTAACGATTCACAGGTAAATCCTATCTTTCCTCTTTCCCTGATTTAAGTTACTAAACTGACTCACCATGGTCACTATGTACTCTTGAAATTTCCAGTAGTTGTCATATAAAGCTCATCTTGCACTCTTCCTCTTAGTTCTCGAATTTATGTACAGTGACTGAGAAGATCCTAGGTACAATAGGCTGGAAGCTTGCATTATGAGGCTGTAAAGTAATTGTATATACTTGTGGTTATTCTAAGCGGTCACGGTGCTGAACTTCTAAGAACGCTCGATGAAAGGTTGTCGGATGGGAAGTTAATGCCGTGCGATTCTTGAAATACTTCCGAGTCAAAGCTATTTTGCCTCAAGTAGCCAGCCATAAGAAACAAGAAAACTCATAGATATATATCTGGGATAGAGCCAAAACTGGTTTGTCATTGTCGGCTCATAGGATTACTACAGTCTTAACACGGAATCAATGTCAATCTACAACATCAGGTTAGATTGAGAGAAGGACCAAAAAGACGGGTTTAAAGCCGAAACGAAACGAAACGAAACGAAACGAAACGAAACGACACGAAGAATCAGCGCAAGAGTGCTTAAAATGATGAATTGAAAGGCCATAATTCTAATGGCGGTTGATGTTGTATAAACTAAATGGCTAGTTCACTAGTTGAACTGTCACTTTAGTTTGAAATTCCTAGAATAAAATAGCAGCTAACCAGTGCATTGATTGCGCACCATTTCAATTAGTTAAAGCTTGCCCGCACTGATAATATTATGTAAAACCCGGGTTACGACTCTAACTCATGTACCTTCAAGCTCTTCCTATCAGCAAGATACTTTTCTGCGACCACGTACAGTGAGCACTTATCTGACTGGCAGATCGGTGACCCACTATCATTGAATCTCAAAGTTATTGCAGACTCTAGACTGTACTTCTGGTTCTTCTGTCATTTACAACATTCCCGTAGCTAAGACGTAGTACCATTGTTTGTAAAAAGAAGCATAATATAAAAGCTTTTTTAACAACAGTTCTGCTGCGAGATGTCTTGAGCTGGAATAGCCTTATATATCAAATTTCATATATAAATTGATCCCTTTTTTTTCCAGGCCGGTCTCCGGATACCAATATGTATTCACTAGTGATTTGGCAGATGTATATCGCCTGACGAGATAGAAACGAAAATGGTTACAAAGCAGACCAGAAGCTCTTTCACGGGCAACATAACTAGCAAAAAAGCATAATGTAGAGCAAATCCAGGAGTAGGAATTGGATATCACCACCCAGAGCTTCATCATATGATTCTATTTAAAGGTATACAACTCAATCCGTGACAATCCCAGGATTTCGAAAACTGAAATTTATTACCATCAATCAATAAAATGACATGCATATCGTCACTTTTCCACAGCTCGGACGAATTTTGGGTCAAGATGCAGTGGGATGGTACCTCCAGTGTGGAATTTGTACCGTGAGTAACACTGATGAAGAGCCTGGCGCTCAAAAAGTCAATCATCAATCAAAGAAGCGACTCAACGAATTTCCAAATCACCGCTGTCTTCCGCCAAAAAAAATCTGATTCTATAGTAGAGACGTCAAGTAACTGTTCCACTTTTTGCCAGAAATTTGGATTGACTCTTGATTGACTCAGACACTTATACTACGTGACACTATTCAGGTTTCGCATCACTCATTTGAATATCCCCTCGTTCTTTCCGAAGCGGTGTATATAACACTTGCTTACTATCTCTTTTTGAGAATAATTTTCCAGACAAACTAGAATCGTAAGTTCTCATGCTTTGTGCGACTTCAGGTATAGATATAGGCTACAGAGTATTATTCATGGCAGCCCTTAGTAGCCACCGAATAGACAGGTAGTGCATATTGAGCATAGAGATGTGTAACATAAAATATCTAGGTATGGTAAAGTATTCTATTGAATAACGGAATTTCGGTCTTGAGAATGACAGTGACAAAAGCCTTGCTGAGAGTGGCAAGTAGTAGGATAGCAAGCAATATATATCATAAAATGAGATGAGGTTGATCCATAGCAGGTGAGCTAGATGATATAAGCCAATATGAGGTAAGGGGAGGCATCAAACACATCAAACCCGAGCAAAAGCACAGGACAAAGCCATCGTTTTAATTTTTAATTTCCGGCTAGTAAAAGCTATCCTACCCGGCATTAGCAGATTTATATTCTTCAATTCTACCTCCCTCACAAAAAATCAATTTCAGATTCAGAAATGGTAGATCTGAGACCTTTCCTGCTGATAATAAGAGGCCTCGGTATAGAGCCAAGAGTCTATCTCAGCAAATATTACCCAAAGAGACATACTCATAAGTTAACTACTCCATTTTAATATTATCTCTAAAGCTTTACAGGCTAAGATCAATAAAGGTCGAAGATATTTTCCCACTCTTCTATGGGTCTGTCACAGTGTACGAAGAAGAATGAAGATGCAAAGCACATGAAATTGATATAAAGAGACGGCTTGTAAGATTCCTACCACCATGGCCATTTCTATATGATCTGACAATCATATATATAGAAAGTACAGTCTAGTTTGAGGAACTGGGACGATCGACTGTGTAGTTGAGTGCCGTCGAACGGCATCTTCTGAAGATATCACATCATCGCATTGTGATATTTTGCATAAATATTTGCTAATTGAGCGATCATATCGGCAATTCGGAGAGTTTGACGCGAGATACCATTTTCTAATTGGTGGACTTAGATGAGTGATATCGTTTCAAGAATGGAAATGTTGCCGTTTTGCTCTTGTCCATATATAGATACGTGATGATAATGTTGTGGATAATTAAAAAGCTGGGTTACATTTCGTTTCATGCAGCTCTGTTTAGTAGTAGCACACTACGAAGATCCCAACAGAAGTCTTCTAACCAAGCATATGCAAGCCAGCTCTGAAAATGCAAATATTCTGAGTAATTAAGCGAAGAAAAAATAGATGCACAATTAGGTATATATTGCTGATATTAGATTCCAGGTAAAACTCCGATTTTTGTAGTGTCCCTAATTACATATCAAAAGAGGAAGTTGATCGACTAGCCTGCTGGTAATATCACCCTGAAGTCAAAAGTATCACATAATGGACTAAACAGCGGATGAAGGCTAGAAAAAGTCACTAACTATAATCTTAAGCGTATCATTTCCTCCACGCGTAGTGTTCCTAGCAATTTTACAACCGCAACTCAATGAAAAGTTACAAATAAAACGTTGTAATTCACTCTTCCTAGCCGAGAATGCAGTAAAATCAAAAGTAGGCTGAGAAGCGGAGAATAGGAATGCAGAGGAGCTAAAATCCCCTTCTCATATAAATGGACTAGGAAAGTAGTGTCCGCACATTCATAGAACTACTCGCACAATTACCAGCATGAGCCCTGTAATTTTGCTAGACATGCAACATATTCTCTTTCGAAGGCATTGAATGGATAAGAATCCGGGATACTAGTTACGGTTGGAAAGTAGCTCAAAGTTAGGTAAACTTGGTGTTGTTAGCGTGACCACGCCGATGATCGAAGAAACGATGGAAAATGGGGGGGCACTGGTCAGACTTGTTATAGAAACTGCTCAATACAATATGAAATGCTCGAATCTCTTGTTACTATGGTCTACCTTATTTTCATTACAAGTCATCAGGACAGAATCTCCACACTTGTGGTCTGAAGAACTCTTTGAAGCACTCATACACCCCTCCATCCACCTCTTAACGAGAAAATTACAATTATGATATCGTGGGCATAAAATCCTGTAGTAATTAGGTACCAACCGCTCTTAAGAGTTTGGTAACGCGGCGCTCACGCAGAGTCATATCTTATCCACGGATATGCGGGGTCCGTATGGAATATCCAGCATGAGGCGGTGGAGCTGTCATATCACAGTAGGCAATAGCCAGGGCAGGATGCGAAGTTGCCTCGTTGCCATGATACCCACTGGAGATTAAGCAAACACAAATGGAAAATCAGTGCTGCCCTCTTTGATTTGTTCCCATACTATAGGCTATTGATGAGAGGGTTTCAAACCGGATGATAGGACCGTATGAGGCAGGGCAAGTTAAGACGAGGCACAACAGGTGTTTTGAAAGAGAATTATGGGAATTGAGCAGAGCCACTTAGGGCCATGATGAAATGTCATGCTAGGAAGTGTAGTGGTATTTGATATTGAGTGAGTTGAGTTGAGTATTTCAAGATCACGACAGGAGTTTCCAATCTCTAAACTTTTGTGGCGGCCCATCCAATCTCCCACGTAGTGTTTGCGGCGACGACTTTATTCTCCACAGTCCAGAACCGAGTCACGACCAATATCCCTCATCTTCCGGCTCCGCCACTGTTTTTCTCATCTCCGTAGCCTCTTGACACCGCTAGTATCATGTTAGATCATGGTAGGGCAAAAAATCGAATACTATTCACCTCGCATAGTCCTTTCGTATCTTCAATCTCCTGTCTCAGGAAGACACCACCGCAGTTTTTAGAAGGCTGATTGCATGGAACGTCTATCGAAGGGCTGTGGTGACCACATTCAAATAATCGGATGACTTGATAACACATTGTGATTGCTTGGGACGTGACTTGCGGTGATTAAAGAGGCAGATTTGTGGTTATTGTCAGTCGTGGTAGCTGATGTATCGTTGTTAGTATGGCGCAATGGATCTTCTGGAGAAGAAGAGATGAAGATACATTAAAGTCCCTCCCAAAGGATGTGGTCTCAGCACAAATATTGTCATCCGTGGAACAAAGATAGCAAGCAGCCTGCTGAAGCGATTGCTCACCCTCCCGAAATTTGCAAGCAAGCGATCCGCCTATTGTCTCTTGTTTGCAGCGTGGGCGAAACTTTTGTCGCACTATACAACGTTTCAATTTTTGATAGCCTTTCCCTTGTGTGTCAAAATGACTTCCCTTTCATTCTGATCAACCCCAGTGTACTGCATCTCAACTTCTAAGCCACCCAAACCTTCATCAGCTGCTTTTCGGTTCCACAACATCTGCATAATCTTTCCATCCGCGCCGCACAGTACATAACCCATCGGCCACTGACTCCTGCCTAAAGCTTCTCTCACACCTTTGGTAGCTGCTTGCTGCGAGACTAAAAATGCCAATACACTTGATGTTCTCCATCCTTGCGGAGCACCCACGAAAGTCCCTTCTAGTTCTCGAGCTTGAGCTGGCTTTATTTTGGCTGCAAATGCTTTGCACTGTATGAGGACTTTTAAAGGTTGGGGAGCTGTGGGTAATGGCCATGTTCCAAGTAGGTCGATTCCACAATCTGATCTTCCGCCAACCTGCTTGAGAGACATGCCTAACCGCTCCAGTGCATTTTTGGCCATATATTCATAATGAGTTCCGACATATGTAGTACTGCCTGTGTCCATGTTGTTGCGTGATGCATATTCCAGAAAACTGGGCAGATCATGATGCTCTGCATTTTGTGAGTCAGGAAATATCAACTCATGCGCTCCAGTAATAGTTTCGGGTGCAGTTGCAGTCGCACCGTTTGCAAAATATCGGCGTAATGATTGCTTTCCCAGTTGCAAGAGACGCCGCTGAGGACGTGCTGAAAACATGAAGATTGATTGTGTTTGTCAGTATCATGTGACTAGCATGATTTTCCACGGGTAATTCGTCCTATGTGATGCAAAACGGGAGCAGAGACGGATTACCTGCATGCACTTAACCAGCAAGAAGAAAAGCGGTAGCGATTATATCGTGTGAAAGAAAGTTCTCTATAATATTTTTTGATAAGTGATGCACGGAAGTCGGAAATTATGCAAGGCTACGCCGATTTGACTCCGGCGAGCTAAGCCCTTTATGGTCAACTCCCCGCAAAAGATTATCTGCAGGGCTGACATTTGCGCAACCTCCAGAACATCTTTTCGGAATCCATCTATACATTTGAATCCCATTTCTCTCCCAACAACGAGTTATGGCCGACCGATTGACCCAACTTCAAGATGCTATTGATGAGGTCTAGTTCACTATTGAAAACATACATTCTTATCTCCTTGCTGACTCTAATTAGCTCGCTCTTCAATTTGTCGCATCGCTCGTATGGGTTAACAAACATCATGACTACCAAACTCTCAGCCCCACCGACATTGTCCGGAAGGACACCAAGAAAGATGAATCGGGTGAAGCATTGCCAAATGAAGACGGCTGTGAGAACCCTAGCTCTCCCTTCTTCTAAACTCGACTGATCTCCCTTTATAGTAGAACCATTACCCGCGGACAAATTCAAAGAAGGCCAGGTGGAATTGGCACGAGATCTTATTGTCAAGGAACAACAAATCGAGGTACTTATCACAGCATTGCCGGGCTTGGAGAATAGCGAAAAAGAGCAACAGCAGACAATTCAACGGTTAGAGCGGGAACTGAAGGAGGAGGAGGAGAGGAGGAAAGAGGCTTTGAAGGAGAAAGAGGCTGTTTTGGCTAGGTTGGAGGGAGTTATAAGGAGTATCAAAAGACCCTGAACTAATTTTTATTTGATTCTTTCTTCCTATTTATCTATAACTGCGAGATTTGGCGTTTGGGTGGAGGGAAGGCGTCTGGAAATAGGGAAATGCGTCGGGCTGTCGGGTCTAGTGGATTTTCAACATTAAAAAAGTCTGGGGAACGGCGGGAAGCGTAAAGTACACCGTCGTTTTAAACTACCTGTAAGGCAGACGGTTATCCTAGAATCCTGCATGGCCTACATAGACAAATATCAATTTGATCGGGCTGTGACATGGGGCACTGTTGAAGGAATGAAAGATCAATACCATGATACAGAAGGATGTCAACGAGAGAACTGCGGAACTTGTAGCTCAGGACAGTCAATGTAACCATTGAACAATCTTGAGAATGGATATCTATTATTCTTGACCTAGTCTATTCTATTAAAGAACAAACTCTTTGTTCTCTGTCGTCGCCCACTCGATTAATGAAAATCATTTTGCGAGGTTGTATTGTATGCTTCTGAGCACATCATCTATCCATTAAGTAGTAATGAAGAATTGCGGGTAAACAGTCCTCAACTCTTCCAAAGTGCTGATTTGAAAATTGGCAACGGGCTTAGGAGGTGATTTTACACCTTCCTCAACCAAATGTGCTGCTGTCCAACCAAGTTTATAAGCTGCCTCGCAGTTTATGAGCGAGTCATCTAAATGTGTAAGCAGTAATATTGATGAACTCGGACCGAGGAAAAAAACCTACCAACAAAATAACAATCTTTATACTCCTTCACTCCAGCTTCTCTCATGGCCTTCTCGAAAGATTCCTTATAAGGTTTGCAAATCATCTTCTCCTGAGCATAATCACAATACGTCATACCCTCAAATAAATCCTCTACCCCTAGTAGACGAACGACACGCTTCCCGTGGGTGACATAAGCATTGGTAAAGAGCCATAACTTGACCTTGGACCGATCGATGTCCTCGAGAAGCTTGCGTAGCTTTGGATCCGGCGAGAGAATGGTTTCTAATGGCACGGCATCATCTACTTGACGATTGTATTCCAGCGCATCAATCTTGTGATAACGTACTAGACCTTCGATGGCGAGGCCGTAGGTTTTGTAGTACTCTTGATGAAGATTATAAGCATCTTCTCGACTGAGCTCTAGATGCTTCATGAAATATTCATCGATCAGAGCGGTCATGTGGTCATGGACATTCTTGCCTGAATGCGACGAGTCAGTTGATGTGGTAGAAATTAATCTGTAGGAATGGCAAGGAAAAGATTCGTACTCTTGGAATATAACTGTAAGGAGGTTAGCAATCATAAAATCATACCAAAATATAAATACAAGCTTACGCAATTATCAATATCAAAGAAGAACACCGGTCGTGTATCCGCCATCTTGTTGGTGAAGCGAGAATTAAGAGATGCGGGTTTAGAGGAAGTAGTAATTGATCTACTTGCCCTAGGAATGGCGTATTTGTAGGTTGTAGTAGGAATTGAAGAGACGGCGCGAGTTCTAGTACACCTGAAGATGCTATACATTGATCAATAAAAGCAATAATAAGGGAGTGTGGAGTGGAGAGAGATCGGGTTACGATAATTGTCTAAAGAGTCATTCGGGAAACATCTGTACCGGCCGATCGGGCTTCCATTTCAAGTACTAGTAGATATCTCTCCAAGTACTCCGTACCAACCATTCAGGTACGTACCAAATTAAACTCCACAGCCACCCTTGTCATGCTGTGTTGAAGAATTTCTGCTTAGTCATATCAGCGTGCACCTACCAACTTTTAATTTTCTAGCCTTGAACACAATTTCTAATTTCTCGACCGTCTCAAGACATACATCCATCCAACTTTGCATCTCAAAATCTACAACAAGAAATATTCAAACAACACAACTTGGCAGCTATAGTCAATCTTCAATTTATCTGTTAGCCTGGATACTTGCAGATGCAAGGAGTCATTTTCTTTTATTCTTAATTAGTTTAATTGCTCGCTTTTCTCAATTATGGCCCAAGGGGCTGTTGCTTCTGTGCCGATCAATGGCACAAATGGCGTAACACTGACAACAGAGAATATTCGTGAAATTCGGGAGTACGAAAAGATAATTTCATTTCGAGATGCTGTTCTTGCAGGAACTCATCCTCGTGTCAAAGTCCCTTCACATATTTTAGGAGTGGGAAAGCAGAGCAGTTTGGCTCGTAATAATTCATCACCCAACACATCAGCAGTACGCGCAAATGCGCAAGCAGCCATCGACTCGGCGCCATCCTCGAATAATCATTCACCAGTCAATTATCGTGCTGCAGCGACAATTGGCCAGCTTACGAAACAGTCCGTACCTACGAGCTCTACTAAATCTGTGAAGACTTCGGAGATTAATCCAATCCTGTTGGAAAAGTCTGATGATCTTATAAAGGCGGAAATACAATTGCAGAGGCAGAGATTGGAAAGAGCTCTTAGGGATCAAATGGACCAACATCGTCTGGCCCAGAAAGCTTTGCTTCAGACATCTGAATCCCTCCCCAATTTTGATCTTACCGAAGTCTTACAAAAAGCTCTTGCTATAGTTCACCCCGCCACGGCTCCAGAAGTCGAGCCTTCGGTGGGTGCTGGAAGTGATTCGTTTGATGAAAATTCTTTCTATTCTAGTCAGCATGATACCCCAGAGCCATCCAATTCATCGCATAGTCACAAGCCAACCCTTAATGGGCAAGTCCGCGGTGAAGTATCAATTGAAGAGCAAGCAGCACACGCTGATCCTGCCATCAACCAGGTTGAAGATAATGAAGTGGTTATGACTGGCAGTTCACTATCCCAAAATAATCATTTAGCATCCGAAAGGCATTCACAATCACAGTATCGCCCTCTAGGAATTCAGAACAGACATCCTGCCGAACAACAATCTCCAAATGGTTATCGTGGAAAGGTTACCCAAGATCCGCCATATCCCAGAGTTGTGCAAAGTAGAGTATCTGGCATTGTTGATCTTTCCCAGGATAGTATAGGTTCTGAAAGCGCAGGTTCTCAACAGATGGGTGATCGAGTGGCCCCACCGAAGGCATCCGAAGTAGATGTGCAACAACCGCTGAACACCCGGGCCCATAACCTATCTCCCTTAGCACCACAACCTGCCCGAGTGTCACCATTAGCTACTGCAAGAGATCCTCCTATCCTGCGAGATGCCCTCCCTGTCCATGAGGCACAGCCACCTCAGGTTGCTGCACTCCGAAATGCGGCTTCGGGCTTATCAAGTGCAGAGAGTTCCCCTAGTGGGCCAAAAATTCCAGAGAAAAAGAAAGGAAAGAAGAAGAAGCGTAAGGGTAATGATAATGGCCAAACCGATACACCAGATTCTCCATACATTAAGGCAGAACCTCGCTCGCCTTCTCCCTTCGCTGCTGCGACTTTGCCACGACCACAAAAGAGACAGCGACAGTCAGGTCAACACGCGTCAGAGCTCAACTATGATGAGCCTAGGTATGAGCCACTCGAAGTGATCCCGGAAGCTGCTCCTAAAAGATACGAAGACGCTCGAGCTCCCGTGCGTTACGAAAGTCGATATACAGATCAATATGCAGAGATTCGACGACCAGAGCCTCTATATCAACGTGTGGAGCGGGATGATGTGGAATATCAAAGAGTTGAGAGTGGAGGACAGTATACAAGAAGGCAAGCATCTCCAGTTTATGCTTTACCATACTCTCGGCCAATTAGGGAAAGCTCTCATGCCATCGTGGACCGACACATTATTGAGGAACCAAGATATTACACTGAAAGAGAACGACCTGTATTGTCCAGGATGAGTGTCCGCCCAGATGCTGATCGCGAGAGGTCTCGCTCGCCGATTATGAGAGAAAGAAGATCGCCAATTCCGATGGGACCTCCACGCCAGCCTGTTAGGATTATTGTTGATGCATACGGCCGTGAGTATATTGATCCTACACCCGCACCTTCCATGCGTCAGTCAGTTGCACCAATTGCTAGGCGACATGACGATGGAGAGCTTTATTATGAGCGTGCCCCTGTGAGAACAATGTCTACACGCCCACCGGTAGAAACATTTGAAGAGGATGGAGTCTTGTACAGGAGAGCTTCCCCTATCCTTGCACCCCCACGACGTGTCATCGCACAACCAGAGTATGCCCAACCAGACTATCGTTCATATCGTGAACGGGAATACTCAGTTCGCCCAACTCCGATGGGACCACCAGGCGAAGAATATGTTAGGGTTAGAGCTCAACCTGAACGTCGTCAAGTCAGCCATTACGACGAAGCCCCTCGAGAGTATATTTCCCGACCACAAAGCGTTCGACCAGAAGCCATCAGATACGAGGTACCAAGAGAATATGTCGGAAGACTTTCAAGTGTTCGGCCTGAGGCCCCTCTGAGGGAATATCCCGAAGTTCGTCGCGAAGTTATGGCTCCTCCACGTCGGGAGTTTAGCGTCCGTCCTACGGAAATCATTCCTCGTAGTCACCAACCGACAGCAGTAGAAGGAGAAAGATATTACGAGGTGGAGAACCAAAGGCCGGCTATAATTGAGCGGCCTCGCGAAAGAGAGGGGTCAGTGTTTGTTTATGCGGATGATGTTCCAAGGAAAGTGTACCGTTGAAACCTGTGATACTAAATGAAAGCCAAGACCCTGTCTGGTGGACCATCTACCGGCCGTCTGTTCCGAGTCGGTTGTGGCTGGTGTTACACTACCGCTTTGTGGGGAATCATGCAGTTTTAAGATAAAGTAATTATTTTAGGGGGTTTTGTACCTGTGTGTTCAGTCAACAGTAGTCTTGGAATTGGATATCTAGCCTTGTAGATCATTATTGCATGCAGAAGCGAGGACTAAATTTATGTTGTTGTACTACTATCAAAAGCCAGAAATCATCACATAATTGAATTCAATCTATGATCGACGTGAAAGATTCCCATTCCTAGAGGCAGCAATGATGAAACCAAGTACTTTAGCAAGTAACCCAAGCAAAATAGCTCAACCATGTTAGTATAAGCTTTTAAAATTAAAAAGTTGTCTGGGGTCTAGAACGAAGTTTGAGTCTTAGGTAGCGATTGAGTTCACTAGTTTCTACCAAAAGTAGGTAGGCAGATAGGTAGGTAGGTAGGTCTTTTAGTAGATGATTGTGAGGTTTGTGATGTTGAGGCAAAGTATAGATTATGGAGTATGGGTTGTGAATTTATGGTTGTGGATTATAGATTATGGAGTATGGGTTGTTGTTGATTGTGGAGATGAATGGTTATGGAATAGAGTATGGTGTATGGTGTATGGTGTATGGTGTATAGAGTAGAGTAGAGTAGTGTTTGTGGGAGGATAGTTTTTATTAAATTTGGATAGGATGGATGGGATGGATGGGACGGGAGGGGGTTTGATGGATGGATATGAGATCTTGGGGATATTTGGTGTTTGGTTATCTATTGGTTATTGATAAGGAGGGAAGTAGGAAGTGGGGTTTTTGTTCGTCGTGAATTAGGGAGGTGGTGGGTGGATGGATGAAGTTAGGTGGTGAGTGTGTATGGAAGGCTGAAACAACTTTGGGGGGTTGGCTTGCTGATGGCTGATGAATGTGTATGATGAGATTGGATGATGCGATGATGATAGAAATGGACTGGGGGATGAATGATTTGTAATACTCAGAGGTGTGTGTGTGTGTGTCCGCACGCACGCATTTGAACAGATCAAGGCCGATCGATGAAAAACCTGAAATTCAAATAATTATACTTTCTTTAACTTTTCTAGTAATAATACCTACAGTCCAACATTTTTCTCATCAATTTCAGATCTTGATCTTCCAAGTTTATCAAATTAACCTATAGGTACTAGGTGGGTAGGGTATTGAACTCGCAAATAAACGAATCAATTATAGAAAAGTTTATCGCATTCAAAGTTTCGGATTTCCTTCAAATACCGCTTTGGGAACTTGGGTGTTCCATGTTTTGGGCGTATGTATGTATGTATGTATGGATGTGTGTGTGGGTGGAGTGAGTAAGTGAGTGAGTGAATGGTGGACTGATTGATCTTGTTATTGTTGTTGTTAAAGCGGCGATGGGCGAGGGAAATTTGGGTGCCCGATTTTGATTGATTGATTGATTGATTGATTGATTGATTGTGATTGTGATTGTGATTGTGATTGTGATTGTGATTGATGATGTAAATTTGGATGTTTGCTACTTTTAGTCTTTAGGAAGTGATATTGTCAATAGACCTGGTAGAATTTTCGAGAGCAGGGATGGATGGTGTTACAATTAAGAAGGACTTATCTGGTGGTTGAGAAGTAGATGATTATTGGAGTAGAAGTTTGTGACAACAGTATTCAAGGCCTCGAAGCCTTTGCTATCGAGTCAGCTATTGAGCGGTACCGATAACACCGTTCGTTCGATATTGCGCTTTTAAGATCAAAAATATATCCATCTTTTCCATACCTAGAGCAAGCACTCGATGTAGTTTACTGCTGCAGATCCCATGACTACTGCTCGTCATTGAAACCCCCCTCTGAAAAAATAACAGAGAATTCGAACTACTATTTCACTACCCTAAATGCCTTGCTGTTCATTCAGCTAGGCTAGGTCCTGGATCACCCTGTAAGTCGGTCTTACTTACATACTGCGTACTTCGAAGGTTGAACTTTCAAAGTTTCCTCATCTACCAATCACGTCAAAAACCTTCAAGCGTTTCTTACCATTCATTGGCATTCACGCTCAGGCATTTATCCTCTCTCAATACATCAAAGTGGAATTAGGTATAGTACTTGAAGCCCCCACAAACTTCAAAACGCCATCTATCTGCTTTACTACTCGTAAAGTCGAATCAATTTTATCAAGACCATCATCAAATCAATGGCCGAAAATCTTAAGTCTTGAACGGGTGGCTCGTATTCTCTGTATCCTTTGTACATGCATCACTGTTGTTCGAACATAACTCCGTATGTACTCCCTCCGTCCAGATATCTCCTAGTCGTGTGTGTACATGAACCAAAAACCCTTGATCGAGAAGTTCAAGCTCACTCAAAGCCCTTGCTCTTCTCCGTCGCTCTCATACGATACTACACTGCGACTTCACCAATTGAGGGCCGAATTGAATGACAACGATCGCTAAAGCTTTACAACTCTTCCTACTGCTGGCTGGTCTGGACGGGATGGGAATAGTACGAAAGTGTAAAGACGGACTTGTAGACGATTCAATAGGAACTACCACCTCTTTGAACCATTTTCATTATCGTCGAACAGTATCTTTGGATCATTCTCTCCATACACACCATACTATAAAACACCCTGACCACGACGGATCGTACGAATAAGTACCCAATACTTTGTACCCAAACCTGCTTCTTTCACCAGTCATTGATATCATTAGACTACACGTAGAATAGGTACATTTATTTGATATTACTATTACTCTCTCCCCCCCCTCCGTCTACATCTTTTTCTACATTTCTACGACGTTGCACTTGGCCGGCTTGAATACTGTACAATTTATTGAGATCAGATACGCAGATTGTACCTATCTGGTCCCTCAAATATTAGTGGTGTGTAACTATTTCATTTCCTCGAACCCTCTTTCAAACTATCGTTCGTCTGTATCTACCTATCTGCTAGCTACATACCTACTGTATACACACATACCCAACAAATCGAGAATTGATGAGATAGCGATGTAATTGTCAATAATATATCGTACATTTTGTCTCATCCGCTTGACTTGATTCACTCCAGTCCATTTCCCCCTCACTTCACGCTGTTCTCCGCTTTATCTTTTGACGCTCTTCTTGCCTCTCTCTGCATTTCACCTGTTCATCACCTTCACACCAAGTACAGTACACTACACTACACACATCCATCGCGACCCTTTCAACTATCGCTGGACGGAGTACTTGACTTTTGCTTTGTCTCAGGCCGCTTTAACATTGTTTTCCTGGCCCTTCCCACTTCGATCTCAATCATCATACAACACAGACCCATTCATCAGCCCAAAGTCCCTCGCTTGTCATTACCGAACCGGTCTGGCTCACTTTACACAGCTTACTTACGTATCAAAAGCAGCAGCCAGGTCCTTCTCTTACATTATCTCTGGTACCCCAAATATCTTATTTGGTCTGCTTCCCTTTGACCTTCTTCGACTCTCCACATCTCAACCCCAATTTGTGTGGTCGAGTTTGTCAACAACGAAACACACAATAAGGATGAATAAATTATCAAACCTCGGTCGCGATATGAGGCACTGGTCCGGTCCAGGTTTCGGCATGTCGCGACAGAATCAAATGAATGGCATGTCGTCAATGCCGCCTCACACAAAACCGACTCCTTCACCAGCGCTGGCACCGACCCCTGCAGACTCTACTATCCACTATTCATTCAACATTCCCTTCGCTTCTGATCTCGCCGGTCCAAATACAGAGGATATCCTTTACGCCACGGCCAATGCTGTTCTAAGATGGACACATTCTGAAGACGCGCCTGATGACATTCCAGTATGGAAATTGCCCGTCCATACCTCAAATATCGATAACCTCTCGAAGCTTTGCTTAGATATTACCAATGGGCCTCTGCCAATCTTGGCCAATGTCGCCGTCACTACCCCCAAGCGTCCAGGTGCCTCCCCAGCACAAGTTACGACGGTCACTCTTTCGGGAAGCCCGGAGTTGGTACACAAGAGCAGAGAAACCATCTTGAATGATACTCCTATCGCATTGGTATGATTAAGACTGTTGTCCCTTGGTTATTTTCAAGTATTGACATCCATGTAGCGTTGTTCAGTTATCGACGTTGATGGAGATTTGATTCTCGATTCCACCAAGTCGGGTTTGAAAGCATCCGTCATTGAACATCTGGACAATGTTGCCGCGTTCTGCGGAGTCGATATATTCTTGCTAGGTCCAAAATTTACCTCTTCGTTGACCGATGGACTTAGCAGCAATGGCGAAGCAGGAAGGGATCAACGCTGGAGAGTTGCAGTTTATGGAGATATGGAGAGTGCTGAACACGGAAAGACGAGAATCTTGGTTTACATTGACAGACTAGTATGTATCTATGCGTACGGCTCCTCGCAAACTGGGCACTAACATTTTGATTTAGCTCGGACGCATTGTTGACGCGGCATCCCTCGAGCTCTCCCTTCACACTGTCATCTGTGGACGATCCCGAAAGAACATTAAAGTCATTGAATCCGCTACGAACACAGCTATTTATTTCCCACCTCCCTTCTCGCAAGTTTACAAATATTGCCCAAAGGGTGCCCACCGACGAAACCCCGAGGAGATATTCATCACGGGCGACCGACCAGAAAACATTGCCGCAGCGAAAGCCCGGATCCACGAACTTGTTAGAATGACAAGGCTCTTCATGAAAGATGCCCATGTAACTGCTGCTAAGATTGACAGCATCCTCCTTACTAGGATGGACAAGGTTCGTAGAGTTATGGAGACGCACGGAACATTTATCCAGTTCCCAGCTCTTGCTTCTCAACGTAGCATGATCAGAATCCAAGGGACAGAAGGGCTCCATGTGGAACGAACTGTCCGGGAACTCATGTTAATGGTACGTGTTATCAATGATTTTCTCTTGGGCTGCGACTAACGAATATTACAGGGTGTACAATTTTACAGCGCATCATGGTGGATCCAACAACCGCCAAATCAGGCACCTTTACAACCAGCTCCACACGCAATAAGGGCGATGCTGGTTGATATCTGCTCGTATTCCTCAGCAGATGTAACATACGATAAGCTACAATGGACAATTACTGGTTCCGATGAAGCTGTAAAAGACGCCTTGATTATCATTAGCAATATCGCATTGAACAAGCGAGGTTGTGCCTATCAGATTCGAGTCAAGCTTGAGTTAGCAAATGAGCACAAGGAGTTCGTTAGTGGAAAGAAGAATGGAAAGATTAACAAGATCATGGGCCAAAGTAAGGTTTTTGAAGCTTTAACTCGTTTGGTTTACTAACCTTTTATTCAGGCAACGTTCAAATCATATTTGATGGATTCAATGAGTACAATTTCAACATTGATGTTTGCGGAAATAACTATGACCAAATGGTTACTGGCCTCGGCCTTGTCGAACAAGAAATGCCGGCTCAAATATCGTTCCATGTTCCAGATCAGTATCACAAGCGTATTATCGGCATTGGTGGCCAGCACATCCAAAGGATCATGAAGAAGCACTCTGTTTTCGTCAAATTCTCCAATGTTATGGATCGTGGTGGGCCCAATCGTGAGGATGATGATGTCAAGTCCGATAATGTTATTTGCCGAACTCCAGCTCGGAACGCTCATAATTTAGAGCTTGTGAAGGCTGAAATCCTTGATATGGTCGATCGAGTTGATTCAGAATTCACTTCCCAAACTGTCAACGTTGACCGATTGTACCATCGGCAACTCCTGGCTCGCCTCAATCAAATCGAAGAATTGGAAAAGAAGTGGAACTGCAAAGTTATCTTCCCAAGTACCGAGCAAGCTAGTGACGATGTCACGATTTCAGGACCGGAATGGCAAGTTCCTCACTGTGTTGATGAGTTTCTTGGGATGGTTCCGGACAGCCATGAGCTTGTTTTAGCTCGTACCCCGGAACTCATGAAATTCTTCAGCTCCAAGACTTTCAAGACAGAAATGGCCCCAAAGCTCAAGTCTCAATACGTGGTCGAGGTCCAAGTCAATGAAGACTCTACGGAACGTACTGAAAACGATGGACCGACAATCATTCTCCTGTGGACTTTCACCAGAAACAATGCTGGTGGTGTTCGGGATGCAATTGATTTCTTGTTCTCTAATATTGCCGCAGCTGGTATTGAGGTTACCACTGTCAAGGGAACAATTCCTCGTCCCAAGTCCGATTCATTCGAGGAATCCTTGCCATACTTCGATTCTAAACTCTTACAACATGCTCCTGCACCAATGGCAACCGATTCACCTACCAAATCTTCTTTTGGCGATGACGTTGCGAGGGAGAGAAGCAACATTTTTGATAAACTTCGCAAGCCTGGTAGCATGTCATCAATTTCTTCGTTCTTGAATGGCCGCAAGAATAGCTCCCAGTCTCCCGCCGGTTCTTTCTTCCGGAACGGATCTCGAAATGCATCAAGAACTTCCTTGATCTCCATCGAATCTACACGAAGTTTTAACGCAGACCGTAACCCATGGAACGATAGTGGTGTCAACTTGCCGGACGATGACACCACACCATGGCCAACCCGCCAATTTGGAAGTGGCAGTGGTAGTATCCACGATGGTAAGCACTCGCATGGACATCCAGGCGATGCAACACCAAGACATAGCATGAGAGCTTCGACCGACAGCGGTCGTCCTTCAACTTCTAATTCTACAAACTCCGGATACCCCGGTCCAATAGGACCACCGCGTTCTTAAGATATCCACAAAACTATTCCCTTATTTCCTAGATTGTCTTTAAGTACGTCGATTTCGACATACACAATGGCTGGATATATACCCTGGCGCGCAATACCCCAAATACCAATTTTTTTTATGCTGCTTTGATTGTTTTTCTCCTCTCTTTCTCGCAAATTTGATATCTCTTTCATTTACGGACCACTTTGTTATTTGTTTTGTTTGCGTTTATCATGCTTCAACCTTGCAAAAAGTTGAAAAGAACATGCATGCGGGCGCGCTCTCAGAGACGAACAGAAGACAAAACATTTAGAAGATCCTCCTTGCGTTCTTGACTATTCATATTAAGAGGAAATACCTATTTGCTTTTAGGGAGCGTGGGATTGATTTTTTACTTTTCGTTTTGGTTGCTACAATATCCTTGAGTTTGGTTCCTTTTTTCGCGCGTTTACTTGGTATGGTTTAGGCAAATGGGTACACGGATTGTGAATGATGGTATAGGTTTGGAAGCTGGGTTGTGATGAGGGGATGAGAGATGAGGGATGAGGGATGACGGATGATTTTCACTCTTTTTACAAATTGGGATGGAGGTATGGAAAAGGAGAAGCGGGTGGTAGGGTGGTGGTTTAGTGAATTAGGAAGGGTTTGGTGGTTATTAGCGATTCTATAACAAACAAACACGGTGAGGTTTCTATTTGAGGTATCTGGTATGGATGGATGGGTTGGACATCAGGATCACTCACTAAACGGATTAGTTGTGGGTGTATATTATGATACCCAAATGAGATATTGTTGTATGTTGAGAATTCAAAAATTGGTGCGAGATGGTTTGTTTGTTTAATGATGTTATGTGTGTGATGTGATATGTGTGATATTGATATCATTATAGAAAAAAAAATAGGTTGGTAAAAATACTTTAGATTTTGGAAGGAAGTTAAGATAGGCCGTAGTAGAAGTTAACTTTTGGGAAGATTCTCCATTTAGAGGAATTGTGGATGATTTTGATTAGAATTATATATTGAAATACTACATCAACTTTAGATGGTATAAAATCAAGAAGGTTTCGCAATTATTCGAGGTTGATTCGGAAAATGAAGATTCTAGAGCTCTCTCTTAATATATTTGCCTTTCACTTACTTCATTTGTATCTTTCTTGAAATTAATGAGTGATAGTCCATTTATCATTACTAGATTGAGCAAATAGTTTTAATTTTGATCATATTAATAAGAGCTGGAATAGGATCAAATTATTATATGATAATTTCGATGGCACTTGTGAACAGATGCCGGATTGAACTTCAATACGGTCGTGGTCTACTCTACTTGTTGTCGATGTAAATGCAATCAATCATGACTGACTAAGCATAGTTGCTAAGTAATCCCGGAAAGCTGTCGCGCGGTTGGTTTTTGGCTTCTTCTTTCAACGGCTCGTCCCTTCTAATCCTGCCTAGCCTTGATAACTAATCCCTGAGCTCCTCCATCAGAAAGTTGTTGATCTCCTCGTAATAAATAACATCATCCATCCCACTCACCCACTTCTCCCACTTACATACAAAATAAAGTACCTTCGATTAATTCTTAAGAATCATACCATCTTGATTTAACTATTTAATTGCAATTATCTTTCATATTTGAACTTGCAAGAACCACATTCCAAACATTCTTTCTTCAAGTGTTTCTATTTATTTTTGCGGCGCGTCCACCCACTAGTCTTTCAAAGCGAGATAAACTTGCGCATTTCAATACTACATACAATACAACAATCCCATATCGCAACAAAACAAAATAATTACACAAATACTTGGGATCAAGAAATGCCTCCTCGTAAAGCAAAAGCTCCAGCTTCAGCTGCGGAAAAAGCTCCCGCCAATGTCGGCGTTAAACGTACGGGCACATCTCGCATATCAGCAACTGCTACTGCACCAAACCCTTCCAAAGTAGCCGGGAAGCCGGCTACGAAAGTTGCTTCGACAAAAGTAGCCCCGACCAAAGCTGCCCCTGCCAAGGCTACAAAGGCTGCTACTACTAAAGCTGCTTCTAAGAAGGTAGCTCCTAAAAAATCAAAAGTCGCGTCCAAGAAGACTCGAGAAGAGGATGCAGAGAGCGGAGAAGAAGAAGAGGAAGAAGAACAAACTCCAGGCAAGCCTATTCTTAACCCCATCGATTCCATATAAGAAATGACTCTAACACTATTTACAGCACCAAAACCAGTCGCCAACCGTAAAAGAGGCCGGACTCAAGAATCGGAGGTATTGCCTGTTGCTAAGAAGCTCAAGATTGGTGTTACCATTAACACTCCACCCGTCCAACGCCTCGATGTTTATGTTTTTGGAAGTGGAGAAAATAATGAGTTGGGTCTGGGTGCAGCAAAAATTGATGGTAAACCACCTGTTGGTGTGAAACGTCCTCGCTATAATCCTCTTTTAAAAGGTGTCACTCAGATCGCGGTTGGTGGAATGCATTGTGTGGCATTAACGGATGATCAAAGAATTTTGACATGGGGTGTCAGTGATGGAGGGTCCTTGGGCCGAGACACTAGCGCATACGAAGCACCAGCCAAGGATATGGACGCTGATTCCGATTCGGAAGATGAAGACGACATTGTACTAAACCCAATCGAAAGTACTCCAACAGCTATTTCCACCGACTTCTTAGATGGCAGGAAGGTCGTTCAAGTGCTTGCTAGTGATTCAGTAAGCTTTGTTCTTACAGAAGATGGGTATGTTTATGGATGGGGATCATTCACAGTAAGTACTTCCTTGCAACTTTGATTGCTCATGTCGACTAATAACAATAGGGAAATGATGGCACTATTGGTTTCACTAGTGAGGGTGCAACTAAGGCTTCTACTGAGAGAGATGGAGACCTAAAGAAGAAGTTGAAAATTCAAGCGGAACCAATACTTATTCCTGGTTTAAAGAATATCAAGTCCTTGGCCCGTGGTAGCAATCATGTCCTGGCCATAGACAATAAGGGTACCGTCTTTACATGGGGTGCCTGGCAACAATACCAGCTCGGTAGACGAGTTAGTGAAAGATCGAGATTTTCAGCCCTCACGCCAGCCCCTATATTGAAGCGTTGTAAGGCAATCGCTGCTGGTACTTATCATTCATTTGCTATCAATCAAAAGGATCAAGTCTTAGCCTGGGGTCTAAATAATTTTGGACAAACAGGTATCGCTGACAAAGCCGGCGAGAACGATGCTCTAATACCAAATCCTACAGTTGTTAAGAGTTTGAAGGGTTACAAAATCGCACAGCTGAAGGGTGGTCTCCATCACTCCATCGCTTGTACTGAGGACAAAGAAATTCTTGTTTGGGGCCGTTGCGACTACGGCCAAATGGGTCTCGATTTGGCAACTATTGATAAAGAGTCTATTATCACGAGTGCCAGTACTGGAAAGCCAGCCATTCTTCTCAAACCTACCGTAGTTCCTAGCATTAAAGGCAACTTCGTCTCGGCTGCGATTGACAATTGCATTGCTATTGATGATGATGGCAAGGCTTGGTCTTGGGGATATGGCGAAAACTATCGCACTGGCTTAGGCTCGGATGAAACAACGTGGACTCCTAAAGTCATTGAAAACTCTGCCATTAAGGGAAAGAAGATGACTTTCGCTGGATGTGGAGGTCAGTTTAGCATTATTGCTGGACCTGAGGTCACTGTGAGCAATGGCGCCTAGGCCAAAGGGGCATGGGGTGAGAGGTGTAAGGCGAGGACCATTTTGAAAATAACGATTATGATTTACGTTTGTATATGAAAGGGAACGATACCATACTGCATTATTAGCTTTAGAGGAACACTAGTTCCGAATCATTTCACGTTACAACCAACCCAGCTCGAACTCGGCCTTCAACATGTACACGCTATTTGGAACACAACTGCTTTATTTATAAGAGACTGCCTTTTATGGATCTCTGCTTTTTACCTAGGACTTTGATCCGGATTCATCAAGGCATGTTCCCTAATAAGTAAACTAGGTGTGTTTTGATATCGGGTATATAATTGAAGGGTGATAGTAGGGAGGGTTGGACGTGGTGTGAAATGAGGATTTCTGTTAGTCGCCTGTTTAATAAAGACTGGGAAGGGGTCTTTTTTGTTTTCTCCTTGGGTGGGAATACAAATTCCCGTTTTGTTTAGTTGTGATTTAATCCTCTCCCTGGTTTCGATGGATTTCCTCAGGATAGGATAGCATGGTAGATGCATTGATTTGGTGTTGGATAGGCGTTCTATTAGTAGGGAGTTAGTCTAGATCAGAGATTACCGATCGTTGTATGGGCGGATTAAAATATATATATAATAGTCGTAGTAGTAAACTCATAATCGATTTGATCTAACTATAGCTAAGGCTATGCGGATTATGCGATAGGCCAATGATATGTACAGTATAGGTTGTGTAGGAAAAAGAAAATTATAAATAAACAAACAACCTGCAACCCCCCGGAAGGTATCCGAGCTGCCTATGATGATAACCAATTACCTCAATTATTTACAACCTGTGATAAACACAAAGCTGAAGACGATATTTTTGCTTGTAAGTCTCCTGCTTGATTTCGGATTAGTTAGTAGGCCCTGTTTGCCCAGCGTGACATAAGGGGCGTATTCCCCCTCTCTCTCCTTCTCGTATATAATTATATATAATATATATATTGAAATACATAATAAATAAAAGATTATATTATCAATTTGTTATTATGAATTCTATAATACATGTGATTAGATTTTGGAAAATAAAGATTTCTTTATCAAAATAAAAAAATATAATTAATTATATATTTATTTGTTAATATAATTTAATTAATTTTTGTTGATTATTATTATTATTATTATTATTATTATTATTATTATTATTATTATTATTATTATTATTATTATTATTATTATTATTATTATTATTATTATTATTATTATTATTATTATTATTATTCACTGATGTTGCTCAAAAAAGAAATATGTTTTGTGTATTGTTCTGAATGTTTCCTACTGGCTGGCTTATATGGCCCCAAACTGTGCTTGCAAAATTTTATGCGCGACACTCTCCAGCGTGGCGTCAACGCTAAACCAATCTAAGAGAACGCGGTGATCTCTCTCTATGTCCCCGCTTCCCCGGTTTACCTCTGACATGGAGCACTTTGCGCCACCTTTACATGTGCTGGCCATAGACCAGTCACCATCAGCAGGGCGTGGATATGGGCAATGCATGATGTTTGCCTTCCCATCCCCGCAAGCTATCAATATCTGTAGCAGCCACATCGCAAAACAGTCCAGCAGAACAAAGCCCATTGTACCCGAATCAGTATAGTAAATGGCAACCCTTCACAGGTATAAAGCTAGGGCAGTCTACTGTATTGGACCGAAGAACCCATTCTAACTTCAAAACACAAAAATACAAATTCTTTGGAAAGTAGGCGCACTATATTCCTGCCATTACACAATGCTAACCTTGTTATTAGGATGGCTTCTGTTGAAATTAAAAAACCAACAAATGCTTGTGATTTCAGGACAGGCACCCGCACCGATAAATCCAGATATACATAGAAGGCATCAGACTGTGGCCGAACAACTTACAAATATTCGACAAGCTATGTATCTCCCCCAGCTCAACAGTAGAATGGGTAAGTACAGCGATTTTCCTCGAAGAAAAGCGTTAATCATAGCATTTAGGTTCATGCCGAACGACACTGGGACTCGAGTAGCAAAGTATGAGGCAGGCATGAGATCGGACACAGTGAGGAGGCTCAATCATGAATTTAGTTCAGCTACTCTATTCAAAAAGCTTAAATAGGCAATCTCAACAGGTTTTCAGCATTCTTCATTTGAGATAGAATCTCGAATCTTTAATATCATATAATGATCAATCTCGGGCTTTGCGAACTTGAAATAGAAAATCACGAATCTTTGACAATCCATATTGATCATTCTTGGGCCTTGCGAACTTGAACTCCTCACTCGTCCAGCCTTTCGTCCCAGCGTTGAAACCTAATTTTTCTCCCTCCATTTGACAAGAATCGAAGTCCCCGATAACTGGAGTATCCCCATTCATGAAGATGTTGGTCGGGTTGAGATCGCAATGAATGAGATTCAAACTGTGAAGATGCCAAATACCCTTTTGAATGCCCTGCAAAAAGACGTCTGCATTGAAAGGGTGAGAGCCTTTAGCTACCCTTTCTGACAAGTTCATGCCGTATTATTTTCATGTGGGAAAATGCAAGATCTCCTTCCTGTTCGACGAAGGCCTAGTTTTTTTCGCAAGCTTCCATATTCTACACCTGTTAGGAAACAATAGTCAAAATGATCAAGTGCATCTACCGACGATTTCTAGCGATTTCTATCAGACGGTGCTAGGTCCGGGAAGGTTTGTCAAATGCTGTTGCTCGTAAAGAGTTTGGGGCGCAATCTTTTTTCTGATCCTACAGAGTTCATCTTCGTTCTTTTGCTCCTCAACCGATGATGCTCACTGAGGACTAACTGAGTAGCATTCAACCGATGGACGAGGCTATAAAGTCACCCTCGCGAATTAGGCTTCCAATTTGATTGTTCCAGCATGTCTGCTCGTCGCCTCATTGAAACAAGAGGCACAAACAGGGCACATACAATCCGTTTAATGCGGATTGTTCGCCAGCATATTGAGGAGGAGGATTTAGAGTCGATGAAGAAAAGACTTGTAGATGCAGGGTCTAACCGATTTCCCTACATCGTGCACGGCCCTGTATCTCGCACGCATTTTAATTTATTAAAAATCACTTTATAAATTAAATTAATTAATCTATAAGATTAATAAATTAATTAAACTTTTTAATAAAAGATAATTAAAAATTATTTGAAATAAATAATATTAAAATTTGTTTTATAAATAAATTTTTTTTAAGATCTTCACTTCTCTCTCTCAATTCAATTGTAAAATAATAAATTAAAGGATTTATATAAAAATTAGTATATTTAAAAGAGGAAATTTAAATTATTTTTTTATAATTTTGCTAATCAATTAAATATAATAAAATAAAATATTAAAAGTTTAAAAACAAAATACTCAAAAATAGTATTATTAAAATTTATATTAATCTCTTTTTATTTTTCAATTATATTTTTTTTAAAAAATAGTTAATTTCATTTTTATAAGAAATAATCTTAATAATAAAGAAATTTCAGTTTTTCTATTTATTTTATAATAACTTCAAAAGATTGAATAAAAATAATCTCATTTTTATAAATTTATTTTATTATTTATCACAGAAAGCGACGCTTTTCCTCTTCATTCTAGATAGGTCCACAGGGTGGACCCCACAGAGCCCTCCACTGTTTTAGGTCATTCTCATTCCATCAAATCTTATGTAATATCGAGTAATGCGTTTGAAATGGAAAAGATGTAGTGTTATATTTTTACTAGCAACTATTCTGCTCTTCGGTGTTGTTTGAATGGTCGTCTTAGATGAGGAATAGAGGAAGAGAAGAAGAAGGAGAATATGGTATGAGATGATAACTATCCTATGTGCATTTTAATTGCAGAGATAGACTTCCCCATGAGGAGAAGACAGGCTTGCAATAACGTATGAAGTTAACCGCAAGATTAGATACTCACTCTCCTTTTTGGGACATGGTAGGGAGAATTGTATTATACTTTAAGTATCAGAGTTTCCTAAATTCTAAAGAATTAATCTCTAAATGAAAAAAAATCGGCATTCATGAAAACGATGCTTGTACGCATATCTCTCGATCAAGATCCACCCTATCACAAATATCCAACGCGATATTGCTTTCGCATCACCATGACCTCGTCTCCTTCACCATCAGACCTACTAAACATAAGGCATCATATTTCACGCACCTGCTCCTCCCCACTTCCAAGCTAGTAATCTCTCCAATCGCCTCCTCCACACTATCCAATATCCCGGTGACAAATTAACCACCAAATACCCATCTTCTATCATCTTCAACAACCCACACATCTGGACTCAGGAAAACCAGGCTGATTAACTGAACCAGCACAGATTCGGAAATAAGAGCTGGGAAATAGAAGCTGAGAGATGAAGAGAGGAGAGTAAGCATAGAGCGGGGTGTGTATGATATATAGAAAAGAGAATTGATTGACTATTTATAGTCTTTATTTGTGTAGAAGGGCTTGAGTCTGGGTACCAATGCCAAGGATGAATATATAGACGTATAGCCAATGGGTTTTGCCATGGTTTGAGGGAGGAATAGAAAGATAGGGGGTGGGGGAATAGATGTAGAGGGAGTTGTAGGAAGTGCATTTTCAATATTTTTTTGAATCATTAACGGCAGTGAGAAAAAAGTTGGAGTAGCAAAATGCTTACTCAAATCGGGATGACCGGGGAAAGAGTGAGGTAGTATATTCCGCAATATGTCTAAACTAACTTAATCAGAACCACAAAAGCCAGCCTCAACAAACATGTCCAGTTCAAACACTCGTTCGGAGGGAGTGTATAAGAACGAATGTTTCCGGCGCGCCCGCCTAGACACAAGGAATATCCAGTGCTTATACGGATAGTGATTTTAAGACTCGAAGGTCAAAAAGCTGATACGACTATTTAATATAGTTGCTTGCTAACACGGTTGCGTGAGCTTGCTTCGACACAGGTGTCACCTGGATACACACAATATGCAATCAAATCCTGATAAAGAGAACAAGCTGCCAACGAGACTTCCCTTGAACACAATTATCACTTGGAGTCTGCTCACACTTGGAGTTTATTGATCTGAGATCCGACCTCTATAACTAATTTCGAGGATGTTTCCGAAATTGAGTTTGAGGAATAATGATATTGCCTAACATGTTTCCATTTTCACCGCAGAGCAATCCTGCGATTGCAAAGGGAGGTTATTTAAGCCCCACTGATCTTCCTTGTGAGCTTCGTTGGCTTTTTATGAGTTAGGTTACTTAATGCTATGGGAAGATCATTTCAGTGATGTATATGAACATGGAAGATATAGGGCATAATTTGACAGTCACGAGCAGCAAAGGAGCTGGAGAAGAGTTTGCTTGCCGGTAGGACAGGATTATATACCGATAGTGTCGTTCTTGTTTATACGAAATTCCTCAGATAAGAATCCTTCTCATACGCTTTTGCATCCATTTCTGCGACCCCCTTTTCCGTGTTGTGTCTTGGGCCGTTGGATTGCAAAAGTTGCTCTTGTTTTACCAATTTTAATCCCGGATAGTCCAGAGATCACTAGATCTTGGAATGCGCGTAAGAATACTAGAAGCTATATATCCAGCTGTGAAATTTATGACATTGTAGAGTATTCATTTATCGTCAAGCTCCACCTCATTATACCCTAACTTTTGCATTTGTTCCCTAAAGAGAGCTGCCTCCTTGGTCATCTCCTCCATACTACGCCCACAGAAGATTAATCAGTTAGCCACTTTGAGACATTCAGATTCCTCTTCAAAGAAACATCATGAGGATAGATATTTTGGGTAAAAGCAAAACTTACCTCCTTGGCAACCTATCTTTATCATCCACCTTTGGGAATTTCCCCCTTTGCAGCGGTCTCTTCCCCGACTCCACAGCCTTATCCCATAGTGCCCCACCAATATTTCCTTCCTCCCCTTGAAGCTTGTCATATATACCATCTCCAATTACACTACTTTCCTTTGTTCTCGGTATAACATGACAGTGAAAATGTGGTACCGTTTGCCCGCTTTCCGGTCCGTCTTGAATAGCAATATTGAAAGATCCTTCTTTGGGGTTTCCATCGGGAAAATAATGGGAAGCGAGCATCTTCTGTACCTTTTGGGTAGTAGAAAATATATCATTGAGTTCAAGTGGTGAAAGATCGGTCATGCGTGGGTGCTGGGTGTAGGGGATGATGAGCACATGACCTGGAAGAATGGGCTTGATGTTTACGAGGCAGTAGCAATGGGTAGATTTGTGGAAGATCTGGAATGACAGTTAGGAAACCTAGACATCGTATTTGGGTCTACTCATATGAGGCTTGCCTGATCTGTGACTTCGAATTTCCCGAAATGAATGGGCTTTTTTGAGGGAGTGTTAAAAGTCATGGTGCGATATTGAAGGTTGCGGAATGGAAACACTTGAGAGCGAAGATGACGGGAGACTTGTCTTACTATCATATCACAAATATTCCAGAGTTGAATATCAGAAAGTCTTTTTGCTGATCTGATTTGTGAATGATTTTGTCATGGGAAGGGAACCCTCCGTTTGATGTTGCTCTTTTTGCTTAGTCATCATGCACGCCGCAGATCTGCTCTTTTGCGAGATTCTTTTGTTCATCACGACATTAGCATCGACATCAATATCGACACCAAGCCAGAAGGGTATTGAAACATCTAGCAAGTGCTTTACAATAGAACTCGGTATTTCCATCACAATGCAGCATTAGGGCTGTTTGTTTTTAAACACCGCTTAGAGAAGCAAAGTTTCATACGGAAAATCTAGAATAGTGTAGAACTGCAGGGCTACAGATTCCTGTAGCTTGACAGTGGACCATGTATTGAAGAGCTGGCTATCTATTCCTGAAACAGCTCTTCAGTCAAGGTGGTTCCTTTTTCATGTTGGCTCACAGCCTCACTGCTTTTAAGTTTGAAAGACGGAGTTACGGGGATTCTATACTTTCCTGCACCCAAATAAACTAACATCACATCCTCCGTACGGTATCCCTCCCCAAGGATCCACACCGTTCCTTTGGGCCTTGTCTTTTCGGACAAATGTGATCCACATGCATGCATCAATGTGTGTACGATGATTTTACTAGGGATTTATAATGCTGACCAGCTGTCTGCGGGCTAAAGCTATGGTTTGAAATTCTTGATTACGGAGTATGTGTTTGATCAGCCATGAAGATCTTGGGTCCACAAGAAATCAAGTGAAGAGTTTTTATATCAATGGCAATTCTTCGGTTCATTGATATGGAACCTATGAGAAGGGTTGTTACAACTCGTTGTCCGAGCTCAACGCCACTAGATGAGGAACTACGTATACGCTATATCCGTACATACGTGTGGAAAGCTTTTCTTGTTATATATTCCCTTGCAAAAACACAATCCGCTTCAACTCATTCACATATCACGTACCAAATACCCAATTCAGCATCATGAGCCAACCAATTACTCTTTATGGCCACAGTAAGTTAACGCCAGTGGTAGGTAAATCCTAGGAAGAATACTGACGGAAGAATAGGAGGCGGACCAAACCCATGGAAGGTGGCCATCATCCTTGAGGAGCTCAAGGTTCCATATATCAACAAGTTTATGGGTTCGTGCCTGTTCCACTCATTCTCACCCAAACCTCGTTCAGAGTTCAGGAGGCTGTCACTTTGATTGAGATGCTTCAAAGTTGAAGCGTTGTCAATCCTTTGAGTATGGTTTACACATCCAGAGTACATTCAACATTGCAGACAAAGTCAACACACAAATGGACTTGGTGTAGAAAACAAATTCAAGAAATATTTTTGGACGTTCATGCCGAACATATATCACCCACTAACACCATCCATCTAGAAATAACCGACCTCAAGAAAGAGCCCTTCGAAACAATCAACCCCAACGGCCGGGTCCCCGCCATCAGCGACCCAAACACCGACGTCACACTTTGGGAATCCGGCGCTATAATCGAATATCTAATTGATACCTACGACCACACCGCCGCACTAACCTACACCTCATCCCCAGAGCGCTACCAAGTAAAACAATGGCTGCACTTCCAAATGTCCGGCCAAGGCCCCTACTACGGACAAGCAGCTTGGTTTACCAAATTCCACGCTGAGAAGATAGATAGCGCCATTGAGAGATATCTTGAGCAGATCAAGAGAGTACTTTATGTCCTAGACAAACATTTGAACGGCAAGGAATGGTTAGTGGGTGATAAGTGCACTTTTGCGGATTTGTCGTTTGTTCCATGGGATATGGCTATCCCGTGGATTTTCGGCGATCGAGCTGGAGAATTGGAGATTGAGAAGAATTATCCGCATTATTTTGCATGGAATAAGAGATTGATGGAGAGACCTTCTGTGCAGAAGATTGTGAAAGATAAGGCGGCTGCTACTAGTGGTCATTAAGTTGGTGAGAGATATAGGGGCTTCTAGCTAGTCTCACAATCCATTAATGAAATGAATCTGTATATTTAAGATGCACGGGAAATGTTAAAAACGTGGGAATAAGAATACACATAGGAGCATTGGAACGTAAACTACGTACTCTCATGTTACGATATGAACGGTTTCGTTGACACGTCTATGATTTCTAGATAAATATTTTGGATATTTACCATCCTCTTTGTGGGTGGTCAGCATCAATGATTGGATACCAGGTGAATTTAGTGAACAGAAGTGTATGCGCAGGATAATGCTTCCCTAGCTTGGGAATTCCCCAAGAAAGTCAGTTGTAAAACGGCTGAGGACTTTTTGTCTACCTGTCATTTAAATAATATCATACCATAACGAGTGGAAATTTCGGTACTGCAATCATATTCTAATAAGCTGAAATAAATCATAACAGTCCAATGCCATTCATAACCTTGCTGCAAATCATCCAATTAGAACCATTCTCAGTCTGAAGGAAACGAGTCGTAAAGAAAAGTAGTGAAAAAAGAACCAATAAGAAGCTCTTCTTCGCGGCTCCTCGTGCGAATGCAAGAGCAGGTAAACGAATGTCGTGGTGATGCGCATTATCCAAAATCGGATATGAACATTTACCAACTTCTATATTATGGCGAGGCTCTTATCCGTTAATTTGTGAATAGGATACTTCGCACCGCTATTACAAAATGAAGGTTGATTCGCCGAAGAGCGTTCCTTGTTCCTCTACAGTTGTCTCGCCATCTTTGATCTTGAGAACAAGGGAATCTGTTGGAGGGATAGCCCACTAGAGAGAGATGTTAGAGTTGAAAAATTTAAGCCTGTTGTCTAGGTAAGGAGAGTAAAAGCAGTAGGATAGTTTACCTGATAACAGAAGGGTCTAGTTCCTACAACTCCTCCAACGACCGATTTGATAAAACTGGGGATGTGGGATAAAATATCAACCCTGTCTGTTCTTTCCCCAAGCGGTCCACTCAAAAGTGCAGTGAAATCACCAGATTTGCTCTTGCCTTCCCACTTATACTCCACTGAGACGGGTTCGGGCCAAAGCGTCTCTGGGTCCTCCTTTGACTCAGTATGCTTTACAGTGTTGGTAGCACCGGCGTATACGATCTCACCGTCCTTTACAATACCTCCAACATTCACGGAGGTGTGGCCATAAGAGGCCGGGGTTGTGAATTCCATCATGATGGCGGAGTAGGTAGGCGTTTGGAAAGTCAAAAAATTCCATTTTGCTGCAGCGTGGTGGGGCTTCATGCCTTGGATGGCGTGAATAAAAATACCGCGTCCTTTGAAGTCATAGGTCTTCTCGGGTGTGGTGATTGTCCCGCTGACGGTGCATCTAGGCCAGAAACGATGTCTCATCTCCCCCCAAGGTGCGGCGGGGTCAGTACCGTAATAGGTAGTTCCGTTCTCTCCCACCTGGAAGCCAGGAGCTGCGCGCTTGAATACAAGGTTGACAAGTCCAGACTCATTACGAGCGGCTTTAATAGTGTACTCATCACCAGCCTCATTCAGAGCAATTGAAAGCCCGTCGGCGTAGAACGAAACCATTTCTTCGTCGAAGCCATAGTTTTCGAGCGCATCAGAAAGCCAAAGATGGTCAGATTGCTTAGGCCCTTTGTGGTTAAATACTTCCACATTGAGCTGACAAGTTGTTCGAAGTCCGCTGCATCCGGTGTCAGTGTAATGTTACCTTGACACAAAATACATCTTGTGAGTGCATGGATCAGACGTACGCAACATTGTTGTAGATCATCTGAACAGATGCAACTTTACCCTCATCTGAGATCATATAGAAGGTCTGAGTCTCTACATTTGTGCTCTCTTGAGCCTTCCATTTCAAATCCTTCTTCGTCAACTCGGTGTATGGAGTCTTCTCAGCCTGAGCTGTCACCGTTCGAATGCCTGCAGAACCATACTCGGGCTCCTCAGTTCCTACGACATTTGCGAGTCTGTTAATTTTAGCTTTTGCTTTTATCAATATTAGGGAGAGTCACACGTCTGTTTAAACCAATTCATCGTGTTTTGTATTGTCAAGGATATCTTTTTTAGTTGTGTTTAGGATGTTTTAATTAAGAGGAAATCCTTCTCCGAGGTCCACGGTGACACATGATATTGGAGCTAAGACTTAAACGGCCGAGTCGATAAATTCACACCGCCTTCTGAAAATAGTTCAGTCATGACGACGAACAATAACTTCACTTGGAGAGAACATCAGGGAATCCAGGGAATCCGGGAAAGAATGCCCACGCCTAAAAGCCAATCTATATAAAGTGTATGTATAATTGTAACTAGTCCAATTCTGATATCTCCAAGACAAAGAAGCAATCGATCAGCCCTAAGGTTACCTATCAAAAGAACACAAAGGGAAGAAACACCATGCTCGGCGAACATTTCATATTCACTACGACGGTTCCCTATGTGAGGCCTACATGTAAGTATAGCTTACGAGAAGGTATTATCCAAAACAAACAGGCAATCCTACTTATTGAAAGCATGGCAAAGAAGGAAGATTATACACAAAGAATATTCATATTCATTACACCGGTACCTATGTAAGTCAACATATATGACCAACTCAAAGAATAGAATGCTCAGAACAAAACGATAAAATGATCAAAGCGTTCCACTCATACACCCAAAAACCTCTCCGATCACCTGTTCAATTCAAGATTCATGCAGGACTATAGCTGCACATCTCCTCCATTAAGTCAGTTGTATCCACTGTCTAAGATCCTCTCGACTTCCGGGAACTTAGGCCCTGGCCATCGCTCCCATATTCTCGGTTTCCTCTCCCATAAACGCATTTCTCCTTGGCAATCTCTTTCCCACAAGCTCAGCTCCCTTCTCGTATTTTTGTCCTTGAAGATCGGACTTTGCGGAGTCTCTTCTCGAAGATTTCTTGCTCTCTTATCTCGAATTTTAAGGTCTCCAACATTTCTGTGTGTTCAATCAACTCTTTCATAGCCCGATAGTCATCCTCAGTCGCAGTCTCAAAAGACCAGTCTCTCTCAAGCTTCGCTCGCTGTCTAGTTGCATCGGCAATGCGGGCAGTGAGATAGTTGATATGCGAAGCGCTATCAGTGGTATGAGCACATAGAAGACTTCCCTCGACCTTTTCATTGCTTGGAGTTTTTGAAACCATGATTCCGGGTCCTTCTTTCCATTGCCTCAAAAGATGATCGCCAATCATAGTATGTCGAAGTTCTTCCTTAGTAAGGTTGCTAGCATTCACAACTCCATTTCTGGCCTCCAACCATTCCTCTACACTCCCTTTCCAGTTATCCAACTCCGCATCAATCCAATTGCAATCTTTCTCATAATCATTGTGTCCGCTATAGCCCTTCACCAATATGCGTTTTTCTTCGTCCCAAAACCATTCAAAAATATTCATCCCCTTCGCTATGTTTTGCCATGATGACCAAATGGCCATCAAAGTATTATCTGCGGCAGCCTTTTGTTCTACGAGGTGCTTCCTGATCACGGAGAATTTATGAGTCAGATTGCCATAGACTTGGTCCATTGAAAATTCCAGAATCACCCCATCACTCATTGTCCATCTAACTTGTTGTGGCCATTCATATTTCGCTCTGTCTCTTTCCTCTTCGTTACGTCTATGGTACCAGCTAAAACCCATCGGCTTTGGAGGTGCCAATCGAACATATGTTGTACACGGTGTCTCATCACTTGAATCGTTGGTGACAACGCTATTAATGTCAGAACCCCACCATGGCCGTTGTCGCGGTGGTAGATAGAAAATGCTCGCTGCACCTCCAATCCAGTCCGGGCCGTCCCAATCGACAGGGCTGAATTCGAGATCGAGAACTTCTTGAATCAACCTGTGCATAGCCTCGTCATTCAGCGGTCCATCCATCAACGGCTGACGGCTCTCCTCTTCCTCCTGGCTATCAATAACGAGCTGCTCAACATTCCGGAACGCAATCTCCATATCCACCCTGCTCTCCACCGCCCTACTCATCCTCTCATAATCCTTCAACAATTTATACGTACCGATATTTTCTTTCTCCGCCGCCACCACAGCATCTCTTCTCCTACCCAATATCGTCTTCACCTTAGACATATCCTTATCCATCCCCAAACTACACATCCAACGCTTCACTCCCACTTTTTCCCATTCTCCTCTTACTTCATTGACACGCGTATCCACCCCCGAAGCTCGAAACGCATCATACATGCGCATCGCATACAAGCCCACAAACGTCGTCGCGCATCGATCTCCATGTGTCGTGACTGTGAAAAGGGGATCATTGACAAGCGGAAGAACACCCGGCGGCATATACGTATGACCAAGAGGAAAACTACAATTTTTAACCTCATATAGATTCGTCTCGGATGAAGATGAAGCAGATGAAGTAGATGAAGCAGTGTTAGCAAACTTTTGTTCCGGTTTCGTCGCATGATTAATATGTGGTGTTTTTAATCTCGTCGCATACTCAGCTCTTCGTTGCTGCAATAGTTGCTCGGAAACAATCCCCTCTAGTATTTTCTCATATCCATCCACCTGCGCTTCTGCCGCCACGATCTGTCTCTGAAATTCCTCCATGAAATCTGCAGCAGAAGGAGCAGAAGCAAGCAACCTACCAACCGCACGTTTCGCCGACTTAGGCGGTACAAATAAAGGCGCAGGTAGCAAACCCTCATTCGAAGCCGAATTCGAAGACGTGCCTATAATACCTGCTTCCAGAGCATACTCGAAGCACTTAGCTAGTGGCGAACCAGGTAGTTGAGGAGGAAAATTAGTGCCGCCGAATGCTGCGAAGGTTGCGCAGCCTCTGCAGTTTGATGGACAGTGTTGTACGGGTTTGGATAGCGACATAGTGTAGATAGTTTTTATTGTTTTGGATGGATGAGGTTGTTGTTTAGGTAGCTAGTCTAAGTTGGTTGAGATTGACGAAGGTGTGTGTGCGTGTGTAAGTTGTAGTGGATGTGTATTTATGATATTATGGATTGACGAAGCTATGTGTGTGGATGTGTATTTAAAATATAGATATATCGTTAAAGCTATGTATAAACTATCCTGCCTACGTACTTAAAATATTGCATAAATCAATAAATCAATACAATACCTAAATGCCTACGGTATTTGAAGAATCATACTGTAATCCATCCCAAACCCAAGATCTTACAAGTTAACCAACTTACCGCAAGGCTAACCAATAACCAAAATCAAAATATTAAAATTCATTTTTAGTCTATATATTGACTTGTAATATCAGACGAGAAGGTGAAGCTAAATGAAATGATTCTATTCACTGCGGCGTTTGTGTTGAAGCGAAACAGCGAAACTTGAGATTCGTAGCCATTACGGCATATTTACCGATGTAAGACTTACAAAAGAAACCTTGATGGGTTGATTGACCAACGCTCACCCTAGACTGATTTTCCATTTCTCCAGGATTGAGCGTCGCTGTCATACGTTCATGTTTTGTAACATATTCAGATCCATGCAGTACCTTCATGTCGGATCACATAGGAGGAAAAAGTGCCTTAATACCACCCACCCATTCAATACCACACGCGTCACAAATTATTATTACTGACAACGAGTACATCAGGAGTTTTAATCTTATACCAGTATATGTGGTTAATCAATTGACCCATCCTAGGGATCTAATCCAGGAGATAACTTCCCGGTACCATACGCAGCGCTTAAACTACCACAAACACTTCCTTCCAAAACATAAACCGCCCAAATAACTGGCGGATGATCAAGGTACAAATGATCCAAAGTACAAAGAAGATGGAGATCTAGGAAGATCTCCCAAACTACTTCCAGATATCTAATTCCCTTGACACACCTTTGAACCTTCAGCACCGAAAAGAAATTCGTACGTAAAGACGTGCTAAACAAGACCGTCGTAGAGCGAAAGGGCGGATACAATTGTCTCATCACGTTTGCTCCCTTCTTTGAATTCCTGCATATCCAGACTGCCATTCTCATCTTTGTCCATCATGCGGAAGATCTTCTTGACTCGCTTCTCAGGGGTATCCTCGTCAGGTGGAAGCTTGACCATAGAGCCAACCTACACGAATGCTAGTCAATACTTATACACGTTCGAAATCATCATAAGAGACGAAGGAACTGGGAGATTCTCCTAGAGCTACCGCACACAAGTCATACAGACAATGTGACGAAAGTCCAGCTGGTGAGGATATCATCGCTAGTAAGTTTTTCGCTACGAAGCTTGCAGAACACCACCTGCGCATGCCCACTTCGAATATGGGCACCAAAAGAACCCACGTGACTATCAGGATAGGAGGCTGAAGGTTACTCACCATCTTGTAAATTGCCTCTACAATCGCTAACATTTCTTCATAGCTGATCTTTCCATCTCCGTCAATATCGTATAGCTGGAACGCCCAATCTAGTTTGTCCTCCATCTTTCCTCGACTGGTGACACTTAAGGCGCAGATAAACTCTTTAAAATCGATCGAACCTGATTTGTCGCTATCAAAAACATTGAATACATAGTCTGCGAAAGACGATGGATCTCCAAATGGGAAGAACTGTCGGTAAATCTTTTGAAATTCCTCCTTGGTGAGCATGCCCGATGGGCAGTCCTTCAAGAATCCTAGAAAGACCACATTATTAGGTAGTCACTCAGTAAGAGCGATTACTTTCATGCACACCTTTATACCATTGTTGCAATTCCTTCTTATCAAAGTGGGTGGATTTCTGAAGTTCGGTGATCTGCTCCGCTGAGAGCTTCGATTGACTAGGTTTGATACGTCAGCCCATCTGCCAGCGCTCAGAAAGTATCGTATGAGATATTTATCATATCCTTCGACCAAGTGGTTAGAGGCGATTCAGTGATTTTCAGTGTGCGCAACATTCGATACTGTGATGATATTCTCCTCGCCCATCGTACATTTAACCAGAGCGCTTCAACTCCGAAGTTTGAAGCCACAAGCTTTGTATTTTACTAGGCGGTAAGTCTCGGAGTTTGGAATGGCCTCGGAAAATGCGGTGCGCGCTGTTGAGGTTTGTGCATTGGCCTCGTGGCTTTCGGCGGTATTCATGTTGTGCAAGCTGCGCTGGATGTCCCGGAAGACGTAAAGAGAAATCTGGTACTCACGATTTACCCATCTTCCAAATATTATGGATATTACTCTAGAATGCCGGTTGGGAGGATAGATCTGGCGCAGAGTGAGAGCGCGGCTCTTGACAAGATCTGAGTGTCCGAGTATCCGCTGAGAGGACGTGCAGATGTCAGCGATTTGGTTCCAAGTAATAACGGTTGCGACTCCGCCTCTCCTTATGAGAACCTGCTTGTCTACTTGACATACCTTGGTTTATCCTAACGTCTGCGGAAGAATTTCAGAAATATGATTATCGAAAGTGAAGAGAGAAAGTTGTAAGGTGTTGGGTGTTGGTGGTTGCAGTTGTGATAGTATAGATTTGTAGAATCGCCGTGGGGTAGGAATTGGGCCTAGATGGATGAAAATGAACGGTCTTTGCTTGGCTGAATTGGTGGGTCTTTCGTTTCGTCGAGGATTTGTTTTGCATTCACCTGGGACTTTTCACATGTAGTGATGAAATGAAGATCGAAGAAGTTATTAGTATATGGAAATTGTCGAGGCCAAAGAGGTCCGTCGCAGGTGAGTTTTGGGAATTGGTTCTTGAAGTGAAGTGAGTTATAAGTTAGGCTATCACGATTGCTAAGCTACGTATTGTGAGGGGCTCACTGGGGCTGTGCATTTATTCGCTTGTACACTGTACGGCAGCATGCGACAATGCGAAATAAACCACTAGCAAAGGATGTCTCGGGCATCATTTATTTGTTAATTATTAGCTTTGTTGAAGAATGTTATGAGACTTTCTATTCTATGTGTTGATTACTAACTTCTACTCTAAATACTAATAATATTCACCTTATCATTGATTTATGTTGTAAGTCTTACATCGCGTGGACAAGCTGGGCAGGTACATACACACAAAGTGCCAAGTATAAATCAACTTCGCTTTGCATGAGTTTTTGGGCTGCTGATTTTAAGGTAGTGGAAGTCAAGATCGAGCCTCAGCATCCTTCCGTTCTTATAAGAATTTATATCTCGAAGGATCAACAGAATGAACAAGATAACCGAGTAGGGCTGAGGCCTGTAATTCAGAAGATTTAAAGTCCTCATTGGCATGTGGCTATCTCTAAAACGAGAGCATGATAGTTTATGATAACCTCGAAAGATAATAATAAATGGTTCATGATTACAAAGTACGTTGTTGTTCATCTCCTCGTAGAGTCTCGTAGAGTGATGGTTTGACGCCTTTTATCAGGAGATGCTGGCGATGCTGGAGAGTACAGTATTACATTGTTCTTGTAAGCACAGGATAGCACAAGATAACACACCATTGACAACATGAACATTCGCCTACGCCTTGGCACAAGGAGGCTGAGGTCTTGTCCATCGTGAATTATATCTTAACTTGAACTCTTGTGGTAGGTCATAGAACAAACGATGTATTTATTCCATGAGACATTGCTGTGTAAGATTAATTTCTGAGACATCCCAGTAACCAAAAGTTTCTTGTCTGGAATCCTCGGAAGTTGCAACGTAGTGCTGACATGCAGGGACAGTACTGATGCATAAATTGACATCACATCATCACCTATGGGAACAAGTGCTTAGAGGAAAGTGCCCAAGTATGGGATTTAGGGTGCGGTGTTTTTTTTGGCATATCTCAAAAGCTCGTACTGTTACTATCAACGCCGCATTACCCTTTACTGGATCCAAACTGCTGGGTCCTTATTTCCGTTATCTCGTTCCATCATAATTTAGGCTCTTTCCATCAAGCTTCTCTAAGCTTCTTGTATCTCGCTAGCAGTCTCTTTGCTGTAGCTTCCTCGTCCCAGATATAGGTGACGCTCTTTTCATTGCTTACGGCATTGGCCCATTTCCAAAATGCCGGAGCTTTTTCTTCTAGAGTCAAAAGGCTCTTGGGTAAGAACTCATCACGTTTGGCAAATGCCACAATTCGGAGCAGAAATGATCCAACTTGAACCTATGAAATCCATTAGTATATGGTAAAAATGCTGTAGAAATTGGCACATACTTCAACAAATGTCAATTTTTCTGAGCCTCCAAAGAATGGGGCTGCATTCTGAACCAAAGGCTCAATCTCCTTCACTATCGCATCTATGGCATTGGTTGCAGCTCGCTCTCTTTCCTCTGATGTTTTCCCTATTCCTGCCTTGACCACGTGTGGAGCAACCTTTGAGAAATAGGTTTCAATGAAGAAGTTATATCTGGCACGTTGCAATGCACCACCTTCTTCACGGCTGGTCTTCTCCAAGTGGGAAGGATGAGCATCTACCAAGAACTGGGAGATGACTCCAGATTCAGTGATAATCTCTCCATTGTAGGAGAGAGCAGGAACGAGACCTCGAGGGTTGATAGCCAGATATTCTGGTGGCCGTGGAACGCTAAGGTCGATGATGACGGTCTCAAATTCCAGTCCGAGTTCAGCAAGAGCTATCTGAGAGCGATGAGCCCAAGGGCAGTCATAAGAAGTATACAAAGTGATCTTTGGAGCAGGATGAGAGCCCATTTTGAGTTCAACAATTGTTGATTCTCCGTCTGGTGTATCGTGTGTATGGAGGCTGATCTGAAAGTCAGGTGGAAGGGCTGGGGTCACGACTAATTCGGCGTCTAAAGATCCTATAGAAAGTGTGAGGATGGAATAGATATTGGGAATACAAAAGCTTCTGAGATTGGGAACTACGTACCTTTTATATGCCACTCTTTTTTCTCAGATTCTTCGGACATGTTATATTGTCCACAGTTTCTTTAATAAGTGTTTAAGAAATAATGCAATTTGATTCGAGGTCAAGTAAGGCGGTTTATAATATCCCCTCATTTTGTCAATAATTGGGTAAAGTTGCGCAATTGGATTTCTAAGCTTTCGAATGACGAGATCATTACGGCTGTCAAAGAAGACTTGAGTAGAAATGCTATAGTTACCGAGCTGCCGAGTAGGTTACCGTAATGAAGGGGGTTTTGAAGATGTGGGGAGATAATCCATGATGACTCAAAAGGGTAAAGGGTTGGCTATTTGTAACGTTCTACCCTCTTCATCTCCTTTGACAAGATCTCAACGAAAACAAGCCAACCACAAATCAACATTGTTAGGAATCTCATGTACCTATTTATCTCACCAAGTCGGTGGATATATTATCAGGTATCACAATGGCAACTCCCGACGGTTACCAAGTTACCGTCTGGCGGTTACCGTTCCAGCTACTACCCATTTTTCATCAGTTTCCCCTCTTTACCAAGCATTTTTAAAGCTTCGCTTTCCCAATTCAACTGTACAGACATATTTTGTAACTCGTTAACTGGTACCTACATCAGACCAGATGAGTCCGGTGCCATGTTATCCAGACAACTTTCCAAGAACCAGATGGCACAGAGACGTCAATGCAATTTCCCGTTAGCCGTGTGATGGCAGCCATACATCGTTACATGGTCAACTGCGTTTCTCGTCCTTCTTAGCATCATTGTGGGGGGCTGTCAAGTGTAACTAGCCATGCCTAGACGCTTGCTGTGAAGTGCTGTATCGTCACAATCATATGAAGCCATTATGGGTGACGGGTATAAAAACTTTCAACGCTTCGGAGAATTATTTGACAGCTCACTGCATATCTGGTTTACTTTTTGACTCATCTATCTGCCTCGATTTTGCCAAAAATTATTTCTGGTTCATAAGTTTGTTTGAAGGAGAAAAATGGCGTTATCTAAAACCCAAAGGTTGACCATTGTCATCTGCATATCGACGTCCTTCTTTCTGGCTGAGTTATCAAGTATGTTAACAATGAATATCCATCTCGGTTTCGACAGCGGAAGCTAAATTGTGTGACTATAGTTGGTTTCTATACGAAATCCCTTGCATTGGTAGCGGATGCCTTTCACTATGTATGTTCCTCCCGGCCATCTAGCAAACTGTTTGCCCTTCATTCGCCTATGTTTGGTCTACTTCCTATTCCGTACCTGTGGGACTTCATCTAAAGGACCCAGCTCAATGATTTGATCGGCTTCATAGTCGCTTTGGCTGCCTTGAGAGTAAGTGATCTGTTGACCATCTTCTCGCTTCTGAACCGAAATTGACGATGTGCCGCAGGTATCCCAACGCCCTGACTCTCCCGACTCCCTCTCGTTCGGTTGGCAACGCGCACAACTGCTGGGTGCTTTCTTTAACGGGTGCTTTTTGCTTGCTTTAGGCGTCAGCATAGCATTGCAATCTATCGATCGCTTCGTATATTTAGAGAGTATGATTCTCCAAGCACTCGAAATTTCAAATCTAAATACTTTCCATATATAGAAGTCAAGAACCCTAAATTAATGTTCATCATCGGCTGCGCCGGGCTCACCCTGAACATTATTAGTGCGGTCTTCCTACACGGCATGTGGACATCCTAAAGATGTATAGGCCTCTGCTAACATTTATCAAGACCATGATCACCATGGGCATCACCACGGGCATGATCATAATCGTGGTGCAAGATCCATTCCTAGCACTGTTGACATCGAACAAATGAGCTCTGACACTCTATGTGCCACCACGATGTGTATGTCCACTTCGGATACCTCCAAGGATATCAAAGAAGACCTCCATAAAGGTCATCACCATGAGATTCAGCCATCAAAAGACGAAAGAGAGCCTCGAGATTTAGCCCATCTTGCTGTGATGCTGCATGTTATCATGGATGCAATAAACAACATAGGGGTAATCATAGCTGCTTTGGTTATCTGGCGTACCAAATATGGGGGCAGATTTTATGCAGATCCAGGAGTGAGCATGGGTATTTCAATGATGCTAATTTTCTCCTCCTTTCCAATAAGTATGTGGTCCCCGCAACTTCATCCTTTGTTTTCAAACCATACTATGCTAACCACCCGGAAAGTTAAAAATGCCGGTGCAATAATGCTACAATCGGCCCCATCTAGCATAAACCTCAAAACTATCAAGCACGATATTCAAAAAATTCCCGGCATTTTATCTATCCACGAGCTACACATATGGAGTTTATGCCAAAGGAAAACAGTCGCGTCGGCCCATATTGTTACGACTGAGACGGACATCAAAGCATTCATGAAGCAAGCCAAGCTAATTAGGGAATGTTTGCACGCTTACGGTATTCACAGTGTAACGCTACAGGCTGAAGCATCAAGCGGAGTAATCATGACTGGAGCTGGTGCGGATGAGAAATGTCAGATGGTTTGCGGAAGTCTTTGTCAGGAGTTGGCCTGCTGTTCATGAATGTAGCAGCAGGTTACACCATCGAAGATTCTTGTACCTATGGAAGGTTTCCTCTTACCCCAGATTGAAATGAGGATACATACCAATCTCTCGTTCTAGTAATGATATGCCCTCAATATGTCCACAATATGTTCACACTCAATGTAAATTGAGTAATAAAAGTTACGTCTTACCTTCACATGTCATATTGGGCTGAAGAGTGGTGTTCTCATCATTTTATCGTCCCATCTTTGACCAAAGTTCGGATGAAACGATCGTGCGAACCAGGTTGCGAACCAATTGCCAATTGTGCTCTTACAGATGAGATTGAAATGATTTGATGTGACTGATTCGACATTATCCTTTCACTCAGGCAAACGTACTTATCTCCATGTGCTTACCCCACAATTTATCGATAAGAAAGTCTCATGAATTTCCCCTCCAATTTTTTTCTGCCCATTTCCTCCACCCTTCCGCACGACATACTCAACACCCTCGTTATCCAAAATGAAGATCGAAGAAATGTCCGACGATACGCCTACATCTACACCCGCTCCAATAGCAGGCGAAGACTTTGACCTTCTAGCCCAAGCCATGTCCTCCGCCTTCCCCGGCTTTGCTCCCTCTAACCCCTCCGACCCCTCCTCCACAACCCCTTCTCTTCCTCCTTCCCTCGCCTCCCTCCGCGATAAATCCGGCCCTGAGATTCTCAAATCCCTAAACTCTACTCCGTTATTCATGACCGAACTAGAAGAAAACAACGAATTAGAAGCTTTCAAAGCATTAGCCTACGAAGGTACACCTCTAGAAGTCGCGACAAATTTCAAAGAGCAGGGGAATGATAGTTTTAAGGAGAAGAGATTGGTGGATGCGAAGGAGTTTTATACTAAGGGAGTGAATATTTTGTTGGCTGAGGTTAGAAGGAGGCAGAGAGGGGAAAAGAGGGACGGGGATGTGCCTGAGGAGAGGGAGGATGAGGTGGTTGAGGAGATTAAAGTGTTAGAGGTGCTGCTTGTGAATCGGGCCATGGCTCATTTGGGATTGAAGAATTATAGGAGTTGTATCTTGGATTGTGGGGCGGTGTTGAGGATCAATAATAAGAATACCAAGGCATTATATAGGAGTGCGAAGGCGTTGTTGGCGTTGGGGAGGATAAAGGAGGCGGATCATGCGCGAGGGGCTAGAAATAGTGGGGGATGATAAGGCATTGCTAGCTTTGGCTGGAGAGATTTTAAAGAAGAATGAGGAGATTGAGGCGAAAAGGAAAAAGGAAGTTGAGAGATTGGTGAGGGAGAAAAATGAAGAGAGCATATTAAAGACATCGTTGGCGGCCAGGGAAATCACGTTACGAATGACGGATAAACCGCCAGAAATGGAGGATGCGAAAATCGAACTAGTCCCCGATGCATTGGATCCGATCAATTCAACATTATCATTCCCAGTTCTTTTACTATACCCTCTTGCAGCAGAATCGGACTTTATAAAGTCATTTAATGAGATGGATACTGTGGGACAACATCTGGAATATATATTACCGTTACCGTGGGATGTTAAAGGAGAATATAGAGATGGAAAGGTGGTGGAGTGTTATGTGGAGAAGAAAAAGGGCTCGCTGATTAAGGTGGGAAGAAAAGTTACTCTGTTGAAGGTTTTGAGTGGTGGGGAAGTGGTGGATGGGGTTGTGAGTATATATGTGGTACCGAAGCAGAAGGCAGCTGGATGGATAGAAGAGTGGAAAAGGAAAAATGTAACAGCGAAGTAAATGAGATCTTAAGATTACATGATACACTGCAATTGACTTGAAACCCTAAGACTCCATTTCATATGCGAGGACTCAATGAGAGGATATACATACGTATACAGTCATCTACTTCATAGATAAATCTTCACGAGCCTCACAAACCTTCAATCACTCCAAAGATAAACAAGCATAGACATCAACGAAAAATTGCATAGCCATTTAAATGCATCCAACCCGCAACATACCTATAAATACATACAAATGCAAAAACTACAAGCCTAATTCCTGAATATGAACAACCTCTCTCCATCCCATTCCTTTGGGCCATTTCTATTCCGTCCGACTAATCTACTTGACCTTTCCAACTAAACCCCTTTCTACTCTATTCCCCTTTGACGCTCTACCTTCTATCTTCTACTCCTTTTACTCTAATCCCAGCCGCTACCACGCGAACCATTTCTGAATGTAAAAGTGGATGTTGAAAAATTGGAAATATTTGAAAAAGTTTAAAATGTCAGAAAATATCAAAATCAAAATGCGCAAACCATGTATGATGCATGCATGCAAAATTCAAATGAGAAGGAAAGAAAGAAAGACCTCTCCCACCCCTCCGCCCCTCTCTATCTCTCTCAATGCAAGGGATAAAATCAAATCAAATCAAATCAAGTCAAATCAAATCAAAGAATCCATGCATCCTATCACCACACCTCAAATACTCATCTCAACACCAAGCAACAAAGTGCACTAACACACCCATCACATAACATCACCTCACATACTGAGAGCTCTCCTCCTCTTAACCCTAGGTGCATCAGCATCTACTTCATCTTTACACCACCTCGAACTCTCCATCATTGGTGTACCGAGCGCAGATACACTAGGGAAGAGGGGTATAGGTGATGCAGCGCCCACTTCCCCATCTTTAACACTGAGTTTCATCAAAAGCCATGCTGCTTTTCTTTCATCGCCTGCTGTGATTATTGTTTCATCTTTAGGTACTTGATGGTGTACTTCAGTGCTACTTTGGTTTTGCTTTGGAGCCAGACTTGCTTCGATGTCGAAGGGGGTGTCAAGGGTCACGACTTTGCCGTCGCGGCTGGGACTCTTTTCATCACCAGTTGGACTGGCGCTTTCTTCACCGTCGTATTCTTCGTCTGAGGGATGGGGACGCTGGATAACTCTTTCTTTTTCTCGTGGTCTTTGTTCTCTTTCATCGGAAACACTTTCTTCTAGTTCTTCTGCGCGTCGCTTAGCTCTCCATCCAGCTGTCATGTCGGCTAGTCCGCCTATACTTCGCGGGATGGCACTTAACCATGGATTTGTACCGGTGGATCCAACGATCATGGCGCCATTTAAGCCCATGTGTGTATTCATCAACTTATGATTAAGCGTATGTGCATGATTATAAGCATGGCAATATCCGTGACTCCCCATCCCCATACCCGAGATATTGATTCCCGAGTTGAAAGAATGAGAACTCATATTCTGATGCTGATGATGATTCATCGCAGCAGAAATGGAATGCGAAGGACCGCTAGGAAGATGCGATCGTGTATGGAGTCCCCAATTTGTAACAGGGAGACCAGATGTGGGTGTTACTGGCGAACAAAAGTATGCAGCGTCACCACTCGAAGTCTCGCTCCCAGCGTCGTGATCAGTAGTACTCTCCGCGTATGGGCTTTCACCACCATACGTTCTCTTGAGTCTGAATCTTCGCTCGAGATGGCTGCCTGAACTTGCAGGCGGTGTCATGGTATTTGTGCGTACCAGGTAGTTGGAGCTTTGTTGTTGAGGGCTGGCAGAATCGCGGGGTGTAACGCTGGCTGATGATTTGGGAGTGAGGGATGTGTATTGGAGACGATATGATTCGGCTTCTGCAGTGGCGGTATGGATGATGTGGGGGTCGATGATCATACGGCCATGTTCTGGAGCGTCGGGTTCGACACACTGAGAGGGGAAGGAGGGACCAAAGATGGGGATAAGAGCTGGAGCGATATGTGAACAGAATGTCGTGCAAACGGCAAGGGCGCAGGAGTATGGCATCCAGTAACCTGGAACAGAATTAGTGACGGATTTTTAGCTGTCATTCATTGTTGTATTGTGATGATCATGGAAGGATTTGGAACGTTAGAAATAGAACCGTGCATTTGATGTTAATTCTTGATGAAAACTGAGTTTGAAAACGATGGAAACGTACCCTGTGCTGCTAGAGCGCCACCAGTGATGCTGTGCGTGATTTCCTTTAGGCCTGGGTTCAAGCCAAGCATCTTCGCCGGAGTTGTCTGTAAATCAACACATCAAATTAGCCATCATGAGTACACGCAGCCTGATTAAATAGAGCCTGCTTACCTTAGAGTATTTGCAACATTTGAAGAAAGGAGTGATGCGAACAAGCCCAACATTATAATCCCACATAACGGTGTAATCCTTGTCATCACCAGGCACTTTGAATACGTACTGAAATACTGCAAATAAAAAAACGTCAACTCTGGTAAGCTTATCGGAAAGGAGTCAGCTCTGCATAGACAGAAGCGTACCTTCGAAGCTCTCCCGCCCAGTCTTTTCTAAAAAGTTCTTTTTCTCGCTGTTATAAGGGATATGGCGGCAGTAGTCCTGAATCTTACCAAGTGGATACACATGGAATTTTTGGACTTCGCACATAGTCTCTTCGCTCAGATGTTCAAATGGTGGAAAGTTTACATCGCCCTTAATCTTAGTACCCTTGGCGAAAACTGCGCCGTCCTTAGTCATCTTTTGTTTCTTGATGGATGAGGATTGAATGGGCAAGAGAGGATGTCCATAAGAGGGCGATGATGTGCACAGCGATGATGGAGGACTTGATGGTAATCGAGTGCTTCGCGGTTCTGACTTCGCAGGATTGAGTAGCGATGCTACGGACAGCATGGTGAGCGGTGAGTGGTGGAAATGAGTTCAATAGAATCTTGTTCCCTCTGATTCTGCAGGCTGGATGCCTTCTTTTTTGCAATAGCGAACGGATTCTCAAAAAGAAAGGCGGCCAGGTAATTTCAAAATTTTCTCGGTACAGTAAAATGAAAATTAATTAGTGTTTGGATCTGGCAAACAGGAAAACAGGTAATTGAATGTTTTTGGGTTCTTATGAACAGATTTGAAGGACAATATTTAATGAGCTTCAACAGCTTCACTTTCTTCGGTGACAACTAGCGATGCAGTTCCTGCAGTCCAAGGAAGGATGTCTTTGGGTCAAATTGATATTCTCGAACTGGAGGCAGTCTTTGTTGGCAGTTGTCTGAGAACGAACCAGTAGAAGATGAATCGTCCGTTTGTCGATGCCCACCGCTCTTCCAAAGCTCGAAAATAAGAGGCATCCACTCAGCAATTGCAGACTCCGGGGTAAGTTGGGCAGGGATGGCCTACTTGATATTCCAACAAGCCGAAGGAAATGAGTTCTATCAAATTTCTACAGTTTCCAGGTTGTGGGATTAATCCTTGGATTGACAAAGGCGGAGATGGCAAGACCATGAATCCAAACGACTTTTAAGAAGCTTCTATTCAGATTCGCCGCTCCCGTGCCCGTCAACATAAAAAGCCAACACGGCCACAAGCAACCCGCATATGGATTGCAGAGCATATCGAGGCAAGACGTTTCACTACACTAAGAAAAAAGCAATATTTGCCGACTTCAGTACCATCAAATCGGCTGCGTGACTGCACAGGGATGGCAAGCCAGGCTGATCAATTAAGTTTGACAACAACAAATATTGTGCTACAGCCCGATCGGGAACAGGGCTTGTTTGGATGTGCATAGCAAAATAATGCTGGACGTATCTGCTGGCCGAGATGTCTTGGGCCGGTTGCCTGCAGTAGTTGCGGGTGATTTACAGTAAGTGAAAGCCACAATTTCAAAGATAGACAAAGAAAATCAATCCATCATGACTGGCACTATCTAAAGCAAGATTGATTGACTCGATGCACGTGGACAACACATCTCCTACGGTAACGATGTCTCTTTCGGAAAGTAAATATGCTAGAGAATAACATATCAATTTATGAGTATCAATTTCTGGATTTGGAAGGAGAGTACCATCCATCACTTCTCATAATATTATTTGAGATTGAAAAACACCCCAGCAGAAATGCTTTAAATAAACATCATGTCCGCATCCGCCATTATCACATAAAAGCAAATTTTACTTTTTTTCCCTAAGAACTTCTTCTACGGGCCTTCGAGAATTAAATGAGAAAATCCTCTGATAACACAGCTAATGCGAGGACTAGTACCGCAGCTGTCACTTGAAAAGCATGGTAAAGTCTACGGGAATATGCAGGTAAGCGCAAGGCCGGGATGCGTGTTTGGCTGCTCTACTGCTCCAGCTTGGTGATGGAAATGGTCATTAGTGTGCACGTCATAAAGACATGGCAACCAGGCTGGCATTTTGTGGAGATTTATATCTCAGCAGAAGAGATGGCATATAGCAAGCTAGAGCTAGAAGGGAGGAAAAATGTAAAACAAACACGGAAGCCGGTGCTTAGAGACAAAGAAGCTGATATCTGGAATAATCTTCACAGTAGGGGTTAGCTAGCCTTGCCTAATCAGTAATTTCTGAATGTTACTTTTTACCATACATCCTCGAGTCGCAGTTGCTGAGACAATGTCAGTGCGGGTGACCCAAATTGGATGAAAGGTGCAGCTACCCGTCGACCTTGTCGCAAAATCGCCATGCCATAGGCCAACCACGTTGTCGCCAATGCACCAGGACAAACGAAGAAGAAGGGTAAGTTTAATGAGAAAAATCGATAGGACAACATGCGCCTTATGCAAGTCATTACGCCTACTTGTAATGTCCACAGCCCCTGGAAGAGACTCGATGAGATCTCCATGCAATGAAGAGAAAAGGGAAGGACTACTTTGCTTCGATGAACTTTGTGAGACCCACTGGCTTCCCCTGTTATATTAATTGCTCGGGTTTCGATTTCAACCTGGTTTTATTGAAGATGTGAAAATCAGAGATAAAACACATATTTCGGGTTATCATCATCTTGCACGCGACCTTCCCGAATTGCAAGCAGTATCCCTTCATCGCTATAGCATTCAGGAGAGGAGCGATCAACCAATACCCAGCCAGTTACCCTGCTATACGATACAATACATTCCGCGGGCTCTTGAGGGTCAGTCCTACCTGGGAAGTCTTGCTTTCTAAGCTATACCAGATGATCTTCTGACAGCCGTTGAAGTTTCAGATCGTGGAGAACGCGTGGATACAATGAACCTTGATACACCAGATCCATTTTAAGGAATTTGTATAACAAAACGGGAGGAAGACGTCGGCAGGATGCATTATTCGCATCGGAAACATCTTTTTCAACGTGAAATCTCTGTTCGAAGTAACGCAAGAGGTGAGTCTTCCGATGTCAAGTTTTAATTGAGTAGGACGAATCATGAAAGAAGATTCTGTACTGTACCTCAACATTTTCTTTGTCGCTCGCGCTCTCTCCTCTTATCACCCTCTTTTTCTTCTTCTTCTTCTTCTCGGCTGAGCATCTCTTTTGAGAGTACATAGGTAGAAACAAAATCAAACTGTTCGGATAAATCTTTAGTTTTCGCGATGTCTTTTGTAACCACCAGTACATACTAGGTATTCTACTATCCAAGATAGAGCAGTGCAGTAGTATGCAGTACACAGGACCTCATTTGTACGACAAGATATAACTTGCGAGAAAAGAGGATTAAGGCAAAGTGCATGCGAAGAAACAGTAACGAGATCAAAATACCAGATGAACATGGCGAAGTAAATCCATTGGTCCACTTATTCCACCTCTACTTTGTATGGATAAACCGGTAAATCATATCTACCTGGGCTATGCAGGTACAAAATCTATCATTGGAAGGATCTGACATGAATCAAAAGACCAATAATTCTTTTCTGATTTTACAGCCTCAGGCCATTAGGAATCACAAGTGGCTAGTCTATTTATGGCTAAGTAAGTAAGACCCTTGCTTACGAACCTTACTATATCCGTGCTAGCATATCTTGAGACGCGATTTCTCAATGTTTATTTATTTACCTTTTTTGAGATTCGCAAAAGTCCATTGACAGACAAAAATCTAGGGGAGGCTTGTTCCTATGGTCATACATACACTCTTTCTGCACAAAAAATTGGATAGTTTGACTAACCTTGATTACCTGTTTTTAATCGAGTTGTTCCTTTTTTTTCTAAGAAAAGTTCGTCTAGATTGTAGGGAATTCTATTTATTGTATTACCATCCTCTGACTTCGGGACTTTTTTACAGTTTGATTTTTAAGGCACAATTTGTTTCTCTCTTTAGTTCATCATGGATGAAGATTCGATGAGCGATGTGCCGAGCTTCCACATGTCGGACGACGAGTCTGATAACTTTGCACCCACAGTAAGTTATTCCAATATCTTTCAGTTACACAAATGTGCCGCCTAGCAACTTGCTCAATCCTCTACATTCAACTAACTCTTTCACCTAGAAAGCTAAAGCGAAGACTGCTGTAAAGAAAACTGCAGCGCCAAAAGCGAAAGAACCGAAAGCAAAACCACTAAAGGCAGCAAAGGAGCCAAAAGCTCCAAAAGCCCCAAAGGCTACTAAGGCCACGAAAACAGCAAAGACCATACAAACCACCCTTAACATGGCTGCCAAAAAGCGCGCGAGGTCTGCAAGCGACGATGAGGACCAACAATCAGACAACGACTCCTCGAACACTGCGTCCCAGTTGTCCAACACCCCGCCAAATTCGAAAAAGCAGAAGAAAGCTCCCGCTACTAAAAGACAGACTAGTGAAGCCCTGCATGATATTGAGAACGAAAGCATAATGGAGATAGAGCCTAAACCAAAGAAGACGAAAACCTCCACGGAACAATACCAGAAACTCACTCAACTAGAGCACATCATCAAGCGTCCAGATACATACATTGGCTCTGTTGAGAAGACGGAGCAGACCATGTGGGTATTCAATTCCGAGACTAAGGAGATGGAGCTCCGGAAGGTCACGTTTGTCCCCGGTTTGTACAAGATCTTCGACGAGATTATGGTCAATGCCGCGGACAACAAACAAAACGACTCTAACATGAAGAATTTAAAGGTGGTTGTAGATCGTGAGAAGGGTGAGATTAGTGTTGAGAACGACGGTAGAGGTATTCCTGTTGAAATTCACGAGGTAAGTCGTTTCTTCCGTTCGTATATGTTAGTCGGTGATTATTAGAGACAATTCATGCACCGCTCACGTAGCTTTTTGGGGTGGTTGATGATAATCATACCAATAATAATTTGGATTGAGTGCATGGATCTGCTTCTACCTTTTCAAAATGTTATCTGAGATATGATATACTAACACCCTATCCAGAAAGAAAAGATTTATATCCCGGAGATGATCTTTGGGCATCTTCTCACTGGTTCCAACTACGATGATGACGAAGCCAAAACAACTGGTGGGCGTAATGGTTACGGAGCAAAGCTTTGTAACATTTTCAGTACCGAGTTCACGTTAGAGACACAGGATTCTAATAGCGGCAAGAGGTATAAGCAAACCTGGACAGATAACATGAGCAAAATGGGCAAGGCGAGAATCTCATCTAGCAAAAATGCCGATTTCACTAGAGTTACCTTCACTCCGGATTGGAAAAAATTCAAGATGACAGGAATTGATGATGATTTCGAGGCTATGGTGAAGCGCCGAGTGTATGACATGGCTGGTGTTGTCAAGGGTGTCAAAGTTTACCTCAACGGAACACAAATCAAGCTTGACTTCAAAAAGTACATCGAAATGTACGCCAAGGCAATCAACAAAGAACGTGGCTCGGAAGATACAAGCGCAAATACCGTCATCCTCGAGGATTCAAAAGGTCATCCAAAATGGGAAGTCGGTTTTGCTGTTTCCGATGGTTCCTTCCAACAAGTATCATTTGTCAACTCAATTGCTACAACTTCTGGTGGTACTCATGTTAATTATATTGCCGATCAGATTTGCGATAAGTTGCTAGAGGTCGTAAAGAAAAAGAATCCAAAAGGTGCACTTCTGAAGGCAAACCAGGTTCGCAATCATATCTTTTTGTTTGTCAACTGTCTCATTACAAACCCTGCTTTTACCTCGCAAACAAAAGAGCAATTGACTACGAGAAAACCACAATTCGGGTCAAAATGCACTTTAACGGAGGAATTTCTGAAGAAGATTGGCAAAACTGAAGCTGTAGAGAATATTCTCAATTTCGCAGCAAAGAAGGCCGATTTGGAATTGGCAAAGAGTGATGGAAATAGGCGCTCACGTATGAACAATCCCAAGCTCGTGGATGCAAATTTGGCTGGAACAAAGCGTGGCCACGAATGTACCCTGATTCTCACCGAAGGTGACTCTGCCAAGGGTCTCGCAGTTGCTGGCCGAGCTGTTCTCGATCCAGACCGTATAGGTGTTTTCCCGCTTCGTGGAAAGCTGCTCAACGTCCGGGATGCTTCACACGACCAGATTGCAAAGAACGCTGAAATTCAGAATATCAAACAATTCTTGGGGTTGAAGCACAAAACCGTTTACAAGGACACTTTAGGTCTCCGATATGGACATCTAATGATCATGGCAGATCAAGATCACGATGGTAGTCATATCAAAGGATTGTTGATCAACTTTTTACAAGTGCAGTATCCCAGTTTACTGAAACTGCCCGAGTTCTTCCGAGAGTTCATTACTCCAATTGTCAAAGTATGGAAAGGGCCAAACCCCAATAAGCCTACCAATTTGCAATCCTTTTTCACTATACCTGAATACGAGGAATGGAAAGAAGCTCATGCTAACGACAAGGGATGGAAGCATAAATACTATAAGGGATTGGGTACGAGCAAAGCTGAAGATGCGCAAATCTATTTCAGCAATCTTGATGTCCATTTAAGAGAGTTTGAAGTCATTAAACCGGAAGAAGAAGAGATGTTGGATCTTGCCTTCTCGAAGAAGAAAGCAGATTCTCGTAAGACATGGCTAGGAAACTTTGTCCCCGGTACTTACCTGGACCACACGGATAAAATGCTCACGTATGATAACTTCATCAACAAGGAGTTGATTCTTTTTAGTATGGCGGATAACCTCCGTTCCATTCCTTCCGTAATTGACGGTCTTAAGCCTGGGCAACGGAAAGTTATGTATGCTTGCTTCAAGCGCAATCTTATAAATGATATGAAAGTCGTTGAACTCGCTGGTTATGTCAGTCAGGTTTCAGCCTATCACCATGGTGAGGCCTCGATGCAAATGACTATTGTTGGCCTCGCTCAAAATTTTGTCGGTTCGAACAATGTTAATTGTCTTGAGCCAAGTGGAAATTTCGGAAGTAGACTTCAGGGAGGTAGCGATGCTGCTAGCGCTCGTTATATTTTCACAAGACTATCACCCTTTGCCAGACGAGTATACTCCGCTCTTGATGACCCGGTTTTGGAATACAACGTTGATGATGGTCGCTCAATTGAGCCTGTCACCTACTTCCCAGTTGTTCCTATGGTTCTGATCAACGGCGCCGATGGTATTGGTACTGGTTGGAGTACAAACATTCCAAACTATCATCCTGTGGAGATTGTAAATAACCTGAAGCGCCGCATGGGTCGTCTAAATGGTAGTGGTGAAGAAAAACCATTTGAAACAATGATGCCGTGGTTTCGGGGTTGGAAGGGCACTGCTGAACCTGCCGGTCCAGATCGTTACAAGTTCAATGGTATCATCCGAGAGACTGGCGATACTGAAGTTGAGATTATCGAGTTACCCATTCGTATGTGGACCGACGACTTTAAAGCTAAGCTTGAGGAGATTATCAAAGCCGAAAAGGTTCCATCATTCATCAAGGATTATAAGGAATTCAACGACCACAAAACCGTGCACATGATCATCCAGATGGACGACAAACATATGAAGGCTGCTCTAATAGAAGGGTTAGCCGAAAAATTCAAGCTAAACAAGACCGTCGCTACTTCTAACCTAGTGGCCTTTGATCACAGAGGTCAAATTCGAAAGTACGAGAAAGTTGAAGATATCCTCGAGGAGTTTTACGAGCAACGTTTTAAGATGTATACTGTTAGGAAAGCATATTGGGTGAACAAACTCAATGTGGAATTTCGCAAGCTTACCAACCAAGCTCGATTCGTGACTGAAATTATCGAGAATAAATTGGTTGTGTCGAAGAAGAAGAAGCCAGTCCTTGTTGCGGAACTTCGAAAGCGCGGCTATGAGGGATTTCCTAAGGTCAGCGAAGCAAAGAAAGCCGGCGAAACCGATGATGTAGTGGAAAATGAGGAAGAAGTGGCCATTGATGAAGATGCTGGAGCTAGAGACTATGATTATCTCCTTGGCGTGAGTAACCTAGCATTCAGTCTGTTATCACATATTGACTTTCCACTAGTTACCAATTTGGTCCCTTACCCAAGAACGTGTCGACAAACTAAACAAGCAGAAGGATGACAAGAAAGACGAAATTGACACACTAGAAAGGCTAAGTGAAAAAGACTTGTGGTGTGAAGATCTTGATGCATTTGTCCTAGAATGGGAAGACCAACTCAAACAAGATGCTGAGATTAGCAAGGTCATTCGCAACACAAACCGACGTCGTTCAAACAAGATTGGAGCCGGTGGAGCCGGTGGAAAGCCTGGTGGTAGAGGTCGGCCTAGGAATGAAGATGAGGAGTTTACTGTTGGGGCAAAGAAAAAGGCTCCAGCTAAGCCCCTGAAAGCCGACCCAATGAAGGGAGTCACAAAAGTTGAGAGCAAGCCCCATCAGGGGTTCATGGATATGTTCTCTAACAAACCTAAATCGAAATCAGTTGGGCGCTTTGATGGTGGCGATGATTCAGGCATGTCTGATGACGATTTCGCGGCATTGGCGGCTCCAGAAGCTGATGTCCCTAAAATTGATGCCGGTGCTGGACGAAGCAAGCGTGCAGCAGCTGCCGCACCAAAGAAATGGATAGTGGATGATGATGAGGAGGGTGAAAGTGATGACGATAATCTTCTTGGCGATATCGATAATATGGTCAAGGGCATTGGTGGTAACGATAAAGAAGTCGCTGCTACGGGAAATTCGAGACTTTCTTTGTTTGCGATGTCAACAAGCAACGGCGACAGGCCTAGTAGCAGCACAGGTTTACCCAAGCCCAAACCTAAGCCTGGCAAGGTAATCGACCTGTCCGAAGACGAGACCAACTATGAAATGCTTGCTAGAAGTTCCCCTCAAAAAGCTCCAGCTAAGGACGAGGTTGATGGTCTTTTGTCTTCTGATGAAGACGTTATTCCAATCGTCCCTAAGAAGGCTCCTGCTCAGAAAGCAAAGGCAACGAGAGAAGCACCGAAGCCTAAGAAAGCCCCTGTTGCTAAGAAGCAAGCTGCCGTTGCAGAATCCAAGCCTGCTCCTCTTTCGCCAGCCGCGAAGGCATATGCAGCGAAACAAAACCGTCTCCAGCAGATTTCTAAGACGATTGGCTATAGTGAGGATGAAAGTGAGGACAAGGATATGGAAGAAGCGTCACCGTCGCCGCCAAAGTCCGCCGCCAAAGGTAGACAAGCCAACTCAAAGACGACCGTTACTAAATATGCCATCAGTGACGAGTCAGATGAAGACATTGAAATGGAAGATGCCGCACCACCCAAAAAAGCTCCCAAAGGTAAAACTGCTTCCAAGACGACTGATACCAGTGACGACGAGGAAGATTCCATTGCCCCTATTCCTAAGAGGGGTGCCAAATCCAAGGCTGCCCTCAAGAAGTCCGTCGTCAGCGATGATGAGGACGAGTCAATTGCCCCTGCTCCCAAGAGGGGTGCCAAACCTAAGGCTGCCCCCAGGAAGTCAGTTATTAGTGATGATGAGGATGATTCCATCGCTCCTCCTCCCAAGCGTGCCGCAAGCTCGAAAGCTGCAGCCAAGGAGCTAGCTCTTAGCGATGATGAGGACGTGGACGAAGATGAGGTAGATTCTCCGCCCAAGCCAGCTGCACGCGGAGGCCGTGGTCGTCCAGCAAGAACTGCTGCTGCCAAGCCCAAGAAACCAGTCTATACTATCGACTCGGATGACGAGGAAGATGATGACGACGCTGATGATGTTGATGAATCTGTACTGGTGGAAGATGATGAAAGCGAGGACGACTTCAGCGAATAAATGGTGATGTCTTGTCCATGTTTCGGCGTTCAATGGGGGTGGGATATTTACTATTCATTCTGATTTAGTCTTTTAGGAAAGGCTCTTTAGCGCAATCGCATACTTCTATTACATCAGGACATCAATTTGTATGGCAGTGTGACACTTCATGGAATTTTTGTGAAGGCGATGGACCGAGGTCTGTTTCCCACCACACTCTTTAAGTAGATAGTCTGTATGCATGCAGTATATCGATTATGAATATATTTTCTTTGTCAAAGTGTTTATATGGTGTAAACATGTTTGCTTGAAATGTTTTGAAATATGTGGTGATTAATACTATTTTTAGCTTTACATAGGAGGAACCAATCCTTTCGTACACAGCATCCAATCTGATCTGTTGTTATCATCTTTATCTCGACAATTTTAATCTTAATTTTAATCCTTAATCTTTAATCTTGGCATTTAGCTTGGTAAAGAATTATCGAGTCATCTCATTGATATAGTTGTAATTATACTCGTAATAGAATTATGATTATGATTTATAATTTTGGGAAAGAAGGAGAGAAGGAGGAGGTCGAAGGGGATTAATTGTTTGGATGAGTAGGTTGTAGGTTGTAGGTTGTAGGTATGGTTATGATCGGTGGCTACGATGATGGTATGTATGTATGAAGTAGAAATTGTAAATTGGGGTGATTGGGTGGGTTGGGTGCTTGTTAAGCGCGGAGTTGATGATGATGTATTTATGTGGCCTATGTATGTGCCTATGTGCCTATGTGCCTATGTACTGGGTATGTTTGGAGTTTGGAGTTTGGAGTGGAGTAGGTTTTGGGGGTGATGGGGATGGAGAGGGGATGGAGAGGGGATGGAGAGGGGGATAGAGATGGCAAATAAAGATTATATGAGATTAAATGATCGATGGGTGAGTATGAGTGTCTACCCATTAGCGTTTTGTCTAGTCTGTGTACCTACCTAGCTAGTACGTAGGAGACACAAAATATGTTACGTGGATATTATTCATCACTTAATAGTCCAGACTCGAAATACCGTTTTATTTACTCCACTACCTTGTGCTCTAGATTGATTAAATACTCTGCTATGTCATGAATAATGGATAGCATTTTCACATTCTAACATTTTAACCTTTTACTTTGTTGTTGTCAGAATGTTGGTAGATTCTAGCGCAGACTACTATTACTAACAGAGAAGAGTTAGTTCAGGGGTATTTGGATTGAGAGAATGATCCCGCCTATCATTGATATGGATTTCGGAATCACTCGACTCGATTTATCCTGTCTCTATTGCCACTATCCCTAATTGTTCCTAGATGTTGATGTATATAATATATTTCATATATTTCACATATTATGGTGGGAGAAGTATGTTATGAAGACGGAATAGAATGAATAGATGGAGACCAGTGGATGTTTGTCAACGTATCATGCATAAGAGAAGCCAAAAAGTGTAACCTTGCCCCTGAAATTAGAGCTGCCTGCCCCCTAATGCTTGTCCTCTCACATGTAAGCTTTCTGTCTTGGCTACCCCTGTCAACCTTGGAAACCCAAAGTTCGGAACTTTTCATTCGTTCTTGCTTGATTAAGCTTCGTTCAATTCAATACCACCCACCCAGTGAACCCACCTTGAAATTGTACAGAAGGATATATGCAAATGAGTTTTGTATCTCACCGCCGCATCCCGCACCATCCTAGCATATTATTATATTCCCAATCACTCACTCAGTCATTCCTTCTCCATCCTTTTTAATCATACTCGAGTCCTGACTGACTGACTGGCTGACTGGCTGACTGGCTGACTGACTGACTGACTGACTGACTGACTGACTGACTGTATTTTATTGGGGTTGAATAGAGAAGCAGTATAAACATAATACATAATTGTTTATTCAACACACTATGTATGTTATGTATGTTGAAAGAGAAAACATAGCCATCTTGATACATACCTTCTTTTCTTTCCCGCGCAGTGAGATGTAGTTTTACAGCAAACACATACTCACAATACCTAAGAAAAGTCACTCTCTCAGTCATCACTCAATTTTCAACTCCAATTTTCACTTCTCACCTCACTCGCTCGATCGCTCTCTCACTTGCTCAATTACTTCTTTACCCACTCACTCACTCACTCACTCACTCACTCACTCACCCATCCCACCCACCCCTTTTCCCCCCAAAATAGTCCTCTGTACTCTCTCTGTACCTCATTTCGATTTGTACATACCTATTTCACGACCCTCACGATAACCCGGTTCACTTTAATTTTTAACGGCTGCCATCCAGCATTGCATTTACCACCCACGCTTCCTTGACACATCAAACATCCGATCTCCGTGCGCGCGCCAATTCCCTCCTCTGGTGTCGGGCAATCAAATCCAGTGTGACGGCTTGTAAACATACTACTTACTATATTGACTGGATTTCATCGATTTGTGCAACCAGGAACAAAATCAGCTTCTCTGGTTACATTCAACTGCTTGTTGTTTGGACGCTCTTCTCTTCACCTCGGGTCATCCATCGAAATTCGGTTTGCGTGTGAGAGCGAGAAGAAAATAAGGGTCAAGGGCGAAGGTTGATTTTTTGATTGTTTAATTCCAGCGGAGTGAATCAAACTTTGAAGAGAGGTTGGGGTGCCTTTATTGTCATTCCGACCTTTTTATCTTATTTCACCGCAACGACGCTCGTTTTCCTACTCCCAAGCTCGAATGGAGTCCAATTTGCAAAGAATCCGGGCGGAAGCTGGAGCTCAGTTAGAGGGACAAGCTACCCAGCATGATTCTATGGTCACAGTGCGGCTATCCGAACCGCCAATTCTGACACTCGATACGAAAAGACATTCCGATAAGATCATTACAAATGAGGAACTGGACACGAGCGAAGCGATAAATACTCCTACCGACAGAAGGCAGACGATAATGAGTATAATGGATGTAACAAGGAAGGAAACGGGATCGGAAACTCGCACACAAGAAGACTCACCGAGAATTACCATGGTAGACCCTAATGGGAATGAGGTGCCCACACCTACAGGTTCGGAATCTGCAGAATCGGAACGAAATGGCTCGAGGAGGGGGAGTGATAGCTCCGACACTTCGGTGGAAGAGGTCAATTGGGAAGAATTAGAGAAGACTGAGGAACAACAACCGAGGAATCAGGATTCCGACGATGTGAGGCTATGAAAGACGCGTAAACTCTTCCATTACTGACGTGTTGTAGGGCACTGCTTTACTGCTAGCCAGGCTTGAGCAAGAAAATAATGCCATCGCCTCGAATCCGAAGTCCGGCATTGCAAAAGTTCAGAAGGTTGAGAAACAACGAGCTCGGGCTCAATCCAGACCACCATCCATACAACATCTCAAGAAATTAGTCAATGGCCCTACACCTTCAGCCCTTCGATATTCCGTCACCCCTCCACCTCCTATGACCGACCTTGAATTCTACGCTGCACTTGTACAAGATTACCCAAGGACTGCTCAATATTTGCCAACGTTATTGTCGAAGAAGATCAGGAGTGGTATACCTCCGCCATTGCGAGGCGTAGTTTGGCAGAGTATGTCTGGAGCTCGCGATAGACTATTGGAGGAACAGTTTGATAGACTTTGCGGCGAGTCAAGTCCATATGAGGGAATTATTGGAAAGGATTTAGGGCGAAGCTTCCCTGGAGTAGAAATGTTTCGTGATCCGGAGGGTGATGGACAGCGTATGTTGGGGAGAGTTCTGAAATGCTTCAGTTTATACGATCATAAGATTGGATACTGCCAAGGCTTGGGCTTTCTTGTCGGTCCTTTGTTGATGCACATGGGTGATAAACAAGCCTTTTGTGTACTAGTACGGTATGTTACCAGTTATGCACACATCTCAACGTCTACTAATGATATGCAGACTCATGGAACATTATGACCTTCGAAATTGCTTCTTGCCTGATCTTGCAGGTCTACACGTTCGAATACACCAATTTCGAGAATTGTTAAAATTACATCTACCAGCCCTATCAGCGCATTTAGATTTGTTGGGGGTCGAACCTGCATACGTTTCCCAGTGGTTTCTATCATTCTTTGCTACTACTTGCCCATTGCCGATGCTTTTTCGAATCTACGATGTCATATTTGCCGAAGGTGCTTCAGAGACCATCATGCGAGTTGCACTTTCATTGATGAGAAAGAATGAAACCAAGATCTTGTCTTGTACAGAATTTGAGGACGTGATGCAATTACTTCTGTCCAGGGGTTTATGGGATGTTTATCATTACAATGCTGATGAATTCGTAAATGATTTCGTTAGTCTCACGGGGATTGTGACACACGAAAGCCTTCAAAACTTAGAAGCGAGCTATAGGGAGTCTCAAATTGTTGATACTGCTATTCCATCTGATGTAGGTTCAGCAGCTTCACGATTCCTTGGACGATTATGGGCTGGCTCAAATTCGTCCACGAGATCGGCGAATCTCACCCCCAGTCCAGGACTTAGCGCTCCATCACGTCCCGTCAGCTTCTTGAGAAGATCACCGTCGAAGCAAAGTTTAGCTTCTACGTTATATTCGATGGAAGGTGGCAGCGGATCAGAGAGTATGCTTAGCACTTCAACGGACGCGACGAGCGTTTCTCGAGAATCGGCCAATCCCGATAATGCTTCAATGCGAGTTCAATCTTTTGCCAGTGTCAGTGCTTCAAAAACTCCAGTTAACAAGGATAGAAATTTGCATAGTCAAATTGAAGATCTCTTGATGGCCCTCAGTGAGATGCAACGAGATCATGCTATACTTGCTACAGAATTGCAAAGGGAGAGGGAGGAACGCGAAGAAGACAGGAATGCTGTGCAACCACTGCTTCGTGCGTTGAGGAAGAGAGCGGCAGCGGGAACTGTGGAAGGCTCAGAAAGTGATTTTAGTGATGAGACAGTCAAAATGGGCGTAATTGCAGAAGAAGTAAATCCAAGTGAGGTCACCGAGGCTGGAAATGCTACGGCATCCGAGGTCGCTGACGGGTCGGAAATGGAAGGAGTACCTACTTCATCTACCAATACCGAGGATCTTTCTTGTCTACTTGATATTGTAGAAGATCGTTTTCAGAATCCTATCGAAAATCGGGGAGCTTCTATGTTATTGACGAGATCTCAACTTCGAGATGAACTCAGTCGATCAAAAGAACAGCTCGTCATCGAAACATCAAAGTCCCAGGAGTTTATCAGGCGTATTGCTGAACAAGACCAAGAAATCAGTAATTTACGAGATCAAATCAGAGAAACCCAAGCCCATGTTCGAAATTCACATCAAGATAGACAAAGATTGGAGAAACAGGTTTATGATTTGAGGAATTCCAGGAAGAGTGCACAGTCACCTTTGGGGGATCATGATATTGAATGGGGCGTTAAGAGTTCGGCCACAGGAGGACTTAGAGAACTTAAACTTGTTCGGTCAAACTCCCAACGTTCGGTGGCTACAACTTACAATAAACGAAGTTCAAGCCTCATATCTCATCCACCAAATTTCAAAGAAAACGAAAATCCACGCGCCTCTACATTCTTTGAACAGCAGCGTTCTTCCAAGCACGATGTAGATTCTGATTCATTGGTTCTTGAACTTGTACAAGCAAAGACAGCCGAAGCAGTTGCTAAACAAGAAGCAGAGGAGGCTAAACTTAAATTGGAGAGCTTGAAGAAAATGTTGGCTGGGTTACAGAATTCTGAGGTTCCACCAACAGTGTTTGGGCATAAATCGAATCTTAGTCTTGACAAGTCGGCGACATCGAAGACTTGGAGGAATACAATGATGAAGGCAGAGACACCAATTGCACCTACCAGTGCACCTGCGGCAGCGGCAGCAACAAGCGGAGGTGGATTTTGGGGTTGGGGAAAGAAATCAGCTGCTAGTGCTGAGGGTAAATAGATGTAGAGTTTTGGACCGGTTTTGAGATGTTGGGATATGATATGTGTGAACTTTGGGATTGGAAGAATTGATGAGAATGAGTTGAACAATGCATGCAGGAGGTCGTTTTGCTATACGTTTGCTTGTATTTTGTTTGCCTTTTTTTTTCCCCACGCGATTTTTTTGACTTTCTAAGCAAAATACCCAACAAGGCTTGTTGTGCCTTACGTAGATTATTACTCTTTTACTCTTGCTCGTTTGAGGATGTAGTTTTATTATTTATTGGATTGGATGTGGTGGGTGGGTGGGTAGATAGATGGGCGAGGGGACTGTATCTTGAGGGTATGGTAGGGTAGGTTAGTCGGTAGAGGGAATTTGGTCTAGGATGTATGGATTGTATGGTGGAAACTTATGGGGTTGTGAATAGAATAGAGATGTAAAAAGGGAAAGAGGGGAATAAATACAAAAGTGGGGAAGGAACGGGAGAAGTAGAGAGGGAGGAAAGTGGAAAAGTAGAAAAAGAAATGAGTGATGGGGTGGGAGGATGGGAGTAGTATGGAGAGTGGTATGGAGAGTGGTATGGAGGGTATGGAGAGTGGTATGGAGAGATGGAGAGTGATATAGAGAGTGGTATGGAGGGAGGGATGAATTCAATATGATGATTTTATTCTTATGATTTTATGAGCATGATGTATGTGTGTATGTGTGTGTGAGTTTGAGAGTGCATTATGTTATGATGGGATGTGATGTGATGTGTTTGTCCAATCTTGAGTAAAGGGTGAGAAGTGCACGAATGAGAAATGAGTATAATCTTGTATATAAATAAAATAATAACTTAATAATAATTCAACATATAACAAAAGAGATCAAAAGAACTCAGATTATAAAATTACCAGTATGAATATAAATATATAATCATAATAAACAAAATTGAAAAATCTTGAAAATATAATATTTAAAAAATTAAAGAAAGAAATATATAAGGGTGAGAATAGAAGAGGTATTATTAGTATTGAAGTTTTTATTGATTATGGCGATTTTTGATGGGATGTTAGGATTTTAGGATGTGCTGAGTAGGTTTTAGGTTTTAGGTGTTTAGGTGTTTAGGTTTTAGGTTTTAGGTTTTAGGTTTTAGGTTTTTAGGTTTTAGGTTTTAGGTTTTAGGTGTTTAGGGATTGAATGGGGTGCGTGGAGGAGTATAATTTTAATTATATGAGGGTTATGGGGTGGGGGAATAGAGGGGTGGATGAGAAGGGGGGTTAGGAGGGGATAGAGGGATAGAGGGATAGAGGGATAGAGGGATAGGAATATCATTCTTTGATAGTTGCTGTTATAAATATAATATCACATAGTACAGGATGGACGTACCCTGATTCAATATATAAGCTCATGTATGATATTAATTATTTCAATTTTTAACTTCCTCGCTATGTTAGACCCCATGACTCTATCATCCATGTATAGTTGTTGATGAATATTTATTTTTGTGAGTATTAGTACAGAATTTGTGTATATTATAAGAGTAATTATATTTTTCGCCAATTGACCCCTTCACCCTTTATATACATTCATCATCATCATTATTATTAGAAATGTACTCGGAAACATCGGAGAAATAAAATGCATTAGCAAATACATCATAGCAATCAATCCCAGCCTTATTAAAGCCATCCATTAGTGATCACCGCTCTCGCAGGAACCATATCCATTCCTCCCAGTTCACCAGGAAACCCAAAGTCGTAAGAAGGGGGGTTCCCAGTGTGTACTATGGCATATCTAAGTCCTCGGTGATCAGGTACTAAGTATATTGATTTATATCGGGATTTCCAATGAAATTATCTTAATTTCTCGGACTCGGAGCTGGAAGTACTAGTAGGAGAGGAACTGAAATCGGAATACGAATCCAAAACGTCAGCTTCGAGATCAAAACGTTCTCTGTTGTTTAAGCGATTGTAATCGTGTATGCGACCCCAGATTATGAGGAGGAGGAGGAGGAGGGATGGGAGAGTGGCGATAACTATTCCGAAGGCTTGGAGCATTTTAGATGGTTGCTGGATTTGATGGTGGTTTTGGAGTGGGGTTTGTTGGAGATATTCGGACATGTTTTCTGTGCATTGTTTGTTCATTTTGATGGTTTGAGAGGTTTTCTTGTTCGGGTGATGTGGTCGTGGTAGATGTGTTATTTGGTTGGAATGTTGTAAGATGTTTTATCGTGGAGAATGATACTCCCAGGGTGTGGTATTGAAAAATTGTCTGAATTTGAACTCGTGAATTGTTTTTGAAGGAGGAAGAAAACTTTTGAGAGAAATAAATTTGGTTCTGGGGTGGTATTATGAGATATGGTTTGTGGAAGAGCTAGATGCGGGAGCTAGATTAGTAAAGCCGTTGGCTCCGTCTTTCATTGGATGATTCCAGATGATGCTAGACTTTTATCCTCTTGCGGATTATTTTTTGGTGTGGGATTGGGTATTGAGCTCTTTGGCTTGCTTCCTCTAGTGATAGTTCAAAGTCCGTTGAACTTAAGCGCGTTAGTTCATCAAAATCCGGTGATCTATATAGGACGCAGAGCCATGTTAAGATTTCAAAGATTTAAGTAGGATTATTTGACAGAAAGACTAGCACAATTTGTTCTGAAGTATAGCATGATAGCGAAGAGAGAGAATTTTGATATTGTTGAATCGACTCAATTGATTCTTAATATGGGGGTAATGTGCTCATAAAGCTAGAAAGAAGATGCCAATTTCCCTAACTAATTAAAATTTCTGGAAACAGACCTTAATACAACGAAACGGTACTCAAGGTTATGATGACTTCAAATCCTATAATGTTCATAAGGTTATGCTACATTTCAAGCGAAGAAATACACACGAGTCCCATGGTTTAAGACACGGAAGATGTGAAGAAACGAATGGCAGGGCTAGAAAATTATACAACTGGAATGTGCATGGTGATAGGAAATCTTTAAAATGAAGGTGCTGGGTCTGATCGGAAATAATATTAAGAAAAAAGAGATAAGGCTATACGTTAAATAATTCTATATAACAGAAAGGGTCCAAATCCCAATGAAGACGTAGCTAAACGCGCAGACACCCAGATTCCCCAGATTTACTAGATCTCCAAAATCTTGGCGGGGTACTTTGCTTTGTGCGAGCGCACATAGGCTCACTCCTTACACACATCAGAATGTCGAGCCAAAGAATAAAGACTATATCCTAGATGCTCAACTCGCATTCCAAACCTTAAGGTTTGGTAATCGTGTTCTTTTGACTACCATCGTCAAAGACCAACAAAACTGTACGCACTTGCGTGGTCATCAAGTAAAATATGAGATGTATCTTCATTCACAGACGGCTCTTATGATGAAGGGCTGCAATATTCTTCCCAGACTCGTCAATAGGAGAATGCACCTCATAGCCATTTCTGGTATGGTTCTGATATGGTATCAAATATAGTAGTCGTTGTCGTTATCGCTGAATTAACCCTCCATCCAAATGGAGTGTGGTGTTTAACCAATGCTTTGTCATCCACAATTTCAACCTCATCTGTTGTACAGCATCGATGAACAAGCGGAAAGAGTAGTTGAATCAAAATTTTCTTCTACTAATTATTCATCATAGTGTTAAGAGTCTTGCTCTAATAATTGACAGTTACATTCGATTTTTCCCCAGCATTCATTGATTGCGTTTTTTGGTTGATGCGAGCGGTCCAGCCATGACATTTAGAAAGCTAGCAATGCATGTGTACGAGTAGCTACGTCCAAGGAAGATGTTGCAAGCAGTAGCTCCTAACAGATGTCTTTAACATCAGCCATTGGATCAGTCGGGTCCTTCACGGCAAACCATTGCTTTTTCAAGGGCGGATGAATTTCATAGTTCCGCTTCCTAGAACATATCCTTTCTCAAAAACCCACCATGCCCATGCTGGTGTCGAGTATAGGATCTAAATCATATATACCTGAATAGCCTCTCATTATTGGCTATTTTCAATTGCTTGCGGAATGTTGGACTTTCTCGATGGTTATGAGTGAAACGACTAGTGTCACGAGCATATGTCTGCCGAACATATGGACGCAATCACTGCTGCTTAACATGACGTTAATGACGTTTAGTGCTCTATATTCTTGTAATTAAACCGATTTGCTGGCATATGTAAAATGCTTTGACTGGCAGATCATTCGACCCGGGTTTGAAAGAATACGGGAGTTTCAATTGTCGCGATGATGTATTCGAGTTTCTGTCGACGACGACTAGCGTGTAGCAACACAATGCATACTGTTCTTGCACACTATGTGCTTGGATTCTGTATAATAATTCTGCAGCTTTCACTTTTCCATTGTTGAAACACTTGTGTAATTATATTTCTGAGCTTGGGGTTCATCAAACACATGGGACCATATATCTTCCTAAATCGGATTATCTATACAGATTTCAAAGTGAATAAACAGGGCTGTTTATTACATGACATCATTAAATAGATTGATAAAAAGCTCGTTGAAATAACAACCAGTGAAAGAGCTAAAGGATCCGCCAAGAAGGTTTCTACACGGAAAACAAGTTTGCCAATTTACCCCTCACCACAATTTTCTTTTTATTCACTCCTTGAAGTTGGTTGTGTAATGTCTGGTGATCCCTTTTTTGGCCTCATATCGGCGTCTTCCAAGTTCCAGCCGAGTAACGAGGCAGAAAGAGGCTGGAGCGATTGGCCGACGATGAGATAAAGAGGGGAAAAGTAAGATGGCATGAAGGACGCCTGCAAGGGCAAGGTGCCAAAATGCTGGTCTCAAAAGTTTTCAATCACATAAAAACTTCAATAAAGTATTTGATTCATTCCATCTCCAAGGACGTACCCACAACCTGTACTTTACTCCTTTTCCACACTTCCTTTTCATCCTCGTGGTATATATTTTACTTCAGTATCTGGGCAGTGTTCATGATCATGTATGATGAGTAACCGTCTGATACTCTCATTTCTTGACCTTCAGATACTTTGGTATGCCGAAAGCCGAAGCCGCTCGGTCTTCCGCTTCTTGTGCCCTCCCCATCTCCCCATCTTCTCATCTCTCTCCATCGAAATTCGAATCACCACAACCACCGCAACCTCATCAAGTATTAAGTCAGCTCAATCCCTACCTTTACCTCCATCTTCAATACTTTAACTCAAACTTGATTCTTACTCTGGTCACTACATCTGGTTCAAAAAGGTGCAGCGGGCTGCCTTTGGTAGCTCGTCGTGCTGGCATTCAAGTTCTTCAAGTCTTTCGAGCTTTCAAATTTCTGTTCAGTTCATCAACAGTC